GGCAACAACCAGCAAGGCAACAACCAGCAAGGCAACAACCAGCAAGGCAACAACCAGCAAGGCAACAACCAGCAGGGCAACGACCAGCAAGGCAACGACCAGCCAGCAAATCAGGAGAGGGTCAGCCGCAGGGACTTAACAAGGGAGTTTTGCAGAAACCTCAGAAACCCACCACTGAAAGGCGTCTAGGTATAAACGACCATGGAATTGGTGGAGAAGCACACGGAGAAGCACATGATAAGCACATGATAAGCAGGTGATAAGCAGGCTAACATGAGTCTCCATAGATCAAAACGACGAGTCGCTCCGCAAGTGGAAGGAGTCTCTGGGCATCGGTTCTGGTAACACTCTTTCGGACCCAAATGACCCGCGTACCGTCATCATTCTCTCCCTTGGCCTTGAGGTAAGCAATCCCTTACGTGTTCTCATGGCAGTCATCACATGCTGAATTTTTACTAGGTTGAGGGCCGTCCTGATATTATTATTGATCTCTCCGCTCCCGGTGCTGTTGATCATTTGAAGGAGAAGCCTTTCTCAATCAAGGAGGGAGCTCAGTTTCGTATGAAGGCCACCTTCAAGGTCCAGCACTCGATTCTGTCTGGCCTGAAGTACATTCAGGTTGTCAAGAGAATGGGTGTCAGCAACAAGATGCAGGAGATGATTGTAAGTTTCGAACGCGCGCTCTTCCAATCTGCTTCAAAGACTAACTGTTTACAGGGCAGCTACTCCCCCAACACTTCCGATAAGCCTTTCTATGAGAAAAAGTGTACGTACATCGCCATACCGAGACTTTGGTCAATCAGCGCTTACACATATTGCAGTCGAGCCTGAGGTGGCTCCTTCGGGCATGATCGCTCGTGGACACTACACCGCTGTTTCCAAGTTCATTGATGATGACAACCAGACGCATCTCAAGTTCGAGTGGGCGTTCGACATCAAGAAGGACTGGTAGAAGATTTAAGGGCACAAAAAAAGGTCGAACTTTGATAGGAAAGGGAATTGGATGGAGGCAATTACAACACTCATTCTTGTCCCTTTCCTTCCGATTCTCTTCCCTGCAATCGGTCAATATCTGGATTGGTTGATGGGAGTGGCCTTTTTACCACTACTAGTTATCACTGAGCACAGCGACTTAGCATTCCTTCTGCCAGAGAGACTTTATCAGAACAGTTCATTCAATGGGAGGTAGCAATCTCTTTTCTCTCGCATATGAGGCTCAGTCGGTATTGTAACAGACAGGTTTGGGGAGTTGAAGTGACCATCTGGACATGAATGAATGTACGCCGTAAGAACAAGTGCGTCCGGAAAAGAAGTCCAACTACCCTAGCTTGTTGTATAGTGGGGAGTTTTGTATAGTCCCCTCTTGTAGCCGATGGCTAGCGTGGATTTGTTTTTGCTCATGTCATGGGTAGGTGAAGCTATCGTCCGGATGAGAATGTGGAATTTTTAATTCTACATACACGTCCGGACGATAGCTTCACCTACCCATATATGTCGTTATTCGAGGGGGAAAAAAAGAACGAGAAAAGGGCACATATCATGGGTAGTTGAAGCTATCGTCCGGACGAGAATGTATAATTAAAAATTCCACAATTACATCCAGATGATAGCTTCAACTACCCATAAATGTCCTTTTTCATTAAAAAGAACCGAGGCATACCTACGCTATGTTGTAAGGGCCTTGCTATGGCGACGGTATCGGTATTCTTGAAAATTCTATTGAGCTGCGTGATATTTCAACATGCTATAGACTACACTCTACAATCTACTGGTACAGTGATGATACAAACTTCCACGTAGTTTGCCCGGAGTAAGATGTCCTCGCCCATATGGTACACCAAAATAAATCCTTTTTTCCCTACCTGACAAAAACTCCATGAATGCTCACCCGACGCCGGGCGTGTACGGACATCCTACTCACCAATATCTCCGAAAGCAAAACCAAACTCCAGGTCCATGACATGAAAGCCGTATTTGGTACGACGACAACATCAACCTCTTCTTCCCCCGCGCGCGGAACCTTCGCCTTACGAGAAGAAGTACGTGCTTTCCCTCAACCGCGTGACGTCAAAATCGCCCTTCTTGGGCACGGCCGGGAAATCGACCGGCAGCCAAAACTTGGTGAGTGTCGTCCTAGATCTCCATCTACTCGTGCTCGCAGCCGGCTGCTTCTCCTCGGCCCCCTCATTGCCGTCCTGCTCTGCTCCGTGCTCCGCGGCAGACGAGTGATGCTCGCCCATGACGCCCTCGAGCATATCATTTTCGTCGCCTTCGGCTTCTTCTTCTTCCATCGCGTCAATCTCGTCCTCGGCGGCGGTGGGTGCCTTCTTGCCGGCACGCTTCGTGGGTGCGGTGTCGGTGGCGCCGGCCATGTCGCCCAGACGAGTGATGTTCACCTCCTCCTCGGTGTGGACGTCGAGCGCGGCGTCGCCGTGGGCGAGCTCTTCTTCGCGGGCGGCCGCGTAGAGCGAGGCGGGCGTCACCATGGCGCGACCCTGGGCGCGCTCCTCCTCGTTCGCGCTGTTCAGCAGCCTCTGGCGCTCGCGCTCGGTCACCATCTCCTCGATCAGCACCTGCTTCGAGAGCGGCTTTTTCTTCAAGGCATTGAGGGCGTTGGTCTTGCGCAGTTCCATGATGCGCTGGGCGAGCGGCGAGCTCGACGGCACCGTGGCGAGGTACAGACAGTCTCTGTAGCGGATGGTGAATTCCTCGTGAAGGCGGCCTACGATGTCCTCCGAGTGCATGCGCACGAAAGCATCGCGCAGTACGCGGTTCATGAGCGGAATGTCAGCGGCGTGCGTCCAGAAGGAGTCGTGGACGGAGGCAAACGAGAGACCAAGTTCGTTGCACTTGAGTGCCGAGAGAAGCATGTGCGTGGCGTCGAGCGAGTGGATGAAATTTGGCGGGAAGGCTTGGAGCTGCTTGCGTTTGTCGACAGTGTCGGTGTTTGAAGGCTGGGTGATGGTGAGATACTGCAGAACAGTGGTGATCTCACGAGTTTTCGTCCGGCGATAGGGTTGCACCACGGGCATTCTGAGGGGTGTGGTCCAGATGACGGTAGCGCGGAACTGCGCCGATATGTCCTGGGCCGTGAGGGTCTTCTTCTTAGCCTTGGTCTTTCTCTTTCGGAAGCGTGGGTCAAGGCCATCCTCTGCAATCGTGCCGGCCTCCGCATGCGCTTTGATCATGTCGATTTGCTCGGGGGTGATCGCAGTGGCGATCCTATTTGCACATGCTCCAAGCCAGTCCTGGATATCTTGCGCGCCGTTGAACATTTGGCCCAAAGCTTTGAAGATCAATTTCGCGACATAGCCGCCCATTGCGAACAACCCTGTTTTCTGGTCTTCCTCAGGGAGGATATCCTCAAGCTGTTTGATGACCTGCAGGCGGGCACCGGTGAAGGTGACGCCGTAGACGTTTGTCATGACGGTCTGCTTGACAACCTTACGAGTGATCTTGCCGTTCAAGGTTTTTGCAAACGCGACATTTGCTTTCGCATCCTCGGCAACGTAATTTTTGACGATCTCTGCCACGGCAGAATAAATGTCTGAAGGCTTGTCTCCGGGCTCCAAGTTTACTTGAGCGGCACCAGCCCGGTCACCACCGAGGGCGGCGTAGTGTTGAAGGCCGTTGCAGGTTCCATCCTGATGAACCGGGAGATGCGACACATATCGCGAAGGATCGGGGGAGTCCAATGCATGTTTGAGTTCGTAACAGGTTGCGAGGCACTGCCATGGGTCCTCGGCTGTGAGCCACCATTTCCGGCCAGTCAACGGGTTCTCGCACGAGTCATATATGTCCTGGAGGTGTTCATCGGCGAATGCTTCTCGATCTTTCAAGCTGGCTTTGTCGTATCCAAAAACGTTCGCAAGATGGATTTTGAGCCATGTGAGCCCCACCGAGCCCAGTTCTTTACCCTTTCCAAAAGTGAGCAGTCCACGTGCGAGGTCAGCACCCAAGTGGTTGAGCAGCGAAGGAATAGGGTAAGCGCGGCCACGGAAGTCCATGTTGTGCGGGAAGTAGAAGATTTCGTCCTTGAAAGCGCGGGCGACCTCGAGCTGGAAGTTCTGGAAACAGCGCTGCGCGTGGAAGCCGGTCTTTAAGTTGTCAATCCTCTTCTTCTCCAGAAACCATTGCACAAACTCTCTCTTCGGAGCATCCGGGAGTGGCTCTGGTGGATAGTCCATCTTCGGGTTTTCCGGCGCGATACCACCAATGGGCTCGCCCGTGTTCCAGGCCTCGACTACCACTCTAAACACATCCCTGTTGACCTTCCATGCCGTCTTACCAAGGACACTAAGGCCGGCTAGGACCTGGTCCATGTCGCCCTTCTCAATTGCGGCCATGGCATAGATTCGCTGGGCATCATCGAACTTCTTCTCCTTGATGATGGGCTCGGGATAGCGGAAATATCCTCCTTTTTTGTATCCTGTCCAAGGTAAGGGCTCGACAACCATGGGGTACTTTGTGCCGAAAGAACCACGGAGGGGCTCTCTCCGAAGCTTCTCCATCACATGTGAGTGCAGTTGAATCATGCCGGCCTTTCGACCAGACACATAGACCGTGGTGTGCTGGAAAGCCGGTTCGGTGGAAGTAAGTTGCTTTCGCGTCTCTTTTTCTTCACGTGTGACCGGGACCTTGGCAGCCTCGAGGATCTTTGACAAGCACAGGGCACCTATCTTTGCCTTGATTAAAGGCGCCCATTCCAGCTCTTTCAGAAACTCGTAGTTTTTGGTAGAGGACTCTCCATCCTTGGCGTCGCCTGATGGCATCGTCTGGCTCGGATCGATCGTCTCGGAGACTTCCGATGGCTTCGTCTGGTTCGGATTGATCGTCTTGGAGTACTTCAGCAAAGTCTTAAGCCGGCGGGGCGAAGTCGTCTTGTACATAGAGTGGTTCGACTGGATGCTTTGAGCCACCATCACGCTATGTTCTGTTGCCAGCTGCTTTCCAATGCTCATGGCAATGTGCGCAACCTTGATGCCTGAATGGTTATCGGGAGAACCAAAGGCTGCAACTGTCACGATCAGCGACGTCGCTGCCAGTTTTTCCGCGGTAAAGGCTTCCAAAAATGGTCCAACAACCAGGCGGTCGTCCGAAGTGTCGGTAGTCTCCTTCTCATCGTACGCTGTACTGATGCTCTTCAACTCCTGCTTGAATAGTGGCACCATAGCGCTGTACCATTGCCACATGAGAGCCTCCACCGGCTTGGTCTGCAATGCAGAAGTAATACCCATCTTCTGCATGTTTTGGTGCTCCTCGCGCCACCGTTCAATGGCTGCGTCGATGCTGTCCTCTTCCAGACGATCCTGCCGCATGCGCGCGTACACTTGATCCTTCTCTTCGTCGGTATATCCATAGAGATCGTGAGGATAAGGCAGATTTTTCTCGAGCTCTTTTGGGTTCGAGAAGATTGACAGCGCCGCCTTGACCGTTTTCAAGCCAGCGCCTTTCTGCAGCACGGATCTAAGTTCTGGGATTTCGGTGTCAGAGGTAGCTGGCCGAGGCACTAGCTCTCCAAGATACTCGCGCTTCTCTTGCACTGGCTCCTCCGAGTTTTCTGGTACTTCCCCAACTAGATCCGGTCTGATCTCCGCCAGCACTGCGTACTCATCATCCGACCATGCTTCGTTCGTGAGCACGCTCTCCAGAACCCCAGACTGTTCCGCAAGCCACATGTATCGCCTAACCAACCTTTCCCGCTTGGGTCCGTCCATGGTCAAGATCGCAGCGCGCAGCATGCACGTGTACGTCACGGCATCTGGCTGGATATCGTTATCCATCATTTCACTCTCAAACCACGTGCTCAGAGTGTTCATCGTATACTCGGGCTGCTTGGTCAACAAGCGCTCCACCAAGTGCAGCAGGTACACGTTGTTCGCCTCGAGTAGCTCCGCTGCGTTGGGATTGTACATCTCGCGCATCCGCCGCAGCAGCGCCGCGGCCCGATCGAGGCGCCCCACGCGCAGACAGGCGTGCAGGTTCGAGTGCAGCTCTGTCGGATCGCCGCCAATGCCATGGAAATAGTTTAGGCGCGGCGGCGCCGCTACCGTCGAGATTGGGACGACCAGCGGTTGTGAATTCTTCCATTGGAGCGGTTGGGACGAGTCGGACGGGTTTTGCAGGCCTCGTGCGCGGGCCAGGCTTTCTTGGGATATTCGATCGAAGACGGGGGAGGCTCTGATCTGGCTTATGCTTTCGGCAGTGGCAGCGGCGGAGGCGGCGGAGGCAGCGGAGGCAGCGGCTGCGGAGGTAGCTAAGGTGCGTAAGGACGAGCTCGCCGCTGCTCGTGATCTTTGCTGGGCGGCGCGATTGTCAGAGTCTCGAGCGATAGGGCTGAGCGAGGCATTGCCTCTCAACAAGGCCGGGCAGAGCCATGGGAGGTAAAGCTGGTTTGCGACACGCGAAAGGCGGCGCTGTGAACGGCGTCGCGCAACTTGCGCAAGCATTTTTGCGATTACGAGGAAAAGAACGAATGCAAAACGTAGCAGAAACAGGGGTATTGCATGAATAAAGAGAAGGACCACACGAGAGTGAGGGAGAGTGGCGGCAGTTCCCTGGCGGGAAAATTGTATGCAGCAACTCTGATGGCAAAAAAGATGGCGGCGAGCTCGCACACGCCCGAAAGCTTTGGCTTGGCCAATGCAGACTTCGGTCCGTGAGCACGTGATGCTCCAACACCATGGCATCCCCTTCACGTCCGCTAGTTGAAGACTGGACCTTGTAGTTTGGTGTTCGTCTGCGACAAGTGCGCAATATATGCAAACTCGTGACATCTTTTGTACGAGAGGAGAATCTTAAAGCATCTCAAATTCGTACAAGCAGTCATGTCATGATCGCCCCGCTAATGTACCTACAGCAGCAACGACGCCTAGAAAAATGCTCTTTGTACTGTACAAAACCCGTTCGTCCCGCGTAGGCCGATCTAACAGGACCAAACGCCGACGACGCCATCTTTACGGCCTTCAATCAAGTACCCCTCCCGGATCCGAACCTTCTCGATGGGGGAAAGCGGCGCCGCGGGTTCCTCTTCTATCGCACCAGGACCGCAATTCCAATGTCTACCGTCCGTCTTGTCGTATACCTTGACCACATCCTCGCCAGCTGCGGCCACAATTCTCCGCGTGTCGAACGCCATGCTTGTGACAGGGTTATCGTATGCGAACGCATCGAAAATGGATCCAGTTCGGAGATCCCAGATCTGCTTCCGTTAGACGTCGTGTTCCGCATCATCTGCTCTCTCATGGAAACTTACCCGAATACTTCTATCAAGACTGCCCGTCACCAAGTGTACATCATCAAATTGCAGGGCCGTCACTGGACCAGTATGACCCACAAGACTCCTGTGAACTTGGCCGCTCCTGAGATCCCACAAGCGAACCATTCCGTCTGCTGTACCACACGCCAAAGCGGCATCGAAGCACTGCAAGGCGCCAACAAAATCGGCAGATGCATCCGGCACCCGGCCTGTTTGTCGCCACCCGTCGGCCGGGCTCATGGTCGATGATGCCTGAGCGGCCGCCCAAAGCACATCAAGTGTTTGTACACATCGTCCCTTCACAAGATCCCACTGGCGCAGCGTCTTATCAGCCGACCCTGACACAAGGGTATCACCCCTGAAATGCAGAGCAGTGACCTCCGCTACGTGTGCATCGAGAGTAAACAATGGGCAGTCCTGCATGCTAGTCGGCGGTGGTGGTGGCGGGGCATCCCCAGGGTTCTCGAACCCTAATGCATCCTCGTCGTCCTCCTCGCCGTCGCCATCCTTGTTGATACGGTTGTCCCGGGGGGCGTATTCAGCGCGGCTTAGATCCCAGAGACGAATGGTTGCATCCATAGACCCAGTCGCGACAATACTATCCTCGACCTGCAGACAGCGGACGGAGGAAAGATGGCCCTCCAGCATCCCCATACACCGGCCAGCATGCAGATCCCAAACTCGTACAGTGTCGTCCAAGGCCGCAGTCACCATGGTCCCGAAAGGCATATCGAAATCCAAAGCAGTCACGATATCCGTATGTCCAGCAAGCTCCTTGATCTTAGAACCAGGCTCCAGGTGTTCATGTAGGACAGGCATAGAGATCCGTCGGTGAGTTTTCCGTTTCCTTCCAGTCTTGGGAGATCGTGATGGCAGCTTTTCGTAGATAGACTCCGACATAAACCCAGGAGAACCCTCGTTGCTGTGTTCCGAGTCAGGAGCGACCGGCGTTACTGGAGACTTTTGTGATAGAGCGGCCTGGTCCTCAAGCTCCTCCTGCATATCCTCCAGCTTGTTTTCCACGTCATTCAACTCGTGCTCAACCTCCGCCTCCTCGTCCTCCAATCCTGCAAGCCTATCGAGGACTATCTTGCGCATGGTGTTGAGGTTGTAAATTTTGTTGTCAATCTCCCGAATCTCTGCGCTGCACATGTTTTTCCGCACGCTCATCATTTCCAGGCGATGGGCCAAAGACGCCTTCTCATTCTTCAGCTTTTGCAGTGACGGCGGCACATTCTCCTCGTCAGTGTCATGCCCGCCAATCAAACGCTGCCCTTTTGAGTTATGACGCGGTCCGTGCCTCTTTTTTTGTGCTTTTTCTTCCTCGGGCAGGGTGGCTTGAAAGCCTTCGAAAAGCGAGTATGTCGGATTAGATTCTGGTATGTCGGCAAGGAGTTCGTCGGGGAGGTAGGTCAGGGCGCGTTGTTGGATCTCAGAAACAGACAGTTTTGAGCGCACGAGTTCTCTTGGTGTAGCCTGTGCGAGGTTGAAGACAGACCGTTGTATGCCGGGCCGCCGTAGCTCACGGTGGATTTCGCCGAGAGCATTGTGGTAATGCTGGCTGACGCCGGCATCTCCTAGCGGGCCGATGAGGTGGTTTGCGGTCGCGGTGACTTTCCGCCCAAAAGCTTCTAGATGTCGGGACTGCGGCGACGTTAGACAAGCAACACGCGCAATTGGCTCTGGCCGCAGAACACATACGGTCGAGCCGAAGTCGTCTTCGTCGTCAAAGTCCTCAGAAAGCGCTCTGGGGCGCGGACCCGCCCTGCCCCGGGGTTCGCGATCCCCAGCGGCGGTGTTTGCCATGGATGGCGGTGGGATGGGTGCTCAAAGGACACGCGGTGGCGATATGCTGCGGACTCAAAAGGCGGCAGACATGGCTCTTCTCGTGGTCGCGGAACAGATGTGGGGAGGCCACGTAGGCGCCTGGCGTATGCGGGGGGGCGTGGTGTGGTGTTTGAAAAGAGTGTAGCTGGCAAGCCGTCAAGCTGCACTCATCCCGGCCTCGGTCCCGGCTGCCGCACTCGTGCGCGCGCGACTCGGCGCGGCCACCGCGCAACAACATACACGCCAGTCATGGTCGGCGGCGACTCGACGACATCCTCCGCGCCCGGCCGCTGCTTCTCCCAAACATGGATACCGCCGTGGGCCTGACCAGCGCCGACCAGGTCTTGGACCTCGCCAACATTCGCTCGACTTTGATGTGTGTAAAATCCCCCGCAGTTCGAGCAATCGCAGCCACGCCAACCCGACACCCCGCGGCTCGCTAACCCGCGTTTGCAGCCGTCTGGAGGACACCATCACCGTCTACCTCATTGAGCGCGTGCAATTCCCGCTCAACCGTTCCATCTACCAGCCCGGCGCAATCCAGGTCCCCGACAGCCCGCTGAGTTTCTTGGACTGGCTCCTCTGCGAGCAGGAGAAGATCCACTCGCGCGTCCGCCGCTACCAAGCCCCGGATGAGTACCCTTTCTTCCCCGAAGCTCTGCTCTCGCCAATCCTCAAGCCCCTGGACTACCCGCCCGTCCTTCATCCCAATGATGTCAACGTCAACAACAAATTGAAAGAGATTTACATCAACAACATTCTTCCTGCTGCCTGCGCACAGGCCGACGGCAATGAGTCAAGCCAGCACTATGGCTCTACGGCAGTGAATGACATTGCTTGCTTGCAAGCGCTGTCGCGCCGTATCCACTACGGCAAATTCGTCGCCGAAGCCAAGTTCAGGAAGGAGACGGACCGTTTTGTGAAGCTCATCAAGGCAGAAGACCGGAAGGGGATCGACGAGGCCATCACCGATGCTGCTGTGGAGAAAAAGGTCTTGGAGAGACTCCACAAGAAGGCTACCAACTACGGAAATGACCCTGAAAACCCCACTGCCGCGCCTCCCAAGATCAATGTGGATGCTGTCGTGGGGATGTACAAGGTGAGCCACGATTCGGAAATTAAACATAAATCAATCACTAACAGTTGCAAAAGGACTATGTCATACCGCTTACGAAGGATGTCGAGGTGGAGTACCTGATGCAACGCCTGAGAGGCACTCAATGGGAGTAGAGGGCGGGCATGAGTGCTGAGTTCACGCTGCTTTGTCATAGACAAAGATGAAAGCCGCAAAGAACATGCAGGCTCTTCTGCCACAGCGAATACCTGAACATTGTTGAAGAGGCATTATTATTGGCAGAGGATGCAAAAGAAAAACAATATCAAGCAAATACCAATATGAAACAGAATTGCCCAAGGGAATACCGAGGCAAATCAACGAGCTCTTCATCTTCCAGGTACTATTGAACAGCCGAGCACGAAATATACTAGTAAAAAGGGGGAAATGGTTGTATTTGGCTTATTTTTGGCGACCAAATAGCGGGCAGCAAGGCCTAAACAGCTTGTTCATTCGCAAGATGGCGGTTTGAGTGCATACCGGGCCGGCCTGGAATTCATTCTCGACCGCCTGTCAGGCATAGGAACTCGTGACACGCCGTAGTAAGGTCGTTGTGGAAGCACACGGAATTTAGAAGCACCCTGCACCGCCACACTGCGTCATTTGCCCTTGTCATGCGCTAGTTACCTACCCCAGACATCTACCTGCAAGGCACCACTAACGACCTCTACACCACCACACAAAATACATAGTCTGCGCAGAGAGCTCGTTGTCATGTGCGGCACCGACATATTCCTCGCCATTCTGGCCATCCTCTTCCCACCCGTCGCGGGTAAGTCTTCCAACGAACAGCCCCGCCGCCGCAACCGCGCACAGGCACCGACGTTCACATCATCAGCTCACCCGCCACATTCCTCTCGCGCTCCCAAGATCTCCACTTCTATGCTTTTGCAAGCTCTCAGGACTAACTCTCGCCGTTGTATACAGTCTGGGTCAAGCGCGGAGTCTGCAGCGCCGACTCGCTCATCAACATCGCCCTCTGCTGCCTAGGCCTCCTCCCCGGCCTCGTGCACGCCTGGTACATCATCTGGTCGCACCCAGACCGCGACGAGTACGAGCGCGTCGCCGACTCGGAGAACGGCAACGTCACCTACTACTACGTCGCGCACACCGACGGCAGCGGCCCCCGCCGCCCGCCGCGAGGCAATAACAACACCCGGCAAGAACAGTACCGCAGCCACCCCGCTGGCCCGAGCTACGGCGCGGTCCCGAACCAGCAATTCCACGGACAGCAGACCGGTCTCGAAAACCCCTGGGCGGAGGAGGGGAGGTCGGCGACGAAGCAGGGTAGTAGCGCACCGCCGCCGCCACCTTCGCGGGGACCGCAGCCTGGCGATAGTGGTGAGGGAAGTGCGAGCCAACCTCCGCCGACGTATGCGGAGGCCGTCAGGGGTGATCACAAGGTTCAGACGTAGGACTAAGTGCAGTCGCAAGCGGCAGATCCAATGGCGTGGAGCCGATGACAGTGGCAGGTGGCGTGTGCGGTTCAGCTCTGGCGACGGGGTAGGAGTTCTTTAGGGCGTTGATTCAAGCTGTTTGAAACGAACTGCTGTTTTATCTGTTTAATTTCCACTGAGCACCCTTTCAACTCCTGCCGTTCCTTGGCGGTTAAATCATATACCATACTTCTGAATTGAAACAGAACCAGGGAGCCGAATCCCTCTTATCTGGGTGCATTTGCCACATTTATATCATGCGTTCATGTGCGGATGGATGCCCCTCTGTTGGCATACTAATGGAATCGGTCTCGTCCATTATCTCCGCCTAAGACATGTGCAAACAAAGAGAATGTTTCCTTGTGCCCTACATAAACTCATTTTGATGCCCCTGGTCGTAACCGTCTCCTCTTTAGGCCCCTGACTGTTTTGTATTGGGGTTCATATCTTTGAAATAGCTCCGAATTTCGGAACAGTGGGTATCTGATCGTACTTGGCCACACAGCCCATCCGAGAAAATAGACGTCAGCAACTCCGTGCTACCGTGTAGACACTGGTCTTGTTCTGTTGTCACCTTACGGCCTCTCAAAAACAGTAACAGAAGTAGGCATTCCCGGCTCCAGCTTGATGTTCTGCAAGACCTCCAAGGTATTCTCCCAAGGCACATTGAAAAGCCCAGAGTTGATCTTGCAAATGCGCAGTTCGCCGATCTCGCTCGTCTTGCTTGCTTCAGCAATCTGCTTTAGCAAATCCTCCATAGCTGGACCAGTGTTGTCCAATATGACGTTTGGTGAGTCTTTCTTCTTGCCGAAGTACACACTGGTGAACAGGCAGCCAATATAGTGGCGATGTTCTTGACCGTCTGTAGGTGAGATCAGCTGTGCAGTCGCAATCTTGGCTTTGCCATTTGGGCCGTGTTTGCAGAATTCCCTGTGAATCTTGTAGGCTGAAGGATAGTGTTTTTTGAAGGCAGCGGCGATGCCCGCACCCCAGTCACCGATGCAGTTGCAGGCATGTATAAGCACGGCGTTGGGTGGAGCGTCGAAAATGTCGCCAACAACTTCTTTCACGCTGAGAGTGCGCCGTTCTGCGGGAAGGTTGCTTTGAATGCTCCGAGAGGCTCCTAGGAGGTCAGGTTCATTGTCGTAAGCACCGACTTGCTGTGAAGCCGTCTTCGGCGGCATTTTTGGCGGAAAGGTTGTGAACTGGGAAAGCCTGGGGCTGGCCCGGAGGTGGTACGTGAGAGTTAGAGAGTTTGCACGATGGCAGTGCGCGAATACCCTTTTGCTGGGAGGGGCAATCATGTGGTGAAGCGGCAATGATTAAATCAGGCGAGTTGGGGCTCCTGGGCTCCCGTCGAGCCGGAGCAGATGTCGAGGGGCCCGTGCGCGCCGACCAATGAGAGGTTGCTCGATCAGCGCTCGGCCGGGAGAAATCGCAACCTCTTGCCATTGACACCATTGAACCTCGACCTCGAGCGTCGCATCCCCATCCTCCGCACCACCCGCCTCCATCCAACCCCGCCCGCCTCTCCGCTCAACCACCATGCCGGCACTCACCACAACCGCCAGCTCGCTGGCCCGGTCCGTTGCGCGCTCGCAATTGCCTGCTGTGCGCGCCGCCGCCGCAACCGCCGTGCAAGCCCGCCCTGCCTCGTCGGCCTCCTTCGAGAACCCCTTCAAGGGCGCCCAGAAGACCACCAGCATCCCCACCACCGCCTGGAAGAAGTACCGCTCAAGCAGTGGCGAGACCGGCAACAAGGTCTTCCAGTACTTCATGGTTGGCTCTATGGGTGCGCTGTCCGCCATGGGCGCGAAGAACACCGTGCAAGGTCGGTAGCACTCCTGCATCAGAAGATGGATACCTGGGAGCGATATACCATGGATTGGGACGATGGCGCACTGCATTGGAGCTGTGGCTAATCTGGCACCTGTCAGACTTCCTTGTCAACATGTCGGCCTCCGCCGATGTCCTGGCTCAGGCTAAGGTTGAGATCGACCTCGAGGCCATCCCCGAGGGCAAGAACGTAAGTGTGGCGAGTATGTTCGTCAGGAGCATCAGTTGTTGAGCCATCGCGCAGGTCATCATCAAGTGGAGAGGCAAGCCCGTCTTCATCCGCCACCGTACCAGCGACGAGATTTCCGAGGCCGAGAGCACCAAGTGGGAGTCTCTTCGGGACCCCCAGCCCGACAGCGACCGTGTGCAGAAGCCCGAGTGGTTGATCATGCTTGGTACGTGAACCGATAATCGGAGCCTGACGGCTGAATCCTCCGAAAATTTTGGAACGACGGCCTACTAACGACATTGTTCGCCCATCAGGTGTCTGCACCCACCTTGGTTGTGTCCCCATCGGCGAGGCTGGCGACTTCGGCGGTTGGTTCTGCCCCTGCCACGGTTCCCACTACGATATCTCCGGCCGTATCCGCAAGGGTCCCGCTCCGCTCAACCTTGAGGTTCCCGAGTACAGCTTCCCTGAGGAGGGCAAGGTCGTCATCGGTTAGAAGGAGTTCTCTGGCGAGGCGTGATTTCACAAGCATGTAGACGGAGGGAGACGAAGACTTGTGTTGATAGCTGGGATGAAAGAGGCCACCCAGCCTTGGTCGTTATGCTTCTGCTACTCTTCTCCTTGGCAAAATAGAGCGAGGAGGAGTGCGAAGGTTGCATTTGTATAGTCATATCACTTTTTCCTTTGTTGGCGCGCATTTATTCATGTGAGATCCCCAAAGAATGTACAAGACGAGTTACTAGCACATTAATGGCTCAATTAGACTCGAGATCGCGACAAAATGCACGCAGGCCATGGCGAATTTTGGTGAGAATACTGCAGTATCTTGCTCCAGAGAAGTCGACCTGGCGCGGGCCAGCCTTAAAGACAACATGAGATGAGGAATACACCGACTAGACGCAGTATATTGCGCGTCAGGCTCGCGGCCAATCAGGTCGCGGCAGCACCCCGCGCTAAAGAATTTCAGGCAGTGGCCATAACCACATCTTGCGGTCTGCTCCACTCGACCTTCGAAGACCGAGCCCTTCACTTCCTACACCTTGAAAGCGAGACGCAGGCTTGCCTACCATGGTCTATTACTTCACCAGCAACGTCGTGTCGCCGCCGGCGTTCATCTACGTTGGCAAAGACAAAGTTGAGAGTACGTCGCTTGCAACGGCCAGCGTGACTTGTGACGAACGTTTCGGATGTCGCTGACCGGAATTCTATTGAATAGACGAGGAGCTGATCAAGTTCGGTTGGGAAGAGGATGTGTGGTGAGTTTTTGCTGCTTTCTTGTATCTGCGTTGGTCGCTTCTGACCCTGTCCGCTGTCTTTGCTTGTGCTTTACTACTTTATGCATCTAATAGTGGGGAATGGACTGACATTCCTTAGGGTACGTCATACCTGATGATCGCGCAGTCTATTCGTCTGAGACGCTTGGTGCCAACATCGTTGAATTCTCAGTTTCACGTCGACAACCTTTCCAGCGCGCACATTTACGTCCGTCTCCGTGAGGGCGAGACCTGGGACAGCATTCCCGAAGAGCTATTGAAGGACTGCGCACAGCTGACCAAGGCCAACTCGATTGAGGGTAACATTCTCCCCGTTTTTTACGATATATTTCTGCGGCAACATTCACTAAGTCTCGCAGGTAACAAGAAGAACAACATCACTGTTATCTACACGCCATGGTCCAACCTGAAGAAGGATGGCAGCATGGCAGTTGGCCAGGTTGGTTTCAAGGATAACAAGAAGGTCAAGCGCATCCACGTTGTAGAGCGCGAGAACCCCATCGTCAACCGTCTCAACAAGACCAAAGTTGAGAAGTTCCCAGACTTGCGCCAGGAAAGGGAGGATAGACAGCAAGAGCTCAGGAAGAAGGACCGCGCGACGCAACAGGAGCGGGTGAGTCTATGCTTCCTCAACCTACTTTGGGCGCTCTCGCCAGGCCCTGATCAAACGCCTTACTAATCCGCTTCGGCCGATCTAGAAAAAGGAGGAAGCCCGTATTGCCAAGGAGCGCAAGGAACTGGCATGGCAGAGAGATCATGCTTACGATGACGTCCACTCGGAAGACCTGGTGGCGCAATCGAGCAACCAGGACCGGGATGAGGATTTCCTCGATGACTTCATGTAGTCGATAAGCTCCTTCGAACGGATACTATCCGGAAACACTCTCAGAAGGCTAAATACCGCTGAACATGCGCTTGTGCCACACTGCAAGTGAAGTGAGCTCGGTAAACTACTGGATGCACATGCCCATTGCCTCGTTCAGCATCCGGATTTTGTGGTAGAAAGGATCGTATATTGTCCTTGCGATTCTGATCTCGTCTTTGCTCCTGTTTCGGGCGTCAACCAACAGCATCCACCGTGTAGTGGAATAAGGATCGCACCTGGAGGGCTTCCAAGTGTTCAAGTAGCGGTCACTACGTTTCCAGGAATGCTCCTGCCACCATACATGTAACAGCCGCTTGACTATGCGGTGCTCAAGTCCCTTCTCTCTTGTTGCGCCGCGGAGGAATTCAACGGTGTTGTCAATGCGGCGCTGGTCGAAGGATGCACGGTCGTTTGTGCGGAAGAGGCGTCGCAGTCGGTCGCGAACGGTGAAGCGCGCGGGCTGCGAGTACTGCACGGCGCGGAGACTCCAAGTGTAGAGGTGTCGGTAGGCGCGCAGGATGTCGCGGTCGGCAGGCGACATTGCGCGAGTTAGAGACAGCTAGGTCGCGGTTGAGGAGCTTCCAGCGCGGGTCCGCCCTGCGACTTCATACCGGAATTAGGCCGCGCCGTAGCGTCCGTGCACGGCCAGTTGCGACCCGATAGTCTACACTCGCCCGCCGCACTTTCGTCTCACCTCCACACCTCTACGCTTGCACGCTTTTGTTCGCTCGCCACCGCGCGACTGGCCCCGCCGCTCACTGCTTACTCCGAGCGCGCGTAGTTGTCGACTGCTCTACAACGAGCTCTCTGTCGTGTGCCTTGCCCACTAACCTCAACCAGCAGCATCCTTGCCCAAGGCGGCATGCCGTTGGAGCTGGAAACTCACCATCATGGGAAGAATTCGTAGTCGCGCCTCGTCGGCGCACCCGGCAGATCTCTCAGCCCTATCCCCGGCAAAGCAGCAGCCGCACAAGCGCCGGAAGAAGAACGCCTACAAGGTCGTTCTCGAGTCTGTGACCCAGAAGAGAAAGAAGCTCCGTTTGACCGTCCGTCTTTTCATTTCCACTCCTCGTGCTCCCGCGCAATCTGATCTTGTCATTATCTAGGCCACCTTTGACCAGCAAGCTCCGCCTGGCTACACCTTCATCGGCTTTGGAAACGCAAAACTCACAGCGCAGTGCAAAGAGTTCTGTCGTAAGCGTGGCGAGCTGGCTTACTCTGTTTCCGTAAGGATTCCGCCTTGACCTGCAAATAGCTTGTTGACACGCGAAGGCGCCCCCGAAAAACAATGCCACAGCCGATCCGGAAAAGATCTCGTTCCACGTGAATAGGCTAGGCTTCTACTTTCCAAATAAGATTGTCGACCTGGCTATGGAGTGGCTTGGCATTCAGGTCAACGGTGCCCGGCCGCGATCCCAAAACGGCTCAGGCTTTACTCGAGGCCTGGGCCGCAGACTCAAGCAACACACCAACCTGAGCGAAGAGGACCAAGTTCGAGCAGCTATGAGAGACTTGTTCCCAAAGATGCCCGAGGACTCGCTCGAAGCTATCGTCGAGCATGCATTTGCTGAAGTATGAGCCTCCATCTTTGTAAGTCCACCGATCACTGACCTGTCTTGCCAGGGTGCCAAAAGGGTAGGTAACGCGACAAATCTCTCCTTGGAGCGACGCGTGCAGATGGCGGTGCTCGCACACGTGAGGCACAAGCACACCGAGTACGACAAACTACTCAAAGAAGTTGGTTATATTCAAGCGCGCAAAGCCGTGGAAAACCCATGCATCGAGAAGATTCTCACATGGCGCGGCGAAAACCTCAATGAGGATGATGATGTTGTCGAGATGGAAGACGACTTTCGGGAAGTCATCGTCCTAGATGACAGCGATGCTAGTGACGGGGAAGATGATGGCGCGGACTCTGATTCGGAGTCGAGTGTGGATTATGCACCAGCTCCGAATGTCCGCCCATCAGCCGGAAACATGCCTCGTGGTCGTCTTCCAATGGCTAGCACACATGCTACTACAGCACCTAGACCTAGGTCACTCGTTGAGCCGCTGTCTTCGCCTAGACTTGGCTATGATCGGCTGCACGAAAGACCCATGTCCTACGTTACTACTTATCACCAGGAAGCAGCGCCATTAAGAGCAACCCCCCGTGGCATTGTCCTACCTCGCACACAGCAGGCATATGATCCTTACATACGGTGTGTCTGGCACCCTCAAGGACAGCTTGGTTATGAGTCGCACTTTTCTGACCTTTCTAGCAGTAATGTACCTCACGAGCTGCCTTACCGTGAAAGAATCCACGAATCAGGTGGACACCATCATGCCGAGGTGAGTGGGTTTAGCTCGTACCAGTAGTACAGCTTTCAGGCTGCGTATTTGTGCGGAATTTCCTGCTCACAAGCGGTACTTACAACAGCCTTTTATCCATGGCCGCAACACGGAGCAGGGCCCTCATGATGAAGTCCCACTGGTTAGGGCTGCTAGGTATGCTGCAGAGCCCCTTCGTGGACAGCATGCTTCTCGTTCCTACGCCAATTGGCGCCTGCCTCCAGCAGAAAGCTATAGATCTCATATGGTTGACAGAGCTGAACATGGTCCGCGCCACCATGGCGAGCCCCGCCCCGAGGATGTGGTCGTTCCTTCTATAGAGAGGGATGAGCCAAGTTCCGCCCCTCCGACAATGGGCAATGGACCACCCCGCTATATCTCACATCAAGAGCGGTCCCTCATGCAGGAGCCTCCTATGCAGGAGCGGGCAGGCCCTCAGCCATATCGAACAAGGCAAGCTGCGGATGAACAATCCAGGCGCATACCGCAAGGAGCAGTCATAGATTTGACAGACAGCCCAGGAAATGCTCCCAGGGATTTTCATGTTGGTGGTCGTCAGCCCGTTACTGTGGAATCTCTTGATATTGGAAGCGTGCAGCACAACAGCCTTCCCATTGATGAGAGGTATCGCAGTCGTCGCCAAATGGAGCATGATGCCAATTTCAACGCCAGAACGGTAGGGAACAATACGCCACCCCTATCCCATCATCCCAACCTTCCAAGGCAAATGGAAAGTCGCCGTCAGCTCGAGACTGTTTCGCAAGTCAGTCCTCACAATACACCGAGCAGTTTACAGCAACCGAGCCTCACCAGCGGTGTTCTATCAAATGCCCCTGTATCCTTGCATCACAATGCTGACCAACAGGCCCCTAAGCAATCAGTTCCCTCGAAGCGTTGGTCTGGCGACTTCCTGCCAGACCAACTCGATGGACACGATGATCGACCTTCATATCCTGCCCGCAGAAGGGTTGATGAAGGACCTTTGGGTCCCGGTCGCATGGTAGGCACAATCGACTCTCCAGGTCCATCGCAAAGGCCTCGTATTTCAGTTATGCCAGAACATCTGGTTACCAGCTCTCGTGCAGGACGGGACTACTACATGGCCCCGAGCCCAACTCGCATGAGAAGTGCGCGCGCATACGACCACATCGGCACAACTGGTATCCGGATGCAGCCCAACAACGGTTATGATTATCGGGCGTCACCCCGTACCCATTACTATGACTACCGGCCCGCAAATGGAGATTCTTACCGTTGAGCCTGGACGGTTTCCCTGTTCAGTACAATTATATTGTCAGTCCCATGTCAGGCGTTCGTCGCTCTCGCCCAGCTAATCCCAACGGATGCGCTTTGAGAAGCCCAAGACAACACATCACGATAGCTTGGTGAGATTATAGCCCGACTCCACGTTATCAGTGGGGGTCTGAGATCAGACTGATTGAACTTTGCTATTACAACAGATACCTTGCATAGTTGGCACGACGAGCGATCAATCAACTTGCACAACATTTGCTTGCATTCAAAGCAGCCACTTCTGGGCCTTTTTCTATTGAAAAAAAAAAGCCAAGTTCGGGAAGGTGGCACAGAGAAAGTATCGGAGTGGAAATCAACTGTACCTAAAGATCAGGAACGATTTCAGGTCAGACGTAGCCTCAACGAGTGCTGCCCTTCTCTTACCCTCGGGGAATTGGAGGAACGAAAGGCAAGCATACGAGCGGCAGCACTGTGCTTCAACTTAGCCACTGCTTCGCTCAGCCCACCGCCATTGCACAAGTCCCCGGCTATAGCTGGAGAAAGGAGTAGTATCGAAGTCGAGCATACGGCATGCACAATCAAATATCAAAGCACACAAGATCCATTACAAACAAGATTAAGAGTACTGGAACACTCATGGCGGACACTGATGTTCATGTTTGGACACAGTCCCATTGTTTTCACGCATTGGTTTTTTACACGGTGTCGTTGTATTACTTCCTGGCCTGAATTAAAACCTCGTCTCCTAACTTTTAGAATCGTAACTCTCCACCCACCTTTGCTCGCGAACACTTACAGCTTCACGAAGAAATTCGCCAACTCTTACACAACCGTCATTAGTGGTGAGTCTATACTGCTCACTATTGAAGACAACATCCCACGACCGCAAGACCTTAACGGAATGTCACAAGAGACTCCAAAGTATGGCTGATTCGTTGGATCCAACTAAGGAACAGTTCCTTGCTTATGGAATTGAGCAGATTTCAGAGGAAGAATTTCTCAAATCCAAGTCCGACCCGAACGCACCTGATGGCAGGGCCGCCTGTGCCATATGCCTTGAGGAATACTCTTACGAAGGCGGTACAGACACGGAACGTCCTGTCCGCATACTCGCCTGTTCGCATTGGGTTGGAAGCACATGCATTCAACTTATCCTAGGTAACCAATGCCCCTTTTGCCGCGCACGCCTCTTTAAGAAAGAGGAGGGAAAAGAGCCAAGTCCGGACATCGACATTACGGTCGACTGGGCGTCGGATACTGACGATACTGAAAGCTCCCTCTCCGACATCGACGACGACACCAACTGGATCAGGCGTATCCGGCTTGCGAACGCTAGTCTGGCGAGGTATCTCAACCACCTTCACACCGCGAACGGTCGTACTACGAACGAGCGACAGGCCGCGTGGCACGCATGGGATGTGGACTGGCATCGGACGGTCTCAGCCCACCAAGCTCGGGCGACGACGCGCCGCATCGCCGTGCTGCCCACCACCACCGCCCACGACTCCCGCGACTACGCCCTCATCCCGGCCTTCGAGCTCGCGTGCCCGCGCGACGTGGCGCCGCTGGCACCCGTCGACCCGCGCCGCTGGTGCGGCATCTGGCTGTCGGTGCGGCCCGAGGCCATCGAGTTCAACCTGGACTCCGCCTTCAACTCGTTCCGCGCACTCGGCATGCTCAAGCCGCCCGCACAGGAGGGCGACCCGCTCAGCGGCGCCACGACGGAGAGGGACGACTGGGAAAACTTGTTCCAGCTCGCCATTGACGAGGTCGTGGTGTGGTGTCTCGAGCACGACAGGGAGTTTTGGCGCGCGGAGGAGCTGGAGCAACGGTGGAAGACGAGGGCCGTTGATGCCATTTTGAGGGGCGGCGACGGCGGCTGGAACCCTCCGCCCCAGGGCCTGGAGCGTGCGGTGGACGCGTTGATCGAGTTTGTGGTTGGATGGAGGGTGTTGAGGGAGGTGGAGGTTTGGGAGGAGCTGGTCAGCGATGGTGGGGGAGACGGGGACTTGCTTGGCGTTTGAGTCGGACTATGCTTTTGTTCTCGTCTTTCTTTGTCTTTTTTTCGCTGGAGTTAAGCTCATCCTTTTTTTTTTTGTTACTTCTGAATAATAGTTCGTAGAGCCTGCTGGTCAGGCTGAAAATATCGAAAACTGTTTTGACCATCTGAGAGATGAAGATATTGTGATTATCACATGCGTTTGCCTTGATACTTGGGGGGTATGGCTTGACTAAGGCAGCTCCCTGCATATCAGTGGCTGACCGATGGCTTGTTCTTTGTCTAGATATTGTTTGCGTCCCTTCGGATTCGAGCACGCGCCGTCCATTCGGATTCGGATCCTGTTATGTCGACGCTGCATAACAGTGGTCCCTACATTGAGGCGCTACCGAGAGAAGATCGTAAATGGATCGACAGGTAGTTGCTGATCAGGTATACGTAGTCTCAATTCCATGGTCGAGTTCGGGGAATTTGAAGCTACACCAGATTGGGGATGATCAACGGAAGGAATCTGACGGGTGACCCGTCAACGGACCGCTCTAGCAACAGGACCTTCGAAGTGGAAATGCGGTCTGCTAAATATAGGGCATGCGATATAAGAGATTGAAGATCAGATAAGTGAATGGAGTAGGATGGTCGAAAAGGTGCGAGCATCACGGCCTTGAGGACGGCCAGCACGCAACGCGAGAAGACTGATGATCCCCGCGAAGACACCGAAGAGCCGCTGTGCCGCGGCTACTCACGCACCACGGCCCAGCCCTTCTCAGGCCTAGGTCGGCATCGATTTCTATTGCATATTTGCACAGCACGCGCCAGTTCTGGACCAGTACGGCTTACGAAGATCGACGCCCTTCACAATAATGCATCGTTCGACGCCACGACTCTCCCCCTTCGCCCTATCATCTCTGCAGCGTCTTGGCAAAGTTTCGGATTTTCCGTGATGTTACCAAAAAAAATCTCTGCGGGTAGTCTTTGAGCCGACATGGGGAAGGGAGTCGTCGGCTGTCCAGTGCGCACGAACGTACTTCCAGATCAGGACTACAACGGAAAGGAGGACATGGGGGAGCGAGAGACAGCTACAGCGCCCGTCGCGCGAAAACCCCCCCTACGGAATTCCAAAAACAACAATCAAAGCACTCACTAACAGCTTGCGCCCATAGGCCGGCATAAGCAGCCGAGACGAGCAGGTGCGATTCTTTCAGCTTGCGCCCACACACCTGTACCATGCCGCTTCTCGTTCAGCTCGATGCAGCGAGCAGAGATCCCTGGTCAAAGTCCTCAGCCCAACTTCACCGCTCAAACAGGCATACATACGTGCACCGCCTTCTCACCACGAAGCTCCAGGAGGATGCGAGATGCTTACCCTCTCTGCCCTGCATAAGTATTACAGTTTCTACGGCGCCCATTTTATTTTATTTTTTCGACTTCGCGCCCTCCTGGTCCCTTCTTTCCCATTCCCGCCGCGTTTCACACCCAGCCCAAAGCAAGCGCCGGCGCGCCGCCGTCGTCACGCTAGGCTCCGCATCGTACCGCGCCGCGCCGCACCATCCAGTCGGACGCGGTGACGCGTTAAGGTGCCAGAAGCCCACCCCGTAAATAATGTACGGTGACGACTAGCGTGGTGGCATTGCGGGCGGATCAGAGCCCTTCTGCACACATCCGGTTGTAGGTACGAAACTTTCATCAGCCGCGCTTTCCCGGCTAATGCGTAGCCACAAAAATGCGGAGGTCCCGGCGGCGGCGGCGCCCCTCCCCCACTCCATCGTCGCGATACATGTGCTTTGTTGCTTTCTCAAACGATAGCGCGGTGCTCGGTTGCCCCCTATCATCTACGATATAGGTATACTCCAGATGATGGGGCTGCTGGTTCTCCAACCGAAGAGGGAGAAGCCCCGGATGGTGCGTCAGCACTAAGCGCATGGCGTGGCTGTCGTCATGCAGGTTCGATCGCGCTTGTGTTTCTCTGCCCTTGTGCAGGTACGTAGGTGTATCTGCCCGTACCGGATACGTGACGCTGGGTCTTGAAGAAGCTTTTTGCGAAAGTAAATGAACAGATCATGAGGGGAAAGTGAAAAGGGAAGAGTGACAGAAATTGATGCCCAAGTTCAAGGACGTCAGACATCAAACCAAGATCTGTTGGCCAACCACCTGATCTTGGCCTGATATTTCCATTTTCTTTTTTTTTCTCGGTGGCTTAACTTTCAAACCTACGCGCGCGTGCATCTCGTAGCGCTCTCTGGTTTCGGCCAACACCGCTCGGCTCTCTGACCTATGCTGTCCAGTCCGCCGGCAATTACGTGTGGTAGGTAGTGAATGCAGGATTTACTTGATACTCATTCAAGCGGGTCGGAAAGAGCGGATTCGCCGACGCTGGGTATAGGAGAAACGATGGAGAGTGCCAAAGATAGGAAAGGGGATTTGAAGAAAAAAAAATAAATGGAGAGAAAGGCGGAATCGAGACGAAGTATGGTGCAGGGGCAGGGGAGTATGGGGGTAGAATGGGATACAGAATGCAGGGGGCGGGAGCAAGAATTGAGGAACTAAGAACGCTTGACCCTGTTTGAAGGGAGGCGAAGCTTGCCGCACGAGTCGCACTGGACGTTAGCAAGCAATTCCGGTGGGATGATTCGGTGGGAGTGAAAGAGGAGTAAGCTCTCCGTCTCGGCAGTCAGGTACCATCAAGGCGCTCCCGGTTATTTGGTAACAAGTTTGTTATTCATTGTGATTTGCCGCACTTTGGCTCGCGTGGCGGTGGGCTAGTGCGTCGCGTCGCGGCTCGCATTTTGGTGTTTGTATGTAAGCTACTCGAACGCGGCGGTATGTGTTGGTGCCTGGCGCTCGCTTGGCGACGGAGAGTTTCTTTGCTTTTTCCACTATCCGCAGATCTAACTCGATGCCCATGCGATGCGGTGTAACCAAGTGTGGACAAGCATATGGGGTTGCCGCTTTCCGGATCCGGTCACGATTGCGGAGATTCATGGTGCGTTGACTGGCTCACCAAATTCCTGCCCCTGGCGAGCAAGAATTGTGTATTGACTGGCACGCAGCCTCGAAAGATCTGGCTCCGTCGCCGACAGAGCCGCATTGCGTTGCGGACGTAAGCGAGCGCACAAGTCCGTTGGCACGGCGCTGGGTCCGGTGGAGATGGGTTCCCCCTTCGTCATGCTGCGCAACGCATGCACCCGACGTGCCTCGCTCTGTTATTTTCCATTTGTAGGTTGCACGACTGCATCTGTCATTGCGAGCGATCATGGCGCACCGGCCTGGCGGATTTCTTCACCATTCTTCAGGGTCCTCAGGGGCCAGGGGCCGACCTGGGCCGGGGGCCAAAAGCGAAGGCGGTGGTGGCTGCGGGCATTGTCGTCAATAGCGCGCAACGCCGCTCTGCTGATCATCTCGTGATGTTGCTGCCAACGAGAGGGGGTGTTCGGGTGGGGAGGGGCGGGCGGCCGTTGGGTCGACGGAGCAATATAGCATCGGGCTCGGCCAAGTATAAGGGGCCGGGAATGGGAAATAACGGCAGTTGTCCCAAGGCAGAACAATTAAGCGTGGCTCAATTTTGCGGGAGCGGGAAGGGTACCAGCGGGAGTCGGAGCATGCCGTGCCAATAGAGGGTCGTTGCTGCATCTGTTTATACACGAGGCCCAGCGAGGCATGGATGCGACAGGCGCTGTATAGCGATGCAGCAGAGCGATGACGCCGGGAAGCGTAGGGAAGCGGGGGCGGGAGATCGGATAATGCTCCGACAGGCAGGTGAGTGGCTGAGCGCCAGCGCGGAAGCGGTGGCTTGGGCCCGGCATGCGGGAATGCGAGCTTTGCGCGTCAGCGGCTCCCAGCTGGCCGAAGGGCGGCCTAGCGTGCGGGATCCAGCACGGCGGACGGAGGATGCTGCCGCTTTGGGACCCTATGGATTTTCTGGTTCGCGGGTGTGCGCGGCTCCGCTGTGCTCTGACTGCCGCCGCCGCCCCGCCTGCCCGGAAGCCGGCGCCCTGACTCGAGCTCCACGAAACGCCACTGCAGCCGTGAAACATGCGAACAAGAGCCTCGCGCTCCTGCTGTAATGAAGCTGCGAGCAGTGTCAGAGCCTTGACGATCCTGCGCCTGTTGCGGCCTTCTGGAAGCCCGTTTCGCGCCCGCGCCGCTGGCGTATGCCCAGCCGTGTGCCCCGGCTAAACGCCAATGTCGCCCTCTGCCCACGATAGCCGTTGACTCGCAATTACCATAGGGCTGACTCTCATGATTCCACTCTGCTCACCGACCCGACAGCCGAGCGTGACGACTCGCGCCCTTGTTTGGAATTGCTGTTCTCGTCCGCGCTGCGACTCATGCGGCCGCAAGCCGTACTCGTTCACGCCTGTCGGATCCAGCGTCCTGTCCGGTGCTCGAGGCCGACGGTTGGCTTTCCTTTGCTCTTTCGTCCGAAACATGCAGTGCTGTGTCGCAGCTACGGATCCGATGTCGTGTGCTCCGCGGTGCTGAGTTCGACCCATGGTCCACGCGGTTCCCTGAGGCAGCCTCCCGCTCACGGATTGCATCGACGCCGTCAATCTCGCGACCGGTATGATCGGCGAATGCATACATCAGCCCTCGACGGCTGGCCGAGGGGCTTCGCACGAGGTGTCGCGCATCACCATTGCTCTTCATCAACTTCGAATACATCCGTAAATCCGACCGGACGAGGGAGCCCTGCAAGCGTGGGTGACTCGTGTTGTTCAGGCAAGTCCTCAGCCACACCGGGATGGACGAGGAGCCCGAAACAGCAACAGGGACTGCTGAATCAGGAGCTCGCGTCAGTCCTGAACCGTCTCACAGTCTGGCGCCACGACCTGGCCTTCCGGTCGACGGCCAGTTTCCCCACCATCCCGAAGGGAGCACCGAATAATCAGCCACATCATACGATCCGACATTGAAACCGCAGCGCACGGAAACCAGCGCTGAGATACTACGCGGTGCTACAATTTCGTGGTTGCTGCTTGCGCCTGGACCCCGGGCGCACACCCCTGTACGATCAGCTGGCAGTCTTTCGGCCCGGAGACGCAGCGCCAGCCAACAAGAGCTGAGGGCGCCTTCCCCACTGTATGGGTCGTTGGGTGAGCTGGTCAGAGTTCGCCCAGGCGGTCGGATACGGAGGCCGTGGGAATGGGTACTGCGCCCGGCATGGTGGATGAACTCAACAGCAACAGCAGAGCGCCAGATCCGGATGCGCCAGCCCAGAGCATCGTCGCAAACTCGCTACTGTGACGCGCTCAAGGTGGATTGCTCTCCACTGAGGCTTCGAGACGGCGCGCGGCACAGCGGCAAGCGCAGGCGAGGCAGAGCAGAGCGGGCCTGCGGCACAGCATCGAACCATGTCCATTTCGCTTCCCCGTCCTCGAAGCTCGTTCATCAAACCGCAAGCTCGACGACGGGCCTAGCTGAGAGCTTTCTTCCCTCTCTCCCTCTCTTTTTTCTTTTTTGTTTTTTTCTCCCGCCGCCTGGCCCTCGGGATCGCAGGCTGCAAGGGCATGGGCGTCGCGCACCTCCGCATCGTCACCAGGCGCGCACTTGTGGCTGCGCCAGGACGACGCGCACAGAAGCTGTGAGCTGGCAGCGCGTCCACCACGTCGACCGCGCTCCTCGCGCCAATTGTTGCCGGCGTGCGCACGCAAACGTCGCGGCGGCATGCCGGCAGTCAAAGAGGGCAAGCTGCGTGTCTTTGGATCAGCAGGCGTGCTTTGTGCTCGGTGTGCGGATGCATGATGAAACCGAGGCTAAGCTGCTGTCACTCGCTGCAGAATAGCAGCCGCCCTGGTGGCACAGGCAGAGCGGAGTGAGGAGAGTGCTGCTGGGGAGGACGGGCAGCGAAAGCCCCTGCCGAGAAGGGTCCTCACACCACTGGTCGAGATCTCGTGCGACTCGACAGGCTGCCCTTTGCGCGATGCCCGGGCAGGGAAGCCGGGGGGAGGGCGCGAAGGGAAAGCCGTCCGAGAGGCAGAGGCGCGACACTACGCCTAAGGCGGCGCGGCGACCGCGTGGTGCTGGGCAGGTCGCCCGAGGCCCAGAGCCTGCGCGGCGTAGGGTGCGCCTCGCCGCGGGCCGCGCGCGCTGGAGCTCCTGGCACCGCCCGGCGGACTGGTGAAGAGTCCTCTCTTTTGCCGGTGCTGGGGGCGGGCAGTGGGCGGAGAGCAGGGCAGCGCGCACCGTTGGATGATCGGCTGGGAAGAGCGTGGGTGCGTGCTTGAGGGCTGCGACTTGTGACGGCGGGTGCTGATGAGTGCACAAGTGGACCAGGGTAGGGATGCCTGCAATAAGTGGAGTCGCTCGCTTGTGCCAGCAGAGGTTGCGTTCCCGACAGCGTGGTTAGCGTGCCCGCTCCGAGCTTTGGGGCCTTAAATGGTCCAGCGCCCCATGCTTGCAAGAGCTGGACGGTGCTCGCCTGCGCAGCCTTGATAACCCACCACTCCCCTTCCGCGGCCGCACGAGGATCCACGACTCCTCGAGTCCGCGTCGAAAGGTCCCCTTGAGCCCGCCACCACTGAGGAATTGGCGAGTCTGTTTCTTCCATCGTGCCTGCCTGTTGTAAAGGAGCCTGCTTGCCTGCGTCGCCCCCGACGCCCTACTGCATGTCCGGATAGACCGCACCCCATCCATCATCCTAAACCATCCATCCTCGGACCCCACCACCCGCCCGCCCGGACACGGAACCGTCATCATGAGTACTCCCCCGGAGGAAATTCGCCAGGAGGCCCTTCACGAGCGCCGCCAGAGCATTGGCAAATATGTGAAGAGGCTCCGCACCGTCTTGAAGAGAGGCAACTCCAGCAAGGAACGCGTCCCCACCGTTGCGTCTTCCGCCGAGAAGAAGCCTGAGCCTGCTGCGTCGACGAGGTAAGCGCCTGCCGGCCCTGCCATTTGCTTCACTCCACTGACAGACCTAGCGCTGCCGAGCCCAAGCCCGAATCCAAGCCCGTCACCTCGACCACGGGCCAGGTCAGCTACCCGCGCAGTGCCGCCCAACAGGAGCGTGCGCGTGCACTCTTCGCCAAGTACGGCCTGACTCTGGAAGCCCACGAGTGGATTACCTCCGGCACGACCAACGAAAATGTCCAGCGTGTCGAGAAGCCCATCCGTATGCGTGTCCACCGCCAGTGCCACCGCTGCCAGACCACCTTCGGTGCCGACAGGGTCTGCCAGAAGTGCGAGCACACTCGCTGCAAGAAGTGCCCTCGCTACCCGGCCAAGAAAGAGAAGACCAAGGGCAAGGGAAAGGAGGGCGAGACTACTGCTACCGCTGCCGCCGCCGCCGCTGCCGCTACTCCGTCCGCTGCCAAGATCGCAACCAAGCCAGCCAAGAAGCAAGAGTACTTGACCATCAAGAGCCGTACCGGTGGTCCCGACTTGGAACGCCGTCCACCTAAACAGCGTGTCCGTCGTCACTGCCACAAGTGCCAAACCTTATTCATCCCCGCTACCGCTACCGTCTGCACCAATTGCCAACACACCCGTTGCACCAAGTGCCCTCGCGACCCGGCCAAGAAGAAGAAGTGGCCCGATGGCTACCCAGGAGACGTCCCCGGCTCGGACACGGAAACAGATGCTGAGGTCCTGCCTGCCCACCAACGGCCGGAGCGCGTCTGGCGCAAGCCACGCATGAGGATCAGGTGGAGCTGTGAACATTGCAATGCACTCTTCATGGAGAAAACCAAAACGTGTGCCGGCTGCGGGCATGAGCGCTGCCCAAGTTGCGTGAGGATTCCGTGAGTACTTCGTATCCAAATGGTTTGACATGGTTGCTGACGAACAACACAGTCCTAAGAAGGCCAAGAAGGAGCCCGACCCAGCCGTACTGCGTTCCGTCGAGGAGAAATTGGCCCGCTTCAAGATGGAGGAACATTTATCTGGAACGGAGTCGGCTGCCTGAACGCATGTTCCTACCCACACCTAGCATCACGAAAGCCCCCTATCATGATTGTGTTCTTGTTTACCGGCATCAATCGCGTATTCTATTCGAAGAGATGAGGCCTCGTTTTTTTTCGCTTCTGGATGACAACCATTCAATACCATTCGTCGCAGGGGAGGGTCTTGAGTTCGGATGAGTAAGACAAAGACTGTTGATAGGACTGGGGCCTTGCTCTTAGGGCGGGCCGCTACTTTTGCAATGCTATAATTTCGGCATGGCGAACACGTTTGATTGACCAGACCAGTGCTACACCCAACAGATGCTCACGACACAGGGGACCCTCGTCCGACACTGGCGACGTCATACTGCCCTCACACCACGCGACGTGTGCGCCCTCGCACCGCTCGGGCTAACCCCCGCAAGTTTTTGTCTGTTGAAAGTTGACCCGCAGCGGGCCGGATCCGGCAAGGCGGTGGTTTTTCGCGGCCTTGGTGGGTGCAACAATGGCGTTTCTTCCGTGCTACCGTGGCACTGGCGCTGGTTCGCTTGACGCAACGCACGACCAGCTCACCGTCTCTTCGAGCTGCAGGCAAAGCACGCCCACCCGCCCATCCCTTACCGCGCCGTCGGAATGCCAGCCATTTTCTCCGCCCACGCTCCAGCCGTTGGCGCAAAATAAAAAAGCGGGCTCGAGCCACCTCGTGGGATCATCCCAGCCGGGAAGGACAGGGGTATGGCTCCGAGGAGAGAGACTGCAGTTTTCTGGCAGGACGCAGCAAGGTGGCGAGCAGCGGCACGTACTGGGATTCGATCGGGTTCTGAAGTCGTCGCAAGATTGCCGGGAAGCAGGTGCGGGTAGCCGTGCAGTCGGTGGGCCCTGATCTCATCTCAGCATCACCATCAGCACCACGCTCACTCGCAGCTCCATCTTGGATGAGGAGGATGACGGCGTGACGAGAGTCGATGCGGCCAGACAGAAGTGAGAAAGGAAAAATCAAAGTGTGTGTGGTACCCCGCCCTGGCGCTCGCCTTGGAGCAGGACGTAGTGGACAAGTGCATGAGGGCCGCAGCGCGCCGCATCGGCACATCAGCAATGCAGCAGCAAGACATATTCTCTGTGCGACGGCCGGCGAGGCTCCATGGCCTGACAGGAAAGGGTTGTCGCATTGCATTTGGTGCCGCCGTCTCGCAGTTCGGCGTTGACACCGCACGCGCCACGTTGTCTCTGCTCACAAGACGTCTAACCCACGCTTCCTAAAACCAGCGGGGAGAAGTGGTACGATAGCCCATATAGCAGCCGGAAGACCGGGGGCAGAGGGGGGAAGGCGAATGGTGAGAGCGGTTGTACGCCGCTCATACGCGCATATGCGCACGCACAGCTTTGGAGCCATTGGCGTTGTGCGAGCCTGGCAGCCGCTGGCTGGCTGGCCCCGCCGGTGTCGGACGGAGACGCCCTGCCTGCTGCTTTGCTGCTTGCTGCTGCTGCTGCTGCTCGGCGGCAGGACCGCGGACGGATTGGACGGCTCAAATCTCCGCTGCCGCTCGGCTTCCAGCCTCTCGCCGTGCGGCGGGCGGCGTGACACAGAGAGGGCGAAGGGAGCGGGTGGATGAGGCTCCTCCCCACGCTGCCCGCGTTACCATCATGCCCGTGTGGTGTGATGCCTCTCGCTGCGAAGAACGGTCGTGGACGGGTGAGCCGATCTCACATACAGCTGCACGTTTCCAGAGAGCAGAGCACATCGAATCAGTCCTCAGAGTCGTGCGGCACCAAGATGCATCGGTGGACTTCCTAAACGAGAAGCCCACGCGATTCATTAGCCCTCGATCCGCGCAACACCTCCTTCTTTCTTTCTTCTTGGCTATCTGATCTCTCACAATTTGGTTTCGACATGTCCATTGCCGGGTTTTTTAACTTTAGTGGCGTGCTTACCGCTGTCCGCCACAGCAGTTGCGACATTGCTCAGGAACGACAAGTAAAGATGAACCGTCAAGAGCCACCATCATCTACGCGCGCACCCCGACCCAGGTTCACGGGTCTCGGCTCAACGTTCTACTGGCGGCAGCGGTCCGGCCCAAGACCAAAAGAAGGAAAAGTGCAAAAGCAATAACCAAAGGCTCCCGCGTGCGAAACCAAAAAGCAAAGGGTGATGACATGTGAGCGCAATCGAGGGGGTGGGATTCAGACTGTTCAATTGCGTTCCTGGTTGACGGGTAGGTGATCCTCACGTTAGCATCGTTGCTTTTTTGCCCCTTCTTCTTCTCGTTCTCCCTGCCTTTGCGGCTTTTGCTTTTTCCTCGCCAGCCAGCCACCGAAGCACCTGCCGGTGTTGGAGATTGAGTCAGCTCTGCTTTTTCCGTTCTTTCGTCCGTCTGTCACCCCTTCTGTGCTCTGTCTCCAGCCATTCGCCCACACCGTTATTGTTGTTCCATTATCGCTAATATAGGCTCGTTCGCGTGGCAGCGTCGGGATTGGATGGAGACTGGCTGGGTCCCTGGATGGTCATAAACTAGGTGCTTTCTGAGACCTCTCGAATTACGACCATGTCCCTTGGGAGGCCTTGCTCTGGGGTGGCAGGGCGAACGATGAGATCCATGACGGCATCTATCCCGCAACTCGGTCCCTGCTCGTTTTCGGATTCCGACGGAACACGTGGCGGGCTGTGTTGGTGTTGCAAAGAGATTGCGGAGTGATGGCGACTCAGCAGTCAGTGATTTCTCTCTCTGTGCGGATCCGCGGACGATCGCTGGGACGGGCCGGAGGCAGCCCTGGTTGCAATGCACTCAAAAACGAGACGGGAGACCCCACCGATGGGTGTATGACGTCGCGGAGACGCCGCAGTCGCGCGCTGTCTCGTCTCGCCACATCTCGCCTTGAGACAGAAGTGCGTTCTTGCTGCTTTGCGGCGTTTGCTGCGCGCTTGCTAGAAGCGTCGCTTGCGGGGGCAAACCGGTTTTTCTCGCGTCGCGGGCAGGGCAGGCACACGGCACGAGGACCCGCACCTCCTCCCCCGGTCATCGGCATCTCCGGCATGTTCGCCTCTACTGCTGCTTTGAGGCTGCGGGAGAGACAGCCCAGACCTCGCTCTTCGGCCGTAGCCCTCTTTTCGTTGGCACTGCCAGCCCCGCTCATCTCCTCTGCCCTTTTCTTCTTCCCACTGCCTCGACTATGCTGACGCATTCACATGCCTCTGCCAGCCGCAAGTATACGAGCGAGGCGACGTCGATTCGGCAGGGAGCAGGGCTGGCCCTGGTTCGATTCCCGCGCTGGCCCCAAAGAAAAACAAGCGCCCGGGCCTAGTCGACTCCAATACCCCGGAGCGGGCTCCCCCCCGTCACCCCAAACGTGCCAAAACGGTCGCGCATATACACCCGCCCGCTGGGGTTTGGGGAATTGCCCTCGACGCTGATTGGGCCAGCCCTCGACCCTCAGCTGCATCGGAACTGCTCAACCGAGCCGCACACCCCATCCTCGACCCACAGCGAAAAGCAGGGAAAGAAAAGAAAGAAAAAAAAGCGAGTCAAGCGAGGCGGGGAAGGTGCGCGCCGTGAGGCGACGGTTGACTCGCCAGCCGCCGTCGAAAGACAAATGACGCGCTGTCGTGGCTCTGGTCCTCGCTCTAGCGGCCGTTATGGCATCCCGTGTCTCGCGACCGGAAAGTCTATCTCAACCGCATCATGTTCTAGAGCGCATCCGGTGGCTGCGTCCCTCACCGTTCCTTTCCTTCTCGTGCCCCTCTCGCTACGACATGCACCTTTTGCTACCACCATTATTGTGGCTTGCTGACAAAGGACAAATAAGCTGTCTCGCCAGAGCGGCAGGGTGCCTACTTTTTTCCGTGCCGCCTTCTTTTCGCTTTCTCTTGGCCTTATCGACGCGCGCCCTCCAGGGGCGTGCGTCTCGCCGAATGGTAAAACTTCCGATGGGAGATCATACATACAGCGGCATGCAGCCCGCAACTGGCCGAGCCCAGGCCACGCGGCGCGACTCTCGGCAGAGCTTCACGTCGTCGCCACGGCGTCGCCGTTGGCTAATGCGTTAGCTCTTTCCGCCGCAGGTCCAGCCTGCAGGTTGACCCCAGGCAATTTTCCTGCGCCTGGAGGCGCTGGACGGGCCTTGCCATGCAAGCGGGCATGAAAAGTACGGGCCGAAGGCAGGGGGACAAGGGATGTGCAAGCGGAAGCCTTGCCGTTCAGCAGGCCAGCTAGGCCAGGCGGCAGATCAAGCGGCCGGATCAGCAGCAGCGTTCGGCAAGGAATGCAGAATTGCCGGATGTTCAAACAGTCCACACACGACCATTGACTGGAGATACTCTCGACGCACACCTGATGGCTTAGCGCTGCGCGTCCACTTGCTGCATGTACTGTCATCCTGCTTGACCGGCTGCTGTTCGATTTGCAGAAGCGACTCCAGGCACAGAAGTAACCTGCAGCCTTGGCAACCCGTGGATTGACAGAGGAAAAGATGAAGATGCTCCTAGAGCAGTACACATTGTCCACGATTGAGAGCGTGCCAGCCTGGTAGTGGAATTTGCCGATTATATGCCCATCTTTTTCACTTCCTCTCCGGAGTTGGCCCGCGATGCCAGCAATAATACTTTCTGAGCAATAATAGGCACGAGGTTACACCTGTGAGTCACGTCTCGTCTCCCATTGTTTTCTAATTCAAGGAGGAGATTGGCCGGGCAGCTACACGCTCATTTTCTTCAACTGGCCTATTATGCTCTGCCTTAGCTCCAAGGCCAAATCTCGCCTTTTCTGAGACGACAACGGTCAAGGTTGAGTGGTCGTTGGAGTCTTCGCTTCGAGGTTAAGCCGCCGACACCTCCTTCCTTCTTCTGCGACGGCTGCTTCTTCTTCTGCCGTTGCTACCACCTAAAGATCGTATGATTGTCGTCGGTGTCTCGTCATCCGTCTTCTTTAGGTCTTTCATCCGTCGCGGCACTGTACATCACTTCAAGGTAAGTCACTGCATGCATCTTCTTTCGCTTTCGTGTTGCACTTCAGATAGTGTGCTTACGGTACCGGGGTACATGCCCCGGCAACTCCGATCTCTACCAATGCCATCGGCGTCTCTTCAGGCCGTTGCATGGCCTGTTCCTCACCCTAATCTTACCTGCGGCTCCGGTAATAGTGGGCCTACGTACACACAATGGAGGGAAAGCAGAACCTTTCCGGGCGTGCGCGCATGCATACGTCGTGCATGCGCCGGGCGAAATAAAAAAAAACAGCGGGCCCTACCTGCATTATTCCACAACTCTCCATCTCCCTATGCTATGCCATGCTTTCCAGTCCTTTGTCTCTCCCTACCATCCATGTTGAATGCCCGTCTGCACCTTGTTCACCCCATGACTGACATCTCCTCCCCTCCCCTCCCGGCTCGCATACCCGTACCCACTCTCCTGGTCGGTCACCTTCATTACGTCAAGAAAAAGGAACGGTTGCGACGGGTCTGCCCGTCCCAGCTCTCTGGAATTTCGCAGCCATAGCCACTTCTGAAGACCATGGGAAAGGTTAAATGTGGATACCGTGAGTAAACTCCACGTCCCTGTGGCGGAGGGGATCACTGCCTTTCTTCCCTTTTGCCGTGTAGAGCTGTCTGCTCAAAATGGACGGACTCCGAAGCTCCTTGGTGATCTTGCCACGCACTAGCTCCACAGAGAGAGAAAGATGGATTTGGAATTCTTGCTATTCAGGCAATATTTGATTCGATCATTTATTCGCTGGTAGGTATTTTGAAAGCATGCGTGCAGCATTCTGGATGCGGTGCTACATTCTAGCCACGAATCTCGTGGACGTGCGATTAAAGTCCGGGGCGAAGGAACAACAAGCTCGATCTCGATTGAGCGGCGCTAGGTAAGGCTCGAACGATGGATTGGGACGGAGGGGAGAAGAGGGGAGGGGACGGCACTTCCCGTAATGATGATCTCCCGCGAGATTTACTGTGGGGGGTTCCATAATATGAGGAGGTCTAGATGAGCGGCCGTGGGGACACTGTTTGTTGGCCATTTCTCTTTCTCCCCCAGCACGATGCCAGTCGCTCCTTTTCAGCAATCGCCGAGCTGATCTTGTTGGTGATGAGTGGTGAAGATGGGCAAAATGTCGTGAGTCAGCAAGGGTGACCGGTGACGGGGAAAGCTTTGATGTTTCCGACGCACAGCGCATGAGCGGGCATGCAAGAAAACTCGTACAGAGGATGGGCGCTTAGGTGTGCGGCCCATCATTTTGTTGATGTTGCTCTTTGTACGACTCTGGTATTCACGGGGTGTTAACAATGCGTTGTTAAGGGTGGCTTGAATCGGGCGCGCCCGAGTTCGTTCGAGCGTGCGACCATCGCCATGTTCCCGCTTCACTTTTTTTCCCCTCCGCTTGCTGTTTTTTTTTTTTCGGATTTACTTCTGGTCCATCCGAAGTCACCCGCGTCGGAAATATCTCGCTGTTTGAAGTCGTCGGTCATTTGGCAGCAGTCATGGAAGCATTGATCTCATTTCCAAGCTTACCGCAGGTCATGGCATCCGTGCCTCATTTACACAGACTGCATTTGAAGAGACAGTGGCATAGCTATGTCCGCTCGTGCCGATGTATACTAACCCCAAAAATTCAAAGTGTCTCACTGTGTGAAACCACCTCGTATACTCTCCGTCGTTGGGCTAGAGAACTGGAAGGGAAGTCCAGGAGGCTGCTTCTTCAATGACGACCTCTAATTTACACCTGATGTAGTAGCCTCTCACAGTGTCTTTAGCTGTGTTCGTACATCTTTAGCCGAAAGAATATTTGAGGTCATAGCATGTCCGTCACCACCCGTGTTTATGAAAAAGTCACTCCCCGCGCGCCTTTCTAGCACATTTTAAAATCGAGCTTACCAAGAATAAAACTATCCTTACGCAATGAAAAATCAATATATGGATCGACAGCGAGGCTCGTTACCCGTATCAAGCTGTTTCGATGCTTCTTCGAGCTGTCCTCACATCACCTGAACGTACACAGCCTTTCAGGGAACACCTTGAAAGTTTGAAGGCCTAGCGATATTTGAGAGGCTGAACGAGAAAAGCGGCTTCGGGGGGCAAAATTCAAGACACTTGAGCTGTGCGGCGAGCTTTCACTTTCGCATCCATCTCACTTTCAGCAAACGAAAAAGTAGAAACAAAAATATGACTGGGTGATATTGGGCCTTAATTGTAGTTTTAGTGCTGTGTATACTTACCGACCTTCTTGATTGTCTCACCACGAGCGCTTGCTGTTTTGGTTCCATAAGTTAATCCACATGGGCTTTGTCGCAAAGGGCATACATTTATTCTATGACAAGTCCCCCAGAAACCCCATCTGCGAAGTTAAGGATATCCCACTCTCTTGCACTGCAGCCGCGACAAGATGATTCTGTAGAGTCTGGCTTGTACAGCTACAACGGGGATTTGCGAAATCATGAAAGTCCGTGGTCTTTTCACAAACTGCGGAAGACAGCTCTTAAGCGTTACCTAGTCCGTTTTGCGCTCTTCTCCATATTTATACTGGATGGCCATCAACCAATTCCCTCTTCCTCGACTGTAAGGCGTGAGGAGATGCTCTACTAATGGAAATACACACGGATAATGCAGCATCTAAGTGTCATCTTCGTTTTTCGATGTTGTTTGGCGGCCGATTTCGCGATTTTACGTAGCGCAAGCCAGGGGCTGAGGCTTTCACTGCCTGTGAGGGTAGTTCAGCACGCAGAGAGCTATGTTTTGTTGCCCCTACCTTTGGTTCCCTGCTAATGGAGGCTGGCGGAGGAAAATCCATGTATATGTGTCAGACCTCATCAGTATCTTCATTGCCGTTTGTATTTGCCGTGTTTTATGCTTTTTCTCAACACCAAGGATTATCTTGTTTATCTCACCACAACAACGTCATTCATTCATTATGCTTTGTGACACCATTCTAAGCAATTTGTGTATCTACCCAGGTAGTTTTACTGCTGTATTATGGGAATCAGAAGTGTTCAATTGAATTCATTTGCACTGTTCAATAACATGTGTACTGGAAAGGCTCTAGATATCAGTGGCGCCAAGGTGCTTTCTTCTCGCAAGCAGGGAAGCACTCTAGAAGGTCTGCTTACAAAGACTGCATTTCACGAACTTGGCCCAAGAGATATTCCGCTGGGCTGAGTGAAACAGATTCAGAAAAAAGCTTCCTCGAATTGTTGCTTAGATTCGTTGACGCCAGAGTCGCCACTAGTAGACGGATATTCTGCTTCACTTAGCAAAGGGTTGAGTGCAACAGCATGAAGAAGGATGGGGACGTCAGACTGGGAGAGGATGTGATTCTGGGTATTCCTGTTACTTGGCCTGACTCTACGCATTGGGGCGTGGCGATGGTGATAGGTATTTGTGGAAGTGACTGCGTGGATCAACTGGAAAAATCACTTATCAATGGCTGTGGGATGGCCATTGCTACAGACAATTGCAATCTGGCTATCGCTTCAACCACTGAGGTAAAACGTCCCGCATGTGGAAGGGTGTCTCTCACGTAAAGTACCATCCAATAAGCACATAGTTGAGCGCTAAATCTAGGTCTATTTCAACTCTGACACTGCTATCTGCCAAGAGACATACGCACAACTCAGAAAGGAAGTAGGCAAAGGAAACATATCTTTCAATAAATCGTCGACTCATTCAAAGTTCAACTTCGTGTTGTACATGGCCTTCTCCAAATCAGGCCTGCTTGCTCTTGAGAAATTCCAAGATATCGTCCCGAACAACAGCAAAGAGGAAGCCGTCATAAGATTTCCCACCCACCGTCTGCATTACCATGGCGTCGGTGCGTTCGTCTTGTCCTACCTTCTCGACCAGCAGCCTAGAGCCTGCAGTCCTGCTGTTGGTTTTGGCAAACTCAGCGTCGGCGAGGGAGCCCTGTCTGACGACATTGTCCACGATCAAGCAGGCGCCAGGAATGGACATATTCGCAGCATGGTCAAAGTAGGTCCAATTGTTTTCCTTGTCGGCATCGATGAAGGCGAGTCCAAAGCGTTCCCTTTTCCCTTGGTTGACTTCGTCGACGAGCTTGGCCATGACGTCGGAGCCGCTTCCTACAAGCACCTCGACGCGGTCATCAACGCCGGCAAACTTGAGGTTTTCACGGGCCACGGCAGCGTGGTGTTCGTTGACCTCGATGGTGGTGACCCTAATATCCGGACTTGCATGGGCGAACCAAATGGAACTGTATCCGCCCAAGGTACCGACCTCGACAACGTGCTTGGTTCTCAGGAGCCGGGCTTGCAGCATAAGGAATTTCCCTTGGGGGCGAGAGACAGCAATATCGGGCAATCCCTTAGCCTGCGAGTTCTTGTCGGCATGATCGAGGGCTTCGGTCAGCGAAGGCTTGAGGCGTGCGTCGAGGTGCGATGTAGTGTAGTTGTCGACAGGCTCCCACGGGCCGGAAGGACCATAGGAATACTTCTCGCCAGACATGTCGGATGTGGATTTCGGGCGAAATGTGGGGGTTCCGCGACAATGAGGAGGGAGCTGCGAAGGGCAGTTGGAAAGGCAGGTTCTGTGAGATCAGCACTCGTTCTAACATATAATATATACTTGTACTTCAAGGCAACAGTCGGCGGCGGGGTTCGGCTTCGGCATCGGACATGTCGCAATCGCAGCAGTGGCGGGGTCGAGCGGCATCGGCGTGCTAGTCTATGTCTTAAGGCCGAGTGAAGGTGGGGTGGAAAATCCGAGGCCGCGCCCACATGCCGTGTGGTGTTGAGCGTTCGAACAGGCAGCATGTCCTGGAGCCTAAATCCTGCGTGCCGGCCTACGATAAGCATGCAGTGGAATGCGCTACTTTGGGTCGGCGGCAGGCCATTGAAGAGCTGGGAGCGCAGGGCCAGCACAGCACGTCGCTTGTCGCAGGCGGTGGTGACAATGGAGGGCTACGTGGTCGCATGGGCGAGGCGAACAAGGCGCAGGGCGGGAGAGGCTGCGTGGAGCCGAACTTGAGAGCGAGGGAGCGGGTGGCATTTGGGTTTGGCAGCGGCCTTCGATAGCTGCTGCAGCGGCGCCCCGGAAAATCGTTGCGGCGGCTCATCTGGGCTTGGCAGGCTGCGTGATTTGCGTTGCGCTCCAAACAGACAAGCCTGGGCGCTGCACGCACGCCGGACACCACACTCGCCGCTCCCCTCAACCTCATCCAAAGGCCCGCTCCGACACGAGATACCCCAGCTCCTCCTAGAGCCACCCAACCCCCGCCGAAACCGCCCTACCGCCTCCCTCATCCGCTTCTCTCGCGTCCCCCACGTGCCCCTCCCGAAACACCAACTCGATCCGAACGTCATTTCTTCCTAATCCGGGCTGCGACAGCAACCCGCTCCGCGACCAGCTCTTCTTCAAAGACCGCTGCATCTCCCACATCCCCCGCACACTCGAGCACCATGGACACCAACATGGAGGACGTCGGGAAGCTGCCCGAGCCCAGCCAGCTGTCCTCCCTCAAGTCGGAACCCACCACCATCCCCACGCTGGATGGCTGGATCGAGAGCCTGATGAGCTGCAAGCAGCTTAAGGAGGAGGACGTCCAGCGACTTTGTGACAAGGTATTCCGCCTTCTTTGACCGACAGCAGCCCGCCCGCCCGCTGTCGGTCGCGCATCGGACAGGAGCTGACGTGGTGCGCCCAGGCCCGTGAGGTGCTTCAGGAAGAGTCCAACGTCCAGCCCGTGGTAAGTGACTGCTGCGCCCGCATCGCCGGCCCTCAATTACTCATCCTGCCGTCAGAAATGCCCCGTCACCGTGTGCGGTGACATCCACGGCCAGTTCCACGATCTGATGGAGCTGTTCAAGATCGGAGGCCCCAACCCCGATACCAACTACTTGTTCATGGGTACGCATCCCTCCGCACCCAGCCCACACGCCGTTGCTCATTCATGCAGGCGACTACGTCGACCGTGGCTACTTCTCCGTTGAGACCGTCACCCTCCTTGTTGCCCTTAAGATTCGCTACCCCCAACGCATCACCATCCTGCGTGGCAACCACGAGTCCCGCCAGATTACCCAGGTCTACGGCTTCTACGACGAGTGCTTGCGCAAGTACGGCAACGCCAACGTCTGGAAGTACTTCACCGACCTCTTTGACTACCTCCCCCTCACCGCTCTTATCGACGGCCAGATCTTCTGTCTCCACGGCGGTCTCTCCCCTAGCATTGACACGCTGGACAACATTCGCGCGCTGGACAGGATACAAGAGGTGCCTCACGAGGGTCCCATGTGCGACCTTCTCTGGTCCGACCCCGACGACAGGTGCGGCTGGGGAATTTCGCCCAGAGGTGCGGGATACACGTTCGGCCAGGACATCTCGGAGGCGTTCAACCACAACAACGGCCTCACGCTCGTTGCGCGCGCCCACCAGCTGGTCATGGAGGGTTACAACTGGTCTCAGGATAGGAACGTGGTGACAATCTTCTCAGGTACGGACGCCACAGCTGCATTGGCGAGCTCAACCATGCTGACTCAGGTATAGCACCCAACTACTGCTACAGGTGCGGTAACCAGGCCGCCATCATGGAGATTGATGAGCATCTGAAGTATACTTTGTAAGTCGTCTCAATCCACGCTCGATGAAGCGTTTCCTAACCTATTCACAGCCTTCAGTTTGACCCGTGCCCGAGAGCTGGCGAGCCCATGGTGTCGCGCAGGACGCCTGACTACTTCCTCTAGTTCTGTGCCGTTGGTTATACGAGTAGAAAAGCGTTCGGGAAAGCGCATTTCCATTACGAAGAAATTACACCTCTATCTTGCATGCATGGCACCCTCACGGTTACAATTGGTAGACTGTACATATGCATCCGGCAGCCTATCAAAGAATCAGCGAAAACGACGGCGGAGCGGTAACGGGATTGCGTCCGCTTTTTTAAAGAGATGCTAATATTCACTTGTTTTCTCCTTGCCTAATCTGTCTCGGTCTTTTGTGGTTTGTAAACCGGTTTCCATCCCATTTTAATCTTGCGTCGAGAGCAGCGTGACGAATTGATTGTACCTGGTTCGTGCGGACATCGATCTTCTGCAAGACAGTAAGGGTATTCATGCAAGGGCAAGGTGCAGCAACGCTGGCACCGCCTTTGACCCCGCCCTTGGACCCCCTGTCGTTCCGGCCAAGCTTAAAACCTTAATCGCTACCTGAGTAACCGCGCTCTGTAACTCTGCAAGGCTTGTGCAATCTAGAAGAACCTTCATGCCTGCACAGCCTTGTTTGCCAGCATGCCTGGCTGACGCCACGCCCTTCTTCGCACACTCACCCAATTCCTGTATACACATCGAGAATGTAGGCCATTGCGATTTGTAATTTCTATTTTCGTCTACCCACTGCCCCTTGAGTCAATCATGATTGCAAACCAAGCCCGATTTAGCCTTTCCAGCCCTGGAGCCAAAAGCTTTCCCCGAAAAGCCGTGAGGGATGAAAATGCACCTGAACTTCTCTAGGGCGACTCGTATGCCACCTTCCAAGAAACCGCCCCGCGTCCTTATATATCGTGGCAAGTATCGAACATTTGGGGTCAGAGCGTGATGATGATGGCGGTGGCGATCACAACCCATCGTTGTTTGTCAATTATCGAAGTACTTTGGACTATTGCGCTCGCATCGATTAGATCCAGGAGATAATTGTGCCTTGCTCGGCTTTCGTTTTTTGACTTTTCATTGTTCGCCTCACCATTCCCCTGTCCCTTCGGCTTTTGGGGTGTGAACTCTACTGATAACGCTAGGATGTCGCGGATGTCCATCATTGACGTCTTGTCGCCTGTCTCATCCGGTTACCCGGTACTTACGACAGTGATGACGATCCCGACGATGATAAGAGTTCGGGCGCGTCGAATTAACTTTAGCCGACGAGATCCCTCTCGCGCATCTTTCTTTCATTGGTGGTGAAAGGTAGTTGATTTGACCTGTAAAGTGGATTTCGTAAAGTGAATGTCGTGTTTGCTACTAGGCGTTTTGAGAACATCCAATCATTGCCGAGAGCACCCCCGGTACTGGGCTATATCTCCTACGATACAAGGAAATAGAGACTCTAGGGTAGTAGGTGAGGCATTAACGAGTACAAAGTTGCCCAGCGCTAGTCAATGTAAGTGTTAACCGTGATAGGATAGTCGTGCATCCCTGTTCGGGTAACAGAGAGCGGTTTCTCTATAAATAATTTCTCGTGAATGCTCAACATTTTACGTTTTACTATGGCATAGACTGAGTTTGTAGTCGGACTCGATGCAATCATGAAAAGTTGCGAGAGTAGAAAGGAGGCACTGAGTCAAGCGCATTTAGAGCTACATTTTCTCTCATTGAATTTATTTTGGGGGGTCTCGAATCATTTCTTCATCTGATAATGATCCCTCATTGGTGACTGAAGATATAGCCTTCCAGAACTGCGCGTGGATAGAGCAAAGTGCTGGAGAAACTGCGGATGCCGAAGATATCCAGCACGATTGTAGTGTCGCCTCTGCCGGGTCAAGTTTGAGGATGTGATCAAAATTTCACTTCTTTCAGATATTCAAAATTATTACAATGTGACGCTTGTAATTCCATGGCTTGCTCTTGATGGCCTTTATCATAACGACACGAGGGATTAGAAGAACGTGGTGTGGTCTGGGATCCCACTCTTTAGATGACATGTATATCCAGAGGAACAGCACTCAATATGAAATAGCTAGCGCTCTTTGATGTCATACTTTCTTTGATGTAGTTGCCGGCACCCAATGTTACACAAGCAGCCAATGGCGTACCGCTTTCGGCCTCGTAGCAGTTCAATGCACGCGAAGTCCCTATAGGTCTAGACTCCAGATAGAAAAAAAGGAAAGAAAATCTACCCAAGCCACCACGGAACCGTTAGAGTTTGCCTACGCAAACCGTGGAAGCATGTTCCTTTTGCACTGTAGAAGCTATGCCTGTTTGGTAGGACCTTGCAGCAGCTCAAACATCCATGAACGGCCCCGCAATGATCAACACCACGGATAAATCATATCCTTTCCTCGCGCCCACTTCTCCACATCGGGTGTCGAGATACTTGGGCATACTCGACGTCGATTGGACCGGAGCAACCGCGCGGCAAGCAGAAGGGAGAATTCGAACGGTACAGTGGCGTCCAGCCGCACTACTACTGGCGCCGGCTGCTTGTGCAACCACACCAAAACGGTCCCGAAAACGGTCCTTATCCTGACGTCAGGCGCCAAACGCCGCGACCCCGGTTCAAGCCACTACAGGGCCCAGCCCGGCGTTTCCATGCAGAAACAAGTGTCGCCTACCGCATCCACGGAAGAGGAGCCACCTTCGCCCATACCACGTCAACGTTCATTTTCGCCTCTGGCGTAACGTCAGCTGTCACACATGGTACTGAATGGCTTGGGGCAGCACGGTATTTAGAGAGAAAAAAAAGGGAAAAAAAATAAAAGACCAGGACCAGGTAGTCCTGACGGTGGAGAGCGTCCCATTGGCCGAGCCAAAGCCATAGTTCGCCGTTTGCTCGACAAAACAAAAGTCGATCGGCTGCCATTAAAAACAACGCACGCGATGATATCCGTCGCCACTAACAACATCGTGTGTGTGTTGTCCACGACGCCGTAAACCGCAAATGGCTGAAACGGCATGAAGCACAGAGCTCCCGCGATGCGCGACCGCGCCCCTCTCTTCTTCTTTTCCTTTGCCCTTTCCTTTTATCAAACTGGTTCACCAGGCGTCATCCGCCGTTCCCTGCGGGTCGGCTGGCGTGTGTTTCAGCGAACTTCACGGTGCTCCGCAGTGCTGCGTACGCGAAGGCCGAAAGAAGCCACAGAACAATATAAGAGTGGGGGTCACAGACCAACACACACACAACGGAGGGGTGGGTGCAGGCGAGGTGAAAACAAGCAAAGAAACAAGATTGGCTGAGGTCCAACGGTGAGGTAAATTGTAAGGATGAAGATTTTCTTTCGCCTGTCGAACCAGAAAACAACGGCTTGCTTTGAGAGAATCCTGAAGGACCCTCCTACCCCCCTCCGACAAGAGGGCCCCACGCTGGGCGAAACTCGGGTCGGTGTGTGCTTCTGTTGAATGTGTCCGTGTGCCAAGTCACCGGAAAGTTGCAGAGAGTGCGTTGGCAAAAGCCGAAGAACCGGGAACCCTGATAGCATGATTGCCCCCGCGTAGATTGTTGCGCGTTTCGGCCACCGAAGGAAGAGAGGGAAGGAGAAGGGTGCGCCCTGTGGCCAGGTCTCGTGACGAAAGGGGAGGGGGCGCGGGCGCTCCCCCCGTCAACCACGCCACTTTTTGTTTCTTGCGCCCTCTGGCTCGTCTGCTCGACCGGAGGGAAAGGAGAAGAGAAGGGGTGCAAAAAAAAAAAAAAAGCCGTTGGTCGTACGAACCTATGACGCAAGCAGGCGCGCTGCGAAAAAGTCGCAGCTACTGAGACAAGACGTTGAAGCCTGCAAGGTGCCTCGGAAAGATGGCCGAAAAAGCAACTCGACCCGAAAAGCGTTGGAAAAGCCGGGGAAAAAGCAAACGGACAGAAAAGAAAGTTCCGTACATACCATGTGAGTATCACGGGAGATGGACGAGGCGCGACGAAGGAAGAGGGCGTAACTAGGGGCAGCAATTAGCGCAGAGTACAGTCGAGGGACGGCTTGCGCCCTTGACAATCGTCTTTTTGAGCTTGATTCTTCAATTGAGCACTAGTCTAACATAACGGTTGATGATATGGCTGGGCGGTAACGACCGAAAACACACTAAGTAACAACGAGAACACGGGCAAGTAGAGTAGCAGTAACAAGGAAAAAACACCTTATCAAACGGCCGCAGATGGTACAACATCAAACTCCCCCAGACTAGAGACGAGACAGGGTGCCAAAACCACACACACGAGCGTTTGAGGGAATATGCTTTGATGGGGGAATACAACAACGCTCGCAACTCGTCTGTGCTTGTGTGTGGCGAACAACGTGCTTTTTTCAAGGTTCCAAGGAAATAGGAAAAAGAAATAAGGAAATCTGAACACCGTCATCCCAGCCGTGCAAATGGAGAGAACCGAGCCAGGCCTGGTGTTGCTTGTTTCTCCGTGAGCGAGCGAGCAACAGCTCGACATGGTGCCTTTCGACGCTGCTTGCAGCGACTTGGCAGCCGTTGGTTGTCGTTTGGCCGTTGACCCATGCCTTTTTCTCTTTCTCCTCGAAGAGGAGAATCTGAGGCAGAACCTCCCAGAGCGAGATACATTCATGCCAGGAAGACAGGAAAAAGGTAGACAAAAAAGCAGGAGCCACATAAGAAACCCGCTTGTGGAAGAAAAAAAAAGAACTAACGGGCTTGCTAAGCCGTAGTTTGGCATTGAAGCCAGGCCCAAGAGGATTAGAGACAAGCGGGTGAAGAGAAAAAAAGAAACAGAGAGAAGGGAGATAAAAAAAGCCATTCGTAATCCCTTCCGTCCGTACCAAGTAAAAGTTAAACTGCCAATAAGAGTGTTGTCAAAAGGGGATTTTCGCTCGTCTCTTCTCCTCCCAACCGTGCTCCGGGCAGAAAAATAGAATAAAAGGTAGTAGTGCTTTGAAACGCATGCATGCATGACCCTGTGGCGGCTACCACATCATTAATTCTCCCCAGCGGCAGCCAATGCAAAAAGGATATTGTTCACCTGTCCCAAGACTCTCTCTCTCGTCGACCCCCAAAATGAAACCAACTTGGCGGCGCGGTGCGATGACGGCGCTTCGCGTGTGGGCCGTTTTTACATGACAGTGCAGCAGCAGCCTTTGCTCTCCGCATCGCCGTCCATCTCCATCTTGCCCGACGGGCCGTTGCCACCAGCGGCAGGGGCGCCTGAGCCGTACGACGACATTTCCCTGTTGTATCTCCTGATCTCCCTGACGAGGTCGTAGAAAGCGTTGTCGACGTTGATGCGGGATTTGGCCGACGTCTCAACGAACTTGCATCCGAATTGCTTTGCCAAGTCTTGACCCTCTGGTGATAGCGGTGACGATCAGCGCTCGGGCCCCCCTTTGGGCGAGAAGAGATGGCACTAACCTTGTGTCGAGACCTGCCTCTCTGCCTCCAAATCGCACTTGTTGCCCACCACGATGATGGGGAAGTAGTCCTTGTCCTTGACGCGCAGGATCTGCTGCTGGAAGGTCATGATTTCTTCAAACGACTGCCGCGAGGTTATCGAGTAGACGAGCAGGAAACCCTCGCCGGTCCGCATGTACTGCTCGCGCATCGCCGAGTACTCCTCCTGGCCGGCGGTATCGAGCACATCGAGCAGGGCAACCTCGTCGTCAACGACGCACTGCTTGCGGTACGAGTCTGCGAGGCGGGCGTCAGTCAGAGCGGGCGGGCGGCACCGCGGGCCCACGCACCTTCAATGGTCGGGTCGTACTCGTCGACGAAGTGGCTCTGGATCAGCTGGATGGTCAGGCAGGATTTACCCACGCCTCCGCCGCCGACCACCACCAGCTTGTATTCTCTGAGAAACTGCGTCGGAGTCAGCCATTGGGGACGCTCGCAGGTCAGGGGGGCTCGGCGCGGCGCACCTTGGAGGCCATCGTGTGCTGTGGGGGGATGGAGGAACGCGGTGGTGCGGACTCCGGGCGCCTGTTTCGCTAAAGGGCAGCGGCTCGGGGGAGGAGAACGCTAGACAAAAGAGCGGAAGGAGGGCGACACGAGGAGCTTGCGCTGCTGCGGCACGTGGCGGGACTCTTGGGGTCGCGCTGGGCGGCGGTGGTGGTGTGCGTTGAGAGAGCACGGAGAGGGTGATGGGAGGGAGTGGATGGCGGCGGTGGTGTTGGACGGGAGGTGGTCGAGCTCGGGGGGTCTTTGTCGATGTTCTCTGATTGATGGCCCGGGCCTACACCGCAGCCCAGTGCTCGCTTTTCCCTACGACTCGGCAAGCTGCGCTCCAATTCGATAAGAGACACCACCCCTCAGCGCCGGGGTTCAGGCACGGCGCGCCTCGCAGGCACGTAACCGCCCGCCGTCCGCAGCGCGCAGCAGTGGCAGTGGGCGTGGCAGCGCAGCGCAGCGCCGCCCACTGCAGCCCACGCGCGCCCACCGCCCATTGCCTGCTGCCAGCGCCCATGCCCGGCGGCCCTCGCCTGCGCACGCCTCGCGCCAGCCCGCCACGCGGGAAAAGCAATCTCTCCGCCAGGCATGTCCACGCACCCACAGCGGCCTGCCAGCGCTAGGCGCATCGACGTTCGGCCATTGCTGCTGCGCGCTCGCATGCCGCTAAGTCCGCCCGCCCGGTTCGCGCCGCTGGCTCCGCACTGCTGGCAGATGTCGGCCAAGCGCGGGCGCGTTGTGCAGGTCACGTTGGGCCATCTGCATGCGCGCGACGCTGCAGTATGCATCACGCCCAGGGCCATCCTCGTTGGCGCTGAGATCCAAACCTCCGCGCTGCGTTACCTAATGCCCGCCGCTCTCGTCGACCCGCGCTGCAACCTCCGCGACCAACCTTCGCTCCTCCGCCGTCTTCCCATTCGCACGGGGCGCGCGAGACGAGCGGTGCTGGGCTGGCACGCCTGTCGCTTGGCGCTGCGCCGCCCGGGGTCGTGCGTGGCGCCCTGTCATACCTTCTCGAACAAATGGCAATTCTCCTAGAAGCAGCCTTATGGCGCCAGAAATCCATTCGTAATCATATGTTCATCATCGCACCCCTCTAGCTGCCTGCCGGCCTGATCGGCTCGCCGTCCGGCCCGTCGTCCTCGCCCTCGACCGACACGCGCTTGCCCTGCACCTCTCTCTCGACCTCGGGCACCAGGCTGTCCATGTACGCCAGGTCGCGTCCCACGAGCGTCACCGAGTTGTGCGCCTTGCCCCACCGGGGATAAGAGCCGACCTTAACGCCCCTCGGCTCCACTCGCTGCGCCAGCTCCGTCAGAAACGGCGCGACTGCGCTCTCCGCCATTGGCGTGGAGATGATGATCCTGTACACGCCCTTGCCTTCCGGGTCCGTCAGCCGCGGCAGCAGATGCGGCTTCAGCGACTCGAGTAGTTTTTCAAACAGTCTTGGGACGCCCGGCAGGATGTGGATGTTTCCATTGACCACGCTGATGGGCACCCACAGCGAGTCGTCCACAAACACCACCTGGTCGCCCAAGTCCTTGCTCTCGTCGATGGGCAGCTCCACCATGCGCTTCTTCGCCGTAAGCGCCGGCGACGGCACGTCCCAGCTGAAGTTTGGCTGCGAGGGATGCGGCTTCGACAGCCGTTTCATGCGCTCGAACGCTCCGTCATGCAGCACCAGCGGGAGCCCGAAGGCCTTTGCTATCGATTGGTAGGTGATGTCGTCGTGCCTGTAAGCCGTCAGCCTCCCACGAGCACCATGTCCGCTTCCGCACGACGTACGTTGGACCTATGCCGCCAGAGGTAACCACGAAGTCGTAGTTCTGGGACATGCGCCGCGCAGCCTCGATGATTTCGTCCTCGTCATCGGCGATTACTTCGATGCGCTTGAGGGCGATGCCCAGCTTGAAGCAGTATTTGGCAAAGTAGGCCGAATTGGTGTCGACCGTCTGCGCAGCGTCAATTCAGCAGCGCTCAGTGGACGCCCAGTGCAGGCAGATGCTCACCTTGCCGCCCAGCACCTCGTCTCCAATGATCAGGCACGCCGCCGTGTGGATCATGCTCTTGCCCTGCGCGTTCGTTGCAGCCATGGCTGGTGACGTCTGTATCGGGCTCGCGAAGCCGGTCTTCGGAGCTGCAGCGCGGTGCGCGTAGTTGGGGAGCGGGCGGGTGAGGTGTCGCGCAAGCTGGTTCAAGCGTCCGAACATCGATCTGTGTGGTGCGACGGGCGACGTCTCGCGGAATGCGGCGGCGGCAGGTTGGGGCACTCGATGACCACGCGCGATACTGCAGTACGTCCACGCGCCGGCGGGCGCCCGGGCGAGTCAGGCTGTGGGCCGCCCCGCATCCACCTCCGAGCGCGTCACCACCAAGCTCACCCTCGAGGCTTGATCTCTTCCCCGACGTCAGCGCCAGCCCTACCGCACCACCCCCAGCTTCCCCCTTTCCGCCCAAGGCTTGTTCCGCCAGAAATAGGCACCACCATGGTCAGTGGCATATCACGATCACCTTGTCCATGCGGCACTGATCTCGCTTACACTGCGCGCCGTCCCCCAACAGGCCTCCGAAGCTCGCCTCTTCACCTTTTCGCCCGAGACCAAGGAAAAGCTGCGCAAGTTCCGCCTCGGCACTTCGCGCGCGAGGGACCCTCAGGCTGTCATCTGTACGCAAGCTTCGCCGTTCTCCTGAGCCCGCGAGCTCCTGCTCCTTCCTCTCCTATTCTAAGCCCCTGCTGCCCCACCACGGCGCACGACGACCCTCGCTGAGACATGGAACTTTGCTCTCCCGCACGTAGACCAGATCGACAAGAAGACGCTCGAGATCCACCAGTCCGATGATGAGGTCTACAAGAATCTGCAAGATATTGCCGATGAGCTGCCCGACAACACGCCCCGCTTCGTGCTGCTCAGCTATCCCATGACCCTCGTAAGCCTCCCCGCTCTTATCGCACGTCTTATCGATATGGACCAGCCGGTCACGGACTTTGCAACTGACGCAACGTCGTCCAATTTTAGGCGTCTGGTCGTCTATCCGTGCCTTACGTTATGATCTATCACCTGCCCACAACCTGCAACGCCGAGTTGAAGATGCTCTATGCCAGCGCCAAGGAGCTGATGCGCAACACTGCGGAGGTGAACCGTATCATTGAGATTTCGGATGCCGAAGAGCTCGAAAGTATCGAGGGGCAGCTCCAGAGCGACGCGTGATGTATTCCCGGTATGACGGACGCGCCGATTGGGTTAGGGTAACAGCATGCTGAGGAGATCTGCAAGCATATTGGACATTCTAGAAGGAAGACCGGGGCGTTAGGACTTGATATAGGGTCCGAGCACGAGACGCACAAGCATCTGATGAGCACATGCGGCGTGGATTGACGGTTGAGCTGACAGACCACGAGTCATTTTGTACTTTCTGGGCCCCCAATCGCGTGCGGTTTCTGGAAATTGAGCATAAGCCTCCGGCACTACTACAGGTTGGTCAGTTGGAGGCGACTTGCTACCAGGTCCGAGCAACGTCTAGGATATTTTGCGGAAGGCGTTGGATACGAGTTCTCCAATATATCAAATGATGACTGAGCGCTAGTCACATCTGCTCCGCTCCAGCCCCATAGTACTAGCGTCTCTGAGATACGCGTCGAAGTCTATCGCCCTTCTTTGATCAGGAGGTGTCGTTGCCTCTAATCTCTCGCCTCCCTTCACGGCACTCGAGTCAGCTCTTCCGACACGGCCATTTTTTCTAGCGGAGGTTCTGGAAAAGCTTAAAATGTGGCTTGGAGCTCGTGCTTGCCTAGCCAAAAGGAGATATGGGGCCCCCTGCTTTCTTGTAGCGTACGTTCGTCCGTCGCTACCATGCAAATTCGTCTCGATGAACGTTGAAACGCGCCGCGGATATAGTAAGATCCTGTTTTCCGTAAGAGAGTGCTTGTGGCTTGAATTTTCAGGGGTATATGCCTGAATGAGACCATTGTGACCATGCGAAAGTGCTTAGCCACGGCTTCCTCCAGAGTAGTGCCGCCTTTTTAAAATTGATGTTTTCGGTTAAATGGATGATCAATGTTGTCTACCCTGCTACCTTTTGCACGATAGAATATCGCGCTAGGGATTGCGCATTAAGTTTAATAACTTTACTTGTTCTTTTTTTTTCTCCTGTGAAAAGAAAGGGACTACTTACTGGACCCATTGAGGTAGTCATGCCTTGACCAACACCTATCTGGTTCATCTCAACTTTGTCCGTTATTACAATGCTTTACGAGATGTTCTCATGTTGATAGTTATTTACCCAGAGCGCAATGTACTTGGTACAATGGTAGCCTTGGCAAGCGTTGGTTGTTCAATATATTCGGGAATCTAGGGCTCACTGAAAAGACCGTGCTCATTGATAATAAGCTAGAGTTCCCTAACCCTAATCGTTCCCATTTCCTGTGCGTCTGGCCGCTAAGGGGCCGGGCGCTGGTATATGCTCATAAAGTCATTGCGGACGTCCTTCCTATTATGAACGACAGTCCGTCTTCTCCATCTCTGATCCACAGGAGGAGACGTCTACCGTCTGCGGATACGCCTCCATGTCTCCACCGATGAACCCGAAAACACGTCTACACATTAAGGCCACCTCGCTCCCATCTAGTTGCTCACGCTCTTGCTCCTCGCCTGGTCGCTGGCCAGGTGCTCGTCGAACTTGTACAAAGGCTCGAGCTTGGCGTCCTTCTGCAACATGACCCAGCGCTTGATGAAGTAAGGCAGGGCCTTGGTCATCTGGTAGCTCATGTGCTTCCTTGTGCTCACGGCAAATACGTAATCAAGTTCTTCCAGGGTGCGCTGCTTGGTCTCGGGCACCCACAGGAAGATCATGACGAGCGCGGTGACGTTGAGGCCGGCGTAGAAGCCGAAGGCGCCGGTGACGGTCATGACGGCGAGCATGCGCGGGAAGGTGATGGAGAGGATGGCGGCCCAGAAGAGGCAGGTTGCGACGGCCCTGGGAAGCAGGTTAGTCATGGTGGACGAGGTGGGTGGTAGTGATATGCCACTGCTAAGCGAGGCGCGCTAATCCCAATCGGGAAAAGACGACTGGCTGGTAGCAATCATGGTTGCATGGGCAAAGCAAACGAACGGAACAAGCAACTGGCCATTGAACTCATGGGAAAGCATTCCCGGTAGGGTGCTTGTCGAAAAATGGTACCTCGTTGCGGTTGGTGGGAAAAAGGGGCAAAAACTCACCAAGACATGCCCACCTCGCGATGGGATAGAGGGAAGACTTCCGCAGAGTAAGTGAACGGCACTGGGCCTTCTCCAGGTGAATAAAAGGCCGCAAAGATAAAGATAAACATTGCCACAAGGCCTAGATGCGCTGGGCTGCTCTCCGGAATCAGGTAGCACAGGCCAGCAGCGAGAAGCGTCCAGGCCATCTGCGGAAAGGTGAACAGCAGGAGATTACGCCGACCAAAGGTATCAATGGTCCACAAGGCCGGAAAAGCAAAGATAAAGTTCGTAAGGCCAAAGCCCCAGGAGGCGAGGAGTGCCTCTAGGCGGCTGGCACCGGCTGCCTTAAAGACGGTAGACGAATAGAACGCGATGATGTTGATACCGCACATTTGCTGGGCCAACATGACCACAAATGAGGCGAGTGTGGCGCGGCGAACACGCGGGATGGTGAAGAGCTCAATGAAGCGTGTGACATAGTTGGACTTGCCAATGATCTCGGCCTCGACGGACAGCTGGGCGTGCACGTAGTAGAGGTCGCGGGCAGCCTGGAGAGGCGTGTTACGCAGGCGACACAGGCTTCTATACGCTTTGGCGTAGCGTCCCTTCTTCATCAGCCAGCGAGGAGACTCGGGACAAAAGTAGATGCCAATCACGAGCGGGACGGCGGGGATGAAGGCACTGCCCAGCTGCAGACGCCAGGCAATGTCGCCAGTATTGTAGACAGCCAAGTTCGCGCAGAAGCCGAGGAAGATACCGAATGCCGTCCACATCTGCCAGGACATAACGAGGCCGCCACGAATAGCAGCGGGGACATTCTCAGCAGCGTAGATTGGGACGGTCGAGGCCTTGGAACCCATACCAATACCGAGGAGCAGACGAGTGACGAATAGTTGAGGCCAGGTCTGGGAGACGGCGGAGCCAATGACCGAGAACAGACAGAAGACAGCCGAGAAGAAGATGGTGCCACGACGACCAACGTAGTTGTTGAGCGGGTCACTCATCCAGCAGCCCAAGAAGGCAGACGCCAGGTATGGCGCGGCATTGATGATACCGACCAGCCAGAGGTTGGTCGAGTAGTCGGGGTTGGGAATCGTCTCAGCGTCATCCAGGTACTCGGCATCAGAAATGCCAAAGGCTTGCGGGAATGAAAGGTTGGCGCCGTTGGAGCCGGTCTGGTCCCAGCCTTGAACAGCTGCGCCGATGGAGCAGAGGATGACGGTGAAGTATAGGGCCTTCGGTTGGCGCCACTTGTGCGTGACCTCGTTTCGGAGAGCATCGAGCTCCTCCGAAGTCATGCCCTCGACGGACTCGAATTCGGCCGGGTCCTGGGCCACGAGCGCGCCACGCTGCAGCAGATCGAGCTTGTCGGTCATGTCATATTCTTTGGCAAATTCTTCGACTTGGTAGAGAAGCGTCTCCTTGGGGATACCGGCAAGCGGGTTCTTGATCCTTTGTACAGGTACGTCAGCAACGTTACTTTATAAAGATAGTCGTCGGCAACTGACTTGGCTTCGACGTTGTTGTTGAGGTTGACGTTGTCGGTAGCCTTCTCAGCAGCGTCGATGTGCTCGGTGGCCGACTTCTCGACATTGATTTTATTGTCGATGTCCGACATGGTGGGCGACTGGTGTGAAGTGGCTTCGGTGAACAGTACCGGGTACGGTGTGTCGAGTTGTTGAGGTTGGGCCCGGCAATGGAGTGTGCTCACGATATGCCTCAAACGACACTTGCTCCGCGAAAGGCAGGCGCGCGTGAGCAAAGAGGCAGTTCTCCTTTGTCAGCCCGGAGATCACGAAAGAAAAGGGACGGCGGGTTTAACTGCGGCGTGCCGGCGAGCATGACATATATAGTCGTCGCACGACACAGGACATGGGCATGGTTACATAGCACGGGAATGGCTTATCGCAAGGATTGCATAGCGTCTCAGACGAGAATGGCCGCCGTCTAACCCGGAGCGGAGCGTGCGTTACGGCAAATCTGGTGCGTATGGCCGGGAGCTGGCAGCTTGGGCCTTGGGAGTCTCAAGTGATTGACGTCCGGATTGGCCACATGTGGACTGGGCCCTGGCCCGTAGGATCAAGGGCAAAGGGCGAGGGCACACGGGAGAGGGCAAGCGGCGTTAACCACCAATTGAAACAAGACCGCCTCTTACATTGTCGAGAGTTCATCATCCCTACCCATGACCATACCTAGACCTGAAGCTGCCGTAGCGCGGCCGGGGCCCCGCAGGCCGATCACACGTCCGGTCAAGCCTCGACGGCGCTGCACCAACCAGACGACGGCTGGGACGCCTCGGGCCAGGGCTCTCTCCGTTGGATGTTCTCATGAGCCGCACGAGGTAGCACTCTTCGCTCCCCTTCCGCCGCGCTCCTGGCCTGCGTCGCCGCGTGTGGCGGCGGGTTGCACAGCGCCCCAAACGCCCTGCCGCGTTCCCGCCGTTTGCGCCAGACCTTGACTGTGTCCGCATGCTAGCTGCTGCAAGTGCGGCTGAGAGTTTGGATTGTGGCGGCGAGGATCGGCAGTCGTACACAAGACTTTTCTTGGGCATGCTTCTCGGTCTTGGGCGTCTTGGGGGCTGCGACAAGCAACGGGACAAGGCGTCTTGGGGCCAAGGGGACGAGCACAGAACCATGCGCATGGATTTGGCCGTACGGATGACGTGCAACTGAGCCTCCGCACGACTCACGCACGCAGAGCAGACGCCGACGGCGACTCGTGCAGCGTTATCATCGACTGTCGCTGTCGGCGCCGCGCTTGGCCGTGGAACAGCGGCGCCGCTAAGCCCAAAGCCACACAGCTGCGCCGAGGCAGAGCTGACGGGCCCGATGCATGACGGCTGCAGGCTTTCATGACCGGTCCGGCCGCCATTATTGCTGACAGCGGCGATGTCCGAGTGTGGGTCTGTCTCTGGAGTTGCGCGGCTGCCCACGGGGTTGCGGCGTGGGGATGAGTGGAGCACGGCAAAACTTTCACGGGTTATCCCCAGCAGGCTATGCGGCCGTCCCGGGTTGCTGGTTTTGCTCTAGCCCACCAGCGGCGTCGTTATTGCAGGTGTCCTCTTACGCACTGCGGAGGGCCTGACGCACGGAAGCCCTTGGAACTTGATTGTGAGGAGGGAGGGATGAATCGTTTTATTCGCGTGCTTGCCAGGAACACTTCGCAGCTGCCCGTCAACCTTAGTCTCCCAGTCTGCCGGTTCTCGTCTCACGCCGACCTCCTGCACAACGTGACAAGTCAAAGGCCTCGACTCTACACCATCGCCACAATATACATGCTGACCGCGTGCGGGGATTTTACGCTCGTGCTGACATTGCCACGCTGCCCAATCCAGTTCCAGGCATTTGCGCCTGCTGCATTTCGCCATGAGCAGCCCGAGAAAACAAATTCATATGATACAGATGGTGGCTTTTCTCCGCAGTCTCGACCACTCCACATGTACCTATCTAAGTTATCTTCCCTTCCAATCGACTCCAAAGCGGCATGTAACGGCCTCTTAGCCGTTGCTTTTCAATAGCCTGAGTGCTGGCACTAACCAGGCTCCACTAGAGTGTGATGGCTTTCTGACCGGACATTCTCTTGCGGTTCTTTTGCTCGGCCGCAGTCCAGCTGGAGACCAGCCGCTTTTCAACCAGCGTGTCGCGACGGACCACGGTGTTACATTATGAAACTTTATACGGCATTGACATATGCTTTTGAGCCCTATCAACTTTAAACCTCACAGTCTAAAGCCTGACCATCTGCTGCGTATTGACACGACAGACGAGACAGCACGGCTTAGAGTAACTCATACAGTCTAGGACACTTTAGATCGCGACATGGCGCGTCAGCGCGTGGCTAGTTCGGACAGCAAAGAATTTGCGGCGCTTCAACCCGCAACAGGGCGCGGCAGAACGCGTCGGGCGCAATTATTACTCTGTATCTCGCGCGCTTCGGCTTGAATATCCTGCGATCATAGATGGGCTGGCGCAGGCGGCGAGACGTTGGGCGGTGGGTGTATCGCGCCTGCCTTTTAAAGCGCGACTTCCTCAGCATGTACAGCGCTCGGCCGCAGAAGTACGATACAGCAGGCAGGCACGACGCTCCTCCCAATACAACTCTCTCCTCCGTCCTCTTCCTCTCCTTCTCCACCTCATTGTTCTTCTACCGCCTTGACGACGCTCAGCTTAGCCTCCACTCCTCTCTTTTGCAGCGCCAGTTTCAGCCTACTACTCACCGGCATTCGCCTGCAACGCGGTTCTCACCGTCATTCTCCCACTCCCCGACCCAGAGCTCGTCTTTATTCGCCTCATCTCCACTACAGTGCTCGTTGTTACTCGCGCCCGCCTGGGCGTTTACTGTCGAGTGTTTTCTTCATTGTGTACCTCAGCCCTGGTGTAAGTCTCCACTTCTGACTCTTATCTAAGAGCTGTGATTAGACGCTTGGCTAGCTCACTCGCTGGTAGTTTCCGTCATTGCGATTTCCCTATACCTTCTTACAGGTATCACCCTGAGAGGGACGAGGATTTTGCCGCCGATGACCGCCTCAGGAACTCATACGACGAGTACGCCGACGAGGAGATGACCGAGTGCACTGATGAGGACATCGGCAGCGACTCTGACGAGAATATTGGTGACCACGTGGAAGTTGACGGCTGTTCAGACGAAGAAAGCTACCGGTACACCAACGAAGACGGTGACTTCTTCGTCGTCGACGAGGCCGATACCTCTATGGATGACGACAACGGTGATTTTTTTTTGTCGATGATACCGCCGTCGATGACAACACTTTTCCAACGATGAGGACGCCGCCTTCGCCGATGATGAGAGTAATGCCTTTGCCGACGACGAGGACGCCGTATTCGCATCTCCCACCGAAGATGCCTCCACTGATGACGATTTCGTCGCCGAATACGTTCCATTATGGTACGATTCATCTGCTGATGAATACTTTCCCACCAAAGATGATTCCTCTGTCGACGACGACGATGACGATTTCTCCGACGACGATTTCGCCGACGATGACTATGATCTCGCCTTCGGTGATGCTCCCGCCGATGGTGACCAAACCGATGAACAAACCGATGAACAAACCGATGATCAGGTCGATGATCAGGTCGATGATCAGGTTGACAGTAGCCAAGGACAAGCCATGTTAAGCGCCAGCATTAGCTATGACTATGAGCTAGCCGAGGGCCTCGAGGATCTCGAGGAAGACGAGTTGTGGCAAGCTGTTGGTGCGGATGGAGGATATGTGCAACCAACCAGCAAGAGATACAAGTCCACGAAGCTTGTCTCAACCAAATACTTCCGCCTTGTGCCCGAAACCCCGTTCAAGCTTCCGTCGCTGCCTGAGCAAGACGTCTTTCAGCACCAGCTGCGCGATGATCTCATTTTCATCACCCAACAACTCTGTACTTTCGCTGTCACCACGTTTAACAGCTCCGCAACTCCTTCCTTACCCATTCGGGCCAATTCTGCTTGGTCCATCAGCGCTCAACGGTTCTTTATCGACGTCGAGAGGATTGGCCCAGCCAGACTCGCCGACTCGCTCTTGGCGAGGATGTCGCGTGAGGTACGAGTGCTTCTTGGGAAAAGAGATTACACCGCCAAAGACCTCGCCACCCTTCCCTCCGGCGATCTGACCAAAGGTGGTATTTACGTCGACATAATTCATGGGATCGACACATCAGTCGATGATCGCTTCATCAAGAGTAGCGGAGTGTACACTGGATCTGGCACCCGTCTTGCAACCCGCCTCACCAAGTACAAGAACGTCAAGGACCAGGGACAGGGCTCCAATGATCGAGAGTCTCGCAGGACTCATCTCCTAGCAGCCGCCTCCAGTGAGACCACCTCCATGGATCCTCGCCCACTCATTATCTTTAGAGATAACGAGGTTGCTACGCCTCTTTTCGCCATTTCCGAGGGTCTGATCATGGTGCTCCTTCGCACCGTCCACGACACGGGGTTTCGAAACACCTGGGTAACCGACGAATCCATCCAGTTGTTCCAGCATTGCGTCCCTCCAACCCTACCGAGTCCCTCGTATCAGGGCCTCAATACAGTTTGGGCCATGAAGCAGGGTATACCCAAGCTCCGCTCCCAGAAGGTTACCTGCTGCAACATCCATTGTGGGGTGACCCGCGAGGAGAAAGACACCGTCTTTCACTACGCCAAGGCTGATGGTCTTCCTCTTGGCTCTTACTGGTGCAGAGTTTGTGCTCTGTATTACTACAACTACGGCGATATTCGCCCTCGTAGTGTCATCCTCAAGAAGTCGACACCCGAGCCGAGCAGCTGTCCCATCTGCAGCGTGGAGAAGAACCCGACGGACCGTGATTGGTGTTGGGACTATTCCGTCGACTATTGGTATTGCTCGAACTGCTACAAGGATGCTCACAAGGTGCCGGGCATTCAGACAGTGGTCAGCGACAGTCATCCAAAGCCGGCGGTTTGCCCTGGTTGCCTCCGTCGCCCGGAAAACTTCCCAGGAAACCGTGGTTGGACGTTCGACCATGGGTTCAAAAAGTGGTGGTGTTTCGGTTGTCGGCCCAGCAAGGGCTCCAAGTTGGGACTTAGGAGGGTGCAGAAAAAAATTGACAAGCCAACGTACTGCCCTCACTGCGGTCGGTCCAAGACGTCCAAGGGTAACCCACTTCAATTCGGCTGGATCAAAGAGCAGAACCAGTGGGCTTGCCGCATATGCCGTAGGAACTTCTATCAAGGAGAGAAGAAGAGACCGGTGTCTAAGAAGGTCCAGAGGCCCGTCAAGAAGCGCAAGGCCTCGAAGAAGTGATGTGCTACCTTGTTTACGTGCTAGAATATCAATGGCTAGTCCTCCTCATTTTAGTTGCTATGCTAAAGCTACGAGTAGTTCAATTTCTTGTCTGTAATTTGCGTTTTCTCTGGTTTTGCCCTTCTTTTCCCGGTGAAAAAAGAAGTTAAACAACACATGGGTAGTTGAAGCTATCGTCCGGACGCACATGTAGAATTTTTAATTCGACATTCTCCTCCGGACGATAGATTCAACTACCCATGAAATGAGGGAAAAAAACAAATTTCATGTTGGCCTTCGGCTGCGATACCGCTCTGTACACAGATAGTTGCTTGCTGGCTTGCCTTTCGATGTTCTTAGCCGATAAATAGGGTTGCACGAGTTGGGAAAATGGGTTTAACTCTATTGTTTGAGCTACAAGCATTGAGAATACAAACAAATTTGGTTCCTCTTGCTATTATGGTATCTTTGTCGCAGTTTGCTGTTTGCAGGGGAGAGAGAGGCCAGACCAGCACGTGCAAGCGGCTGCTATGTTAGGTAAGCGACTATGACATAAACGGCCAGGAGTCGGGCCCGCATGCCGGCCAGCGGATGCTGCGGGCTCGGTTGCCCAGCACCCTGGAGACCGCGCCTTCCAGCAGACGTCGCGTCACATCGCGATGCTTCTCTGAGCTCTTCTTATTCTTTCGCTCGCTCCTTCGTACTCGCCGTCAGTGCTTGCATCCTTAAAGTTGGACATGCGCCGCTCTTTTGCCTAGCATCGCCCCGCCTGGTGCTGGCTGTCCGACCCCGGATGCTCCCACTGACTGCCCGCTGAGACGACCGTCCGAACACCACGCGACAACCCGGCCCGCTTCGCGTTCGCCGCACCTCCGCCGCTATGGATTACCTCCGCGCGATCCCCCAGGCAGCCACAGCCGCACGCCAGCTAGTCATGAATCCGCTGGAACAGCTGGATGGCATCCTGGGCAAAGTAATGAATAGCGGGACCGTCATCGCCGAGGCGACGGGGTCAGGCGGTGCTAACGTCACCAACAACATCACATCTGCTGCCGGGAAGTTTATACAGAGCTCTGCCGCCGCGATACCTGGCGCAGCTGCATCAGCAGCCGCTGCTGCCACGAGCGGTGACGCTGTTGAGGGTGCCGACGGCTTGTTCAACCTGGACTACATATGGAACCTCGGCAAGATCGGTGGGATCTTCAGCTACATTACGTCTAGGTGGGCTCTTGCCACCTTCACCGTGGTATGCCTATCTCGCACACTGTCCAGCTGTCAATTTAGGTCTAATCAGATTGTGCACAGGCTATCCTACTGAATCGCACCCAGTTCTACGCCTCGTCCCGTATCCCTTTGAACTTCCGCTGGCACGTTCGCCTCGCCGTCTACCTCGCCCCGATCGTGACGTTAATCTACCAGACCCAATGCCTCCTCCAAGCCATTCGCTGCCAAACCTCTCCCGAGTGGTCGCAATTACGCTACAACGACGCGAAACAACCCCTTGCAGTGGATATGGCAGGCGAGGGTGGCATGCTCTACAAGCTGAGTTCAAACATGCTCTACTGGGAGGATGACTTGACATCATGCAAGGCTGTGAATATGGGCCACTCTGAAGGCGAATTTCTGTCCCTCAACGGATCGCTTGCACGTCTCTGGCCTCTTTTCTTGAGCCTCTGCTTGAGCCAATTCGTCGAGACCATGTCATGCGCACTCCAAGGACGCCAGCCTATGCCCGAGACGGGCATGACCTTGTTTGAACACTCGCTGGCATTCTCGGAAGCCGAGATGATGTTGACACGGCCATTTGACCTTGGAAATTCGACTGCCACTGTCACCAGGACCGATGGAACAACCTTGAAATTGACGCGAGGGATGCTCCTCCAGGTTCTCAATGTCGCGCCCGAAGTCCTTGTCATGGCCGTAGTGTCAAGCTTAAGCCACTTGAGCAGCAATTGTCTTGCCGTCCTAGGCCTGAGAACCCGCTTCCGACTTGTCAACACTGGCATTTGGGGTGTCGCCTACATGGTCGTCTTCGTATGGACTTTCCTGCGGATGACGGGCATGATTGGGTCGATTCCCCATGACCTTGGCATACTCCGGATTCCGACCGTCTGTCTTGTTGGGTTCATCCCTCACCTCTTGATTTTGATTGGTCTACTCGCGTGCGTAATGATATACGGACTGGCCTTGGCCGTCACGGCCTTGAGTCTCCCCTCCGGAACCGAGCAGACCATGACATTTAAAGAGAGGTTCAGAACTGCATATGGAAATCTGCAGGCCAACGTCCATTTTTCTGGCAGTACGCCAATTAGCGTAAGCTGGTCGGATGACTTTTACACGGCGCTCCTCAAGATTGGATTTACCGTTCTCACGGCGGCAAGCGAGGCTGTCTTCCTCAATGAGGGGACTCCCATCCGGGTTAGCGAGATGACTTGGCTGGAGAGCAAGAGAATTGAAGAGCTGGTGGCGCGTAGGGCTATGGTGCAACGCACTATTGATGGAATCCCTGCTGAACTTCGCGAGGATTTTGTTGCTGAAGGGGTTAAGGCGATGGACGTGCCAGAAAGTACAATCGGACTTCGCTCTGGATACGCTCGTGAACGTAAAACGCGTGGACAGAAGAGCTTGCCCGAGGCCAGAGCCGCCGGCAGGGACAATGGTGTAGGCCTGCTGCAGCGGCGCGGGCGTTGGATCATGACTTACGAATTCGCCAAGGGCATACACCGGCTGGTTGTGGCCATGCAGGCGCGTTTCGTGCTACTGGTCATGAGCAAACTTGGAATGACTCGTCGACCGCAGTGGCTGCTGAAGTTTGCCGGCTTACACCAGCGGCCATCAGCAACGAAACCCTCGAGGATCAGTCAAATGGCTGCAGAACTGCGGTCCCGAGAGTTGGAATTCTGGTACCTCTCGCCGGATGGCAGACTTACTCGGCCGTCAGATACGAACGTCGATGTTGAAGTGGAGACCAGACGGCGGCTTGAAGAGAATGGGAAGACGTTGTTCGGCGAGGACGTCACCGAGGAGTCACTCAGCTCTAACTTATACTCCTGGTGGAAGAATGGTGGATGGTGGGGCGATATCGACTCGAGCGGCGACTACGCCCTTCCATCCGATCAGTCTGAATTCGACGATACTACGAGTTTCATTTCTATGTCGACAACTACTGGCGAAGAGGAATGGTCTGACATCGATGAGGACGGCCGCCGCACGCCGACCCAGGAGGATCCTCATCCGGATAGAGGAGTGACCCCTTCGTTTGACGATGGCTCACTCGATCCAGCACAGCTGGCGCGCCTTCTTGATCCCCAGACAGACGAAGACAGGACTGAAGCACAAGTACTTGCCAGCCATCTCCGCAGCAATCGCATCATGACCCGTTCGCAGTACCGAAAGGCCGCTGAATTACATCGCGGCCGTATCCTCACATCTCGCTACCGTCCAGGACATGTGTACGCCACCATGACCCCTGAGGAAGAAGAAAGAGCGCTTGAGCAATACATTCTCGAAAGGCGCAACGCCACAGCGCAGAAACATGGCAGCAGCTCTTCCGCCGCAGACACTTGGGCTGGCGGTGCTGACGGCATGGGGTCCGGCGGTCCTCAGTGCGTTGTCTGTCAGGCCAGCCCGCGCACGATCCTGGTGTGGCCGTGTGGATGTCTCAGCCTTTGCGACGACTGCAGGATCGGGCTCGCGACCCGAAACTTCGACTCTTGCGTCTGTTGTCGGGGCGTGACGGCTGCTTATTCACGTCTCTACGTGCCTTAATCATTATCATACTTCAACTAAAGCGTGAGGAGAAGTGAGCAAGGAATGTTGGGGCATAGGGTGGGCGTTATTGATTTTGGGTGAACATTCGCTAATGTCTCGTTTACTGGACTGGATGTATTATAGATCTGGTCACGCCGAAGGGCTGAGTGACCGAAATTGCACTGTATTTGTTGCATTGTCTGTTGTTATGGCACTCTTTACCTGGGTAGCTTCAAACCTTTACAATGCCACGCTGCCGGCCCCGGATACAAGCGTAAGAATACTTCATCCCGTATTTGATTACAATAACCCCGCATACCTTCACAAACAGGACAGCATGAGTAAACATTCCTTCAGAAGACCCTATTTATTTTTTTTTTCAAAGGATGTCAAGCTAAGGGCCCATCCTGTCCAGCTGGCGGCCCGAACGTCGACCTCCCCTCCCCGATGACGTCCCAAAACTCCTCGACCAACTCCGCCTGCCCGCTCGCCGGCTCGGCCGGCCTCACGGCCAGATAGCGGCGGTTGTCGATCGGGGGGTGCCAGTTGCCCGGGTGGCCGTCGACCATGATGCCGCCGGCCTCGGTCAGCACGCACCACGCCGCCGCCACGTCCCAGGCCCAGGCGCCGCACTCCCAGAAGCAGTCCTGCTGGCCGGCGGCGACGCGGCACACGGTCTCGGAGGCGCAGTTGGTCGCGCGGAGCGAGTGGGCGAAGCGGCCTCCTTTACCACCGCCGCCGCCGCCGAACGATGATGATGATGATGCGGGGGCAGCGGCGAGCGTGGCGAAGACGGAGAGGTTGAGGGCGAAGTTGGGCCCGGCGCGGTCGCTGCCGAAGTCGATGCCGACGCAGGCGTGGCGGAGGCCGGCCAGCGGGGTGTTGTTGAGAGGCAATCGCTGGGGCTCGCCGCCGTGCCGGGTGGGCTGCTGGTGGTAGGCGCCGGCGCCGCGAGCGGCGGAGAAGAGCTCCTGCAGGAAGGGGTTGTAGACGACGCCGACGACGGGGACGCGGGCGACGACCAGGGCCAGCGAGACGCAGACCTCGGGCAGGCCGTGGACGAAGTTGGACGTGCCGTCGATGGGGTCGACGACCCAGGTCGGGCCGGGCCCGATGCCCTTGGATGCGTCGAACGACGACTCTTCGCCGACGAAGTCGTACTCTGGGTACCGCGCGATCAGCCGCGTTGCGATTAGGTTCTCGACGGCTTTGTCGGTCGCGGTGACGATGTCGGTGGCTTTTGAGTGGGGCAGTCGGGGGGTTTCTTGTTAGTTACTTTCGGATGTCTTGTTTTTCTATTTCTCATGTGTACTTCGTTGAACATACTATTTTTCTTGGTTATAGCGTCTGCTGAAGAGGGCTTCGCCGAAGTGATTATCTCTCCTGCTTCTTTGGCCACGATGACGAGAAAGTCCCGTATGGCTAACAGCTCAGGAACGTGGAAAGACATCTCTGAATGTCAACAGAGTGGTCTATGGAGCTCGGTGCTAAGTCAACCGCCTTGAACAAGGCACGTTTGACGCTTGCGGGGCTGTGCAAGTGAATTGCTGACGTAAATTGGAATTTTCCGGGGGAATCAGGGCGACGTCGAGAGGCCCAAGGAAGCCGGGAAGGTGTCCCAACCACGCAAAAACCTTGAAGGAGCGTCCATCTGACTCTTATGCCTTCGTCTTCCGTACTCGCTAAAAGGCATGATGACGTGACATTTGCTCTCTTGTTGTTCCGGGACTGAACTAATGGAACCCCGCATTCGCCTTGGCGTGCGCCGAGTTTGATAATCCCGCTTGATGTATCTAGCCCAATACCGCCCAACGCCTGCATTCGAGTCATCGCGTCTACGAAAGTAGACCAATGATCTGACATGACTCTCATATGGAGCGTGATCAACTTCGAATCTCACCGCATACATGCTCAAGGTTGAGCAGTAAGATATCAGCACATGACCGAGCAGATGAGACCAGTCGCAGGACGCCTGAATTGGAATGCTGGGGCCTGCGTGGAAAAAGGTCACTAGCGATATGTATCGTGTAACTATGGATAATTATTCCTGAAGAAACCGAGGCCAAACCTAAGTATATGAAGGATGCACCACAACATGTGGATACTATTGCTAGTCGCCCGTCGACAATGCTGAGTAGTAGCCTCTAGCTAATTGTCTAAAGCTCTTGTTCTAAGGCATTTGTTTATTGATAATATGTAGGCCAAGTATAGCGTTATGGGGGGACGGTACTTCTGCCAAAGTTTGTGTTCGAGGGTGAACATAACATCCTCCGAGCATGTAAACAGCGCAGGATGTTGTTGGTTTTAATGCGAGCGCAGGAAATATACAGGTTGCGCGATAATATGCACAGACTCGAGAGAGATTAGAACCTAAACCTTCCTCTTACTGTTGGATCAGTGGATGAATGGAAGTAATCGCAGCTAAGAAAAAGGCGAGAGGGGCATGGCTGGTAAAGGTTGAGTGTTGGTACGATGAAGATGGAAGAGGCGCTGAAGGACATTAGCGAAGGCACTTTAAGTGTAACGGGCACCCACAAGGTTCCGCTGAGACACCTGGCCAACTCTACGGAAATCTAAGTAGTAGCAAATATGGAAGGTCTGTTTTCGGAGACCCCGAATACGATCTTGAGGTCCATCATGACGCATCGTCTTTGAAAGCATAAATACAAGATAGTCATGGGTTGCGTCATGTGATTCGCCCAGATAGGAATGCGGCGGGATAAGAAGGTTGATAAATGCAATGACTTGAGGTGGCATGAGTTCCTCGTCGCTACTGGCCTTGACCACTCACTTCTCGTTCGACGCGAGGTGGCGATATGCGGAGGTGTTTAATATTAAGAGAGAAATTTTGGCGAATCAGCGACCACAAAGCGATGATGGGCAGTTCAGGCGTCATCTTGGAAGCGGAGTGGCCGACGTGTTGCATGGGTACCTGGCAAGCGCAAGCAATGCACGGCCGGGATCGACACAGCCTTTATCGTAACCTGACGCTCGGATCTATCGCGAACCCACGCGGTTTCCATTGCCCGCATGAAGACTGCGTATGTGAAGAGAGATGTCTCCGATGAGGCGCTTCTGTGATCCCATTGGCTCTCGTTCCCGCCGCACCAAAGACACGGGCCTTCGGAAAATTATTTGAGGATGGACTCGGAAATAGGGACCACGTGGGCGTCAATGGTGCGGTGCTTAGCGTGGCGACACTGGGAAGGTAATGCTCGTGAGAGAGATATGTGTGGCCAGCTCGAATGAAATCAAAACTCTAGAAATGAAGGTGCAAAGTCTTCGGAGTAAACATGTGCGAAAAAGACAAAATCATTCGTGAGCGAATATTACGTGGCGCCGTTGGCGTACGTTTTCTGACGACTCGCAAAGTTGGGGATGAATACCCCGTAATCAACGAGTCTATGAGCAGGAGCGCCGTCTCCGTTTTCCTGTGCTTAGGCGCCATAATTTCTCAACGTCTACGCAGGGCGGCGTGCCCAAAATACGTCAACGGGGAAATAGCTGTGGATCTGCGGTAATGTGAGAACAGACGCTACGGCATGCGCGATAGCGGCACTGACCTGGGGATTATAGAGATCGCTCTTTGCTTTGCGGACAAGTTCCTCTACTTCCTCTTCGGACCAACCAAGGCCATTGGTCAGCACCTTCACAGACAGACCCTGCAAGTTGCCTGCGATGTCCCTTTGGAACAGGATTCCCATAGTCTTCTCTTTCTCCCCTTTCGCCCAAGGACCAAGGGGGAATTTAGTATGAGTTTCCCCGATCGACTCGAAGCCATGCTTTTCCAAGAGGGCTCGGAAATTCGAAGTGGCCATGGAGTCGATGCCCAGATTCTTGAATGCCTCGTACATGCTGTGGCTCCATCTCGTGACAGCAGCATCGGGGCCAGCGCTGCCGTCATCACAGCCAATTGGGACGTGGAACTCCTGGAACTCAACCCATCCACCCGGACGCAGGCTCTGGAAGGACTGTTTGATCAGTTTGTCCCAATTCTTAATGCCCAGCAGCACAGCGCGAGTGTGGATATAATCAAACCGCTCTCCGAAAGTCCAGTCGGCATTAGCATCATCAACAAGGAACTCGCAATTGGGAGGCACATTGTTGGGCTGAATTGGGGAGAGATCGGTGCCAAGCACACGAAGATGAGGGTGTTCGTCGGCGAGTTCAATGCACCAGGCTGCAGGCGTCGTCGGGATTAGTTCGAATGGGAGGAGGAAGAGGCAGCGCTCACCACCGGTGCCACAACCGACGTCGAGAACGTCGTGGACGGAATCAAGGTCCAGGGGTGCAAGATAGTGGGTACCGCTGAGGGCGATGTCCCAGACGCGGTGCTGGAGATCTGACAGGGTCACTTGGGGCGACTTGGTGTGGGGGGGATCTACGCACTCAAGCGATCAATCTCTTCCTGTGTCACGAGTCAGCGTGGATGATGCATGAGGCCGGGGACGCGGTACGTCGTCATTCGGCAGCGAATAGCCTGCAATGGAGATCATCAGCAGCAGAACGCAGCAAGCGGGAAGCAGAGAGACGGACCGCCGTCTTCGATGGCATGATAACGACGGCCATGGGCATAGCGGTAGTCGGTGACGCTTTCGGACAGCGAAGTGGTGGTGCTGCTGACATTTGAGTGTCAATCGTGGGGAAAGAACGAGAGCAGCTCACGAGCCCAGCAGGTCGGTAGAGTCGTCGTCGTCGTGTTGCGAATGCTGCAGGGGCCATGCATGTCAGCGTGTTGCGACGTGAGGGTGTTTGCGATGGCTGACATACGTCGACCGACAGCTGTTCGCCGATGATGCAGGAGGCGGGTGCGGGCGCCGGTGCGGCGGCCGGCTGGTCGTACGCGGGCTGGGCCGGCATGTCGCAACACTGCAATAACGTCGCTACTATTGCGCTGCTGACCTCGCAAACGATGCTGCAAGCTGAAGAGCTCGGTATACTGGCTTGCAGTCGACAGTCGGCAGTGCCGCAGCTGAGTCCCCACTCTTCCCATTGCCGGAAGTGAGCATTTCCGCAGCCCCGCCGTGGCCCAGCCCGGAGAGGATCGATGGCACACACCGTTGAGCCATCGGCCCGCGGACGCGGAAAATTGGCGCGCGCCGTCACGGGCACCATGGAGCTTCCCGCCGGCCACCGTCTCTTCTGCAGCATCGCCACGGGTCATGCCACGCTGCCACCTGTTCCTGCGTTGTCAGGGCGGGTGACGTCGCAAAAAAGATCAATGCCGTGTCAAGCGACTGACGCGACAGCCGCACCGCACCGCCTCATGCCTCCGCCACTGCTCAGCCTCCATACTCCGATGCCTGCACACCCGCGTCTATCGAGCCTCGGCGTGGCCGAGGCGGCCAACCGAAGGGCCTGCTCTGCCTTCTCGTTGGCGCGCTGCGAGTATGCCAGCGCGGATCCTGTCAAACGCCCGCCCAATCGGACCCCGAGACGTCGACACTGCCAGCTTGACGCCGATCCAGCCTGGAAACAGCTCGTTTGGAGCCTGCCTTCGTGACTTTTGCGATGCCGTACACACGCACACGCCCTCGACTCAACATGCACGCGCCCGTTTCATCTCAACGCTGTCCGGATGAACCACCGAATAAGGCGACCTCTGTGGCAATGGCCACCACGTGGACCCTGGAGTTGTGGTAGCAAGCGACAACCGCCGGGAGCTGCCAGGGCTCGAGCCTCATCCTTGAGCCTCTCATGCCTTACTGGCCGCCGCGCCTGCAAGCCCACTTCTCGCCCCACCAATCAGCAATACCAACTGCCCTCCCACCGTTTGATTGGTGCTGGGATACGCCTGTGGTCACCGCTCTAGATGCTTGGCTTGCCTTGCGGAGCCTTCGTCGATCTGCCGTCCAATTGAGGCCCTGCGAAGCCCGGCCGAAACAGCCTCCACCGGCCACTCTGCACGCGCCATGAACCCTTGTGAGATATGCATGCCCGGACCTGGTTCAGGGTACCGTCTCGTGCTCACCGTGTGGGGTCAAGCTTTGCATGCCCACTGCCGGCCGACCTAAGAACCCGTACCTGTCCTGCTTCTGGCCTTTCCAGCTTTTGCGCCCTTTATACCTGCAGAGATGAGGCTGCCACCACCACCTCTCTTGTACCTGCGTTGAATTTCAAGAGCATCTCAAGCATGGCGGCGGCATCCTCCGTCCCGCAAGAGGTGCTCGGCCTCGCCATTTTCGTTGATTGCCTGAGCCTTATTGCCACCGTCCTGGGCCTTCTCTTGTGCTTTATGCTGTGGAACCATGGCGAGCGAGTCTCTTGTAAGCTACGAGCCTTGTTCTCCTCGACCCCTCCGCCCAAACTAACCGGTCCAGACATATTAATGCTTAGCGCATGCACTACCTTTGGAGCCATCGTCGGACTAATCCGTCATGTTGACTACACCCTAAACTGGAGAGACATACAAGAAGAACGATTTGAGCATGAGCAACACTTTTCATACAGTCAGTCCGACATGTTTAGGAAAGCCGACGTGGGATGGCGTTTGGTGCTGAGCTGGATCTGTATGGCCCCTTGCGCGCCCCGAAGCTTGCCATGCACTAATGCCTCGTTACAGCAATATTCACCTACAACGTCGATGCTCTTCTTGTCTTGTTCTGGTCAGTGCTGTCGCTTTCCTCTTCGTCATTCATTCAGCATACTGATGCCCCTCAGGTCGATCGCCCTGTTCATTGGTACCTGGGACATCAGAATGAAGACTTCGAGCAAAAAGATCATGTCAGCCGTCTTCAAGACCTCTGCTATTGTCCTCCCTATAGCCATGTGTGTGGTTTGCAGCAATGACGCCATCCAGCAAATTCCGGTGGCTTATCTGGTTCTCTTTAACTTTATCAGTAAGTTCCAAGTCAGAGGAAGTACAACGAATGCGATACTAACCATCTCTACAGTGGCAATTTGCCTAACGACCGGATCACTCCTTGTAATCGTCGTACTTCTGAAATACCTCCAGAGTCGGAACCTTTTCACGCGCTTTTTCCCTCGTTCAACTGGAAAGTCGCCTTCATTAGGTGGTGGTACCATGTCTAGTGTCGCAACGACACGGACCCAGACCGGCACCGATAAGTGGCTCATCGTTCGTTTTAGTATCATCATGATCTGTCTCCTGTAAGTTCCACCCTGCGAGCCTAGGGGCTTAGCTGATTCTCTTCCAGAGTCTTCGAGACAGCCCAGATCATCTACCAAATCGTCAACTACGAACGCAACCGACACGATTCAAGAGCCGCGGCGACATCGCCAGACTTCAGCATCGAACAGGCAAAGGTCGATATATCTCAAGACATTCCAGGCACGCTGCCAAGCATCATCGCGTTCCTGATCTTTGGAACAACCGGTCCCTTCCGAAAGAAATACGCGCAGGCATTTAAGATTATTTTCTGTTGTACGCCGACACAAAGGAAAAAGTCCAGGAAGGATCCAGTTCCGTGGATGATGTTACAACCTCGAGGAGAGGGCCAAGCATCGTGCACCTCTTTTCCTGAAGGTCTTGATCTGGAGGGCCAAGACAAGCCAGCAACTGGAATTCGGGTCCGAACAGAGATTTCCACATCATCGATATCGAGTGAGACTACGGCGACGGCGGATACTTCCGAAGAGAACCAGAGGCCGTCCATTAAAGATAACATCAAAAGAGTATCTTTTGGAGGTACCACCTTGAGGTCTCAGGATGATCCTATGAGTCCAGCACTGGTATACAGCAACCCAAGCAGCAGAAGGCCTTCCTCGCCAACACGAAGGCATTCTCGAACATTCTCACCTATCCTCAAGACTGGAAGCCAGCTCGGGAGTCCGGATGCTCAAATTATTGGATCGTGGGAATGGTCCTCTCACAACCGCCAAGGATCACTGCCATACAGTCAACAGGACTCCTTGCCCGGCAGCCGAAGACCATCAGCCTCTTTAGGGAGAGAACCATCTGTATCTTCTCTCCATTCACAGCGCTCCTGGAGAAGCCCGTCATTGACGAGCTCCGCAACTCCGCCTCGACCCCGTGCACTTCCTTTGCTCCCTGAGGTGGGAACGGCCTACAGTCCACTCCACGGTCCGACACATAGGAGGGCACCATCCTCTCCACGGAGCCCGCGCTCGAGCAGGGATGATCCCCTGTACCCGCAGCCAATGTCATCTCCGAGGCTGGTGGATGTACCGCCAGTTCCGCGCATCCCTTCGCCGGCAGACTGGCAAAGGGAATCCACAACGACAATTGGAAGCATCCAGATGCTCGCTGAATTGGCAAGGTCCCCGGTCACGTCTCATGCGCCTTTGATACCTTTGGTGCCGAGACCCAGTGCAGATGAGGTCCGGGGTCAGGAACAGGGAAGACGAGAACAAGCCGGCTGGTCTCCGAAATCAACAAGGACCTCGACCGACACGGCGTCTGCAGCATCCAATCGCCCGTCTGGAGAGGGCGCGGTCCCCACAACGGCGGCCCGGTCCGGAAGCACCGCTAGTAATCTCGCTTCGGCTCCGGGCTTCGGTACTCAACGGTTGAACGACCAAGGAACCGCGGCACAGCAGCAGGTGCAAGGACACCGCTCGCACCACAGCCGCAACGGAACTCTGCTAAGCAACAGCGAGATCGAGAACTTGAACCTTGCGGCTGCCCCACCGCGTGGATCCCCGGCTCCATCTGCAGCAACTCCCCCGAGCTACCAATCGCCAGGGGGGTGGATTTGAAACATTTCATGACTTACTTGTACATAATTTTCCGCTTTTCTTTTTCTTTAATCAACCGAACCCTGGTGGCATACATGGGTCCACCTGAGGGAGAACGCTTTGGGAATCACCAAGCGGACAAGAAGTCCTTGGTCCAACCCGATCAGATCTAAATGGAGTCATGAAAAGCAAGCATGTGGGATTACAAAGACTTTGGGAAGTCGGATCCGCACCGGTCAAGGATTAGCCGGTACTTACCGGGTGCGATGAAGAAAGGCTAGAACGAACGATTTATGAATCAGGAAAGGAATGAAAGATACCCGCCTCCACATCCCCCTTGCGCATCCCATCGCTTGATGAGCGAACCCGTGTACACGCGTCGATCTTGAGTAGGAAGCGACCGATGCTTAAGGCTGAGATTTGCTTATTTGCGCATCCTAATAGGTCATAACCGCACTGTAATGCTGCATGAGTCGGCTGTTGTTGAGCGGCTCCGCTCCACGCTCTGGCTGCGCACGGTCGATGTCTTCACTGTCGGGCACCGCACCACTTTCCGCACCCGCATTCAACTCTTACCAAGCAATCACCAAAAGAAAAGTGTTGCACAGCGGGCACCCAAGCTCACCCTAGTCGAAAGCGTGTTCCGTTAAGCTCAAGGCTCGAGATACTACACTGAGCACTCTCGTCTTGCACTTCGAGAACATCCTTTAATTTCCCACTAGCAGGCTAACCGTTTGTATTTCGCTGTAGTTCCTCTTATGCATGTGCCTGTGTTATAATCAAGCTCGGAAGTACATGGTGGCAACCAGCCTACTCTCGACATTGATGGTGGACAAGCCGTTAGGGACAAGATCATCGCGGCACACTGTAGTACACAAACCTCAATTGATGCAGTTAGAATTCGACCTTTCTTAGTGATATCTACAATAATAGAGTGCTTTCAATTTTCTACTCGCAGTATGCTCGTTCAGCACCTGAGGCACTGCGTGGAAGAAAGTTGTTGCCGGTAGCAACAGATGACGCAACTGCAAGGCAAGCGCGCTGGTTTGGACGTCTTCACCCCACTCCTCCCGCAACCATCACTCCTCCGACATCCCTCATTTCCTTTCTCCCGTAAGCCTGTCAGCACATCCCCCCCGACGTATCAACCATGCAGCCCATGCAGCCTGCGCTCGCTCGCCCGCCAGCTACGCGCCCGAGATCCATCCGCGAGTAACCGCGCACGGTTGTTTCTCGGCCTTCTTTGCCGTGTCTCCGTGAGCGCACGTCCCAACGCCCGAAAAAAAGGTTGCTCCACCGAAAGAAAAATTCAACGGCTGCAAGGAAAAGGGGGGGGGTCGGCCTTCATTCCACTTGCCTGCCATCAGTGAATTACTCACTCACCCAGTGGTCTCCTCATAAGGTAAATAGCTCAGCTCATTTTTCAACAGGTGCTTGATCCACTTCGGATCATCCACCAGGGCTTCTACAACCAGCCCCTTTAGCTCAGTGGTAGAGCGCGACACTAGTAATGTCGAGGCCATCGGTTCGACTCCGATAGGGGGCATATCTTTTTGCTGTGCTGTGTGCCCTGATGCAGGGGCGCGTCGTGGGTGTTTGTTTGCTCACGGCCATCCTTTCGTTTTGCGCATCTGGGTGTGCTGAACGGCGTGCATACTTCTGACTGGCGTAATGCAGTGTTGCTTGCTTCCCTGCTGATTGCTAGAACAGATGTGTAATGCTCCTGTTCTTTCTCCCTGAACATGATGATGTGGTTTGACTGGGGAAGGGATAAGCTGGCGTCATTGTGGCCGGTTCACACATTTGGAATAACCTGCCATTATCTGCCAACGCTACATGTTTTCTATGATAACAATTCATTTAACCTTTAAGAGACAGTACATCGCATCAATCAATCCCATCATGATTCTGAGAACGAAATCGAATAATGTTGTCAATAGCCGCGAAGCAGAAGGCATGCAAGTAAGATCAATGGTCTTACCGTAAGCAATTCAGTCTAAAACATATCGCTATGACTAGGAAAACATAGAGAACACCCACTGGGATGTTTTCAAAACGACAAAGTGTGTCCCGTGTGAGACTTGAGAAACCCGGACATAGACAGGCGGAACTTGTTACTCGAGCAGACCGTTGGTGAATCGTCAGAGAGATCATGGGTAATTATCGCAGCTCGCGGCGCCACAAGAATCTGCTGAAGTAAAGAAGTGTTTAGTTATAAGACTTGAACGCCTCGTTGAAAGCTTAGCAGATCCTCGACGGTGTTGCTGTCAGCTATTATGACAAACTCCGTCTCTAGATCCTTGGTCTACTCTAACTCAGCCACAACTACTGTTATTTTAGAAGGTGGCGGTAATATAAGGCGAAGAGGTTGGTAATGCTGCGAAGCTTCATGATGACAGGCTAGTCCACAAACGGAGAACAAATTGGAGTCCGTGCGTGACGCGCGAGTTGGAAAACGCGACGCGACCCAACACGCGTCTGCTCCGAAACTCAGCCGGACGCGCTTTCCCGCTGAAAACACGGCGTTTGCGTCTGCTCCACCAAAACACTCACTCCTCTGTTCACTTCCCCGCATATCACACTTTTGGCGTCGCCAACATGTCTTCGCTAGTTGACGCCGTCATTGGCTCCGACAACTTCGGCCTGGATGCTGCAACTCCCGCATCGGCAGCATCCCAAACACCAAGACGTCCCCGCGTCCGATCATCTTCGAGACCACGAGGCCCGCCGTCTGAGAGTGCTGGCGCAAACAGCGACATCGAAGGCTTCCCGGACGATGAAGTGGTTGGAGCAAGGGGAACTGTCCGCCGGTCAGCAGGGCCGCGGCAAGACATTCCTCGCGTTGTCGATGTGACTGGAGAAGCTCTCTCGCAAAGATTCGAAGAGTTCCTCGAGAGGTTCGCCTGCTCTTCTGGCCTGACCTGAATCAATTGCGCTGACAAGTTGTAGTTACACAGAAGAGCCTAGCTCATCGGCCGCACCAGCCTCGAGCGTCCAGACCACCGACAAGTACTACGTTGCCCAAATCAATGGCATGCGCCACTACGGCCTATCTACCCTCTACATCGATTTCACGCACCTGATGAGGCATGAAGATGGTGTTGTCGCGAATGCTATTGCGAACGAATACTACCGCTTCTTGCCCTACATGATTAGAGCCCTCAACAACCTGATCGCAAAGTACGAGCCGGAATACTTCAGAGAGCACAGGCAGCCCAACTCAACCTCCTCTGTCGCTGCCACCTCCTCTATCGGCGACTCTGCAGGCGACGAGTCCAAGCTGTCAAGCAAGACTCCCAACCAGCAGACCGACAAGCTCTTTTCGCTTGCGTTTTACAATTTGCCGCTGGTTTCCCGCATCCGACAGCTGCGGACCTCCTCGATTGGAAAGCTCCTCTCAATCTCCGGTACCGTTACAAGAACATCGGAAGTCCGTCCTGAGCTATCATTGGCTACCTTTGTTTGCGAAGTTTGCAATGCTGTTGTTCCCAACATTGAGCAGACCTTCCGCTACACCGAGCCTACACAGTGCCCGAACTTGACCTGCGGTAACCGCGTCGGCTGGCGCTTGGATATCCGGCAAAGCACTTTTGTCGACTGGCAGAAGGTGCGCATCCAGGAGAATAGTTCTGAGATCCCCACCGGCAGCATGCCTCGGACAATTGATGTCATCTTGCGTGGTGAAATGGTCGACCGTGCGAAGGCTGGAGAGAAGTGCATCTTCACTGGTACTGCCATTGTTATTCCCGATGTCAGCCAATTCCGCGTTCCTGGTGTTAGACCTCAAGCCACCAGGGACAACACCAATATGCCCAGGGGTAGCGACGTCGGTGGCAGTGGCGTCTCAGGATTGAAGGCACTTGGCGTTAGAGATTTAACCTACAGGATGGCATTCCTTGCCTGCATGCTCACGCCCGATACTTCCACTCCAGGTCAGAGCTCGACACAGCAGCTTCATGGACAGGCTGGAAATATTCTGGCCTCCCTGAATCAGACCGCCCCGTTGGAAGTTACGCAAACTGGCGAGGAGGCGCAGGCGGAGTATCTTTCTACTCTTTCTCCGGCTGAGATTGAGGATCTCCGCAACATGGTCCACACTAACAACATTTTCATGCGTTTGGTCGATTCAATCGCACCTATGGTTTATGGACACCAAGTTATCAAGAAGGGTCTTCTTCTCCAGCTGATGGGAGGTGTCAGCAAGATTACTCCCGAAGGCATGGCCCTGAGAGGTGACATCAACATTTGCATTGTTGGCGATCCCAGTACCAGCAAGTCGCAGTTCCTCAAGTACATCTGCTCCTTCCTGCCTCGCGCTGTCTACACTTCTGGAAAAGCTTCCTCTGCGGCTGGTCTTACCGCTGCTGTGGTCAAGGACGAGGAGACGGGAGACTTTACCATCGAAGCTGGTGCATTGATGCTTGCAGACAACGGAATCTGCGCCATCGATGAGTTTGACAAGATGGATATAGCAGACCAGGTCGCCATTCACGAAGCCATGGAACAACAGACGATTTCCATTGCCAAGGCCGGCATCCAGGCCACTCTCAACGCCCGTACTTCTATCCTTGCCGCAGCGAACCCCGTCGGAGGCCGCTACAACCGCAAGACAACCCTCCGGGCCAACGTCAACATGAGCGCTCCCATTATGTCACGTTTCGATCTCTTCTTTGTCGTGCTGGACGAGTGTGAGGAAAGTGTCGATCGTCACTTGGCCGAGCACATTGTTGGCATCCATCGCCTCCGTGACGACGCAGTGCAACCAGAGTTTAGCACGGAGCAGCTGCAACGCTACATCCGCTTCGCTCGCACCTTCAAGCCTGAGTTCACCCCTGAAGCTAAACAGACTCTCGTTGAGAAGTACAAGGAGCTGCGTGCCGACGATGCCCAGGGCGGCATTGGCCGCAACAGCTACCGTATCACCGTCCGTCAACTCGAGTCAATGATCCGTCTCAGTGAAGCCATTGCCAAGGCCAATTGCGTCACGGAAGTTACTCCCGAGTTTGTGCGCGAGGCATACAACCTCCTCCGACAGTCGATTATCTCCGTTGAGAAGGATGATGTTGAGGTTGAGGACGAGGATGAAGCTGCCGCAGCAGATGCTGAGGCGGGTGCTGACGCGGAGATGGGCGACGCCAACGCTGGAGAAGAGGCCGGGGCCTCTGCTTCCGCCACGCCAGCACCTCAAAGAGAGAAGAAGAAGATCACCTATGACCACTACATGTCCATCTTGAACATGATGGTGCGTCGGGTGAACGCAGATGCCGCGACAGCTGAGGACGGTGTTGAGGAGGAGGAGCTGCTTGTGTGGTACCTGGAGCAGAAGGAGGCAGAGCTGGAGACGCAGAAAGACTTGGAGGAAGAAAGGGATTTGGCAAAGAGGGTGCTGAAGAGGATGGTCAAGGTAAGCATTCCGTCCGCTCAACCTCACAGAATGTGCATTGCTAACATGTCGTAGGACAACATCCTTATGCAGATCCGTGGTGAAGGTCTCGTAGAGGAGGGTGAGGAGCAGCAGCGTGATGCTAGGGTGGTGTATGTGATGCATCCCAACTGCGCCGTGGAGGATATGTAAGGTGGATGGGGAAGGAAGAAGAAAAAATAACGGGCCAGTTTCGGTCACAAGGTCATGGCGTTCAGAGAAATGTGTTGATACCAATTGTTCATCAGAGGGAGGTGGCAATGATGATGCCTTGTTATATTTACTTGTTTGTTGGCTTAGCATGATCGAAACGAAAGCGTTTGAAGAATACATTGCTTCCGTTGCCTGCACCTGATACGTCACTATGCTAAGGTCTTTAAGGTTATGCTTTCTTATCCTGTCATTCTTGACGGGCGGTGAAAGTGTGTACCGTGAAATGGCTAGTTCTCGATACGGCTATTACACAGCCAACCTTTCTGCCTGCTTATCCGCTTGCCTTGTATCCGGCTCAATCCCTTTACCGAAAACTGGAAGTTGGCCTTCTCTGTCGTTGAAAATCAAGCTTGCACAAACAGACAAACCTCCAGGAGTTGACAAGCAAACGCCAGCTAGATCTACAGAAGACAGCTAGATAGCCTGGGTGCAATCATTACTGGAATTATATAACACCGGCTCGCCGCTGGCACCCGAAGGTCTCGTGTTATTCCACCTCCAGTCTCTATAAATACCACCCTTTCTAGTACCACTTCGTCGTCGACACTACAACCGCAACTCTACAACCGTGACTTCCACAAAACTATAACCCGTGAAACACCACAACCGAAAGCCCATACCCAAACGACGTAGCTGCAATGGCGTCCATCACTGTTCTCCGCGCGGCTTACACGCTCCTTGTTGTCCTGGCCGCTCTCCAAGTCCTTCTTCCCCTCGTCATCGCGCAAGACAACCTTCTCAGTGGTACGACCATCAACTCTACTGCCGTCTCCGATGTGAACGGCACTGAGCACAAAAAGAAGAAGAAGCCCGACAACTACCGTGACCAAGGTGGCAATTGTTACAACTGCACCATCATCGAGAACGGAGGCGTGGCCGGTTTCACCTCGCCAGACCTCGTCACATTGGGCCTGAGCCTTCTTACTTTCCTCTTTGCGAGCTTCCTTTGATAAGGATTGGTAGGTCATGAGCTAAGAGATTTTGCGAGACGGTTGAGGATAGTTCGCTGATCTGATACTAGGCGGAATGACGGTCAACCTTCGGCATGGGATTGGAGGGGCTACTGATACTATTGCGAGGCTGCGGACTTGTCTGATATGCCATCTCTGTGACTAGTGAACGAGGATGGTTTCAGAGAAAGAAATGGGCATAGACAAACAGACACATCATGCAGAAAGGGAATGGGAAATTATCATGACACACATAGCTTCTATATTTGATTTTGGTATCTTCGTTCGTGAAATCCACTGTTTTTCTTTTTGGCTTTTTAACCCCAACAGCAATTATGCCTGAGCAGCAGGGCCGCCAATATACTCAGTCACGGCCTTCACAGCGCCCGCGAATTTGCTCGCTTCGATCAGCATCAAGTGGCCCATAGGTTTGATCCCGGCGTCCTGGAAAGCTCTCTTTGCGTCCGACGCACCCTCATCGCCTTGCTTAGTGTACTCGTACGTCGAATGCGCCAGCGCATGCTTGTGCAGCACCTCGTCCTCCGGGTGGAAGTAGAAGACCTCGGCACCAGCGCTGCCGTCTTTCCTCTTCTTCTTGTTGGGCCGGTTCTCCTCCATGTCTAGCTTGGACTCGACTTCGAGATAGGTCTTGGAGACGATCAGGTAATGCGAGAACTGGTAGGGCTCCTTCTCGTCCAGAGCCCACTGGATCTCTTCCTGCAGCATGGTGTACATGGGCGGCACGATCTCGGAGGGCATGTTGATGAAGCGCTCAGTGAGGATGAGGCCGACTTGAGCGGGAGAGGAGGGATCGAGGAGGGCGGGAAGCTCGGCGAGGGACGGCGAAGAGGAGGCTTTCTGGGCGAAGTATTTCGCAAGGTCCTTGATCACTTGCTTGTCCTGGTTCTGGTTAGCTGACAGCACATGCTATATTTCCCAAGTATCTCAGGCGGACCTTATGCTCGTGCATGTTCAGCACGGTGAGGAAAGCATACGGATCCGACTCGAGGCCGTCAACCTTGACCGTCGAGCCCAGTAGTGGCTGGGCCAGGATCATGTCGGCCAGCTCGGACAGGTTGAACAACTGGTTGTCGACGTCGAAGAGCTGGCGCAGCAGCGTCTTCAGGCCGTGGAAATCGACATCGGGCGACGGATCGAACCATTCGAAGTCGACGTTGAGCATGTCCATGTCCTAGAGCTTGCGCAGCGCATCAGCAATCAGGTCCGCGGGCATGTCCATGGCGCGCGCGCGTAGGGAAGGCGACGCACCTCGTCGCTCTCGTCATCGTCGTCCTCGGCGTGGTTCTTGGGCGGCGGAGCGTCGCCCAGCTCCTCGGGGTCCTTTCTCTTCCTGCTGTCCTTGCCCATTGCTGCGGATGTGCGCGCGGAGTGCTTCGTGAACGGCGGTGGTGAGCGGAGGTTTTGAGGCTAGAGAAAACTGGACCTGGGTAGGATTTTAGTCAAGGCCGACATGTGCAGCAGCGCAAGGCGAGGTGGCGGCCACATATTGATTTATCGCTGCTTATCGGCGAGTAGTCCGCGACTTGATCAGCCCTACGCGGCGGCCGCGCCAGAAAAAAAAGTCCAAAAACCCCACCGGCGCGTCACCCGCCCTCTCTCCTCTGCGTCTGCAAGACTCTCCAGAGCCAGCAGAACGCCGTCCCCCACCACATCCACACACATTCCAGTCACAATGGCAGGCACCGGCGAGCTCCCCATTGAGCCTCACAAGACGTTCGACACCATCCTGGTGTTGGACTTCGGTACTTCTCCGTCGCGCGAGACAGCCAGGCTGTGACTAACACCGCGAAAAAAGGCTCTCAGTACTCGCACCTGATCACCCGCCGCCTGCGCGAGTTCAATGTCTACTCGGAGATGCTCCCGTGCACCCAGAAGATCGCGGATCTTAGCTGGAAGCCCAAGGGTGTCATCCTCTCCGGCTCGCCCTACTCGGTCTACGAGGATGGCTCGCCGCACGCCGACCCGGCTGTCTTCGAGCTGGGCGTGCCCGTTCTGGGCATCTGCTACGGTCTCCAGGAGATGGCCTGGTACCACGACAAGCAGGGCGTCTCCGCTGGCGACAAGAAGGAGTACGGCCATGCCTACCTGAAGGTCGAGAAGCACCCCGGCAAGGCGGCCCACATCGACAAGCTCTTCGAGGGCCTCGAGAAGGACCTCGAGGTCTGGATGTCCCACGGCGACAAGCTCTCCAAGCTCCCCGACGGTTTCGAGATCCTCGCCACGACCGACAACGCTCCCTTCGCGGGCATTGCCCACGGCGCGAAGCAATACTTCGGCATTCAGTTCCACCCGGAGGTGACTCATACCCCGCGCGGCAAGGAGCTCCTGAAGAACTTTGCGGTGAACATCTGTGGAGCCACCCAGAACTGGACCATGGCCAAGTTCGTTGACCAGGAGATTGCTCGCATTCGCGCCCTCGTCGGCGAGAAGGGCCAGGTCATCGGTGCCGTTAGCGGCGGTGTTGACTCGACCGTTGCCGCCAAGCTTATGCAGGAGGCCATTGGCGATCGCTTCCACGCCGTCCTGGTCGACAATGGTGTGCTTAGGCTCAACGAGGCCGCCACCGTCAAGGAGACGCTCAGCAAGCACCTTGGCGTCAACCTGACTGTCGTCGATGCTAGCGAGCGCTTCCTCGGCAGGCTCAAGGGCATCACCGACGACCCCGAGAAGAAGCGCAAGGTCATTGGCAACACTTTCATTGAGGTGTTCCAGGAGGAGGCTAAGAGGATCGCCGAGGAGGCTGCTCACACGCCCAAGGCCGGCGAGATTGAGTGGCTCCTGCAGGGCACTCTCTACCCCGATGTAATTGAGAGTATCTCCTTCAAGGGTCCTAGCGCGACCATCAAGACGCACCACAACGTCGGTGGTCTGCTGGAGGGCATGCACCTCAAGCTGATCGAGCCCCTTCGCGAGCTCTTCAAGGACGAGGTGCGCGAGCTTGGAACTCAGTTGGGCATCCCGGAGGAGCTTGTCTGGCGTCACCCCTTCCCTGGCCCCGGTATCGCTATCCGCATTCTGGGCGAGGTCACTCCTGAGCAGGTCAAGATCGCTCGTCACGCCGACCACATTTTCATTGAGGAGATCAAGAAGGCCGGTCTTTACAGGCAGATCTCGCAGGCGTTCGCTGCGCTGCTGCCGTGCAAGGCCGTTGGTGTGATGGGTGACAAGCGTGTGCACGCGCAGGTCATTGCTCTGCGCGCGGTTGAGACGACGGACTTCATGACGGCTGACTGGTTCCCCTTCGACGGCCAGTTCTTGAAGCGCGTCAGCAGGAGGATTGTGAACGAGGTCGACGGCGTGTGCCGTGTGGTGTATGACAGTAAGTGCAACTATGGAAGTCTGGTTGAGTCGCTTGAGCTAACGGATAGCAGTTACGAGCAAGCCTCCGGGCACGATTGAGATGGAGTAAGCACAAACCTGGGTTGGTGGAGACGTTAAATTCTTGGCACAAAAACTATGGCGTTCAGGGAAAAAGGCACAGGGTCAGATAGATAAAGACTCGGCGATTTGGGCCTAGACACATAAGCAATATGCAGCCGCGCAAGGAGCAATGATGCCAATTGCGGGTCGATTTCCAGGCAAGCCAGCGATGATCCAAGAGCTGCGGCTGATCTCGCGTGGGACGATGGCGTTTGCGGAGGGGCTGGAGGGGCAATGATGCAACCGCGCGGCCGAGGGGCCGGATTGACGTCATTACGTCATAATCCGCTATGAAGAGAAGGAGTGTATAAAATCACCTCTCAACGGCTCCTTCTGCTCTGCACACATACACTTCTCTGCAATATCCAATCCACATCTCTTCGCCCTCTACTCTCCGTTTTCCACGCAAACAAAAACAACCCTACCACAACCATGTCTTCCAACGTCGGCTCCCGCAACATCTACGAGGCTGGTGACCAGAGGAACTACGCCCAGTCCGAGCTCAACACCGGCGCTGAGCGCTTCCACGAGGGCCAGGTCCACAGCCACCAGGCTCTTGACTCCAGTACGTTGCACCGTTCGTGGCTTTTCGCAAGTGATTCACAATGCTAACGTAACACCCGTAACAGAGGATGAGCGTTCCATTGCCAACAAGCTCGCGCGTGAGGAGAAGCGCAAGCACGAGCCCGTCCCCAAGGACATCGAGCAGATCCAGTACGAGAAGGACGCGACTTTGCCCGCCAGAGCCCACGGCAACGAACCTAGCCGGGGCGCGGAGGTTGATCAGCAGCTGCGCGAGGAGGATGAGCAGATGCTGAAGAAGAAGGGCGCTTGGGGCTCCAAGCAGTAAAAAGTTTTTTAAAAAAGACATGTTTCTTGCTTAGAGATTCCTCTTTCATCTTGATACCTGATTCAAAAGGGTATGGCGTCAGGGTATTGGCACCCAAGAGGGTTTTACCTTTTCTTCTTCTGTATTTATAGCAGCTTCAGTGCATACTGCATGCATGAGCATCATCATGAATGAGATCACGATTTGATGCAGACAATACTCCCTTGTGTTTGTCATGCTTGCGCTTAGATGTGTCGATATGACTCTGGCAAAGCTCGATTAAATTATAATTTGTTCCCAACCCGTAATAGAACGCCTAGCCCTTGACCAATGCTGTATAATCAAAGCATAAACAAAAACTCCTCTTCACCACGACGCACTCCCTCATCGTGACTGCTAACCAACGGCACGCCCAGCTCGTCATCCTCCCCTCCTTCCATTCCCACCTCCCTCATCGCCTTCTCCTTCCTCTTCCTATTCTCCCTCGCCAACACCCACCGCAACAGCGCAGCCAGGACCGCGACGCACAGCATGAAGCCGGCACAGGTGCCCATGCCGCGGATGTAGTAGGGGCCCTCCTCCTCGGGGAACAGGCGGGTGCCGAGCAGGGGCCCGCACTGGCCGACGACGTTGAGCACGGCCATGCCGGCGCCCTTGCGGCTGGCCGTCTCCTGGTTGTTGAGGGTCCAGGCGATGATGAGGGTGACGGCGGTGAAGAAGCCGGCCGTGGCCGGGTAGAGGGCGAGGTAGCGCAGGAAGTGGGTCCAGGTGATGGTCGGGTGCGGGTCGTCGGTCGTCGCGGCGTCCAGGATGTCTGTGGCGGCGGGCGGCTGGTGCTGCGACGAGTGCAGCACGCCCAGCAGGCAGATGAGGGTGAAGGAGAAGCACGCGATCAGGGCGTGCATGATGAGCGGGACCGAGCGCGTGCGGTAGCGGTCCGAGAGCGCGGCCGTGGCGAGGACCGTCAGGAAGGAGAGGAGGTAGGGCGGCGCAGAGAGGGCTTGCGAGGTTAGGGATGTGTAGCCCATTCTGGTTTTTCGTGTGTTAGTCTTGGATGCTAGGGATCTGTTGCGGCTGATACACACTCTTTGATGATGGTCGGAAGGAAGACGGGGACGGACGAGAAGGCGACGTTGCAACTGAAAAACATGAACTGCGGCAGACATTAGTATACAACTCGCTTGAAGATAATGGTGTGGCGAAAATGAAGGACAAGACGAGAGATGCAGGAGGCGGATTTCTCCATCACTTACAGCTGTGAGATAGCACTTTGGATCCATCAGCGTCTGCAAGACCTCCTTGAAGTCCACGCCCCTCTTCTTATCCCCTTTCCAGACACCCTCTTCATCCTTCTCCCGCATCTCAGCTTCCTGCTCGCGCTCTTTCCGCAACCTCAATACTGCAACCTCTCTCTCGCGCGCGTTCAGCCAGCGCGCCTCGCCGGGGCCATCGGGAACGAAGCTCCAGGCCCAGACGGCCACGAAGAGGCTGGGAAAGCCCTCAATCAGGAACAGTAGACGCCAGGGTGCCCAAGGCCCACCCTCACCAAGCTTGGTGATCAGCCAAGCAAGCGTACTGGCAAAGGACGTCGACAGTGGCGCGGCAGAGATGAAGAGCCCCGTGCGGAAGGCCAATTCGTCGCGGCGGAAAAAGAAGGAAAGATAGAAGGGCACACCGGGCCCGAACGCGGCTTCGCTGATGCCAAGGAGGGCGCGCAGTGCGAGCAAGGAGCCGAAGGAGGTGCTGAGCGATTGGAGAGAGGCGATGAATCCCCAGGAGAAAACACAGAGCGGAATGTAGATGTGCGGAGGAACGAGGCGGTATCTGCGAGACAGAAAGTACAAGGAGCGTGTTAGCTGAATCAGAGCAACAGATTGAAGGGGCTTTGGGGGAAGTATTTAATGTACTCAAAGCAGACAGGATAGAAATGAGGGAAGCCTAACAGTAGGGTAGCCCATTCAAACAGGATGTAGGTGATGTAGAAAGCCGTGAGAAGCCATTCGTATTGTTCTGAGCTGAGCGAGAGGTCTCTCGACATGCCCGCGATCTTTGCGTTACCGATATCTGCGAGGAAGAGAGGTTTGTATTAGCTCTATTATCCAATGTCACCCCATGCGCTGACGATGCTTCCCCGTATCCCCCTCTTCCAAGCGCGGTGTATCTTGCCCGCAAGCCACAACCATGGTGGCACATACTCGACCGGTCCAAGAAGCTCAGCATGTATAGCAATCCCATGAACAGCACCAGCCTCCTATCCAATCGCTTCACCACCGCCGCCTCTTCGTCCGGCGTGTACAGCTCGTAGTCCTGCACCGCGTCTTCCGCTTGCGCATCGCCCGCCCCACGTCCTGGCAGAAACCGCTTCCCCTCCTCATCTTCCTCGTCTTCCTCATCATCATGCCGGTTCCCGTACTCTTGCTTCCTCCCCAGTGGCGCTAGCCGTATACCCCTGCCGCGCCCCTGTCCGCTGCTGCCGCCGCCTCTGCCCCATTCGACGTCGTCGCCGACATCCGGCTCAGGACGCTCGAGTTCGAGCTCTAATTCCAGATCGCGGTCGAAGTTGTCGCTTCCGGCGCCATTGTTCGACGAGGGGCTCGGGGGTGTGTTGACGCGGCGAGGGGCAGCCGACGAGGAGGAGGACGGGGAGGATGCGTCGACGGCGGCCATGCCCGACCTGCGCTAGTTTCGCAGCGAAGCTGTGTTTGGTGAAGGCCGTAGCCAAGGAACAAATGGGATTACCGTCGCGCTCGGGCGTTGGTCCAAACAAAAAAAGAAGGTTGGACGGGGGTTCTGGTTGCGCAGCTCGAGCGGAGCTACCCCGGTCGGCTGCCCCAGTCGGCTGCCTGTCAGGGCGCGGCGGAGCGGGGAACATGATTCAGGGAGCATCATCCTTGGCAGCGCTTTGTTGCACAGCATGCTGGATGCGGACGTTCAATTCACACAGCGTATAGAGCAGACGGATCTAAGCAGATTGGATGTTGAATTGGAATTTTGATTGGTACCTAAGGTCCCTGGCAGCACCCTAGCCAACGGAAGCCGTAATGAATTCGCACTTGCCCTCCACTCGCTGGGTCACGGCCCTATGCGAAGGCGTCATTTAAGGGTTTCCAACAAAGCAGTGCTGCATGAAAATGAGGCTGAAAACGCTCATGAATAGCATCGCCGAACCGCCCTTTAAATCCATCTTGCAACTCTCCGATCAGAATTGCACGCATGCTCAAGTCTTGGCGCAAACAAATAAAAGTAAAAAGTCTCGGTGCCGGAACGCGTGATTCTTGAAAGTAGTGGACTATGCCGAGGCTGAGCATGCCTCAGAATGAAGTATCGCGTTCCAGCGGAGCAATTCATTCTGAGAACTGTCGTGATCTTTAGTAGCGTCTTCGGGGTTCGCCACAGTGGGTTTACGAGAACCTCGGACGTGGACCTTGGGGAATAGCGGACTCGGCCACTCCATTGTCGTAGTCATCCATGACTTCCTTGAGATTCGCCATCTTCTCCCTGCAGTGCATCACGAGGATGGCGATGGCGACAGTGTTCCAGACGTCGTAATCAAACTTGCCCATGTCGTGCATGTAAAAGTTACGGATCTCCGGTTGTTCTCGCTCGTCGTCTTCATCCTCCAATGCAAAGAAGCCGAACTCCAGCTTGTTGACAACAATGGCGAAGATGGTGGGCGGAGCGCAAAGTTGATTGACAACGACGATGTCCCCACTCTCGTCTATTTCCTCGCCAATTGCGAGATTTACCCTCCATTCTTGCTTGAGCGTGGTAAGGCGCTTGATTATCTTTTGTTCGAAGGCTTCAGGGTCGACATCTTCCGCGGCTGAAAGAACCGCAATAGTTGGAGTAACGTCGGAGACATCGGCATCAGCGAAAGCCCATTTCAAATAGCGACTGATTTCGCTGCGGATCAACTCTTGCGGCTGGCGAGAGGGCGGAGTATTAACCTCCTTCAAGATAGCATCGCGAGCCCTCGAGGGGACTGTCAGAAGCGAGCGAAAGGCCTTCATGGCTGAATGCAGGTGTCAGCTAATGCTCTAGGATGAATTCAATGTCAAATACTACTCACCTCGGAACTGGTTCTCAGAAAGCGCCTTGATGTACTCATCCTTGGGCTTGTCGGCGAAGAGAATTGAAGGCAATGAATCAAAACTGAGCCTCCAGGTCCTCGGGAAGAGTGCTCCCCAACCACGCATGGCAATCTTGACATAAACCTTGATTGGGTCCTCGGCCCAGCCAGCCTCGCGCATGTTCTTCGCATCTTCTTCACGCTGAGCGCGGGCTTTCTCGATGTCGAATCGCTTCAAGTCGGCCTCATCGAATTGCTTGTCGGGCTGCACGCTGGACTCGTTCTTAGGCGAGCGCTTCTTGGACGCAGGTGAGGAAAAGTGAACCAGAGACTCCTCGCTGTCGACAACTGACCAGGATGATTCATCGTCGGCGAGTGCGTCGTTGATGTAGGACCATTCGCCCGTGAGAGACTCGCTGTCCTTAATGGTACTCAGGTTCAGCTCTTCCGCATTATAGTCGCTAGAGGCGGTTCCGAATGACGGCGGAGTGAGATAAGCAGCGGAGCCGTCCAGAGTCTTGAGTCGCTTGTCTGCCTCATGGTGTGAAGCTGGGGAGAGAGGGCGCTTTCCATTGGAGTTGCGGCTGGGAGTAACGGGAGTGTGTGGAGCGCGATGCAGCCATCCCTGGTCCCTGGCAGTGTTTCTCGGGGTCAGATAGCCCAAGACAGCGTCTTTGAGACGCCCGAAGAGCCTCATGGCGGCGGTGTTGAGTGCCTGATGTTTTGACAAAGTCGAGTCGAGGTGAGAATGCAAAGGTCCTCGGCCGCGACAAAGACACGAGCCGGGAGTCGACAAAGAAGCAGCAGATGCGATGTCGAGACGGCGGATAGACGGGAGCGGGCAAGGATAAAGACGAAGACGTTGAACAAAAGAGGTCGGGTCACGGAGGGAGGATCATGATAAGCGGGGTGAAGAATAAGAGGTGACAATGGCTGCGGGCAACCATTGAGCACAATGCTAGCATGTCCGTGCGTGCACAATGGAGCGAGGTGAAGGCGAGGTGAAGTGAGGTGTCGGTGAGCGAGACGCGTTGTCGTCGAGGGAAGGTGCGAGCGCGTGAGCATGTGACGGGGGTGCTCGGCAAAGCTGCCGCTTGCGGTTCCTGCTCTTTCAACGTCAACTCTACTCTCTCTGTGCGACCCGACCCCGCATCACTCAGACATCAGCATTGGAGAAGCATGTCCCATGGCATCTTTCCATTGAGTTATAGTCCGCAGTACTTTACTGAAACCCGGCCGAAATCCCACTCCGCACCCTTGCAAATTACGACTCATGCGCTCCCCTCATCGATAGCACCGTCCTCGCCATATCCGTCAGTCATCGTTCAGTAAAGTCCGACGCAGATGTCACCGCGGACGCGGGCCGTCAGGTGGATCTCGGCCTCGAGGTCGAGCTTGATGCCCACGAGAAGAGCGGCGTCCTTGGCCTTGCCCTCGGCATCAGTAGCGCCCTTGAGCAGAGTGCCTGTTGGGTACATGTCCATCAGTATCGCCGATTCAAACGATTTTTCCTCTACACCAGTCGCCATGTGAGACTGCGGCCTTCCACAAACGATGCTTGTTGCAGTGCTGCCCCGGAGGATTTTTCCACTTACCCGCAGGCTGGCTCAAGCCGCTGGACTGAGGAGGAGTCGGCAGGTGCTCTGCCGTCGGGTGGGCCAGAGCGACGTTCCTGGGCCTGCGGCCACCGCGGGCCTGACCGTCAGCAGACGACGTGTCGGAGGCGTAGTTGCGCTCAGCAGTAGTAACGCTGCGCAAATGGTCAGTCAACCCCAGAGCCAAGGACGCCAAGAGCTTGGGAGAGTATCGTACGGGGCGGTGTCGGCCATTGTGGTGATTGATGCGGTCGTTGATGCTGTGGATGCTTGAGGACTGGAGTGGAAAGATGCTCTGCTGAGTCTGCTGTCCTCAATGCGGTCGAGCACTCTGCCTTTATACACCACGATCTGCACGGTGCCATGGTCGTACAGGGTCGGTACTGCTCATCGGCTTCCTGCCTCTGAGCTGGCGCTGCAAAAGCAAGCCGGTATGCACTGCCAAATGTCTTTGGGCCCGACAATTATCGTTCGATCAAGCCAGCAAATCAAGTCTGCTAACAGAAAGCAGAATGGATCCTCTAGCGTGGTGTTCTGGCCGAGGAGTTGGCTCCGTGCTTTACCCCATACGGAAGCGAAGTCCAAGCCGCCTGGGACCAGGGCGCATTCCTGAAACTCGGCAGGCATTGGACAATCCGACGTACTGAACTGAGTGTCTCCTGACATTTTCTGGGATGTAGCCGCTTGGGAGACCCAGCAGCGCGGCTGGGTAGAAAAAGAAAAGAGGCCTCGAGCTCTAGCGCCAACCCGCCCACGCTCGTGCGTCCAATTGTGTAACGCCTTGTACCAGGATGCTCAATTTAGTGGCCGCGGGCCGTTCCGCCAGGCCAGAGCCCCCCACACCAGCCAAGGAGGCCTTGCACGGCCTTGCAGAAATGCACGTAAGGGTGTGCAACCTTGGCTCTATTATCAGGCCACATCAGCACTCCGCACGCAATAAGGCTCCCGATGCGCGGCAGGGATCCACGATCAAGCCAACGCCAGCCTCAGCCTTTCAATTGGTGCCATTGGCTGCGCCGTCTATCGCGCTACGAATGCAACGAATATGCTTTTGTCGGGCGAGGAGACGCAGCCCTCCATTTGTCCGGATGGCCTTGGGGAAGGAGCGCTTTGTCAGATCTTCCAGATTTGCCGCAGTCTGGGCGCCTGCGCCACCGTGTCACAGCGTCCTGCACTTCGCAACGGCTCTCGCCTTCTCCTCGATCGGTTGCTGGCCGCTAATCATGAGACCTGCAAACACTGAAAGACACTCTTTCCTTGGTGCGTACGCAGCGCTCAGGGTATCACTTGCCGCCGACTTCTACTCTTCCCCTCTTTTTTCCACCGCATCAACGGCCTTATGGTCGTCTCTATGCTCTTGGCGCTTTCAAGCTGCCCGGCCATGTTAGGAACGCAGGAAGCCATCCGCCAGAGCCAGGCGAAGGAGAAGCGCGAGGAGCATCGAGCACGTAGATGCAACCTCATAGTCGGCTGCGTCAGGACCTCGGTCCGGAGCCGCGAGATCAATGGCAAGAAGGTTGTCCTTAGGGACCACAAGGTGCCTCAACCCACCGCTTGTTGCGTTGTGAAGACCGTGAATTGACGTTTGAGCTTCTTTACGTAGCTATACATCGACACCGAAAACACTGCCGAGACCGATGAATCCTCTGGCCACCCCTTCGCGGGCTACTATCTTCCCTATCCTGACTCCGAGTATGAGGGACTTGTCAGCACAATCACACACGTAGCTCCAATTCTCAATTGGATCTACGTTGACAAGGAGACCTTCGAGGTCAAGTACGGTGTGCGGGATCTTGCCCAGCCTCATCTCACCGGGCCGTTTGACTGCACCCGTCAGGACCGCCGTCTGACCTTTGAAGACTGGGAAGGGTTCGTAGCTGTTGAGGAGCAGCCTATGACCTGGGCCCTCTACTTCGATAGAGATGACACGGGCTTGAAAGGGAAGATACAGCCAACTCAGAAAGTGCTGGAAGTAGTCCTGACGCGACAGGAGCGGAAGAAGATGAAGTCAGAGGCCCAGAAACCCAAGACAATCGACAAGGAGAAGGCGGAGCAAGCTGGCGACCATCAGGCTTCCTACGTCCAGGGAGCGGCCGCTGCTGAACAGCGCACCTCTCAAGACGCTGAAAAGCGCGCGAGCCAGGATGCTTCTCAGCCGCAGGTCCTCTCCACGGCAGACCTTGCGAAGCTCAAGATCGGGAGCACTGGGCCCTCATCGATTTGGTCCGATCACGTGGAAGGCACGGTCAGTTCCCCCACTGAGCCCTGGGGTGCTGCGTCAATGTGGTCCAACCAGGAGCAGCAGGCCGCTTCCGGTGCTGCAGGCCACCTGGCACCCTTCACTCCAAGCAGCTCCATCTATGGGGATGGCGATGATGCTGGCGCAGCTACCAACACAGGGGCTCCTGAGGAGACGACACCGGGGCGGACTGGATACCGCCAGCCTTACGTGGAAGACGAGGCCTCAGCGACGAAGGACCTTGTCGTCGAAGAACCCGGAAAGAGAGATCCACATGCTGTTGCCGTCCCCGATACCCACAAGCCAGAATCAGCCGAACCCGAAGCCACCGAGAACACTCTCACGCACGATAATCAGCATGCGTTGGATGCAGGAGCTGATGCGGAGCCGAAGCTAGATCCCGAAGACGTGGGGTCCGACAATCAGACGAACGAGTCACAGATCGATCAACAAGCGAGCATCGACGTCACTTCGGATCCGGAAGAGCAGCTTGCCACGAAGAAGTCAGATACCACAGAACATGGCCAGCAAGCCATCGATCTGTCAGACAAATTGGAGGAGACTCCGCAAAGCGTCCGCAAGGACTCCACAATGGAAAGTGGGAAACATTCGCCCCAGACAACCTCGGCAGCTTGGCAAGACAGTCCCAAGGCTGGTGGCCAGTTGACTGTACCTCAGGTGGATTTCCAGATATCGCACGCAGATCAAAGTGCACTCCCCGAGACAGAGCTGCCATTGGAGGAGTCTGATACCAACGGTACTGTCGCTGCTGACGACAAGACTTGTTCTACTACTGCCGAAAAGGACAAGCCTGTCAAGGACCTGGAAGTCTCCGAAGTGGCGGCTCAACCCGCCCCTGCAGACGACAATGTTATTGCAGCCGACGACCAGCCGTTTGTCGTTACGCATACTGAACTCACACCGGTGATTGAAGAGGCCAGGGAACCCGTATCTACTCCAGTGCAACAGATCCAGCAAGGAACACCTGGGCTGTACGCTGCTGAGCCCCCATCCGATATTGACAATCTTCCCCCTTGGGTTGCGCTTCCAGAGCCCTATTGGAACGCAGCAGCTGACTCGCCTCCTCGACCTCACTTTTCCATTGAGGATCCTAGTACACCGAAGCAACGAAACTTTTCCCGCCCTCACCAACAAGGGGCCGAGCCGGACTCATCGCCGATAACGGACCACAAGTCGGATTCTTTGGCAGGTGCGGAAGAGTTGACGAAAGAGAGGTCGTTCCGGGAGGACAGTGCCCCGCCCATCACGATTTCCAGGGAGCCATATCCTGTGGAGGACGACCCCACGTCGACGGATACATCGCTGGTTGACACATCGTACACGGCGGCTTCACCCTTCGGGATGGACGATGCAACGTCGATAGTAGACACAACGGCGGAGAAGGTATCCCTGGGCCCATCTTATGAGCCTCAGACCACGGAACCGCTGTCACCGAAGAGGACCCAGTCCAGCGGCACACTCGACGAGCCGGGACTGCAAGGTAAACGAGGGTTAACCGGCAAATCGAACGGAAAGGGAGCTGATCGATCAATGCAGAGCACATCATCGGAAAGGCCTAAGGCTAGTTGGCGGCGGTCACTGGCGACACGACTGAAGGTGTCCAAGGAAACTGTATTGAAGCGTTCTCGCACATCATCATAATAGGGTGAGGTCAACTGCTGCTGGAGCATGCTTTGGGTCCCTTTTCAAAATTGCCAGTACATACCAATTGATTCACGAAACCTTTCGGAGCCTATCAACCTGAAGATTGTTCGTCGACGCTGCAACGTGACCCAGCTCGAGCAACATGGAACAATTGAGGTGGCGACGCAGCGTGCGGCGGTGAGGTTTGACCGGTGAGGCGCGCGGAAGGCCGAGCCGGCTGCATGTCGCACACTTCATCTCGTCTCTCACGCCACCGCAAACGTAGCCATGGAACGCCCTCTCCCGCTCGTGTTGTGCTGGCGGTGATACCAAACGGCTGTGCAACGCCTGATTTCCTCGATTGTTGCTATCTGTCATGTGCGTGCTTCTGCACAACATAACGACACGTACAACGCCGCCAATCCTTCGATCCACCAGCCGCCGCCGCCCTGCCACTCAAACAAACAATCAAACCCATTGACAACGGAAGGGGCCAGGAGGAGTTGCAAAAGCAGAACCATCAGGCGGTGAAAGGGCGCCAGCAATCCCTGCGGGCCCCGCTCACGGCATTAATACCGCTCATCCTCCACAATTGCTCCCTCAAATTTTCTCCTCCTCCAGAAAAGCAAAGAAGCACGACCCTCCACTTGGTCCCGCATTAGCACTTGCAGGTACCTGCAGATTGCGCCATCCCTTCTCCACCTTCTCCGAGAGCTCGGTCTGGGCCCCTCCTCCCTCCCCAGCCACCCAAACGCGAAGGCGAGGATCTGCCTTCAGACCCACTTCCTGCCCCGGTACATGATCTCGGCATAGGTCGTTTAGTGTTTTTGAGTGTGACGCGCGCGCTCGTACGCGTAACTGCCTTGTATACAACCCTGAGCGCTACTGCAGCTTCTCTTTTTTGCCTCTCCACCAACCTCGGCCGGGTCAGAGGAGAGACAGACAAGCTGTGAAAGCGACCAAGATGGGAGCGGGATTTTTTTTCTTTTTTGCTTTTTCATTCTGCCCGGCTCAGCGGAAAAGCTGAGAACAATAGGATACACGGGCGCTTAGTTCCGCGCGCCTCCTGGTCATCAGTCGGAAGCTTACTCCCAAGGAGCCGTCGGTGGTCTCAGACGAATACATGTGGCTTCCCGTGTCTCTCGAGGTCTTATGGTGCTTTTGGAGCCGACTGGCTCGACCATGGCCGCGCAAGTCTCGCTCACCACGGGAATTCGTAGCCGCCGTACGCGATCCGGCTGTGGTTGTAAGAATCGACGGGAGCCGGTCAGAAGAAGTTCTCAGCCCAGGCTACAGAAAGTGAAGGCAGGTCAATTTCCACATCTCAAAACTTGCTCATATCGAACTCGTTGTCATCGGCATTTGAGTAGGCATAGTATGTGATGTCGGTCTTATTTTCTTTCCTGTCTGCGCGCTCGTTGGCCTCATCGTCGTCGTCGTCGTCGTCGTCGTCGTTGTCGTTGCTGGCCCATTCAACCGCAGAATCTAGATCCATTGGCGTAGGCAGCATTGGCGTCGTGTCCAGCCACATTTCTTCCTGTATAATCTCCATCGAAGGCAGCGAAAGCGTCGGTGATCTTTTGGACATCGTCTTCATCAGCATCCTGCACCATCCTCTCTCCCAATCTCAGAAACCGACTACTCGACCGGGACTCATCATCCGAATCGTCATCATCGGAGTCATCAGAGTCGGAGTCGGAGTCGGAATCAGAGTCAGAGTCATCATCAGAAACGTACCCGGCATACTCCCTCAGCGGGCCATGGTAACTCGGCCCCGGCGACCGTGTCAGAGGTGGGAATGGGATGTCAAACTCCCCGTCGACCGCGACGCCCTCTTGCGCATCCGTCCCATTTTCATCAGTCCCACCCATCACTACATCCTCGTCCCTTTCTCCCTCGTCCACCCTGATCCCCCCACGCGCTCCCTCGTCAATCGTCCACACCTCCCTGCCCAGGCGCGTCGGCTCGGGCACAAACCACTCGCTGTAGCTCCACACCTTCTTCTTCCCCGCATAGTTCCGCGGCACGTCGAAGCCGACGGCCCTCAGCCCCTTGGCGCCGGGGCGGATCCGGGGCGGGTGGCGCAGGCGGCCCGTCGCGCCGGGGGGCCACGGCGTGCCCATCGGGACGGGGATGGTGTCGCGGTCGTCGTCGCTGAAGATGCGCTCGCGGGCGCAGCAGATGGACACGGTGCGGCGCAGGTCGTTGGCGCGGGCGAACCTGGCGTGCGGCAGCCGCATCCTGTCTTTGTGGCTGGGATGGTGCCGGTAATGCGACGGCATGAGCGAGCGGCAGATGGACTCTTCGAGCAGCCAGGAGGTGAGTTCCGGGCTGTGCTTGCGGAGGACGAGCGGCGGCTCGGGGTTGGTGGTAGTGGTGGTGGAGTCGTCGTCGGTTAGGACGGAATCTTTGAGGAAGGCGTGCCAGTCTATGTTGTCGTCGTCCTGCATGGTGGGTCGCAGTTGATGCCTTTTCCTTATTTTCGGGTCGTGAGAGGTTGGTTTTTGGCGGAGTTTTGGTGAGGGTTGAAGAGGATGTATGGGTTCGAGAGGGTCCGGCTGTGGGTGCGAGACTCTGGGATAGTGAAAGACTTCGGGGGAGCTGGGCAGCCTTTTGAGCTGTGTAGCGTCGGCAGGCAAAAGTGCGCGAAGCTAGACGGAAGCGAGAGGGCCCTTATCCAAAGCCATTGATATTCGTTCGAGTTTTGTCGGCGGCTGTAGACGAGGAGCGCTGGTCCCTGTACCGACACTACACGATACCGGTTCCATGGATGATGACTGTACCGCTGTTCGGCTTTGTGAAGCGAAATTCCGAGTCACGATACTCGAATGAAATTTTCGAAGGGCTGAGGTGGTTGCGTAGTGAAGGTGTTGCGTTCTTGCAATTGGTTCAGGTTAATCTGCATGCAAGCGGCAGGTACAACCACCTTAGTGCCTTCCGACTGCATTGATAAACATAAGATGCTGAATTGCGTCGACCGCGGTCCTACCTGTTCGTCTGGATCATTCCTGCCTCGAATTTCAAGGCTGGAATACGACGCGATAACCCAGTATTGGATTTTCACCAACATCGGACATCCTGCTGAATACAACACTGCCTGGACTAGAGTGCAAACTTGCAGTAAAAAGACCGGCGCATAGCTGATAATAGCTCCAAGCTACACCACAGCATACACACCAATAGCAGAAATCACAGACTGAAGTACTCACGGCCATGTTTGTACGCTTGTAAGTAAAACCCTCGTATTATGACTTCCGTGCTCTCATGCGGAAGTAAAACCACCGCCATCCACTGCTGCCTTACAAAGATTTTTATAAAACGCCTGAACAATGCAAATCCGTTCCGAACTAAACTATCCTTGGGTATAATGCGCGAAAGGAAAATCAAAGAAAGGCAAAATTCCATCATGCAGTCCCCTCTTTCAAACACCAGTATGAAATAACCCATGTCTCATGCATTTGCTCTACTGCTTTCTGGAAAATGCTGCCAGTGGCTTCTTAGAATAAGAAGACTGACAGAGGGTTGGCGCTGCAAATCGACCAAATCGTATGGCAGACTGCTCCGACAACGGTGGCGATGCCGACGCCTCCCTCAACGACTTGAGAAGAGCCCTGGAGGCCCTTAGAGTGAAACTTCTGAGCAAGTTCTTGATCAGAAGTTACGACAAATGCAGCGTCACCAGAATCAGTGTTGACTGTGGAGTTGAGATGACCAACAACTTGAGCTCCCTGGACGCTGGAGAGATCAACATCCAGTGGGGAAGGATGAGTCAGATCGAAGCTGCCATCAGCTCCCTTCCCAAGAGCCTCTGGCAAGATGGTGCTGGGAATACCGCCGGTTGAAGGAGCGTATTCTGTGCAGGAGACATCAGACTCGCGCTTGAACTCCAAAAGGTCACCGAGGGACACCAGGCTCATACTCTCAAGGCGAGAGATGGCTTCATCGATCTCACTGCCGTTCAGCGTGGTGGTGATATCGTCCAATTCAGGAAGCTCATGGCCGCACTCGCCATAACCCTCGTCCAAATCCTGAGTGAGTTCGAGTCCAGGAATCTTGCAGTGGGGTGGCAAAGCAAGTTCGGGCAGATCGCAGGTCGTTTCATCTTCGTATATGGTGAACGGAGAACCATGCTCGCGGGAGGGCAATGGAGGGGAACTGGGCCAAGAGCGCGATTCTTCGCTGGAGGCATAGAAGCACTCGACATCATCTTCGTCAACGATATCTGAGGGGAGGGTGCCACCATTGATTTCGATTTCGAATTGAGCCTCGATAAGCTCCTCAGAGGCGAAGTCGACAATATCCTCGGAGGAGAACTCGGTGATCTCCTCAGGCGAGAACTCAGTCTCCTCACCACCATCTTGCTCGCTCTCTTGCTCGTACTCCTGGATTGTGATTTCCTCGGTCTCCATGGGCTGGCCCATCTCGATATCGACCATCTCAACATTCTCATCGAGGTAGTTCTCACCCGACAGGAATACCAGGGACGGAGCTGACTGGAAAGATTTCGGAGGTTGGTCATCATCAATGTTGGCGACGTAGCGCAGGGGCGAGGGGCGAGGATAGAATGCCTGGCCATCGGCTGACGGCGGGTGGACTTTGATGCCGTTAGGCACGTAGACGTCCTTCGGGACATCCGGGTCAGTAGGCTCCTTGAGGCCTATTGCACCACGAGGAAAGAGGTAGATTGGCCCGAGGCAACGCTCGTAGAACTTCTCGCCATAGGCTCCATAAGGGTAGCCAATCCCAGCATCCAAGGGGACGGTGTAGACATGCTGAATAGCACGCAGCAGGCATGAACTAACGCGAGGAATGTTGTTATCCACCACATCGTTCTTGCAGGCGTTCATCGTCCAAGTGATATCATTGAAGATGCTAGGGGACACGGCCCAGCGGGCGACTTGAGGGGAGGTAGCGGTGTGCCGGTACCAAGAAGGTGTCTCTTCGGACCAACCAGGGTGGAAGGTCTGGCTGGCGCTTGAAGTGTTGGGATGTTCTTCCTCGAGTGGAAGCGGGACTGGAGACTCAGCACAAGGAGAAGCGGGGTGGATGGTGTGCTCCATGATTGTATCTTCGGCGGACATGACCTCGTCGGTGGGTGCCAGCTGGTAAGGCTCCACGATGTCCAGGTTGGTGTCGAAGTCGCCCTCGAGGGAGAACAGCTCGCTCTCAGTCGTCCTGGTAGACATGTCCGTAGTGCATATTGCGTCGTCCTGGACAGCGTGAGCATGATATAAGGTCCAGACAGTGCCAAGGCGGTAGAACTTACAGCGTCCAAGTTATCCTCAATGGTAGGCCCAGTGGAAACAAGATCCTCGAACTCCTCATCCCAGTCGAGATCGCCGAGCGCCCCGAACTGCTCAAGACCCGCTGCGAAAGGCATAGCGGCGAGAGTGGACACTGTTTCAGCGGGTAAGAGGCAGGAATATGTTTATCGCGTGGGAAATGGTCGCAAAAAGCTGTTGGACAAATGTGGTTCCCGGCAAGGAAGATGGTGTTCCTGGACTTCGTTGAAGGTGGTCGTAAGTTTGCGGGGAGCGGGCGGTGGATGAAGAGGAGATGGCTAGATTCAGCCCGAAGATTCTCTTTAGGAGCAGGCAAAGTAAGTGATTAAGCGAGGGTGCACGCGACCGGCGAGCATATGGTTTGTTTCTCCCGTTTCCAGGCCAGCGCGTCACGGTGGTGACCGTGCGGCGACAGTGGCCCACCACATTCACTACCACCCGGCCTTCATGACGTCACCCGGTGCCGCAACCTCGTCGAAGACATTCGTGCGCACAAGTGCCAGACTTTGTGTGCAGGTCTTGCCATGCTAGAGGACCACCATGGTTGTTGTAGGCGTACCATGCGCAAGGAGGCTGAGGCGAGGAACATCACTTCTCACGGCTCGCTCAATGTTCAAATATAAAATTTTTAGGACGTCAATTATTTACACTTTGGTATATAGATAATTCACTCCATTGCATTTTTGAGCTCTTGAGCAGATGAATCTTGAGGTAATTGTATATTCCTGAGCCGTGGGTTCCAGAGTTTGCCCCCCATTTCAAACAAAATCATTGTAAAGCTAAAATGCAAACACAAACCAATCGGCCCATTCTTGCCCTGGACTTCCACTAGAAAGATCACCGCGCAAGTTAATGGTCGGTCGCGATATCAATCATATTATTTGTACAGCAGCGCGAACCCAATGATACAGTGCAAACTTGATGCTAGAAAATCTATCGCGTGCACCACAGCAGCGCAGAAGAAAACAACTCGAATAATGGAGAAAATTGGATTTCCCAAAAGAAAGCAAGACAAATATGAAGCACTACGTAGAAACTCGCCCTGTTCAATCGTCCATCATTGAAATTGCCCGAAGAAATTGGCACAATGTGATATAGCCTGCCGCGGATTGCAAGAGGTATTTATAGCATTTCGGCAGGGACAGAAAAGGCTCCGATGCTTGGGAGTCTCGATCTCGTTATGATTCGCTTCGTCGTTAGCAGCCTCCATGATAGCTAGCATCTGCTCGTTGCTGACAGGCCTGATTTTGATCCGAGGCTGAGCCTGACCAGAGAGAAGTTTCAATGCGTTCGGCATGGAGGTGTTGGTGTTGGCGCTATCAGTGCGCTGCACTTCCATCCACTACAGCTTGGGCATCTTCAGGGCCCTCGCTATCATCTTCAGAATCTGCTTCTGAATCCGAGCTACTTGAAACACCACCAGCGTAGTCTCTAGCTGGACCGTAGTAGTCTGTCGGCTCCTCACCAGAAACGGACTGAATGGCGGTGCTCAGCTCGTTGGGGTCCGCCGCGGACAAGTTCTGGTGGCTTTTCCCGACATTTTTTGGCTTCTCGTCATAGTTCAACGTCTCGGTGTATCGCAGCTTCGACGGAGCAGGGAAGAAGCAACCACGGAGCTGGAATACTTGAGTGTCAATGGGTGCAAGCTTGATACCGTTCGGGATCCAACGTGTCCGGGGAACATCAGGATCACCGCGCTTCTTCAAGCCCTTGGAGCCGCGAGGGTATGTGGAAGCCGTGGTGTGCATCCGACACTGCTTCTGACCTGTGGCACCGACTGGTAACTGAAGGTTTGGGTAGTCCTCTTCGGGCACGTCGTACAAATGACGGATAGCACGTCGAAGGCAGCTTGCGATGCGAAGTAGATGCGTGTTGACTTGGACTCCGGAATGGAGGATCCAGCGGAGTTCTTGGTAGATGGGGACGGAGGAGACCCAGAGGCAGACTTCTGGCGGGGTGGAAGTGGTCGAGGTCGAAGTGGAGGTATTGCTCCCTGCCGGACTGACCACGTTCTCCTGCGCTTGTATGACAGATTCGTTGACAGTGCCATTGTTCAGGCTACTTCGCCACCAATCTGAAATATCATCTCTGGAAAAGTCAGGAACATTCGGGATGAACGTTCTTCGAGACGGAACTGTGGAAGCACGTTGAAGGCCATTCGAAACACGGCGAAGCAAGTTGCCAGTGGTGTTGCGGAGACGTTCAATCGACCTTCTCAAGCGGATTCGCCTTGAGCTGGATTCTCCTTTGATTCCGAGCCAACGATTCCTCTCGGGCTCCATTATGCTGTTATATGAATGTCCGAAACTCGAAGAGATGTACGTATCCGCGGTTGTTGTCGAGCAGCTGGTTAGGCAGAAAATATATCTCGACGTGGTTGGCTGGTTCGATCAATGGTCAGAAGAGGCCGAAGGCGTAGTGGAACAAAACGATATAAAAAGGTCAGAGGATCGTGTGAATGAAAGGCGCTTTGGAGTGGTTCAAGTTTACAACGGTGGGAAAGGAGCCAAGAATCAAAGGTGTTATCGATTCCTGACTGCGTGATATAAAATGATGAAAGATAACACTCAGGCCACTCGGCAACTAAAAGCCAGAGTGCGCTGGTACTGGTAAGTGAATGATAGGAGGCTACTATAAACGGTTCACAATGGATAATCATGTGCACGGTGGGAGCGATCCGCGCACTTGGCTAAGGTAATGTCAGATATAGGAGAGATTCGACTGTACATGGAGCAAAACACTGGCCTTCAAACCCATTGAAGTTGTATTTTGGAAAAGGCTGCCTGATAGGAAGGTAAGCAAGTTCATACTTCCACTTCTACGTATTTTCAAGCATCCAGCTACATCATCGCATTGATAATACTCCAAACTGGCTTCAGCAACGCGACTTTTTATGCTTTTCTCTTCGTGGCATGTTTGCTTGAGCATACGTTCCTGACCAGCTTCCGAACGCAAAGCTTGAATCTATTTGCTCAAGGCTACACTAAATGCGAATTCTTCGATGACAACCTGATGCGCTGATCCATGCATAATCCAAAGAAAACGCCGTTATGCAAACTCCAGAACTATTTTCAGCCCGTCCCAATCTTGCTACCGCTACAGATTCGCAAGCTCCCTTGCTAGTTGTGTGGGTTAGGCGGACGCGGCTGGGAGATGAGCTTTGCCTTAACTTGTTGAATAGAGCAAAGCTGAGCCTGCTCTATTATAGCCGACTCCCAGTCACAACTGTCGCTATCAAACTCCGGAGATGGGAGTCTACTTCCCTCATGCATCTCAGGGATAGCGAACTCAGAGTCGGCGCCAGCAGTCGGCTCGCTGTCTGCCTCGTCGAATACGTTCTCATACAATTGCACTTCAACCGCTTCTTCATCAGGAGTGTCCTCTTTGGACTCTTTCTCGATTGAATTTTTCAAGGGGCTCAATCCATCTTCCTCTTCATCTTCCTCCTCGTTAATGATGTCTTGCGAAATGGAGCGAAGGTTCAGGTGGCCAGTAGACCGCGAAATGGGATTCCTCGCGTGTGTCAGAGGTAAGCGGCGGAATCCGACGTCTTGAATCGTCCACTCGTTGCTGACCACTGGTGAATCGGTGTCGCAAACATCATAGCTCCCGTCGAAAGTGGAGAACAATGAGGCGTCTTCAGGGGATTCTGTGAAAGTGTCCTCTTCTTCCGCAACTGAAGCAGCTTGTAATGTAGGTCTGGCAAGCCATGTGGATGATCCGCACTGGCGAGATGCCGGAGAGCTCTTACGGCGGAAGCTGTGGAGAGTGACGTTCTGACCAAGCGAGCGAAACTCTTCCCCAGACTGGACAGTCTCCACCTCCCGCAAATGCGACGGCTCCGGCAAGAAGACACCCTGAAGGAGACGGGGAGTGGGAACCATATACCCATCGGTGTCGCGGTGCCAGCCGGGAAAGTCACGGTCGTCGGGCCTCTTCAAACCTTTGGCACCTCGTGGGTATTCGAGAGGGAGGCGCATTTGGCCGGTTGCGCCATTGGGGAGACGGATGTTCAGGCGACCGGGAATGTGGTAGAGGTGCTGATCGGCGCGGTTGAGGCAAGAGGCTCGGCGGATGGCGTCGTCGGTGTGGTCACCCTCAGCGGTGGCCTTGCGGATGGCGTAGATGTCCGTGGAGATGGCTGGAGATGAAGCCCACTCACAGACTTCCATGGATGTTCCGGTATGTTCGTAAGGGGAGGGAATGTGGCCTGGGTCGTGTGCTGGGAGTGGGCCATGGGTCATCAAGTTGACACTGGGGTAATCCGAAGAACTGCCCAGGCTGAACAACGACTCAGTGTCTCGGCAGCTATCATTCTCAGCTTCCTGATAGGCGCTGCGGTGGATGTCTTGCTGGCTGCTCTCACTGCTATCGCAAACAGCTGGGCCGGGATAGGGTGTCAGCTTTCTATGCGGGCGAACGCGAGAAGGAAAGCCCTCCGATTTCGAAGTACTCAGGACGCGCGAGACTTTTTGCGAAGCGCGCTTTATGACCTTGGTCGCGGTGGATGAGATGCTCTTCAGCTTGGAGCTGAGGCGGCCCTTCAGGGAATTGGATTTTGCAGACTTTGTGGGAGTGGGCTCGTCATGGATAGGTGCCGCAGCCATGTATCTGGTGTTGACTTTGGACGCAGAGGCAGGCGCACTTTCGGTGGGAGATCGCTTGGTCTTCGTCGTTCCCAGCTTGAACATTATGCGTGCGGTCGACTGCATGTTGAAGCGATGCTATTCAGAAAGTATAGAGAGAGTCACAGGTGATTCGAAGGCAAAAAAAGCCGTGTAGATGCGATGGTGTGGTAAGTATCAAGAGCGGTTACAAGAATTATGGGTGGATGGGTTTGAGTTTGAAGCAGGCAAAGATGTCTATAAGAGCCCACAAAAGTGGTGAATGAGCTCAGCTCAAGGGCATGGTGTTAAGGTGGAGCAAGTGTTATGCGGTGTAGTCTCTCAGATGCACCCTTCGGGAACTATCCGTAAGTTACGAGCATGTTGCTTGAATGTGGCGGAGCCCACATAACACACCCCCTCTGAATCTGAACAATTCAAGCGCTCACGGCTATTCTCTATACTGTATCGGCATTCTGTACCATATATAACAACCGAATATCTCAGCGGTTGAAGCGTGGAAAGCTCCTGCGGGCAATGAGCTTAAATATCTAGAAGCGGATAATGGCGCTTGCTTAAAGGATGCTTCCGTGCTGCTCCAAACAACTGTACGTAATAAAGCTGTTCGTTTGGGGTGCTATTAGGCAGAAGCCTCCGCTTTTCCATGTAGCGTACAAGCTCATGGCAGCCGGTAATCACCTTGATTTCATGAAGCTGCAAAGCTTGGAAATGGTTTGTTTATCACAGTCGTGAAGTCAAGATGCACAGAATACTGTAAGAGGCCCTCAAAACTTTTGTGAATTGTCCAAGTGGATCAAAATTTCTTGAGAGGAACCTAAACAAGCCACCAAACAATGCAAAGTTCTGATCGCTATGCCAAACAAAAAGTGCCTCCCAATGCTGCGCTGTAAAAGCAAATCCGGCCGCGCTATGCAAAGCAATCAAATTCCACCCAGAGACACCTTGCAAAAGTCCAAGCCCAATCGGGAAAATCTGTGGTATACCGCGCCTGATCTTAATGCATCTTAAAAAAAAAAGAAAAACCTTGGGACATGAGAGCTTCCATCGTTTCCACCTGGGGCCACTAGATCGGGCGAAAGGCTCTTTTTGCCTCCAGAGCAACTTAGCTCTTCGAGAGTCTCGGCATGCTGTGCTCGTGATGATTCTCCGTTGTGTTTTCGATCACTGTCGTGTTCTCGGGCTGCCATTACTCCCTTCAGATTGGAATATGTCGTCTTTAGCCCAAAAGCACCGTGAAGCCACCAATGATAGCAACAGCAGCGGCGGCAGCAGTGGTCCAAAAACCCGCGCTCTCCTCGCCGACATGCTGCTCCTCCATGTCTTGCTCCTTCCACGCATCTTGCTGGTTCTTTGTGGCTTGGTGGATTGTCTTCTCACCATGCTGCTCAACGAAAACCTGGTACAGCGTTGGAACAGGGGCCAGCTTCTTGCCGGCATTCGTGTCTCTGAGCGCGAGGGCCGGAGAAAGAAGGACCGGGCTGATCTGTGGGGCCATATCGTCAAATGCCATGTTGCGCAGGAGGCCTGGGCCAGTGAGCTTCGGGCTAGGACTCAGGTCGTGAAGAAGAGCGTCTCTGGAGCGCACAGGCGTGCGTGGGGGTAGCGGAATGACGAGGGTGGGCTTGGAGGGAGTGGTAGGGATCTCGACTTCGTTGGTGACGTCCGCGATCGAAGTGTCGTCGTCCTCGCTGTCACGATCAGCAAGCTCGCAGCTGCCTGTCGCGTGCTCCTCGCTTTCGATAGCGTCGGTCGGCTGTGGAGCGAGGAGGGTGAGCCTGGAGGGAGTGGCAGGGATTCCGTCTTCGGCGTCTCCGACCGAGACGTTGTCTTCCTCACTTCCGCTGTCCGAGAGCTGGTCCTCTACGGCCATGTATTCCTCGTCTTTGGTGGTGTGGATTGGCTGCGAAATAAGATTGGTAGGCTCGTATAGAGCGAAGAGGCCCTCGTACTCGTTGGCGATTCCGTCGCTTGAGGAGCTGTCGTCCTCGTCTTCAGCAGTGTCGGCCGGCGGAGGAGAGATGGGGATTGTGACGAAGTCGCTAGAAGAAGTAGAGATCTGGTCGTCCTCATCGTCGCTGTCTGTAGCGGCGGCTTCATGGTCTTCGGCGCCGTCGATGTTGGGCTGAGGGCGGAGCGGGACGGGCTTGATGGTGATTGGCGTCGAGACGACGACGCGGTTGGAGGACTCCACTGATGCGGAGGAGCCCGTGTCGGGCGTTGCGCCTTCCTCGTCCTCGTCCTCCTCGCCGCAGCTGCTCTCAAACCAGCCCCACCACTCCTCAGAGATCTCGGAGGAGACCTCCGCGTCGTCCTTCTCCATCTCCTCCTCCTCTACCGACCAAACCTCGGAGAGGCGGGAGGGCTGGGGGAAGTAGACCGGGCCTCCCAGCTCCCGCCTCTCCTTCAAGCCCTTCGCGCCCCTCGGGAACACCTCCCGCTCGGCGACGCAGCCGCGGCGAGGGACGGCCTTGAAGCCACGGGCCAGCGCGGGGAAGCAAACGTTCTCCGGCACGTTGTAGGCGTATTCGTACGCCCGGCGGAGAAGGCTGGCGACGCGCGGGATGTCGTCGTGGGCGTAGTCGTCTCCGTAACGACTGGCGCCGATGATCCACTCGGCGTCGTCGTTGATGCCCGGCGACAGGGCCCACGCGCTGACCTCTGGGGACGTGGCCGTCCACTCGCACCACGAGGACGACTCCCGCCAGCACCATCCAGGATGCTCCCAGGCGGCGAAGGAGCCTGGCGCCAGCGCGGCGGCCGTGTCAGTGGCTGCTGTCGCCTCTTCGCCGTACAAGCCGATGTCTTCGAATGCACTGGACATTGGTTCGGGAGTGGTGGTCCAGTTGGGAGATGCGACAATGGTGGGAGTGGCGTTGTCGGCGAATGTGGTGTCAAGGGTATGGGGGTGGTCAGGAGTGGGTTCCTGGACCAGCGGCGCGGTGTTGGTGGCCTCCTGGCCCTCTGGCTGAAGCTGCTCGGGCTCGGGATGTGTGGTGTCTTCCGTTTCGACGGTCCCTAGCTCGGGACGTGTGTGTTCTGTCGTGACGAGCTCTTCGTATTCAGCATCCCAGTCAATGGAGCCAAAGCTCTCAAGGTCGGAAGCGAAGCTCTGCGCTTGGGTAGGTTGCGTCATGATGTGCGAATTTGGAGGGAAAACTTTGAATGGGCGGGGGGCTGGTGCAAGCAGCAACAAGATGAGCAGGATGAGGAGTTGGGCTGCGGGATGCTGAGTTTGTGTGGGTTGCGAGTCGGTGGTGGAGGAGCAGTGTTGCGGAATGGATGTTCGATGAGTTGGACAGAAGGATGGATGCGCGCAACACGACGAGGTTCAGGAGAGCGGGTTGGATGAAGCGCGAAGAGAGTGCGGAGGGTTTGTCGAGATGCGCGGCGTGAGGGAGGCTTTGTTGTGGTCGTGTGCGCGGGCTGGATGACGGAGGCAGAGGCACGGCAACGGTCATGGGGAGGGAGTGGAAGGCCCGGCAACGGCGCAGCGCGTACAGCACAAGGTGTTAAAAGGGTAGTCCTGCGTGAAAGGCGTGGGACCGTTGCGTTTGCCGCAATCGCCCTCTGGTCAGAACTGCTACGCACGTCACCGTGGCACGCAGGCCCCGCCTTAGCATTGCCATTCTCTCAATTGAGCTCCATTGAGCTCCATTGATTGAGCCGAAGTCCTCGATACTCCCGGTAATCGGGTAACCCTTGCTCTTCAACGCGCGATCCAGCGCAGGCCCCGAAATCAAAATCCACAGCGCCGACGCAGAACATTGACGGTGTCACAGCACAATCTGGCTGAGTTTTTTTTTTTTTTTTCAATCTCGTATCTGCGCATTCGAATCCCCAGAGCTGCCAAGAAGGTAGCTATCTCTTGCAGTATGGACGGCATTTTCTGGTATCTGTGGATCTGTGATGGATCTGTGGTTGCGGACGGTAAACACAAACCGATCTGCCGATTGTGGGAGGCAGTGGAGGCCACCCGTGACATGGACCAAAAACATACGGCGGCAGATGACTGTCCATAGCCGGCCTGCTGCCCCAGGCGCTCTTTCATGTTCCAGATAAGAAATTAACAAAAAAAAAAAAAAAAAGGGAATACCGTAGACGTTCCTCACGAGGAAGCTTGCGCCCATCAGCCGGTGAATACCTGAAGACCTCCCGCAAGACCGAGTAGATATCGGTACAATTTTCTCCCAACACCTACCTACTTTTCGGCGCTTGAAAGATATACCGAGCGTGGCATTGTGGGCTGTGAGGGAGTGTCTTCACTCAGCATACCCAACAGCACACGTTTCTCCAAGCTCTTTTCGATGCTGCTGAGCCCGTCAAGGCCTTGGGCGAGCAAAAGATGACGGCTGACGTCGGAAAAGCGACGAAGATGGATCGGATAAGGTGGAGGTTCGCGGCGACGTCAGCCGAGGACCCTGGTCGCAGCCATCGGCGGGCATTCGGCGGCGGGGTCATATTTGAGCGTCAGAGCTCCCTCGAGTCTCCACTCCCCCGCTGCTGCAATCTACAGCTCCAATTGCACCATTGCCGTCTTCTAGCCTTATCAACTTCCTTCTCCCAACTTTTTTTCTCATCTTTTATGACCTTCCTGCGCCACTTCACCCGCACAAGCACTGCTTTCATCCGCACTGCTGCACGTCCTCGCGCCGGAGTAGCTTTCCCCCACCCGCCAATCGCAGCCCGCACAATGTCGTCCGCTGTCGCGAAGCGCCTCGAAGGCAAGACCGTTGTTGTCACTGGTGCCAGTTCCGGCATTGGTCGCAGCACCGCTTTCGAGTTCGCCCGTACGAGCCCCAAGAACCTGCGCCTGATCCTGACCGCTCGCCGCATCGACACCCTCAAGCAGATTGCCGAGGAAATCAAGAAGGAAGTCGGCGACGGCGTCCAGGTGCTTCCCGTGCAGCTCGACGTCAGCAACCCTGCCCAGGTGAAGAGCTTCGTCCCCAACCTGCCCGAGGAATGGAAGAACATTGATGTGCTGGTCAACAATGCGTGAGTCACAGCTCTGATCCCATCCGTACGCCCGTGCTGACGCCTGTTGATAGCGGCCTCGTCAAGGGCGTCGCCCAAGCTCCCGAAATCGCCGAAGAGGACATCAACATCATGTTCCAGACCAACGTGACTGGCCTGATTGGCATGACCCAGGAGATCCTCAAAATTTACAAGTCGCGCCCCGACGGCGGCAAGGGAGACATCATCAACGTTGGCAGCATTGCTGGCCGCGAGGGCTACCCCGGCGGTAGCATCTACTGCGCCACCAAGGCCGCCGTCCGCACTTTCACCGATGCTCTGAGGAGAGAGCTTATCTCCACCCGTATCAGGGTTATTGAGATTGACCCCGGTCAAGTTGAGACGGTACGTCGACATGCTCGCGTATTGCTGCAGAAGAATGCTGACCAATTTTTGCAGGAGTTCTCTGTTGTCCGCTTCTACGGCGACAAGTCAAAGGCCGACGCCGTTTACAAGGGCTGCGATCCTCTGACTCCCGATGACATCGCCGAGGTCATCGTCTTCACTGCCGGTCGTCGCGAGAACGTCGTCATTGCCGACACGCTCATCTTCCCTAACCACCAGGTAAGCAACTCATCCCTTGCCCCGCGAAGAGTCGGTACTGACGGATCAAGGCATCCGCAACGGTCCTGCACCGGAAGTCGTGAGGGGCGCAACAATATGCTTAGAAGTTCTGACAAGCTGTACAGGCTGGTGCCGGTGGCGCAATGTACAGAAGGCCAGTAAAGGACACGAAGATGTAAAACTTTTGTTATAGATGGCAAACAAAGCCGCGATACCTTTGGGAATCTAAGGTGGCACAACCGCTGTACAAGAACAGCGCTGTAACGTCACCGAGTCAAGAATTAAGACACAACAGACCAATCTTTACGCTCACGCTTCTCTTTTGCAACCCGACTGCTTGCATCATATCCATCAAATGTCTGTTTTGCGCAGCGCTGCATCATGTTTAATAAACGGGGGCTCTTCTGGAAACTTTGCCGCCATGTTTTTCAACGAGTGTAATTGATTCGTTCCAAGATTATCTGACTGGTTAACAGCTAAATCAGAGGTCTGAGCATTTAAAGGTACCAAACAGCGGATGCCAGCAGGATGAGTCGTACACGGTGACAAGAACCGTTTCCTGACGTCATGCGAGTTCCCCGGATTGTTTCCCCTGCATGTCTCCCCGCACGCAGCTCCCTTCGGCTGAAGCTCTCCCGAGCCTTTGCATCCGCAACTCGCCAAATTCTCACAAGTACATGGCAAACGAGCAAGCTCCTAATGATCGACTGCAGCGTCCCCGCTAGTTGCGTGGTGCCATTTTGCCTCCAATCAAGCTTCAGGGCAGCTCGCAGACATTCGATTGACCCGGCGCAGCATGGATTAAATGCAGTACGTGCAGCCGCACTCTCTTTCCCCGGATTTTTGTTTCTCTCGCCGTCGAAACAAATTTCCTCCCCCTTAGTTCTTTCTCCTCCAAAATGCGTCTCTTCTCGTGCCCCGCTCTGCCCCTCTCCCTATACTGCGTTGTCACTTCTGCCCGAGTGATCCAAACAACTCTTGACGATGGCCGACCTCAATGCACCGTCCACGCCAGCGGCAACCAGACCGACGATGTGCCCACAATTCTTTCTGCCTTCACCTCTTGTGGGAACGGCGGCGACATCGTCTTCCCGGAAGGCGAGGACTACTACATCGCGACGCGGCTGAACCCCGTCGTCAACGACGTCCGCATCCATTGGCACGGTCAATGGACCTTCTCTCCCGACCTGGACTACTGGCGCGCCAACTCTTACCCCATATTCTTCCAGAATCACGCCGCGGGCTTCATCCTCACGGGCGACCACATCTGGATCGACGGCTACGGCACGGGGGGCATCTTCGGCAACGGCAACACCTGGTACGTCGCCGAGGCGGACTCGCCCGTGGGCGACACGCAGCCGGGGCGGCCAATGCCGTTCGTCTTCTGGAACGTGTCGGACGTGACGGTGTCCAACTTCTACGTGCGGGACCCGCAGCTGTGGGCCATCAACATCATGAACGGCACGCACCTGGCCTTCGACAACATCACGGTCAACGCGACGGCGCCGACGGCGCCCTACGGCGTCAACTGGATCCAGAACACGGACGGCTTCGACACCATGGACGCGACCAACGTGGCGCTGACCAACTTCGTGTACCAGGGCGGCGACGACTGCGTGGCCGTCAAGCCGCGCAGCCGCAACATCGTGGTGCGCCACGCGCGCTGCGTCGGCGGCAACGGCGTCGCCGTCGGCTCGCTGGGCCAGTACCTCGAGGACGCGTCCGTCGAGAACGTCGTCATTGATGATGTCACGCTCGTGCGTAATCAGTGGCTGCACGGCTCCGCCCTCATCAAGACCTGGGTCGGCGTGCTCGTCAACCAGTCGTCGCGCGCCTACGAGAGCGCCTGGGTGCCCCGCGGCGCCGGCTGGGGCTCCGTCCGCAACGTGCTGTTCTCAAACTTCAGGGTCGAGGGCGCAGAGGCCGGCCCCGAGATCAATCAGGATAGCGGGAACAACGGGACCGAGGCGTTCAAGGGGAGCAGCTTGATGGAGATATCGAATATAGCGTATGTGAATTGGACCGGTTGGTTGAATCTGGATGACGGAGACACTACGACGGCGGGGATCAGTTGCTCGACGAAGGAGCCATGCTATAACATCGACTTTAAGAACGTGAACCTGACGACGGCGCAGAATAGCACAGATCTAGGGACTGCAGAGTGTAAGTTCATCGAGGAGGGAGGAGTGCATGGGGTTGAGGGGGAGGGATGTTAATTGTGCCCCTGATTTCGGAACGAATACAAATGATCAATGTTGGAAAACGAAGAAATTGCAGAGCTGACACAACATGTGTTGTTCGACAAGCCTTCGCGAATGCATTTTCGATGAACCCATTTCCGCCTCTTTCCCTTCCTTCCCAAACTCACAACTCGCTGATGACCGGCCCCATCATCAACGCATCCACCATCTCACCCTTCTTCACGAACCCATCCTTGACCGGCAAGCACAGCAGTGCATTCGCCCCCTTGAAGCTGCCGATACGCGAGCTCCTCTGGCCGCCGGTGCTACTCGCATACAGCCCACCATCCGCCTTGACGGCGACCAGGGCACGGTGGTACTCTGCCCTCTTGCCGTCGCACCTCAAGTCTGCGCCGTCGATCTTGACGCGCACCTTGGGCAAGCCGGCAGGGCTGATGCCGCTGGCACGGTGCAGCGACGGCAGCACGAACAGCTGGAACGTCGTCACGGCCGAGGCCGGGTTGCCGGGGAGCGAGAAGATGACGCACTTGCTGCTGCCGGCGCCGTGGTCGCCGCCGGCCGTGGGCTTGAAGGGCACGGTGGCGAAGGTGGTCGGCTTGCCCGGCTTCATGCTGACGCGGCCGAAGTGGATGGTGCCGCCGAGCTGGCGCTCGATGGTCGGCTTGAGCAGGTCGAGCTCGCCCATGGACACGCCGCCCGAGGTGATGATGACGTCGACGCGGCGCAGGGCGAGGCGGAGGGTCTCTTCAAGGCTGCCGGGTCTGTGGTCGGAGTGTCAGGAGCCTTGGGCGGGAATTCGATAAGGGAGGATGGAGGACTTACTGATCCGACGCGATCTTGAGGTCTACAGCCTCGAAGCCGGAGGAGCGCACCGCGTTCAAGAGCGTCGGCCTGTTGGTGTCCCTGACCTCGCCTAGCTTGAGCTCGCCAGGCCGGTCGAACTCAACGATCTCGTCGCCCGTGCTGAGCACGCCGACGACAGGTTTCTTATAGACCTTGACCTCGCGGACCCCGACAGAAGCCAGCAGGCCGAGCTCGCCACCGACTGCCGTGATTCCCTCGCCCGCTTTCATAATCACGTCGCCCGCTCGCACATCGCTACCAACCTCGCGAACGTTCTCGCCGGCCTCGATGGCTGAGGTCAGAATCTTGATCTCCTTCTCCTCCTTGCCGTCGTCGGTCATACTCTCGAGGACCGTGTCTTCGACCATGATCACGGCCGAGGCGTGCGGAGGGAGGGGCGCACCGGTTGTGATACGCGCAATCTTGCCTTCCTCGAGAGGCGGAATCTCGCCGGCTTGGGCATGCGAGACGAGAGCAACCGGGTACACGCCCTCCTTGAATGTGCCGGACTCGGGAATCCTCACCTACGACAAGTCAGCATCTACAGATCATGAGGCACGGCGCTTGATGTGAACCTACAGCGTAACCATCGACAATGCTGGCTCGGAAAGCAGGTACAGACTCGGGGGCTTTGATGTCTTCGGCAAGTACGTGACCAACCGCTTTCTCGCCAAGCGGTATCGTGACGACAGTAGGTTTGGGCGTGTGCTGTGCGATCTGCTCGAGAGCCTGTTCTACCGACAGCATCTCGTACGGCGACTGGCGGTAGCGTCTAGTGGGGCCAAGGCTGGGGTCGTTAGACTGGGGATTGTCGTTTGGGTTGGTGTGTGCCCTGGGCGCCGAATGGCCTCCATGTCCGTGGCCGTGGCCATGGCCATGTCCATGGTGGTGGTGATGGTGGTGGCCAGCTTTATCTCCTGGAGAGTCGTCAGTGGCTGGTATACACGGCGGACCTAATGGGAAATCACCTGAGGGCTTAGAGTTTGAGTGCAGCCCTGCCTCCTTCTCCAGCTTCTTCACGCCGCCAGCGTGGAGGGTACGGGAATCGGCGCCTGCGGCTTGGGTGCAGGCGTGAGGAAGTAGCTTGATTACTGCTTCAAGGTTCTCTTTCGCTCCTTTGGGAGAGCCAGGAAGCGTCATTATCAAAGTCTTGTTCCTCACGCCGGCCACAGGCCGTGCCATCATAGCAACTAAAAAATTGTAAGTGGGATGAAGAGACGAGGGGAGGGATACACGACTTACAAGGTGTCACCTGCAAGGATGCCGCCAGCATACCGTGACTGGTTATGTTAGGTCGTAAATTGAGCCATGATTGATGTAGAGTTCTTACACGATCCCCGGCGCATGTTTGTGAATTAACGGGCTCACAGCCTGTGGGAAGGGTTAGCCACAATGAAGAGGGAAAGATGATTTGGTTGAACGTTACCTCTGGCGTGGTATCCTTAAGGGTGAAGCCTGTGCCACCGCTCGTGACTATCAAATTCACGGCGTCTTCGGAGTCGGCCCAGCGTTGGATAAAGCGCTGGACGTCAAGGATGCTGTCCGGTACAATGTCGACGGTCTGAACATGCCATTGGCTGGCGTTATCCTTGTCGAACACATCTTTGAGCACATCGCCGCATTTGTCGCTCGACGGATCCTTTGCGGCCGTCTCGGAGACGATCAGAATAGCTGCTTTGAGTTGTGACATTGGACGGACGTACGTTGTGTCATCGCTTAGCGGGGCTGGCGACAAGTCCCCGCTGACGTCTTATCCGATTTCCCGCCGTCGCCAGTGGACGGCGCGCGCATATCCAGTCGCCTATCAAATCTCACATAACGAGCAGGGTATGAAGTGATTCCGCATCCATGGCGGGTATTGTGCTACAGAAATTCGCTAAATGCATAATGATTCCTCGACTACCATCCCGCCCGCCATAGCTTTCTTCCTGAACCCTGTCCTGGGACGCAGCAAATCCCAAATATACAAGCTTGAATATGCACACGACGAAGGAGATCGTACACCACAACCGCTTGCCGTGCTTCCTTGCTGTTTTGACGTCTATCCCAACGCCTCATAGTACATTGCAGATCCGCCCCATCGAGCGGACGGCGGTAATGTCCCGTGTGGTCATTCATATTGCCCATCTCAGTCCATGCTGAAGTCGGCAGCCTTTCCAGAGACCAGCAGACCAATGATGAGACCGAAAAGGCCGAGGACGGAGCTGAAGATCTCGATGACGAGAATCTTAACGAAACTATGCGCACATACGTTAGCTTCGTGGGAGACCACGTATCCGTGGCACTTACAGGCTGGGGTCTGCCGCGTCGGCCAGAGCAGCACTGCTACCGTTGATGCCGACCGAGACACCGCAGATCAGGTTGCACATGCCAACCGTGATACCTCCCCAGAAGAGCGCGAATCCGGTGTAGTAGTTGGAGGCCGAGTAAAGGGCATCGCCGCTGACGGATTGGATCTTGGCGGAGAAGACGATGGACATGATAACGCCGTAGATAGCGACGACCTCGCAAAAGATGATGGAGATCAAGTTCTTGGTCCGTATCCTGGGCGCCTTGACACCTCCACCGAGAATGGAGCTACCGGTGATGAGAATACCCCTGCACACCTCGTCAGCGAGCTGCTTGTGTTTTCCCTCGGCTTCTCTTGTTGGCGTACCATGCAGCGCCCACCACGGACAGACCGATGCAGAGGCCGATGCCCATGTCTGCCCACATGTACGGCGAAACGCTCTCGAGGAATTGTCCAACCTGGCAGCGACGTCATCAGCTAAGTCGGGGGTCGATCATCAGGAGCACAGGCGCGTACGTTGAAGGCCTCGCCCTCGCCGTTAAACAGCATATCTGCAAGCACGTCAGCGCCCGATCGCAGGCGGGAGCGGGCAGAGAGTAAACGTACACAGGCCGACGACGGTCAAGGCGGCGGTGGCACCGCCAGCGCCATAGATGAGCGGCATCCTCGCGAAGCTCCCCGGACTGATTAGAGTGAGATGGAAAACAGAAAAGAGACCCTCTGAGCTCGTCGAGGGCGGTCGGGCGTTGCTGCTTGCTTGGACCTGGCGCTCGCTGGAGCTCGTCGCGCGGCTCGGAGAAAGGCCGCAGCCCGGGCCATCGCCCATCACGTGTGCCGCCTCCCGTCGCTGACATGGATCCAACACCGCCGCCCTTGCCCCGACGATTCCTCTTCAACCACGCGCCTCGTGGCCCACCGCACCCTTAGTTGTCCAGCCCACACAAGCCGCGGTGCTGTCGTGCGTTCGCCAAGATGAGCGACCTCAACTACTATGAAATCTACCGCAAGACCAGGTATGCTTTGCTCTGCACTGCAGCCAGACCATGGCGGAGCCTGCGCCGTGGCTAAACAACAGCAGCATCGGTCTCACGTTGATGGACACGCTGGACGAGCTTATCAGTACCCGTCGCATGGAGCCGCAGCTTGCCATCAAAATCATGCAGAACTTCGATAAGGCGCTTGCCGACGTGATCTCGGAGAAGGTGAAGGCTCGCATGAGCTTCAAGGTATGCGCCGCCCTCTGACGACGGCTGCCGCCTGGCGTACTAAATGCACGCGCGTGCTCAGGGTCACCTCGACACCTACCGCTTCTGTGACGACGTGTGGACCTTCATCATCAAGGACATCACCTTCAAGATGGACAACTCCCAATCGCTTACCGCCGACAAGATCAAGATCGTCAGCAACAACAGCAGCAGGCCTGGGAACTAAGAGCGCGCCTCGTGGAGCGCAGCGCACTGGCATCGGCGAAACCAAAACATTACGGCGCTGGCCACAAGGCACGCGGGAGAAGCTGAAACAAGGCCTCCTCTCGGATATTTGTGGCTTGGTTTCTGGAGCCTGGAATATGGCTTGCATTACATGCATTACACCCGTGCGGCTCGGGACTGCATTATGCGGCGTTGGAAGGTAGAGCTGCTTTAGGCAGCTCTTGATACCCGAAAAGTTGAAATCCAAACTACTGAAGGAACCCTTCGAGTCCGAAGCAATCAACGTTCCTAGTGACTGCCGAGCCGTTGATTCCGCATGCAAGGTCGGCTCAACTGAGGGGCAATTGAAGCGCCCACCCGGACATGAATGCGCAGTACAAATGTGAACAAATGCATCCAGACAAGAGCTTCAACGTGTTGCAATGCTCAGTGACCCTGCTTTGTAATGTTTCCCCACGTCGGCCGACGTCGGCACGTCATAGGGCGCTTGGACATGGATCCTCGAAGCTGCCCGCGAAGCTCCACAACCACCCCGCAACCCTACTGTGACTTTTTCTACTCCCAACCCACAGCTTCCAACATGGCCACCGAACAAGCGCGACTCGATAACCCCGATGTGCCCAAGGGCAGGAAGAGCTTTGTCCCTCTCGGTGCGCATAATTCGCCACTGTGGTGGCCGTGTGCAGGCAGCTAACTCGTCAGCAGAGAACAACCCGGAGGTGATGAATGCACTCGTGCACAAGCTCGGCCTGTCCACGAAACTCGCCTTCCACGATGTCTTCAGCATCGACGAGCCAGAGCTCCTCGCTTTCGTTCCTCGCCCGGCGCACGCGCTGCTCCTCATCTTCCCGGTCAGCGAGACGTACGAGAAATTCCGCCGGGACGAGGATTCCGCAAAGTCCGAGTACGAAGGTTCCGGGGAGGGCGAGCCCGTTGTTTGGTACAAGCAGACCATCGGCAACGCGTGCGGCCTGATTGGGCTGCTTCACGGCGTGTCTAACGGCAAAGCCCGCTCGCACATCGGTACGGGCCCAGCCCCCAGACCGAACACCAAGCCAGGGGATACTGATGCTTCGCAGAGCCTGACAGCGACCTCGCGAAGCTCCTTGCCAGCGCCATTCCACTCAAGCCGGCCGCCCGTGCGGACCTTCTCTACGAATCGCAAGCGCTCGAGAGCGCGCACCAATCGGCGGCTTCGGGCGGCGACACGGCTGCCCCAGAGGCGGATGCTGCGGTCGACTTGCACTATGTCTGCTTCATCAAGTCCGAGGATAACCGGCTGTGGGAGATGGACGGAAGGCGCAAGGGTCCGCTGGAGAGAGGCGTGCTGGGCGCTGACGAGGATGTGCTGTCGGAGAAGGCGCTGAACCTCGGCGTGCGGAGCTTCCTGAAGCGCGAGCAGGAGGCAGGAGGCGGCGATCTGAGATTCAGCTTGATCGCCTTGGCTCCCAGCTTTGACTGAGCGGTCGCGGCCGTCGGGCTTACATACGAGGGACCAGCCACCATGGCCGCGCGCGTGCTGTGCGAATGCAGCCGCACGAGCGGCATGTGCCAAGTGGCTGAGCCCAGGGTAAGGACTATGGCGTAGTTTGCATACGGATGAGGTTGTGGATCAGTGGGTGGGACCAGCCATTATAGCTTCCGCCCTGGAATGCACAGGACAAAGACAAGTGCTCTCGGCATATTTCCCTGGATCGTCCCATGTGTAAGACGTAACACGCCACAGCTTTGCGACACGGGCGATGACGGCAGCAGCTTCATGGCAAAAAATACCAGGTAAATGGGCTGGTTCTCGATTGGGCCTTGGGTCCGTCTGGACTGTACCCGCGATCAGTGGACTGGCCCGCTCGAGACGACCCGCAAGCCAAGCGTTGCTAAGAGCCAGCGATTTGTGTGTAGCGTATGAGCTAGCATCTCCTTCTTGTGGCGGAGTGGACGATGATGTTAGGAGCCGGTTAGCGTCTTTGTCCCTTTGCCGTTTTCGACCATCAAGGGACCTCGCTCCGCTTCCCCAACTGCTCATGTTCTCCACCCTCTCGAAGTCGGCTGCTTCTCCGAAAATCGTCAGGCTGCATTGGTCGACATGTCTCGGAAGCACAATCAAGCAGCTTAAAAGAAGGAATCGGCTCCAGCGTTGCTGCCTCACACGTCAAACGTGACGGCCTGTCATTACCGCTGGCACTGTCCATGCGTAACACCAAACCGAATCCCCTTCACTCTTGACATCGGCAACGATTCTTGCCCCTAGCTGCCCGCGGCTGCCCCATTGGGGCGTGTTCCCATTCCTAGAATGCCCCTAATAGCAACCTCGACAACAGCACTTCCTCGTCTCGCAACCCCTCCGATCCAAAGACCAGAAGGTAGCTTCACGCCATGGATTACGTCGACTTCGGCAGTCCACTCCCGCCGGTCGTATGACGACTCACAAGCGGCCGCCGACTACATTTTCCTTTTTGACGATCAGAAAAAGTTTATTGTGCAGGTTACTTCAGTCGTCGCAGCCTGCATTAGCTTGGTCATGGTGTCAGTTACCTTCTTCTGGTTTGTACGAATGAGAAAGCGGTTTAGGCACAAGTTCGGGACTCCTCGATCTTATTTCAGCGACCTCGGTGGCTAATTCGCGAATGCGCAGGTTGATTATGCTGCTTATTCTCGGAGACTGGACGCGTGCCTTATGGTATCTGGTGTTTGCCATAGTCTCCTTCAAGCGCGGGACCATCTATACCCACACCCGCATTTGCCAAATTGCCGGCTATCTAATACAGATGGCCACTGAGATATCCGGTCAGGCCTTGGCTGCCCTGTCTATCTATGTCCGCCCACTAACTCGCGCAGATTTCTCTGTATTATTCATATCCATACATGGCGCGACGCAGATATTCAAACCGCCAGTATCCATCGCCGGTGGGGACGATCGACTGTACAAATACCGCCACTGGATCTACGCTTTCATCCTGCTTGTCCCTCAGATCTTTGCGTCTCTTCCCTTTGCAGATCCCCGTGGCGCTGGATACCTGTCTCAGGGCGCCTTTTGCACCCTTCCCATTCGTCCCATCTGGTATCGTCTTGTGCTCGCATGGATTCCACGACTGTGCATCTGGTTCACTATCCTTGGCCTGGCCATCGCAATATACACGCATGTTCACCGCGAGTTCAGTAACTTCTCTGAGGCGTTCCGACACCACTCGACAACCTCTACGAGCTTTTTGTCTGAGACACTTGACGGAAGCCCGCCCATGACGGAAAGAAGACGAGGCAGCAGCCTAGATATCGGCCTTCATCGGCCATCTGTTGATCGCGGTGACCAGGCCCCCGATGTCACATCTGCTTCTGCCGATGTTCTGACAAGACCCCGACCTGCACATATACGTCAAATCTCGTCGGTGGATCCCATCAGCACGAACGATAATCCAAATGTGCTTCCTCTACCGACAACTGTTGCCCCAGAAGGCCGACGCAATTCCCGAGTCCGCATCGAGGTCCCGGCTAGCCCTGTTGCTCTCGGTCCAGAATCAGAGCCTGCCAACCCTTCTGGCAAACGCAAGAGCTTTTCCGAAAGCCTGCGCTCCTGGAGAGGCCCCTCGAAGGAGGCTTACGATAATCAACACAATGGATCTAGCTTCCCCAACTCTCTCTACTCGGAACGTCGAACGCCCAGTCGCAATAGTGTGATGGCGCTTTTCAGTTCCAGTCGGCGCGTGTCCGACGGTACCAAGAGCATGTCTTCAGGCCGCTCCCGTATACGCTCTCGTACCTTTTCTTCCACCAGCCGTACTGAGCGAAAGCCTTCGCGCCGCGTTTCCGACCCGATGGAAGCTCAGATGCGCCACAAGCGTGCACATATCCGGCGCCAACTACGGCAGGTGTTCGTGTACCCCCTCGTCTACATCTGCATGTGGTTGATGCCATTTGTCGCCTTGTGCATAACGTACAATTCAAAACTCGCAAAAAGCCCGCCATTCATCATCAACACGCTAAACAATTTCTGCCTTTGCTTCATCGGCGCCGTCAATTCTATTGTTTTCTCATTGCGCGAACGGCCGTGGCGCCACATCGAGGGCAACCCCAGTCGCCGCTTCTGGAGCAGCTTCTGCTTCGGATGTAACAAAGACGATGACCTGGACGACGACGACGACGACGACGACACCCTCCCGTCGCACCACCAGCGCAGACACAGCAATCGCTGGAGTGGGAGCACATGCGTCACCAACAACACCACAGCGCCCACTGAAGACCACCCAGCCGTCTCGGCGACGCTTCTTCGACCTCAGCTCATTCGCTCCGCCACCGCACCACCATCCCCTGCCAACCCTGTCACCTCGACCCAGAACGACGAAAAGGACGACGAAGACACCATCACGCCCATCTCTCCCCTCACCCCTCCATCGCCGACCTCGCGCCAAGGCCTAGCCGCCGCCGCCGCCGCCACCACCACCACAACTTCCCCACCTCTACTAGCGCCGCCGCCGCCCTTGATATCACGCACATCCCTCCCTCCACCTCCTCGACACACATCCACCGACTCGCCACCAGCAGCAGCATCATCGTCGCTTTCCCCTCCTTCTCCTCCTTCGGCCAACCACCCCACCACCAACACCCTCTCCGCCCTCTCCCTTGCCACCTCGGCCGCCCGCCGCCACATCAAGCGCGCCAGCGTCATGGTCGCGGCCAGCGCCACGGCCACGCGCGAGACGGACGCCCAGCGCGCCGCGCGGGAAATGGCGTACGAGCGGCTGGCCTGGGAGAGGGAGCAGCACGCTGCCGCTGCCAGGCTGAGCACCGCTGCTGCTACTGCTGCTGCTGCGGCCGGGGGAAGTGGTAGTGGAGGTCCGCGGAGGGGGAGCACGGGGGATATTGTCGGTGGTGATGGGGGGATGAGAGGGGGCAGCAGTCGCAGTGGTGGTGATGGGGACGGGACGTTGGTTGCTGGGTCGCTGGGGTCGCGGTCGTGGGCTGGGACGGGGCCGGCGGGGGTGGGGACGAGGGAGTGGTGGGAGAGGAGGGGGAGTGAGTGGGGGACGGGGCGGAATGGGAGTCGTGGTGGTGGTAGTAGTAGGGGTGCCGGAGGAGGAGTGAATCTGTAGTAATGGATGTGGTGGGAGGGCGGGGTAATCATGGAAAGGGGGAGGGGGTGGAGAAGGTATATGGATATTGAATATATGAGGTATCGTCGCCATGAGTGAAGATGCTCTGCTGTTGTGCTACCGCCTGCAGGTCATGTGTAGCTCTACGGGCTTGCTTTGTTTTCGCTCCGCATAGTAGAACTCTATAATCATGAGCCTCGCTGGAGTCTTCTCTCGAATGATTGGCCTTCACTCCGCAGAACAGCAGAGACGGAAGTCTATTCGAGATAGAAGAGAAATTGACAGTGTTTGTCCTTCAAGTTTTCAGGCACAGCATTAGGCGCCACTCGAAGGATGATTGATTTTTACGCACTTCGCACTTCTCGAGTTCTTCTTCAGATATCGATGCTGAGCCGCAACATGAAGTGAAGTTGTTACTCATTGTTTACCTCATGATGCACGTTTGGGCGATCGGATCACATCTCGAGCAGCGCAGCAAATGAAGGTGTCGGCATGGCGAACGCACAAGGCGAGAAGCGAGTCTTAAGTTTATCCCACGGTGGATCCAAATTCATCAGGAACGAACAAGGCAGTGATAGGTGAGGCTGCAGAGGAGTGGCGCTTTTTGAAGACAGGAAAGAAAATCTAGGTTTTCCAAACTCACTGCAGCAAGTGATAATATTTTCGTCACGCGCTGGTAGTCTATAGTGGCACGCTCGAGCATCACTTGATCCAGACAAAGGCGCATTGATCTGCACTCTTTAAATCGTATCTATAAATGGCACAGGTATCATGTATCCTATTCTAAGATATGGCTCTGATGTAAAACCATCCATGGGATACACCAACGAATGCCAGAATTCGGATTGTTGACTTCGTTTCGCTCCTCTCTCTCTCTCTCTCTTCCAGCGTCGCCGACCTAGTTCTCGAGAATAACAAAGCAAGAGTACTCGTTATCAATGGTGGCCATCATTTGTCCCAAGCTTGAATGTTCAGCACTTAACTCTCATGACTGTCAGCATGGCGCCCGTCACCTCAGCACCCCGAGCTTCCCGCTTGATATATTATCCTATGCAATTACTTTAAAGAATCGGTTTTAGGAAATGGAATACGAAGTGACATCTAGTCTTCTAAAAATTTTCTTTTCTCAAACAATTTGACTCATTATTGAAGCAGTCTAAAAATCCTGGATCCATTCTACAAGGGGAAACCGCATATCCTCCGCCACATGCAAATGCCCGCTCGGCTTACCCATTGCCCGCTGGGACGCGATAACTCGCACGAGCGTGCAGGAAAACTCCGAACCTCGGCATCCTGATAACACTCATGTGGTGGAGTGAGAACCGCCAGATATGTCCGGCCTGACATGCTCGGCGGTTTCGGGTGGCGTGAGGTGGGCACCCGGCCCGAAATAGACGCTTCAAGCTCCTTGTTCCCCTTGAGGCAATTCTTCGCTTGAGTCTCGGTGGTCGGTCGATGTAGGCATGATCGCCCGGATTATTTCCAAGGAACTACTAACTTCAAGTTTGAGTTATTTCTATGCTGGAACATATCTCCTCAACCATTGAAAACTCAAAAAAAAATATAATATATTCTGCGAATGCTACAGAAGAAAGCCAAAACATCGTTTAAATAGGGGTAAGGCAACCTCCGAGAAAGGAGACACAATGATGATGACCTCCAGTATGGTTGTATTGGCGCATTCCACCATCACTTTCCACCATATTACCGCATGAATATTTTCGCGAATATCCACCGTGCCCTCCGCTGATAACTTAGCTCTCGCGAACCACGAAGAGTGATCCAGGCCTCAGTTGAGAATAAGCTGCGAATTCATCAATCAAAATCGACATTCCTCTCGCGGAGTCAGTAAGAGTTGGCGGCGGATACGACTTTTATAGGTAGAACATTTCGAACCGTTCGTCGGGTCAGTCATCACGAGCCGGAGGCGCTCAGCTGTAGCTACGTTCTTGAACATTGCAGTGTCAGTTGACACCATAGTGTAGCCATGTGATCAGTCCCAAGTTCATACTGCGTTGCCGGTGACCGTCTTATCTTGCTTCTCTTTCCTTTATATGCTCAGCGTCCCTCCACTAGCCATTCGCCATTAAGCACGATTATTTTTTGCACGAGAGGAGAGAACAACGAACAAGATGACACTGCTGGGTTGCATTCTCCCGTTGGCATTTGGCGACCTTTAGTTAGCGACTTGTGGATTGAGGACATCATTGGCTTTTCGCTGAGACGGACTTGATGTCAATGCGTCACATAATTTAACGGTAGCTGTCATCAACTCCGAAAGATGATGAAGCGCTTCGACTCGGTTTTCTGTAGTGTATTCGATCACTAACGAGTTACGAACACAACGAGATGTGGTTAAACGCAGACCTGCCAAACGGAGTTGTTTCATGACGTTTGACGATCCGACTTCATGCGCTCTTTAATCTGGACTCAGACGTGAGATGAGCCGCTGCCCAAATTTCTATTTCGACGTAGCGTAACGTCATGATGTGAAAATTTAGCCCTATAACCTGCTTTGTACATCCGTACTTGCTGTGCGTAGTAGATAGAGCTGGTACTGTAATAGCAATGGGGAAAAGCAGGATGATATTTCGGAAGGCTTGTATTATCAGAGACATGGGCGAAACTGGACGAGATAGCCGAGTACCACATGTTTTCCAATAGCAACAAATATTCAAAGATTCTGAGATGTGAATGGTATTCGTCTAAGTCAGAGCGGCCATCTAGGAAATATCGCAGCCTCGAATGATCTCAAGCCTCCGCTATAAGTCTTCGGTACGCCAAACCATGAAAACCAGGACTCGTTCCAAGAACCAACTCACATCCCGCTCCACTCAATGCTGAATGCCCTGACTCCAGCTGCAGAATCTTCCTGCTCGTCATCTGCCCGTCCAATCTTTCTCTCCTTGCCGCCAACCAAGAAGCCTTTCTTCACACCGGTACCCAACCTCCCACCTCCGACCAGCTGCATCAAGTCGAACTCCTCATCCCATCCCATTCCCACTGCCAAATAGTGACTGTGAAAACGCAACGGATCGCCCGGGTACACGCAGTACTGGCAGCCAAACCGCAAGCCTGGGGACATGAAGAAGCCTCTCGAGTGGAGATACGCGAAGAGTGGATAGGACTTCGGGACCTTTGGAAGCTCCTTGGGTTCCGACGGCGACGCCGGGGCCGTCGGAAGAGGCGGATGGGAGATGGACGGCGTGATGTAGAAGCGGTCATCCGGGGCAACTGATGACGGTGCCTGCGACGGCGTGGGCGAAGCAGGACGCGGAGGTGCAGAGGAAGCAAAGAGGGATGAGTCTGCTTCCACACCACCTTGGGCCGCCGCTTGTTCTTGCTGCTGCTGCCTCTCCTGCTTCGCCTTCCTTGCCTTCTCGATCTTATCGGCATTCTTCTTCATGGCTTCCTTCTTGATATCATCCGCCTTCTTCTGGCTTGCCCGGGAAGCCTCGATGCCTTGCTTTTCCAGCGCTCTGAGGAAAGCTTTACGCTCAGCATCGCCCAGCCCCAAGATTCCTGTCTTGTGCCTTTCGACGTCATCAACGATATAAGCGGCCCCAATTTCGACAAGACGGCGCGCTTCTTCAGGCATGAGCTCAAGAGGCGTCCCGAGGAAAACATTTTGTTGAGGGTGGCTTGGAAGGGTGCCGATCAAGACACCGCAGATGTTGTGCTCCCGTCTCAAGTACGATATGGCATCCGTGTCGTATAGCATGTAGCGATTGGCGATCCGAGAAATGGGAACTGGAGAGGGCAGCGGGGGTTGGGAAGATTCTGCCAGTTCCGCCTCTGGTTCTTCCTGTGGCTGGGAGGGTTCCGGCTGAGAAATTGGAACGGGCTCTTGCGGGATGGCATCGAGGGACGAGGTTGGGGCAGATGTATCAATTGGGGGCTGAGAATCTTCTACAATGTTCAACACCGGTGAAGCAGGCTCTTCTTTCGAGGCCTCTTCTTCCACGTATGGCTGCGATTCATTTGCAGCGCTAGCAAGTGGGGCAACCTTCTCCTCAGCAGCAGGTGTCGGAATCAACTCTTCATCTGGGACAGCAGGCACAGCTTGAGGCACCGAGGCGGGCTCGGGCTGGGTAAGAGCCTGGAGTTGCGATACCGCCGCCTCTGGTACACTTCTCGGCACAGCTGGTGTGGGGGCTCGGCTAGGTATTAACCCTGCTGCCTCTTTGCGCCGTCTGTCCGGAGACTGCTGGGCACTCGAGAATTGCCCGTCAGACCACTCGCTTGGAGTCGGAGTCATGTCGCCGATATCGAAAGGCTCGAAGACCTGCATGCCAGCCTCCATGCCATCTTGGTCAAAAGGCAAGCTTGGCGAACGCTGCCACGGGAAGACGTGTGCGAGCGAAGCAGGCGAGCCTTCGGCGGGCTGTCCCCTTTCGGGCGACGGCTTTTCAGAGTCGTGGACAACTACTTGTGGCGTCCGAATCCCCTCAGAAGCTTCCGGCGACTCGCTGGAAGTCGTAACGGCATCATCTCGCGGAAACGGGAACACGTGGTCAAGACCGAGGCCGCTCATCGTGTTGGCACTGACTCAGTGGGAACCTGGATTACAAAGCAATTAGCGATGGAGCCCTGGAGAAGGAAATGTGCTTGAACAATATTGCTTCGGTTGAAATATCATGTGTCCAACTCGTTCTCGTCAACAGCCCAAAGCCGTAGCCCGGGCATCAGGGGATTGACAGATTGATAAAGAAGTTTGTTTTAATCATTTCAAAGGGCAGGTGAAAGGGGCAGCGGGCCGGGCTTACCTTGATAGTGGTGCCTCGTTGAGGCGGTGGGAGTGGCAGTCACATTGTGTGATGGTGGAGTGAGGAGTCACCGGCGACGCGAAAAAGTTCATGGAATTTTTAGCGTGTTGTGCACAGGCCAGCTGCTCGTCACGCTTCACCCTAGCTCGTGCGCTGATCATCGGCGCTCTCAGCGACAACTCAATCTCGACATCATGGGCATTTGGATCCTTCTCGGACTCATCTTCTTTCTGCCGCTGGTCATGTTCATTGGTAAGATGTCTGTGAATCTTTGGGCCGAGCTCGACTGACTTGCTATCCCAGCCTGGATGGCATTGTCTTCCTGCTTGGGGGACAGCTTCCGAGCCAGCATCGCCGGTGTATCATTGAATCCGCGGCAAGCCTCCTTTGGTCGCAGCTACGCCAGGGGTCTGGGTTCTGGTACCGGCCAAGCCGGCTGGGAGCAAATCGAGATGGAAGAAATGCTCGAGAACGCTGAAGACTCGGATGATGAGCGCTAAGATCCGCACCGGTTATTTCCGTGTCTCTCAGAAATCAATATCAACCTTTGTCTGCTTCCCACCGCCACCACCTTCGGCTCCAAGCGCCCCTTGCGCTTCCGTGTCGCCTTCTACAGGCGGCAAGCTGAATGGCTTGATCACGAACTTCCGCCTGCTTAGGGTAAACGCCAAGTCGTCTCCAACGCCAGCCACGCCCCCACCACCTCCTCCGCGCTCATGCCACACTGGGAGCCTATGCACCCTAAGCATTCCTTGCGGTCTTTCCTCGCTCGCCGTCGCTGCACCCGACGATGCCAGCTCGCCGTAGGTATCCATCAGGTGCGGGAAAGGTTGCAGCTCCAGAACTCCATCGCTGAGAAGTTCTACCCACCGCACTAATCCGGAGCTTCGCGGGTAAAGCTCCAATGGAAGTGAGAGTATGACTGTTAGTCTATTCGGGTACTTCCGTAGCAGTGCTCTTAGTGCGTGAAGGAATTGGAGAAGAAAAGACGGCTGGCTTGAGTGGGGCGGGTACAGCGCCGGCGAGAGTAGACTCGGCACTAGAAGACGGTGAATGGTCGTGGCTGGGCTCGACGCGAGCTGTGAGGAGACATTCTGAAGGATGGACGTAAAAGGCGAGGTCTGTTGGTACGGAAGCGGAATATAGTTGATCGAGGTTCCAGCTGGAAACTCTAGTCGCTTGGCGAGGTCGAACTTGTGGCAGAATGGAGGCGGCGCAGCCGCATCCTGAGACGCTGGCGATGCACCAGAAGCACTTGGCGATGCTCGCTCAGCTGGCCCTGTACTCAACCATACAAATCAGCTCACTGGTCCGGATCGAGCAGATCTCTGGTGGTGAAATTCGCATTCAAAAGTATATACAAACATAGGAAAAGAAGCAGTAGGTTCCCACACACCTCTTGCACCTCCGATTCGCTTTTCCGCATCCAATTCGCCAAGCCTCTCATACCTCCACGCTATTTTCATGCGCTCCTTCTTGCTTCCGTTTGGTGCCGTCTCTGTCTCGCCATCTGCGACACCGATCAAGCCCGGAAGCTCTCGTCCCCATGGCTCCCCCAGCCCAACCACATGCACCTTGTGCCCTTGAACCACACCCTCTGCAGCATAGTACTTGAGCAGCGCGCCGGCGAAGTCGGTTGTTCCGCTTTCCTCAATTAGCAAGGAAGAGCCAAGCGCGAAACCAGCATGCCCTGCCAGAATCCCGTCCAACGAAGGTGTGCCAGTAGACGTCGTAGGACGGCCATCGACCGGAGACGGACGTATGCCTGGGATGCTCGTAGGCGCGTGGCTCGGTGCTGTGGCGGGAGACGACGGCTCTGAGCCCGTAGGCACGCGATTGATGCCCACGTTGCGCTTTCGGAAGGCCATTTGGATGATGTTGAGCACGGCGGGGCAGAAGCTTGTCAGGCCAGAGAAAATGTTGCGTCAGAAGCGGCCATGATTTTCGGAGGATTTGCGGAGCGCGCGAAGAATTTCTGCCACCGCCCTGGCTTTCGAAGCATCCCGCATCCACCTCCGGCGCAAGCAGATTTCACACCCGCGCAAAACAAAGCGAAAACCCACACCCACCCGCCCCATCTCCCCTTCCCAAGACCTTGTCATTCAGGTCGCCAAGGCTCGCCCGCCCGCCTCCAGAAGTGAGACCGACACGCAAACATCCATCGCAAAACCAACATCTAAAAAAGACCCGCGCCTCGGAGGATAAAGAGACAAAATGGCGGACTCGCAGCTCTACGAGGACACGTTCCACATCACGTCGCTGGACCAGGCCAAGTACGACCGCGTGACCCGGCTGGCGGGCACGTCGGCCGACTCGCAGACCACCATGACGCTGGACGTCAATTCGGAGCTGTACCCGATCGAGGAGGGCGAGACGGTGCAGCTACTGCTGGCCAGCACCCTCAATCTCGACGGCACCAAGGACGAGAAGGGCTGGCGCGAGCTCGACACTAGCACCGAGACCACCCTCGCTGACATGTACGACTACGTCTGCCACGGCAAGGTCTACCGGTTCGAGGAGGGCGATGGCGATCACATGTAAGTGCGATACTGCAAATGATCAACGGACCTGTTTGTAAATAGAGTGCTAATCGGATTGGCTTATAGTAAGGTCTATATTTCCTTCGGCGGGCTGCTGCTCTACATCGACGGACCGTATAAGAAACTTACTCCTCTTCGGATCGATTACTGCTACCTGCTGCTCAAGAAATGAGTGACGAAGCGCGGCTGTGCAGAACGATTTTGTCCTAAAAAAATACTCCCGACATGTGGCCTCTGGCTACATTTGCGAATCGTCAAATTGCACCATTTTGACGCAATATCAGATCCACTGGCCACGCGGGGCATGCATTGATGGCGTTTGGAGATGGGCTAGCACGCTGATTTTCTCACTGCTAAGAATTGGCGCCTGAAGAGCATTATGGAAAAGTGCAATTACAAAGAGGAAATCATTATCCCATAGGTATGCAGAGAAAAAGAAGATCAGCTTCGCTATTCATGCCATGCGTCCTGCGCTACCAATAGAATCAGCAACGTGCTTTTTGTTCTCTGCAACTGCAAACAACTCCTTATTTTCCTTCTTTCTTTTCTATAACGACACGCCTGGCAACCTAACCGTAGGGAATTCGAAGCGGCGGTGCAACCTCGACACGATATCCAAGTAATCCGGCTCGTTCTCTGGCGTCAGAATGCCATGTCTGACAAAGAAGTCAAGCATAACCAGCGCGCAATTAGGCTTGAATTCTCCCTTCCTAAGCGCCGTCTGCACCTCTTCTGTCGTCATCAACTTGAACGACTCGACCTCATTATCGTTCGGCTTCGGCACGACATCCTCGGGCAGCTCCAGATCATACACGTACTGGCTCTCCGGTTGCAGCAGGCCCGTCTCTCCGCCCGCGCGCTCGTCCCGCACCAGGAAGTATGAGACATTGCCGACGGCCCGCGCCTTCTCCCTAATCAGGTCAGCGGGCAGGCTCGCCTCCTCCTCAGCCTCGCGCACGAGGGCGTCGGCCGGCCTCTCGCCGGCAGCCAGGCCGCCCGCGACCGTGTTGTCCAGCATGCCGCCGTACGTCTGCTTGGTCTGGGCGCGGCGCGGGATCCAGAACTTGTATTCGTCGGCGACCTTCTGGTAGGCGGTCATGTGCACGCCGTACGACACGACGCCGAAGAGCGGGCTGGCGGCGCGCTCGATCTTGAACAGCAGGGCGCCGTCGCGGCCGTAGACGGGGTAGAGCTCGTCGCGCCAGCCGGCCAGGACCTGGAAGTGGCCCGTCTGGCGCATGGCCAGCGTCGTCGCGGCGACGAAGGCGGTGCGCTCGCGCTCGTCCTCGCCCTGCGTCAGCACCAGCGAGCGGTCGTCGTCGCTCAGCGTCCACGCGGGCAGCCCGCGCAGCACCTCGGCCACGACGGGCAGCACGAAGCCCAGGATCGTGTCGTCGTCGGCGACCTGCAGCGTGTAGAGGCGGTCCAGCGCGGCATCGTAGAGACCCGGGTCGGTTTCGTAGTAGGGGAAGCTGTTTGGCGCGAGGGGAAAGAAGGTTAGCAATGCGCGCGGCTATAAATAGCGGAGGATAAGAGCGCCATGACGTTAAGGAAAATCAGATGCTTCTACGGGCTGGCACGCCACCAAGAAAACGGCAGATGGTACGACATGAACAGTACATGGTAGTTTAAGTCACGGGCGACCGAGCTTTGGGTAGCGTGCGTTGCGTGCAGGAGAGGCCGATTTAGGAAAAAGGCTGGTGGGACTCACTTATCGCAATCGTTGAGCAGATCAATGTTGCTCTTCTCGCTAGTCTTCTCCATGATTCGCGTGCGCTAGCGGGCTCGGATGGATTTAGTTCAGGGAGGGATTGGTTGAGCGAGGGAGGAGGAAGAAGGGTCCTGGAGCAGCTCAGGGGCACGAGGAGGGAGGGAATCAGGGCGCAGGAAAAGAGAGGTCGTCAGCACGTCGGAGGAAGCGCACCAGCCGCGGTAGCGGGGCGCGAGGCCAGTAGTAGTCCCCGTACGCGACGAAACAAAGAAAACCCGGTAGCACTTCCGGTCAGCGCTCGCTTGCCAGGTCTCGCATAGAGATCTCATCCGCACGGAGCCGGCTCACGCACCGTCCACGCCGAAGCCTGCGATGAGAGCGCAAGCGGTCCCGACTCTCCGAAGCCGCCCTCGTTTATCGATAACTGAGACAGAAAACGTCATGGCCGTGCTCGAATTTTCTCGAACCCGGGAGCAGCTTCACCCAATCCGGAGAATAATAAACACGCGACTCGCGCGCGTCGTGTTGCTAAGCAGCATCGCGACCAGAAAATTGAAACATCGAAAAAAAACTTGACGCGCGGCGTCGTGAAGCCACAGCGCCGTGGACCAGTCTGACGTCGAGATTTACCCCTCCATACCCCGCGGCAACGAGCACACTACCCGGCGAAGCATACACCACCCGAGACTGAGCCTTGCTGCCGTGATCAACCCACTGCCCACGCCCGAACCCCCAACGTACATCGGCAACGCCGCATCTGTCCCACGCGTAGAAGTAGCGCTCTCGCAGCGAGAAGACAAGACGAGGCCATTGGCCGGCAACAGAGACCATGTTCGGCGTCATCATCTCGGGGCGTCCCGTCCTCACCGAACCACAAGCCATATCGCAGACGCAGTTCGCCTTCCAGCTACCGGCGGCGCCATCTTTCAACCACATCGTTGTCTTCCTGCTCCCGGGCACGCAACTGCCGCCCGACACGGCCGCCTCGGTCTACGTGCAGATCCCGCCCTCGCCCGACTTCCGCTTCCTAGGCGCCGTCGCAAACGAGAAGCAGAGCGCCATCTTCAAGGTCGACGGGCTCGAGCAGATCGCCCGCGAGGCGCAGGCCATCGCCGCCGCCGGCGGGCCCGCCCAGATACCCACTGTCACGCTGGGCGTCAGCATCGAGCCCGTTGCCCAGGTCAACACCGCCATGCAGGCCAGGCAGGCGGAGAAGGCGGCGCACCAGAACGGCGGTAGTGGTGGCAGCGGCATGGAGTTAGTGAAGGCAGGCGCGGCCGCCACCGCGGCAACGAATCCCGAGGCGGTCAAGCTGCTCGCGCAACGGATCATCGGGAACGCTTTCAATTTCTTAGCCAGCTTCTCCGGGAATGTTGGACCTGGAGGCGTCGAGGTTGTGCCGCTGAAGGCATTCCAGGATTGGTGGCAGAAATTCGGGAAGAAGATCGAGATGGATCCTAGCTTCTTGGTCAGGGAAGACCAAATTTGATATGGAGGAAGTTGTATTTCACCTGTTCGGCCGCATAGGATGGCGTGGCTTGAGCGATGCAAAGAGGACTCGCCCCATGCAAAGGTGCATTGTGGGGATATCAAAAAGAGCATGAATAATGGCGTTTGGACAAATGCCGGTACCTCAATCGGCATGGTTTGGGGCATCAATGAAGGAAGGAAGAAAATATGAGGCCTGGATTGAATCCCATGTCTCGTGGGAACTCCATGTATTTGCTTTGTCTAGATAGGGGTCTTGACGTCGCTATTGCTGCGACATGTTTGACTTGCAATTGATACCCAGTTTGGCCGTTTGCACCTTGAGCTCTGGCAGGCTGTTTTTTATGTGATAAAGAAGCAGATTGGAGGGCTTCTGCCACGTAGGTTGAGCGCGGGATGATTCGCAGCCCGGTGATCCGTAAATCGTCTCATAGCATACAGAGGGATACTGCAGCCGATGGCTAACGTGAAGAATAGCAGGGCTTTAGAACATAGCGTAACTATGCCCCAGCTCTGCCTTAGAAGAAGAGCATATGTGGGTAGTTGAAGCTAACGTCCGGACGAGAATGTGGAGTTTTTCTACCCATGGCATGAGCAAAAAACAAATCCACGCTAGCCATCGGCTGTGAGAGGGGACTGTACATGTTTTTACTAGGCAAAGCTCGGACATATCTGAAATTACGAATGGGAGCGAATAGGTACTGGGTCTGAGGTACCCAGGGTGGCAGAAAATCCTGCAGTACGACAGGCCACACAATCACATCCTTTTCCCACCTTTTTATGGGTGTTGAAAGATGCTGCACGCAATCGCGATCAAGTTCAAAAAGTACTCATAGCTAGTTCTGATTCCAGTTGAAAGACTGGGTAGTATCTCCTCCGCTGACTTCCTCCCATGCCACCTCCTAGGCGACCTCCTTAGAACTTACCGCTTTCCTGATCAGTGGCCTTGGCAAAACTGATGGGGTAATCTCCTATGCCGATGAAACCCTTCGCCAATAGAAAGACTCAGATAAGCGCCATAGGAGGTCTCTTAGGAGGTAGCATAGGAGCCCAGCAGAGGGGGACATGAGCAAAGCTATTACTGTCTTCACGCAACATCGCCGTTGTTGATTAGAGTGCGGCTGCTTTATTGGCTTCAAAGCATATTTATTGGCAGGCATAAGGTTTACGCTGGAAAATTTCGTGGTCTTTACCCCTTTCTTTCCTAGGCTGGCTTGGAATTTTCGTCCGACGTTGCATTGCATGCATCCGCAGAGGCGGGAGCGCTGAAAGTCAGGTGTTTCACATCGTATGTGGATCCGACTCAACGGTCATCTGAGCACGCTGGATTTGGGTTTGCTGTGCAACGGGAACAGGAGGCTCCACCTCAGCCAGGCAGCCGCATAATGGAGCAAACAGGAAGCGTATGCTTTATAGATCTGCGCAGTGAAGGCGCCCCTGCACGCGGCATGTGTGCCGGTAGTAGTGATCACAGGGTTGCACGTAGCAAGAATCGTAGGCTGGGGATTGCGGGAGGATTCGCATCGGCTCAAGCCTTCCGGACCGTTTCCCCCGCTTCCAACGTTCAGGCAGGAAACATGTCCGACAGATGAGCACATTAACACCATGTAGACCGACGGCGAAGCGTTTCCTGTTATTGTACTAGCATGGTTACAGATATGCGTGTTAGAATCGCGTAGTGTGTGTGGGTCGAACGTGACCAGATTACATATCAGCGAAGCGACCGTGTTGGAAGCAACGGATCCTGGGCTCCCGTGAAGACTTCCGTTGGCCATTTTCTGTTTGGGAGGAAGGTTTCACCTAACCGGATCGCCACGCCCATTAATGGCGCGCTAAGAGGGCGGTGCCGCTGCGATTTGCGGTCCTAGGTCTACCCAGAGCGAGGGCCTGTACCGCGTGGCCATGGCCAGCTAACCCAACAGGAAGAATCTCAACGCTACTGCGCCAGCTAACTGCATGCCAATAGCTTCGTAGCGGAAGACAGTCATTGGCACGTTCATTTTCGATATGATCTGATTGTTTGAGTCGCGGTGAGGCCCTAGAATTGGCCGCTGCGACCTGGCAAGCGATTCAAGTTCCACGAATTTGCGCCAGCGCTTCGTGCCAGAGCATTCCGCGATTCTAAGTGAAGTTTACAACATGAGCGACCCACAACGCGTCACAGGACGCGATGAGATGGGCTACTAGTCATGCTAGCCTGGCCGTATTATGAGGTCAACGTATCGCAAGACGTGCATTCCTGAAGGCTTGATAATAAAGGTTCCACAATGATCAGCTCGCTCCCACGATGAACCTGTAAGCCATCAAGCCGAGGTCTGTGGTGGCTAACCCGGCTTGGAGTAGCGATATCAAGCCATCACGGACCTAGCCTCCGGATATAACGGATGTGGACTTGAGGTGAACGAGCCAAATCGGCGCCGGAGACGCAACGCGGACTTCGGCCTCGGACATGGCAGGCAGGCAGCAGGATCAGTGCATGGCAATGGGCAGTCAAGCAGTCGCACCATGTGGGCAGCGGAATGGGCCGAAGCCGAGCGCTTTTGTCTCGCGCGAATCATGCTTGAGGAGCGGTGAAGTGGCTGGTGCAGGTAGAAGCAAGAGGCTCTCTGCGGCTTTGATAGAAGCAATTGTGGAGAGGGTCTAGAAGTGACTTGCATGGTGGAGATCGGGAATTTTCTTAGCCCAATCAGCAGGCGGGCGTTGGTCAGCGGGCTAGCGCAGTGCCACGGGCGTGAAGAAGCGCTGATGGGCCTACGGATGCGGTGCCGGCAGGCTCTGCAGAGTTTTCTTGTTGTTGAGGCCGGCGCAGGGATGGGAGCGATATCGGGAACAGGCGTGCATGCGACAGTGCCGGGTTGAGCAGTGCGGCCGAGTGACGACGCAGCTGTTGCTGAGATATTCGAAATGCGCAGTCGCTGTGTTGCTGTAGGGCTCAGGCAGGGTCTGGGCGACTAGGCCTAGAGCAGCGCGCGGTGGGGGCGCGGCCTCAGGCTTGCGCGCGCCGCCGAACGGGCGTGCAGCGGCGCAGCGGGGCCATGGTCGTCGCGCAAGGCACGCCCGGGCTTGCTGTGCTGCTGGATGCGGCTGCTGGCGGTGGTGGTTGCAAGACGGCCAAGCGATCAGCCGGCGGGCGGCCCCTCACCGCTCCTCAGCGGCCAATGGTGGCGGCCGCAATTTGCTGACACGGCCAGGGGCGCGAGAGGGCGCCAACGTCAGTGCCTGTGTGGGCTAGCCTACCTGGACCGCGAGCGCAACTCGCCTGCTCAGAGGTGAGCCCGCTCGCCTGCAGCCTGCTGTCATTCCGCCCGGAGTGCAGCTAAGCGTGCCCATAAGGCTCCACTTCCGCTCTCCCCGGCCCTAGGCGCGCGCACGCCAGACCACCCCGACCACGTCTGCCCACCAGTGTCCGCCCCCGGCGCATTTATCTATCTGATCACCATCACCAAACCATCTCCGCTCCGCCCCCTCCACCCTCACCTCGCCTACCACCACTCCCCGAGCAGACCGCTCGCTCCCTCTCCCACTGCTGCGCCCTCGCTCTATGCCGCAATAACAATTCGCTGTCTGCTTGCTTGCCCGCCATGTCCGGCCCCTCGGCCCAGCTGCACCCGCGGAGCGATCTGCCCGCCGCCGCCGACGACTCCCTGCACTCTAACGCCGTCTTGCGACATGCCTCGCAGGAGGAGCTCGAGCTGGCGCAGAATTTGCGTGCCTTGAGCAACGCCCAGGACCAGCACCAGCAGCCCCCCGCCCGCGAGAACAACCCTCAGCCTCACGACATGCCCCCGGAGCGCGAGCAGAGGCCGTTGCCAGACGCCAGTGGCAAAGCTCCCGAAGTCTCAGAGCACCACTCCCTCGAAGACATCCAGCACTTTTCCGCCAACCCCCAGCCCCACCAACCCCGCACGCATTCCCCCTCTCCAGGCGCCTCCACTCCGAGGCCGCCTGCTGCAAACGCCCCCATGAACGGCCAGACCTGCAGGTATGCCTCCCCCGGCTCCTTCGATGCTCCGCCCGCCTCTAACTAGCCCAGCAACTGCGGAACCACGCGCACTCCCTTGTGGCGGAGGTCTCCCACAGGCGAGCCCATCTGTAATGCGTGTGGTCTGTACCTGAAGGCGCGGAACCAGTCGCGTCCTTCGAATCTGAAGAGGAACCTAGCTCAGGCACCCACCATGTCTGTGCAGCCAGGCCAGCGCACTCCCGAGCCCCATGACCGTAGCCAGTCTCCTTCGGGGTGCCAGGCATCGTCAAGACCTCCCTACGTTGCAGCCGAGCAGGCTTCTGGTACATGTCCTGGAGGTGGTCGCTGTAACGGCACCGGCGGCCAGCAGGGTTGCAACGGCTGCCCGGCCTACAACAACCGCGTTTCCAAGACTGCTCGCTACGCCCTCGCTCACGTGAACTCTTCGACCAGTAACCCACAGACCAGTGTTAGCGAGGGGTCGGCGCCAGAAAGCGCTCAAACCGCACAGCAGCAGCATCTCGCAACCCCGGCCGGCGCGAACGTCGTGCCCGCTTGCGCCAACTGTAGGACCACAGTCACCCCACTTTGGAGACGAGACGAGGCTGGCCACACAATTTGCAATGCCTGTGGTCTGTACTACAAGCTACATGGCGTCCACCGCCCGGTGCAGATGAAGAAGCAAGAGATCAAGCGCCGGAAACGAGTTGTACCAGCCGTCCCGGCCGAACCTGCGAACCACCTCTTTGCCCAGCACCCTCCAGCACACTACCAGCAGCATGGCCAACCGACCCAGCAGCCCCAGCGTAGCCCTTCTCAAGCAGCCGTCTCGCCCGCGCCAACCCAGGAGTCCTTCCCGGAGAGCAGACCTGATTCGTATACACGTTCTGACTCAGAGGTGGCAGCCCATCTCCAGGCATCGATGAATCAACAGCCACCGCCTGCGAGATACGCGCCACCACCTGCCGACTTCACAAACTATTTTCGACAGCAAAGCGCTGCCTCGTCGGCCTCGCGCACTGTCCCGCAACCGCAACCATATCCAACATCACCAGCATCTTCGGTCCCTAGCAAACGCTCGGCATCCGTGGGTGTTGATGATGAAATCCTTCCCGATGCCCCGCGCTCGACGTCTAACATCCCGCAGCTCCTAAATATCGACCCAGACCTTCCGGCTTCCAACCCAGTAACTCACGCCGATGGTTCCACTAACAGAACATCGCCTCCCACGCCACAGATGAGCCCCGAGCAGCGACACGCTAAGCGTATGCGACTGGAGCTGGAGATGCAAGAACTGCAGAAGAAGGTGCTGGATGTGCAGATGGAGATCAAGAGGCTGGATACTAGTCATGAGGGTGAATCGAGGAGCCAGGGTCCAACTATCACCGTCGATGGCGCGAGTCAAGGAACTGCAACTGATGGGAGGAAGTAATGGAATCCCTGGGATCGATGTGGTGTAAAAGCTGCGTAGTGCCGGGAGGATGGTCGTAAAAGGGCGGACTGTGTGCAGGATTATTGAATTGCGGAAAAAAGAGCAGACTGTTCGAGCAAGGTCTGGGGTTGACCTGAGGGCTCTGGAGCGTTCGACTAAATCTCAGCCGCAGACGTGGGATCGACGGAAAGAAGGATCCATCATACGTACTCGGCTTAACCTTTCCCATACCAGGAGTTCCACCCGGCCGTCATCATTTGTTTTCTCCAGGACGATGCGATGTCGCTCTTATCGGATCATCGGCGTTTATATCTTCTACTAGGAAGGGGTGTCACGGGAACGAAAACGATGCACGACACAAAAATGTCAATCACACACAATAGCGAAAGGCGTACTTGGCGATGTTTTTCGTCCTTGATGAGCAAAGATTCCCCCTGTCTCTCTCAGCTCAACTTTTCGTAATTATCGGTCCCTTCACGAATTGTACGGTTCCTCATCTTTAGTCGTATTTTTTTTGGTACTGCATCAGGGAAATGGTCTTTTTTTTTTTTTTTGAGAAGAAGAAACTGCTTTTTGTCTATCAATCTGTCGCTTGTATTTGTGGATCACGTCTTTTTTCGCAGAGTACGCATCGAAATCTTCACCCCTTTTTGCTCACTTCCTGTTGACATAAGAGTATCACGGCTAGTCGAGATATCTAAAGGTGAAGGGTTGTAAGAGGTATTGCCTTCCTGTTAATGAGTACATACATATGCTTATTCAAGGAACCAACAACATTCGTTTAGCTAAGTCTACATCACCATTATACCCATAAAAAAACATAGCTCTACAACCAAAGCAAGAACCTGCAGATCGTGTACCCGCCTGTACGAAGAAATATCGGTTCTCATATCTGTTCTCATAACCCTTAATATCTCTACTTATTTTAAATCTGTAGCTATCGTTACTATATAGTATTACCCCTAGGTTCGCGCATCTCCGGCCCCTCTATCCTCGATAGAGGTCCTGCACTATCTAGGCTTACGACAGAGCGTATCTTTCCCAGTATTCCATCCCTTGGCCTCCCCTCCGACACACAGTTGCATGGACCAACCTACGCGCTCCAATCTCTACCTTCCTTTCGATTCTTGTTCAACTCCTCCACCCTCTTGATATTTGCTTGCTTCCTTCTAAATACCGGGTTTTACACGCATGCCAGGGCGTAAATGAGGTAGCTTCAAATGATTGCACCTTCTACACTATACGAACAAAGTAATTGAAAATTTTAGGCAATCGTGGGACTGCAGTAGGCACGTATCAATAAAGTTCTTGCTCGTTTTTTTTTTTTTAATTTGATTTGTCATAATTTTTCCCTCTCATCCCCCCTAAGCCGAGCTATGAACCCTACCTAGGTCTTGAAAGAATCTCACCGTCTAGCCCTTACGGCGAGTGCCACCGGTATCTCTCTTAAGGCCCAGATTCATTCGGGCAGATATTGTGGCTACCAGCTCCGAAAAGGCCCTTTCATTTCATCATTTCTCCATCCATTTCCCCGCTATGTTCGACCTCGACCTCCCCACAATTGATTCTTTTCGCTTATTCGAGCAATCAACCGTCTGGTTGCCGCTAGAATGGATATGGTACGGCTATTGCAGCCAGTTGAGAAGAAGGGTGGCAGAGATGCTTTCTCACGGGAACCGATTCCTGTTCGAGAGCATCAAAGCGACATGTGAATATAGAAAATTGGAAAGGGGATTAGAACCAAATCTTAATCAGCTCCTCAGAGACTGCACTAGGAGTGAGAACACCGGATTCGGTGATCAGAGCAGAGATGAGGTTGGGAGGCTAGATGGGACCACGTTAGCATAAAGAAGAGGGCATGCAATAGTAAGGACGTAAAGCATGAAAGAAAGTGTACTGACCGTGAAATCTACAGCGTCATCCACAGCACCGGCGGCCCACTTCTCCTTCCTAGCGTCCACATCCGCCGCCGCTCCGGAGCTCTTGCTGCCCTCCTCCTCGACGACGCGCTCGTCGTGGCCGACGCGGAACTGGATGACCTTCTGCTCGATGGGGAGGTCGTACTGGCCGAGCGGGTACAGACGCACGAACTTGTGGCTCTCGGCCACGACGTAGAAGGGCTTGTTCGCGTTCTTGGCCAGGACGCCGAGCTGGTAGGTGCCCAGGCGGGAGATGATGCCGCCGTTCTCGACGACGCCCTCGGCGCCGACGATGACCATGTCCACCTTGCCCATAGCGTACGCGACACCGGCCTCCGGGATGGTCGCGACGGGGACGCCGTGAGCGCGCAGGGCGCGCACGATCTCGGTTCCTTCGGCGTGCTTAGTCGTGGCTTCGGTGGAGGGGTTGGCCGGATCGGGGACGGCGAGGACGTAGATGACGCGGAAGCGGACAGAGCCCTGGGAGCCACCGCCCGCCGACTCAGCGGCGGAGCGCAGCAGCGCGCTCACGACACGAGAACCGCCGTTGGTGAGAATGGTGTTGCCGTCGCGGATGAAGTGCTTTCCGAACGAGGCAATCTTGTCGCGAGAGGCCTTGGCACGCTCGACGAACAGGCGGCCATTGCTGAGCAGGTGCTGGCGAGTCTTGGAGAAGTCGACGCCCGGGCGGACAGAGGTCATGAGGTAGCGCTGGAAAAGGTCGGTGCCAGCGGACAGCGAGATAGGATTGGGAATGGCGGCCTTCAGCTTACTGGTGTAAGCGGAGAGCAAGGCCAGGGTTTCAGTCGTGGTGCTCGTATCGGAGGCAGAAAGAGCGGCGACGAGCGCCTCAATGGCAGCAACAGGCATAGTCAGGTCCGGATCCTCGGTCAACAGGCGCTGGTAGGTGCCGACGATGTCGAAGGGAGCTTCGGCAGCTCCAGCCGAGAGGCCGGAATCTGGGAGACCCATATTGGCAGCAAGAAGCGAGGAGCACCTAGATGTAGGATCCAGTCGGACTTTTTGTGCTGTGAAGCTCGGCGCAGTATAACGAGGTGGGGCGGCGCGGGGTTGTGTATCCGTACGGAGCTCGCGTCTGCTAAGGTCTGGCGGGGCGGACGGATGCCGATAGGGATGCGGGAGCTCCCTGTGGAATTTGCGCGTGCGTGAGGCCGGCGGGTAGAGGAGGGGCGGAGTTGAGGTGTGGGAGTCTGGCGCGAAAGAGTCACTGTCGACATCACAAAACTTGGTGGTCCGAGCGCGAATCCCAGTCGGCCGCCAGTCAAATTCGCGGAGGTGCGCGACCAGACCACCGCATCGCCGCCCGCCGCAACGTCCGTCATCCTCAATTGCGGCCGCCATGCCTCTCCACTACCTCCGCCAGCTGGCCCGGCCGGTCTCCGTCCTCGCATCCGCCTCCGTCCACCGGCCCGCTGCCATTGCAGTACCGCGCATCGCCGCGCCCTCTCCGATCCTCGCCGCCGCAGCGCGCAGCTTCAGCGCCAGCTCCGCCCGTAATGCCACCTACAACCAGGTCCGCCGTGGCTGCCGCCAGCCGCAGCCTGCCCGCAAGCTCACCTCGCCCCAATTGAAGGACCGCCCGGAGATGAAGGGCGTCTGCGTCAAGGTCGGAATTACGAAGCCCAAGAAGCCCAACTCGGGTGAGCGCAAGGTTGCTAGGGTGAGGTTGAGTAATGGAAAGCTGGTGTGGGCATACATCCCAGGTGAAGGTATGCTCGGATGACGGATGGACGCATGGCAAAGCATGACCACTAACATCCGCTGTGCGTAGGCCACAATGTGCAGCAGCACTCTGTTGTCCTGGTTCGTGGTGGTCGTGCCCAGGATTGTCCCGGTGTGAGGTACAAGCTTGTTAGAGGTGCTATGGATCTGGTATGCATCTTCCGTCTTGCCTGCCGTACCAACGCTGACGTGTTCTCCAGGGTGGTGTTGGTAACAGGCTTACTTCGAGATCGAAGTACGGTACGAAGAAGCCCAAGACGACTTGATATTGAGGCTATATGCTGCAGAGGATTACCCACGGCAATGCATGGGCCAGGCGTTACGGAGGCAATTCATGTTTGATAGGGATTTGAAGAATACATGTGTAAGGAGCTGTACTACAACGAAAGACCGCAAAGATAGAACATCTGGTTCTTTTATTTTCTCCGTCCCGTTGTTTTGAAAAGAGGCGTGAATGGAACTGAGCTTTCCCAAATCTGTCCTCGCCACTTATTCTATCTCGATGTCCCAAGATAGGACATGTAAACGTTATAGACACGTGAGCTATTACCTCCAGCACTTTATTATGCGGAGACACCGTACTTTTATCATCTCAATGAATATTCAGCTGCTGTGCCATGCCCCCGTGAAGACGAACTTTAAATACGCATTCCTCAGTCTAAATTTAGTTCTTAAAGTCTTGGTAATAGGTTTGATATGACTGGACATGTCGGAATTCCATGACGAACCGTTTAATTAAGGTGGCTGATCAGATAATCCTCGAGGGCCTATGGATGGATGCTTTTGGTCTCTAATGCTTTCGAGGATAAGTCACAGAATGAGATCACAGCTCGTGAATTAGCAAATTGTTGAAATTGCGATGTCGAGTTTCCTCTTGCAGCAAGGATCCAGAGACAAAGTGTACGTTATTTACAAAACGGAAAGCAAAACTATCCACCAGCGACCAATAAAAGTTTGATCGAGCAAATGGGGGAGAAGATGATCTAGATGAGGTATTTTGCCTCCCCTCCATTGCCGTTTTAATTCCCTAAACAAACGCCCAATTCTCGATGACCGTATTTTTTATTCATTAACATGAATGGAAAAGCGCATTGCCATGGCTTCAGATTTTCCGTTTCCCGGACCACCAAGACACAAGATTTTACATAACGTATCGTTGAGAGCGTAACAAATTGGAGACACATGAAACATCAGAAAGAAGCTGTTGGAGCAATCTATGCCTCATCCTCTTCTTCCTCTTCACCGGTCTGTATTTACCCAGTTAGCTTAGTGTCTCAATTCAGAACCAAGTAGCACCTAAACTTACGTTGTCATGGAAGTTGCGGCCATCGGTGGTAGCAGCGATAATGCCAGCACGGATGACCCAGTCACCAAAGTGCTCACCCTCGTTCTTCTCGGTGGCGTAGCGCTTGATCATGGGGCGGAGGATCTCAAGGATCTCATCCTCCTTGATCGAGGAGCGGTAGAGCTTGTTCAAACGCTGGCCGTGGTAGCCACCACCCAGGTACATGTTGTACGCGCCATAAGCCTTGCCGACGAAGGCAATTTCGGCAAGCCAAGGGCGGGCGCAACCGTTGGGACAACCAGTCATACGCATGACAACGCTCTCTTGGCGAAGACCGTTCTCCTCGAGGATCTTCTCAACCTTGCCAACAAGCACGGGGAGATAACGCTCGGACTCAGCCATGGCGAGACCGCAAGTGGGGAAGGCAACGCAGGCCGAGGAAGACAGGCGAAGACCAGAGAACTGGATGTTGTCCAGCTTCCACTTCTTCAGCAGAGCCTTCATCTCGTCGAGGTCGTCGTCGTGCACGCCAGAGAGGATGAGATGCTGGTTACCAGTCAGGCGGAACTCTCCCTTGTGCGCCTTGGCGACCTCTACGAGACCAGTCTTCATGGGGAAGTCAGCAGTGTCCTCAATACGACCGTTCTCAATGAAGAGGGTGAAGTGGTTGAGGCCGTTCTCGTCCTTTATCCAGCCGAAAGTGTCGACGTTGCTCTTGAACTCGAAAGGACGAGGCTCCTGGAACTTCTTGCCGTTGCCCCAGTATTCCTCAACCTTGGCCTTGAAGACATCGACACCCATGTCATCGATCGTGTACTTTAGACGAGCGTGCTTGCGGTTCTTGCGGTCACCGTGGTCGCGCTGGACAAGCATGATCTTCTCGCAAGCAATGTGAGTGTCCTCAACAGACACAAAGCCGAACATCCGGCCAGTCTGAGGGTAGGTCTTCTTGTTGTTGTGAGTAGCACCCATACCACCGCCAGCAGTAAGGTTGAAACCCTCGAGGCGGCCATCAGCACCCTTGATGGCAATGAGACCGATGTCATGAGCGTAGACATCAGTGTCATTGTGAGGAGGAATGGCAATCGTGATCTTGAACTTCCTGGGGAGATAGGTAGGTCCGTAGAGCGGCTCGTGGTCAACAATGGCGTCACCAGCGACCTGGGTCTTCTCGTCGTCCTCCTTCAGCCAGATCTCATGGTAAGCGGTCGTGGAAGGCAGCAGGTGGTCGCTGACCCTCTTCGAGACCTCGTACACATCGCGGTGGAATGCGCTGTGCTCTGGCAGACTGCTGCACATGACATTACGGTTGACGTCACCGCAAGCGGCAATGGTCGTCATGAGAGATCTGTTGATAGCCTGCATGGCGGGCTTGAGCTTGCTCTTGACAACACCGTGGAACTGGAAGGTCTGACGGGTAGTCAGCTTCATGGTCTCGTTGCCCAGAGTGCTGGCAATCTCGTCCATCTGAATCCACTGCTTGGGAGTCGCAACACCACCAGGCAGACGGCAACGAATCATGAACGAGTAAGCAGGCTCAAGACCCTGTGCCTTGCGCTGATCACGAATGTCACGGTCATCCTGCATGTACGTGCCGTGGAACTTGGTGAGCTGCTGATCGGCGGCGGAGATGGCGAGAGTGCTGGTGTCCTTCAGGCCCTCGACGATGGTACCGCGGAGGTAGTTGGACTGGATCTTGATGTCTTCGTTGGTCAATGGCGGGGGCTCGTCAGGCAGACCCTCGACCTTGTCGACGCCAAGAACCTGCCACAGCTTGGGCTCCCAGTCGTTGTATCCGGTGTTGAATCCATCAGGATCTTGGTCATCACCAAGGCCACAGTCAACCAGAACCTTTCCGCCAAGAGTGAGCAGTCTGGCGTGAAGATCCTTGGCGGGCTTGTTGTAGTAGATCTTGTCCTCCTTACGGGGCCAGTAGTGGCTGTCACCGAGACCAAAGACGGCGAAGTTGACGGTCGCGAGATCGATATCAGTAGAGTTCTTGATTGCCTCCCAGAAGTTCCTGCCGTTTTGAGGGAACTCGCCCTGACCAGCAGTACTAGAGATCAGGACAATGTTCTCCTCAGCGTTGATGTCCTCGAGCGGGTAGTCATCCATCGCCATGACCATGGTCTTCAAGCCTCTGGCCTTGCCGCGGTTGCCCAGACGCTTGGCCACGTTCTCAGCGTTGCCGTTGTCCGAAGCAAAGAGGATGGTAACGGGCGCGCCCTGAAGACCTTCGAGAAGCTTGCTGTACGCATCCTTCGCCTTCCTCTTTTGCAGCTCGCGAACCTCAGAGCCGTACGACTGGGAGAGATTGGCAGCAAATTGAGGGTTCCTCCTCATCACCTGCGACATGTAGTTGTCACGGCGCAGGAATTCCTGCAATTCCCTCTTGATCCTCTCGGAATCAAGCTTGAAGTTCTCCTCGCCCTTCTCCTCGCCGTACGGGTCCCAGCGGTACAGGGGCCAGTAGCCGATATCGACGGCCTTCTTGGTCTCCTGGAGGACAGTCAAAGGCGATTCATCCTCCTTGTAATAAGGCAAGTAGGCAAGCACAACGGAGGGACCGTCGAACTTGTCTGCCTCAATCATGGCCTGGAGAACCTGAGTGTAGGAGCTGTAGACGGCGGTGGACGCAACATAGGCGTTACCGAAGTTCATGGCGTAGAGACCAATGTCCTTCTTCCTCCTGGCGGCGTCCGCAGCGGCACGCTCAGAGTAGGGGGTAGAGTCAATGATAAGCATGTTAACGTTCTCGCCGGAGGCCAGGACGTGGTGAACACCGGAGTTGCCGAGGTCGTAGGCCCAGGCATCGGAACCAATCAACCACTGAGACTCCTTACGGAAAAGGCCCTTGGAAGCCAGAAGCTTGTTAGCACTCTCAGAGGCATCCGAAGTCAGCTTCGAGATGGCCTCCTCAGCCGCAGCCTCAACCTTAGCGGCGTCCTCAGCAGCCAGCGCCCACTGAGAAATGGCCTTCTTCGCATCCTCGGACTTGAGCGAACCGGACTTTGCAGCCTCGGCAGCTTCGGAAATGAAACGCTTGCGGTGCTCCAGTCTTGCAACAAGAGAACCAAAGCCATATTCAGGAGTGGAAGCAACCTGCGCAGAGATGCCCGCATGCTCCGATCCGAGTTGGTTAGCGATGTAAAGACGCTCCTTGAAGATCTGGTTCAGGATCTTCATGTACGCGTTCTCCAGCTCGGGCTGGGCGGGCTTCTGCTCAGTAGCAGAGGGCTCGGGACCCTCCATCTTGCCAATCTGGAGGTTTTGGATGGGCGAATCCGAGTAGAGGTTCTGGAAGACGCCGCGGAGAGCCTGGCGAACAGTAGACTCCTCGATGTAGCCGAGCTGGTGACCGACAATCAAGGGCGAAGCACCACCCGAAGTCCTCAGAGAGGTAAGGAGATCCAGAAGAAGCGGGCCCCACTTGGTGGTCTTCCTCCGCACCTGCTCCAGAACTGCGATCTTCTTGATCGACTTGGGAATGACGGCGGCGAGCTGGGCGCCCAGCCACGGCCTGTACAATCTGACGGAAATCAGACCGGGGTTGGAGTAGTCGGCACCCGCCTCATCCAGCTCCTCAGCGAACATGGCAGTGTCGGAACCGAAAATGAACGCCGCTGCCTCAGCGTTGGCCGGGCCGGTATACGAGAAAGCCTCATACTCGCGACCAGTAGCATCCTTGATAGTAGACCAGATCTGAGAGACGAACTTGTAGATCTCTTCTGAAGAAATAGGCTTAGCAGAGACGGACTCAACAGTGGTTGCCGAAGAAACCGTGCTGTTCTTGTCGCTGCTGGCGCTGCTCTCGCGCCTGGACGAGCCGCTAGCCGAGGACTCGCGGGTGCTGGAGCGGCCCGAAGGCTGCGGCTCGGGCAATTGTAGGCTTTCGCCGAGGGCGCCGTTCGGCTGCGAGACTTGGCTGCCGGCCACCGTCACAGTGGCAACACGGCCATCATCCGCATACAGCGAAGTCTCAGCCGAGGGAGAGCTCTGGAAAACGCGAGCAGTATCCACGTCCAGGACCTGTTTCACGAGGTCCCGGCTCTCCTGAGCAATGGGCTTCGCGTTGGACACGACAGCCGAATCGAAAAAGTGGATCACACCCTTGCCCGACTTGATGGCTAGCGCATGCGCCGTCAGTGCAATGTCCTGGGCCTCCTGCAGCGACTCGGACTGAAGGAAGGTGAAGCCAGATTGTCTGATGGAGGTGATGTCCGAGTAGTCGGGATATCCGGTCGGCTGCAGCGAGACATGGAGGACGACGGGATACTGGGCCAGCTTGTAGAGGTGGGGTATCGATTGGACGAGAATGGACGAGGTGGTCGTGACGGAAACCAGCTTGCCGGCGCGAATTGGCTGGAAGACGGAAAGGAGCGGGTCGGCATTTTGCCTGACGGACAGGATCTGGCGCGCAGTCAGCGTCTGCACCGGCTATCATGGCTGCGGGGTTGGGCGATGGGTCATACCTCTGGCAGATCCTTGCTCACAACACCAGGCGCCTTGGCGGCGCTGTAGGAGTTGAGGTGCTTGGAGAATTCCGAGTCATCCTTCAGCGTCTGCTGGACCGAGACAACAAGGTCGCTGGCCAGGTACGCAATCCGCGCCACTGGAGGCAGTCAGTTGGTGTTCGCTTGGCGGCGCGGCGGGGCAGCGGGGCAGGCGAAAACGTACCAGCCTCTCCTGCAGTGGTGACGGAGCCCATGGTTGCAAGCGATGGGCCTCGAGAACGCGGAGAGAGACAATGAGGGAGAGGAGAGCCCGTGAAGCTGTCAAAGAGGCTCAGCGGCGGTTGAAATGCAGCGCGGGCAGCCACGCTCTTTGACCACTTTTTTTCGGGGAGCTGGGCTTTGCTAAGAACATATTACCGGCATGGCATTGGCTCCAGCAGCAATCACACCATCCGCGCTAACCTGCGAAACTGGGGTCGGCGGCGAGCAAGGCCCGAGGGCTCGGCGGGAACCACTGCCCGTTTCCAGCATTACTCAGACGGCGCGGTGAAAATTTCAGGGCCCCGTGACGAGGGCTCGCGCGCAGGACCCCGCGTAAAGGTAGCGTACCGCCGCTGCAGGGCTGCCGATTTGCGGCAAGCCGGCGCCAGGGTGTCCTCCCGACGCCGCTGCGCTACGGCTACTCCACGACGGGAACATCATCACCGCTGCACGGCCACCCACCCACGCCAGCGAGACGCGCCACGCCACGCACCCTCTGCCGAGCACGATCTCATGTCCACTGCCGCTGCCGCGCCGAGATGACCGGAGTCGCCAACCATGTGCTGAAGCCGCAGTCCCAGGCCCCGCTGGTTCCTGTGCCCCCGCTGTCATTCCCGGACCTGTGCGCCCGCCTCGATGACCGCATCTCCGCCTTCCTGCGCGACGACGACGTGAAGGACGCCCGCCTCCGCGCCGTCCAGGAGCAGACGCGCAGCGCATTGGGCGTCATCGAGGACGCTCTGCAGCGCTACAGGTACGCCTGCTCTCTTCCGTACTATCCGGCTTGCCGCCCCCGCCAGCTATCAGTCTGAGACCTGTGTATATCCTAAGATGAACCCCACTCCAGCAGCCTCGACGAGCTCGCACTATCCTACAATGGCGGCAAAGACTGCCTCGTTCTCCTCGTCTTGTACCTCTGTGCCCTTCACCGTCGCAGCGTGTCCACCGCTACCCCGCTGCCTGAGACCATCCAGACGGTCTATATCCAGTCCGCGCATCCGTTCCCGGAAGTCGAGCAATTTGTCGCCGAGTCTTGCCATGCATACAGCCTTACTCTCGCCACCTACAGCGGTTCCATGAAGGTAGCATTCGAATCGTACTTGCGCGACTATCCTTCCGTCAAGGCCATATTCGTCGGCACCCGCCGCACAGACCCACATGGTGAACATTTGAAGCATTTCGATCCTACGGATCATGGTTGGCCGAGCTTCATGCGTATACATCCGGTCATAGACTGGCACTATGTCGAGATTTGGACGGTAAGCAGCCTTCCTCCCCAAAATGGACAGGCCTAACCCCGCCGCAGTTCATTCGCCACCTCGACATTCCGTACTGCCCGCTTTACGACCAAGGCTACACCTCTCTAGGCGGCACCACCGATACCCATCCAAACCCCGCTTTGCGCATCCCTTCTCCCGACTCCGACAGCGGTAGCAAGGACCAAAAATTCAGACCCGCCTATGAGCTCGTTGAGGATTACGAGGAGCGCCTTGGCCGTGACAGAGGCGCCAATTCTACTAAGCAATCACCCAAGCCGTCACCTTGAAATGCATCGTCCTTTACTGGGATGATCAGCCTTGACGCGCAAAGAGATGTTTGCTTCATTTTACTTCAGAGAAGACTATTTCCAGAGCACTTTTGAGGAGAGAATAGATACAAGGAACGGAATTGTATAGCAACGACTAGAGCATGACTACGGCGTCATACGGAAATTGGAGTTTTGAATGAACGAATAGCTGGAAGCACTCGGTTGACGTCAGAATAATGGAACCAGTGAATCCAGGAAAGGCCATGAAACCGATCTGATAAAGGCAAACGCCGTGATATCGAACGACAGCAAACGCGCCAAACCTCGGAGCGTCTCGTTCGATAATTTTTTCTTTTTCCCACTTTCCTTCCGCACCATGGTCCAAGGCGTCATAGCAACGGGGCGAAGGGCTGCGGGAGAACCCGCCCACACATAACGCCACCATGCCTGTCGCCATTTACATTTCACTTTTCTTTTCCTGTTCCATTCCCTTTCCAAAATTCGTTCCGTCGCACCCGCCGTCGCCTCGCTGCAACGCCAAACCTCAGCCTATTGAAATCTCTCCGGAAACGGCGTGCCGCTTCCAGAAAGGTAACACGGCATTCGTGGAGAGGCAAAAAAGCAACTAACTCATCGGCGAAGCCGCAGGGAGGGAACGTGAGGAGGAAGAAAACAAAAATAGACCAAGAGAAATAGCAGGGCAGGGCAGACAGAGGAGAAAAGGCATGCAGCAACCCACGAATCTCCCCCAAGAGGCGAGATTGCATGCAGGGCGAGGACGGAAGGCCAAAAAGAAGACTGAAAAAGCAAAATAACTTTCTCTTGCGTCCATTCACTCGGGTCGTGCTAGCTGCGACATCAACAAGCCAGAAAATGAAGCGGAAAGGAAGGGATACGTCCTCAAACGGCGAAGAAAGGAGGAGACGGGGAAAAAGCAACTGTACACCGCTCTCCCTCAGTCTCACACGTAAACGCTTGCGCGTGTCGTGACTGGGATGGAAAGAGCAGCAGCCCCAACTCTGCAAGACGGAGTAGTTGCCTCTCGCTAATCTCGCAACCGCGCTCGCCCTACCATCGCCCGAGCGCTGAATTGCATATCGCACGTTCACCAATCAAAAACCTGACAAGATGGACGACATGATCGACTTGTGGCCGATTGGACCAAGGAACGGCTCGCAAACACCGACCACCCTTTAATCGTTTACGACCCCATCGAATTCCGAGGTGGAGTATCCCTGTAGACAGGGTCCAGAGTCCACACAGCCAAGCATTTTCCTACCACCCGCGCGTCTGGGGTCAAAGTGGCCCAGCAAACGGACCATTATTTAGACACCCGAGGAGAAAGAAAAGAAGAGAAAAAAAAAAGAAACCCTAATAGAGGCGAAAGAACACGCGTGCTTTCGTTTCGCCTAGCCGCAGTAGCCTCACGTTCACGCGAGCCGACAGACCCGTCCCCAGTTCCCCGACCATGGGGAACCCGCATCCGCCATCCCACACGACGCTGGAAAATCGCTCCCGTCGGAAAAGCTCCATAGGCTCGCGTGTAATTTCCCTGCGTAAATTATTTTAGGAAAGCGATTCTGGCTGTAGTCATCAGTATGTGGGGAAGTAACAAATGTGTCATGAATCGATTATTTTTTGCCCCGACTTCGGACCGGCGCTGCATGCAGGGATCATTTACCGCCGGCTGCACTTGTTCCTCCTCAATTCATCAGCAGGTCTGGCCTGGCTCCTTGCTGAGCTGGCCCCGTCAAAGTCTCGCTGATATGACTGGTCGGTCGAGCGTGGCGAACACTTCAGGTGATTTTCACACCAGCGACGCCGATTAAGCATGCCGAACATGCCGATGTGCTCGCCATTTGGATGCCGATGGAACAATCTTCTCAAGTCATCCGTTGATTGCGCTGGCGTCACCGTTTCTCCTTGGCTGCTGGTGGCCACTGGGCATCAGCGGTCCACCTTGCTGGTTTGAGTCCACGCCCGATCCCTGTGTCACAAAGGTTCAGAAAAATGAGGCGAGAGCGCCAGGAGTGTGGATGAACGCCGATCGCATTTGCTGACACTACTGCTCAACTAATCGGCATGTGCCTCTGATCACGAAAGATGTAAGGTCAAAGCAAGCCGCCCAACTCGTCATCATCGTAGCCCGCGAGGGCAGAGTCAATCTTTTTTTTGTTGCCCACCAACCGACAAAGGAAATACAGAAGCCCGATAAGTAAAAGCAAAGACACCGGGAGCGGCCCGTAAAAGAAAACTGCTTAACGTAAGGCAAGAAAAGAAAAGTAGGAGGAAAAAGAAAACAAAGATACAAACGTAAGAAGGGGAAAGGTCCCAACATGGCAACGGAAATGCGGTGCCACCCGACAAGCCAAATCGATTGCAGCTCCATTAAAAGGCTTGTCGGAGAAGTTTCCTTCCATATGATGAACGATGCTGAGAGCATAAGTCATCAATGGCCGTGACTATCGTGCGCGCACCGGCGGTAATGATGTCCGGCTGATGATGATTTGAATGGGGTGAGACCAATGCGTGGTCGTCCAAAGGGTGCTGATGTACGGTGTACATTCATTGACAAGACACGTTGCGCTGTTGAGATGCAAGCGTTGAGAGGAATCACTCGCGGTCGCTCGGCGCATTGCTCGAGGCCGAAGAGTGGTCTCCGTGAGCAATGACAGGAGTAGTGGGGCGAGGCTTCTCTGCCTCCTCGGCTTCCACCTTGACGGAAGGAAGATTGTTGTTTGTAGTAGTCTGCGAGAGCTGAGATGAGCGAGCCACCAGGTTGCGGAAGTTTCGGTCGTAGCGCGGCGGGTAGTTCTGCGAGTTGGAACCGGCGAGGAAGTTCTCGAATTCGTTCGAGGCCTCTTTCTGAGCAGGCGTGAGGGAGCTCAGGCGTTGCTGGGGGGCAATCAAGCCACCGTTCGCATTCGCAGCCCTGGATTGAAGTACGCCGTACTCGAATTCAGCCGCCCTGAACTGGCGAGCAGCAGCAGTCTGTTGCTTGAGGACTTTCTGCTCCTGCGTGTCGGCATAACGGATCTGGATGACGTGGTCCTCGCCGTCAGGAACGGACACAGGGGTGTTGTTGAACTTCTTGATGACCTCCTCGCAGATGTCGCGAGTCTCAAAGCGAGCGAAGCCAACACCACGGCCGTGGCCGCCACCGTCGCGCAGGATCTTGCTGGAGCAGACCTTGTAAGGATGAAAGATGGAGGTCAGTTCGGCTTCGTTGATGTGGCGAGGAATGTTGGAGACGTAGAGGTTGGTGTTGGATTCGTCCGAGAACTTCTTCAGCTTCGCATAGAAAGATTCCTAGACGAGTCAGTGCCGTTCCGAGAAGCAGGTGAGCATTGCAAAATACCCTCGCGAAGCTGACTTCGTAGCCAAGGTAGTGGAAGCCACGAATGCAGTTCTCGGCATCCTTGAAGTTGTAGTACTTGATGAACCCATAACTAGAGTAAACAGCGTCAGCAGTGGGCAAAGATGCGAGAGGTGGGTAACCAAGCTTGAGACGCACCCTTTGCACTGATTAGTCTTGACATCAATGATCGACTTGGAGCTCTGGATATCGCCGAAACGCATGCCCCACTGATGGAGCATTTCATCCGTCGTCTCAGGAAGAAGGCCACGGATGTAGACGTTCGTCTCGCCGTTCTTGTTCTCCAAGCTGCGGTCTAGAGGCTTGATAGGCGAGCTGGGAGCCGGGATGGCCCTCGGAATAGGCGGATCCTTCGAAAGCAGCTCCTGAATGTCGCTGGGAATGGACGCGATCTGAGCCGGTGCCTTGTTCATCTGGGGAACGTAGAAAGGACCCAGGTGCGAAGGAGACGGCGTGCCACTTCCGGGATAAATGGCGTTCGGAGAACCATTCATGTAGACGTTGGGATGATAAGCAGCATTGTTTCCGGTGTACGGCGTGCCGGGAAGGTCCTGCTCCGTAGAAGAGATGGAGTCCCGCCGGGGGGTGACAAGCGAAGGTTCAGAAGACGAGACACGGGAGGCCCAGCTGCCAGTGATGGGGCTGTTGTTGTCCATCATCTGATGGCCATACTGGAACGCAGTCTGGGGAACGTAGTGACTCATCGGAGTCTGGACGCCGGGCGAGGGGAGGCCGTGATAGTTGTTGAGGCCAGGGATCATTTGGTGTTGCTGGTAGACCATGGCATGCTGGCCATGCTGCATCTGCGCCTGAAGAGGCACTCCTCCAAGCTCGGCGGACGACGCTGGGACATGAGAACCCGGCTTAGCCGAGCCGAGAGACGGGTGCATGTTCATACCGGCAAATCCCTGGGTCAGTGCAGCGAGGCTCTGGTCTCCCACAAGTCCGTGGTATGGCAGCATACCAGGATGTCCGGTGCTCAGGAAAGAAGGACGCTGGGCCTGGTTCTGGTAGCTGCCATACATGGCAGCGCGATTGCCAAAGTTCGCCGCGGGGTTGCCGAAGTTGCGCTTGCGCTGAGACTCAATGTCGGTGAGAGCGGCCATGGCCGAAGTCTGCATGATCTGGTCAGCTCGGCGTTGCTATGCGCAGTGTGCGGGTGGTGATACGGTGAGGGTGTCGGTGGGATTCATGGGTGGGAGGGGGGTGGTGAGCTGAGAGGAGATGTCGCACCGGTACGAGGACGAGTTCTGTTAGTTGATAGGCAAGCTACCGTTGTCCGGCTGTCGGATTGACCTGGGCCATGACCGTTACCATCCGCTCAGAAAGCCAGCCGCACAGAGGCGGGCGGCAGGGTACAGCATGCATGATGTGCTCGGCAGACCTCAGGGGTGGTGAGGCTCTCGGCATCGGTACGTGCCGGGGAGTGGCGAGCCGGGTGCGAGAGGGCACTGATGGAGCCGGACGTACCTGACGATGATGTCTGATCGCTTGAAGATGTGGGGAAGCGACTGCGAGCAAAAGCTGGCGGCGGAGGTCAGCGGGGAGTCCGAGAGGTGAAGTGGCGGGCTGGAGCAAGCTCACTTGGTCTGGAAAGCTACAAAGAAATGCAGAGCTCTGAGGCGGATGGGTGGCGGCGGACGAAGAGTGTGAGGAGGAAAGGGAAGAAGGAGAGGCAGACGGTGGCGGCGGGGTGAAAGATATACGGATGCTGCTGCTGCTGGGCGCTAGCGGCGAGGGAGTGGGCGACGGTTGTTGTTCTGGAAGGAGGCAACGTCAGTGAGAGGCAGCGGCAGGTGCAGACGAACATGCGCCGCCGTCGCAACGCCCGCCGCTCCGCGCGCCGCGGGCAGCGACTGCAGAGGCTGGAAGCAGGAAGTACACGGCGATCTGGCGTGGTCGCCGTTTGGGGAGCTGTGGCCGCGCACCTGGACGCCTCGGAGCAAATGCACCTGCCTGCGGCCCCTTAAGGATAGTCTGGGGGAAAGCTGTCTCAATAGCGATGTCTGCGCGAGAGCAAGCTGCCTTCGTGTCTTGCCTCGAGGGCGAGTGCCACTTTAAATGCACGGCGGCAGTCTGTGCGAAGGGGCTGTAGTAGACGGACCAGGGTGCGATTTGGGGTGAGGCGGTTTCTTTTGCAGCTTGTACAGAGTCACTCAATGCGAACCACTCTCCAACTGAGACAGGAACAGCATGCAGGCGGCTGAAAAGGCCCTCGCCCCAGAGCGAGCCCGCGCGCTCTGCCTCGCCCAACGACGCCAGAGCTACCGACGGCGACGGTGGAAGCGCGCAACACCGCGTCTGTCCTGCGGACCGGCCCAGGAATATCATGCCCCAAGCGTCCCGCAGCACGGCAGCAGCTTATTTATGGCCCGTTTCATCTGCGCCTTACACTCTATCAGCTGCTGCGCGCCAATCTCTGCCGGATGCCCGCCCCGAGAGGCATTGCCGCACCGGCCACGTCGAGACGGGTGTATTTGACGTCAGGTTCGGCGCGTGAGTTACATCCACAAGGGGAGTTTCTTACTTTAAGCTGGCTGTGGGCCACCGCAGACACCAGCCCGGCCCCACAGCCCTGTGGATCTGCGAGATTCCCGCGGGAAGATGCACGCACGTTGCTTGCCATTTCCCGGTCTGGAATCTTGTTTGTGCCTTCGCTTGTCATACATATCCGCGCCTGCTCTCTCCAGCTATTTCAGCACCGCGGACTGAGGACCTCGACTTGTGCTTGGCTTGCCGCTCTGCCACAAAACGCGTACGTCAGCAGGAAGCAAGGACACGTCCCAAATGCCGACGTCGCTCGTTGCTTGCTCGCGAGCAGCCAGAGATACTCCGCAAGACATTGTTGCTAAAGCGGGAAGCTCGAAATAACGACTCACCCGTGCTGGTGCAGACCCTGAGAGCCATTGGGTGTCATGCAGCTCCTGCGGTCCGCGTTTGTCAGCCCGCGAGCCTGGTTTGAGTGACGCGGAAGACACAGGAAGATTCCCCTAGCTAGTGTGCAACGACGTCTTGCTCTTTGAGGCCACCCGTGCGGCTGGTGCTTCGTGGGCGCATACCACATGCGAGGGACGCCAAAAGCGTAGCGGCTCCAGTGGCCGTCTGGAGCGCCAGCCCGCTCCATGAGATGGGGCCCGCCCTGCCGGACATGGCGCCTGCGATCGGATCTCGCGATGAGACGTGGCAGGACAGCCTGCGGATCAGGGCACCCGGGGAATTGACGATGCGCCAGCCGCCGCGCCTGTTCTCCTGACGCGCAGCGACATGGGACCTGTCACATCGTCTAGTTGCAGCGCGGCCCTTAACGCGCACCCATATCGGCAATCTTGGCTGGTGCTACCACGGACAACGTAACAGGCGCGCAGTCGCTCGGGTGGGATCGACGTGAGCGCCGGCGGGCGCTGGGCTAGCAATCAGAGTTGTTTCTTGATCATCTGAGGTCCGTGGGGGCGTCGACCTGCATCCTGGCTGCTGGGACCGATCGCGCATCAGGGCGTAAGCACTCGTACGCAAAGGGGGTTTAACTTCTCGCTTCAATGCAGGAATTTTGTTCCGCGGGCGCCCCGGGTTTCACAGCTGTGCGGTCGGAAGCAGGCAGAGTCGTCCGAACGCTGCCGGGAGCCACCCGCCCCAACTCTCCCCTCCATGGCCGCTCCTGACCGCCGTTTGTCTGCTGCTTTTCTTTTTCCGCGAGCAAGGCTGCCCCGGCGCCGGGCTCCCGTTGACATGACGTTGCTGGCGCCGGCAGTGCCTGGATTCGCGTGCCGGGCCCTTGGCCCCCGTGACGTGACCCTGGATGCAGGAATGCGCTCTGGTGAGCACAAGGCAGCTGTGGCTGAAAGAGGGACTCGGTGCGGAGGCATTCCTCAATGGGATCTGGTGCACCCTGTGGTGACGGGAGAGGCTGCTGTGGTCCGGCATCGATCTTGTGCGGCAGATGGCCGTCTGAAGACTCCAGGGTCCGCCGCCGTGATGCCGCTAGCCTTTCTCGGCCGTTGGTGCGAGGTTCGGGCACTGGTCGCAATCAACAACTCTCTTTGAATATTGTTCTGTGCATTACTCTATTCCACTCCGACGCCAACGGTGCCATATCAAAGCTATGCATCCAAAGAAGCCTAAAACAGAAAATATGTCCACGTCGAACAACCCCTGGCAAAGCGACAGCCATCACACACAGCTGTAGATCTGTCTAGGCGGTGTCTTAAAGACAGAAATTTGGTCTAAAAGCAATTTCTCAAAATGGCGCTTACGACCAGACATCCTCCTGGTACTGGTTCGATGCGCGCATTGACTTCACAATCTCCTCACCCTTGGATTCGGGCAGTCCGCGCTGCTTGGAGATGATCTGGCCGAGCAGCTCGTTGACAGCGCGCGCCATGTTCGCCGCGTCACCGCAAACGTAGAAGTAGGCCTTTTGTTGCAGAAGCTGGTCGACCATCTCGGCGTTCTCCTGGATCTTGTGCTGCACGTAGACCTTGTTCGGTCCCTCGCGAGAGAAGGCGGTGTGCATCTCGAACTTGTCGCCGAGATCCTTCTGGTATTGCTGTAGAATTTATTAGCAAGCCTGCAATCCAACTTTAGACGGTTTCTACTGACCTCCCATTCCTCCTTGTAGAGGAAGTCCTCATCCCTCCTGCGGCAGCCGAAAAAGAGCACCGTCTTGCCAACGTTTTCACCAGCGCGAGCCTGTGCCGCACGCTCCTGAACGAAACCCCGGAAAGGTGCAGCACCAGTGCCGGGACCGACCATGATGATGGGCTTGGAAGGATCCGAGGGCAGCTTGAAGTTCGAGTGACGAACGTGCACGGGCACATGAATGCCGTCATACTTGTTACGGGGACCGGTGAGAGCGTAGTTCAGACCATGGGGGTCAGGATCCGCGACGCCATGCTGCTTCTGCTTCAACGCCAGAAGATAGTTCGTGGTGACACCCTTGACAATGTGCGGCGCGCCAGCCTTCTCAATAGACTCGACAACAGCCGTGATGGAGATCTTATCTTTCTGAACGAGCGAAGACGAGGAGATCGAGTAGTAACGCGGCTGGATCTTGTGCAGGCCTTCGATCATGATTGAGAAAGGAACCTTGGACCACTGTTCGCCATTGGACTGAAGCTCAAGCAACTGCGCAATGTTCAGATTGAGCGAAGAAACCTTCTCCTGGAAGTAATCCTTGTCACCGCCCATCTTGGCCATCTCGGCCTTGATGGTGTCGTTGGGGGCAAACGGAGCCAGAGAAGACACAAACTGACGAGAGACCGGGGCGCAGATTTCCATGTGATAGCGAACGACAGCGTCGTATGTAGTTGGCGACGGGAAAGGGACCTTTGCGGTAGGATCGGTACCCTTGACGCTAATCACCGTGTCACGCTTCTCTGCCAAGCCAAGGATCCGAAGGAATCTGTCGACTTCCTTGCCCGCGTTGGTAGGCCAGACAGCAATATGATCGCCGGTAGTGTAGGACAGGTTGGAGCCGCTGACGTCGACCTCGAGGTGCAGACAGTTGCGTTCGCCAGACGTGAAAAGTTCCCGAGACTCGGCAATCGGTGCGATGTACGGGTTGTGGGCGTTGTACGGTCCCTTAGACTGGCCTTCCAGGTGGTTCTTGTTAGGCTCACCCAAGTAGACGGTGTCATCTTGAGCGTTCATTTCAAGCTTCTCCTCAACGTCAAAGACAGGCTCGTAGACAGCCTCGCGTTCCTCGAGCTGCATGGCCTCGGTGAGAGCGGCCCACATGGGCTCCTTCCAGGCAAGGAAATCCTCTTCCATGGTACCAGCACCGTCATCACCCTCACCGGCAGCGCCAATCCTGCTGGCGCCCAGCTTCTGGAGCGCCTTGTCGACGTTGCGAACCATGGAGTTGTAGTGCTCGTAGGTGTTGTTACCCAGACCGAAAGCGACATATTTGAGGTTCTTCAGGGGCTGATCATCCGGGGAGCCGCCCTCGCTGAAGGCAGAATCCTCGCTGGTGATGAACTCGTAGAACTCGACGGCGTTGTCCGTGGGCTCGCCCTCGCCGTAAGTGGCCAAGACAAAAATGGCAACCTTGTCCTCAGGGAAGACGTCCAAGTTTTCATAATCGTAATCCTCCAGATCAGCAACCATGGTCTTCAGGCCAAAACGAGAGGCGCCCTCCTTGGCCAGACGCGAGGCATAGTCCTCGGCAGTGCCGGTCTGGGAGCCATAGAAGACCACGCAGTTTTTGCCCGTCTCGTCCATCTTCTCGAGGACGTTCCTCGACTTGCCGGCCTTCGCGCCATTGGCGTTGGCGAGCGAGTTCGCGTAGGGGTCGTTCGGTTTGGCCCAGTATGTGCCTTTCGTAAAGTATGCGACGGTGCCCACCAGGATGATGGCGAGCACCACGATGTCGAGTGTATCGAGTTGCGCCATGATGTATGCTGGGATAAGGGTCAGCCGATGGCGGGCGCAGCAGAGATATAGGCAGCGCTGGAACTCACCCCGCGGGCGCGCGTCGTCTGGTGCCGGGACAAGAGGCCGTCACCGAGCTGCACTTCGATGGCTACGTGGTCAGAGGGGCGGTGGTTCTGCGGAGCGGCAACCCGAATAGTCCGAGGGTGGAAGAGCGAGACCGGCTTGTGAGGGCACGTGTGGAGCAGCCCGAAGGGTCCGGGGATCGCAGCGCGCTCGTGCGGCCGTGCGAGGTAGAGAACAAACAAACAGTTGACAGCAAGAGTCGGTTTGGGGGCGGCAGCGCGTGTCTTATGGCGGGCTGGTGGTCGATGACAGCGACAAGCCTCGCAATCGCCTCGGATCTCGCAGTCAGCGGAACGAAGGCTCGGAAAGCCAGGCTGGACGTGAGCCGTGGATGCCTTCTTTTGACTGCGCTTTCAGGCCAATGAGGGCAAAGCCGGGGGACTTGGCCGGCAGTCGGCGTGCAGCGCGGAAGAGCAGCGCGCCGGATACGGCGCCCGCCCTCGCCAGTTACCCGGCGGTCAGCAGCACCGACCGGCGCCCCAGCTTCAATGCAAACTGTGCCTACGGCGAATCCGGAAGCGTCGTCTATTCTTAACCGTGCTGACTATCCCGGGGCCTCCGGCGCGGCTGTCGGCGGCCTGTCGCAGTCAGCACTTACCGGCGCCCGAGGGCCCAGGAGGCGGATGACTACGACAAAGGCGTACGGCGGGGGACAATAGTGACAGCATAAAGGCCCAGCTCTCTCATCAGCCGCCCGGTCAGCGCCAGGCTGAGGCAGACCAGCACACACCCGCGAAATAAATTGACTCCCCCAAAGTGTCAAATTCATGGGTAGCTGAAGCTAACGTCTGCATATATTGGTAAGATTTAAGAGTCAAATCTACGCCCGGAACTTTGCTTCAACTGGAAGACTGCAGTGTGCTTGGCGGCCCAAATGCGTCGAGCGCGGCCCGCTTGCAAGGCACACGCGCGTCGTGATTTGGCGCAAGCATTCGCGTGCGAGCAGGGGCAGCTGCGCCCTCAGCAAACGGCCCTGCACGGCAACGGTTTTTGTTTGTGAAGACCGGGGGTGGCGCGCCACCCGCTTGCGTGAAGGAAGCACTCAGGAGACGGCGACGCGGCAGCTCTCAGGAACTCGCCGTGACTCGCCGCAACACCCGTCGATCATCGCCGGCCGGACCCTCCACTGCGTCAAACCCATTGGGCCGAGCCGTCAGGCACTGGCTCCTCCCGTCGCTCGAGCTTCTCTCCCTGCGCGCATGGGCGTCGTTCACTTTCGCGGAGCCAGCCCATAAAATTATTGTTGCTGCCCGCGTCGCTCGCACGCCCTATCCGCCAGCCGCCCATGGCCACCGCGTAGAGCGCCGTCTCTGCATTTCCAGGCGGGATGGGTGAGTAGAGTGCCCCTCAGTGCCCCGGGGCTTCCGCAGGCGAAAGTGCTTCCGCATCAGGACGCGTGCACGCCGCGCCTCATGCCCGCCCTTGTCCGCCACAGATGCGCCTCGTTCTTCGTGTTTCTGCTGTCTACTCGCGCAGCCTGCTGATCACGCCCGTGTCGTTCCAGCTCTCCCCCCTCTGTCACAGGCACGACAGCATGTGGGCAATCCGTTGCACCACCATTCCGACTTTCCCGCACCGTCTTCTGCCCCCTCCGCTCCCTCTCGCGAACCATCGGTGACACGAGGCCGCGCGCCCACGGTGAGCAGTCAGCGCGGCCGCTCCTCCCGCTCGCAAACGCCCGTCGTGGCCATCTCCCGAGAGCGCCCCAGCCCGGACGCGGGCGTGGAAAGGAAGCTGGAGAGGAAGCCATCGCAGTCGTACGGTCACCATCGCAATACTTCCATCGTCCATGGAATACAACATTCGAGGAATACGAGCTTCGTTAACTCGCCAGCCACCAGTCCTCTCAGTCCGCAAATAATCGCCGCCGCCGGTGGCTCGAATGGCCTCGATGGCCCCTTCATGATGCCGCAGGACGAGCTCGCAGAACTCCCCGCCAGCATTTCGCCGTCTGGTTCGAACGGCGGTGCGAGATATGGCACCGGCCCGCCCTCTGTAAGCGGTGACTACCGCGGCTACAATGAGCAGCAATACCGCGGGGAACCCAGGCGCCTCGATCGCACGGACAGCCTCCGAATCAAGCAACCGCATGTGCGCTCGCAGTCACGGCACCATCATGGCCGCACTGTGGGCGAGCTGGCCCTGCACCACCTGTTCAACGCGGTACGTGCAAACCGTGCGTGGTGCCTGACTTTGCTGACGCTCCGGATAGTTTGTTGGACAGGCGGACCAGAAGATAAATCAATGCGTCACTGACGTGCAGGGTGCAGAACCACGAGTCGAGTCCATCTGCGGCCCCGGTGTCGACCCCGCCTTCGATCAATTGATATCCGCTCTTGGGCACATAGCGCGCGAAAAACCGAAGCCTTTGATAGATACGTTGATGTTCTGGCGTAAAGCGAAGAGCGAGAAGGCCAGCGACAAGAAGAAGGAATTCGATCAGGTAGGGTCATCCAGTGACCGGACGTGTATATTGTCTGACCTGTTGGCTAGATGAGGGGAGCAGTGATGCCACCAGGTGACCTCACCCAACGACGACCAGGAGATCCTCAGGCATATACGAACCTGCATGCCCCCACGCACGCTACGCTAGCCCTGCAACGGGAGGTCTTGGAGGCTGAGCGCAAATCGACCGTCTCAATATATCTCCTCTGCCGAGTCTTAATGGAGATCATCGGCCAGAGCAGCTTGGCGCATGTGACAGAGGAGATGGCGGAACGGCTTGAGGACATCATCTACTCCCAGCTAAAGCAGGCTGACCCCGAAACTCTGGACGAGTCGCCTCTTCGGAACGCCAACTGGTCAATCTTTGGTAGACTCCTCGGAGTTATGAGCGACATGAACTTCGACAGCGTGGCGGGAAGATTCATTGCTGACCTCAAGGAAATGCAGAAGCACCTCAGCGTCAAAGGGATCCACAACAGGGCCATCGAGGGGAAAGCTGTGCTAATTGTGCGGGGAATGAAGTCCTTGAAGCTCAAATACAGCCCAGAAGACGGTTGGGCTCGCTCCTGCGACCTGATGCAGAACCTTGCCGAGCTTTTTGCCGATGTCCACGGACAGCCCGTCAAGTACGCTTACTGCAACCTTTTCGAAGAGCTTCTGCTGCCGATTGCAGCAAATGCTACATCTGAAGTCAACCTCCCGAAGTGGAAGCGCTTCCTTGATACCATCAAGCCCAGAATTTCACAAATGTTGAGCAAGCCAAAGCATTGGCAGATCGCCTTCCCTCTCATGACGGTTTTGACATGTGTATCGCCTCATGATGCCTTTGCATCCCAATGGATGAGCCTGATCACTCCGCTAGGACCCAAGCTCAAGGAACGCACTACCCGGCCGTATGCTCTTCGGAACATATGTCGACTGGTCTGGATTTACCTGTATAGGGTCTCCGACGCCCATGGAATCACGGCCAGGCGATTGGAAGAGATCATCCGATTGGTTTTCCAACCTGGAAGGAGGTCATACCTGTCCACTGAGTCCACCATCGCTGAGCCCCTCATTCAGCTCATCCGGATCATCGGCTTCAAGTACCAGGACCTTTGTTTCAAGAACATCATATTCCCCTTGATGAACTCTGACCAGTTTGGAAGCGGCAAGGATCTGAAAGTGGAGAGTCTCGAGCCAGAAAGGATGGTTATAGGAATCAGGGCCTTCCTTGCCGTGATGGCAGACTTGGAAAAGGGCGAGCAGCCTCCATTCCCCATCTCCTTCGTAAATGACGACCTGCTGTATCCTCTCGATGCGCCTCTGCAACCTGTCAGCCCTCGGCCCCCGACAAGTACCCGAACGAAAGCAGTAACAATCAAAGAGGAACGGCTATCCAGGCCTGTGGTTGTCACGGATTTTCCGGAGATCGCCAAAGAGTACTACAACAAATTTTGCAAGATCCTTGGCGAGATCACGATCATCTGTGACAATGCGTTTGGAGGCCAAGCGGTCCTCGATGAGAAGTTTTCTACACCAACTCCTAAGACACCAATGGCCGAGGCCTTCAGCTTTGGAAGGAGGGACGATCACCTTGCCCCGACGGATGCGCGACAGGGTTTCTATGACCTTCTCCACGTTGCAGTCCAAGCTCTTCCCAGGTGTCTCTCACCGCACATCAACTTCAATCACTTGATCAACCTTCTTTGTACGGGGACTGCCCATGTCCAAAGTAGCATAGCAGCCTCGTCGGCACAGTCCTTAAAATCCATCGCACGACAATCCCATGCACAGCAAGTAACCATTGGGTTTGCGAGATTCATCTTCAATTTCGAGGATCGTTACGCCACCATGTCCGATGGAGGGATGCTTGGCGCTGGGCATATTGAGAGCACACTGAGGCTCTATGTGGAACTGCTTCAAATATGGATTGATGAGATCAAGCATAGAACTCAAAAGGCTTCGGGCGATCCGGAAGGCGATAAGTCAGACAACCGTGGCGCACAACTTGGCCTCACCGGAGTCGACGCGTATGTGGATGAGATCGAATCGCACGGGCTGTTCTTTCTCTGCTCGCCATCTCGAAGAGTCCGGACTTTTGCGGTGACTGTGCTTCGACTTGTAACCGAATTTGATACAGCTCTGGGTAGGGAAAGCAGCCGGGTCATTCGCATCTTAGAAGGGAGCCCTCAGGTCGTCATGGACGTCAACGATGAAAAGCTCTCGGTAGCCGAGAGAAGCCGACTGCAGCGAGGAATGCGAAAGAGCAATCTGCACAGTACTTTGGTGGAGCTCTGCAGCAGCGATGCACCGTACGACTCGACACTTTGGTTCAAGATGTTCCCGAACCTCATCAAGATCGCTTTCGAGATTTGCCCATTCGCGATTGCCCACACCAGGAACAATGTTTGTGGACGGTTGTTTCAGATGCAGCACACTATTGAAGTGCTCGCACAAGCACCACGCCCGTCTCCATATCCCTCATACGAAATGGCCGCCAACAAGGGGCGCATGGTCACTTCTCCGGAGATGAGCATAGAGCAGTGGAAACTCTATCTCATTTTCGCCTGTACCACGCTGACCACCGCCAGAGCCCAACAAGCTACGTCTCAACAAACATCATCACATTCGAGAAAGGGCTCCAAATCGTCGCAAAAGGCCTCTCCAGCCAACAGAGTTTATTCAGCAGATGTACTCTTCGAACGCGTTGCAGCACTTCTCCAAGCACCAAACCCTGCAGTTCGTGAAGCAGCTGTCATTGGACTAGGCTCTATCAACCAGAACATTTACAGAACTCTTCTGGAGTCTTTGCAACCTTTGGTCGGGAAGTGCAACGATGATGCAAAGTCACGGCTCGCCACCCAGATGATGCAAACAACGATGCACCAGCGTACAGTGTCTACTCCTCGACGGGATCGAACTGTGGATTTCCTCAGGACCGAGATCACAAACGTGTACAAGCTGACCTCCCATTTCCTGGAGGCACCAGAGATTTACGGAGATGACTGGATTCTTAACAACCTTGTCACTTTCACGAAGGACCTTCGTCTGTTCCTTAATGATCAAGAAGTTCAGAATGAGTGGAGCTACAGCAAGCTAAGGACACATTACTGTGGCGTCATGGAGGCCCTGTTCGAAGGAATCAACAGGACGAAAGATCCCATCCGGTGGATGCCATTCCAAGCTCGAAAGGCTGCTTTCGCTCTCATGGAAGATTGGTGCGGGTATTCTCCCAATCAAAATCAGATTCGACAAAGAGAAGACTCTATGCGCCGCTCTGTGCTCGAGCGTGAATCGGATCCGGGCAACAAAACATACGCTACCGCTTCCATGGAAATCGAAAAGAAGGAGTTGCGCACCGCAGCTTTGAGCGCCATGGCAACACTATGCGCAGGGCCCATCAGGATTCAAACAGAAAGTGGTGTCAATCTCCAGTTCGATGTGAGACGATTGATCACTTGGATTGACTCCATCTTTGATACCCTCAGCGACAAGTCTCACAGCATTGGCCGTCGTGCTCTCCGGAACTTGATCTTACACAACAAAGATCATCCATACCTTCTTGAGCGTTCAATCGAGATGTGCTACCTGTGCAAGAGTTCAAAAGCACTTGAGAGTTATTTTGAAGTCGTCACCCAGGTGATGACTGAGCGGGAGGACTACGTACTCCCATTCTTCAAAGTCCTCGCAGCGGGGCTCTACGCACTGGGAAATGAGAGTAACCAGATTCGGATGAAGTCTGCCCGCATTCTGCGAATTCTTGAGGAACGTCTGCACAAGAACTCCAAACTCCAGGATCTGGACATCAGTATTTCCGACAAAACCATCGCCGTCTACAAAGCAGCACAGTTTGAAATGTCTCGGAGGCTTGCCAAACAACATTCGGAGCTTGCCTTCTTCGTTTTCTCCGAATTTTCGTATTACTTCAATCAACTCAAGCCGGACCAGCAGCGGAATTTGGTGGCGGCAATGCTACCTTGGGTTCAGATCATCGAGCTCCAAGTTGACCCGAATGGAGGTCCAACCGCGAATTCGTGGATGCTCCTGGTGAACCTTTTGGAAATCACTATCAAGAACGGGACCATACTTCACAACGAGATCCAGGCCTTGTGGCAGGCATTAGCAAACGGCCCGCATGCTGGAAACGTGCAACTGGTTCTCGACTTCATCATCTCTCTGTGCTCAGACAAACGAGAGCAGAACTTCGTGGACTATGCCAAGCAAATAGTTGTTTACCTGTCCAATACTTTGGCTGGATCGAAAGTCGTGGAGTTCCTCCTCTTGAAGATCACACCAAGATCCATGGCTCCAGAGAAACGTGAGCCCATCCAGGTTCCATCCGATTGTGCCCTTTTCCCATATGTCGCAGACCTTACGACAATTTTGGCTGCCGGCAGTAAGCAGGTAAGTTTCCAGTTGATCACAAAGAAAATTGTGTACTGACGCCTTTAGTCTGGATTCTCGATGGGTCAGTTGTGTCTCATCCTTCTGGTGGACCTCATGGTGTCGCCTCTTGCCCTGAACAAAGAAAATGTACCCTTGTTGCTCCAGGCTGTTTTGGTCTTGTGGGATCATTACACACCCGTCGTGCAGGACCAGGCGCGGGAAATGCTGGTGCATCTTATACACGAGCTCGTCATCTCCAAGATCGACGTTGGGAATACGACACCCGACAAAGAGTACATTGAAGACTTCATCGAATCGATCAGACAACATAACCCCAAGGTTGTCTGGTCATACGATGATGCCAACGGAAAGGTCGAAGATGAGTCAGACTCCCGAGTTCCGGAAGCGATGCACAACGTTGCAACGGAGGTGGTGAAGATCTTTTCTATTACCTACCCCGGAATTCGCGAGGAATGGGGTAAGACAACGCTCAGCTGGGCCACCAACTGTCCTGTACGACATCTTGCTTGCCGATCATTCCAGCTTTTCCGTTGCATTCTGAGCTCGCTCGACCAGAACATGCTAGGAGACATGTTAGCACGACTTTCAAACACGATCTCGGACGAAGATGACGAAATTATCACCTTCTCCATGGAGATTCTTACGACTTTGAAGACGGTGATTGAGGCTCTGGCCAACAACGATCTTATCCAGTACCCGCAACTCTTCTGGACGGCGTGTGCGTGCTTACAGACCGTTCACGAAGCGGAATTTCTCGAGAGCTTGGCAATACTGGACAAACTCCTCGACAAATTGGACCTCGGAGACCCTGCTGTGTTGAAGCTGCTCCGAGAAAGCTATCCCTCCCAGTGGGACGGCACATTTGACGGCCTCGCGGAGCTCGTGTACAAGGGAATCAAATCCAGCACTTGTTACGACCGAACGCTGAAGATCCTTGAAAAACTGGCTGCTCTTCCTCCAAGCGACTTGATTGGTTCCGATGACGTCCTTCTCTTTACGATTCTCGCCAACCTTCCACGCTATCTCCGCCTCTTCGAGAAGGAGGGCAGGGACACCTTGGTGTTGGCATCGGCAGACAACATTGCCAACATTGCGGAATGCAAAGGTTACAATGATGTCTCCGATGCACTGCGATCTCTTGCAGTGATGAGATACCGCACAGACAAGGACTTCCTCACTCAGATCGTAGCCGCCATCCGAGAGGCTTTCTTCCCTGACCACGATTTTAAGACACTGGTGTTCTTGATGGGCCTGCTACTCAACAAGCATGCATGGGTCAAGGTCAGAACTATGCAGTTGTTGTGTTTCATCATTCCAGACGTCGATATGAAGAAACCAGAGGTGACTTCGAAGGGCTCCGATCTCATATCACCATTGCTCCGGCTGTTGCAGACCGAATTCTGCCTGCAGGCGCTCCAGGTCCTGGACAATGTTCTCACCATACCTTTGACTGGAGCATCAACGCCCTTGGATCGACACCATCTCCGGATGAGCATGGCTGGCTCGCACTCAAGCAAAGCGTTCCGGAAGGAATACGAGCGCACTCAGAGCCTGTACGGCATTCCAGAAGAGACTGGGTGGTCTATTCCTATGCCGGCTGTACATTCTGTCCTGACCCGACACAATGTACATGCTGTCTTCTACTCGACAGTAGCGAACGAGGCTGCGACGGCCGAAGTCTCAACGCCCAAAATTGAGTTCAGAGCAGAAGAATATCCGCCTTCATTTTCTGGGGGCTACTTCCCTGCTGATGACAGGACGGCCACCATGACCTCAGATGCTACACGGAACGATGGGCACATTGGCGACTTGGTCATGACCTTGGACAGTCTGGATGATTTCTTCGAGGAGGAAGACACAATCATGGACTTCAATGGTGAAGGTCACATGCCGTCGAGCCCGGGCACGAGTCGCTTCCAGAATGGTGGCCTTCAAGTTCGAGAGCATCTCTACGATCAGCAGACGGCGCCGCTTCTGCATAAATCTCTCACTCGCAATGCAAGCGTCAGCTCGTTCCAAACAGGATTTGCGGACATGAAGGTCACGCCAACTCGCGATCCGGGAGTCATGACGCCCACTGCATTCACGTCGCCTCAGGCTCCGAACCTACCAGTGCCTCGGCCAGGCATGCATTCGCGTTCAGTGACGTCGCCAGCTCTCAGTCAACAGCGCACGCCGCCTGGACCTGGGCCTGGGCCTGGGCCAGTGATTGATGAGTACGACGAGACGTTATCGGATGACGATCTTACCCTTGGCCGCGCACCGAGTGCCAGCGACTACAGATCTAACCATTCATTCGACCACCATGCGAGAGGCCCGTTCGCAAACACACGTGCTGGCATCCGTTCACACATGCGGCGTTTGACGGGTGGCGGCGAAAGAGACAAGGAAAAGTCGCGAGACGCGATGCGGACAGCGCTTCAGAGGAGCCCGCAGGTCCCCAAGGTGCCTGATGTCTACCTCCATAACCCCAAGTCAGCGGATCCTTGATTTGATGTCTTGTTTTCCTTTTCTCTCTCGGGTTCATTCATCTCCCTGTTTTTGTTCAGCGCGGAGCGGAGCGGTGGTTTCAGACTTTCAGACCGGTGCATTTTCTTCTTCTCGAGCTTTGGTTCTTTATTTCCTTTTTCGGTCCTGCCACGATCACGATCGTGTTTGTTTCTATTACTGCAAGTGTGAGTGTAATGCTGGCATAGAGATGACGTAGCATCAGTTTGGCGTTTTGATCTGTTCTCCTTTTAGCAAGTTATACCACATTCGCTTTCTCACATTGGTTTTTCGGAGCTGGAGACGGGCGTACATATACGGGATGCCAGAATAGTAGTGTCTTCTGGGGATATTGATGCGGCCTAATGGGGGACAAAATCTGGCTTTGGGCATTGGTGTAAGTACATGATCCGGGAGGTATCTGTGGCTCGGCGATGGTGGCTGGGAAGGGAATGGAGTTCAGACGGAACGGTGCAAGCCGACCATCACACAAGCTGCCACTTTTTTAATTGAGAGGTGGGAAGAGATGCATACGTTTCCTCGCAGATCTCATTTTGTATATGCAGGGATGCAAAGCAGCGATGCATGTTGTTGCTTGATGTGATTGCCCGGGGCTTGGGCACGCGCCGTGCAAAGTAGCGGCAACTACTTTGGCGTAGGAAGGAGCCGGCGGGCTGGCTCGGGCGTGTCGCAAGCTCATGACGCACGGCCCCTTGGCCGGCTGGCTTTCCGCAGCAAAGCCACTCTGGAGAGAGAGCACAGAGCTTGCCTTTCCCTCGCGGACCGCAGCGCAGCACCGACATCACCTCAACCTTCTTCAGTGCGCGCCGCAACCAACACCAGATCATCGATCCCACCATCTTCCGCATCCCCACCGCAAACATCCTACGCCCATCATGGACTTCTCCGACATCTTGTAAGCTTGTCCTCACTCCCAGCCCGCTCCCTCTAATGCGCATCTACACGCGCGCTCGTGCGAGCAGAGCTCTACGTAGCTCCAGGCAGCCGCGAGTAGGTGCTGGCCGCGGCGCATTACACCATGACCCGCTTTCTGCGCTCGCTTCTCTCGAGGTATCCGTGCTAATAAGATGATGACGAACATAGTCGCATGGTCAACCTTGCCGTTGGCGTCTTCATGGTGCTCGGCGGCATCGCGCAGTTCTTCCCCATCGGCCTGTAAGACGCAATTCTCTCCCAGCCCTTACTCTCTCCTACCCTTCCTATGCCCGCACCCGAGCTGTGCACACGCGCGGCTGGGAAAGCTCGAACAAGTCCTGCGGGGCACGCGGGAAGGATGGTCTGTATAGATGCGAGGTTCTGTCCCGAAGGTGCTGCGCGGGCGGCGGCGGCAGCAGCAAGCCGCCTGTGCAACATCTGTGGACTCGGGGAATCAAGATGCAGTTTGCTGATGTACGATTCGATACCGTCTGCAGGAAGGAGGTCATCATTGGCGTCTACCTAATCCTCTTCGGCGCCGCGACCGCCGGTCTCGAATTCCAGATCCCGCCGCCTGTGGCCAAATATGCGTCCTTCATGTTCTCGTTCCTGGGACGTGGTGTCTGTAAGTCCTGCTATTTTCCTTATTTTTGTTATTTGTACGGAGGAGTGGTTCCGGGAGGCTGACCAGTTGGGGTGCGCCAGTCTACGTCTTCGTCGGTACCGTCATCCTCGCCGACCGCTGGTTCCAGTACGTCCCCGGCACCATCATCGGCATCGTCGGTGTCGGCTACATCGTTCTCGAGTACATTCCGTCAATCGAGCCCCCGGCGAACATGCGCGACGCCGACGCCGGTTGGGGCGCCGAACAGGTCTAAACAGATCTAATTCTATACAACGCATTCATATGTGATCCGGACAACCGTATTATAAAGGCGGTGGGAAGAACACGCTGCGAGTAGGCAGCGGTCTTCGTCTGCACTGCACATCCGAGTTTCCTTCCGTGCTTGTGCGAATCTTGGGCGGAGCGGCAGTAGGCGTTTGGCGGTCCGGGGGAAGAAAGAACAGATCCCGCGATCCGTTGATGACAAGAGACAGAATATGCGTGGGACTGTCGGCGGGATAGATTAAATTAAGCACGTTTGGATGTTTTGCGAGGGTATGAAGGCAAAGCCGTTACAATGCCTGTACATCATGTCACAATTTTTCTATTTCGATTTACACTTTTCCATTTCTACAATGGGTTCTTGCACGTTGCGGAGTTGGAGTGGAGAATGGAAGATTGGGCGAGAAGGTCAAAGTGTTCCATGTTGTTACCTTTCATGCAAGACTGACTTTCAAGTTATGATCATGACAACGGTGGCTGAGGCGTTTTCCAATCTATAGTTCATGGATACCACGGCGCTATTCCAAGTCCGTCATGCAAATCCTAGCTAAATTATATGGACGAGATAGCCCACTTCGCACCTCGGCCTTAACTTCTCAACCGCCTGGCCCTTTTCAACTTAAACTCTACCGAAACTTGAACTGACATGACAAAGTGTAGACGTGGAAGTCTAGCTTTGATCATTTACACCAACGAAACAAGCTAACGACGGTTGATGTTGAAACTAGACGTCGATTACCTCGGGTTATAGGCGGTGCCACGGACATTCATATTAACTGACCATACCAGAATAACCTCTCAATTGGCCCTGTTAAAATACCTCGCTTGCCCTCAGGAGGGCCATGTAGCGGTGTGACTCTGAGATGGCTGAAGATGGACCTCTTGCTATTTCCTCAAGCACTCTCGGACCGGACCAGGGGGGTTTCAAAGGCCTCGAGGCAACACGATAATCTCGTAAATAAACATTCAATGCACTTGAAGATCTGAAACCAAGAGTCCGGTATGGGTAATCGGTACTGGTGCAGAAGAACCTTGGTGTATGCTTGGCTTTCTCGTGCTCAGCCCTCTCCTCTTCGCTCGGGAACTCTTGGTAGTGGGTAGCGCAATTTGACACCCGAAATTTCAATGCAGTCAAGCGATAGATTTCTTTGAATGTAGTAGGGATGTCATCTGGCAGGCCTGGGTAGTAGTGACTCACAAATATAATACTGCACGAGATGGCTTATTACGGTTGGATCATGGGCCAGTTGAAATTCTCGGGGTTCTAAAAACACTAACCATTAACCCCTTGATGATTGCGACGGGGAGAGTCTTCTTACTTAATCCATCTCGATACTCGACGGGATCCAGCGAACGTTGGAATGTGACTGTTTGCCCAAAGAAATGTGCGGATCAGTTCAGAAATTGTAACCGGTTCTCGTGTGAGATGGCGTCTTCCGAGAGGGGTTTAGGAACGGGTTCAGTTCGAGCACATCGTAAGAGTTGTTCATGCTTCTCCGAGAACAGGTCCAGCAGATTGACTAGTTGCACCGTGGACATGTTAGGGGAGTCCAGGGCTTAGAATTTGCACCAAGCAAAGAAGATGCTCAAGCCAGTATCTGTGGGCGTATGGGTAGAGGTTCTAATATAGATAATAGAAGACGCTTCAGGGATCGTCTTATAAAGAATGTCCATAGCCGTGATAATAGTTGCAATGTAGGCCAGGCTGATATCAAAATAAGCTGTCTTAGGAGCCAAGAAGAAAGAGCACTCAGGACTCTGGAGAAATCTGTCCCTTTGTTAGCTCTGTGCTGTTTGAAGAAAGGTATAAGACTCATTCTTAAAGGGAGAAGTACACGAGGGCAACGACGTCGTTTAGGTTACTTCAATCAAAAGCTTGCAAATATCTAGAACCTCTACTAAGAATTTTATAGACTAATTAATTATCGTATTCCCCTAACACAGAGAAATTTCATCCAAGAGCTCGGACTTCTTCAATCGCCTTCGCGAGAAGATAACATACTCGAATATCCGATCTGCCTGGCTCAGATTACGTCTAAGAAGCCTTATCCTCATCGCATTCAAGATATAGGCATATCTGCAAGATAGTAATATATATATAATTAGGCAAGAGGTATTTTAAGAATAGTACATTAAGCTAGTAGAACGACAGTTTCGTGGAGGCCCTGTAGACTTTATGTAGAAGCCAGGCCGGCAAATACAAGGTGTAAGTATAAGAGCATTTTTTTGGCGTTCGTCAGCTCGGGATGAATAAGCATTTTGAGAAGAGATAGACACCATTCCATTTGCTTGCTGAACAAGCTTGTTCTTGATTTCAAGGGTGAGGCTCGAGTCTTGAAGTGGCTTTAAAAGCATGTCATGTCATTGAGCTCGCGAACAGAAAAAGCTTTAATGGTTTCAATGACGAATTTTCCTCCCGAGTGAGATTGTGTTCTTTTAAGTGAAGTGCTTGGATACTATCGGCCAATCTCGGCTAGAGAACAGGGCGTTGCAATAGGTACTCGAAGAACAGTCTTTCACAGTTGTCATGATCTTGCAGGTCGCTTTCTCTTGGTATTCAGGCGGGAGCTCATCAACACCGTCCAGGACAATCCTCAGTGATACCAACGAAGATAAGAGGCCCGGTATGAGACGGCGGAGATTCCGTAGAGATGGTGGCCTTGCTTTGCCTACAAGCTCGTCTTATATAAGCAGCTAGGTCGGATCTTATGCTTAGTACCTGTGCTACCATATGCTTCAATATCTGGAGGCGACTCTTTGCTGTCCAGTTACTGCAGAAAAAGTAGAGAGAATCATTCTTCCCCGTAGTTCTTGAACCAGATAAGCGCAATGATACTTTTTCCTACAAGGAAACACCGGTTGTGGTAACTCTCCACCATGTGCCGACGATGCAGTTCATTATGAAAGGCTCCTTTGAAGAGGTAAATATGATAGGTGATTTACTGATGTGAGAATAGCACGTCGTGCATGTGCAGAAGCGAAGGTAACAACTGGCGAATCTTCTGTTTTCAAATGGAGAAGCAGATGATGGTTAGCGTGCGTCGTCTTCCCGATACATACCTAGCTCGTGCATATGCCGCGCTGACAGCCTCAAAGCACCTGCGCTCTTTACTTGGTTGACTCAGCCAGCTCTCTCGATGATGGCAACTGCAGTAACTGATGGCTGTCGTAGATACATAGGAGTAGAAGATCAGGACGGCGGACGATGAGGGGCAGTCTGATTCGGTTAAGGAGAGCGCACGACTCGCCGGAGACAGGTTTGCGCGCATCCTGATTTCATTGTGTGCTACGAAGATATAGTGTGTTGCAGCGGACCAATGGCAGCGAGGCAGCGGTTCCGGTCTTGGCGCACGTTTCCCGTTCTTGGCGTCCTCAGCCCTATCCTGCCTCGCTTAGTCGGCCCGCACGGCAGCATAATGCAGCCTGTGATTGGCCGATGGCGTTTCCATGACGTGGATGAAAAGGAAGGCCGGTGAACCAGCTTTGAGCAGGCTTCTGCGCGCGGGAAAGCTGGCGGGACGGGCGCGGCGGGGAGGGAGGGAGATTGGTGGTGAGTGGTGGTCTGAGATGGGCGGAGCACAGCCCAACCTGTGGCTGAACAGCGAGCAGCACCAAGGGCCCGGGACCCTGAGCAGCTGAGGCATGCAGCAGCGGTGGCGGCGGTCTGCCTGCTGCGCGCCCCCAACACAGGCGATCGTTGGCCGATTGAGGCCCTGACAAGCTCGTCGTGACGCAGGCGAAGCTCACTTTTGGCGGCTGGGCTTCCGGGGGCTGGTGGCGCCAACTGAAACCTGATGACGACCTCCACCGATCGCCGCCGGCTTGGCGCATCCCTTCTCCCGCCCACGCTCCAAACACCGCTCGCCATTCGCTCATTACCAACCCGCGCCACACCTTGCTTTGCTCTGCTCGAGTCTCTCCCTCCTCCCCCTCCCTCCCTCCCCCCTCTGAGATACCCCGGGCGCTCAGGTTCGCCCCGTCCTTCAGGATACCCTTTGTTGTTTTGCGCGTAATTGACCTTAATTCCTACCCCTCCGCGACACTGCGACCATGTCCGCCGAGCATGACACCGCCACCGGCGCCGCTGCCGCTGCCGCCGCCGACCAGCTGGGATTCAATCCCCCGCCCCAGCACTCCGCCGCGACCGAAGGCCATACCATTCAGGGCGGAGCATACGGTGTCGGCGAGGGGCCGCAGGTTGTGAGCACGTCGGGCGTGCTGGAGGTGCAGTGCGGCCCGCTCCTGAATTACAGGCAGATGAGCGCCGTCGCGTCGGGCAGGCCCAACTGGCACGGCAGCGTCCTTATCGTGACCACGCCTGGCCAGATTCACCCCCAGCTGCTCCTGAGAGAGATCGGCGCCGTCGACGGCTCCACCGGGCCCGCGGCCACCGATACGCGCTCATTCGACGGCTTCAAGTTGTACGAGGACCCCAAGAAGGCTTTCTGGCGCTTCCTCATCGACCTGCCCCTGCGCGACTATGAGGCGCGCTGGGAGTACGAGATTCCCAAGCTCAAGCCCGTCGGGGGAGCCACCATTGACGGTGATCCTACCAAGCGCGCATTTGCTGTGCCCTCAATTACTCAATCCATGCGCATTCTCTTCCACTCGTGCAATGGCTTCAGCGTTGGTACTGATGTTGACGCCTGGTCCGGCCCCGCCCTCTGGAACGACGTGAACCGCATTCACGCGAACAAGCCCTTCCATGTCATGATTGGTGGTGGCGACCAGATCTACAACGACGGCGTGCGTGTCGACGGCCCGCTCAAGGCCTGGACCGACATTGGCAACCCCAAGAAGCGCCAGCACTTCCCCTTCAACGAGCAGCTCCGCGCCGAGTGCGACGAGTACTACTATAATAATTACATCCGCTGGTATACCACCAGGCCGTTTGCCGACGCCAATGGCCAGATTCCCCAGCTGAACATCTGGGATGATCACGACATCATTGATGGCTTTGGTTCCTACACCGACCACTTCATGCGCTGTGCCGTCTTCCGTGGCATTGGTGGAGTGGCTCACAAGTAAGTCCTACCTCTACCCTTTTTTTTTTTTCCGGCCGATCAGGTCTCGAGCCTTCGGCAGTTTTTCTTGGTTCCCTAGTACCTGGTTTCGTTGAAACACTGCATGCAAGACACTCGACCTTTCCAATTCCGGTTTAAAATGGAATGTGGCTAACCTTGTTTTACCTAGGTACTATCTCCTGTTCCAGCACCATCTTCCTCCGCCGAAGAGCACTTTCACCACTGATGACCCCAAGACTGTTGAGCCGGGTCCGGACGGAACTCCGGCTGATCCTGTGCAGTTGAAGGACACTTTCGTTGCGGAAGAACCTGTAGAGCCGGACTCTTATATCATCGGAGCGAAGCCCGGCCCGTATGTGGAAGAGCGTAGCCGATCTATCTACTGTCAGCTCGGCGCTCGCATTGCTTTCTTGGGTATCGACGCTCGTACCGAGCGTACTCGCCATCAGGTCAATTACCCTGAAACTTATGATCTTCTGTTCAACCGCTTGTCCAAGGAGCTCTCGTCCAACCGAGAGATCAAGCATTTGGTTCTCCTTCTCGGTGTCCCCATTGCCTACCCACGTCTGCAATGGCTCGAGAACATCTTCCAGAGCCCGGTCATTGGCCCCATACGCTTCATGAATAAGCGCTTCGGCCTGGCTGGAAGCTTCTTCAACCACTTCGACGGACAAGTCGACTTGCTGGATGACCTGGATGACCACTACACCGCTCGCCACCACAAGGCTGAGCGTAAGGAGCTGATCCTGCGCTTGCAAGAGATCGCGAAGCAGAACAACGTCCGTGTTACCATCCTTGGTGGTGATGTGCACTTGGCAGCCCTCGGCCGCTTCTACAGCAACCCTGCCCTGCAGATCCCTGTTGAGCGTGATCATCGTTACATGATCAACATTGTCAGCAGCGCCATCACCAACAAGCCCCCGCCGCAGCCGGTCGCCAACCTCCTTGCGCGCCGCAACAAGATCCACCACCTCGACCACGAGACAGACGAGACGCTGCTTGAGCTCTTCGACAAGGACCCAGGCTTCAACGCTGAGGGCAAGGACGACAAGGGCGTCGGAAACAAGTCCGGAGACAAGAACCACTGCACCATGCCCTCGCGTAACTTTGCCATCATCACCGAATCGTGGACGCCGAACGGCGCGCCGTCCTTGGCCCCGCCGCCCACGGCCAATGGCACTGCAAACGGCTCCCTCGCCCCGCCCGCTCCGCCTGGAACGGCAAACGGCTCGACCCAGTCGGCCTACACGGCATCGGCTCCCAGCACCGTCATGTCCGACGGCCAGCCCGTCTCGGCGCCCCCTGACCCCAAGAAGAACCCGCGCCGCGCCCTGCACGACGGCGAGAAGGGCTGCGGTACCATACATCCGGCCGCGAGCGGCGTGGATGCGACGGGCTTGGGCGGCAGGTACGGCCTCGACATCACCTTCCGCGTCGAGATCTCGCCCAAGGATCCTGAGGGCCACACGGATGGCTATGGGTTGAGCGTGCCGGGCCTGGAGGTCGAGTAGGCTTGGAGAAGAGTTTCATGAGGTTACGGCGTAATCTGTGTGAAGATCTGTTGGATCGTGTTGGGAAATGTGTTTCGCTTCTTTGGTATTTTCACTTTCTGTGACGGGACGAGAGATGCCTTGCTTTTTCATCGTCTTTCACGGAGCTATGGGTTGTAATATCTGTACTTTTGTTTTTTGTACTCTTTCTGTCTCAAGTTGACGTTGAGGGTTGGAAGGAGGAAAGAAGAATTACCCCGCGAGTTTTCCTGAAAAGAAACTCGGCTTGATCTTTATTTGCTTTTTTTCCCTTTCACGCTTTTGTTATTTTAATGGAGGAGATGTGGACGGATGGGCGGAATAGTGAGAGGAGGGAGACATGTGTGTCGACAATGCTGGGAGGAAAGGCTGTGATGTCTGAATGGGCTGCGGTGCTGGCTTCAATCAAATACCTCTTTCATCATTGATGCAACGTGTCTTGCAAACTCCCGTCCTGTGGCTGATTGCTACTGTGATTTTGTGTCTTGTTCATTAGAGTCCCGTGTAGTGCACAAAATAGCAGAGGCTAGCGGGGGTTTCCAACCACATCCGTATTGGGACAGTTGTCTTCTGCTTTAAGGCTTTACCGTTCTTTGTATCGGTCGTCAGCTGCAGTAGGTAACTGTAAATTCACTTGAAAAATAAATTTAGACGTCACAGGAATACTACCACACGAGTTCCTCGCGCAATGCATAACTTTGACCCTTTTGCATATTTTGGGAGGAACAGCTCGAGGTCCTTTTTTTTTCTTGTTCCCTCTGAATCGAAGCCTGGAAGCGAACGACCATCGTCGGCTCCACGTGGCTCCGAACACGAGGTTCACAGCTGCCTATGGAGGAAAGGCCCAGCCGTTAGTCAAGCCATCGTCGAAGCGAATACCGGGTTTAGGCTTTGTTGGTCGTGTGACGAAGGATGGGAAGTTCCGCGCGTGAGAAAGCTGGAGCAGAGCGGGCTTTCTGCTACCGAAAACACGCTGATGGTGTTCAAGCGAGGGAACGAACGGACCATTATCTACGAAGGATCTTGCAAGAAAGCGAATGCAACGTCGTAATTGTGGGCGTTGAGGCACGCAAGTGATGCGACTGTCTGCAAAAGTGGGACGAGAGACGAGCCTAGACGTTAGAAGAGCCATGGAAATCTTCGTAGGATTCGGTCTCGGTACGAGCATGGGCTTTGAGCACCGGAAAGTCAGGAAAACCACTTTGCATTCTACAGCGGGTCTTCGAACTCCATCAACTTTATACCATGTTCCTTTGTTGAGTTTGGAATTTGGCCTATATATTTGGAACGAGTCACGGCATGGACAATCACAAAGCAGTCATAGACGTGGGTTGGTCTATTTAGGAGTGCAGGACTCTCGTAGCAATCGTAGGGCAAGAATCGTCAACTGCCCAATTTGGTAGTCGACGATGCTGTCCAGGTGGTCACGTCAGTCTCGATAGTCGAATCTCACAAGGTGCTCATGGAGTTGGTGGCATTCATGTATTCGTGCTGCTGGTGCAGCAAATAAAAAAAGCACATCGATGATGGGGCATTGCCCCTCGCTGCCCTCCCACCCCATCCGAGAACACCACGCTATGCATTTTTTATAGGCCTGAAAAAAAACAAAAAACAAAAAAGCAAAACACCCGCCTGTACATTTTTGGGGCCCCTGGGGCGAGGGACTGGAGCACTGCCTGTACCGGCCCGCTACTCCTCGAACCCGCTGAAGTTGTCGGCCGGCGTGCCGTTCATGCGCAGCCGGTACAAGCAGGTCCAGTCCCTGCCCCAGGTCCCCGTCACCCTCACCACCACCTTGTTCACCGGGCTCTGGGTGAGGAGCTCTGAGTTCAGGTTGAACGCCTGAACGTGGTTCAGGGCGTCAACCCGATACTCAAAGCTCCCCACCCGCACGAACTTCTCTCCCGGCCTGTCCTCAGGCTGCCCCAGGGCCGCCCGGACCCCCTCATCCTCCACCTCCACCCAGACCTCCATCCCCCGGGGGGCACTCCCAATGTCAAGAGTGCCATCCCGAGGGATGTGCTCAACCAGGAGAGTCTCCGGCACAATCTTGTGGGGCATGACGATCCCGATTTGTGCCTTCCCGGTCCCCGGAGACCTCGCCGCACACCAGCAGTCTGTGGGCTCCTCCCAACCGACGAGAACTGCAGCGGGCGGGAGATCTCCGGGGATCCAGGTTAGCTTTTGGAGAACTCTCCTGGTGAGACCACGTGAGGCCATGGTGGGGGAGGTGAGGTGGGGGTCAACGACGGCCCCGAGAGCTCTGGAAAAGAAGTTGACCGAGTGGAGGGCTGCCCAGGCGTTCTCCAACAGCACGGTGTTGGCCATTGTCTCCAGTTGGCCCTTCGGCAAGGTTGCGACCAGGTCCTTGAACTTCTTGTTCAGATTCTTGTTCCAAGACGACTCCATGTCAGCAACACGGTTCTGAAGAAGCTTGAATTCACTCTCCACCATGCCGATGAAGGTGTCGTTTGTGACAGGCGTGTTGTTTCCGATCGCGTTCTTGACCTTGGCGTCGACTGCATCCGACAGGTATGTGTCCAGTTGAGCCTTGTTGTGCTGCCAGAAATTGGCCCATGAAGCGGAGTCCTTGACGTCGCCGGTGGAAATGCCTTCTTTGGCCAGGTTGTCGCGAAGGGCGTGCCAGAAAGGGCCAGGGATCTCATTGCGACCGGTCTTGGGGTTGTGGGTGAGCATGACAAACTCGGGAATTTTGGCCTTCAGGTAGTCGAGATCCTTCTTCATGATTCCAATGTCGACTTGGCCTATGTTGTTGAGGTCGCCTGTGATCGGGAAAGGCTGGTAGATGGGCTCAGAGCCGGTGACGAAGCCGATGATTTGGGAGGAGCGCTCATGCATGTAGTCCGAGGCACTTGTGTTGCGGAGGATCACAGACTTGATGGTGACGTCGAAGAGAAGGAAGAAGAAGATAAGGGTGGAGAGGAAGCCGATGACCATGGCACTGATCTTGGATAGGGTCGAAATGGCCCAGGTGAGAGGAGCGAGGTAGTTGCGCACAATGCGGCGAGCAATGTCGTACCAACGCGGGCTGTAAGTGGCCCATCCAACGAAGGCAGCCTCACGGAGATCGTTCCAGCTCTTGGTGGGCGCGAAGGAGCTTTCATTGGTATCACGGGAAACCGGGCGGCCATCGTCGTTGAGTGCGGCAGGCGTGTGGCCGTCGCTGGAGACTGAACGGTCGTCATTGTTGCGGGCAGCAGACGGGCTGGGCATGCGGCTCTCGTTGGAGGCCGGGGGGTGGACGAAAGTCGAGCGGGGCGAGGCAGCGCGGATAGAGCTAGGCGCCTTGGAAGCAGTGGAAGTCTCGTGCGCCTCGGGGATGGTAGGAGGAACCCTGACATTGTTGTTGTTGTTGTCGTCCTCAGTGAGCGTGCGAGGGGCAGAGGCACGGCTTCCAGCACGGCTTCCAGCACGGCTTCCAGCACGGCTTCCATCACGGCTTCCTTCACGGCTCTTCTTGAATGAGACTGCAAAGCCCTGGCGAGCGGTGGGCGCCTCGATCATCTCGGGCTGCGCGGACGAGCGATCATCGGATCCAGTAGCGCCATAAGCATTGGAGGTAGCGGGGCGCGTGGTAGTAAGTCGGCCAACCTGACCGGCGTTGGGGGGAGCCTTCGAGGCACGATCGATGCGACGACCGCCAGCATCAGAACCAGCATCGGAGCCAGCAGCGCTTGGCGTGCGCGAGGCGATGCGACTTGAGCGGCGTGGAGTTGCCATTTCGGAGGGAACAACCGATGAGGCGCGAGAGCCTATAAGACAGTCAGAGAAATTCGAGGGGACGAAACCGAAGATGGCGAGGGACTGACGAGTTGTAGCAGGCATGATGATAGACAACTCGTCAAACTGATGTAGAGGTGCAAGAGCGGGGGTTGATATTGAATTTGAGGAAGGAGGTCGAGCAAGCTTGAAAAGGTCGAAATGCGCCAGGCAGTTCGGAGGCTCGACTGATGATGCTGAGGAAAGGAAGGAAAGGAGGTGGAGCTTAGGATACGACGAAGTTTTGAGCAAGCCGAACCCCGCTTGAGCCACACAATAGCAATTGTTGTGAATAGCAGCGTGGTGAATGGGGACAATAGGAGAAGGACCTACACGGTGAAGGCCGGGCCGCAAGATTTACCAAGCAGGGTGGTTCGAAAGTCGGGGGCTGGCACGGCTGCCAAAAGAGGCAACAGCGCGGCGGCAGGCGCGATGCAGAGGTAAGTGAGGCGCTACGGCAGTCACGGCGACGGCGGAAGCAACAATGGACCAAATATACAACAGCTTCCTTGACATGTCCAGCGAACAAAGGACCTCAATAAAGGCAGCATCGTCCAGACATAGGACAGCACAGGGTGCAGCAGAGCAGTGGCCGCTTGCGGACGCGATGCAAGCTCGGACGGCAGACCAGCGGGCGTTGGCGGGCGCAGGCAGGCGGCAGATGCGCGATCGTGTTTTGGTGTTGCGACGCGTCGAAGACTGCGCGCGCCCAGATGTCCCGAGGATCGCGCGCGCGTGCGCGCCACACGGCCGGGGCTGGCGGCGCTGACGCCACCGCGGCTCGCTTGCCTTGAAGCTCTGGGCAGCGTCCGACGACGCACGGGGCGCCTGGAGACTGGTATTAGGATCCACAGCCTGTGCAGGTGGGTTGCCCTCCGCTCATTTCCCCTCCAACCCGCCCCGGCCAGCCTACATATACTCTTCTGCCACCCTCCAGCTACCTGCTGCTTGCTGCCTTGATTCTCTCGCTTTGCTCCTCCCGCTGCTCTCTCCAATTCCTTCATCATGGTTGTCGGCTCTGTCCTCGTCACCGGGTAAGTTTATCACGAGCTTCTCGTACCCCGCCACGCTGCGCAATTGTCTGATCAGGCGCGCAATCGCCCGCCATTGCAATGCGCCGCTCCCTCCACGTTGCGCGTCCGCTGCTGCAGCGCCTCTCCTGGCAAACCATGGTGTTGACACCCTGTTCACAGTGGCACCGGCTACATTGGCTCTTTCACCGCCCTTGCTCTGCTTGAGGCCGACTACAAGGTTGTCATCGTCGACAACCTGTACAACTCGTCCGAGGAGGTCGTCAACCGCATCGAGTTGATCTCGGGCAAGCGCCCTCTCTTCTACAAGGTCGACATCACCGACGAGGCCGCCTTGGACAAGGTTTTCTCCGAGCACCCCGACATCGACAATGTCATCCACTTTGCCGCTCTCAAGGTGCGCTACCCAACCCGGCATGCAAGGAGCGTCCGTATTGACTTTGTGCTTTCCCAGGCTGTCGGAGAGTCCGGCGAGATCCCCCTCGAGTACTACCGTGTCAACGTCCAGGGCAGTCTGACTCTGCTCCGCTCCATGTCCAAGCACGATGTCACCAACATTGTCTTCTCGTCCTCGGCGACCGTCTATGGCGACGCAACGAGGGTTCCCAACATGATCCCCATCCCCGAGCACTGCCCCATTGGCCCGACCAACACCTACGGCCGCACCAAGTCGACTGTTGAGGCCATGATCACCGACCACATCGAAGCCGAGCGCAACAAGGCGAAGAAGGCGGGCAAGAACGGCGATAAGTTCAATGGCGCTCTGCTGCGCTACTTCAACCCCGCTGGTGCGCACCCTAGCGGTATCATGGGCGAGAACCCTCTGGGTGTCCCCTACAACCTCCTTCCTCTCCTTGCGCAGGTCGCGATTGGAAAGAGGGAGAAGCTGCTTGTGTTCGGCGATGGTAAGACTTGCGCGCAATTCTTCCTGCAACTCGAATCGTGCTGACTCGTATAGACTACGCCTCGAAGGACGGCACTGCCATCCGTGACTACATTCACGTTCTTGACCTCGCCAAGGGTCACCTCGTCGCGCTGAACTACCTGCGCGAGCACAACCCTGGTGTCAAGGCATGGAACCTGGGCACTGGCAAGGGCTCGACTGTGTTCGAGATGGTCAAGGCCTTTAGCAAGGTCGTCGGCCGTGACCTGCCCTACCAGGTCGTCGAGCGCCGCCAGGGTGATGTGCTGGACCTTACGGCCAACCCCACCCTCGCAAACAAGGAGCTCAACTGGAAGACGGAGCTTACGCTGGAGGATGCCTGCCAGGACCTGTGGAAGTGGACGGAGAACAACCCCGAGGGCTACTTCCAGCAGCCCCCGGCGGAGTTCGTCGAGAAGCTCAAGGCCTCGAAGGCTTAGACGTTGGCTAAGCTGGGCTGGCCAAGGCAGCAGGAGATATGATGATGTACGTTTTAGCATTGTGCGTTGGTATACCAGCGTCACGTTTGGCAGTGGAACATGCGTTTTATTTAGTATGCTGCGAACGGGCGCAAGTTTCAAAAGAAATGAAATAGAATCAATAATATAGATTGCTGCGCATGGGCGCACTGGCACCATGAAACTGCTGATGACGACTGCGTTTTTTTGGGCGGTCGGAGTTTGTTCGCGCTTTGACTCACCCGCCGACAATTCTCGATGCTGCCCACCACGAAATTGTTGCCCCGCCGCATCCCCAGCGCATCCCACCTGAGAGCTGCGCATCGCACCGCATTCGCCCGCATACGGACGAGCAAGCTATCCACGTCATCCATTTCCCCTGCAATTGCGTTTCAATCACGCCCGCCGCAGCCTCTTTTGCGCCCCGCCTTCACCCCCGCCCGCACCATGGCTACCGCTACCTCGTTCGACGAGCCCGTCCTCTCGCTCCTTCAGCGCTCGTACCCCGACGCCGGAGCCGCTACTGACGCCGATGCCGTCAAGCTCTCGAGCGCCATTTTCAAGAACGTCCAGTACACCGACGCCGAGAAGACTGAGATCACGCAATGGCTGATTACCTCCTCACACGTGGGCTCCGCCACTGAGGACGAGGCAAAGCGCGCTGAGCGCCTGTCCTCGCTGAACACCCACCTGTCCACTCGCACCACCCTTCTCGGCGCGAAGCCCTCGGTGGCTGACGTTGCCCTCTACGCCAAGCTGGCCCCGGTTGTCTCGAAGTGGTCGCCGGAGGAGAGGACGGGCGAGCAGGGCTACCACCACATCGTGCGCTTCGTCGACTTCATCCAGAATGCCCCGGTCTTCGGTTTGAAGGTTGGCGAGGAGGAGAAGGTCAAAGTCGACCAGGACGACGTCAAGTTCACCATCAAGCCCATCGATGCCAAGGCCGAGAAGGAGCGCAAGAAGAAGGAGAAGGAGGCTGCCGCGGCTGCAGCAGGCGGTGCTACTCCCACCTCTGCCACTGGCGGCGAGGCCAAGAGCAAGAAGGAGAAGAAGGCCCAGGACAAGGTTGAGAAGGCCGGCGAGGCTGTTGCCGCGGCCGCTGGTGCCGGCAAAGAGGGCAAGAAGAAGGAAAAGAAGGAGAAGCAGCCCAAGCCGCAGAAGGCTGCGCCTGCTGAGAAGCCGCTGTCGCCCTCCCTCATTGATCTCCGCGTGGGTCACATTCTGAAAGCTGAGAGGCACCCCAATGCTGACAGCCTGTACGTCTCGACCATTGCCGTTGGTGACGCACCCGGCACCGATAACACTTCCGAGTACGAGGGCCAGGTTGTTCGTACCGTCTGCTCTGGTCTGAACGGCCTGATTCCGCTCGAGGAGATGCAAAACCGCAAGATTGTCGCTGTCTGTAACCTTAAGCCTGTCACTATGCGCGGCATCAAGTCTTGCGCTATGGTGCTTGCGGCATCGCCCAAGGTCGCCGAGGGCGAGGACAGCCACAAGGGCCCCGTCGAGCTCGTCAACCCGCCTGCCGATGCCAAGGCCGGTGACCGCGTCTTCTTCGAGGGCTGGGAGGGCGAGCCTGAGGGCGTGCTCAACCCCAAGAAGAAGATCTGGGAGACGCTTCAGCCGGGCTTTACCACCACTGACAACCTCGAGGTTGGCTTCGAGGTCGGCGACGTGCCGCAGCTTGCTGGAGAGGGCGCGGAGAAGAAGACCGGTTTGGGTAAGCTGAAGACCGCCACCGGTCTCTGCACCGTCACCACGCTCAAGGGTGCTACGGTTCGGTAATTTAAGGGAGAGCGAAATGGGAAGACAAAAGACGTCATTGTAGATCTGCTTTGCGATATGAGATAGTGGGGAGGGGCTACCGAGATCTGCCTCAAATCAAAAATTACGAACAGAGCGTGTCGAAAGCAAACAGTGATCAAAAGACGCACGGAGCAACCATAGATGCAAACAACTAGAAGGCCAACAGTGCCTATTACATGAAGGATATGTTTGGCATACGTTTGTCTGATCTTGCTGCGATCACAGTCAAGACATGTAGTATTGCTATATTCGGTACCGTGCGATCGCCCGGCCGTGCCGCAGAATTATCTCCCGCAGATAGCAGTTTTAGGGAGGGAAGAAGAAAAGAAACCGCTCATCTCGCTCCGTTCTGAATCACAAACCTTTCGCTACGCCCTGTTTGCGTCGCATTGATTAGGTTGCGTGGCCTTGTTTGCATCACTGAGTCTGATGCCTAGGGCCTTGTCGCTAAGCGGAATTGCGATGAGACATTTCTGGCGTGGAGCAATCGAGGCGATTCAACCAGACACCGAAGCTCAACACATTCCAGACTGCTTCAACGCATGGAAAAGTGCCCTTTTCGATATCTGGTAGCCGGAGATAGACTAGGATGTGATGTCGCGATAGCAACCTGTCCACTACAGACTACGAAACATTGCAAGCTTATAGAACAATCAGTTCTTCAGACTCATCTCCCACTCTTCAGAACTCATTTCCCAGAGCTCATCCTTGGAGACTCGCACAATTAAGCCCCTGCTCACAATTGAACCCACGTGGCTATCAGTGGATCTCACGCCCTGGTCTTGCTGCCGCACGCTCCTATCTTTCTTGATCTTGCCTCAGAACAATTGTGATTTCCCAGTTCGCTTTTCTAAGCCTTTCTGGACTTCCGCTAGCTTGATATGTACAAACCTCAATGTGATTCGGATTTACTTCGTCCGGATGATCTTAAGCTTCTTGGGGCTGTGCAAGAAGTTGTTTGCATACGCCTTGGGGACGATCCTCCGCTCGTTGGGCTCTTGAACGAAGTATTCGTAGCCTTGCTTTTCAGCAAAGGCAATGGCATCCTCCTTGCTCTTGAAGAACATGCGCTCGCCCTGCATGAAATCGGCGGACGATTGCCAGCCGATCAGAGGGTTCTCCCATCTGTGACCCTTGGAGAGAGGATCCCAGTCCATCTGCCAGTGGTGCGAGTGCCAGTCGCCAGACTGGGTGGCGGCCTTGGTGGGTTTGTAAATGCTTGGAGTACATCAGCATGCAGTAGATACTAATCGACGGCGTGCAGCGTACCGGACAGTGCGGGCCTGCAGATCGACGGGAGCGCCCGACAGAACAGCAGCAGGGACGACTTCGCCAGGCTCGCTGCCGTCCATGACGCGCTTGGGGATGGGGGAGAAGGTTCTTGAGTGCAATTAGTGTCCGGTATTATCTATCTCGCTTCCCATTGGCTGCTCACGAGGTGCGGTAATCCACAACCACATTGTAGTCAGGATTGTGCTTGGCCATGGCCTCAGAGGGGCCCTCTTTCGACACCACCGAGGAATCGCCCGCCTGCGCACCGGGCTTGTCGGAGGGAGAGGTGACGGGCGTAGGCTCGGTGTTGGCGCTGTAGAATCGGCGCGCAGGGGCGCAGGCGCGCTGGGCGACGGGACGCGAAGCTGCGGCGAGCAGCCGAGAGTTCAATGCCCGCTGCATTGTTAGAACGGGTTGTGCGAGAGTGCGGCGTGGTGGATGGGCGCGGAGCGGGTAGGTAGGTGATGTAGGTCGCCGCTGGTCAGGGCCGCCGGAGGAAGGGCTGCCAAGACCTACCGAGTGCCGCCGTTTTAGCGCAGCAGCACTTCCTGCGACCTCATCGACCTTTGCGGCTTGCTATCGCAGCACACACCCCAACCATCTCCGCTCCACGCCAATGTACGATGCCCACACCCCAATTTCTCCGCTCTTGCCTACCAATGCCGATGCTGACCGAGGCCAGACCTCTCGAGATGAGCTACATCGCTAAGCGCGGTCTTTCGACCCTCATTCCTCCTAAGGTACGTCCGGCTGTTGAATCGCGCAGAACCATCACTGACTGACCCTTCCAGATTGCTTCGCCGAGTGTAAGTAACCTGCCGCTGCCCCAATGCTGCCCCCGATGGGCCTCCGACTAGAACTGCGACATCGGTCCTCCAAGAAAAGCCGGCAGACCCGCGACTGCGTAGCGTAGCGGAGTGCAGCATATGGCTTACGTGACGGGTTTGGACTGACGGATGGAAAAGGCCATCGGCGGCGCTCAGGATGCTGTCCGTATGCAGCGCGTCGTAAGCTTCTACGAGAAGCTCCCCCGCGGCCCCGCTCCGGCACCGCAGCCCAAGGGTCTCATCGAGAGGTACCAGGCCAGGTACTTTGGCAAGAACCCCTCTGGCATGCGTAAGATTTTCCACTAGAAACCACCCATGAAGAAGCTCTGTTCTGACCCGCAGCAGCCCTCGTCCACCTCATTGGCGGTCTGATCGTCATCGGCTATGCCCAGAACTACTACTTCCACCTGCGTAAGTCCACGCCATCCTCTGGCTGGGGGGCGACTCCAATCTGACGAATTTGCAGGCCACCACAAGAACAACGCCCACTAGAGGTGCGAGCGTTTAGACTAGAAGCAAAGCAGTGGGTGACGGTCGCAGTGTGTAAATATCCTGGAATGTGCCATCAAGACTGAAGCCTTTTCCGCCGGGTCAGCCCCTGTGCCAGTTGTTTTCGTGAATGCAAAACGTGAGATTCCGTCGCGAGGACATGTCGCGCAAGCGTGCTCCTTGCCTTGACGTCGGCTGTCGCAACGCCTGTCCTGCGCGGCTAGATCGACGGCGGCGCGGGTCATGCATGTGAGGCACAGCGCGCATGCGGGCATCGTCGAACTAACGGGACGGGACGCTGGCGAAGTGAATGCAACGAGCGCACCCGCAGCGATCGCCTACGGAGGCGCAGGAGCTCAGATCCCCCCGTGTTCAGGTGGTGCTGGTGCTGGTGACCGCCCGTGTAAGGCTGGTTGCGAAGGCGGGCTGACGCGCTTGGCGGCGAGTGCCCTGCCGCAATCCGTCCGGCTACTGTACGCCTCCAGCTGCGACCTCCCCTTCAACGACCACTTCGCCCTCCGAACCCGGCGCATCTAAGGCCACGACGCCTCCGCTCTCCCTCTTCCGCCCCGGCTTCACCCACCCGAAGCCCCTCCTCTCTTGTCCCCAGGCCGCTTCCAGCCCGCGCATCACTCCACGCCGCGTCGTTTTTCCGACGGCAGCTCCACCCCGGCGTGAGCTTGCTCCATCGCCAAGCATTCGACGCCTTGCGGAAGCGCATACTCATTACCCGTGGCGACTCCCAAGATTTGACCATAGGTATATATGCCGCGCTCTTCTGCTGCCCGCGCATGCAGTCCCGGTCCGGCAGCCGAGGGCTCCCATGCTAGCAGCGCCATCACCTCTCCAGCACAAGCACCCGCATCAGCAGACAAAGACACCGGTTCTGACGGCGCATCTTCTGCCGATACAGTTTCGCGACTTGTTATGGCAGAGCAGATCACCCACGATGTGGTAAACGAAGCACAGTCGATGGGTGGCCCCTCGCCCATCGACGTTAATGCGACAACTACCAACGAATCGTCCGCCGGCGCGGCTCCGGACACCAACTCTTCCAACCAAGACCAACCCGCGACCTCTTCCACAAACGCTACGTCCTCCAGTGCGCCTCCACCCACGACAAATCCCTCCGAGCCGAGCGATGCGGCAAAGGCTTCGGTAAGCTGTGGTGGCTGGGACCTGTGCAGTGACTTCCGCTGACTCAAATACAGCCTATTCCTGATGGATCGCAAAGGCAGCCCGCTACTGATGCTGTCTCAGAAACCCCCAAGGAACCTACCGCCAATGGTACCGCTTCGCCGCTGCCCTCCTTGGACGACCCCTCCGGTACACAATCCGCGGCTGACACGAGTGGGGGGTCGGACACGGACACAAGCCGGGCCGGAAAGGATGGCACGAGATCAACAGTCAAGAAGCCCACGTCCTTCAAGTCTGTATCAGTGACGAAGCACTTCCTTGCAAAGACAGCGGTTTCCACGCCAGCCAAAGTTGGGGAGAAAGGTATTTTCGTGCGGCGCAATCGTGTGGACGCTGCTAACTCCAAGGAAAACAGCTCCTATAAGTCAAACATCAGTTCCCGCTCAACCTACAGCGAAGCCGCGGCTTGTCGCGAAGTCTGGTAGTGGCGTTGGAAGTGCGCTTGGCCGCTCCAGCCTATCGAAGCTGAATGGAGCTGGAACAGGGCCAGACCCCAATATGGTCTGGAATAAGAATAGACGTATGTTGTGCGCAAACGCAGGTCTTTTTCCAGGCATGATTATTAATGGAATGTTCAGCAACGCCACCTCCTCCGCCAAAGCAATTCACAGATGAAGAACTAAAGCAACAATTCGGCATCCACATGGCTACCAGATTACAAGCAGACGAAGACCAAAAGGAGTCAAAATGGGCCGATATTGATGAAGACGAGGATGACAACTGGGCGCCGGAAACTGTGGAGTGGATGGATGGTACCAAATCAACAGTCAAACCGGCCGAACCAACGCCCCCCTTGGAGGAACCGAAGCCGGAGGCAAAGAAGGAGGATAAACCCGCAGAGGAATCGAAGCCCACCACCCCGTCACTATCCAGGCCCAGTTCCACGGGTCCAAGTCTGACTGGAGGGACCAAGACAATTCTGAAGCCCGGTGCGCATTCTGCTGCAGGTGGAATCAGGCAAGGAGGACTGCTATCTAAGGGCCAGACGGACAGCGGAAAGCCGACCTTAGTATCGAAATCCCCAGCGCCTGCCCCTGCCAAATCTCCTTGGGCTCCGCTTCCGCCTGTCGAGAGGGTTTCACCTGTCGTTATTAATCCTCAGCCCGAGCACCCCCCGGTTCCTCGCTTCTCGCAGAAAGATCCCCATGGCTTTGATGCTCTTCCTCCGGCCCCTTCGCCGGCCAAGGAGATCGCGGCCGACGACTTCAACAGATCATGGCGGGATGACCGGGGGCCCAGGGAGTTGTTCAATTCTCAATCCGGCCGATATGAGCCCGTGAGAGACACTCGCCGAGGCCCTTCGCGTCAAGACTCTTCAATTCGCCAGCCGTCTGTCCTTCAGCGGCCATCCCAGCCAGGGCCTGCAGAACCTTCCGCAGCCTTTCAAACTTCAAGATCTAGCGTACCCGAAGAGCCTTGGGCTCGCCGCCGTACTTCGTCGAATGTTAGTGGTGGGAGTGGTAGGAGAATGTCCTTTACTCGAGATGTACCACCCATGGTTCGTGACCGACGTAGTTCCCATTCTACGACTGACATGGCTCCGCCAATGCCGGCAAGAGGTGGCTTCCAACGTAGCGGGGTTGGCGAACGGGGACTTTCGCCTGCGACCTCACACCAAGGTTCCTTAACACAGCACTCTTCTCCTGTAGCAGCGCATGTTCAGCCAGAATCGCCACAGCCAGTAGCAGGTTCCCCGGCTTCGCCCGATGCTGTCAATGGCGGTGCCAACCCGATGGCTGCCTACCAAGAACAAGTCAAAATCCAGGAGCAGATGATGCGGGAAAAAATCGAGCGAGCCAGGGCGGAGAAGCAAAAGCGTCGAGAAGAAGAGGAGAAAGAGGAAGCAGCACGGAAGGAGCGCCTGCGGCTGAAGCTGGAAGCATTAGGTCCGCCCCCATCTAAGGCCGATAAACCGAAGTCGCCAACGGCTGGCAGCGAACCGCCGCAAGCCCAGCAGAAGCCGACTACTATTCAGTCACCTCCAAAGCCGCCTATACCCACAGCGGAAGGTGAGGTGGCGCAATATGGCATGATGAAGGTCCACCAGCCGCATTCTGTGAAGAGGACGGGCGAGCACTTGAGGCCCTCAGAGCAATCGCGGCGGGAAGTGAAGTCACCGGAGCGTAAGGCAGTTTCACCGGCGAAGTCGCCTGCTGCTCCAGCAGCAGAAACCACAAAGGCACAGCCGGACGGCGTGAGCACGCCAGATGAGGCGGCACCGCAATTGGAGCAAAAAGTGCCTGCCTGGAAGCCGTCTGTGGCTTCTGGCACGCCGTGGGCACCGTTGCGTAGCCGCAACGTGTGGGGCCCGCCGAATCAAGAAAGAGGCATCGGTAACGGCACGTTTGGCCATACACAGCAGCCACCGCCAGCTGCGGCGCCGGGGCCGATCGCGCCGCCCGCGGCCACGACTAAATTGCCTACCTCACCTCCACGCTTCACACACCCTCCCTCCGCCGAGCAACCTTCTTCTTCTTCTTCTTCTTCTACCTTTGCTTCACAACCCGACCTGCGCTCACAGGATTCCTTCGCACACCCCCCGGCAGCAATGGCGTCCGCCGCAGTTGCTCCTGGCCCGATCGGGCCTCCCAAGTCAGCACCTCGTCCAGCTTTCGATGTCTCGGCCTGGAGCGCCAGCTCGATTGCGGAGTCCGACGCAAAGCTTGCGCGCAGGCGCGAAGAAAACTACCAGGCTAACCGTGGAAAGCCATTGCCCGCCTTCAACGAGACGTTCAAACAGACCGCCATCGAGGGCTCTCTGGATCGTCGCCGCGTCTTAGAGACCAAGAGCACCGTCCACCTTCACCCTAACAACGTCTCGAAGCCCGATGAGCAAGCGCCTCACACAAGCCACTCCGAACAATCGTCGCGCTCAACGCCTATTCCTTTCGGCGAGCCTTACAAATCCTCTGTTGGCGACGAGCCGTCCACACTTCGCCCGATTGGCTCCGAGAAAGTTCAATCCTCACCTGGTTCGACTGGTACTTCAGGCAATCGCTCCTCGCGCTTCTTCCCACGCACTCAAGACGCCTTCGATGCAGTTCAGGCGACAGTTTCACAGCTGATACTCAATGGCGACTCTCCGCCGCCGCCCGAGACTTCAAGTCATCCTGTTTTCACTGGAGACGCGTTACACCCGATTGTGAAGCTACCGCAGAAGATCAAGGTCAAGCTACCTCCGGCGGCGTCTCACTCGTCGTCCCCAGTCATCATGCCTGCGAGGCCCGGATTCTCTCGTCTTGGCTCACAGCCAATCATCCAACAGCCCGGTTGGCAGGAGCGCATCAATGGTCTTCTCGGCCGTGCTTCAGCACCAGCGCCTTCACCTCCAAAGCCAGCCACTTCGCTTGCGGTCGCGCCTGCAAGCAAGGCACCCTACGACCACACGGGCCCTCGCGCTGGAGCCACCGTCTCACTGCCGTCCAAGCCAGCGCTGGTCATGTTCGCGTCCGGCTATAATGCCAGCCCGGTGTCAAAGTCGGCTTTCGAAGAGGTGATGAGCGTTCCGGAGGCGTTTTCAGCGCCTACTGTCTGCCTTCCGAAGGAGCCGCATATGAATGCCGGCCTTGCTCCCGTTGCACCGCCCGCTACTCGCCCTGGATCGCGGTTCTACAAGACGACGGACGCCTTCAGTATCGACCCGACCTTCAGTCCGATTGCGGAATGCGAACAGAACGCGCAGGGAATCATCATCACGATCCACATGCCTGCTTCGGACGCGGTAAAGACCAGGATCATGGCCCGGCGCCGCAACCAGGGCCGCAAGCCGTCTGGCTACAACAACAAGAAACGGAACATGGCGCCGCGTGAGAACAGCAACAGCGGGTCCCGTCCCCGCAAGACGTCGGGCAATGTGCCCCAGGGCCACCCGTGGAGCAACAGCAACAAGAGCAACTCGCCCAGCTCTCCTTGGGGCAGGCGGCCGTCTGGAGCAGTCCACTAGGATGGTGCAGCTCACTTTCTTCTTCCTCTTTCGGCCGGGTTCATTTCGTGTTAGTGGTTATCTTGGCGACTAATAAGGCGTTCGCGTCACGTTTTGAGACTAACACAGTCATCAGCCGGAATTCATGTGGTACACGACGGTGGATGTGGGGTCGTGATTCAAAAAAGACGGCCAGGCCTTTTGGCAGCTCCAGCGGGCCGTCTGGCGCCTAGTGCGCCCTCTGCTAACAGCCTGCTGAACAGTGCGACGCGGCCGACGTGTCGTGCACTGTATGTACTTTGCTTTTAAGGAATGATAAACGGCTCAAAGCCCATTGAATACAGATGCGTGCCCAGTGCGACGTGTGGAACGGTGATTTGCCAAGAGAGGCTGGTTTGCTCTGGGCGGCGATCGCGCCGACTTTCACATGCCATGGTCAACTGAAGTTTGGCGGGGCCGAATGTTGCAAGCACTTTGAGCTCTGGGAGGAGAGCAGCTGAGTCGTCGTATGGCAGTGTTTCTAATTATACGGAGATCGCCAGCGGCGGGACGGGCAAAGCGCAATCAAACAAACATGCGTCAGGCTGGGATGGGAGGGGCTGGGCCATGGAGACGGCTTGGTGGCTCACGAGCGCGCATCTCAATTTGGAGCGGCCAAGGCGGGGGATTGTCATTCATGCTGCTCGCCTGCGCCGTCCGCTGGTTGACGGGCTTGGGCGGTGGCGGCAGGCGGCAGGCGCAGCTTCGCTCGCAGCTGTGGCTGCACAACCCTGTGTTTTAGGGGTCTTGCTGTCGACCACCCTTCCAGTCAAAAAACGCTGTTCAGCCTTACGCCCGGCCAGGAGCGCGGTGCGAGCAGATGCTTATCGCCCTTTTGGCTGCGCCCTCGCTGCGACAACGCATCACCGTGCTCGTCCACCTGAAACGACGGTATTCCTACTCATCGCATTCCACGCGGCCCCCCAGGCCCCCCCGTTTGCATCTTTCTCTCGCCGCTCGCCGCCTGTCACCAGCCCAGCCCAAGACATGTCCAGCAACATCCAGCGACGCCGATCCATAGAGCCGGGCGTCGCCTTCGCCTGGCCGCAGCCTGACAAGAGTGCACCCTCGTCCCCGTCACGCGATTGCGCCGAGCGACGAGCATGCAGTCACCACCACCAGCCTGCTGCCGACGCCGGCCACCTCCAGGACGAGCGGCCCGCCCAAGGTCCGCTGTCGTCGCTCAACCTCAAGAGCGACTATGTCGTGCCGCCCATGAGCAGCGTCTCGGTCGACCCACCCATTCCCGCCGAGACGGACTCGCGCTCTGCCCAGGACCAGCATCCCATGAGGACTAACCTGCCCTTGCTGTCCCAACCTCTGCTTTCCCTCGAAGCTTTCCACGCCGCTCCCGCCCACCACCGCCTGCAGGCGTTGGCAGCCCCCGGTCACGCGATCTGCACTGAGTCTGGGACCATCGCCGACGACCACTTTGGAAGCAGCACCCCCAGCCTGACTGACGCTTCGGGCGGCCCAACCCTCCTGACGCTGCCGCCCGAAATCCGCCGCATGATCTACCAGCACATCCCCTACATCACCAATCGACAGCCGCTCATCTACTGCCTGTCCATCTTCAAGGACAGGAAGCAGCATCCGCTCGCCGCCATCTGCCGGCTCATCCGGTCCGAGACGCTCGAGCTCTACTACAGCTCCAACACCTGGCTGATCAAGCTGGAGTATCGAGACTTTTATGACTCGTTCGTCTCCTGGATCTCCTCTCTGGACGACGCGTCGGCCAACGCGCTGCGCCTGCTCCGCGTGAGCGTCCGTGGCTCCATGTTCGCGAAGCCAATGATCTACGGCCCGGATGGCTACCTTGTTGAAAACACCGACAAAGGTGCCTACGGCTACGCCACCTTCGCCATTGATTTGAGCGAAAAGCTCAAGTTCGGAAAGGTCGAGGTTCTTGCGTGCGATGGGCCCAAGTCCGCAGCCTTGGAGGCTAAGGTAGCTTTGGAGGGCATCACCAAGGACCTATGGGAAAAGAAAGGATGCGGCCAACTGCGCGGTTCCGACATCAAACTTGCCATGGATACGTTTTTGAGCTTCACCGGCTGGTGGCTCTAATCTCTTTTCTATCACATGCTTCATCAGCGTTGGAGCTGAGGGTCTGTGCACCATCACATCACACCCTGATTCTCCGACGTCAGTTGGAGAGCCTCTTGAAGCAACAGAGACTCTCAACCATTTAACGGCAATTTCGGGAGAGAACAGGCCATCCCTTTCCTTCAAATTTTTGTTCCTTACACAGGCGTTCTCATCGTTTCCGATTTCTCGGCAGGAGTTTAAAAAAGGCATGGAATGGGTGGGTAAGTAATGATACCAGCGTTCGAGGAGTTATCCCGACACTTTTTCGTTTGTCTTCCGTTGTTCGGTTTTGCTCTTCACCTGTTGTAATCAATTCGCTCTGGGAACAAGTTCGCATGGCATCGGTCTTTACTTGGTGAAAGGATGCGATGGGCATATTCAAAAGCGATAGCACGGCACCGAGTGGCGTATCGAGGGCCGTGGAAAAAGGGTTTATGCTCCGTACTTGTTTCCTATTAATGCATTCATTGTCTTTTCGCTCTCAGCCAGGCTTGAGAAGCTCTTCCGGGGTGTTGGTGCCTCCCCAAAATTGGACAAGATCATGTACCGACGTAAGCGTCCATTTCCCTGTGATGAAATGTAGAAATGTGATGACTTGCAAGCAGAGATTTAGGAACTATTATATATTGTCTGATTGCCATCCTCTGCGGCGCTTTTCAAGTAAGCATGATAAAGGTCGCCTTTGCATCGTGCAAGTAGTGCTTCTCCCCTCCGTTACCTTTAGAAAGCCCTTGGGTGCGAGATTGCATCTCTTGCCCTCAATCTTGGCCTCCACCTCTGTACCGACAAACCGCCGCACTATTTCCGTTGCCAACTTGGCCGCGCTATCGCAATTCAACCCGAAGAGGGCTATTCACACAAAGTCTGCATGCCTTCCTCCCCACGTGTTATCTTCGAGCCTCAACCATATTTTGTTCTAAACGTCATTTGGTGAGATCTACTCTGGGCCAACTTTGGGTATCACAAATAAACAAACGAAGTCCTCCCATCATGGACTGTAGGGGTTGGGCGAAATGCTCAAGCATCGCCTTCCTCATCGCCAAGCTCCGGCTCAAGCGGTTCAGGATACTGCTCGCGAAGGTCCCTGATGACATTCTACGAATGACGGGGCATTTGATGTCAGCACAGGTCCCTTCCACCTAAAAGTAAAGATGCTGGGGTGAGGGCTGAGCGTACGGCGAGAGCTTCGGGATTGACGCCATTCTCGATCAGCGAGACGCAGAAGGAGAGCTGAGTGCGGTTGAGGTTGGTGTTCTGAGAGGCGAGTCAGCATTGTAGGTGGGAATCATGAGCGGAGCGGCCATACGAGGAGTGTTGCAATTTCATGCAGGATGTCGATGACTTCACGGGCGGCCTGGCGCTTGTCGACCTCTTGCGGCGGCATTTTGAAAGGATATACTAGAGTAGACGGAAGGGACTGGAGGTGTGTCACGTCTGCTTGCCGGGAGGGGCGGGTTGTAGAGTCTGGCTGTTGCGAAAGTTGACCAGCTAGCGTTCACTTGGGTTGCGAGCGAGGGGAGACGCGTCTGGTCGCGACGGCGACGGGTGGAGAAGGGTGCAATCAGCGTCGGAGATCCCGGGATTGAGCCGGCCGCCGGGTAGGCAGGCGGCGCAAACACCATAGCTAGTCGCGATCTAGCCTCATCATGACATCAACCATCTATCGCTTTTCCCCCGCCGTCGTCACAACCAGACGATTGAGCTATGAATGACATCACTTCGTAGCTGCAAGTCCATCGGACGACAGAGTACAAATGGCTTGCTTCCCTTGCGTCCCATAGTTCTATGTTTCCTCCATCCTCCAGTCCTCGCTCCTCGAAGCTTCCACAAACTCAACACTTCGAGCCCATCACTTGAATTTATCCTCTCGCACCACGACACAATTCATCATGTCTCACACCGGCGGTAACCTCTCTGACATGGCCGCCAAGGGCACCAAGATCCCCGGCGATGCCGGCATTCAGAACACGATCCCCTCGGTCCCGGCTCCAGACCAGCTCCGCGACGCCGCGCCCACGGCCAACCCGCTCGGCAGCCGGCCGGACCAGGCCTCGGCGGGCGGCGCGCTCGACGCTGCGCGCAGCTTCCGTGATGCCGGCATGACGGGCGAGGTGACGACGGGCACGGGCGACGCACTGCCGGCCAGCATTGAGTCCAAGCGCCTGGACTTCGACCAGACGCGCCACGCCCCCGGCGGCCACGGCCACTCCAGGGACACCAAGCTCGCCCAGCACAAGGAGGACTTCAGCCGGCTGGCTGCGCCCGGCGAGGGCGCTGGCGACGCCCCAGGTGACGCGAAATGATTTGGCCGTGTGGATTAGGATGTTTCCCGCTTTTATGACCGCACTTGTATTATTATGATGCCATGATATCAAACAACATTCACGATATGCTGCTTGTCTGAAATAGAGAATATTGTAGCACCATGTCTAACGTCGTGATTATTCCTGCCAATTGTTTTATTTGAATTCGAAATCTTTATTTTTCTCTTTTCCGATTCAGTCATCATTTGAATCATTCCGTTGATTGATCAGTCCACGTATGGGATGGGGGAAATCGACCTTATTATCCCCATTGCTCCGACTCAAGACGGGATAATCCCCGAGATCTGCGACTTCCACTTCCCACGGAACTGCCAACCACACGTCTGATGCTGTTTATATCAAGCCCATGTTAAAATACCGATATTCAGTACCGCTGCCAACATAACGATTTAGCATCGTTCGCCGGCCACTGGATGCTCCGTTCTGGATTTTACTGCATTCACAGCTAGGGATGTGATGATTCTCAATATCACTATGAGAACCGCTTGGGATTAAAGAAATATTGCATCCTACTTGCTTACCGCTTGGAAGTAGATGCAATGGGTTGAGCGTTTTTCTGGGTGTTGAGCTGTACGAACTACGAACTTCTCCCTGTGCACGAGAGCTTTCAATTGGCTAGATTGTGCCAAATGGTGAAAATAAGTGAATTCGGCGTCCTTGCGCCGTTTAAAGGAGGTTATCCAATCCGCGTTGATTGAGAACAGCCACCACCTAATTATCTGGACAGAAAGCTCTATCCATGAAGCCGCATTCTGAGGTATCTCTTTTACAAAAACCGTTCACTCCTCATCTACTGGTATCTCCAAGTTTGCTTTTCCTCTTCCTATACAGCCATTTACATCCACCAACCGGGTTGTTTTACCCCGGACTACCTTGTGTGGGCATCACTCACGCTATCTCATTCCGAGTCCACAATACTCGAAAAGTAGTGGGTTGCCTTCAACCGCGAGCCATGCGATTCCTGGGGTACTGTCAGTGGAGGAATTCAACCCGGTAATAAAAGACGCCTCACCGGAATAAACAATGAGCTTCGTCACGACCTCAACATCATACCGCACTCGCGGCCTCTCTAGCTTTGAAAAGATCTCCCTGTCCTCATTCTCCTCCACCTCCTGCATCATGTCCAACAACTGATCCGGCGGAGATCCCAAACCGGGATCACTTTCGGCAGGGGTGATAGGGCTTGTAGCAGCAGTTTCAGGTGGGCTTCCAGCGCCCATCATCTGCTCATAGGAATGCACTCGAGAGGAAATTGGCGTTGGCGGCAGAAGGTTGGCACCAGCAGGAGTACCGAGTGTGCTTGACGAGGTGGATGTAGCAGCATCTTTAGGTTCGGCTACGAGATAGCTCTCGTCTTTGGCCCTCAGCGGACTCTTGGGACGCTCGCCTTCTTGAGAATTGAGACTCTCTCGCCTTCGCTGATGGCGATATGCAAGAGTCTCGTAGGCATCGGCCATGGACTGGGGACCGATGGAGACGGTGCGCTTGCGAGGATGGCGGAGATAGTTCAGCTTAGCAGGGATCTCAGATGCAGAGGGAATGACATGGTCGTCGTCGCGTAAGTTAGCAATGCTCGAGTATTGACTTCGAGACGTCAGTATGCTACGTCCACAATGTTTATGGGAAGATGAAACTCACGATGCCTGCAGGAAGAATTTGCGCGGGAGATTCATCCTGAGACGCTCCAGAATCCTGAACAGAGGCGGGAGAAATCTTAGCAATAGCGGTTTCATGGTTGCTCTCCAGGCGAAGATGATGAAGACGCCAAGGACAATGCGGAGAACGGCCTTGAGCCACCCTAATTGGTGCAGACTGAACGCGACGGTTCCGGGAACCGGGTCATCGTAAGCAAAACGAGTCTTTGAGAAATGCCACACTCCGATCTCGCAACCAATGACGACGCCGGCGAAGCACACACTGTCGTCAAAACACGGGCAGTCATCTGCAGGCTCCGGGTGGATGCGGACGAGAACAAGAATCACGAGTGTGACGATCAGCGGGGCGGAGAAGCTGTCCTGGCAAACCCAGTGATCAAAGGAATTGCCAAAGAGGATTTCCACGGCGGCAAGCAGGGCTCCCAAGAGGGTGCCTATAATGACATCAAGGAAGCCATGCATGCCGCAGTAAAGGCGGCCAAACACAATCGAGGCAGCATAGAAGTAAAGCGCGGCCTGCATGGCCGCGTGAGCAGTGGAGTCGGACGTCTCTCCACTCGAACGCAGCATGTGAATGGCATACACGGCCACGGAGACGGCATTGGTCGAGTGGGTGGAGGGGAAACCGTACTCCAGGGCCGCGGAACCGGACATGGTAATGCGTTGCAGCGGCGGGGAGAGCGGGCGCGGAAGGCAGAGCATATCCTTGACGAAGCCACTCCAGAAAACACCTGAGGCTAGAACGTGGACCATTCTTCCAGACGAGGGTGCTGTCAGCGGCGGGAACTTGTTGGGCAGAAAAGGGAAAGAGACAAAACCAGAGCGGTTGCGCACGTGGACCTACGCTTTTCCAAGGTTGGTGTAGCCACACCAGAAGAGGATGGGGAGCATGATCATGAAGAAGGTGTGGGTCCCCAGGTTAGCCGTAAAGGCAAAGTAGGAGTCCAGGGCGGGCGTGCGCAGGGCATCTTGCATGTAGGCCAGATAGGGCGTCTCCCAGCGCACGACAGGAATCAGCGCGCAGCGCAGGCGGTAGCGCCACGAGGGCAGCTTGGATTGATCTGGATCGAGTCAGCGCGGCGGGCGTTCCAAGGCAGCAACGGGCTCGCAAGCGCACAATGGTCGAGGGTCCGGTTGCCGGCGTCATAACGGGGCGGCTCTTCGCGGGTGGCCATGGCCGCGGTCGGGGAGGCAGCCCTAGCGCGCGTGAGGGAGGTCGGCCGGCTCTCGACTGCGCCATGCGCAGGGCTGGACATATAGGTCAGGCGTGGACGGGGTGGGGCAGCGAGGGCGAGTGACTTTTGGGCGGACGTCGAGATTGAGGTGTCGAGCGATCTCCCGCGTCATGTCCGGGCGGTGTGGGGGGGCTCAGCGCGCGCGCGCACGCCTGCCGATTCGCCGATGTGCTGGCCGGCGGCCTCGAGCCCACCGCGTCCAGCCTCCTCGCGCAGCCTGTGCTGCGATCGATTCAGGGGCGCATGGCCGCTGCCAGTGCCGGCCCTGCAGGGGCGCATCCCCTACTGCGCATCGCATGGCCCCATGGGAGCGGTGTCGAGCCGTGACGTATTCGCCAGCACGGACGCCTCTCCACGCTGCTGGGCACGCTGCTGGGCACGAATGCTCGCCGCCTGCCTCAGCGCCTGGCTGCGCGCCGCGACGGTTGCGGCGGCCTGTCAAGGGCGCGTCATCGGCCGGTGCGGTGTGGGGGCTCTGCGGCTTGTGTGCAGCGTGCAGGCTGCGGGCAAGGCGGACGCGAGTGTTGCTGGGCCGACGCCAAGGTCAACACCACGCCCTAACGCCAGGCCTGCCCGGTCTGCCAGGCCCACCCGCCCTACATAGCTGCGCATCGCCCATTCGACCGCGCCGCTGAGACATCCCTCCCACCATCAACAATCTCCACCACGCGCGTGCTCCGTTATTAACTCTTCGCTGTCCATATTCATACCGCCCCAGCGCCCGCAGACGTCGACCCCAACCCTCGCCGCGCTACTCACGCACCAAAGCGCCGCCACCTCCACTTTGTCCGCAACCGGCCTGCCTGCACCATCAACCACCACCATGGCGGTCCAGGCCACCCAGAACTACGACTACCTCCGTCGCAAGAACTCGGAGAAGCTGCCCGCCGCCCCCGTTTCCGCCCCGCGTCGCCCCAACCGCGCCCAGAGCCATCGGAATAGCAACGGCACCGTCGGCTCCAACCTGTCCGCCCGCAGCGGCGGCGGCTCCATCGGCACCAATGTCACCGAGCCTCCAGCATGGTCCAAGAAGCTGGTCGTTGTTGGTGATGGCGGCTGCGGCAAGACCTGTCTCCTGATCAGCTACAGCCAGGGCTACTTCCCCGAGGTGAGTTCGCGTGTGCGCGCCCGCGCCCACAGTCCGCCCGCTAACTCCATCAGAAATATGTGCCCACCGTCTTCGAGAACTACATCACCCACACTCCCCATCCGCCCACCGGCAAGATGGTGGAGCTGGCCCTGTGGGACACGGCCGGCCAGGAGGAGTACGACCGTCTGCGCCCGCTATCATACCCCGAGACCGACCTGCTCTTCGTCTGCTTCGCCATCGACTGCCCCAACTCGCTCGAGAATGTCATGGACAAGGTAAGAACCGGCCACCTATGCAGCTCGCTAGCGCACATGGACTGATCGCCAAACGCAGTGGTACCCCGAGGTTCTCCACTTTTGTCCCACAACTCCCATCATCCTCCTGGGCCTCAAGTCCGATCTCCGCCACAAGAGAACCTGCATCGAGCTGCTCAAGACCCAAGGCCTGACTCCCGTAACCCCGGACCAGGGCCGCGCCGTTGCCAAGAAGATGAATGCGACCTACATGGAGTGCAGCAGTAAGGAAATGGATGGTGTTGACGACATCTTCGACGCCGCCGTCACCATGGCCGTCGGCGACGAGTGGAAGCCCGCCAGCAGAGAAGGCGCCAACAACTCCACCCAGCCTACCTACCGGAAACCGAAGAAGAGCAGGTGCAAGATCCTCTAAATTTGATACGCAAGCCCTTACACACATGAGCGTTTACGATTCAACACCAATCTTGTTTCACCGTACACGTATGCACGAGAGGGTATGACCGCGATGAACGAACGCTGGGCGGGAGATCACGAGGCCGGCTGGATTTCTATTGGTATGGGAACCGGGACACTGAACTGATGAGCAACGGACGATGGTCATGAAACTCGAGATGGCGGCTCAGATTCTTTCACTTTCTGGAAGAATCAAGGCAATCTCTTTTCCTTGCTATGATCGGGGGATTCATGATGCATACTTACGGTTCACTCTATTTTTCTTGTCGTTTTTCTCTTCTTCTCTTTTTCCACTTCAAACTTTGGGAAGGCATTCACCACGGCGTTTGTTACGGTAACCAGTAGTCTTGGTCTCGATTATATTTTCTCCTCCAATTTCCTGTTTCCTTATACCGGAGGATTTTACTGTCAGCGATGCTCTGCGGTTTTTCCTTTTAATTTCACTTCTCCATTACTTCTGTAATCCTCCCTGGGCGTGCTGTCTGCCCCGTTTCTTAGACAAATACGATGCAAACACACAAGTCGGCTCCGTGGCTGAAAGCGTGAAATTCTGGGTATCAATTGTGTGAAATCATCCCGCCTTGACCTCTTCTTATTCTAAAGCTTAAGCATGGTGTCTCCACTCCCCCTCACGGCTTCTCCTGTAGGACGGTCGTGTCTTCTGCACCTTGGTCGCCTTCTCCTTGGCCCTCAGCGGCGGCAGTGTTGGGGTCTCTCGCCATGACATTCTCAAACTGTGACCACAAAGCTTCTACGGAGCCAAATTCGTTACCAACCTGTTTGACGTCAAAGGTGCGTTAGCGCGAACACCCGAGTTCTTGGGCATCAATATTTAGAAACAAGCGAAAAAAAAAAGTAAGAACGCATGAAGTATGACGCGATTGAGTGCTCCACTTTCAGCCAGGCTTTCCGCATGGCAGCAACCGGCCCACAAAAGACATGGTTTTTTTTTTTTTCCTTGATGATGTTGGTGCCCTGTTTGTTGCTCACCCAGCGCCATGCACCGCCTCCCCATTAGTTTCCCCACCAGCCCTAAAGTCTTCACCACAACTTCAGCCGCACCGCCAGGGCCCTCGTATCGTTCTCTTCCGGCTCCTGCCGAGCGTGTGATCACGCCTGCTTTGTAGTGGCTTGGTCTGACGCGTACAAAAAGCAGGGTCCAAAGAGCCAAACGTTCCATGACAGATTAAAAAAAAAAAGTCACGAGGAAATATCGTAGCAACCGAAAGACATCTTGTGATTGGAAAAACCAGAAGGGGCCAAAACAAAACAAAACAAAACAAAAAATAGACAAAAAAAGATCTTGTCTCGACGAGCACAGATACGAAAGAATCATGGGCGGGACTTACGGCGATAATGCCCTCCAGGCTCCGGTTCAGCTTGTTGATGTTCTGCAGCACGGCCTCCAGGTTCTGCGCGACTTCGCCGACCAGCATCTCGCGCTGCTGCTCAAAGTACGTCTTCTCTCCGCCGTTACCGCCGCCATCGTTACCGCCGGCCATCGTGCTGTGCCGCTGCAGTATGCGGTTGTATCGCGCGCGTGTGTATGTGGGCGCGCACGTGTCCGTACGGTCCTTTGTTTGTGTAAGGCGCGCGGCGTAGCCGGTTTACGTCGAGGTCAGCAGACCAAATGAGGCGCGTATGGTTGGTGGCTCCGGTCGATTTCTCGGGGGGCGGCGTGCGGCGGGCGAGATTCGTACGCGACGGTCTAGATGGGGGCGCGCGCTCGCCGGTTCGCGGGAAGATGGGGGCTGTGTTGGGTTGGGGTCGGCGGCGCCTGCGTTGCGGTTCGTCCGTCGCAAGGGAAAGTGTGAAAATCGCGGGCGGAGGTCGTCGCTCCGGCGGGGTAGGTATGGGTGTGTTGTGCAATGGGCGCGAGAGATTGGCTCTTCTAAATCCCCGGTGGATCTAGGCCTGCTCGGGCGCGTGAAGAAAGGTAAGCGCAGCGCCGAAGGCTCGATGGCGCGACGCGCAATGCGTGGGTTGGGCAAGTTGGTTTGTGTGAGAAGGATGGGCGCCGGTCGTCGTCGGTGATTGAGACCTGGTTGTTTACGGTACCATCGGTTGGTTAGGTCTCACAAAGCTACAGTGAAACTACCAACGCCGGCGCAAGATAGACCAATGATAACAAAAGAGGGACCATCTTGCATGGTAGCAGAAAGGAGGGGTTCATCGCAGCCCTAGCGTCATTCCGGGCGAAGACGCGGCTTCCCTTGCAGGTGCACGCCGCTTGTCATTTGTTGAACATCGGCTAAACAAAGCCGCTGATCTGTATTATGTATGTATGCTCCAACGTCCCGCATATCTAAATGGAGGAAGCACCGAAACTGCAGAATTCGGAAGGAGACGGCCGCCACGAGAAAAATTACACAGAGACAAGCATTCTGGAGTATATTAAGTCTATCATTCATTAAACGTGCTACGTGAGCGGTCTTCTGTGTCGTGCAGGACCTCGGGCTCGTCTCTCATGGTAAAAGTTCTAGCTAGATACATGCCTGTGGCAGAATGGAACGGCACAGCCGTTCTGTTGTTCTCCGGCGAGAGACTGTTGGCGAGGATGAAAATGCGAAAACCGAAGGGAAAAAATCGATCAGCGCTTCTGCAGGGTCATTAAAGCGTAGCGGCCTCCGTTAGCCGTGTTTGAAATAAAAGAAAAGAACACGGATATGGTGAAACAAGACCCCTCCTGACTGCAGCGGAGTTAACATGACGCCATTTTCCAGCTATCCCAGCCTCTTTGCATAAGCGCCTGGCGAAGATCCACCCTAAAGAAGAAGCTCGGCCAACCTGAAACGCCCTGAATAAGCAATCAAATGTGTCAAACAAACACGTGGAAAGCGTCTGCCAATGGATCAATCGACAGACTCCTTGAAAGGAGTCATGAGCGGACTCCTGCCTCGGATCGGACTTCCGTTGCGACTCCTCGATCTGCCCACGGTGCCCAAGGGCGCCAGTCGTTCTCGAGAGTCCACACGCGCCATCAGGCCGCCACGCTCCATTGCGTTGCCGCCGTAGGGTGAAGCAATACCGAGACCCTGTCCTTGCGAGACAATGTTCTCGAAGTATCCGGGTCCAATATCGAATTTGCTCCCACCAGGTAGTCTCGTGAGTTGTGGGGTGGCCCACCCAGAAGTGTGCCCGACCTTGCTGTGGCTGCCATCGCTGCTGGAATCCGAGTGATACGAGTCCACGCCATCGGCGTTGTCCGCCAGCTCGAAGTCCTCGATACCACTCTCCAAGACACGTTCGTAAGTTGGGCTGCTACTGTTGCGTGAGAAAAGCTTTCCACCCAATCCAGGTCCCGGCTTGCGCTTCGGCGATCCGCGTGAGAAGAGCCCGCGCGTCTTCCTAGAGAATTTGTTCCGACGTTCGCGACCACAGAGGAAGTAGAGGGCGAGCATGACAATGAACATGAACAGGATGAAGCCGGGGATGCGGCGGGGCGAGTCTCTGAGCAGCGTGTCGTGCCAATCGTCCAATTCATCCTCCAGGTCGCCAGGCAGACTGGTGAATTTGCCGCCAGCATATTGGAAGTCTGATGGGATCCCAGGCTTGTTGCTGCCAAAACCCACGGCTAACGCCTCGGGTTCCGTCTCGACCTGGCTTGCAGCATAGAGGACCATCTTTCCAAGCGTCCAGCTGACTTCAGTGCCATCAATCTTATTGACGGCTTGGAAAGGATCCCGGTAGCCCTTCTCTTTGGTCTTGTCCAGCACTGCCTTGGTGCCGTTAATTCCAGGTGTCATCTCTTCAAGACCAGTCCGAGGAACTCCAATGCCGTCATGCAGGACATTAATGAGCCACGATGCCTTGAAGCAGACTTCCAAAGCGGTAGTCTCATCCACCTTCTTGCCCCATTGATGTTTGCTAATGCCAGCTTCAATCTCTTCCCATGGCTTGCTGCAGAACTCGTTGACTCGTTCTTGGTAGGTTTTGAAATCGTATGCTTTGTCCTTGTGTCCCATCTCGAAGATTTCGTGCGTTGTATGCCAGTATTCGGAGACGCCAACGAAGTGATTGACGTCGAAATCGATTGCAGGAACATGGACACCATGCAAAAGGCAGGGCGCATCAGGGCAAGGCGCATCTTTGTCGAGGAGAGGAAACGTCTTGCTCAAGCACTCGGTGAACTTACCGGTGCCAATGAGATGAGGCGCCAGGTCCTTGTCCTCGTCAGAACCAGGCTCCACTGGCTTTCCCTTGGTGGTGACCTGGAGGCCTTCAGGAACGCAGGGGTCCGGGAGTTCGGTAGCGTCAGGTGAAGCCTCCAGCAGTGCCTCGACGTATCTCCTCCTAGCCTCATTAACACCAAAACCGAGCCATGTTGTGACGAAAACCTTGTATTCTGAGGGCGAACCATCCAGAGTCCTCAAGCGCAGGAGTTTCAGGTCGTTGGCGTGCTTGTCAGCCTCAGTCGCGTTCGGCGCAAATGCTATTTGTGCTGAAGCTCCACCCATATCCAGGAATCCGTACGTATGGTGATCTTTTCCATGGTCGTGCTGCTTCGGTTCATCGAATCCGCCCAGAAGATAGTTTGCGGCGATCCAGCCGTACAGGCCTTCAGTCTCTCCGGGTATCACCTGAATGTGTAGATCGCAGTCGGGGAGCTGGAACCTCGTATTTTCGCGGGCATATGCGCAAACCTCGTTCAAGACAGCGGCGCGCTGGTTCTCGGGAAGCAAGCGCATGCCGGCGGTCGCTAGGAGGAACAGGGGGGTGTTTTCAACCTCGTTCGCGGGCACGACATCGAGCGCATGATCGAACAACTGCTGTAGATGGTCCGGTCCCACAAGCTCGGGGGTTTCACCAAAAGTCGAGATCCCTTTTGCGCAACAAAGCATGAGCAAAGTGGCCGTAGGTGAATGCTAGCGCGGCATCATACCTGGGTGAATTTTGTGCGTCCACTCTTTCTTCGTCTTCAGCTTGGGCAGGCGCCTCAATTCGTCCTCGGAGGCGTCGAGGCGGGCTCTCGAAGGGTTGAGCCATCGGTAGGTGTAGACACGAGTCCCCTAGTACCATGGCACGTAAGCGGCCTGTCTCGCGACTGGGCTGAAAGGAAGCGCACTCACCGACGACCCAGCGTCGAGGATGACGCCATATCTCCCTGCGCAGTGTCAGTGTGGACTCGCGGGGCAGCGTGTGGAGGTGGAGACGTACACTTGCCCATCTGGAAGCTGGTGCGCTGTGCGGCGAATACGACGGCGGCTATGCAGGTGCGGGTTGAGGAGAGCGAGTGGACATGGCACCAGGCGCAAGATAAGAAAGTGTCCGGGCGAGGAGCGAGTGACAGGCGAAATTAGGAGGGCGCCTTCGTGCACAGGGCGTGGTCGATAGTGGAGAGAATGTGGAGAGGGAAGAGATAGGGAAGATTACTAGGTTGCTCGTGTCTGGGATGGTGGCGTACGCGTACACCTCGCCAAGCAAGGCCCGCCCTCACTATTCTGGGCGTCGGGACGCGATCGACGCCACCCTCGACAAACGGCCGCTGCGGCAGCGAATGCTGCACCCCGACACACTAGACCTGCCGTGCTGCGTGCGCCAATCGTTTGGCGGCTGCGTCTCTCTGCTGCCCGTCAGCTGCGCGCGGAGAGACGCCGACTGTCGCACGCCAGCCTAAGGAGCGCGGCGGCGCCGATGATCAAAAACGCCGCACGACAAGGGGCGTGCAGAAAGGGCAGGCGAGGGACAAAGGGGGGCGACCCGTGGGGCCAGCGGCCAGCACGCGAGCGACAGCGGCCACACTGACATCATCTCCCGCCGTTTCCTTGAAACACAGGCAAATTATTGCTCCGCACGCAGCTCTGCCATTTGTCTGCCCTACTGTACATGCTAAAACTAGTCCTCAAGCAGGAACCGGATGAATGCCTGCGAAATCACCAGTCCGTCATGCGGCTGCGGCGCCCGTCCCAGCGACTCTTTAAATAGCTCGTCGTCGAAGATACCGTTCTCGTGCCGCGCCTTGAGGATCACCACCATGATTTTCTCGTTGAACTCCGGGTGTCCCTGCACCGTGATCAGCCGGCCCTTGGCATACATGCCTTGGACCTCGCAGAGCGGCGAGTGGCCCAGCGCCTCGATCCCGGCGGGATACTCATAGACGATGTCGCGGTGCATTTGGTGGATGTTCTGCATGCTTGCATGAGCTGGCCGCCTAATACAATGCTGCTAGGAATAGCGAGGTCTCTCGGCCAAGGGTTGCAGATGCGGTCCGGTCTCAACTCCGTACACGTGCGCTGCTGCAACACTGGCCGAGCGCAAGGACGGTCTTGCATACATCTTGCAGCGAGCAAGTCCGGCCACCCGCGCATAACCCTCGCTTGTCCTGCAATCATCTCCCTTCCCGGCAACTCCTCCGCAGGGGGAAGAACTTACAATCGTGTCTTTCTTAAACAGCTCCTTGCCTTTCTCCGTCAAAGTAAAGGGCAGGACGGACACCTCCCATCCGGTCGTGCTCCTGTCAACCTTAACGCCTAAGGCGCGGCCAATGATCTGGTGGCCAAAGCAGATACCGATCAGGCGCACGCGGTCCTGGGCAAGAACCCTCTTGGTGAAATCGACAAGCTTGAGGATCCAAGGCTTGTCGTCAAACGAGTTGTGCTCTGCATGCGGCGAACAATGAGTAACCCAAAACAGCGACTCCAAGTCACTGAAAGAACTTACTGGATCCGGTCAGGAGAACGGCGTCTACATCGTCGAGAGAGGGGTATGCCTCCTCGTTGTCGACAACGTGGTAGAATGAAACCTGCAGGTCCTTGGAAGTTATCACATCGGGCTGGCCCAGACCGTCGGCGCCAGCCTTCAGCAGGCGTTCGAAAATGGGGCCATAGGTGCCGAACTCGTTGACGACATCGGGCAGCGGCGTGTCGCACTCGAGCACGGCTATCCGGAACGGAGGCTTCATATTTTCTGGCGTGGCGGCGACTGCTCTGGGGACACCGGGACGATGATATGCAAATGCAACGGCGGTTCGAGGGTTTGTAGGGCTGGTCAATGGTCGAATGGCAGTTATCGCGTTTTCAATGTCCGAAGCCGGCGCTGATAGGCCGCCAGCCAGGGCTTGCCGGCGGCCTTGCCCCGCCTGGCCAGTGAGCGGTGCGCTGCTGCGTCCACCACAGCCGAGCTTTTTCGCCGTTCGGCACTGCGCCCTTTGACACCAGGCAGAGTCACAGTCACCCTCACGGTCACGACATCTGCCAAAACGTGCCGTAGACAGCTCGCTTAGCTTGGTGCTTATATGTTGGGGGCAAGCGCTTGCTGCTCCTCCAGTGCGCTATTTTACCCATCACCATAACTCTCCATCTTTCCCACTGGTGATCTCCGCCATGCCTGACGTGGAAGCGCCAGCCTCAGAGCGGACGCCTCTCCTGAATGCCGCATCCAGCAACGGGGCTGCTCAGGCCCCGCAGTATGTCGACGCACCCCGCACTGGTGACAGATCCAATGCCCCGGGACTGTACAGAGTCAGCAGCCATCCAGCTGACGGCCTCAACCTGGCCCCCGGCGCGGAGGAAGCAGTGCTTTCAGAGCCTGCGCCTGAAGACGAGAGCAATAGAAGCAACGATTCGCCGTATCTTGGGGGCGTGAGCGTGACCAAGTTTTGGCTCATTTTTGGAGGAGTTCTGCTGCAATACTTTGTAAGTCGTAACACAACGCTGTGCTAGGAGACACGCGATAGGACCCCAACAAGCAAGGCTTTCTGGCGAACTAAGAGAACAATGCAGGTAGCATGCTTCGATTCCACCCTGATGGCCTCGAGCCACCCGGTTATAACCTCTTACTTCAAGTCTTCCAACTCGGCATCATGGCTTTCAACGGCCTTCCTTCTTACCTCTACAGCATTTCAGCCTCTTCTAGCTCGTGTGTCCGATACGATTGGCCGCCGGCCAATCTACGTCTTCTCGCTCGTCATGTTTGTCATTACGACGGCATGGTGCGCTCTTGCTCAGAGCATTGGAAGTTTCATTGCTGCGAGAGCGTTCTGCGGTCTGGGTGCCGGCGGCGTCCTGGCGATGGGTTCCATTCTGACAAACGACATGGTGCCGATTGAAATTCGGGGCAATTATCAAGCCTACATCAATCTTTTCTTCGGACTCGGACAGGCTTGCGGTGCCGCGTTCGGGGGCTTTCTCTGCGATACGCTGGGCTGGCGATGGACGTTTGGCATACAGATTCCTGTCCAGTTGCTGATCCTTGTGGCTGCTGCAATCATCATGCCGAACACACTTGGTCCGAACTTGGCCAAGAACTCGGACAAGAGTGCCTTTCAGCACATCAAGACGTTTGATTTGCTAGGTTCGCTTCTCCTAACAATATCAGCTGCTTTCATGATCCTAGGACTCAACCTGGGCGGCAATGTTTTGTCGTGGAAACATCCTTTCGTCATCACTTCCCTCTGCATATCCATCCTCGCGGGATTCTTCCTCATCCGAGTAGAGGGTAAAGCCGGGCGGCCAGTCATGCCGTTAGCGATGCTCTTCACGGCGCCGAGAGGCAACCTCGTCTTTTCCAACTTCTTCGCGTCGATTGGGAGTAACACGGTCATCTTCAATGCTCCGCTCTACTTCCAAGCCGTCAAACTCGACTCGGCGTCGCAGTCTGGCTTCCGTATGGCGGCTCCGTCGCTCGCCGTCATGATCTGTGGTGTCTCCTCGGGTTTCATCATGACGTACACGCGCCGCATGAAGGAACTGATCGTGGGCGGCTCACTGATTGCGCTGGTGGGCTCCATCTGCCTAACGATCATGTGGGACGGCATCCCAACATGGCTTGCCACTATATTCGTAGTCCCAGTCAGTACGGGGCTGGGGCTTTCTTACCCAGCAACGTCGTTAGCTGTGCTAGCAACCAGCACACAGGAGGACCAAGCCGTGATGACGAGCACGCTCAGCCTCTTCAGGAGCCTTGGAACGGTGTTCGGCGTCTCCATCAGTAGCCTAATCGTGCAGAACGCACTGTCGGTCAATCTGGAACGATATGTCACCGGACCAGAGAAGCAGGAGGTAAGTTGGGGCACAGCCTCTTGTTGACACGGCATTGCCTCTCGCGAAAAGGCGTCGTAAGTCGCTGACGATGCTCATCAGATCATCCTACGTGTCCGTAAATCCGTCCGTGCCATATTCGACCTCACTCAGGAACACCGGATGGAAGGTGAGTAGTACATTTTCCCGGCCGAATCTAGCTCACCTAAGCACAAACCTTGCGTTCGTGTTGTATCCCCACGCAACATCCGCGTCTATTCCGGCCAGGCAACAATCTTAGCAAACATAATGTCCAGGCGTGAGACTGACGCCTCCGCACTCGCAGTTATTCGGTCATATGAGCACAGCCTCCGCTATGTCTTCGCGTCCGCCATCGTACTGTTCGTCATCGTCAACGCTCTAGTAATACCAATAAAGCTGCCTCGTCTCGGCAACAGAAAGCGGTAGTCGAAGTAAAAAGGAACATAGCCACAATAATGGCCGCAGTCGTTGCCCCACAAGGTTTTGCTCTTTCCCCAACCCCCGACAGAAAAAAATGAAATCGTGTTGTTTCGGTAATCAAGCCCTTGCGTGGTGGTGTGCTTCACTCATTTGATTTGAAAAAAAAGCCGAGGGCCACCGGCTCATGGTCTGCACAGCCTCCTTCTGTGCCAAGCGATAGGGTCTCTTATAAGTCTACTTGGCAACAATTTGCAGGGGGTCATTATGCTTGGGTACCATTGGATGCGTCGCACAGGGGAGAGAAAAATGCCTCAAAATTTGCTGCAGCTCGAAAGACTAGGTTTAAGGGAGGTCAATATTAGGAAAGCTGCACAAGAGTGGATCCGGGGAGCGAAAACAAAAGTGTTGGAGAAGTCGTGAACCGGCTGGGACTAACGACCTGGTATATGATATTCCCTCATGTTGCACGAGAGCTGCACGCTGGAAATTGGATGGTCTCGGTTTGGCGCTGTTACGAAATGTAGGGTTTCTTTGTCAAAAGTGTTTTGTGGTCTTACACCGTTACAGCATGAATTTGAGAAGCCTGTTACCGTGGCGGAGCTTTCATGACACCTTCGTCTTGGAGAACCAGCACATCAGCAGGCTCGAGATCCACTGGCCCCCCACCATTGTGCAGAAGAGGACCACAGCCAACGGTTGGCGTGCATTCGTTGTGATAGGTGGGACGGTGTGGAGAGGGGTTGTGGCGGAGCATTTTGTCTTCTCAACAAGGCCTTGGACTGCAGAAGCTTCTTTCCAACCTCGATTCAGTCAGGCCGTAGCGTTAGCTGGGCTGCAGTCGACCTCTACATCAGACAGCCATGAGGGCTGCATCTAGTTGTTAGCGTAGGTCGTCGATATTGCCATAACGTCATAGATGCTGAGCCAAAGCGGCCAACGCTACTGATGGCACGGCGCGCGGTAGGTGCGCGTCTCTAGTCTAGTTGGGGGCTGTTGGGCCAGCGGAAGCGACTCGAAAAGGAGTCGTCTCGCTGACCGCAAGTCTTGATGGACAAGCCCGCCTCGCTTTACGTTTCCTATTTCCGTTTTCTCTGACGAAGACGGTGAAATAACGTCGGAAAATCATGTGCGATGGTCGCCGGGATAGCCCAACTAGGCAAGAGATGGCGGCGTTCCAGACTTTGCTAAGAAGATCGGCCTTGGTGACCATGACCAAGGCTTTCTTGACGGTCTCTAGGGGATGCTTTGCACGCAGGCAGCCTTGGCCCGAGACGGCAAATGCGAGGACAGCTTTTAGCTCAAAGTCGACGCAGTTGCGCCCAAGACTTGACTTCCAATACGAAAACGGGATGTCAGACGAGATCGCGATGCGAGATTATCGCAGAATCCCGCCGCGGTAGCACGGCCGCATTGTTGCTCCTACGGACCAAGACCGTATGGGTTTTATTGCGAGGCTGACCGCATAATCCGAGCCACGCGGGCTGATCGGGGCTTTGACGATATTGCGCAAAGCGCGGAGAAAGCCTGCCAGGCATCACCAGATGAGCAGGAGGCGCCTTTCCAGAAAACAATCTGGAAGATGATCGCTCGCAGGATGAAACCTCCCCTATTTTCCTTGCCGTTTCAAATGCGAGCAAAGACGACGGCCAAGCACCTGTCGGTTCGCCTGAAGAGAAACTAGCGGTGACGAGGCGTGCCCAACGGAAGCGTGTGTAGCCTAACGACTCGCTGGTTGCGTTGCTGTGTTCGGGAGGCGGTGCAAAAGGTGTGGGAGGCGGAAGATTATTTCGCACACGCCGAGCGTGTCACATTGCCGGTGAAATTGATAGGTATGTCAAGTGTAATTGCCTCTGACGATGCCAATGCCGGCCAGGCCGGCGCTTGGTGGAGGAGCTGGCAGAGGTACAGCCAGCCAAGGTTCGGAAGCGCCCAGCTGAATCACCGAGCCCCGGGCTGGGCCCATTGGTCGGAAGGGTGGCGGAATGAGAGGCCACCGGACGGTCGCGAGCGAGGGTGTGGCGGTGGTGGCGGTGGTGGCGGTGCGGGCGTTTTTTCCTTGCAGCGATCCGGTCGCGTGCAATAGCCGACCGACAACAGGCGGCGGAGAGGACGCTGCAGGCGCGGACCGTCGCTTGCCCGGCGAAAGGGGTGCCGCGCGGCCTTGGCTGGCGCAAAGCACTTGGCAGGCGAGGCGGAAAAGTCAATTGGCGCGGCGGAATGCCTGACGCAGAGCTGACGAGAACTGGCGAGTCAGCGTCGAGATTGGATCTGGCTTCTAGAGCGCTTCTAGGCGCCCAAGCCCGTTGGCTGGTTTGCAGCGCACACCGGCAGCCGCCAGCGAGCCGGCCAGCTGTCCGACCGGCCAACGCAGATGCTGCCATGCGGTGGGTAAACATGAGCGGCTTGAGCGCGCAGCTGGCCCAGCGCTGGGTGGCTCTCATGATTTGCCGCAGGCGTCGCGGAGCGCAGGGGGCGCACGGAAACTACGTCGCTTCGGGCCTAGAGTGAGGCAGTGCTGTTCTGGGCGCATCGCTGTCTCCTCCATACAACGACACATGCCTTAGGACTCCTTAGTGCGCCCTCACCCGCTCCAGCCTGCCGTTGCCAGCCCGCTGTCACCGTTGGTCTTTCTCCACGCTCGCGACTGCCGCTGCTTCAAGTGGCCGCTCCGCTCCTCGGGCCACATGACAATTCCCTCCGCCAGTCCTCCTCCTCCAGACCGCATCTCCATTGGAATGGCCTCCGCTCGCTTGTAGCATAGCCCCAATCGTGCTCACCTACCCACCGCTCACCTCCGCCGCCTTCCCCGCGAGCTCTCACCAGCTGATCGCCACCTCGCCATCATTCTGTTACGCCGAGGCACCGCTGTAACCGCTCCCCTACTCCGGGTCCCGTGAGTCTCTCCCTCGTAGCGCTGCACCGCCCACCACTGTTTGGCCTCTTCTCCCCAACGTGGCTGTGGCAAGGCGACCGAAGCTTCAGCTGCCCGAGTCCGCCTTGGTTCAACCGTGGCGCCTGGCTCGAAATCCCTGCAGGCACCCTCGCCGGGAATCGATTTTTTTTGATTACCGGACCAGCCTTTGTCGACCGTGCTAACTCCGACACAGCCCATTGCGAGGCAGCCTTCCTACTTATTCCTTCTTGTATACCCATGCACATCTCACCTCCGTAATTCTCAGCCACCACGTCGAGGACCCACGCGCCACACCTGCGCAACCCTTCAGATATTCCGGTGAGAGAAGGCAACCGCCATGGCCGATAGAAAGAGCCCGAGCCCTGAGGGCCGCAAGAGCTCCTCTTCACCTGGCCCGTTTCGCCGTCAGCGAGCACCGACAATAACCATAGACACCTCCGCTGTCAACAACCCGGACATGGGAAATGCCGTGCCGCTAGGCAACCTCAGCGACAGTATCCACACCGTTCAGACACAGCGGTCCGAAACGAGCTTCTCCACCCAGTCCCAGACTCGGTCTTCGCCCGTCGACCTGCGCAACCCGAACTCGTTCGACAGCACTCAGGACCGCCCTACATCGCCCCACAATGTATCATCGCCCTCAAACCGCTGGCACGATCCAAATCTTTTTCTGTCCGTCCCGAACGCGCGGTCGCGCGGCAATTCGCTGGATTCGCAGACGGAGAATGGACAGTCCTCGGTCACGGGTACATCCGAGACCTACGTCAATAACTCTCCTACAACAACGAATAAACAACAGCTCGGTCACGACGAAATTCTTAATGACCACGACGCCTTAAAACCAGACCCTGGTACGGAGCACACGTTCGAAGTGGAGGATAATAAGTTCGCCTTCTCGCCTGGACAGCTGTCCAAGCTGTACAATCCTAAAAGTCTAGGTGCCTTCCATGCGCTGGGTGGCTTGAATGGGTTGGTCAAGGGGCTAAGAACAGACCGCAAAAGCGGTCTCAGCTTGGATGAAGAAAACCTTGACGGCCATGTTTCTTTCGAAGAGGCCACCACCCCTTCGTCCACCGAGAGTGATAAGAAGGGTGGCGCTAACCTCCAGCGAACTGCTACAACACATTCTCAGAAGCACGGAACCAGGCCACACGCATATTCGGACCGTAAGAGGATTTTCTCGGATAATCGACTTCCCGAGAAGAAGCCTAAAAGTATCTTGCAGCTGGCATGGATGGCTTACAACGATAAGGTCCTGATTCTGCTTACCATTGCCGCCATTATCTCGCTCGCTCTTGGACTTTACGAAACTTTTGGTCAAAGCCACGAAGACGGAGAGCCGAAGGTGGAATGGGTTGAAGGTGTTGCCATTATGGTTGCTATTGCCATCGTCGTCGTCGTCGGTGCTGTGAACGACTGGCAGAAGGAAAGGCAATTCGTGAAGCTCAACAAAAAGAAATCCGACCGGTTGGTCAAGGTCATCCGGTCCGGCAAGACGAGGGAAATCTCGGTTTATGATGTGCTCGTTGGAGATATCATGCTTCTCGAACCCGGCGACATGGTTCCCGTCGATGGCATCTTCATCGAGGGTCACAACGTCAAATGCGACGAATCTTCCGCCACTGGAGAATCCGATCTTCTGAAGAAGATTCCGGCTGACGATGTCTACCGAGCAATGGAGGCTGGCCACAGCGTCCGCAAGATGGATCCCTTTATTCTTTCCGGCGCAAAGGTTTCCGAGGGTGTTGGTTCTTTCATCGTTACCGCCACTGGTATCCACTCGAGCTATGGCAAGACGATGATGGCTCTCCGCGAAGATAGCGAGGTTACTCCACTGCAGTCGAAGTTGAACGTCCTTGCGGAATACATCGCCAAGCTTGGTGGTGGATCTGCATTGCTCCTCTTCATCGTTCTGTTCATCGAGTTCCTCGTCCGGCTTAAGGGCAGTGACGCTACTGCGGAAGAAAAAGGCCAAAATTTCCTGGATATCCTCATTGTCGCCATCACCGTCATTGTCGTCGCCGTTCCGGAAGGTCTCCCTCTTGCCGTCACTCTTGCCTTGGCTTTCGCTACGACTAGGATGTTGAAAGACAACAACCTGGTTCGTCTTCTTCGTTCCTGCGAGACCATGGGCAATGCTACCACCGTCTGTTCCGATAAAACCGGAACGCTCACCCAAAATAAGATGACCGTGGTTGCAGGATCGCTCAGCACGGCCCTTCGCTTCGGTGATCGCAAGGTCAAAAATTCCGCTGAACAGGACCCTGCCAACAAAGGCAAGCAGCTGTCTGAGGATAATGGCGATGATGTCTCCCCCAGCGAATTCGTTTCGAATCTTGGCGAAGAGCTCAAGGAGATTTTCAAGCAATCCATCGTCATCAACTCGACTGCCTTCGAAGGAGAGGAAGATGGCAAACCCGCTTTCATCGGCTCAAAGACCGAGACGGCCTTGCTCAATTTCGCCCGCGACTATCTGGGCATGGGTCCTGTCACCACGGAAAGGTCAAATGCCAATGTTGTTCAGTTGGTTCCCTTCGATTCTGGCCGGAAATGCATGGCTGCTGTTGTCAAGCTGAACGACGGAAGATACAGGATGTACGTCAAGGGCGCGTCCGAAATCTTGCTGGCCAAAGCCGATACCATTGTCGACGGCACCAAGGATCTCTCTACCCGGACCCTCTCTTCTGATGTGCGCGAGGTGCTCACCCACCTGATTGAGACGTACGCATCTCGCTCGCTCCGCACGATCGGCTTCTTGTACAAGGACTTTGAACAGTGGCCTCCAAAGGGCGCCCGCCCGCTGGAGGACGATGCATCTCAAGCTAACTTCGACGACGTGTTCAACAACATGGTCTTCCTTGGCCTCGTTGGTATCCAGGACCCCCTCCGTGATGGTGTTCGTGAAGCCGTCCAGGACTGCAAGAAGGCCGGTGTTTTCGTGCGCATGGTCACCGGTGACAACGTCTTGACAGCCAAGGCCATCGCCGAAGATTGCGGTATTCTCGTTCCCGGTGGCATTGTCATGGAAGGTCCCAAGTTCAGGAAGTTGAAGAAGCGGGAAATGGACCAGATCATCCCTAAGCTCTGCGTTCTTGCTCGTTCTAGCCCCGAAGATAAGAGGATTCTGGTCAAACGCCTGAAGGAACTGGGCGAAACGGTCGCCGTTACCGGTGATGGCACCAACGACGCACCTGCTCTTAAGACCGCCGATATTGGTTTCTCCATGGGAATTGCTGGCACGGAAGTTGCCAAGGAGGCATCCGCTATCATCCTCATGGACGACAACTTTTCGTCAATCGTCAAGGCTTTGCTATGGGGCCGTGCCGTCAACGATGCTGTCAAGAAGTTCCTGCAGTTTCAACTTACGGTTAACATTACCGCTGTCCTGTTGACCTTCGTGTCAGCCGTCGCCAGCCCTGATCAAACGTCGGTTCTTACTGCAGTCCAACTTCTCTGGGTCAACTTGATCATGGACACGTTCGCCGCCTTGGCTCTTGCTACCGATCCTCCTACTCTTAGCCTGCTTGACCGAAAGCCTGATCCTAAGTCCGCCCCGCTTATCACGATTACCATGTGGAAGATGATCATCGGCCAGGCCATCTATCAGCTTGTGGTCACCTTCATCCTCTACTTCGCTGGCAAGAGCATCCTTTCCTACCACAGCGAGCATGAGGAAGATCAACTCGCTACGCTGGTCTTCAACACTTTCGTGTGGATGCAAATCTTCAACCAGGTCAACAACAGGCGGCTGGACAACAAATTCAACGTCTTCGAGAACATCCACCGCAACTACTTCTTCATTTTCATCAACCTCATCATGATTGGCGGCCAGGTCATGATCATCTTCGTGGGTGGTGCTGCCTTCTCGGTGAAGCCACTCAATGGGGCTCAGTGGGGATACTCGATTGTTCTCGGGTTCCTCTCGCTTCCAGTTGGTGTGATCATCCGATTGATTCCTGACGAGTTGATCATCAGCTTGATTCCCGACCGGTTCAAGCGCAAGCCGACGCCCGACCTGGTCCTGTCTGATGACTATGAGTGGAACCAAAGCCTTCTTGAGATCCGCGACGAGCTCGCCTTTATCAAGAGGATTCGTGGTGGGCGTCTCAGCGCACTCAAGTTCAAGCTCCAGCATCCTCGGGAAGCGGCTCGTGAGGTGTTCAGCCGGTCGCGGAGCAGCCACTCCCTCCCTCAGACGCCCAACAACGAGCGTAGTGACAACGAGGGCGGGTCCCCTGCGCCTCCTACGCCCATTAGCTCTCACTCGCGTAGCCGCAACAGGTCGCGCTCGAATTCTGCATTCGGACCTGCAGCTGCCATGGCCGGCATTGTTGCCGGAAGTATCGCAGGATGGTCGCCAATCGAGCGTCGCGATGGGGAGAATGGTGAGGGCGGCGCGTCTTTCGCACGTGGGCGTGCCGATATCGAGGCCCAGGAAGGAGTCAGCGTGCACGCAGGCACGAAGAATGAAGACCCTGTTGTTGTGAAGGATGGCCCTACTCCTGGAGTCCCTCCCAGTCAGAGCAACGATACCACACCGGCATTCGGAGTCGGGCCCTTCGCTGATCAGCCCAAGATGGATAACGAAGAGGGAGGTGATGGCAAACCCAAAGATACCCAATCGTGAGGCAAGTGGTACATACATGGACTGTAAGCTTTGTACGGGAGGTCCTTCGCGCCAGACGTTAGCTGCCTTTCGAATGATGTTGAGATTCCCCGCCTCCGTGTGTGGAGCATTCTTGGAGGGTTGGCGTTTTTCTTTTTACCGATTCTCACGCACCCGGAGGGCATCCTCATGGCGTTTTCAATTAGCACGGATGGTTTAATGTGAATAGATGGCATGGGTTAGTTCCATTGCTTCGAGTGTTCTTTTCCCCCTAGGCGATCGAGCATATGGTTTATTGACGAGAAAAGACGGATGTATTTTTGTACTCGACTTTGGATTCACGAGGGCTTGTGATGCTTGAATTGGGTTAGCTTTAGCATGAAAAATCGAATTAAGGAAAAGTGCTTACGTATTTGACTCGTCTTCCAGTGTCCAAAGGGTTTGGTTAAGACAATATACCTGCGATTTGACTCATTTCCAACAAACGGGAGACTAGGAACGAGGGGTTTAGATAAGGCATTGCACTGCTCGCCTCGAATGCGGTAGCATCGTGCAGCTAAGCTCGCTTGTCCGTCCAGGTGACGGCCAGGCGCAGAGGGATAGCAGGGCGAGATTCTCAAGCCGCAGGACAGCCACAACGCCAGTGGAGAGAGTGAGATGCAAGAGAAAGAATGGAAGACGTCAGACGACGTCAAATTATTGTTTTGCTGGCGCACATCGCACTAACTGTGTTCAGAGAGTCGACGTGCCGGTATTCCGTGAGGCTCGTAGGGCTGAGCCGGACCCTGGCACAGCAGCTCAGCTGCCCCACCCAGCGCTTGGAAGCTCTTGGCCGCCGCTGCCACCGCCTCCCTCTACGTTTCCATCCTCCAACCTCTGCCCACAAGATTACTCCAGCTCCCCATACATTTCTCTGCTCTGCAAAATGGCGCCATCAACCATCGATCCCAAGACTCTCAGCGCTTTTGAAAACGCCGCTGCTGGACAGTAAGCACATCTTCCATTAACCCCCCGGATTCAGCCTCGTGCCTCTCTCTCTTCCCTCACATCAATAGTGCCAATGCTCACGCTATTCTGCGTCATTAACAGCGACGGCGTCCTCTCCGACCCCACCGGCGCCCTTGTCATCAAGCCCTGTACCGCCGCCGAGATCGCCTTCTATGAGTCCGCCAACGCCTCGCACCAGGCTCTGGCCACGTACATGCCCACCTTCATGGGCACGCTCGAGCTGAACAAGTCGCCCGAAGTCGCCGCGCTTGCCGCTGGCGGCGTTGGCTCGGATTCCCCGGACCCCTCGGGCGCTTCGACGCCGGCGGTCCCGCCGATCCCGGAGGCCGCTGCTCCTGCTGCCGCATCCGGCGCTGGCACCGCCGCTTCGCTTGCGCTCGACGACGTTGGGCCGATGAAGGGCAAGAAGCTCTCGACGGACACGTCGATCGTGCTGGAAAACGTCGCGGCCGGCTTCCGCAAGCCGAACATCCTGGACCTGAAGCTGGGCGCGCGCCTGTACGACGATGGCACGGCTGAGGCGAAGCGCGCACGCCTGGACAAGGTTGCGAGCGAGACGACAAGCTCGAGTCTGGGCTTCCGGATTGCGGGAATGAGGGTTTGGCAGGGTGAGGGCGGCGGCGAACCGCAGGAGAAGAGGGAGACGGATGAGTACGCGTTGTTCGATGAAGCGAGCAGGTACAAGACGTTCAACAAGCTGTACGGTCGCGTTTTCAACGCCGAGAACGTCGTTGACGGCTTCAAGGAGTACTTCCTCGTGCCAGGCGCAGGTCACTCCAAGGAAACGGCGAGGCCGATCATCGCGAGGCTGCTGAAGGATGTTAAGGGCGTGCAAGCGGCGCTGGAGGCCGAAGAGAGCAGAATGTACTCCGCCTCCCTCTTGTTCGTCTACGAAGGTGATGCGGTGGCGGCGAAGGAGGCGGAAAAGGCTGCCGAGAAGGCTGAGCTTGACGCTCTCCAGACCGCGACTGCCGCCGGGGAGAAGGCTTTGAACGAGGAAGATGACGACGAAGTTGAGCTTGATGACGATGAGGCAGACGTACCCAAGTTTGCTGTCGTCAAGCTGATTGACTTTGCCCACGCCACTTTCAGGCCTGGCCAAGGTCCGGATGAGAACGCCCTGAGGGGTATTCGCTCCGTCGCCAAGATCCTTGAGGATCTGGAGGCCGAGCTGGCAAAGGCATAATCCTGTTCCAAGCGACCCATGCACTGGAATGGGCAAATGGGAGCTGTGCTCTTACCAAGATGTGCTCATTGACGACCTTCAAACATGGACGGATTAAAGCTGGGCTTTAGTTGTTTGAGACAAAGTAACGGAGAGTAGACAGACACGGATACCCTGATTAAGAGGAATGACTAGGGAATGAACATGATTTTTTTAACAAATTGCGTGAAGTATGGTCCAATCACCCTCAGAAAGTCATCCAAGACTGTTACAGCGCCTATATCGGTGGGTTAACCATGGTTCCCTTCAATGGATACGCAGTTGTGCTAGTAGTAGTCTTCCGTCATTCGCTTCTACTTTTAGTTAGATGTCGAATAGATGACACAATTATTACATCCAGGTCAACCCCTGATTTCACACTGGAGTTGACCGAGCGTTCATGTGCAACTTGGTATCCTCGAAGCATCTACCCAAGACCCATAGACTATTAGATTGCAGCCCTCTGCGTCGCTCCTACGAGCACTCCAACACAACGCACAAGACATTCGGAACACTCTGCTAGTAATACAATTATTCAAGGTATAAGTTCAACCCTTTTTCCCCTCGCCCGCTCCACCGGCTAGTCACCCGAACCATTTGCCCAACAAGCTCTTGCCGCCTCCACCGAACGCGCCGCCTGCGCCGCCCTCGCCCCTCCTCGCGGCCTCGGTCTCGATCCACTCGCGCAGGAAGGCGGCGTCCTTCATGCGGTCGACGGTCGTCAGACGCGTCTCGAATTGAGCCTCGCCACGGTCGAAGGCCATCAGCGTGGGCATTGACGTGATGCGGTACGTCAGCGGCAGGTCGCCAATCGTCGCCGCATCCACCTGCACCTCGGCGTAGCCCACGCCGCCGGCGCTCTCGCCCGCACCGGAGCTCACGACGTTGTGGATCAGCGGCGCGACGGCCTTGCAGGAAGCGCACCAAGATGCCGTCCAGAGGGTTATGAGCGGTCGTCTTGTGGAGGCGGAGATGAGCAGAAGGTTGGAGAGTTCGTCGGGGGTGCGGATCCTGCGAATGAGACTGTCAGAGAGAGCTGGTCTGGGATTGGAGGGGAAAGGCGCACGATGTGTATATGCGGTTTTTGCTCGGTGCGGAGCTGAAGGCGGGAGCAGTGTTGGAGAAGTGCCGGGCGCGCGGCGTGGTGCCAGTTGCGATTCGGATGACAATGCGCGAGGAGCGGGCGAGGGGGCGTGAGAAACCCATGTTTGGTGGGCAATTGGGTACGTGGAGGAGCTGGACGTGGAGATGGCGAGGAAGCTGCTGCGGTCGAAAACGTCATGCCGAGGGATCGGCGGGTTGCAGGGATGTCGGCGGAGTCGGGGTCATTAGTATTACATCCATTTCACCAGCAGACCTAGGAAGTTTGAGGAGTTATCAAATTTCAATAACATTACGCTTACTGAAAAATGTGTCCGGATTCATGCCTCAGTTGACGTGCCTGGGAGCGGTAATGTTGTGTCTAGAACGCATTTGCTAACAATCTCAGAGCTATCCACAAGATTCTACACAAGAGCAAACGATTGAAGATGTGTACGCCCGACCTCGGGCTTCTCACGATACTTAGCTGCGTGAATGCACAGGGGTAGGGTGGATACCAATCCCTCTTACCATGATCGAATATTTGAAGATTGCAAACCTAAAATGTGGTACTATCAGTTCATGCAGTCAGCAATCGATCTAGATAAATATGGTTTGCCAGAAATGACATTACCGTCTGAGCAAGGAATAGCAACATTTTATTAAGCCAAGTTAGACCGCCGTCCTTCTTCTTCTTCTTCTTCTTCTTCTTCTTCTTCAATGCTCTCCACTGTTCGTATTGATCTACTGCTCAAAGCTCCCGGGGAAAAAAAAGAAGCATTTTCGATGTCTGTGACTGTGATACTAATCTGTTACATTTACGGCACTTGCATTTAGCTGCAAGCCCATTGCATGCTTTTCTTACAGGGCTGGAAATATTTACAATGTGTACACTGTGCGAACCTCTACTACCTCTGCCCTGAGATGAGAGAATAGTTCTAGACGCGCCTAAATGCGACCCTCCCGTATTATAAAACTTCACGATGCCTCCATTACAACCTCGGGTATTTTATGACTCGCCATCCTCCTTAAAATGTTCAGCTCTCCACTTGCGTACGCTTTCCACGATAACCGGCCTCCTGATCCTTTCTTGCTCCTCGAACCCTAGGAACTGGCCTACCAGCCCCCTAGGCTTGGGCACCGGACATTCACGCCTCCTCCCAGGAGTGTCAAAGCCAGCCGCGCCGTCCTCGGAGTTTACTGTCGAGGCAGCTGCAGCGGAGGGCTCCTCACCGGCAGCGATCTGCCGCATCGCCATCTGGTCCTCTGGCAAGCATCGCCTTCGCCGACGGCGTCTTTGTGCACCTTGCTCGCCGCTGAAGTTATCGCTCGCATCGTTTGAGGCGCGGGGGTCGACGGGGCATGGAAGGATGTGCGGGAGGCCCACGACGAAGAAGGACGCCAGCAATGTGGCCGAGAAGAGGGACGCCGTTTGGCGGGATCGGGGATGAAGGATCGGCGGCATCTTTGACAGTAATCAATTGGCCGTTGCGATGGATAGATGGCTCCGGAACAGCGGTGGAACGGTGACGGAGGAGGCAATTTTGATTTTCAAGCCAGCTGCAGCATTGGAAGGCTGGTCGGTAGGAATCAGCTTGAGCTGTAAGCTGTAGGGCATTGAGGGGCACACACGAGTGGTTCGATGTTCCCCCGCGCGACACGGTGCCTTGTGGGTGTGGGGTCCCCGTGGTGGTGTGGTGAAGTAGATGGAGGTGGGCTGATGAGGTTGCCCAATTCCATTCGCCGGTCATTGGCGGACGGACGGAGGGCCGTGCGCTGCTACCGGTGCGCGTAAAGCCTGGCAGGGATTTCTCTTCGGCGGGTGAGTGCCGCGCGCCTGCGACGAGGCGCTTGCACGCGGCTGCTCTTTGCCGCTGGCGCCAGCGCGCTTCCAGCTTCCCGCCGAGTCCGAGCGCGCGCGCATCACACACCTTGCACGTCCTCCCGTGCACATCCCAGCTACACAACGCCTTCGCCCACCACATCGCCGTCGCTCGTCGCATCCTTACCTAGCGCGCGTCTCCCCGCGTCGCTCTGCCCCGGACAAGCCCGCCAGTGAGCTGCGGCTGTCGCCACCACGCCCTTTGCAGCCCGCCGCGCAGTCAGCCTCACAACCACCGCTACAACACCGAGGGCCGTAGACCTGCGTCTGCGCACATCGCGATCGCAACCGCGCGAAACACTTTACATACTCTGCGCCCCGGAGCCCCTTGTTGCTCGCACATAGTAGAACACATATCTCAACATGAGCGACTTGGATCAGTACGTGGCGTCGTCTCCGCCCGTGGAGCGAGAGCAAAGGGAAACGGATGAGCTGACGCTGATTATCTTTATCCAGAGCGATTGCCCAGCTACGTGCGTGCCGGCCCATACCCGAGGCGCAGGTGCGCGAACTGTGCTACAAGGCGAGGGAGCTGCTGATTGAGGAGGGCAATGTGGTGGGCGTCGATGCGCCGGTGACGGTATGATGGCACCCAAATTTTTGAAAGGATATTGTGGCTTACTGAGTGTTTGTGCAGATATGTGGAGATATCCACGGCCAGTTCCACGATCTGATGGAGCTTTTTAGGGTAGGTGGCGATGTGCCGGACACAAACTACCTATTCATGGGTAAGTCTTTTTTTATTTGCGATTACTTAGATCACTATAGTACATACGTCACTGTATATCGAGCTGCAGTAATCCCGAGATGTAGCCCCGTTCTCTGCAATCTCATATTCTGGATGCAGCTGGTTCAGAACATTGAATTTGCTAACTCCATCGCAGGAGACTTTGTCGATAGAGGGTTCTACTCTCTCGAGTCATTTCTACTCCTTCTGTGTCTTAAAGTTCGGTATCCAGACCGGATTACGCTCATCCGTGGCAACCACGAGTCTCGGCAAATCACAACCGTGTATGGCTTCTATGACGAATGCTTGCGGAAATACGGCAGTGCAAACGTGTGGAGGTAAGCTAGTACTTGCATGATTTGGCGTCTGACACATCAAGATTTTCCTGTGGGCTAATTTCAGTCTACAGATACTGCTGTGAGGTTTTCGACTACCTTGCCCTTGGTGCATTGGTTACGGGGGCCGCCACAAATCTCCAGCCCACTTCCAGCCCTTACGCAGATCCAAGCACGCAGGGCAGCCAAGGAGAGGACCAAGATATCGAAATCGAGATACTCAACTCCAACAACGAGGTCATCAACCGGTACCCGCGCAACCCTCGTAGTGACTCTCCAGGGCCACTTGGGCCTTCGAGCTCGCCAACTGCCGACACACCTGCCAGGACTGGTCCTGCTGGAACCGGTGCTTCGGGATCCAGTTCTGGATCCACGGGAAATCCAGGAGGAGCAGTACTATGCGTGCATGGAGGCCTGTCTCCGTTGATCGACACCATCGACAAGATCCGCCTACTTGATCGCAAACAGGAAGTCCCGCACGAGGGGGCCATGTGTGACCTGCTCTGGTCAGATCCGGATGAGATTGACGGCTGGGGCTTGTCTCCGCGTGGGGCTGGGTTCCTCTTCGGCGCCGACATTGTCAAGTGTTTCAACCATAAGAACGACTTGTCCCTGATTGCGCGTGCCCATCAGCTTGTGATGGAAGGGTTCAAGGAGATGTTCGACAACTCGATCGTAACGGTATGGAGTGCGCCAAACTACTGCTACCGTTGCGGAAATGTTGCTGCCATCCTGGAGTTAGGCGAAGACGGCAGCAACGGCGGCTATGTACCTCGCGGTAATGGTGATTTGAACCGGAGTCGAGGTCTGAGTGACAGAAACAGAGATGGGCCAGGCCGGCGGTACAGAGTCTTCGAGGCTGCACCGCAGGATTCGCGTGGCATGCCTGCGAAGAAGCCGGTGGCAGATTATTTCTTGTAGAAAGCCAAGAGCCATGCTCTGGCGTCGGATACCCCTTTTCTTGCACTGGCTAGATCCGGTGTTGTGTTGTATAGCATATGGATGGGGGCACTGTGTATGATGGCGTTTTGGGGCATATATGGCGACGAAAGCAATGAAAGTGGGAATTGTGTTTGCTGCAAGCTCTCTCCCCTCAGGAATCAGCTAGTGCATGCTAGCCACAGCGCGCCGAGTCAATATTGCAGGGGCAAACGGCGCCAAGGAGCGTTTTTGTCAGCTACGGAGCGAGCGCACTCTGTAGCGGACCGTTTCGGGAAGATTACGGGACGTTTTCCCCATCATCTCTGGCTTCAAACAACGGTCTTCTGTCCGGGATCGTGCCGGAGCGGTTCGGCCCGCACACGCTCATTGGAAGATTGCGTCACTGTCATAACACTTGCTTACCAATGTGCCGAGTAATCGGCGGGGCAGATCACGACGTCAGTCCAGCTTCTTCACGGCCTCGTAGGTAATTAGTGAACGCTGTCGAAGCTCGCCGATTCAAAAATCAACTAGTTGGCTCGTACACTTCTCGGTCAGCGACCCCGCTGAGACATATATAGTCCCCGTTTGTCCTTCTCGTCTCTGCCCCGCATCATACACAACATCACCATCAACAACGACTGTCGCAACCACCATGTCGCAGCACGTTCTTCTGATTGGCGGCCACGGCAAGGTCGCGCAGTTCATAACGCCCCTCCTGCTCGCACGATCGTATGCCGTTACTTCGATGATCCGCGACCCGGCCCAGTCGGCCACCATCACCAAGTTAGGCGAGGGCCAGCCGGGCAAGCTAAACGTACTTGTGAGCAGCGTGGAGGATGTGAAGAGCGAGCACGATGCGAGGAAGATCCTAGACCAGGTCAAGCCGAGCTGGGTTATTTGGAGTGCAGGTGGGTGAAGCCCTTTCTCTGTTTTCCTGAGATGGGATTGTAAGAGCTGGGAGAGCAAAGCACTTTGCGGGGTGGTCTGTAGGCTTCGCGATGTTGCCACATCATTGCAACAACGGCCTCTCTGGCATAGGGGATGTATTGAATGAGAAGCATAGCTAACCTCATGTGTTCTCTCCCCACAGGCGCGGGTGGCAAAGGCGGCCCTGACCGCACCTACGCCGTTGACCGCGACGCAGCCAAGGCCTTCATCAAGGCGTCGACCACGTCGCCCAGCGTCTCGGCTTTCCTCATGGTGTCGTACTTGGCGTCGCGGCGCACCAAGCCGGCTTGGTGGAGCGACGCCGAGTGGGCCACGGCGACCAAGCTCAACACCGAGACGCTGCCGGACTACGCCAAGGCCAAGATCGCTGCTGACGAGTACCTGGCAGCGATGACCAAGAAGCGGGGCGGGGACTTCAGGGGCATCTGCCTTCGACCGGGCACGCTGACGGAGGGGCCGGCGGGTGGCGTGGAGCTGGGGAAGACGGGCGGAAGCGGTGGGAAGGTGAGCAGAGAGGCCGTGGCTCAGGCGGCGGTGGAGGTGCTGGACAGTGGGTATAAGGGCGGGTGGTTGGATCTGTTGGACGGACAGGAGGACGTGAGGAAGGCGGCTGAGAGGGTGACCAGGGAGGGAGTGGATGCGTTTGAGGGGGAGGATGCTGCGCGGATCTATGCGCTGGCGGACTGATCGATCTGGCAGACGAGATGGACCGGGGTTTGCTGGAGCATTATTGGTGCTGCGCTGGAAGAGGCGCTGCACTGGAAGATACGAGCGGTAGGGTAATCCACGTGCTTGTTCTTGCTCACGTCACTTGGTGCTCTGGCATTCTGCCAATGTATGACGCCAGGGTGATAACAGGGCGGTGAGGGCGCACCACGTAAGAAGCGACTGCTACTGGCCGCAGGGAAAATTTTCAGAAATGCAAAGGCGGGTGGGACGGAGACTGGTCCTAGAGCAGCGAGCATATTGCTCGTGGGGCCCGGGTCGCCTCGCGTGGACCCTGCATGGCTAAGGCAAACAGGACTTCGAGCCACGAGCAATGCACAGCATCTCCAAGAAATCTGCGCATGACCGACCGTCGGGAGTGGCGACAGATAAACCACGCGATGCACGTCAGCGTGCGGATAGCGCAGGTGTGCAGCGCAAGGCTTACGTCGCTCGACCTCCACAGATCCGCGCGTCGCCGCAGGCACATCGCTGACTCGCCGTGACGGGCGAGGTTAGATCAAGGTTGGGACCAGCAGGCGGTCCCCCGCATTTCTGGCCGTTCAGAGGCGGCGGCCCTTCTCGCAGCGCGTGAGCGACTTTGGAGGCTGCAGAGCGGACCGCGGCCAAGCGGCGGGCGTGCAGCAGCCGAGCGCGCCCAGCACTGCCACCCCGCGCGCTTTTGGGCGAGGGCCCGACACCTCCTGTACTCTCTCCGCCCACGGCCCTGCGCCGGAGACAGCCTGGGTGCGCGATTTGCCGCCACGGGCCACCGCGCCCTCATTGGCTCGCGCCCCCCGCCGAGTGCTTTGCCCATCGCGCGACTGCCAAGAAAGTCGACCATGCCGCCGCTCAGGTGCTCTGGCCCGGCGCTGCGCCGGTCAGCCTGCTCTTCCTCTGTCGCATCGTCAAATAAATCCGCCTTCGCTTTGCCCGGAGCCCCGTCAGCCCTCACCGCGCATTGCCAGCAGCCAGCTCCCGCTGCCCCCCGATCTTCGCGCAGCGTGCCGTCTCGGGCGTAGCCTGCGCGTTTTTGCCCCCCGCTCGTCCAGTAATGGAAGACGAGTTCGCCGACCTGAGGCATCTTTCGCTGTTCCAAGCCGGGTCTGGCCAGGCCTCTCGTCTGAAACACCGCAACAGCGTCAAGCAGCTCCGCGAGAAGGACGTCGATCTCGTGTACGACGAGGAGGACACCATCGACTATAGGCCGCAGGAGCGCGACTTCAAACACAAGCAGGTACCCAATCCGTCCGCCTGCAGCATGCAAACCACCGTTGCGCTGACCCCGTCCAGGTCTTCAAGGGATGGACGCTGATCTGGTGAGCTGCCCGTCCGTGCGCCCTGTTGTTTTTTCTGACTTTCTTCAGGCTGGCCTACCAATCCACCGGCGTTATCTACGGTGACCTTGGAACGAGCCCTCTCTATGTCTTCTCCTCCACCTTCGCCGAGCCGCCGTCCAAGGACGACCTCGTCGGCGCCCTCTCCCTCATCATCTGGGCAATCACCCTGATCGTCACCGTCAAGTACGTCCTCATCGTGCTTACCGCCAATGATGAGGGAGAGGGCGGCACCTTTGCCGTCTACAGCTTGCTTTCACGCTACGTGCGGCCCCCAAAACCTGTGCCCAGTTGCACCCGCCAATGCTAACGTCGCCCCAGTGCAACATCACCAAACATGATCCGACCAGGTGGCACACGCATCGCCTGAGCCGCTTCGAGTCCAACGAGCTGCGTCCCCTCAACCAAAGAGTGCGCGACTTCCTCGAGAATAGCCGCGCCATGCATTTTGCCCTCAAGGCCCTCTCCGTTTTTGGCGTCAGCTTGATCCTCGCCGACACCATCCTTACGCCGGCCCAGTCAGTATTGGGCGCCGTGCAAGGCCTCAGGGTCGTCCGCCCCGATCTTGGAACCGACTTGGTTATCGGTGTATCTTGTGCAATAATTGTTCTCTTGTTCCTGGCTCAGCCCCTTGGAGTATCGCGGCTGGCCAAGGCATTTGCGCCTATAGTTGTCGTTTGGCTGCTTTTGAATTTTTCTTACGGAATATATGTGAGTCCCACGTCCATCTGCAACCATATGCCCACTGACCCAAATAAAGAACCTCGCCGTGTTTGATCATACTGTCCTTAAAGCGTTTTCTCCAACATTTGCCTTCAGCTTCTTCGTCCGAGACTCAACAGACTCATTTCTGTCGTTGGGTGGTATTTTGCTCGCATTTACTGGTGAGACGGCCGGGCTAAAACCTTGCATATCGTCCCACTAACTGGCTCTTTAGGTGTCGAGGCTCTTTTCGCTGATCTGGGTGCTTTTTCGCAACGGTGGGATATGCCCGTGCCTGGCTTAACTCCAATCGCTGATATCAGTGCAGGGCGATTCAAATCTCCTGGATAGGCTTCGCTTACCCGTGCATCCTGATGGCCTACTGTGGCCAAGCGGCTCGTATTTCTGTCGAACCTAGCGCGTACGACAATCCGTTCTTCGAATCAGTCCCACCGGGGATGTTCTACCCTTCGCTCATCATATCGATATTGGCTGCAGTGGTAGCCTCTCAGGCGATGATCACCAGCGCTTTCCAGCTGCTCTCCCAGGTCATGAATACCAGCTACTTCCCTCAGATCCAGATGATCTATACCAGCAACAAGTTCTATGGACAGGTCTTCATCCCGATGGCCAATTGGATTTTGATGATCGGTACAGTCATCGTCACGGCGGTCTACAACAACACCACCAAACTCGGCCATGCTTATGGCTTCTGCGTTGTGCTGGTCACTTTCATCACGACGAATCTGGTTGCGCTGGTTGCTATAATTGTTTGGCGCCTTCCATGGTTCCTGGTCCTGCCGGTCTGGGCGGTTTTCCTCACCCTTGATGGCTTGTTCCTTGCATCCGCGGCCACTAAATTCGTCGATGGTGCCTGGTTCACCTTCGTACTGGCTTGCATCCTGGCTTTGGTTTTCATCGTGTGGCGCTATGGGAAGGAGCAACAGTGGAAGGCGGAAGACAAGAACCGTCTTGGACTTCGCGATTTGATTGTCCGGAGCGACGATGCGCCGCCAAGGCTGGCCGACAAATACGGAGGGGGCGAGATCTACAGGATCAAAGGTACGCCCCTCAAATTGTGAGCAAAAGTGGAGAAATCCATTGAGGCTAACCTATTATGTCAACTCTAGGCCTTGGCATCTTCTTCGACAAAGCAGGCGACAAGGTGCCAGTGGTGTACGAAGAATTCCTCAAGAAATTCGAAGCGCAGCAGGACGTTCACGTCTTCTTGCATCTCCGTGCCTTGCACATCCCTCACGTAAGCTTTGCTCTGTATTGTTCATAAGGATGGTGCTAACCACCATCGTTCATATAGGTTAAGGAGGAAGAGCGCTACGAGATCGCGGGAACACGAATGCCAAACTGCTATCGCATGATCATCCGCCACGGCTATAACGACCACCCCATCAATGCCGATCTAGGCCAAGTCGTCTACTCGCAGCTGCGCCACGCCATCGTTAAGGCGTCGCGCCCCAAGAACATTCGGAATAAGTCGCCTCCGCCTCCAAGCAAAGAAAGCACCAGCGGCTCTTCGACGGTCGGGCCGGAGCCCGTGGAGCAGCCTTCGCCTGAGAATCCGGATGCTATCTCCACGGCCCCTAGGAACAGCAACACCGCAACCGGCGGTCACCGCCCCCATAGTGCCTCCACCGTTTCCGGGGTAGAGCCCGCCGAAAGCCCAAATGACAGTGACGACGACGACCGCATCTCCCTGGCAGCCTCAACGCCTCCGAGCCCGCCGACGCCACCGCCCGGCAACCGGCGCCGGAGAGGGTCCGTATCGAAGAAAATGCGCTTCGCAGATCAAGACCACGCGGCGTACGCGAACCTGCCGGAACAGGCGGTGTCACGGCGGCTGGCAGCGTTAGATAAGGCGTTTGCAACACAGGTGGTGTACGTTGTGGGGAAGGAGCAGCTGCGGCTGCTGACGTACAAGAATGGGTCGGCGAAGCGGCTGCTGCTGAGCGTCTTCTTGTGGCTGAGGGAGAACACGCGGACAAAGGTGAGCAAGATGAACATTCCAGTGGAAAAGCTGGTGGAGGTTGGGTTTGTGCGCGAAATATGAGCATGATGACGGCGTTGATACGGAGTTCTCGATGTTAAAAGAAGAAAAAGGCAAAGGGAAATTATAATGTTTGATGTTACTTGTGTTCGGTATACGTTTCTTGGACGGGCTCACTCTCGGCTTCACCGTCTTGTTTCCTTGTAGCAGGGGCGTAAGATAACTCGCATCCCAGGAAGTCTTCTCCCGTTCGCCTCGGGAGCATGGCAGCGTAGAATGCTGACCAGAGTGACGCTCCAGCTGACTCAACTTCCCCGTGTGCAGGGAATCACTGCGCTTGTGCAGCTCATATCAAAAGGGGGACTCGCAAGATACTGCTGCCTTTGACAACTCACATGGTCCCGGGGTTCGTAAACATACGATTCATGAACCTGGTCGAGAACGGGCGGTCTTCGCATGCATCGCTGCGCCAGGGATCACGCACAGTCAGGCTCACAGCAGATAGCGAGAGGATTAGTAAAAAGTCGGTCGCGGAGGCATACGGGTAGGTAACGCGAGGCGGTGGCGTGGTTTGGTTCCGCAGGGTCGCAAGAGGTCAGGATAGAGTTATGAGAAGGGCGTCACGTGCAGCGCGCTTCAGCGAGATCGACAGACGGACTCACTGCTGGCCGTTCGCATGTGCCAAGGCCGCGTCTTCCGATGGCAGAGTCGCGGTTGCACCGAGGATCAGGCGCGCAGCCATCACGTGCAAAGGGCGCAGGCGCGCGGGCGGCAGGAACGGCCCAAGCTGGAAGAGCTCAAGCTTCCTGCAGCTCCTCCACTATTTCGCAGCCTTCACCTCTCGTCAACGCCCCACGGCCGATGCTTTGCTCAGCACTCGGATGTAAGGGCTATTTGTCAGGCTCACGCAATGTCGTCACCATGCCCTCAGTACCCCGCAGCCGTGCCCAGGTTCCGCATGAGCCGATGGTTCCTGGCCGCAAGCAGCGCCCATCAGCCCACGCCTTCTGAGCCTCTTTCAGCCCTCGCTGCCGCCCGCTGACACATGTCTTGCAGCCCCAGACGCCTGCCCCTGTTTCTTCACGCTGCAGATCAGCAATCTGGAAGGCCGTACGTCATGCGCCAGTCGGATGTCTCTTTCAAGCCCACGCAGCTTCAGTTCCGATGACTCTATGCAGTGGGGGGACAGGATGCGGGGCCACCATGCAGCCCGCGAAAACAGCGCAGCCAGGCGCAGGGTTGAGGGCTGCGGACATGGTCCTGACCTTCAGGTACTGGCTCAATCTGACGCCTTCATTCGCCAGCCCACGCCATCTTACCTGACGTATGGCATTAGATCTGCCTAAACGTGTCCCCCCCAACAACGTCCTAAACAAGCCTCTACCCGTGATTACACGCTTCCAGACCCACAACGTGCCTCGTCTCGTATTAAAGCCTCCCGTACCGCCCCGACCTCAGAGCACACATTCCCACGCCAAGCACCTTGACAATGGCTATCGACACGCTCCCGGACACCGGCTCCGGCTTCGTGGGTGCCCTTCACAAGCGCTTCGACTCGTTCAGTCATGTCCAGCGTCCCGCCGCTGCCTCCCCCATAATTGACATCCGCCGTGATGCTGGCGAGGTCTCCCTGGCTGCTGCCATCTCCGAGGGCCTGCGTCCTGCGCCTGGATGCGAGAAGACGCTCCCCACACTGCTCCTCTACGACGAGGCTGGCCTGAGGCTGTTCGAGAAGATCACCTACCTGGACGAATACTACCTCACCAATGCTGAGATCGAAGTCCTGGAGGCCTACTCTGACAGCATTGCGGAGCATATCCAGCCTGGGTCCATGATCGTCGAGCTCGGGAGTGGGCAAGTGTTCTATTCTTTCACCCGCACGGGATTGAGTGGTTTGCTAACAGCGTGGGCAGCAATCTACGTAAGGTGAACATCCTCTTGCAAGCTTTGGAGAGACAGAAGAAGGACGTGGACTACTTCGCCCTGGATCTTTCTCTGCCAGAGCTTGAGCGTACCCTGGCTCAGGTCCCCAGCCAAAGCTACAACCACGTGACCTGCCATGGTCTCCATGGTACCTACGACGATGGCATGGTGTGGATGAAGCGTCCTGAAATTGCCTCCAGGCCAAAGACGGTCCTCTGGCTTGGCTCCAGCGTTGGTAACTTCAAGAGGCACGAGGCGGGGCCATTCTTACACAGCATTACCCACTCTCTACAGACGGGCGACAAGCTCCTCGTTGGCATCGATGCATGCAAAGATTCAGAGAGGGTCTACCATGCGTACAACGACCGACACAACGTCACCCACGAGTTCATCCTCAACGGCTTGAAAAACGCCAACAGGATCCTCGGTTCCGAACAGTTCAAGCCTGGCGAGTGGGAGGTCATTGGCGAATACGACGCTCAAAACGGCCGACACCACGCTTTCGTCTCGCCACTGAAGGATGTGACCGTTGATGGCATCAGAATCAGATCTGGCGAGAGGCTCCGGATCGAGGAAAGCTACAAATACAGCGCGGAGGAAACTAGGCAACTGTGGGAGACAGGACAGGTCGCCGAAGGTTGCAAGTGGACGAACAAGACTGGCGACTACGGACTTCATCTGGTCTCAAAGCCGAAAGTATTCTGGCCCCTGAAACCTGAGCAGTATGCAGCCAACCCGGTTCCATCCATGACGGATTGGGAGCAGCTTTGGTCTGCCTGGGATGCCGTGACTCGGGATATGTTACCAGAGGAAGAGCTGTTAGACCAGCCCATCAAACTACGCAACGCTTGTATTTTCTACCTTGGGCACATTCCCACATTCTTGGACATCCACCTTTCTCGTGCCACTGGCCGACCCGGGACCGACCCGAAATATTACCCGCAGATCTTTGAAAGAGGAATCGATCCGGACGTTGATGACCCGAAGCAGTGCCACTCTCACAGTGAGATCCCAGACTCTTGGCCTCCTGTTGAAGAAGTTCTCGGCTTCCAGGATGCTGTCCGCCGGAGGGTCAAGGGATTGTATGATTCTGGTGAAGCTGGGTCAAACCGACGCGTTTCCCGGGCCATTTGGATTGGTTATGAGCACGAGATCATGCACCTGGAGACGCTGCTCTACATGCTTTTACAAAGCGACAAGACTTTGCCACCTCCAGCTACAGTTACACCCAACTTCGAGCAGCTAGCCAATCAAGCGGCGCGCGAAGCCGTTGAAAACGAGTGGTTCAATATCCCCGCTTCTGAGATTTCGGAAGGTCTTGACGATCCGGAAGACAATGACGGACCTCTGCGATACTTCGGCTGGGACAATGAGAAGCCTCGTCGCAAGCTCAATGTTGGGTCGTTCGAGGCCAAGGCTCGTCCAATCACCAACGGGGAGTACAAGGACTACCTAGAGCAGACCAAGTGCTCTGAGCTCCCGGCGTCCTGGGCGACGTCCAAGTCTGCTCCTTCTGTCAATGGAAACGGCCACGCCAATGGCGCCCTGAACGGGCATTCCGCGAATGAGCGCACTCCCGACGAGGGCAAGTTTGACGGTGTGTTCGTCAGGACCGTCTATGGCCGTGTTCCTCTCAAGTATGCGCTTGACTGGCCTGTCATTGCCTCTTACAACGAGTTGGCTGGTTGCGCTAGCTGGATGGGCGGTCGGATTCCTACGATGCCGGAAGCTCGTAGCATCTATGCTTATGTCGAGCGTCAGAAGGTCCTCGATGCAAACCAGCCGACCACGCAGCGTACGATCCCCGCAGTCAATGGCCACCTGGTGAATAATGGAGTGGAGGAGACACCGCCATCCCGCGCTTTGTCGAACCACCCCAACGGCGCCTCCAACACAGCTGATTCGTCTCCCCCCAATGCACATGATCTCTTCACCGATCTGAGCGGCACCAATGTCGCATTCAAGCATTGGCATCCCGTCCCGGTCACGCAGAACGGCGGCAAGCTCGCTGGTCAGGGTGACATGGGCGGCGCGTGGGAGTGGACGAGCACTGTTCTGGAGCCGCACGAGGGGTTCAAGGCCATGGATCTGTATCCTGGCTACACGGCGGATTTCTTCGACGGCAAGCACAATGTCGTGTTGGGTGGGTCATGGGCCACGCATCCGAGGATTGCGGGGAGGAAGACGTTCGTCAATTGGTACCAGAGGAATTATCTGTACTGCTGGGCAACGGCGAGAATCGTCCGAGACATCTGAGAGGGCTTGTTCTGAGGTCGTGCGCGAAGTATGAAAATGATGAGGTACGCAGCTCGGTAGGATCTTGGGCCTGGTCGATGAGCAAAACGGGATTTGATTCTGGCAGGATTCAATGAAAGGAACCTAGCGAACATGTGGTTAATCTCGTTCCGCGGGTGGTCACTCATTGGATGGAATGGGAATGGGTAAATTGAAACGAAGGTCTTACGATTGATGACTCTTTACTCCATCATGGACTACATTCTCTTAGCTTTAATATATGTGTTTATCGAAAGCGCTTGTCTGATTTGGAACAGGTAAGACCATACCAGCCGGGGCCCTCTCGGTCGGGGTTGATCAAGTCTCACGAAGTCGAAGGAAACAATGAGCCGTGGGTTCAGACTGTAAGGTCTCACTCTTGTTTGTGAACAACTGCTTTGTTTCTCCGTCTGTCTTTTCACATCCGACTTGGCAATAAAGCCTTCTTAGAACGTGTTTGCACCATAACACTGTAGCTCCGTTAATATGATACTAATTTAGAGGTACTACAACGAGCACGCTGCGATAAAAGAGGAGGGAAGATCGGAAAGAGGCAGAGGCGACGGCGGTCGCGGTGACGGTGACGGTGAACTCAAGAGAGCTGAGCAGCGCGCGCGCGTTGAGCAGTTCAGTGAATGTTGTGCTAGCGCGAGGTCGTCAGCAAAGCGTGCGGGAGGATAACACACTTCCTTGGCTAACACTTGCGACCACTTCCTCTCGCTGCATTTGCTCTTCGGTTCGCAAGCGCTAACCTGCACCCACCATCACTCTTCTTGCTCTTGGTCAACAGCCTCTTCCTCATCCTCCTCCTCCACCACCACACTCCAACAACCATTTCCCATCCCTCGTCCCCTACGCTTTAACAACCATCATGTCCACCCAACACTCGACTGCTAACGGCGTCTTGATGCCGCCATACGGCAATTCAGAAAACACGCCAAAGTTCGTCTGGGAAAGTACTCCTGGATTGGAGCACCATTGCCCGGTGTGCGCCACGCCGAACTCGCACTCATCCGTCAACACTTTCTGCCTGGGCGACCATGTCATGCCATGCCCGAAATACCACCAGACTCTCTTCTGGCCCAACAAGACAAGCGAGTGCGATGCTTGCAACCGCTCTCGCGAGGAGCATTACAAAAGGCACAAGGACATCGTGGCCTCGTTGCGCGAGCTCGAGCGCCTCGGTGTTAGGGTCTTCCCACCGCCGCCGCCCAGCACCAATGCCGGAAAAGCAGGCGCACTCGAAGCCAATGGCGCCTGTGTTCCGATGAGCCGATCACAGAAAAAGAAAGCAAAGAAACAACAGAAGGCCCTGGCTCGAGGAAGCACGGTGAATTCGACTCCCTATGCCGACATCCACCGCGTCGCAAAGGCTTTCCACCCCGATCCATTGGATCAGCAGGAGGGATTCGAAGAGGATCATATTGAAGTGGACGATTCAAACTTCCCAGACAATCTATTGCGTGACAGCCTAGACTACGCTTGGTACCGGCGAAGTCTTTCCCAGGGAAGAGTCGTCCCTCCTAAGATCGACGAAGAGGTCGCCGCCGCCCTGAAGCGCCTGGGCGTCGACGTTTCCCCAGCTGGACTGAAAAAATTCACAAAGGCTCAGAGAAGCGTGGTCAACAGGCTGCTTGGTCTCGCGAGGGCCGATCTCCATGCCCTGTGGAACGAGGAAGTCGAAACGGCGAAGCGCAGGGGCGGCTTTCTGCGATACGCCTCCATAAAGGCTCTCGAGCGCATGCATGATACAAGAATGGAGACACTCGAGCGTTTGAAAAGGCAGGGCAGGGCAGGCGAAGTTGGACAGGTGGCACCGGATGTTCATCCGGAAGAGGAAGATGGCCAGCAGGGGGAAGCAGTCAAGAACGAAGAAGCTGATCAGCGTGAGGAAGCAGTCGAGAACGCGGCAGCCGATCAGCAGGAGGAAGCAGTCCAGAAAAAGGCAGATGCTGTCGATGCTGAGGAGATTGATGCTCCCACCCAGGAGCAGGTCAGGTCCGACAGCGAGACTCCTGAGGCCAAAGTGTCCGGATCTGGTATCAACGACACCAGCATGGAAGACCCGGTAAGCATACCTTGCGGCGCGAAACCTTTATTTGACGCTGACTTTCCAAAGGCCATGGAGCCTTCTAAACTTGGCCAGAGCGACGACACCCTGCTGAAGACGGCCATTGGCATTCCTCTCCCGCCGCCGACCCTAGAGGAGCACAGGGACTGGGATGTTCAAGTCAACAAGGCCAATTTCCGCAGGATAGTTGAGAACACCTACATCCCTCCGGCGCGGACGACTCTCAAAGCGAGAGATTTCTTCAAGGCCGGCGTTTACAACTTGCACAACCATGACATCTGGGCGCAGCCACGCGACACGCCTCTGGAGCGGTTGGTTGATCCAGAGAAGGCGTACGTCATGATTTCCAACCACCACATCGACCCCAAGCGCCCGAGGTACGATGACTGGAAGGCCTTCATGACCGACATGAAGATGCCCATCCACCGTCCTTATGTGACGGTGCCGATCATGCCGGATGGGGTCTTCAGCACCCATGTGGACGTCGGCGCCCCCGCCAAAGCGTCGTCTTCACGTCTCGTCGTGCCAATGGGAGAGGATGTCTACATGGCAGAGGAGCAGCTCATCGATGAAGCGGTGAAAGCGCTGCTCAAGGGCGCAGCGGGCTGCCCGCCGGGTCACGTCGCCATGCTGATGAGCAATCACATCGTCCCTTTCGTCTTCGACGCGACGCAGCCGGCGCCCGACTTCCTCGTCGAGCAGTTCACCCGCGGCGACGGCTTCTGGGCCGAGCAGTGCTGGCAGTACCATCTCGTCGGCAGCATGAACCAGCGGAACCTGATGCTGCGTGACGGGCTGCTGCGCAAGAAAGACCTTGGGATGGCGACGGCCGAGGACGCGGCGCAGATCGAGCAGCTGGAGCGCCCGCTCAACAACAACGACTTGCCGCGCGGCTGCATCTGCGGCGGCCTCCATACCGAGCGCATGGTCGAGTGCGAGAACGCCCAGTGCCACTTGAGCGGCGTCCCCGTGCACGCCCGCTGCGTCGACGTCATCTACGCCCCGGCCGAGGGCGAGCACTACTTCTGCCGGAAGTGCACCAACGACCTGGTGTGGTTCGCCGTCGAGGAGAAAACCTGGAAACGCATCGAAGACGCCGTCGGCGATCCCGACAAGAAGGCGCCGAAGCTGGGCATGACGAGCGACGACCTGACTGCGCTGCTGACCGGGGTGCTGCGCCTTGTCCATTCCGACGCTGGCACCCAGGCCTTCGTGGACTTCGTGGAGAAGCCCTTCGATCCCGTGCCCAGGGAGAAGGTCCCCGTGGAGAAGATCGCGGAGCAGGTTGTGAGTCTCGTGGAGGATTCTAAGGAGATGGGCATGGCCAAGCTTGAGGCACGGGATGCCTACATGTGCATATACGGCGTCAGGACGCTCGAGGAGTGCGCGAGGGCGCAGGACAAGGGTGAGATGAGGGAAGGGGAGAACAACCTCAACTGGGGCACCGAGAACCTTGGACCCAATGCCCGCAAACTCTTCCTCTCTGATCCCGTCAAGGGCGCCGAGGCTGTGGTGAGGTGGGACATGGCGAAGCACTTATAGGATGTCGTAGTGTAGTAATTCGTGATGACTTCTTTCGTAGTGAAGCTCTAGCGTGGTCTTGGGTTGCGGCTGCCGAGTGTGGGCTCACTGGTTCTGCAACGGGCTTCGGCTGCGCGCCATCGCCATCGCAACGTGACAAACACTGTCCCTGTCGCTGTACACGCGCTGCTGATAACATGGACGTTTGCGGTAGCATAGATCGTGCGACCAGCGTCCTCTGCATCGAGTCCGTCGGGCCTGCCGTCTGTTACGAGCCAGAGACGACCAGATATTCAGCGCGAGCTGTAGAAAGCGAACGGTCGTGGAACTGGTGGACTTGGGAGCAGCGAGAGGCAGTGGAAGTAAAATGAGGCCTCAGATTCGTTTGAGAGATGAAAATGCCAGAAGAGGTGCACTCATAGGTGCAGAGATCTTTGCGAATAGGAAGTGTGCGTGAAGCACATGCTTGACCAATTATTAGACACCACGAGAAGATATGAGGTACAAGAGAGACGCAGCACTGCATCTGAACAGCATTAATAGATACCGCAAGCTACTGGAGCGGATGAGACGTGCCCATCATGACAAGTTCTGTTGGACATTGTCACTGACAGCGAGCGAACGTCTGGAGCGAAGCCAGCTTTAGGGCGACTCCGCTGCATAGAGTAAAGAAAAGCTTTACAATGCTACCATCTGAAGGAGCTGGTCGGTAGCTCGCTGTGGCTCGAATACTATCCTAAATGTGGGCAAACACCTCGAGACTGCATTTGCAATAGCGGGCGCCTTTGGCCGCTGTAGGTAAAGAATATTTCGCCTTTGTAACTGACACCGTACCTAAGTTAAGTTCAGATAAAGACAGCTCCTCCTCCATCAGGGTTGCACTTGAACAATGTCTATGTTGCTTGTAGTCCTGAAGTGAAAGCGCTCCTTGTTGCTGCTCAATGACGTCAGTGTCGCGCGCGTCGCGTCCCGTCGCGTCACCACCATTGACAAAAAACACTGCGCCTAAGAAAAAGAAAAGCATTTATGCTATCCGCATGATGAAACACACGGCGGAAGGGGAGAGCTTCTGCCAAATTGGCAAAACTGTAGGCCCTCCAACGGGATTCTGACAGAAAGACCTCTCGGCGAGAGATGGGTGTCTTTTTTGTTCCTCCCCAGGCACCACCTCGAATCGAACCTACGCACCCATTGCGTCTATCTGGTACCACCGGCCTGCTCCAAATGCCTCCAACTCTAACTCCGGTTTTGTAATTGAAGACAAGTGAAACAGACCAAGTGGGTTAATCATCGAGGCAGTTTCTGGCATAGTAAACAGCTTCGCTGGAACCGTTTATATACCGTAGGGAAATTATGTCCTCGCCTTACAGCTTCCCGAGTTGCTCTCACAGTTTCGCAGTCCAACCGCCCATAGATGTTTTTTTAATCAACGGCTCCCTCACCCGCGAGCTGCTCACCACACTCTCTACACACACGCATTACAAACTCGTCATAAGCGCCTGAAACTCATCCATTTTATGCTATCACTTCTCTCCGCGCATCGCCGCGCTCACCGTCTCCAGCCGGCGCCGCCTTCCGTCCACCTGCTTATGGAATTTTCCTAGACCTTCGCTCACTCTCAGCCCTCCGCAAGCACTTCTCATAACTTCGACGAGCTCACACTTGAAGGACTAGCATTGTCGAGTAGTTTGACGAGGTGGACACGGCTGGATGCGCAAATATGGACATGCTCGGTGAAGTCATATGTTCAGGGTCACGCTACGCGTCCATTACGATATCTCACGGCACGGTTGTTGATGTGCTGGGTTTCATACAATATGATATATCTGTATTGGTTTGGCGCTATATTTCGAGTACGAAAGGGTATTCAAGTTCACCACCAGCGCCTGAATTCATGCTATCATTTGCCATAGCGCTGATTATCTTTTGAACTCCGCATAACCCACAAAATCACCGTCATCTCCAGAGGCTAACGACTGGAGCCAGCAGGATGTGATTAGATGAAGTCATTCCCGCCAAAGCCGCCGAATGGGTTTGGCGGTGCACCCCCTCCAAATCCACCACCGCCTGGGAACCCTCCGCCACGTGGAAGGCCCCTTCGTTGGTCGCCTGGGTTCACTGGATCATAACGTGCGCCAGGTGGAGCCAGAGGATTGTATCCTGCACCGCGTCCACCAGGATCTGCAAACAGCGGGTCATCGAAAGTAGGATGCATGCCTCCAGTTGGGCCTCCTCTGATTCCGCCACCGATACCACCCCAGTTCACAGGGTCGTGCGGGCCGAGACCGGCCGGATACAAATCTGATTCGCCATAGTTGCCAAGCGGAGCTCGTCCAGGCATGCCACGAGGTGGGCGGTTTATCTCATACTCGTCTTCAAAGCCTGGAGGAGGGAAATCTCCGGCGGGGACTGGCCGGCGGGGCGGCGCAGCTAGCGGGTCGTCGAATGGGTACGGACGTGCAGGAGGTGGCTGCGGATCTTCGCGCAGAGGATCGTAGCCTGGAGCGTTAGGGTCGCCACGTGGAGGCGGGTTGTTGTTCCTGCCACCGCTACTGTCGGCGCTGGTTCCTTCTGCTGACGTATTTTCTTCGTAGCCTTCCTTGCGGAGGTTCGGGGCGACCTTCTGTAGCACGCTTATCTTGAAGAGAGAGCCAAGGTCATTCAAGCGACCCGGCGAGATAAAAATGTCTTGAATTATCTTGGATGCGTTGTCGACAGCGGCCTCGGCCCCAGGGAGGGGCGTCGCCGGCACAGAGGATTCAGAGACGTAGTCGCGAGCAACCACCTCGAATGAAGCAGTCTTGTCGTCGCCCAAACCGACGGCTAAAACGACAGCTTTCGTACCTAGCCGATTCACCTTCACAAGATATTCCATTGAAGACTGGTCGTGAGCGTAGCGAAAGGCGTGGGATGAGGAGGCGTTCCACTCAGCAGGCAATGCGTGAGGCTCATGGGCGTCGGAGCTTGCTTCTGTGAGCTGTGAGTACGTGCCACGGGTATTGTGGGTTGGGAGAGCGTACGGATTTTGTGGTCTTCACCAAGTCCGATAAGCCTGAACCCGACAGCAATCATGCCAGCGTGGACAGCAAGGGCAACAGCATCGAAGGGATTTCTGATCTGGGGCGAGACGTCGCGCGGCAAGCTGGAGGCCATGAACAAGGCCAGCGAGCCTGCACTAAGCGGGTTTCCGGCGGTGTTCGCCATGGCTGTAGCTCAGTGCGAAGTGTCGTCAGTGTTATGGGTTGCGGCGAGATCGCAAGGGTCGAAGGTGGTAGTGTAGAGCTTCAGGCAGAAGGCGATGATGCCGTCACTGACGCAAAAGGCAACAGCTCCCCCGCCTAAGCGACCGGACTTAGCAGCAAACGCCGCAGCCTTGGCACACCGCGAAACTTCACCACCCAACCGCACAACACACCATGGTGCGCTTGAAGCACCGCTACCTGCTGGTGAACTTCCTGTACCCGTCGCCGGCAACCTCGTCGTCCAAGCCCGCCAAAGCCGTGCCTGATGTGGTCCAATTCCACCAGCCGAGCTCCGACAAGCTGACTGCCGGTCTTCTCATAAAAATCATCCGCGATGGCATTGCAGAGCTTTTTGGAGACTATGGCGCTGGTATGACAAGTGGTACACTGCAGGGTATGTAAAGCGCTCACTGTGCAGCAACCTGGCTGACTTTGCTGCCACAGTTAAATACTTCTCCCCCGCGACATCCACGGCTATCATACGCGTTTCGCGCGACCATTACCGCCTTGTCTGGGCCGCGCTGTCGTTCATCACGCGGCTCCCACATCCAGTCAATCAAGATTGCGTAGTCCAAGTCGTCCGCGTATCGGGCACCATCCGCAAAGCCGAGGAAGAAGCTATCAAGCGCGCAAAGCAGGCAATCCTGCACGCTCGGCGTGACGCCTCGGCCGATGTTCTGCTGGACCAGCGAGGAGCTGCCATGTCCGATGCTAGCAAGGTTCACGAAGACGTGCCGATGGGGGGTGTCGTCGACGATGAAGATGACGACAGCAGCGATGCATGATGAATCCTGCCCGTCGGACGTTTATTGCTCGGTCGTACGACATGTCCAACGGCACCGCACGCCACACCTGGCCCGGTTGCCGCCTCCGGATTCATCACAGGAAGAATAAAGCAACAATCAGGGTCTATTGTACGTTCGGCAATCTTGGAAACATCCCTGACCTGACTCGAGACTCCACAAATCTGTCTCACCCTGTGGCCATGTCCTTCTCGATCGCTATGGCTCAGCGCACAGGTCGATCCGGAAATGATACTAGTGGATATTGCCGAGCGCCATTGATATCAGAGTCCTTGCCGACGCGGAGCCGCATTGCTATTGTTCGGCTGCGCTTTTCGATCTCAACCTGCCGCCAGCCGAGTACGTCATGTCGGGCCATGCTGCTGACAGCTTCGCCGACGCGAAGCAGGTCCAGACCAGAGCGGACGCTTGCTCCATGGATCCACAGCTTCCGGCCGGAAGCGCTCCTCCGCCCCAACCTTATTCCCAGCCCCGCCCGTGACCCACAAACCGGACGACATGGTCGGGGGAAATGTTTGTAGCGGAGATTGCTACCGATCCTTCCCAGGTCTCCTGAAGTGGGAACCAAGTGGTCTTGAGCGATTTTGAAGGCCCCTCGCCGCAGGGAGCTTCAGGCAGCCAGAATAGGGAGACATGATTGCATGCGTGGGTCCTCCAATGAATGTGTGTACCTATTTTATATGCTTCCAGAGTGCAAAACGAGCGTACCTTCTTGACTGGGCTCCCCGGATTTCCTGTGTCCTCCAGCCTGGTACCTGAACTAAGCCTGAATCGAAGCGTTGGCGCTTCGATTATGGCAGGTTCTCGGCTCAGCATCACCGCAAAAAAGTCCCTGCGCAAAACCCTGCGGCGTATGCAAGCGCGCACATATGCATGATTGACCGCCTTTCTTAGAACACGATGTCGCAAAGTGTGCTCCGTGCGCACCTTCCTCAGATAAGGCCTCGAAGGAGCGCAAACTAGGCGTGGAGAGAAGCGGATATATCGAGAAGCAGCGTGTACCGGTTACCGGGGAATCCGAAACCGTCTTTCCCGATTCCTGTTAGGAACAAAAACTGAAGGCTCGTGTATGCCCCACTGAGCTAGCCTATTCGTTATAGCACACGAAAGCGCGTGCTTCTGTTGCATTAGTTCCTGCATTCATCGCCATATTCGTCCGGCGGCCGTGGCTGCAACGGTCCTAGCTTCTCCGCGCGGCTTTTCGTAATTGCAAGCAATCCAGTCCCTACAACTACTCTTTTCTCGATGCCCTTTGAGCCCCTGAGAAACATGGCCCAAACACTTCCTCGGTTTCGCTGTAATGCTACTATGAATCGTCGTCTCCAATCTCGATTCCGACGATTGGTCAGCTGTCGGGCCACCACCCGCCGACAGCGAGCCGGTCGGCCACTCCACACACCTACTGCCATTCGGGAGGCGCTGAGCCCTAGCTACAAGACTGCAAAGCACGGGGGCCAATAAGCCCTCTCCGGTCCCATCAAAATCATGAGAAGAAGAGAAGGAAGAAAAAGCAAAAACCAATGGTACGGAGTTCTCGATCATGGTTAGTATTATTGCGTGCCGTTGCCAGCGAAAACGGCGCTCTCTCCCCCTGTCCGCCCCGTTGCCAAGATGGCTCTATTCGCCCTGTGGCGCACTGCTGGCGCGGCCGCGAAAGAAACCGCGCGCGTCGTCGTCGGGCTTGCGGCACACACACGGCACCGGCTTTTTTCGTTGCGGGTTTTCGCGTGCAGTCTCGCGGCAGAGAGGGGCAGCACAGTAATCACCGCGGCTAGAGCAGCAGGGACAAGGGCCGTTGCTGAATGTGCCGCCTGCGGCTTTTCCGGGGACGGACCGTGCTCTCTCTCGTTTGCGGGCGGGAGCGCGGTTATTACGCCCTTGGATTCATCCCCCTTGTCCGGCCGGGAAAAAGATTAGCAAGGCCGCTTTACCGAATGGGCCGGAGATGACGAGTTTCTGATGATCGAATCGAGGGGACGAAAACTTGGAAGGTCGAGGCTCGTCGACGACGGGGGGAAGTGACGGGAAGGTTCCGGTGCGGAGCAGGCTCCCGAACCGATGTTGCGGAGCGGGAAGGATTGTGAGGCAAAAAGGCAACCTCGCGGTGGATCAGAGAGATGAATCTGGTTTCGAGCCGTACAAATCATGGCCAGTACAATACTCGCTTACGCATTCGTGCTGCTGCCGACCGTTCGTCTTGAAACCTGCCACGAACCGCCGGGCTGGAGACGGAGGCAATTCGTCATGCACGGGGTCAGGGCAGTCAATCACTGGGAGCGAGGCATTTCGTCCGTAACACGCAAGCACATGTAGCGAGGAAAAAAGGACCCGGAGCCAAGAGTAGCGATCCTGCCCGCAGAAATGCTCGTTCATCCTCAATCTTCCACCGGCCCACGCTGTCCGCCGCCGCTTTCGTGCGCATCCGAACGCACCTCGTTCAGACGGCCCGACCGGAGCACCAACGGCGGCGAAACCCTTCCAACCTACTTTTACTTACTCGTGAACACCGTCTTGGGAGCCGGGTCCAGCCGGCTGCCCTTCTTTTTCCCACACAGACACACAAATGCCCCCGCCAACTCGCCCCGTCAGTGGGCCGAGGCGCCGCGGGAAGGCAGCAGAACGAAAAGTCAAACACCAGCCACAAGGTGGTCCAGGTGATAGCTGGAGTGGTGCTATGTGCCTTCTTTCGTGAACGAGTGTGTGGGGCTCATCGCACATTTTCCCTCTGGATTTGTATTCTCGTTTCCCTTTTTTCGACCTCCGAGGTAAAAGAGCGACGGTGTGACTGTCCAAGTGGCCCTTCAGCCTTGGTCATCACGGAGAGAAAGAGGGGCAGGGCCCAGAGCCGATCTTTCTTGGGAATCCTTGGGCAGACCCGATGTTTTGTCCCGGGCGGGTCTTTGCAGGATCGCTGTTGTGTAACGTGTGCACAGACTCACGCACACACCACCACCACTTCCTCCCGTCCCGCCATTCTCTTTTCCCTACTGGACTACACGCGCACGCGCCTGCTTGTCGAACACGAAAAAAAAAAAAAAGATGGCGGCTGTTCCTCAGGCATGTAAGCTCCGAGCTTATGTGGGGAGTAGAATGGCGTGGAGAAAAGAGATACGAGAAGAAATGAAATGAAGCAGTAAGAAGAGAAGATCGAATGTGCATTCAGCAGGCGTCCGCGGCCCGCGCACTCCCTGCCAATGACGCGCGAAGGAACAGAGAGCGGGACGGAAAAGTCGAGACCTCGATGCCAAAGCAGATCAACGAGTCGTGCATACCGAGATCCCATAAGAAGTAGCGATCAGTCGTCGCCAGCGTGCAAACACGACAAAACATGACCCCTAATTGTCAGCAGCAACAGGCGCCAACACTTATTGCCTCCGCGCGCTGCCATCAGAGTATCTTTGTTGCGTGTACACCACTCATCGGTCACCCACTCCATGTAAGGCCCCCGCTTCTCGCATGATCTTGTACCCATCGTGCAGCTTCCCCTCTCCCTCCCTCTTCCCTGTGAGGGAAAGAGGAGCAAGACCGCCCATCCAATCCCCCGTGCTGCTGCCGTCTCCATGCCGCACAGACCACACGTTCTTGATCCCACGTCCGGCATCCGGCAGTAAGCCCCGGGCGTATTGGCGCGGCGGGATCCGCTCGCGTGTCAGCACAGTAGCGCCCGACACCGGGGTGTGGAGAGGTTTCATGAGAGTGTCGTAAGTGAAATGCAAAATGATATTGAAGCTTCAGGTGGTCCCCTAGTGATTGGGTGGGTGGGTTGATCAGAGCTGGCGCGCACACGAAATCCCATGTAGTCTGAAAAAAGAGCGATGGAGAAAGAAACATGGCCTGACTCCCCTCGGCTTACTTCCTACGGATATTACGGACCTCTCTGCCAGTCGCGCTCCCTGCGCTGGCTGGCCGCTTCTCGCTTCCTTCCGCAGGAGAATGCCGCCGCTCTGCTGTTGCTGCATTGCATGGGAAGGATAATTCCGTTTCAATGGGCGTAGAGGACGGCAACAGAGTATGTCGAGACCGATACACAAGCCACGGCATACCATGGATATGCGGAGTGGTGTGGAACGTGCTGCGGAGATCTGCGCGGGTAATTTCTACAGCGCCGCATTTGCTGCGGCACATCAAGCGAGTGTTGGTGGCGCAGAGCAGATGATGGACATTGTTCACACTACAACGCCGGCTAAGTACCAGTGCTCGTCAAATCCGCAGGCGCTGAAAGGAGGGATAAAGGCCCAGGCGGCCCAGGAGAAGCTCAGATAATGGATGATTTCCGACTTTACATGGATTGCATATGTGGCGTTCAGTTTGTGTAACATTCACACGGGAGCTTGTCCTGGCGGCCGGTATTTGTCACACTATCGCGGTCACATCGTCACGTCCCAGTACCAGGGAAAGCCGTACCCGAGAGCTCATTTAGTCCTTCGGTTGGTCTGGTGTTGCCGTATGGTGGGGCTGATTTCTTCTGGAACGAATCCTTCTGCAACTCTGTGTCAGCCATCCAGCTCGAACTGGAAGGAGGCCAGATTGTGTATCTCTACAAGTCAGGCGACACAAAGGCGTTGAAAAGAGTAGAAGAAGCGTCAATAGGGGGGCGAGTTGTTGCAAAGTGTGGTGTTGGAGGTATACGTGAGTGTCAAGAGGCCAGGACGAACAAGGAAGGAGGGCACAGATGGACCCAGCAGAAATTATGCTCCCGCTCATCAGCCACCAGGGCCTGGGCGTTGGGGATGCGCCGCAATTGTCTGTGATGGGGCCCGGCCACCGGAGGGGGCGATCAAACGAAGCACGGAACCGGGGCGGAGTAGGAAGGCTCTATGTCCGAGCATGACGCGGTTCTTGTCTTGGCAACGGCACCTACTGTTGGAGTTCTGCATGGCAACTGTACATCCAACTTGACGGTATCTGCCGCGGAAGATACAGCTAGTTGGATGGCAACAGGTAAAACATGTCCGCATCTTTCGTTGGAGTTGGGCATGTGATCGTCGATGAAGTGCACCTGTGGCGGTCATTTGGCGCGCGTAAACGTATAATGTAGTGCTCCAGCGGGAATCCGCGCGTGGATGGGCGCATTGGCAGAGAAATTTCCGTGGAGAGGACTGGCTGGGCAGCTAGCCGGGAGCAGCCATCTCCTTGGGAGCTGTAATGGACGTCGTGATTGGTGAGAGTGACGGGGTGGCCCTCGGCAGCGGGACTTCGTGCAGGCGAGCGAGTAGTAGGAGCCAGTGGGCGGGTGAGATACTGTGTGGCTTGCTGTAGCTGATAAGCTCAGAAGGTCCTAGTGTCCCGATGGCGCTGCGATCCGAACGGCTGACGGCTCACGTAGAAATGCTGGGTTGAACGGGGCCTTGATGAGGTTGACACTGCCATCACATTGAACGCGCCGAATCTGGCCGCTCACGACGGCGCAGAAGGGATAGTGAGACCTGCACAACGCAAAGAGGCGAGCAGCTTATCCGAAGTGATCAGCAGGTACAATGCTACGGCATTGCTCGAAGCCACTATGTCCCAAGAGAAGGGAGGGTCATCGGGTCGAGTTCCTATTGCGGGACAAGAGCTGTTCCGCACCTGCTACGAGGAGATGGACCCAGGCCGAAGCGAAGTAGCAGGACTGGCTGCTCCAGACGAATTCGCCTACGCGCTGGTCATCGATGCACTAGCATGAAGTCGTAAAGCTGTGCGTATGTGGGTGCGTGTCTCAACTCGGCATGGGCAAGATGTGCTTCTCGCCATCGAGGTAGGCGAGAGGGTCCCTTGTCGATTGGCCGGATTGCGATCAAGCTCTGGAGTTTTGCAAAATCTCGAGGTTCGAGTGGTCGCGCAGGCGCCAGTCACAGCGCTGCCGGGTGTTGGTGGCGCGGCGGGTGGCGCGGTGATTCGTCAGGCAATCGAAAGTGCCATCGTCCATGCGATCGCGGTCAAACGGCCTGCCGCCGTCCAGGTAGCCAGGGTGCAGCGGGTGGTGGTGTGCGTGGTGGTTGGGCGGCGGGGCAAGGAGCGGGCCTGGTAGAGAGGCCGCCCCGGGCTCGTGCTCTCTCGAGGGCTCAGCGGACCGTGGACGCGACGACGGGTGCGAGCCACCACACCGAAGAGGAGAGCTGCATGCACCCAGGAGGAAGACGGCCGCGCTCGCAGCAGCTTGCGGTCATGTGTTGGCCAGATCACCAGTGCTCGATGGCGGCCGTTGTATCGGTGGTGGCGGCAGGGTCCAGTGTCCATGCGAAATCACAGCGTGGAGCAAGCAAACGAGCGTGCGGGACGGGGAAAACGGAAGCCGCACATCATGCGCGCGCGCAATCGAGGCAGGCGCGACGGCAGGCGCAGCGGGTGGCCCCAGTGCCCGAGAAGCGGAGGGAGAAGAAGTCGATATCCCTCGCCGCGGAGCTGTCTATGGCAGATACGGCCGGCTACGTTTGCGCTGCCAGATCGGTCAGGATGCCATACTTGAAGCGGCCAGCACGATCACCTCATGTGCGGGTAGCGGGCGGGCGCGCACGGCGAAGCGACGGTGCGAAGCGTGCCGATATGCGCGGCAGCGTTCAGGCCCTGGAGACTCCGTCAGCTCGGCATAAAGTTCTGACGCCTGCGGGCCAGGGGCATACCCAGATCATCTGTCCACAGCGCTGCTTCTGGCATGTCTCGCGTTGGCCATGCACGAGCACTGCGGCCCCGGCCGGCGGGGGCATCGAGCCCAGCCCAAGAGCGCGCGTGCAGGCAGGCAAACAGGACGATGGAGAGGTCGTCGGCCGGGCCAGACACGCATGGAGACGCAATTAGCGGAGCACGGGCGGCCGCTGGCTCCACTTGCCATCAGAGCCGTCGATAAGGCGCGCTCGACCCGTTCTCCGGCACGCTGGTAGAACGAGAGAGAGACAGAAAGCGAGGTTGTGGCCTGAGACAGCCCAACTCCATGAATCGCGGCCGCCAGAGGCTCCTGCAAATCGCGGCGCCGCCCTGACGCAGGGGGCTGCGGGCATCGACGCCGCAGAAGCGCGAACGTTGTTTTGATAGCCGCCGGATGCCCTGTGCGCTAGCGCTCGCCCGCCTGATTCGTGGGATATACGCTCGCAACGCTAAGCTGGAAGCAGCAGGCCCATTTAAGCCCTTGCGCCGCACTCGCTGCCCGTCGGTTTTGGCCCCCAACCTGCTGTCGTGAGGCCTACGTCTCTCCTCTCTCCATTTCCCGCGCTTCCACGCACCCAGGCCGCCGGCTTACCGCACGCCCGGGACCCATCCTCTTCGGAATCTGCAGGGATCTGAATCCTTCAGCACGGCCATCACATCACTTCCTTGCCAAAGCGAAACGGCCTGCCCTGTCGCAGTGCTGCCTGGAGAGCTGCGAAATGGGGCCTAAGGTTGCCTGGAAGGCCACTTCACAGAGGCAATGCGATGCGATCCGAAACGGGCCTGGTCCGTCGTCTGCCAATACTGCCAATGCTGCAATTAGGTGTGCTATACTCGCTGTCCCACGCGCGAAACCCCCACTTGCGCACACCAAGCCATGCCGACCCCTAGACCCGATGGGGCACCAGCCACAGTAGCGTCTGCCGCGACACCTGATGCATGAGCTTGACGCGTCTAACAGAAATGCACATTGGGTAGTAGTAGCCTCCAGAAAATAACAACGCAGCCGCCCAATCGATTGCCCTCGTCGGTAAAACGAGCGCCCATGCATGAGAGGAAAAATGAGCAAGAGAAACACACGAAGCCACCGAACCCTGCCATACGCCTGATGATATCACATCCCCCGCCAAGTGCTGACGATGCCTCCGGAGCCCCGCGATGGGGGAGAAAAAAAGATGCGCCACCAAATCGAAAAAATGTGCCGCCCACCCATTTCCATATGCAAAATGCTGGTCGCTATGACGCACGATGCCACCCATATGAAGTAACGTCCCTATCTACACTCCGATTGCAAAGCGTTCCGTTGCGTGTGTATCGTATCCGTGTCGCGCGACGGCCTGCAGGAACTCGGCCCGCCGCGGGTTTAGTACGGGGACGAATAACCAAGCGAAGGCATGTGTTGAGGTGTTGCTTGGTGCTGCGGGAGCTCGTTGTTGTGCATTGGCATTGCCCTTTGGCCGCGGGCCGCCGCCTGCCTCTGCGCCTGCCTGTTTATGACATCGAAGCGCTTGGGGCACCCGTCTTCAGTGTGTCTGTCGTGGAACCCGTCAGTTCTCTGGCGCCGTGCGGCAGTGGTGTGCTTGCGGGCTGTCTTACCTCCTGAGAGTGTCCTTCCGTGCGAAGTGAGCATCGCATGCTACGCATTTGTGGTTCTTCACTTTGAGATGCACCTGTGCACATTGAGATCAGCGGCGTTCGCTAAAGCACGGGTTACGGCGCCGTGATGCCTACACTTTGGTCATGCCTGATCAGGTCTGTCCTCCGCACAAATTTCCTTCCGCAGCCTTTGGTCTTGCAGACGTTTGGCTTCGGCCGCTGGGGGTTGTGGATATCCATGTGTGCATTGTGGTTGTAGCTGCGCTGGAATAGCCTGCCACATATCTCACATTTGTGGGTGGCGTTCTCTCTCGTCGTTGCGCTCCGTGATCGCGTCCGCGCGGTGCTGGTATTGACCATGCTGGTCTCACTGTTGAATCTCTTAGTTCTCATGCCGATGAAAGAAGCGAGGATGCTTGCGGACTGAAGCTCCGAGCTGTTACATACCTCGAGTTGCCCAGTCGCAGCGGGGATACAGTCAAGGGCTGAGCGGCGCGCATTGGATCTTCGTCGCTCATAAGCTCGTTCTGCGGCTCCGCCTTGATCCAGCTGGTGTCGGAATCATCCTGAGAGTATAGGGAAGGGTCGTATGAGGAGATGGATGAGCGCTGAGATAGGATGACGCCGTCGGATAGCGCCGGAGAGTGCCTGGTGTCGACCAGAGAGCCAGACGGCATGTATGAGAACGATTGCTCCCACGACATAACCTCGTAGGGCTCCGTCCATACCCGGCCGCGTTGTGCGTTCGCCATGCCCGGAGATGCGCTGGGTGCCAGAGAAGGGGTCCAGGGCGCCTCGGTGGGGTGCGGTGAAAGTGGATACAAGGTCTGCGCGGGGTGGACGGAGTGGTTTGGGAGAGTCATTGAGGGGTACTGGTTGTAGAGGACCATGGAATCCGTCATATAGTTGGAGGTGTCACCCTCTGTTCTGGCAGGCGATGGGTATGTCGAAGGATGCGCATAGGAAGCTTGGTCATAGCTGCGCTCATAGGACGAGGGCTGCGAGGGCGAGCGGGGTGAGATTGCTTCCATTACGAGAGGTGGCTTGCCGGACAAGATAGTGCGGGAGCGGGGATCAGCAGGATCTATGTTGTGCAGCGCAGAGATCTCAGGCGTCCAGCAGATGAGGCGGTGGTGTGGATGGCAAAAGAGAATTGAAGAGTGCGGTGGTGAGTGCGTTGCTGGCAGTGACTTGGGAGGCAGGTCTGCGCGTGCGAGATATATAACAAGAGGTGCAATGCGATCCCTTCCGCTGGGACAACAGACGAAATGATAGTATTTTTTGCTACATTGGGGCGGTGAGGTGGGGTGAAGACATGGGCTGGCAAGGCAGAATCTCAGGACTTAACTTGGGGGGCAGGCATCTCGCCTGTGCAGGACCCGGTCGAGCGAGCCGCGGCGAGCGGTAAAGCGCGCGTTCTCGAAGGGCGACGATCGAGGCGGCGCTGCGCAGGCTTGCGCGCTTGCCAATGCTGGAGTGCACAGCTGCAGGGTGTTGGAAACCGGCGTTAGTGCCCTTGCCGGCTGGGGCTTGCGGGCATGCCCGGCTGCCGCAGCAGGGGTCTGAGTAGTGGGCACACTAGCGGGGGCCCGGCGAAAGGGTTCCGCAGCCCGTCCAGCGGTCCGAATCTGGCTGCCACCGCACACGCACGCAAGCACAGAGACGTTGATGCTGCCGGCGTCGACGGATGCCTAGCTGTGGATTTTGCTTGTGCCTACCTGCGAAATTTGTCTGATCTGCCCAAGCACGATCGCCACATCCTGCCGCGCCCCAGCAGCCCTCTCCGCACCGCGCACCGCTCTTCCCGACCTGCCGCTCCCGCCGCTCCTCCACCTCGCGCCCACGCCGCTGCCGGCGCTGCGCCCAGATCCGTCCTTCACCCGCCGTCTACTGCTGCCCGCCCCCCTGCTGCTTGACCACCGTCGCCCGCAGCTCCTCCACCTGCGCCGAAAGCTCCTTGAGCAGCCGCATCGTCTCGCCAGCGCTGGCGTCGGCAGGGGCCGGGGCGACCGTGCCGGCGCGCACGACGCCGCCGCTCAGCTCCGGGCGCACAGCTCGCGCGTTGCGTCTGGATGCCTGCACAAGCGACGCCGGCACTGCCGTCGCCTTGCCCGACATGCCTGTCTTGATCGGACGCGACGGCAGCCCGCCGTTAGTCGCAGGCGCCTGTCTGCCGCCCATGGTTTCGATGCCCATGGTCCCGCGCCGCGCAACGTTCTTCTTCCAGACGTAGTCCTGCCAGTTCTCATATGCCCAGATGATGCCAACAAAGGGCGCATGAGTCGCCTTGAGCAACACGATACGCGCCCCGCGGGCAGCGCGCGCAGGCAGGACCATCAGGATTGGTCGGAAGAGCACCACGGGCACGAGGTTCTGTTAGACGTTAGCTTGCGGTTCGTCATCGCGCGTTCGGCACGCGGCTTTGGCAGGCTATGCAGCCCTATTTGTGGCTTGAGCGGGCCCTGGCGAATCAGAGCACGCCATGTGCTTCGCCACCAACGGCGTCCTGAGGACACCGCACCGCCATACTCGCACTGGCCGCCATGCTGCTTAAAATGCAGCAACAAGCCGGCCGTCGCTATTTCGATTGGCCGCGACCAGGCATTTGGAGGGCTGTGCAGCGGCGCGGAAGCGCTTAGAGCGCCAGAGACATGCTATCATTGGGTGACTTACGAATGGCGGGAAAAAGTAGGCTAGCTTGTTCGAAGTGGAGGCTTCGAGCACGTAGATCGAGTACCTGCCCCTGCATTAGCCATCGCGCTTCCCGGAGTGCGCCTTGCGGTTGAGCCCTTACACATAGAGATATTCTTCACGCGATGAGTCCAGCACCTGTCACCAAGAGCTGTCAGCCAACCATTTTTTCGCTTAGCCGAAAGTGTGCTCGGGCGACTGGGGAAGTGCACAGCTTTTTCCCAAACGAGAGAGCAGCGCGGCTATTCTTCACCGCCCCCACCCGCCCATGATTCCGTTCCACACACAACTTACCTGCCGCAGACTGGTGTTGACATATGCCATCATCGACGTGATCAGAAGCTGATTGGTCATGCAGACGAAGACAATCTACACGCGCGTTAGCTGGCGCAGCGCATCGTGTGCCATCGGGGATACCGACCATGACGGGGAGACCGAGATATGGAGATCTGTTGAGAATGAGCATCGTTGCCAACACGCAGAGCGGGTCTAGACTCACATTCTTGGAGCGATGTCCTGGGAGCAACGTCAGCCACATAGTCTGTGCAGTTTTGCGCACGGGAAACTTACGAATCCGATAACTCCGCCACTGGAAACGAAAGCGTTAGCGAAGCACAACCGTTGAAGTGGGGCATCGCCGCTTACCCAAAAAAGACCTTCAGCACCGTGATCGAAGTATCGCGCAGAGCGACATGGCCACGCGCAAGCAACGCAAAGGTGGTGAAAAAGCCTACAGCAGCAATCACCCGTGGTCAGTCATGTCCACGCCCCACGAAAGGCAGCAGCTCCCGGGCACCTACCAAGATAGATGATGAGTACGAAGCCCAAAAACTTGATAATTTGTTTGCCCTAATTCCCCGTCAGCTCGCCGCTGGAGATACCGCCTCATTGCAGGCAGAAACCTACCATCTCCTTAAGACAAGGAAGCTAGTTCTCGGTCAGTAGCTGAAACAACGCCGCACGCAATTTGCCACTTACCAGGGTTCCGTAGTATGGGTTCAGGCTGAGCAGCGAGAAAATACTGCAAGGATCTGTCAGCTCGTCGATCGCAGGCAGCACGGCTGACTGGACCTACCGCGGAGTCAAGAAGAGCGAGTGAAGTGCAAGAATGCTGAACGAAATCTCCAGCAACTGCTTGTCGTCGTGTGCCAAACCAATCATTCCTTCAGACCGTTAGCCACTTCCTCGTTGTCGCATGCTGCAGAATTGGTTGCCTACTGGTAATGAAGAAAACGAGGCCGATGATGATGATTCCAATGTCCCAAAGACTCCAGATGTCAGTTGAGTAGAAGTGGACACCCGCCTCCTGGAACTCGTTCCCTAGACTGGATTAATCTTGGTACAGGACCCGTGACATGGCTCGACTTACATTCGTCGAAGGCGAAGCCGGCAATGAAGAGATAGAAGATGACCTCGGTGACCGTGATGTTCTCCATATCACGTTGGATAGACACGATGTAAAAGAGCCCCAGGAAGCACAAGAAGAAGAAAATCTCGAAAGTCTTCATGTACCGCGGCACACGCAGACGGCACCACGGGTCGCCCAAGCTAGGAACTGGTCAGCGGGAGTGCCATACGCATGCATACATAGGTGTGTGAAACTCCTTCGGCGAGACTTGTTACTTACTGTTTGTTGTAGTACTTGGGCTTCTTAACGGCGCCGACCGTGAGGTTCTCCCAGAAGACGATTTCACCGTTCCAGATTCCATTGATGATGTCTTGGATGCATCTTTGACTGAGGAACTTCTTGGCGCCGGCAACGGCAGCAATCTCAAGAGTGTTGAGGTTCAAGAAAGGTTCGGCAAAACCTTCCCCACCAGTGGCTTCGTACTCGTCGCCAGGGATGTGGTGGTTGGTGGAGCGAGAGGAATCCCTCGACTTAGAGCGACGAGCGCTGTTGCCGTTGCCGTTGGCATTGCTGTGGCCGTTGCCGTTGCCGTTGGCAGTGCCATGGCCGGCAGTGCGGTGGTCTGACAGGAGCCCAGTCCTCTCGGTCGGCTCTCCGTGAGATTGCCGACCGTTGCCATTGGCGCGTCCGCGCGTCGCAGCACGTGATTCCTCGTCGTCCGAATCATCATGCTTGTCACCATGCTTCGGAAGCTCAAACAGAAGGTAGTCAAGCGCCTCCCTCTCTGACAAGGTCAGCACAAACTGCCAGGCTACAACTTCGCACGCAAGACCGCGCGACTCGTTGATGCCACGGTCATCGTCGCTCTCAATGGCACGGAAATGACCCTTCAGAGCACTGTAAAGGAAGCTCCCTGAAAGCTGCAGCACTCCAGACCCGTCAATTGCCGTAAGGAATGCTTCGCTTGTATTTAGTCAAGACCAGGGGCGCAAGATTGGCTTGCCAAGCATTGCGAGATAAGATGGCGACCGATAAGTAGCTGAAGCATGCCGCGGAGACGAACATGGCATGAGTGCCACGATATATTCGTCTCAGCACACGCTGCAACTTCCCATCGGCAGCCGCTTCGGTGCAATGCTCGGCAAGCCAATCGAACACGTGGCTTGCGTATACAAGACGAGCGACGTCCTTTTGGCGAGACTGCGTCTGGAGCCGCAGTTTGCCGGAAGCCGTATTCGTCAGAAGATGCGGGAACGAGTTGGACAGGGGCACTTACAGCAGAGCAGCAACAATCGCCTCATGGTGAACCTCGTTGGAAAGCTTGTTGATGAGAGGCTGCAGCCTCTTCATGTGCTTGCTGCTGCGGAGATCTTCCCAGCCCAGGGGCGAGTCGACGGCCTCAATGATGTAACTGCATTCCGGTCAGTGCTCGAGAGTTGCGGCAAAAGCCCGATTCAGCAGATCTGGGCTCTGGCCGGGCGGCTATCTCCATTGGGGGGGTCAGGCGACCTCAACAGGGCAGCGAGCGGCTCGCCAGAGCCTCAAGATCTACCCGCAAGGCGTTTCCGCCCCACTCCGGGGATATTGAGATGAAAATGGGATGGAAAGGTGGTGGGTGAGGTCTGGGGAAAGGGGCCACGTACTACGACAGCTTGCGAGCAACGTCGCTGAAGCTCTCGTCATCCCTGATGTCAGGGAGCTCAGGGAGCGGCGCGGTGAGCTTGACGGTGGCTGTTTCCATGACTGCGACTACCCTTCTCGACGCAGACGACAGAGGGACGATGAGGAAGGTGCGTTCGGCAGCGACCGCGTTGGCCACGCCAGAAGATTTTAAAATTCACTACTGACCGCTCTTGCTGATCCCCACCCCGCAAAGACCATCCTCAGACCCCTTTACCGCGAGTCGTGAGCGCGCGCTTGCTTCAGCCCCCATGCAGCCGCGCATGCGCGACGGGCCGCTGCAGACGCGACAAGCGCGAGGACCCCTGCAGTTCGGCGGCTCCCTCGTCTCGCCCCCAGCACTCTAGCCGCCGCCTGCCTCTCCTTTGCCCGTCGACGCTCCCAGCCTTACGCTCCCAGATCCAGCTTGCCGGATCGCCCATCTGCACGATGCTTGTCTCACCCGCTGCTGCACGCAAATCTGAGTGGCGCAAGCACAGACACCCGCGGCCAGCAATCCCTCCACCAAGGCGCTGCCGCCGCCCTGTCGGCACTGCTGACGAACATGCGGCTATCCGATCGCCCTGGGCCCCGGATCTGGCGCACCGGGCCTCGCAGCCGCCCGTGGTGTTGTCGCAGAGCACTTCGCCCTCTGACCACGCTGCAGCCAAGACCGGAGAACGCTCCCCCCAGCAGCAGTCCACGCGCGACCAACCACCACCACCGACCAGTGACTCCGAAAGCCTTCACAAAATCTCGATATGTGATGCCCAGGGCGTGGGCGCGGAAGACGTCGACAGTGGAATTCCCGCGCAGGCGACCATCTCTGGCGGCGCAGCATCAAGCGTGAACCATCGCAGTGGCCATGATGGTGAATCGTCAACCACTGCAGCTCAGAAGGCCGGGTGTTGCGACGTTGGCGACGAAACGCGTGGGAACAGCGTCTGCAGCGATTGCGACGCGGCGGCGGCGGCTCCGGAGGCGGCTAATATGTTTATCGCGCCACGCGCGATTGTAAGCGCGCACGGAGAAACTTCGACATATCCTCGGGGTAATCGGCAGTTAGGTTCGGCCGGAGAGAATCCGCCCGTCGCCCAGCTACCCACGGCGCCGGCCTCCGTTTATGTAGATGTTAAGGGAGATTTGGTGGCTGACGTGAGTGCGCATGGGGTGACAGCCACATCGTTCCTGCTAACGGATATTGCCGTAGGATTCTCGGAATGACAGCGAAATCCTGTTACAGGGTCCTGACCCCATCGAGGACAGCCAGGCGCAGCGGGCGTGCCACACGCCGACGGCCGAGGATTGTGGCACGGCAGGCGCCAGAAAGCCCATGGAACGCTTGAGCATGTTGAAACAGATGATTCGCGTGCCAGAATCTCCTCGCGAAACACCTGATTTGTCGAAATTCCGGTTCCCGAAAATTGTGGAAAAAGGAACAAGGAAGCGCGTCCATAAATACAGCCCGATAGCCGATGGTTTCGTGGGATCCGAGCTCTCTGTGCCACCGAAGCAAAAGAGAGTGCGAAGATTCCGCGGGAGTCATGGGCTTTCAGCAGGTGGCCTCGAACTTGTCCATGGGGCTTTACACGCTCTTGGTCAGTCGGTCGAAATAGAAAGTGAGATGCGCGAGATAGACTCGCCCCACGGACTGGACGCCGCGTCCAAAAACTGCTCGGAGAATCTCTTTGACGATGACGTGGTTGTCCCATTTCTTGAAAACCCGGAAAGACGCATTCAAACAGCAGCCACTCATCGTCGTGGTGATCGGTGTTTGGGCACGGAACAGAGACAGAGTGGTGGCGCTGACAGAACTGTTAGCATGAGGCAACATGGAGGGCAAATAGCGCTCAACACACAGCCTACCACCAGGCACGCTTTGGGTTCGATGACGGCTTTCCATTCCATGCCTGCAAAACCATACACGGAAATTGATGAAGAGGACGAGGAAATGGAGGGACCCCGCGAGATTGAAAGCCAGGCTTCGGTCCAAGAAGCAGACAATGGATCCTCATCGGAAGCTGGCAGCTCTTCCGACAGGGCATTGGCCGATGCGGGGAATCCACTTATTGAGCGAACAGACGATAACACTTACGAGGGTAAACCGCACGTCTTGACTGCTGCCCCAGAGACCATTTCGGACCGATTTCGCAGCACTCCCAAATTCTCTAAGAGTCAGCGTGCCTTAGGTCAACGTTGCGTTCCATCATCGCCCAGTGAGAGCCAGTGTCGCAGAGGGTCGGATGATTATGCCAATAACTTGACACGTCCTGGACAAGCTGCACGCATGGAGTCTTCAGGTATGTGGGTGGAAGTTGCAGAAGAGATAGTGTCCACACCTGCCGCGAATGCAAGGCTTTCGGGTAGTCTTGAGAAAAAGAAAGGAAAGAAGTCGGCTGTGTCGTCTGAGGCTTTCGGCTCAAGCCTTCCGGACTCTGACAAGCGACAGCTGGTTGCAGCGGCAGTACCAGCCTCTTCCAAGCAGCGCACGGGACATGGCACGGCGGAGGATTCGGGGAATTGCAGCCGCCGTTATTCGACGTTCGCGAAAGGTTCTGTTGCTTGCAACTTTCCCTGTCCTTGCAACTCGTGCAAAGCATCCTCGAATCCCATAAACTTACCCCTTTATGGCGCGTTGATCGACTGACTTTCCGATAGCATTCTGGCGGCCGGGGTCTGTTGACAACGTTCCTGAGGGTGAGCCTGCCCCATCATTCGCTGTCTACCGGCTGACATTCTTACCTAGGAGCCTCTTTTATCAAAAACGCAAATCGACGGCCAGCCCAGCCGATCCGCTGTTCTTCGACAGATGTACGTTCTGCGCCACAAGCGATATCGGATAGTCAGAAGCTGGCGGAAAGGAGAAGGTCGCAGGTAATTGTCAGCGACAGCACCCGAGACTACTTCAACGCTGCTCAACGAAAGCTCTTCACCCAAGACGGGGAACACATACTTGCAAAAGCTCTGGTTGAGGAGCACATTAGCCCCGTTGTTGATGGCAACGGCGTTGATTCGACGGCTCAGACCACACCAAGGCTAGGGTTCTCGAACGACCCCCGCTTGGAAGGTCCACACGTAGGCGACAATGAATACAGTCAGCGTCGAGCAGCCAATACAGGCGCGGCGGTCAGTAGCCAACCTCGGCTTGTAGGGGCGAATGATGTAACGCAGACGGCTGCAGGCGGGAGCGGCGGTAGCTTTCCATCGCTTTCGCTTGATCCGCCGTTTCTCCAGTAACAGGGTAGTGAGGACGGAATCCGCGGTTCCCTGAGAGATTATTTCCTTACAGCTCGTACTAATGACGAAGGTAGCGCAGATGGCAATATTTACAGCAGAGAGACAGAGTTAATTATTGCAGTTTTGTAGCTACGTCGGCACAGTCAATGCACACCTGTTACGCTCACGCATCGGCCGAGGGCTGGACAGCACGCGCAACTATGCTTATGTCTAATTATAGGCGCACACGAGGCATGCGGCCCGCGACTTGTCAGCGTCGATCTGCGGCTGTTTGACCTTCTACACGTGACCGTCAGCGAAAGCTTGGGCGGAGGGTAACACGGCGAAGCTTGATCGGCGGCCCCGACGTCAGACAAAGCTGGCTGCATCTCACACGTAACCAAGCAGCGGGCAGGAGACGTCACACGAGGCTAAGCCAGGCGCACGCTCGATTGTAGTTGGTGTAGCAAGTGCGGAGGGCCGGTAGGAGGCGTCCAAGGTGCAAGCCACAGGGTACGAGCAGCTGCCTCAGGTTAGCGATCAACAGCCGAAGCCTGCCGTAGGTGGGACAACCGGCAGCCCGGAGCCTGGTTTTGCTCGGCCGATCTCGCGACAAGATGGCTCAACCTGCACATCGCTGCAGCAACTCGGGAGCGACCCGAATGACGACCTCGCCCGGGCCGCCTCGAGCCCTCGACTCATCGCAACAGCTCGGGCAGCACAGATGCACGCATGCCAACATGGCTGCTCTGCCATGCGCAGGCTGATGCTGAGCGGCGATGGCCATGCAGAGGCGTTGCTGCTGTGCCCGCTGATCTGAGTCTTACCTGCAGGGTTGTGGCTGCGGTCTGCCCCTAGTCCACCAACATCAGATTCCCCCGCGCCGGAGTCCGAAACGCTAACCACCAATATGCATGTTGTGACTCTCGGACTTCCGCCTGAGTGGCTTGACTCGAGAACGTCTCCATATATGCATGTACGCGTTGCCTTCGTCCCCTCCGAGCTGCTCTTAATAATTATTTTCCCCAAAATTCCCAATCAAGCCTGCCCGCTTCCCTTTCTGCCCTCTGCCTTCTTTTCCTTTTGCGCTCTGATCCCTCACTTCTCCCAAACCCCGCGGCTCCTACGCCGTGTGTCCCCTTCCTTGAGCGTCCACCATGTCATCGCAAGGAGGCCAAGGTCAGGTGAGTGAAGCCGTATGCGCTGCAGAGGGACATACTGACATTTTCTTTTGTAGGCGGGGGCACAACAGCGCCCCCCGCCGGGACCGCCGTATCCACCGCAGACATGGTCCCTCGGTGGCAGGCTGGAAGAATCGGTTGATATTCCCGTTACCGCCGTCTTCCTTGCGCTCTACATCGTTGGTGCAATTGGCCACATGGCCCTTTTCAAGAAGAATCAGAAACAGGGCCACAAGTTTCTGTTGACTTTGCTGATTTTCGGTCAGTATTGCAACAAGATAGGAGAGGTTGTTTTTTAACTTTTTTTCCCCAGGTTTTTGCATGTGCAGAGTTGTAACCTGCATCCTGCGCATCGCGTCCGCCACCAGGCCCACGAATATCCAATTGGCAATTGCAGCCCAGATCTTCGTCGCAGCCGGAGTCCTGCTAATCTACATCATCAACTTGATTTTCACGCAACGCATGATCCGTGCCCAACACCCTCGGCTGGGCTGGTCATTCCGTTTCGGCATGTTCTTCAAGCTGACGTACGTGGTGACGGCGCTTACGCTGATCATGGTCATCACTGTCACTGTACAGTCGTTCTACACGCTTAGCATCAACACAAGGCGTATCGACCGGGACATCCAGCTCTACTGCTCGACATTCTTCGCATACGTCTCGTTCCTCCCAATTCCCTTGACTTTGCTCGGGCTCATCCTCCCGCGCAAAAAGCGCCTCGAGAAGTTCGGAATTGGAAGGTGGCGTAGCAAGATTATCGTGCTCCTTCTCGCCACGTTCATCTTGTGCCTGGGCGCGGCGTTCCGGTGCGCCACGGCGTACCTGGATCCGGTGCCAATGACGCAGCCACTCCCGTCGTATTATTCCAAAGCATGCTTCTACATCTTCAACTTTGCGCTTGAGATACTTGTTATCTACCTGTATCTCGCCTTCCGCGTCGACAGGCGCTTCCACATTCCAAATGGTGCGAAGGGCCCTGGACAATATGCGCGCGGCCCGTACGCCCCCAAGACCATCGACGCGAAGCGCACCAGTGTGCAGGCCAAGAAGCACGACAGTATGGCAACCCTGGGCAAGGCGTCCACACTCGACGAGTACGACCCCAGCACACCGCGGAAGCTCAACCTCAAGACGGATTTCTCGGCGGCGGAGAAGAAGAAGATCGATCTCGAGGCGCAGTCAGCCCCACACAGTGCCATCTCAGGAACCACAGCGGCCTTGTCCAAGGATCATTTGCTCCTGCCCGAGTCTCCCAAGCCAGTGCACGTCAAGTCGGACAAGTACAGATCCAACGCCGACGTTCCGCCAGTGCCTGCGCTTCCACCCTCTGCAGCTGGAGCCATCGTGTCTTCGCCAACGCCCCCCAACGGGTCGTCAGGTGCCGCCTCGACGCGCGCTACCGAAGACAAGCTCGACAAGGTCGTCGACCTGCTCGTCACGCTCGACCGCCGTCTGTCGAACCTCGAGGAAGCGCCGCGCCGCAACGACCTGCTCGAGCGTCTGACGCAGCGCCTATCCCGTCTCGAGGATACCGACCCAGGCGCGACGCCGCGCATGCGGCCGCAGTCCTCAGCCGGTACCACGCTCCGCGGCAGCGTCGACAATGCAGGCGTCAACATGGGCTTCGGCAACATCGACGGCCATGAGAACGTGGCGCTCGGCCTGCTCGACCGCCTCGACCGCCGTCTGGCGCGCCTCGAGGAGCAAGAGGCCCGCATGAACCGCGCGAGCTCGGGCTTCGACGGCCTCATGATGCTGGACCGCCGCCTCAGCCGTATGGAATCGCGCATCACCAGCCCTGACCCCGGATTCGTCAACAGCCCCCCGCCCTTCATGCGCAACAATTCCCACCCCGCCGCCGACTACGAGACTCTGTTGGCTCTGGGCGGCGTCAGCAACATAAACGCTCCCCTCGCGCCTCCGACAGAGACCCGCTTCGACCGCTGGAACTACGGAGGAGGCGCACCCGGCAGCAACAACAGCCCCCGCCTTCGCGGAGGCGCCGGTAGCCCTCAACACCGCTTCTCGCAATCGCCCTCGCGCTTCGCCGCCCCGACCGCCGCTCGCGCCAGCGGACCCCTGGCCGAGACCTGGCCGCTCGACGAGGCCGAAGAGCACCGCCAGCAGCAGCAACGGTCTTCTCCGCAGAACCACCCGACCCAGCTCCGCCCCGGCTACGCCCGCGCCCCGGCCTCGACCGACTCGATGGGCACCGTCACGCTGAACGCCCAGGACGACTATGATGACGACGAGCTGCCGTTCCCGCCGACGGTGCAGGTGGCCGACGTGGGCAGGGCGTACACGCCCGACGACAACCGCCCGCACCGCCTCAGCTTCGGACGTGGTGACATCAACAACAACGACGACAACGACGGAGAGAACAACAACATCAACAATGGCAACGGCAACAACGGCAACAACGGCAACAACTTCACCATGCTCGGCGTCGCCCGTGAGCAGCCCCTGCGGTACTCGACCAGCGTGGCCAGCGCGACCAGCCAGTACAGCCAGGCGACCGAGGTGAACCTGAGCGACGAGAGGGGCGAGCGCGAGCGGCCCCGGACGGCGTACGTCGTCGACGACGTCTCGGCCGCCGCACAGCAGCTGAGTCCGGCGTTTGACGGGTTCCCCGACGCGCAGGGGAGCAGCAGCAGCAACAGCAACGACAACAGGGATAGTAAATAGGGGCAAATGAAGCGTGGTAGTAGTAGTACGCGTAAGAGCGGGCGATGATGGTAGATTGGTGTCATTTCTTGTTACTTCTTGTTATTTCTTTTTTCTTTTGTTTTTTTACTCTTCCCCCTGTTGACGGGTTGTTAAAGGTTGATACCACTCTTTGAAAGGGTTTTTTCTTTGCAGTCTGATTCAGCGTCTTGTTTTTTTTTGTTCCTAGGTACAGTCCATACTGATAGTCTTTCACCACTATCTATTACCGTCCAGGTAAGACCGAAAGTTTTCATTGCTTCCACAGCGTCCGCGTATTGTGGCGCTTCTTCTTATTCTTCTTCTTCTTCTTCTTCTTCTTCTTCTTCTTCTTCTTTTTTTTCAAGGTTGACTGGGGAACGCACAACACGAACTCGAGCCATAGCGGAACCGGCGGCAAGGGTGGCAACAATCGTTTGGTACACCAGAACATTCTTGTAGATTTTAATTTTTATTGCTATCCACGGCAACTACGTAGATCACAATTGACCGGGACGATGACATGGGTGATGATCCTCCATCATTACCCCACGTTCCCTTGACTAAAATGTAGGTTCGAAAGATGACGAATTCCCACCTACCTGGAACAGGGTATCCGTCCGCGCTATAAATAGAGACCAACGTGTCATAAGGTTATGTCGACTGGCCCTGGTAAGACAAGAAAGTCAGCCTCATCGTGTTCCTGAGTAAGGGATCGAGTGTTTCGCGGGGAAGCGCGTGCGCGTGAAACTCTGTCGTGACTCCGGAAATAAAATCGAAGAAGGGGTGACCCTTGCTTCGAATTATTTGCCGAGCCACTGCCAAAGCCTCACTTTACTCAGACAGCCGGTTTACTCATGCCTCCCACCGGCCGCAAGCCACGCTGGCCCCAAAACGGTTCCAAGCGCAGCCCGCAGCACTAAGCCCGCAATTACGCTCCGCAAACCCATCGGGTGCGCCCCCAAGAAGGGAACGGTCGACGGCACGATTGAGCAACTCCACAACCTATCATCCCTGCAACCCAGTATAGGATCGCAGGTCCGGTGCGGGAGGGAGGACCGGCGGGGCGGCTCATTGAATGGATAGACTAGGGTTCATCTCTGCACGAGGAAGATCTGGAGGAAAGGCCCCGGGCTTGCGGGGTGCCGGTGGTACTTACATCTGACGCAATCAAGCATTGGCTGCTGACGGGCTCGGAATGTAGCGGACGCCACGCAGGTTCTAGAATTGGACGTTAGCTTGGTCCAATGAAGCAATAATTGTACGTCAATAAAGGCAAAGAATGGCTCAAGGGTCAGATATATGGTAAGCTTGGTAAAAGGTTTCCACAAGAATGTTCAGTAGCAGAACTGATAATTTAAACCGATCATCACAAGAGCTGGGGGTAACCGAGATCGAAATGACTTACAGTGCTTCCAGCAGATCGAGAGGGGTGGTGGCATCGACGGCCAGGTTGCATTGCAGGCCACGGCACACCACCCCTTCAACCTTCCCCTCTCGTCAAGAAATCAGGAAATGACTCCAATGCCACCACACGCGGACATATGGCCGAATTTGTTCGTGATAGGATCATCAGCTTATGTGAGCGCAGAGGCCGAGCCTCAAGCCAGGCCACGCGTACGTGGCGGCCAATCTTGTGCGGGATACGAGCCAGCGAAGAAGAACAGCGCAGGCTGGCCTTGTGTGGCTACATGCCGAGCCTAAGGCAGGCTTGTCAGTGACGCGCTCTCAAGCCTCGATAGCGTTGCAAAATGAAGATTTGAGATATGTAGTCAGATGGTAGTGCATGTTTGTTCATGGCCCATAGGATGGTCGCCGGAACTAGTTGTGATAGGATTTCTTCCTGTGAAGGTGGCGTGCGCATCGAGGGGGCAGATGACTTACAGCAAGGCGTTGCAGAGCGAGTGGTCGCGGAGGCGGACTGGAGATGAAGAAGAGAGAAGGTCGCGTTCGCTGTGGGAAGAATTTCGCGGCGCGGAGCGCCAAGCCTCCGGCCTGCGGGTCTCCCGAAGCGGCGCCCGACCGCCGACCAACTTCAGACGTCAGCACCACAATTGCCACGGCGACGGCGCAGGAGGAGGGACTGTGCGGTCGCAGTAAATGCGCCGTTCACGACAACCTGGTTGAGGAAAATGACCCTCTTTGAATTATAAACGGCTAATTTTGACATTTCCAAGAGCTAACCGCATGCTCAGCACTGCGCAAGTCGGCAAGTCGGCGTCTTGGCAGCAGCATCGAGACGCAAAACTACCCACCGTGCGTCACAGCTTCACGAGAATCTACGCCCAACACCTCAAGCGGTCCCAATGGCTGATAGACGTCGCACGAACGCCCCGGCCGGCGGCACCTATGCCCCGGTCTTTGCATCCACCCTGCCCGACTATGAAGACTCCGCGCCAACTCGGCCATCACGCACGAGGAGCCCCGACGAGCTGCGCAAAATATGTATGCTCTCAATTCGCCTGCACAACCCAAAAGATACCCTGCCATTGACACATTTGCCTCTTACCTTCTAGTCCTGAAGACCGGCCTCACCCCTTCCGCCTCCGGCTCCGCCTATCTCGAACTCACGCCCGCGACTACCACATCCGCTACCACCACCATCGCCGCCAAGCCCACGAAAGCCAGTCTCGCCTTCCAGACCGGCAGCCTGAAGCTGTCATGCGTGGTGCAAGGGCCTAAGCCGCTGCCGCGCTCCTCGCCCTTCACGCCCTACCTCAACCTGACGACGACGCTCAAGTTCGCGCCGTTCGCGGCGCGGCAGCGCCGGGGCTACGTGCGCGACGCGGGCGAGCGCGACCTGGGCCAGCACCTGGAGGCGGCCCTGCGCGGCATCGTCATCGGCGAGCGCTGGCCCAAGAGCGGCGTCGACGTCATCATCACCGTGCTCGAGGGCGAGGAGGACGGCTGGGCCGGCGACGAGCTGGGCCTGGACGGCGGTGCTGGCAAGGGCAGCGTCGGCATGGGCTGGGGCATGATGAACGTGCTGGCCGGCTGCATAACGGTGGCGAGCGCCGCCATCGCGGATGCGGGCATCGACTGCGTCGACATGGTTGCCGGTGGAGTTGCGGCATTGGTGAGGAACGCAGAGGGCAAGGAAGAGCTGGTCTTGGACCCGAGCCCGCCTGAACACAAGGATCTGGTAGCCGCTTGCGTTGTGGGATACCTGCCTGGAAGGGATGAGATAACGGAGCTGTGGATGAAGGGAGATGCGGGAGACCGCGCTGAGGATCTTGTGGAGAGGTCCGTTCAGGCTGCTCTGGCATCGAGATTGGTCCTGGAAGAAGCTGTCAAAGAGTCGGCGGCTCTCAAATTCCCTCAATTCGCCGACCAGCTGCTGAAGGCCGGAAACAATGATGTTGAGATGGCTGGCTGAGAAGTGGGAAGCCGTCTTACGGGCTTCTCTCAGGTTTACGGGTATAATGGCATAGCGTTTGGCGTTTTGGGCGGTCAAAAAAAGGGAAGCTTTTGGGGAAAGATAGTAGATGGAAGGATATCGGAAACCCTTGATGGCAGTACTGCAATGAAACACGGGGCTGCCCAAAGAACACCTCAGCCCTACAAAACTAAAGATGATGACAATGGCGCTTCCCTGAGAACGAATTGCAAAATTCAATTGGATAGCTCACGCAGTCGGAAATGCTTATAATATTTGTACAATCTATACGGGCGTCCAGTCTATGGTCTTGAGGTTTTCATCTGAAATTATCTCCGCCATTCGCTCTCATCCTCACTTCCCACCTCCGGCACTGTCGCCAACTCCACCGCGTCATCATCATCAGCCTCCTCCTCGGCCCTCTCCGGATTGTCCAAGAATCCTACCCTCTCCTCCTCACTCCCTGACCCGACCACTAACCCTTCTGCGCCAGCAGCAGCAGCCGTTCCCTTGAGCGTCTTCTCCTCCCTTTTCCCGATGATGACGCTGCCGGCGATCATCATGGCGGCGCCCAACCACCACAGGCCGGGCAGGGACTCACCGAAGATGAGGGCGCCGAGGATGGCCGTCGTCATGAAGTTTGACGTGGTGTTGATGATGCTGACGCGCACGGTCGAGAAGGCGAGGGTGAGGGCGCGGGTGAAGAGGCCCCACATGATGGCATCGAAGAGCAGGTTCAGCAGGAAGAAGAAGCCGCGGAAGGAGAACTCGAAGACCTTGTTGTCCGGCGAGAGGTTGAACAAGGAGAGGAGCGCATGCGACCAGCTCGTCGTGAGCGACGTCGTCGTGCTGTTTGCGACGCGAGAGAGTATCAGTGGCTCTGCTATAGTGCTGCTAGCTGAGATTAGGGGGAGCGCACAGCTTGGCGAACATGCCGTTGAAGGCGGCACAAGCACCGCTTCCAATGGCCAGGGCGAGCCATGCGCTGCTCGGCTTGGGAGCAGTGGCCGCCATTGTCGCGTCGGGTTGAGCTGTGGAGAGCGGGAAATCCGGGGACGTGGGAGACGCGTCGGGGGCGGTCTTCGGTCAAAGATCTTCCGTCCGCCAGCTTTAGCCAACGGATAAATTCGACCCCTAGTCGTAAATCACGTCTCACGAGACTATGGCACTGCATTCAACACACGAAAGCCAAGTGGAAGTGGGGCAACGATGCTAGAGCTCTGCGGAGAGCGTGCCTCCGGTCAGCTAAGGTGGGGCTCGCAAGCAGCTCGTTCTCCAAGCGATGTACGAATCAGCAGACGAAGCCATGTACAAAGAGCTCTCGTTCCTCCTGCTGATGAGGAGAGAGGAATGCAAAGAGTGGAGAGAGCTTGTTTATACGAAGCTTCATCGCCGTACATAAGAGACCGATTGGGAGCCTATCCAGTGCTCGTAGGAATCAATCACTGCGTCTCCTGGCCAAGATGAAGTTTCGCGATGGTAAGTCTAAATTTCAGCCTGTTCAAGTAGTCCTTTTTCTGCAATACGCATTGATTCAGCCATGGCTTCGCCAGGGCCGTCAAATCGAGATTAATGGCTTCCGGAGTCTAAAGCAGACGTCCCCAGCGACAAATCCTAACATCATCCAGGAATGTGGCTCGTTGCAGCCGACAAGCACGTCCAATATGCTGAAGACATCTACACAATCACTCCCCGCGACAACAAAGCGCTCGACCTCCTTTGCCCTACCCGGCACATCCGCTCCCGTGGCGACACTCTGAATTTGAGCACCATAAACATCGAGATTGAGGCTCAGTTCGACGGTGTGATCTCCATAGAAGCTACTCATTTCTCCGGGGCACAGAGGAGGGGACCGAACTTCGATCTGTATCCCGATGGACGACCGGAGCTTGGAAATAGTAAGCCAATATCGTGCGAGGAAACTTGCAGTAACTCACAAGCGTACAGCAAACATCAGCAAAGGGGATAAAGGCACTACCCTCGCAGCTGGTTCATTGTCTGCCACCGTCGGACCGGATCCTCAGGCTTTCGACATCCGCTTCCACGCCACCGATGGCTCGAAAGAGCTCACACAGCTGCTGAACCGTAGTGTCGGCCTTGCATACAGCCCAGCAACGGGTTCCCCGAAGCAAGTGGAGGACATGCGTAACCTCCAACACTACATGTTTACGCAGCACGAACTCGGCGTGGGCGAGTCCATCCACGGCCTGGGAGAGCGGTTCGGGGCATGGAACAAGGTGGGCCAGGCGATCGACTTGTGGAATGAAGACGGCGGCACGTCCAGTGACCAGGCATACAAGAACATCTCCTTCTATCTAAGCTCCAAGGGCTACGGTGTCTTCATCGACACGCCGGACAAGGTGTCCCTCGAGATTGGCAGCGAGCGCTGCTGTCGTCTCCAGACATCGGTCGAGGGCCAGCGATTGAAGTGGTACATCATCTACGGGCCTTCGGGACCCAAGGAGGTGCTAACCAAGTATTCGATCCTGACCGGAAAGCCGGGCAAGCTGCCTGCTTGGAGTTTTGGCTTGTGGCTCTCGACATCCTTCACGACCGACTATGACGAGAAGACGGTTACGCACTTCCTCGAGGAAATGCGCTCGCGTGAGGTGCCCGTCGAAACATTCCACTTCGACTGCTTCTGGCTGAGGGCTTTCCACTGGTGCGACTTCGTGTTCTCGTCGGAGCATTTTCCGGATCCGGCCGGTCAGATCAGGCGGATGAAAGAGAGCAAGCTGGCTAACAAGGTGTGCGTCTGGATCAATCCATACCTGGGCCAGGCATCGCCCGTGTTCCAGTACGCAGCTGAGCGGGGCTACCTCCTCAAGCGGAAAAATGGAGACGTGTGGCAGTGGGATCTATGGCAAACAGGCATGGGCATCGTCGACATTACGAACCCCGAAGCGCGCGACTGGTACGTGGGTTGTCTGAAGCAGCTGTTCGATCTGGGTATCGACACCATCAAAACGGACTTTGGCGAACGCATCCCCGCCACGGACGTCGAGTGGCACGACAAGACGGTTGATCCAGGCCGGATGCACAACTACTACGCTTTCTGGTACAACAAGATGGTGTATGAGGCGCTGCAGGAGCGCTTCGGAAAGGACCAGGCTGTTCTGTTCGCGCGTGCAGCCACTGCTGGGACGCAACGCTTCCCGTTGGTAAGCTAACGCCTTTTGTGCATCTGCTGCTTCCTCGTAATCAGCTAATTAAATCTCCACAGTGCTGGGGCGGCGACTGCGAGTCGACGCCTGCGGCCCTTGCCGAATCGGTCCGCGGCGGGCTGTCTATCGGACTGTCAGGCTTCAGCTTCTGGTCCTGCGACATCGGTGGCTTCGAGGGCAACCCGCCGCCGTGGATTTACAAGCGGTGGGTAGCGTTCGGGCTGCTGTGCTCGCATAGCCGTCTGCACGGGTCAAACTCATACCGCGTGCCCTGGCTCATCGATGGCGGAGCAGTGGGAGAAGGCAGCGCAACGAGCGTGCTGCGCACCTTTGTGCGTCTCAAGCGCCGGCTGATGCCGTACCTGTACGCGCAAGGCGAGGTCAGCCGTCGCAACGGCTGGCCGCTGTCGCTGCGCGCCATGTGCCTCGAGTTCCCGGAGGACCCGACCAGTTGGTTTCTTGACAGACAGTTCATGGTCGGTGACAGCGTGCTGGCAGCTCCCGTCTTTACCGAGGAGGGCGAAGTCGAGTTCTACCTGCCAGCGGGCAAGTGGACGTCATGGTGGGACGGCAGCGTGGTCGAAGGCCCCGGCTGGCGCCGCGAGAAACACGGGTTTGAGACGCTTCCGCTATACGTACGCGAGGGTGCGGTGCTGGTGCTGGGACAGGAGCAGGAGGGCGTCAAGGGGGAGGGCTTCGCGTACGACTGGCTGGCCCGTGGCGCAGAGGTGTGCCTGTACCACACTAAGGGAGGCGAATCGGCACAGGTCGTCGACTCCAAGGGCGAGACGATAGCGACGCTGACCGTGGCGGAGGACGGAGCGAGCGTCGTCAACGACGGCCTGCAGAAACTCGGGGCGGAGGTCAAGGTTCGACGCGTGTAACTGGGCTCGGTTATCGTCTATTCAGCTCTGACATAGCATGCAAGGGCTATTGGAGAAATTCATACAATCAGGCTGCTGACAGATGCAGTATGGCGCGGGCTGGAGTGAGTGGCTGACATGTCGTTGCGCAAACGCCTCTTTGACGGACAATGTGGAAAGGGAGGGTGAGAAGATCAAAGGAAAAAGCCGCAGGCTCTGCTCGGAAATTTGGGGAGTGTGGGGTTCGCGCCTTCTTCGTGCGACGCACATCACGTAACCCACTTCGCCGCTTCGGGAAGGTTGTCTGAGCGCCCGGCTTATACAGGGCGTCAGAAGGATGACACAACCACCCGCTAACGCTGATCGGCCGCGTACCTGACCCGACGGCGCCGCTTAGCACGGTAACATGCGTTGTACTCGACTACCGTCTGTCGTACCACGCTGTTGGAGGCGTGTTGCTCCCCAGCTCTCACTCGTGGCCTCGTAGCATCCAACAACGTCTGCTCTCATGATGCCGTCCTTCACCCAGACTTGGGTGTTTGAGCCAGCGTCCCGACGCGAGCCTGTGTGAGCCTCAGAAGGATATATAAAGAAGGCCACCATCCATTCTTCCTTCACCACCACCACCAGACAGCTCCCTCCGGTCTACTCTCGCTACTTTCACTTCCCCACCAACCAACCCCCAACCACCAGCCAAAATGCACGCCGCCGGCCTCTTCGCTGCCCTGATCATGGGCGCGTCGTCCGCCACTGCCTTTGCCTTGGGCCCGAGGAGTCCCGCTGCAGTCACTACCGTGAGGCTCTGGAACGGTGAGAACAGGCAAAATGGCAACGACGACAACGGTGTCCCCCTGCAGCCTCAGTTCTACGATGTCACTCTCAGCGATGGAAACGGCGCCTGCTGTAAGTAACTGACAGTTGAAATGAAGGCTTCGCTGATATCAGGGGACCCGTAGTCAACCTCGGGGGCCTGACCATTGACAACAAGACTACCTCCATCAGCGTTCCCGCTAGGTGGTCTTGCACGCTCTACGAGTGAGTATCTAACAAAATTTCCCAATGTACATCCAGCTGACTTCATGGAGCACCGCCGGCTGCACCGGCCCCTCCAGCGGCTCCATTGTCTCGCCGGGTGTTGACGACCTCGCCAACCTCAACTTCGACAACAAGGCCAGCTCCATTAGCTGCAAGCTGGCCTGACTCTCTTCGCAGCCGCCGTCGCCCTCGTCTACGTCTTCGTCGTCGTCTTCGTCAACCCTTCCTCCATCGACCACCTCCACGGGCACTTCTTCTTCAACGACTGGCTCCTCCACTGGTACTTCTTCCTCAACTACTGGCTCCTCCACTGGTACTTCTTCCTCAACAACTGGCTCCTCTACTTCTGGAACGTCCACGGGGACTTCCACCGAAACTGGCACTTCCACCAGCACGGGCACCTCGACCGGTACTGTAACCACCACCGGCACGTCCACGTCAACAGGCACCTCGACGTCCACTGCAACCTCGACGTCTACCGGAACCTCGACGTCCACCGACATTTCGACGTCCACCGGGACTTCCACGTCCACCGGAACCTCCACATCTACGGGAACTTCCACGTCTACCACGTCGAGTGGCACTGAGACCTCGACGGGCACCTCAACTTCGACAGGAACATCCACGAGTACCGGTACCTCAACCTCGACGGGAACTTCTTCTACTACCGGTACCTCGACCTCGACGGGAACTTCCACTACTACCGGCACCTCAACTTCTACCGGGACCGCCACTTCGACCGGAACCACGACTTTGACCAGCACCTCAACCTCCACCAATACAAGTACCACTCCCTCTACTTCCCCTTCTACGACTTTGACGACGATAACGACGATGACGACATCATCAAGCTCGACGAGGATCAGCGATCCAGTATCCACGTCGACTTGCATCGCGGGCAACGGTGGCTACGATCTCGCCTGTTGAATCTGATCCCATTCCTTCACCCGACCATTCTCAAGGAACTGGGTAAAGAACCATCAGGCCTAAGCAACAGTGTGTGTGTGTGTGTGCGTGCAGGTACACTAGGCTGTCACATTGGTTTTTTTCAATTCTCTCTCTTTGCCCCTTTTCCAATTCTTTCCTCATCTTTCTCTTGCACATAACTTGTTTTCTCCTCTCTCGCAAAAGAGACCATGAGGGAGCCTGTCTACCAAATAGCGATTCTGCGTGGGTCTGGAGGAAAACTCGAAAGCATGTGTGTACACTCCTTTTCTTCGAGTGAGAAAAGAGCAGGAAAGGGGGTTTATTTTTGTGACTTCGTCTTTTTTTCCTTTTGGTCTCTTGGGTAGGAACGATTCAAGAAACGAGCATTGCGGGAAGTAAAAGGGTAGGAAAATCAAAAACTTTCACTCCCAACTAAATTTTCGAAGATGAGCAAAAGCGAATATTGATATGTGAATTACCAGGGCTTGGGAGCCTAATGAAACAGAGAAACACAGCCTTAGAACACTGTAATGCATAGGAGGTAAGTTTTTTTTTTTTTTCAGACGGCTGAGACTCTCATCTCAATATTCAAGACTGTACGAGCTAGTTAAGTCAATCAATATTTGGGCTTTGGCAATTTCGCCATCCGGCCTGAAATTAGTGAACGAAAGTTCCACCGTTAAAGCTCCAAAGGTACTGAGTGTTTTCATGCCGTATGTTCTCCAAGAGCACCAAAACCTCTTCATTTGACAATTTTGGCTCGCCGTCTTTTCTGTGATTGCTACACCCTACATATAAATTTCCTTAGCATATTAAGTATGGTAACTCAAGGTCTAAACAGTGAGCTCCAATGCAATACTAATAATGCGAAGCTGTTAGGGAGTTACTAGTAGACTAATAGCTCTCAGAATTCATTATTGATATACGCCGTCACAATGGAACTCCATACATCTGTGAAATGTTTTTCATGATATTGTCATATCTTTAGTGAAATTGGAGTAGGGCTATGTAGCATCCTTGAGTCCATCCAGGGCTCATTCCGTGTCCTCACACCGGTCTGCAGAAGAATTGCCACACTCAAACCATTTCACCAGTTATTCCACTTACTCACGTGGATAGTCGAAGTCCTCATTGGAGCCTCCGGTAAAAATTTTGGGATGAACATCTACGTCCGAATATTTGCTTCGGCTGCCCAGCTGGAAGGATGCAATTGCCAATGTGCTTGTTGAAAAGATTATGGAGCGTATATTGTTGGTATGTTATCTTGGGTCTAAAGCATGTACCACGTCCATGAAGAATATGAGATCCTGTAGCGTTCAAAGTCGATATCACCCGGGGTTCTATGTAGCCAGTAGCCACCATCCTAAGCAACAAAGAAAATATTGGAATACTTACTTGCTTACGCACCACGTCAGAAATCCTCAATGCGCACACCAACGTTCCTCGAATCCGCGAGCGCCACGAGGTCGGAACCGATAACCACGTCCATCAATCCTAGACCGACGCCCTTGTAGATCACGTTCCCCCTTGCCAGCCAATCTTTGAGGCCCAAATCATCATCGTCTAGACCGCCGCTGCTTGCCTTGCCGGGGCACTTGTCATCGTCCGCAATCTGAATGCCGGACTGGTCGTTAAGGCTGTTATTGCTGGACGACGCGGGTCTATTGCGCCGCCGGGCCTCGGCGTCACGCCTAAGCATGACGAGCTCGCCGAGCTCGACGACTTGGTCGCTCTCGAGGCCGGCCTGGATGATCTCGCCGGCCTCGCGCATGCACGACTCGACGCTGTCGACGATTATGGCACCCCCTTGCTTGGCATGCTTGTGGAAGTGACGGCCGTGTTGCGGAGCCACGGCCTGACGGATGATATCTGGGTGGATTTCAACCATGTTGGGTTTGTACTGGGAACAAACGGACATGAATTAGTTGACAAAACTACAACATGGATGCCTTTGCGGAGTAAGGAAGGACGAGAGACTTACGCTGCCAATAGCTGCGATGTATCTACCCTTCCTCCGGCCTTCTGGGTTTGTGAGATAGCTGGCAGGGAAGAGCGGTTCCAGCGACGGGGTAGTCATGAATATGGCCGATGACGAGCGCACCGTCGATTTCAGCAAACGATCATACTCGGTATGGCCGGGGGTGATCAGCTTGATATCTGGGCGATCTACCCTGTGGTCCTTGTTGTTCGCCGGGTCAAATAGCTGCGTCATCAGGTTCTTTGCCGTTTCATAGCTCCGGTTGATGATGTTGAGGTGGTGGATTTCGCCGGGTCGCAACAACAGCGCAAGTCGAATATGCCAGTACGCCTGCTTCCCTGCGCCGAAGACAGTCAGGTCATGCACGTTGTTACGCTTCTTGAAAAGCATGGTCGAGGCCAAGGCAGTGCGGAAGGCAGTCAACTCCTCAGCGTTGATCATGCCGCGCGGGAAGCCATGCGTGTCAAGAAGTGTCATGGAGCCGCGCGGTTGCGAGAGGTTCACAGGCTTGCCTGAAGCTGTTGGCGCAACTTCAGCGGGCTTGCTTGCTGACGGATCTGGCAATGTTACTATCTTTACGCCGAGGCCATCGTTACTGCTGGCGGGCATGAACAAGGTTGTAGAGCCATCCTTCCTTTGGAGATGTGTTCGCTGGGGCTGGTACGTCGCGCAGCAGCCGCTCTCGGTTTCCGTGGCAGTTGAGTAATAGTGGAGGGCGTCTCCAAGCGATTGCTGGAGATCGAGGATATCTTGTCGATCGAGAGAGTGCAGTAACGACTTGACGTCGTGGTCGGTTAGCACTGTGAGAGGCATTGTAGGCCTTGCAAGTGCAGCTTAGAAGGCGTTGAGGATTGGGCGTAACCGTGGCGGGGGGAAATGACGCAGCCCGCGGGGCCATGACAACTTCGGCGCGCGTCGGCGAGTCGGCGGAGCGGAGGTCCGATAGTGGCTCGGGAAAAAGTCGCACGATGGGCAATTCACGTTGCACATTAACCAGGGTCAAGAGTCATGTACTGGACCAGTGAGTGCTTCCTTGTCATTTGCGAAGAAATTGTTACTCGCATTTCCGTCGGATTTCCACCAACGCCCGCTAAACTGAGGAAGACACGCCTGAGTCCCGTTTATCCATCCATTTTGGTATCGTGAATATAAGAGTTGAAACTTTTTAGGCCATTTAGATCTTGATGGCGTTCTCAAGAGCCTTGCGCTTCTTCTCCTGCTTGGCGTTGGCCTTGGCACCCATGATACCACCACCCCAGTGGCGGCGGCTCTCCTCGTGCTTGTCGGTGTAACCCTCCTTGATGGCGGAGACGAGCTTGGAGAACTCGGACTTGTCCTCAGCGCGGACCTCGGTGAGAGCGAGGACGGCAGCGGTCTGCAACGCGTTAGCTGGAGAACGGAAAAACGAGCGCACGCGGGACTACGAACCTTCTTGTGGACGACAGTGCCGAGGCGGGCCTTGCCCTTGATGATGGCGTACGGGACACCCATCTTGCGGCAGAGAGCGGGAAGGAAGATGACCAGCTCGATGGGGTCAACGTCGTTGGGGATGAGGACAAGGGAAGCCTTCTTGTTCTCGATCAGGCCAACAACGTGGTTGAGACCGTACTTGACGGCGTAGGGCTTCTTGGAGACATCCTCCTTCTTCTTGCCCTCAGCGATGGCGGTAGCCTCCTTGGTGAGACGCTCCTTCTTCTCGGCCTTGGTCTCCGGGCGGTACTTGTTGAGGAGCTTCAGGGCCTGAGCAGCGGTGTTGCGGTCAAGGACGTGCTGGAACTGGGAGATCGCCGGGGGAACCTTCAGGCGAAGGTTGAGGATCTTCTTCTGGCGCTGAAGGCGGACATACTCGGGCCACTTCACCATGCGCGACAAGTTGCGCTTGGGCTGGATGTCCTGACCGATGCCATAGTTGCGGGGGCGCTTCTCGAGGAGAGGGTTCTGTGATACAGATTAGCGCTCGGTATTCATCCAAAGAAAATTGGAGGTCAGCTTACCTTGGCCTGCTTCTTGGAGCCAGCCTTGCCCGACGAGAAGGGCGCAGGGGCGGTCTTCTTTCCCGACTTAGGAGGCTATCATTGAGAAAAGAATCAGCCATGGATTCTTTGATCTCTAAAGAGCGCATGGAGGCATTTCTGCACGCCATGGCTCAAGCCATAACATCGCTAACATCTGCCAGACAGTGCTGGTGATGCGCGGAATTTTGCTGCGACTTGCGCCTCATTCACCAGAGCAGTGACTGAGGACAGAGGTCTTGCAGACTGCAGTGCTTCGAGCACTCATTCCGGGTTGCTTACCATTGTGTTGTCGTAGGGCGGTCGTTGGACTTTGTCGACGTCGTGGTTGAGGAGAAAAGACGAGTCGCAGCTGCGAAGAAGTTCGTGGGTTTTTTTGGATGTGCGTCGCCTAAGCACCCTTCCTGGGACTAGCGTCGCGTGTAGCTTCCTCCTGTGCACAGACCACATGGCGCGTTCATCGGCCATTCTTGGTACCCTAGCATGTACGAGCAACATATTTCACGTTGCAGCCTTGCGCGCTCTATGAGTCCCAAAGATTTGCTTCAGCCTACCTTTGGCTGGCTTTTACAAAACCATCTCCTCTACCTTCGGACGCATTCTCCTATCCGCTAGACGGTTGGCATTTAGTCCTGGCCATGCCCACCTTGACAGCAGCAGAGGGTTACTCGTGAGTAACTCGTTTTTGGAGTAGTAAGCACTGGTCCCAAGCCTTCCCCAAAATCGGAACTAAGCCTTACTCGGCACGCAAAGCACCAGCAGCGCAAGCCATTGTAACCAAGCACAGGCAGTTGAATCGTCCATTCCTAGCAGCTTTAGACGATACTATACATCATCGAAATGTTAAGGGGAAGGAAAACCATTTGGCACAATAGAGAGCTGCCGGTCTCGGCTGATACGCGCCATGAACGCCTCGCCACCGCTTCATGCGCGAAAAAAGCTTCATTTGCAGCATTCACTCCTGAAGGAACAACTTCCTCCCGGAATCGCCTTCCAAAATGCCAAAGCCAATCGAACGGATCCCATGTCAACGCCAAAAGAAGTCTTGTAGAGAAAGTGCCGGCAAAAGCTCTTGAATAATACGAGATGTAGAGAAAGGCTCAATACCTAGTGGAAATCCCGAATGAGACTGGCCAGGTCTATTGTCGAGAATGAGGCATGCAGTCGTGGAAGAATCATACGGTCATAAGGAGAGCCGCAAGCAAAGAACTGGACGGGAAACGTGGGCGAGTCTAGGGGACTCGTCAGGTTGACTATCCGAGCTCTCACACGGCAACACGCTCGTGGGCCTTTTTGTCGAAAAGACCTTGAGCCGTTGATATCCGAGAAAGCGTGTTTCGCAGCCCAACGACGGAGAGACGAGGGTTGCTGACCCAAGTGGTGGGGGGGTGCCGTATGTTCTCCATTCATTTCTCGTATGCAACGGAACTGGTGTAGAAGGATGTCTTATCACCCAGTTTATCGTGCCGGTCACTGTCAGCGTCATTGCCGGCTTCCGGGTCGTGATCGCTTCATCTTCTCCTTGCAGTCGTCGCAGTACCATTTCGCTAACAACACATGTCAACCTTCCGATCTATCCACATACCTCACACACAGGAAGACATACCTTTCTTGTTTGGTTCCTTGGTAATGCCTACGCAGGCGTAATGGAACCACTGTCTCAAGCAATCGGGATTGTCGCAACCGATCATTTCGCCGTAACTGACACCATTGCAGTAACAGAAGCGCTCCTGGTCACCGTCTTCGTCATCGTCTGCGATCTCTTCCTCAATGTCCGGACCGGAAAGATCACCGGCCAAGCTGCTGCCATCATCGACGTTGTTCGCCTGCTGCTGGAGCGCCGACGCGCCCTTCTTGTGCGACCGTTTCTGCGATTGCGTCGACGCAATTGGCACGTTGGATTCGGAAGACGCGTGGCTGCTGCCGTTATTCCGCGTGCTGCGGCTTCGAGCCATGGGCACATCTGCGGGGAAGCTACCCACGACAGGTGTAGCAGTCTTCGATGTGCGCCCAGCACGGGTAACTACTGTCTGCACAGGCGTCCCAGAACCATCCTGTGCATCTGTATCCTCACGTTTCATGTTATGTTCCGCGATGGCGCCATTTGCTGAAGTCGAAGGTTCAGCTGTCAGGCGCGTGCTGGACGGGCCTACAGCCGGCGAAGCATGCGCACCAGCCTGCTCAGCTTCCAACGGATTCGCCGTACCGTTGACGGCGCGGTTCGACGCCGATGACGGTGGCCGATTTCGAGCGGGATCTTGGGTGTTCGAATGGGTAGAATTCGTGGCAGAGTTTTGACGGGCGCGAGAAGACTGCGGGCGCTGCGCATTCGGTCCTGTTTGGTGGAAAGATCCAATCACTGGTGATGAAGGAGCTTGAGGGGACTGGGCCCCGAGTGCTTGTGTTCTGCTTCAGATTTTAACATGTTGTGCAGGGACTGGATCAACCGGGACAGATTCATACCTCTTCTTGATGGCCGTGGGAGCTGGAGCTGCGCGGGACCTCTTCTTACCACCCTCTGCTACTGGCGTTTCTCTTGGACTTGCGCGGCCCGGTTGGGCGTTCTGCATGGCTCCACTTAATGATCGTTCCATTGCAGGCGCAGCTGCCACGCCCTTTTCGGTCTTGCGTCTCTTATTCGTCTGGCCTGGCCCATTGCTAATACCCAACCCATAGAGCCTAGCATCGGGCGGGCCGACGGGCTCGGCGACCTTCTTGCCACGGTTTGTGGGCGGCTTCTTCACCGGTCTGCTGTCTTCGAACTCGGAGTCGACGTAATGGTTGCGATTCCTCTGCTTCGCGAGCAACGCCTCACGTCTGGCTTCGCTCCTGGAAGCAGCGATATCTACTTCGTGGACCGCTGCTGCCGCAGCTGCAAGGTTGTTGGCAGCGGCGACTTCGCGACGCGAGCGTTCGTTGGTGGCTTTCTTCTTCTCATCGCCGTCCTTGTACGCCCAATGGGAGAAGCTACCATACCGCGCCTCGAAGGTAAGCTCCTCGTCAATGTGCTGGAACGAGCTCTCCATGCGACCTAATTGCTTATCCATCGTCTGGTTGGCGCTGGAAAGCACCGCGTTCTTCTCGTCGAGCATTGCGCACATTTGCGATAAGCCATAGCGATAGCGGAGGAACAGCTCACGACGGGCTAAAATGGAAGCCTCGTCCATGAGTTTGCCATTGTTCGCGTTTTCGAGCAGATCGTTGCCTTGCTGCTGATTGGTAGGCGTCTGGTTTTGAGTGACCGAGTCGGCAACGCTTCCATTGGCAGTGTTATGTCCTGTTGCATTCGCGGTGTTGAGCGCTGCGAGCTGCGCCTCCCGACGCGTCGGGGCATGCAGTTGCGAAACTTGTTCCGCCAGCCTCTGCAGCTCGTCATCTGGCTGGTGTGTCTTCGCTTCGACTTCCTTCAGCATGGAGAAATGCTTCATAATCTCCTTTGGCAGCGCGGTTATAGTGTCTGTGAAATGTGTGATGGCTGGAAAGAAGCCAGGCGCAGCGGTGTTCGTCGAGGCATTGTCGGCGCCTCCCATGGGGCCCCGAGGAGCGAAAGGTCGGGCATAGTAGTTGGCCGGTCGGGTCGCAGTGGTGCGCTGCTGTCGAGCTGACTGGCGACGGCCGGGGCCGGAGGAAGAGCCAGCGGGCTCTCGAATCGTGGACGCCTTCATGGTGGGCGTCGAGTGGTGGCTTCACCCTCAGTGAGGATGATCGGACGCGGCGCGACGGAAGGCAAGTGTGTGGGGCCAGACGAAGCGAGTCGCTGAGCTACGAGCAGAGTTTCATAGCGCGCGAAGCCGAGCGTTCGAGAGGGCGGCGGCGCGAAGACGAGGGGACAAGTGAAAAAGGCGCGCAGAGGAAGGAGGACGCTGCTCGCCGGTACACGACCGAGGCGGACGAGTTGCCGGGCACACGCTCGCCGAACCGCTGAAAGTGGCCTCCACCGCCAATCCTGCGCTTATCGATAAGCGCGGCAGAAAAGGAAAGGCACATGACGACATTGTCGGCTCTCCCATAGATAATCGTCGCCGCTTCGTCTCTGTGTAGCCGCCCCGTTCTCGACCTTGAAACTTTGGCCGCCGTCAATCATCCAGCGTTAGTCGGCCAACACGCGATTCCGTTCGTGAGATTACAACCCCTATCCCCGTGCTGAACCCTGGCCTTCCGACCAGGTGGGCTGAAGTCTGGTAGCGGTTGACTGATTGTTCCACGGATCATTGACTTTTGCGTATGTTATGACTGCAAAGGGCCCAGCCGCAGGTGGCACAGCGGCATTGCAGCAAGCGTAAATTGCGGCGTGGTGCGCGGGGCGTCAAACGGAGTGATACGTGTTGTTTGCATTGGAAGAAACAGCTGGCCTCCAGGAACAGGGAAGGCTCTCGGGAAATTTCCCTTGCGAAGGAGCGTAGAAAGAGCATGGATTTCGACCCCGCGGCTGGCCTTCTTCTGCAGCCGACGGCCGGTGGATGACTCATGTGGAGTCGGGGAAGGAAACCCGGGACAGCCCTGAAGCTGCACTTGAGCGCGTGTTGATTGGTCTCCGCAGTTGACCTTTGTATCGGATCGCAGAAGCGCCAATGGCCGCCGGCAGTCCTCGACGTAACGGCCCGGTGGCGGGCAGCTGAGATACGGCTCCTGTCTCACGTCGCCGAGATAATCTCGGAACTTAAGTCGCAAGCATTCCAGCCATGGAGCCCCACAAATAGCTAGCGCATCTTCTTCTCAGCATTCACCATCGCGGGTCTTCCACATCAGGAAAGCACGCATTCTTCGTCACTCTGTTTCTGCACCTCTATTCGGAGCTTCTGCTACCTTGTCAGCCTCGTTCTTCTTCTCTTGGCCACAACAGAGCAATGGCTTCAGGCAACGATACACTATCACAGCGCGGTGCTGTGTACGCGACTCCGCCGAACCCCATGGGCAATTATAGGGAGCTCCCTTATGATACCTACGACCCCGAGACCAACCCTACTGGCTTCATCAATATCGGCACCTCTGACAATGTTGTACCTCCAACTCATCGACATAGATTCTAGGACTTTTACTAATATCAATCTGCATTGCAGCATGCTATGTCTTCTGAAGTGTCTGCTCACTTGGACACCAACCCCGTAGGCTGACTCTCAAAGATGTTTTTGATCGCACGCTAACCTAAGGCCAGCTCAAACTACGCCCATCCGAATTTATGTATGGCGAGGGCCCTGCTGGATCTTTGCGCTTGCGAAAGGCTATGGCTCAGTATATGAATAAGTAGGTGCTTTCAATCCGCGTCTAGATTGTTTAATTATTTTATTTTTATTGTGCCGGTATTACCTATTCTGATATACCCAGATACTTTAAACCATACAAGGCTGTGAATCAAGATGATCTCTACTTCGCCAACGGTTGCGGCTCTGTCTGCGAAGCTTTGGGCTATACCATCTTCGATGAACATGATGCTCTGCTCATCTCGCAACCCAGTTATGTTGGATTCCCTCACGATTTTGGCGCCAAATCCAAGTAAGTGCTATGACTTTCCAAATCAACTGCTAAACACATCTCTTTGACATCTGCTCTCAAGGGTCAACCTCTACCACGTTCCATTTCATGGAACCGACCAATTTTCGCCATCTTGCATCGACAAGTTCGAAGCCGCTCTCAACTCTGCTACCACATCCAGCATCAGAGTCCGCGCTGTGATGCTCTGCAACCCACATAATCCCTCGGGGCGCTGCTATCCCATCGACACCATCATCGCCCTCATGCGCTTCTGCAACAAGCATCGACTCCACCTCATCTCGGATGAGATCTATGCTACCTCGGTTTACAGCCCTGGGCCCCGCTTTGAACCGCACACTCCGTTCACCTCCGTGCTCAGCATTGACTATGCCCAGCATATTGATCCGAATTTGCTGCACGTCATGTACGGGCTGAGCAAAGACTTTGCAGCGAGCGGCATCCGAATTGGTTGTCTGCTTGTGCGAAACCGTGCTCTGATGGACGCTCTGCTCGCGGTCAGCCAGTCACACTGGCCCGGTATTGCGGACCAGATGATCGGCGTTGCAATGTTGGAGGATGGAGAGTGGCTGGAGCGTTTCAGAAAGCTGAATGCTCAGACGTTGGCTGAACGCAGTGCGCTCTTGAGGAAGAGTCTCGATGAGAAAGGAATCCCTTATGATGGGCGTGCCAATGCCGGCTTCTTTCTATGGGTGGATATGCGAAAGTGGTTGCCGAAGACTGATGAGAAGGGGCAAAGTGTGCAAGGGTGGGAGAGCGAGAGGGTGCTGGTGAGATTATTGAAGGCGAAGAAAGTAATTTTGACGGCGGGCGAGGACCAGGCGGCAGAGGAACCGGGTTTTTTCCGCGTCGTTTTTAGCCACAGGGAACAGGTGCTGGAGCAAGGCTTGCAGAGAGTGTTCAAGGTGCTTGATGAAATTTCTAGCGAGCAGGTCTGATGGTTTTGATGGTACAGGCTACTGTGTTCTCTAACAGGAACATTCATCTTAACGGTTTCGTTCTATTTTCCTGGTATTCTTAGAGGTGACTTGTTTTGGATCGCAATAGACGGGCAGCTGAAACATTATCAGGACACTTGGGCAGGCCACATGGTCAAGTGGATGCTTGTAGGTAAGGCATCGATCCTCCAGCATGTTAATGTTCGAAATGATCTATCGTAATGTTTTTTTCTGGTCTGTTCATCACAATGCAGCCGTTTGGAGCATGAAAATCGGGTAGAATAAGCAATCGATAATACAGGAGTATGTCTTGAGAATGTAGCGTTGCAAACGCGCCCAGCGTGCTGGATAGTGTTACACTGTCATTTTGATGATCATTACACTTCGGCCTTCCTGACTGCGAAGAAGTAGTTCCCGAACTTCTCACTCCTAGGCACCTCCTTCCATCCTAGTCCCGGCACGTACATGACGCCCATGATCCTCGGGCTCTCCAGCCCAGCCTGGGTTGCGAACCACCTGCTCAGCTCATCGTCGTTTATGTATTTATTCCAATCATGCGTTCCCTTCGGCACCATCCTTAAGATATCCTCCGCCGCCACAATTGTTGTCGCCCAACTTGTCCAGGTGCGCGCGATCGTCGAACCGACCAGCCATCCGCCGGGGCGCACATGGGCAATCAGCTGTTGTAGGAACTCTGTAGGCGTGGCGACGTGTTCGACAACCTCGAAGCAGGAAACGACGTCGAAACCCTCGCCGTCGAGCGGCAGCTGCTCGATAGGAATGTTCTTGTACGTCAGGCGGCCGTCCTCCATCAGCAGCGGGTCCTGCCGCTTGTGCGCCTCGGCCACGGCGAGCACCTCGGGGGTCGGATCGATGCCGAGCACGCTGGCTGTGGTGGGTTGCCGCGCCGCGCTCTCGGCGAAGATGCCGCCGCCGCAGCCGACGTCGAGGTAGCGCAGGCGAGAGGGCGGTGGGGAGGACTGCGAGGCCAGACAGCGCTGGATGAAGGGGTGGCGCATTTGGTTCATGAGGTGTAGCAGCCGCGACGGGCCGTGGGGGTCCCACCAGCTGGAGGCGAGTGCATTGAAGTGCGATACTTCAGTCGGATCAACAGAGCCATGGCCATTATTCGGGACGGAGGTGGTAGAGAAGAAGCGGGAGCTCGTGGATGCCGCGGAAGGGCGATGTGTCGCGGAAAGAGAGCTCTGCCTGAAGCTCCAGAGCTTTGTCCGTACCAGTCTAGGATGAGCTGTAGAGGCGGTTTCTAGGGTGCGCAGAGCGCTGGCGGCTCTTCTTGAAGCCATGTTAGGTAGCCTATGGGCGGCTGGTGTTACTAGTACCGGTCGCATGGAATTGGCGCTACACTGTCTTCATAGTGTGGGGGATGGAGTGCAGACTCGAAAAGTCGCGGTTCTCGAAATCAGAAGATGTCACCGATCGACAAAGCCACACGCACAAGCCACACCCGCACACTAGTACCACAACAGCATGTTGGATAGACTGAATTGTGATATGTTTCGCTTTAGGCATTTTGTTCATGTGCGAACCTGTCTATTCTCTTATTTACTCTGCTGCATAATTTGCAATTAGAACACAGCGAAGTGATTGGGGACTTCCGAGTCTACTAAATGGTTCTGTGGTTAGCTGGAGCAAGAAAACAGTGTTACCAAAAAGTAATCTTGACGTCTGTCAGCTTGGATCTTAGTCGGGCGATAGTCAGAAGTCCAGTGTCGAGTCGAATGTGCGACGGTCCAAACTGCAACCGAAAAACATTACAAGCCACCAGCCATCGCAACCTACTTCAGATTCCCATGGACAAGCAATCCCTCGCAGCATATTACCTTCTGCTCTAGTCGTCTACAAGACATCACTCTATTACTCAACAATGTCTCACATGTCGGCCCGCAGCTATCCTAACACTATGGCTAAGAAGTCCACTCACCCTCTCAATATCGCGGCTGAAAAGACATCACGTTCCTGCCGAGTTATAAAGCAAACAAACCTATCGAGAAGCTTTCGCTGTAACCAATCAGCCCCTAAGCCGCGTGGAGTCTTTCCCGCTCGCCGCTACAACAATGACGACGAAAGGCGCGACCACAACCTTTCCGCTACCCAAGAAATTAAGAAAGAGGAAAACGTCCACATCTGGCCCAGGTACCCCCTAATGCCGCATGCGCGTACCAACGACCTCCGCAGGGCATTATTGGCGGCATACTCAGACGAGTCGCAATACTACCGAATGCCAAAGATTGCCGAGGAGTATCTGGCAAAACACCCTGCCTCTGGTATGGGCGATTACGAAAAGAAGAGTTTCAACGAAGCGCTCGAGATTCTGGTCTCGGCGATGGAGAGAGACAATATTTCTTGGGGATTGTGGGGCGGCTTTTTCGTCCTCCTGATTGACCACTTGCGGTCTCTCAAGATCAAGACTGAGGACGACGATCTTGTTAATAAGCAATTGAAGAAGGAACAGTAAGGCATATGAAAAGATTTCTGGAGCCCGAGCCATCCGGGTTGGAGCTTTGACGTCTTTTCTGATTTCAATTTCTTTCTTTTGTTTGAATGTGAATCTTCAATGTTCACTGTAATTAATATGGAATATCCCTGCTCCAAGGCGAAGTAATTGAGGTACTTGTATGCTTTGATTTCATATCTTGGTTTGGGGTTGGAAAGAACAATAAACTCACACTCAAGTCCCATAATATCGCCATTGAGCGAATATGTCTTGGTCCGGATATGCTGAAGTGATGCCTTCATCTTTACGACCAGCAGTATGACACGGCATCGTTGAATAAATGCTCTTGTTCGGTAATTTTTTCGTGTTGCTTCTTGAATTTATCAGGTATCAGTCCATTGACCCGGTGAGGGGTTTCCCAAACGCCTTGCAATGCCCAATATTCCGTGCGCTTTCCTCGGACATGTGTTCTTGTTTTTCAGGCCCAATGACCTGCACGTGCGGAAGATCACAGCTAGTCCTGTCCATTTTCCGCCTTCCACTTCTCCAAATACAGCTTTCCGCTCAACGGGCCTAGCTTGTCCGGGAAACGTCCCCTGCCGCTTGCCTGCTTGACGGTTTTTGTAACGAAAGGCGTGAGCTATTATAGAAATCAGCACACGCTCAATACGCTTATTGGTAGAATTGGCTTTACTTCGAAAGAGCTGAGGTCGGGGGCAACGTATGTGCGGACCTTGGACCATTGGATCTTGTAGGTGCCGTACTTGGTGTGATTTCCCATAGAGCCAGAGCCGGTACCCTTGTAGAATCCCTTTCCGGTCTGCTTCGTGGTGAGGGTGAGGCGCTTGACGCTGCGCTGCAGCGCTTGGGTAGGCTGCATGGTGACTGGTTGGAGGTGTAGGTCGGTGGATGTTGCGCGCTCAGAGTCTCGCAGCGGAAACGAGTTGGCGGCCGCGGACATCGGCGAGTCGGCGACGCGCGAGTCAGTGCCACGCCAAGATTTCGAGCGCACGGGCCGCAAGTTCTGATTTTCTGTGGCCCTGTGCATTGAACGGCGAACATTTGCCCGCAGCGACGCTCCCTCAACCTCGAGCGCGCCACAATCTGCAGCATTTTCGTTCAAAATGGCTCGCCGAGTTGCACGGAGTTCGGCCTCCGCTTCCAAGCCGCGCACCGCACGCAAGAAGAACCAGAAGCGCGGCCTCGACGCCTTTACTATTGCCGAGCGCGAAGTTGGCGACAACACCAAGATTCGCCAGCACCGCCTGGGTGAAGCCGAGGACGACAACCCCCGCCGCAAGCGCCAACGCGTTGACCACGATGACGAGGCCAGCGAAGAAGACGACCGCCCTTCGAGGCCCCGTAAGAAATCCGCCAAGGGCCGTTTTGACGAACTGGATGTCAGCGAAGGCAGCGACTCCGATGGCAACACTTGGCGCATGGGCGAGGTCGACGAGGAAGACGACAGCGACATAGACAGTGACGAGGCCTTTGACGAGAGTGATGAGGAGAGGTTTGCCGATTTCTCATTTCGCGGTAGCTCCACCAACAAGGCGAAGAAGGGCAAGACCAAGGCTGCGAGGCCAGTGGACGAGGATGGCGACATTGATCTCGACGAGGACGAGGAGGGCGATGAAGAGGACAGCGACGACGATTCGCTAGGCTCTGAGGCTGTCGATTTGGCGCAAATGCTCGACGACTATGAGGAAGAGCAAAACCAGGCCAAATCGAAGGGCAAGAGGTCGAACAAGCAGCGGAATAACGTCGACGACGACAGCGAACAGGATGACTCCGACGAAGACGACGAGGAGGATGAGGAAAGCGAAGCCTCTGATTTCCAGATGTCGGACGGCGAGGACGACGATAGGGACGAGGGCAAGCTTTCCCAACTTCAAGACTTCATTTCAACTATCTCGCAAGGCCCCGAGACGAAAAACAAGAAAGGTCGTGCGGAGGACATTCACGAAGGCACGGCACCATCGGAATTTGGGGTTGGTGCTTCGCAGAAGCTCGACATTGGAGACCTCCTCGCTGGAACCAACGACCCCAATGCGAAGAAGATCATAAAGATGCTCAAAGACAACAAATCATCAACCCGCAAGGGTATTCCAGGCAAATTGGAGGCGCCTTTGCCCAAACGTCAGCAGGACAAGCTGGACCGTGCTGTTGCGAACGAGAAAGCCAAAGAAACGCTCGAACGCTGGGTTGATACGGTCAAACAGAACAGGCGGGCCGAACATATCTCGTTCCCCATCAGGGATCCCGATGCGCAGGAGCCTTTGGGAACTAAAGCTTTTCTCCCCATCTCGGCCTCGAAGCCGGCCAATGACCTGGAGAGCACCATCCAATCAATCATGGAAGAAAGCGGCTTGTCAGTAGGAAAGAAGTCGGAAGACCAGATTGCCGAATTTGAGGAGCTCCAAACGAACAAAATGCCCATAGAGGAGGTCATGGCTAGACGTGCAGAGCTTCGCAAGGCTCGAGACCTTCTATTCCGGGAGGAAGTGCGCGCCAAGCGACTAAAGAAAATCAAGTCCAAGTCCTACCGCCGCGTTCACCGAAAGGAACGGGAACGCCTTGAAGAGCAAGAGCGGCAAGCTCTTGCTGAGGCTGGCGTTGATATTTCGGATGAGGAACGAGAGCGCAACGACCGCCGCAGGGCTGAGGAGCGCATGGGAGCGAAACATCGTGAGAGCAAGTGGGCGAAGGGCATCAAGGCTACGGGTCGAGCTGCGTGGGACGAAGACGCGCGTGAAGGTTTGACTGAGATGGCCCGCCGTAACGAGGAACTTCGTCGCCGGATCGAAGGCAAGGATGTACGGGACGAGGAGGAGGAGGAGGATGTGACCGATCTCAGCAGCGAAGATGATGACGAAGGCGACTCATATGCTGATGAGGCTCGGAGGCTGAGGCGTCAGCTGGACCGTGTTGATGCGGCGGATTCAGCTGAAGGTGGTGGCCTTTCCAAACTTGCTGGATTGAAATTCATGCAGCGCGCTGAGGCAGCACAAAAGGCACGCAATGATGAAGACATTGAGCGCGTGAGGCGGGAGCTGGCAGTAGAGGACGGCGAGAAGGAATTCGAGGATGATTTTGACCAGCCTCAATCGATCGGACGGAAGGTTTTCGGCCCATCATCCAACAAAGGAACTCAACCAAGCAAGAAACCGGTCAGGAACGAATTCGAAGAGCAGCCTGGATCGGACGATGAAGCGGACGAGGACGATGAGGTCAAGTTCGTTCTTGACAGCAAGAACCAGCAGTCAAAAGCGCAAAACAAACAGAAGAAATCCCAAAAGGGAGGATTGAATCGCAACATGACTTTGGCCAGGCAACCTTCGGAGGAGCCGCAGGACAATTTGTGGCTGGCCGGCCCTAGCAAGGGAGACACAAAGTCGAAATCCACGTCACGCAAAGGAACATCATCTGGTTCTGGGCCAACGCTGGATGTATCAGGAAGCGTTACTTCAAACACGACCGCGCAACCAAAGGCGAAGGTGAAGGCTACGGAAGCACCAGCTCCAACAGATGCAGATGGCTGGACAGTAGTCACCTACCGCAACCAAGAAGGCTCGGACGAGGAGTCGGAGCAGGAACCCGAAAATCCCTTCGTTCTCAGAAAGGAGTCGCTGGTCGAGAAAGCATTTGCAGGCGATGAGGTTGCAGAGACGTTCGAGGCCGAGAAGCGTGCTATCGAGAAGGAAGAGGGTGACAAGGTCATCGACAATACATTACCTGGATGGGGAAGCTGGACCGGCGACGGTCTCAGCAAACGGGACAAGAAGCGCACCACGAGACGTTTCTTGACAACGGAGAAGGGCGTGGAGAAGGACAAGCGCAAGGACGCCAAGCTCAAGAATGTGATCATGAACGAGAAGCGTGTGAAGAAAAACGCCAAGTACATGGCGTCATCTTTGCCCTTCCCGCATGAATCCAAGCAGGTGTACGAGTCGACACTGCGGCGACCGCTGGGCCCAGAATTCAATACCAAGCAGGTGTTCCAGGACAGCACAAAGCCGCGGGTCATGGTCAAGCCAGGCGTTGTCATCAAGCCCTTGTCAAAGCCACTTGCTTAGCCTTTTGTGGGGTGTTTCTTTCTTTTGGGAGGGGTTTCGCAACGCAAGACTTGTCGCAACGACAACATCCAGATAGAGAAATGCAGGGCGTTATGCGGAGAAACTTAGAGGCAGGCAGCAGAGCTGAGCCATGTATTACTGAGAATGGATTTGTGGTACACGTTCCAATGAAGCGGTCAGAATGCATGACCCAGCCACCGTGATACAGACTTCTCCTGCGGTGAATGTCTGACCGCAGGCTTCACTTTCTTCACCACAACGGCTAAAATGAAGGCGAGACGAATGGCAATTGGGCGTTCGCTATGGTGGTGGGAGACATTGGCAAGGGCTTGGATTCGCCCAGATGTGGCGTCCAGGTATTGCGATCATATGCGGTTGCTTTTTCGAGGCAGTCAACTGACGGCGGGGCTCACCGCAGCGGGCCGAGGACTCTATGGCGGTCCGGTGCCTGGCGGCGATCTGTTTGCCGGGTGCATCGGCAGCGTGTGATCACCCCGGCCGGTTCGTCATGAGCGCGCCACTCGTGCCACATCCGCACGAGAGGCTTCAACCTCGCTCTCGTTCCCTGTCGATTGGATCGTGTGGCCTGGGGCCGAGAAACGCCGAACGTGCACGATGGGCGGCGGACGAGCAAACCAACGCCGGCAAAGCGGCAAGCGGGCAGCCCGCAGAGCTCGGCGACGGCCCGCCTGATGATGCAAACAGCTCCGCCGCGCCTGGTTTCTACGGTCATGCATTGCGCCAGCGCGTACAGACAGCAGGAGGCCGCAAGAGACCTCCTCGTTTCCATATAAGGAGGCCAGATTGCCCGGATTGAGGGCGAGACAGAGACGTAGTTCCAGCAAGAGAGTTCTCGTATCACCAGCAAACCATCGACGGCCACACCCGCATTCCGCCCCCCAGCCCGTCGCCCCGGTTCCCTGCAAACCAGGGAGACAGTAGAATCCCGTGAGCGCTTCCCGGGTCGCTGCAGGCTGCGTCTGCACGAGTAGAGTCCGGTGAACGGCAATGCTAACCAGAAGCTGCAGGTGCGGTCATCCTCCCTTTCCGCGCCGGGTAGCTGCGCAGGCAATCTGGCCACGCCCAGCGAGTGAGCTTCCAGAGCCCGTGTGTCACCACCTCAGCCCTACGGCCGGCAGCCCGCATAACCCGGCTGCATCCTGCGAATTAAGGTACGGTACCACGCGCACCGTCTTCTTGGCTGCGTTGCCTCTCCCACCCCACAGCATTCCCCTTGGCTTTCCCCTTCAGGCGCCCGTCCATCTCCATATTTTCTCTTGCCTCTTGCCTATTCTCTGCAATGTCTCAATCACCGCGCTTCATCTATTTTTCTTTGTTTCTTGGCTCCCTGGACTGCTGGTCTGCTGATGGCTTCGCCTGATTCGTACCGCCGGTACAAAATATCATGGCTTCATCTCGCTTGAGAGTTTAAAGGAGCAGAGGATACCAATGAATCCTTGCTTGCCCTCTTCACGGTCCGCCGCTCTCCGCATTGCACCTTATTTGGCCTTCCAATTCCGGTTTAAACCGTCTTCTCGGCCCACATTCAGCAGTTTCGTCTCTTGCGCAATCCAACCTTAACCGCCGCTTGGGGTCGGCTTGGAGCGCCGTTAGGGATGCCCTGTGGCAGTTGCGCCCTGAAGAATAAAAGCATCTTCGTTCCTGGCGATTGGGTTTTCTGCACCTTCTTCCTACCGCTGTCACTCCTTCGTCCATTCCTTGTCTGCTGTTTCCTTTCTTGGCACTAGCCCCAACAACTTATTCTTCTTCCCTGCCAGAGCTTCAACATGGCGTCTTCATCTTCTTTTTCCTTTCCGTCCCCTGTTAAAATGCATCGCTTCGTCGCGGGAGTTGCCGTCTTTCTGACCGCCATGCAGTTTCCAGGCGCAGCGAGCCATCCGCTGGCCGAGCCGCAGCAGCTGAGAGACAGTACGTATTTGGCAAGCGTGCCACCAACAGAGCAACAGGGCCAGGAACCAACTCCTGTCTGCAACGACACCCTGCCATTGACCGTCACGAAAACTATTTACGCTGCTTCATACCATCTAATATCCTCAAGCTCATTAACGACCGCTAACGCGGAATCCTCTTGCTCTACTTCAGGCTATCCCAACCTACTGTCGTCCTTTTCCGCAATCCTTACGCCCGCCTCCACTCCTACGACTCCTACGGTTATTTCTACGCCTTCAGTCCTCTCTATCGGCGCTACCGCTTCGCCCATCCTACAGTCTATTGCTCCACCTCTCGAACCTCAACCGTCCGGCGTTGTCCACACCTCGCTCGAGTATTATCCCCAAGTTACCACTGGGAACCCGTGGAACCGAGTCCGTAAGTGTCTCACTACCCCAGATGTTTCCATTCTTGATTCATCGCGTAAATGCTCGGCTCGCTTCATCCACTTGGTCGGAGTGTCCGAAGATTATAATCTCCCCACAGCCTTTGACCCCACGAATAGTTCTGATCTGAGTGCTGATGACGCATATCAGAGCCTTCTCCTGCCCCCAACGTCTCCGCGTGCAGATCCAACTACAGTCGCCCTCTGACACCTGGATACAAACCGAATCCCAACTCCTACCCTTACGCTCCAGCCAGAATGGATTCCTCTAACCTCTTCGTCGCTGTCCCGGGTAATGCCTCGATTCCCGAGCAGATCACACCACGTGCCCCTCATCCCCAGGGCTTCGCGGGAATCGAGAATGCTGGCACAAGTCCGATTCAGACCAACAAGTTCTATGCCAACATGTTCCTTGGCCAGCGTAATCAGAGCGTCTGGACTCACCCCTACTCTGTCTCGCAGGCCATTGGACAAGTGCCTGCCCACAGTTACGGGCTTGCAGTCTCACACATCGACCGGTCGCAGCTTGCATTTGGCCCCGACACACCACAGGGGAGCAAGCGTTACTTCATTTCACCGATCGGCATTCAGTCACTCATCCTCTCCGCCACAGAGATCGGTCCCGAGGCCAACCTCACGCTCGATTCTCTTCAGGACATGTCTGTCAATGCCAACCTTTCGCCGAGAGCAGGGGCTCCGCCTATCATCACCTTCCCGCTCGTTCAAGGAATGGGCTTCGTCACAGCTATCTACAAGAACGCGCAGCCGAGCATCGACTCTGGCGTCTTCTATCGGAACGTCAGCGGTCCCTTCCAAGTCGGAAGCAGCTACAAGTACAGCATACTTCTGAATGATGGCAAGAACTGGGTCCTCTACGCCACTCCTGACAGCAACAATGGTGCCCCTGTTTTCTCTCTGAACACCAACACTACACTCACTGGACCACAGGGTTGGAGCGGCATTATCCAGGTGGCCAAGAACCCTGCTGGTACAGATGGTGAAGCTGTCCTCGACAGGTCTGCTGGTGTCTATCCCGTCTCGGTCGACATCTTTGGGAGCGCCAGCGGGTCAACTGCTCAGTACGGATTCACCTTTGGCAAGGCCGGCAATGTCGCAAAGACGTTGTTGATGTATGCACTGCCGCACCACGTGCAGAGTTTTGACGGTATTACTTCTGCAAATAAAACGATGCTTGCGTTGAACACAACAACCAAGGGAATTGCGACTGGAGTTGCTGCAGACCGCTGGACTATGGTTGAAGAGAACGTTCCCATCGACATGAGCTTCGGTCCGTGGGCGCTTGGTAGAGGCAATGTCGCCTCGATCAATTCGGCTACCGTCCAGTGTGCCATCGCAACCGCTGCCGGGACGGAACTCCAACAGGACATACCGGCACAGACGAACCTGGATTCCATGTACTTCAGCGGTAAGGGTCTGGCCAAGTTTGCGACAATCATCTATGCTGCCCGTGATTTGGCAGGTGACTCTGCAGTCGCCAGTCAGGGGCTCGAAAAGCTAAAGGCAGCTTTCGATGTGTTTGTCAGCAATCAGCAGAGACATCCACTTGTATACGACAACTCTTGGAAGGGTGTTGTTTCCAGTGCTGGCTACGATGATCCAAACGTGGATTTCGGCAACACATACTACAATGATCATCACTTCCATTACGGCTACCAGTAAGTATCCCCAGGTTGGGATTGGTATCTTGTTGCAAATTCTAACATTCATTCTCTTCTCATCAAGTGTGTACACGGCTGCGATCATTGGATACCTGGATCCATCTTGGCTCACTGAGAGGAACGTCCATTATATCAACACGTTGGTGAGGGACTTCGCAAATCCAATTCGGGGGGAGCGATTCCCGTTCAGCCGTTCTTTTGATTGGTTCCAGTAAGTCACACGGCCGCCTGTGATACGGAGAAATGACACTCACGAGTAGCAGTGGACACAGTTGGGCAAAAGGGCTCTTTGAATCTGCAGACGGCAAAGATCAGGAATCTTCCTCTGAGGTAGGTGGATACACATTCTTGTGACTAGCGTTATACTCAACGCGCACGCAGGATTCGTTTGCTTCGTACGGCTTGAAGTTGTGGGGCAAGGTCATCGGAGATGTAAACATGGAAGCACGAGGTAAGCACATGGTCACAAAACCGTGTGGTCATTCTGGGAGTGCTAATGCCGGCCTTTCCAAAGCGAGCCTGATGCTGGCCATTCAGAATCGCAGCTTCAACAACTACTTCCTGATGCAGAGCACGAACGCAATCCAACCACCGGAGATTATCGGCAACAAGGTGACTGGGATCCTGTTCGAGAATAAAATCGACTGGGCTACGTACTTTAGCGACGCTTGGTGGTGCAAACAGGGGTGAGTATGCTGCGACGCTGGGACTCAAGCAGACTTGACTGATGTGAGAGATGCAGGATCCACATGATCCCGGTGCACGTCCCGTCGGCCTATATTCGCAAGCCAGAGTTTGTGGAAGAGGAGTTCGACACATTCATGAGCAACGGCCGTATTGCGGAGGCCGAGGGCGGTTGGAGAGGGCTGCTGGAGTCCAACTTGGCACTCGTCAAACCGGCAGAAGCGTACGACTTTTTCGCGGACCCGGAATTTAACACGACACTCCTCGATGGCGGAGCTAGTCTTACGTGGTACCTGGCTTACACGGCAGCACTTGCGGGAATGTGAGAAGTGACAGGTCGGACGGATCGACTCTCTTTTATTACTTCTAATCCTTTCACTTATGAACCTTGTGTCTTCTTTTTCTTCTGCTGGGACATTGACCAGCCTCTGCCGATCCTTGAACCTAGATAGCAGCTTCTTTTTTTTTTCTTGTCACGCTTGTATTTAGTATACACCCTCGCGTATTGATAGACAGGCTCCTAGGGTAGAGATTATAGGCACAAGCATATTCGTCTCAATTACAAGACCTAGATTCGATGTGTGCAATTGATTCGCTCTCCCAAGTAGGTGGAAAGCGGAGGCGAGGATCGAGATCGGTTGCGTGGAAGCACGAATCGCACGACGACGTCATCGAAGCTGCGAGACGTTTCGACGCAGCGCTCTGTGCACGGAGAAGGCACAGGCAACAAAGATAAAGGAGTGGCCACGATGCGACGTGTCAATTGTTGTCTCGCGTTGAAGGGTGATGCAGCAGGAGGAAGCGGGGCCAATTTGACGCGGTCAGGTGATGACGCGGCGACAGAGACGCGCCCGTACACAAGCCGGTCGCAGCGGCAGGTTGGCAGAGGCTGCCGCCCCACACTCTCTCGTCTACACCGACCAACCTCCACCCCAGTATACTTCTCCTCCCGTCCCATCCCCATCCCTCTGGCTCCGTTTAATCTTATTTCGCCGGCGGCACGCATCCCGACGTGGTGCTACACGGGCACGCCAGACGCTTCGCCTCCGCTAGGCCCTGGCAGCCGACCCGCAGGGTCCAAGCGAGCAGGCGCGGAAGACGGGTGCTCGCACGCTCGACCTTCCTGCTGGCTTCAAAGCGGCTGAATACGGGGGTTGCAATTGGATGGTGAGCGTAGGTGGGGCGTGTGTGTGGTGAGTCTTGCGTTTTCATTTTTGCTTCCCTGTCAATCTCTGTAATATCGCCTTCGCCGGCAATGTGGCGCATACTGTTTGTTTCGCCGGCTGTTTGCACGGCGCGAAACAAGCTGGGCTGTTTCGAACAAGCCGTTGTCTTTGACTAGTGCCATTCACGTGGCAGGTGGCGAGCGTCCGCAGCCAACTTGTAGAACGTTCGATTTTCATTTTCAAGCAAATGATTTCAGACTTTAAATATTCTCCTTCGCCGCCATTCTCAACCTTGCACTAATTCCTCAGTGTTTAACACTTACGGCGGGCTTCTCTTCATTCATACACACGATACATCCATTGACGGCTAAAATTCGTACTACCACCGGCTGGAAGATCATATCGACATGTCTGCGCCAAGAGGTCGTGGTGGAGGTGGCGGTCGTGGACGAGGCGGTGGTCCAGGTGGCAGCAGCAGGGGAGGGGACAGCAGCAGCGGCTCTGGCAGTCGTGGCACCTCTTTTCGCGGCAGGCGTCCCTTCGAATCCACCAGCGGTTCGCGAGGTTCGTCTTCCCGTGGAGGCTCGCCACAACGTGGAGGCCCTGGTGGTTTTAACAAGCGCTCTCAGTCAGCTCCGGCCGCTATCTTTGGGTAAGTTTGTTGCTGAGCATACATGACTTTGCTGATACTGACTACCGATTTTAGCGATCCAAACAGGGTTCCCCAGCCGGATCAGAATGTGACGAAGACCGAGAACACAGTGGTCAAGGACCTTTCGACGTCCTTCGCTCGCATCTCAACCGAGGACAAGCTCGCCAGGCGTCCCGACTACGGCACTTGTGGTCGTGAGACCATCGTCTACACTAATTACTTCCCGCTGCACGTTGCTGCACAATGTCCCGACATATACCGCTATGCCGTGTCCTTCCAACCCGAAGAGCAGGCAAAACGCAAGAAGAGGAGGTACATTGAGATCTTGCTCCAGGATCCCGTTTTCCAGGGAGTCATGGTCGCAACCGACTATTCCCAGGTCATCGTTACCAACAAAAGAGTACCTCTGAGCGAAGGCACGCATAACCGCAAGGCCATTGAAGTCCAATGGTACCCTCCTGACGGTGAGCCCATCTCGGAGTCTGACGAATCCGAGAAGGCTCAAGTGGCTCGCAAGAAGGCCACGAAGACTCTTCTAGTTGAGGAACTCGGTACGGTTTCTCTCCTTGAACTAATCAAGTCGTTGACATCCACCGGCGCCGGCGCCTACTATCCGCTAAAGGATGAGGCAATCCAAGCTCTCAACGTCATCCTGGCTCGCGGCCCGCACGTTGCTCAGAACATGGTTGCAGTAGGCCAGAACAAGTTCTATCCGGTGGGAAAGCACCCGCTCACCGAAGCATGGAGCCTCTCAGAGGGCTTGCAGGCCCTACGCGGCTACTTCTCGAGTGCGCGGACTAGTGTGAACCGCATCTTGGTCAACATCAACGTGTCGACCTCTGCCTTCTACAAACCTGGTAACCTGCTCGAACTCATGCAGGATTACCTCGGCCCCACCAACAGGAGTCCAAGCCATCTCATGAAGCTCGAGGCTTTCCTGAGACTCCTTCGTGTTGAAACTCATTACATGTTGGCGAGGGACGGCAGTGGCAAACGGATTCGCAAGATCAAGACGATTTACGGCCTTGCGCGATCGAACAACGACTCGAAAGGGACTTGGCCCCACGCTGCCAATGCGCAGCAAGTCAAGTTCAGCTACACCGATCCCGATGGCAAGGTGTCTTTGATCTCCGTGGAAGAATACTACGCCCGTGTCCACCAAATTACTCTCAAGGTTCCAACATCCCCGGTTGTCAACGTCGGTAACCGCGACAACCCATCGTACATCCCTCCGGAGTTGTGTGAAGTCCTTCCTGGCCAGGTCGCTGGACGGATGTTGAGCGCCAACCAGACCCGCCTGATGATTGAGTTTGCAGCAAGGCCGCCCAATCACAATGCTACCTCAATCACCCAGCAGGGGTTGGAGGTGATGCAGGTCAAACAGAACGATGCGCTCTCGGCCTTCGGCATCAACATTGGTGGCAATCTGCTTACAGTTCAGGCCCGCATCTTGCCTGTTCCCAAATTGCAGTACGCTGGCAAGGAGCAGCAACCGGAAAATGGCAAGTGGAATCTGGCCCGCGTCAGGTACACCAAGCCGGCAGCAATCCAATCTTGGGGATGTTTGGTTATCGAAGAACGCGGTAGGCCGATTTTCCAGTCTCAAGAGCAGGCCTTGGACTTGGTCAGCACCTTCAAGTCCGCCCTTCAGTCGTACGGCCTTCGGATGGACGATCCTCAGCCGCCTGCGAAGATCGCCATTTCTTGGCCGTACAATGCCAGCGAAATCACCGAGGTTGTCTCCGCCAAGCTCGCGCAGATGGTCAAGATGCGCATTGGCTTGCTGCTGGTCCTGCTTCCTTCGGACAATACCGTGTTGTACGATACGATCAAGTACCAGGGAGACGTCCGCTTCGGCGTTGCTACCGTATGCACCATCGCGAAGAAGATTCTCAACCAGCGCGGCCAGGCCCAATACATGGCAAACGTCGGCTTGAAGTTCAACTTGAAATGCGGTGGTGTCAACCATGACATGCGCATTCAGCAATTGGCGCCACTTGACAACAAAACGATCCTCATTGGAATCGACGTATCGCACCCTGTTCCCGGCAGTTCGGACAGTGCGCCCAGCATCACTGGTGTTGTCGGCTCGGTTGATTCACAGTTCAACAACTACCCGGCTTCGATCCGTACGCAGACTGGTCGTCAAGAGATGGTCGATTCGAACGACCTGACTGAGATGATTGTCGAGCGTTTCGAACTCTGGAGGAAGCGCAACGGAAACACCCTCCCCAACAAGGTCATTGTTTACCGTGATGGTGTTTCAGAAGGCCAGTACCCGGTCGTCCTGCGCGAGGAATGGCCCAGCTTTGCTGAGGCGTACAAGAAGCTGTATGGCGCAGAAAAGAACTTCCCAAAGTCTTCCCTTGTCATCTGCACCAAGCGTGGCCACACTCGCTTTTATCCTACGAAGCCCGAAGACTCGGAAGGTCGCAATCTCAACGTAAAACCGGGCACCGTGGTCGACCGCGGCATTACCGGCGAGCGTCTGTTCGATTTCTTCTTGGTCGCTCACGCCGGACTGCAGGGCACGTCGAAGCCGGCCCACTACATCTGCTTGAGAGATGAAAACAAGCTCGGGGCCGACCAGCTTCAAAGAATCACGCACAACCTGTGTTACGTGTATGGTCGTGCCACTCGAGCTGTTTCAGTGTGCCCCCCGGCGTACTACGCCGACCTGGTGTGCGAGCGCGGACGCTCGTATCTCCACTCCTTCTTGAAAGAAAACACGAACGTCTCCTATGACCGGTCGCGCCACTGGAGTCGCGGCGTGCACGACCGGCTCAAGGACACCATGTTTTACCTGTAAAACATGGCTAATTGGTGTCTCCATTCGAAATGCTTCAACTCCCCAGCTTGAATTGCACATGGCAATTCGGCATCCCTAGAAGTCACCAGTATCCTCATGTGAGGATCCAAGCTCCAAACAACCAGACGATTCGAAATCGTAGCACGCAGCAAAAAAACAATTTAAAAATTGACTCGACCTCTTCGCGGCGGATACCCACGACGCGGATGAAGACCGAAAGCAAAAATTTTGTCATCAAGACACTTCGCTTTCAAGCCGATGGAAGTTCCGGTTGACTGAGGGCATTCAACAACACCCTTGTGTCACCCTCTCAAAACCAAAAAAAAAAAAAAAAAAAACTCTCTTTCTTTCGGACTCAGCCAAGTTTCTCATCCTACCTTTTTTTCTCTTTCGGTGATCTCGGCACTTCAACACAACCACTGCCGGGCCTTGAACCCTTTGGAACAAAGCAACGAAAAACAAAAGCCGACACAACACGATTCTGATGTTGTTGTCTATATACGGCTGACAAAAACATTGGAACGATGAAGTTGACGGGGATTTGGGAACGGTCTTTTGTATTGGATCTTATTTCTTTTCTCATGCTTGCTTTGGAATTGAGTTCAACCCAATGGACTCTCTGCGGGTGTCTGGGTCTTCAACAGATTAGACAGTTATTATTACCCGAAAGAGAATACGGCCTTTGAGGTATGTCCGCATTCGTTGAATATGCCAGGTTTGAGTGCGCAAAGTGCGATTTCGTGGCTGATGCATGTGGTTGAAAGAGCGGTAATGCCCAGAAAGAAGTATCCGTGGGTGCCGTTGCGCCACCGACGTTGAGATCTACCTTTATTACTTTGGAGCGAGCAACAAAAACGCCGCGTCTGCCTTGCCAAGTAGGGGTTAGGAGACGCTGCGCTCGCAAATATCCGAACTCGAAGCGACCGAGTCAGCTATATGTGCTTGGCTGATGGCGTGGGTTATTTGGCAGAGTGCGCTGTCCAGTATATGAGCGGTTCGGCTGGCGCGATTTGCAGCAGGGGTCCGACGCTTCGTCCAAGCTTTGGCAGCTTGCTTCCTTCGCCTTTCTTCAGGCCGCGCTGATATGCCGCCCGACTGCGCCCTCGCCAAGCGGGTAGATGCACACGTCGCGGCGGGGCGTACCTGCTGCAGGCTGCGAGTCGGGCCACGCGGAGGCCTTGCATTCGACGCTGTGAAACACTGCAGGCCGACGAATGCAAACGGCGGCCGCACGTTCGGCCGGTGCCGCACGCGGGCGGCAGGTCGAATCTCGGTGGGCGGCAAGGCGTGTGGGCGTATCGCTCGCTGGAGGTCAGCGGGATGCTTCGCGCCAAGATCGCGGATCGTCGGTCGCGAAGGCACATCCCGGCTGGCATTGTGGCAGTGCTGGAGGCCTGCGCGGCCCGCGGCGCTGATTGGCCGGGCGCCAGCGGATGATGCAGTGACATCGCCCAGCTCCAGCTCTCGCGTCGCACAGGCAAGCCGACACAGCCCTCTTCCTCCCCCCAATTCTCCCTGAAACAGCCTGGACTACGAGCGTGAACCTCCATCTCCCCCGCCTTGCTCATCACACGCATCAGCCCGCTGCCTTCTTTGCTCACCCGGGCATCTTAGCCGACAAGCCTCGCTGCTGCCCGCGCCGACTAAATAGCGCCCACCGCTGCTACGACGAAAATGGGTACGTACTCTCGTCTTTGTTGCGAAAAACTCGAGCTATTAGCGATCCCTTGGCATCCCTTGTCATGTGCTCTGGCTTGCCTTCAATTTCATCGCTTCCTCCCGAGCGCCTACGCCTCCACGCCGCTCTCAGCCAGCTCACCACGACCCCCATTGCCGAGCAACCCCAGCCACACTGAGCTTTTGTCCGATGCTGATCGCTCTTGGCCTTCCCGACAGCCCCCATCTACAAAGGCTTGCTGCAGAAGTTCCATCGCCGTCAGTCCTCTAGACTCGGCAACCTCGACCAGACGCACGCCATGCCGCACCCCGAGAACGGCACCAACGGCGACGCCGCCCCCAACGAGCACACTGCTCTGCTCTCCAATGCGCCTCAGCCCAATGGCCACCACCACCAGAAAGTCTGGGGCGAGGATGACAGCCGCTCCTACGTCCGCGTGCCGCTGCACATCGCCTACACCACCTGGATGATGCTCGCGAGCAATTACGTCAACGTGCTGCTAGTCTTCGTCCCGCTCGGAATCGTCGCCGGCATCCTGGACTGGAGCCCTACCGCCGTCTTTGTGCTTGTACGCATTTCCCGCCTCGCCCCATGCATGCCATTGCTGACCGCGTCGCGCAGAACTTCATCGCCATCATCCCGCTCGCTGCTCTGCTGAGCTTTGCGACCGAGGAGCTGTCGGCAAAGCTTGGCCAGACCATCGGTGGTCTGATGAACGCCACTTTTGGCAATGCCGTTGAACTGATTGTGAGTCGCTCTGTCGGCGCATCCCAATCTGCCCGCGCTAATCCAAATTTTCGCCCAGGTTTCCATCGTGGCTCTGAAGAATGGCGAAATCCGCATTGTCCAGTCCAGCATGCTGGGCAGCATCCTCTCAAACATCCTCCTCGTACGTCATTTCCGGTTTCAGACTCGAGGCGATGCGAAACTAACGAAACACTAGGTCCTCGGCTGCTGCTTCCTGGCCGGCGGCATCAACCACCGCGAGCAGCGCTTCAACGAGACGGTTGCCTCGACCATGTCTTCCCTTATGGCCGTCGCCAGCGCCTCCCTCATCATCCCTGCAACTCTATACGCCGCCCTGCAGTCTTCCAAGTCCAAGAGCGAAGAGCACATTCTGATCCTCTCGCACGGAACTGCCGTGATTCTGCTCATTCTCTACATCCTGTACCTTTACTTCCAGCTGAAGTCCCACTCGGACTTTTTCGATGCCGAGGCGCAGGAAGAGGAAGAGCCTGAGGAACACATTCTGGGACCTGTTGCTGCTGCTGTGGCGCTGCTCGTCGTCACTGTCATCGTTGCCGTCTGCGCCGAGTACCTCGTCGACAGCATCGACTCGATTGTCGAGACCGCTCACATCTCCAAGACTTTCATCGGCTTGGTCTTGCTTCCGATTGTTGGAAATGCGGCCGAGCACGTCACGGCTGTTGTTGTTGCCTACAAGGATAAGATGGATTTGGCCATTAACGTTGCCATTGGCAGCTCCATGCAGATTGCGCTTTTCGTCACTCCTTTTATGGTCCTTCTCGGCTGGATCATGGGCCAGCCCATGACTCTGCACTTCCAGACTTTCGAGACGGTGGTTTTCTTCCTCAGCGTTCTGGTCGTCAACTACCTCATCCAGGATGGAAAGAGCAACTACCTCGAGGGCGCAATGTGCATTGGCACCTATATCATCATTGCTCTGGCTTTCTTCGTCTACCCCGATGACGCCGGCGACATCACCAAGTTCTTCCAGGCTCTCGTTGGGAGCTCCTCTTAATTTTCTTTACAATCGTCTCCTGGATATGAGATGAACTGAAAAGATCTATTTTTAAGGGTACCTATACAGGCTACAGGTACCCAGCCGCCCGCTCGAATTATTGTTAACAATGCGGTGGCTCGGTTCACCAAGGCCGGTTTTCCTTTCGAGGTATTGTCTTAACGAAGGCCAATTTCTAAGTTGGATATACCCGGGGTTTTGATCACTCGACAGATGACTCTTTTTTTGCCTATCGATTGCACTTTCAATGACTGCTAGCACAACTGCTTTTCGTTATCACTATACGTCCACAAATCCTCCATTTGGATTGCAATGCCGAAAGTTCCCTTCAGCTGCTTGTTCTTACTCTGAAACACAAATTTCTTTGATTTGCGTGCGTTTGTTTTTGTCTTTGCATCCCACTCTACAGTCTTTCAGTTGACCAAAAGGAGTCGACCAGGCGCAAACCCGATTTTGCACTGCTACCACGTTAGGATCTCTTTGCCAAATTACTCGGAGATGGGTGGGTGGCGAGATGTCGTGCAGTGGACTTCCGGTGGACTTCTGGTGACTGCGGAGGGGGGTGACTTACTGGACACGAGGCTGGCCCATGTAAGATACCGCTGTACGGTGGGAGGAAAATTCGATTGTTTTGAGGGATTGGTTTGTAGATAGCGGAGCACGGATGGAATGATTAGCGAGCCTTTGCAGATAAGAGCGGAAAAAGAAAAGAAAAAAGATTACAGAAAATGAGGAATATGCTTCTGGCTCGTGGTATTTGATGGTTGGTGGTGTTTTGTGATGTTTGGTTTCGCAATTGATATCATTGGCTCAACGTCCACGCGGCGAGACTTCAGTTGTTGGACGCATGCTCCCTCAAGCCGAAGGATCTGTGGTCTAGTGAACGGAGATATGATTCTGAACAATTCCATCTGAGTCAGGCCAAGATTATTTCCATGCACGACTGGCCTTAAGGCCTGGAGGTGGCTGGGTTGCGTTCTCGCTTTCTCTCAGCTTTGATCATCTGCCTCCCATCTACATCAGGAAAGCATGAGAACCATGGGTACTAACTAACAGACAGACAAGGCTGAACGAATTGGGCCGACCCTGCATTGGAAGCCCGATTGACCCACTCTGAGTTGAGGGTCGCCCGGCTGACCGGTGCCGAAAAAAGAAAGCCAAGAAGGAGTGGTAGGGCCCAGAGTTTACACTTTTGATATGGCGTTTCTGACTTCCGGTCAAGTTCCAAGTTGACAATGATGTCTGTAGGGTGTTGTGTTGGTCGTCAACGTTTGACGCAGGGGCAAGCTGGGGAACGGCAGCTAAGTGCTTGAGTGAGTGCAAGCCGACTTTCTTCCGGTTGGACGCCCTAGTGATTGATGTGCAGCTATTTTATTACATTGGCTATGATAACAGATTTCAAAGCCTGTCAGGCGGTACTCTTGGCCCAAGATTGTGGAAGGAAAGGCGAGGGCAACGTGGCAGCCTCGTCGCTTGCTGCTCCGAGCTTGATGATCGAGTGGGTGGTAGAGCGGGGGGTTTGCAGCTTAGTGGACAGGGTTGCACATCAAAGACCGGGCGAGAAGCAAGTAGGTAGACGATAGGCTTGGCGGGGCGTTAGAGAGGGGAGATAAGGCAAACGGGGCGAGGTGCATTAATGCGCAGATGCGTGCTCTATTGGGGTTGCACTGCGGCACGGGCAGGCAGCCGTCAACACACGTCTCGTTCCGGTGAGGTGATCTCGGTTGGCATATCGGTAGTCTCTCGGGGTCTGCCCCTGAGCAAGTCTACTCGAGCGGGGCGGGTGGACGAAAGGCAGGACTGGTTGATCGTCTCCAATAAAAGTGTCGATGTGTGTGAAACATTCCCCACGGCAGAGCAGCGGTCCCCGATCGCGTGGCTGGCGTGCGAGCGGAGACGGTTGAATTTCCGTGAGCTATATTGATGGGAGCCGGGGGCACGGATCGGAAGCCGACCGGTGGGTCACTGACGGGACGACGGAATGCGGAAGGGAGCGGCAGGGCGCAGAGAATCGTCCGGGCGAGGCCAGCAGTAAATGGAGATCACGGTCAGTGCTCCGCTGGATGGCTGGCTCGCTGGAGCTTGCGAGATGCCGTTGGCGTGAGGACTCCACCGGCTCTGCGTCGGGCAGCTAGCGGTGGTGATGGGGGGGCCTTTTTGCTGGACTGCCGCGCGGGACGCGCCGGCGACTTGTTCTGCCTAAGGCAGCACTTGTGCTGTCGAACCGCCAGAGGATGCGGGCCGGCGAGGGTAGGAAATGCATGTCAGCGGGTTGCAGTTCCTGGAAATTGCTGGCTGGCCAACAATGGCTCGCATCGAGGCAGCTCTGCGCGCTTCGAGTCTTGCGAGCAGCAGTCGAGGCGCCGCAGCCGCCGCGCTATTCGCCGGCGGCCACGATGCGCTCCGTGCGCGCTGCTGGAAGGTTGCGCAAGCTTAACCGCGGCTGGCGCTGCCCGCGTCACCAAGCCCGCGCTGGAATTGTCTCTTCGCCAAACACTACACACTACCTGCGCCCCAGATTGCCCCAAAATGTCCATAAAGTTAGTATATCCCCCTTCCTGATCCCACGGCCGCATCTCCAAGCCCCTCGCCGGCGCCGCTCCACTCTGCCTGCTGCCTGCAGCACATCACCCTGCATCAGCACCCCACCACACCTCACCACCGCCCGCCACTATGACCGCCATGGCTGCCACCAAGCAGAAGATGCTGAAGAAGATCCGCGCTAAGAAGAACAGCTGGGTCATGCTCTCGCCCGCCGAGGGCTTCACCCTGCTCCCCGGCGAGCAGCGCCTGTATACCTCGCCGCCGCGCACCGCCCTGTCGCTGCAGTCGCTCAACAAGTACCCGGGCAAGGAGCCCTTCAACATCACAAGCAGTGCTGGCTGCGTCCATCTCACCAGTCGCCGCATCGTCTACCTGCCCGCCTCGCCTTCCGACACGCTGCAGTCCTTCGCCGCCCCCATCCTCAACCTCCACGACACCCACGTCAATGCGCCCTTCTTCGGCCCCAACGTCTGGACCGCCATCGTTCAGCCCGTGCCCGGCGGCAATATCCCCGCCCAGCACGCCGCCCTCGAGCTGAAGCTCACCTTCAAGGATGGCGGCGCATACGACTTCAGCCAAAGCTACGAGCGCATCAAGGAGCGCACCCAGCAGGCCATCGAGATCGCCCGCGAGACGGGCAACTACCACGGCTCCATCGACGGCTCGGACAACGGCAGCCTTCGCACCGGCGGCCCGCTCTCCGGCGTCGACCTGAACACGGTGCACCTCGAGCAGCTCCCGGCCTACGAGCCCCCGCCGCCCGCCGACGCCGAACCGGCCACTCCGGATACTTCGAGGGATAGCGGGCTAGGCATGAGCACTCCGGAAGGCGCACCGGCGCCGAAGCCGCAAGACAACTACGAGCCGCCCTCGGAGCCGCCGCCAGGTTACGAGGAGGTGCAGAGCCAGAGTGTCGCGGACGAGCTGGAAAGGAGACTAAGAGGGCCGCAGTCGTAAACTTGCGGGCCATATATTCCTCTTCTCCTTTTCTTCTTCTTCCTGTGCGCTCCTTAGCCACGATTTTTAGCATTTACCCTATTTACTACGAACACTTACGGACTTCCACAAGACGGGTGGATACATGGGCGGGCGTTTTCATATGGGCCTGCCTGGATGGCGGCGACAGCGCGGCGTTGACGACATGGATATCGGTTTGCAACGGGTTTTCAGGATGGCCGACTGGGCCATAGAGAGTTGGTGTATTCTTCCTGTACGGCTTCAAGCATTACCATCGCTGGGAGAGCGACATTTCTATTCCACACATACCTAAACCTATTCACACCAATGAAACCGAGAGGGAACCCCTACATAAGTAATCCGAGAGACGTGTCGGGCCGACGTGAGGACACGCCGACCGGAGTGCTTGCCGCTGCGGGCTGCCTCCATGTGACGCCATGAAGCCGTGTCGAGTGTGCCATTTCCCCAGATCGCTGGCATGTGAAAGGTCTGACTAATCGGTAATCTGAGCCACTAAGCCGCTTGCGGACAGCCTCGGCATGACATCGAGCATCAGCTGGGCCTTCTCGTCCGAAAGCCCACACGTCCCCAGAAGCTCCCGCAAGCCGTTTATAACCCTTTCCACCTTCCTCCACACCTTCTTACCCCGCAAATCCCGTCTCTCCAGCTTCTCGGCCCCGCTTCATTTCTCCTCTTTCTGTATTCTACGTCCAGACAAAATGGCAAACCAGGCCGGCACCAACGCTAAGGGTAAGCTTCGTGGTGCACCGAACGGGATACCTCTGCTGCAGCGAGTGCTGACACCTGTCTTCCCCTTGGCATAGCGCAGGAACGCCTCTCTCAGGTTTCGGACCACATCTCCTCCACTGGTTCATCGCTCCCGCGCGGGAAGGCGGCGCTACTGGAGAAGCATCCCGATGATGTAAGTGAACCACCATCCGCGGGGGGCTCCCTCCCATGTGACGCCATTGTTTAAACCAACTGGTCTAACATCCCATTCCTCCAACAAAACAGATCGTCATCACCTGCGCCCTCCGCACCCCGATCACCAAAGGCGGCAAGGGTGGCTTCAAGGACACGCAGGCGTCTGACCTGCTGGTCGGCGCCTTCAAGGCTCTGCTCGACCGCTCCAAGATCGACCCCAAGCTCATCGAGGACGTCGCCGTCGGCACCGTGCTCGCACCCGGCGGCGGCGCCACCGAGTTCCGCGCCGCTGCCATCGCCGCCGGCTTCCCGCTCTCCGCTGGTGTCAAGGGCTTGAACCGCCAGTGCAGCTCCGGCCTGCAGGCATGCGTGGACATTGCGAATGCAATCAAGACGGGCATGATCGACGTTGGTGTGGGTGCGGGTGTCGAGAGTATGAGTACGCAGTATGGGTAAGTGGAATCATCCACAATCGTGGCCACGGAGGGACAGGGGCTTCACAAGCCTTTTGCCTTCCTTGGGCGTCGGACTTTGTAACTGACATGGGAAACAACGCACAGCCCTCAAGCCGTCAGCGAATTCTCTGAGCTCCTCGACTCCGTCCCTGAGGCCAAGAACTGCAAGGTGGCCATGGGCGTCCTTTCGGAGGCGATGGCCAAGGACAAGGGCGTGCAACGGGCCAAGCAAGACGCCTTCGCCGCGAAGTCGTTCCAGAAGGCCGAGGCAGCGCAGAAGGCGGGCCTGTTCGACGAGGAGATTGTGCCGCTGCACAACATCCTGTGGCAGGACCCTAAGACGGACGAGGAGAAGCGCATCACGGTGGCCAAAGACGACGGCATCCGGCCGGGCATGACGGCCGAGAGCCTGGGCAAGATCCGCCCGGCCTTCGCAAAGGACGGCAGCATCCACGCCGGCAACGCCTCGCAGGTCAGCGACGGCGCCGCCGCGGTGCTGCTCATGAAGCGTAGCACGGCGCTCAAGCTCGGCCAGACCATCCTGGGCAAGTTTGTGCAGGCGTCCGTCGTCGGCGTGCCGCCACTGCTCATGGGCGTCGGTCCCGCCGCCGCCATCCCCGTCGTGCTAGAGAAGACGGGCCTGAACAAGCAGGAGGTCGACATCTACGAGATCAACGAGGCCTTCGCCAGCCAGTGTGTCTACTGCATCGAGGAGCTCGGCTTGGACGCCGAGAAGGTCAACCCCAAGGGCGGCGCCATTGCCTTCGGTCACCCGCTCGGCTGCACAGGCGCCAGGCAGGTTAGCACCCTGCTGTACGAGCTGAGGAGAAGGAAGCAGCAGATTGGTGTGACGAGCATGTGCGTGGGTACCGGTATGGGTATGGCGGCCGTTTGGGTTGCCGAGTAAAGATTTTTTAAAATCTAATTCTTCTTATGTATGTGTATTGAATGAAAGATATATACGTCTCTGTGACTACTGCTCATTTCTTCGGCTGTCTGGAAAATGAATGAATGCACACATTTGAAGTTTGACCATATTGAGTGGAGATAGCTAGAGCGACGAGGGAAGGCCATCAGTTCTTCTATATTTAATTTCAGACTCGAAGATTACGGCGTAGTCTCCAAGAATCGAACATGCGTGGGGTTCGAGATGCCGTGTTGTGGTGTTGAAATCATCTGAGTACTGCTGGATATGGGACGAAACCTCAGGCATCTTGTCTCTTTGAAGTGTTTTCTCTCTCATCATAAGGTGAACGTGAGAATAGCAAAAACGTTACTAGATCCATCAAAATGTCTGTATGTCTTGAGAGCGAAGCAAGCAGCAGTTTTGAAACATAATAAGGGCAAGGCCATTACCATTAGCATTCTCAAGCTGGAGCAAGGGGCTAATAAAAACTAACGAGGTGCTCGTCTATGATGGAAAAAAGAGCAGACGGTGCCCGCCAACCCGAAAAGAAAACGAGCCCCAGGAGCAATTTTCTTTCTTGAAAGAAGAAGAAGAGGAAGATGGCGAAAGATAGGAGTCGAATGCAGTTGACCTCAAATTGCCTCCGAAATGCAAATTCCAAAGAGGAGGGGGACTGTTTGAATGATAAGACCGGAGAGGATTTGGAAACGCCATTGCTATGCAACCCAAGATCTTATCCACCCTTTATGAGGCCAAAAAAAAAAAAAAAAAGGAAGGGAGCTTGTGCACCAGTACTCATCGCTCAATCTTTTGCTTTCCCTCTCTCCGCCATCAAGCGTCTCCAGACATTAAGCGTGCCCCAGCGCGTCCAGCCTGGGTCCCTGATAATCCAAGTATTCAATCCAACGGGATTTCGCATTCTTCCATGGTATCAAGTAGGAAAGGAAAAGAAAAAGGAAAAAGAAAAAAGAACAAACCCCAGGTCCAGGTCTATTTTGATGTTCTTCCCCAAAACTTTCATATTCTTCCTCCTTCGACGATTTCCCTCCCGATGACCTCAACCTCCCCAGTCTCGCTTGTCCGCCTCCGTTCCAGTACCCACCGGAACTCGGGCGGACGGCCGTCTGACCCGTCAGCATCTGCCTCGATGCGCTCCCTCACGTAAGCCACGCTATCCATACCTCCACTGCTAGTCCTGCTGTGTCTTCCACCGGCGGACTTGCGGTGCGGATGGTCTGCGAGGTTGGCCGCTGGGGATGGTAGAGTCGGAGACAGCGGGGAAAGAACAGCGATGGATGGGGACGAGTCGCGGTTGATGGCGGTATTAGTGTGAAACCCGAAAGGGAAGCCGGTGGGATGGTGAGGCTGATCGGATGACGACGGGCGAGGCTGAGTTACTGATGAAGAGTTAGACTGCAACTGTTGTGGAGAGGTTGGTGCGACTAGTGGAGCCGAGTGGATGTTTGGTACGGATGCAGACGTGGAGTGAGCCCCGCCGGCGGAGGTAGGGCTCATCGGGAGAGAGTTCGTGGAAGTGGTGGAGATGGCTGAGGTGGGTACGGAGACGGGGATATTGCCGGGTTGATCGGGCAGGAAATAATCGTAGTTGGTATTGATTTGATGAGGCACCTTCTTCTCAGCTGGCGGGATAGGGCTCGTCACGCTGCCCTTCTCCTGTTGTAGGCTGCTGCGCTTGCTATCATATCCACTGATATCTGAAGCAGAGTCTGCTCTGTTGACCTCTGAGAGCACACCCTCGTTATCGCTCGGCTCTTTTTCGTTTTCATCCTCTTCAGTAAGTCCAGAGCCCTCGTTCGGTGTTTCCTCAACCTCGGGAAGGTCAGTGTAGGTATCCAAAGCGCTCTTTGCTCTTGTTGCGACGGGACTACTTCGTCCAGGAAAGCTGCCTGGAAAGTAGCTTAGTGGGCTCGAGTTTCTTGGGCTGCTATTTGCACTTCCACCAGGACTTGCGGCACCAGCACCGCCGAACGCTCCCTTTCGCAATTTCATCAACTGTTCGAAGCTGTAGTCGTAGTCATAGTCGTCCTCGGAACCTGGCGGGAAGCCGTAGGGACTCATTCGTGCTAATTGCGCGATCCCGGGAGATGGAAGCGCGCCGGCGGAGGTATGTTGACCCGGAATCCCAGCGCTTGTGGGACCTGCAGATAATGGGCCCATGCCAATGAACGAATTACGGGTGCTGTACTCTGAGCGCTCCGTGATGGGGGTGAGATTGGGTTCCCTTACTGCATAGCGCCCGCTGACGCTACGCCCTATCATGTCTCTGGAGCCGAAGTAACCTCCGTAAACAGCTTCCGCGCTACCACTCGCAGAAGCGTAGAAGCCGAATTCTGAGCCATACTCGCCCTCGTAGTCGTTTGCCAGAGCCTCAGCGTTTGCGGCAGCAATGATCGGATCGTCCTCGAGAGCACTGTCATAGTCATCAAATCCATCACCGAAATCATCCTCATATGCGTTCGGATCGAAGCCCATGTCTCCAATATCGTTCATCATATTGGATGAGAACATTTCGGTAGCAGCACTCACACGGCTAGAGTCGGCAACCAAGCTTGGCGCAGTATCCTGTGAGTCGCGAACTGTATTTCTGGTCTGCTGCGCCTGCACCTCCTCATCATCCTCATCATCCTTGCTTGGGAGAGACAGATTGGTTGTAGCAACACTGTTTTTCCGCACAAACCGGCCGTCCGCCTCGGCTTTCTGAGTAGCGTGAACCAGGGCACTGAAGTAATCCGTGCTGGTGCTGAACTCCAAGGGATCGCTGGCAGTCTGGAACGGCACCCCATTTCCACGCATGGATGGGTGTGGTGCCAGCCCAGTCTTGGAGGTATGCTCATCTTCGGGATCCAGATCATCGGACTCTGGTCCGGCATTCTCCAGAGGCGGGGATTTCATGACCGGTGCGGGACGTTCGTAAAGCGGATGATTCGGATCATCGAAAACGGATTCATCGAATTTCTCACCATCATCCGGTGCATCTGGCTCCCCAATCATACCGTCGTCGAAATACAAATCGTCGTCGTCTCCGAGGATGTCATTCCCAATCGGCTGCTTTGGCGCTGGTTGCTGTGCCAAAGTTGAGCTAGCAGGAGGGCTGAGATGTGCTCGGCTGAGTTCGTCGGCAACTTGTTCAGGCTCGATGAGCCCGAGTCCAGCGGCTCCCTGGCTCTCCTGGTAATTGCCATTTACAGGAGGAGCACCTAGCGGGCTTGGTGCGGGTGCGATCTTCTGGTGATCGTCGGCGGTTGCCGAACCAATGACGTTGCCAAAAGCATCTCTTGGTGTAGCAAGCGACTCTCCACCCGCGCTGATTGGACTGAGAGTACTGTTGAACGGCACTTTCCCATTGAAAGAGTTGAAGTCGTATGATGCCAAACCAGGTGCTGTGCCTACGCTACCGTAGCCTCCATATCCGTAATCGTCATCATAATCTTCACCTATTACTGGAACTTCCTCTTCAAATCCGGGGAACAAATCATCATCTATGTTGTCGTAGTCAAACATATCCTCTTCGTCGTCGCCATAGTCGTTGCCGGCACTGCTGTTCCGCTCCCGTGCCGCAACCTTCTGCCGGTGCTTCTCCTCGAGTAATTTCTCTTGTGCCGCAGAATCTACTCCTGCAATCTGAAAGCTGAAGCGGGAGGCCCTGCTCGTCATGTGTGTCGGAAGCCCTGCTGGTTGGAAGCTAGAATCGGCTCCGGATGTCGCTCTTGACCGGGTTTTTGGCGACGTCTTCGCGGCGCTTGATAGTTTCGACTCAACCGAGACCGGAGAAGTTGGACTTGCCTCCGGGACCGTTGCCAATCCTCCCGGGGCATCGTCGCGAATCGGCACTTGGTCGAGGGGTGGCGGTATTGACTTCCGCGCAATGTGGGGCGCGTTGGCAGCCGTCCGAGCGAAGGGAGGTGCGGGCGGTTCTGGCTCCAAGGTAGGAACCGCATTTCGTGCAAGAAAGTCATGGTTCGCAAGGGTTTCTGCACGAATCGCCGATTTTCTCCTCTCGTCGTCTTCCTCGGTGCAATCGTCGAAATTCTCCTTGAACACAGGAGTGTGCGAGCGGTCACGTCTCGATGGGCTTTCGTCGTCTGCTCGCCGAGAGTGCAGACCAGCGGCAATAATATCTCTGGCGCCGGACGAAACCTTGGCGGCGGGATCGTAAGACACTGCTCTCCGAGGCTTGGGGGCACTGAAGTCGTGCACAATGTGACCTCGAATACTCGGATCAAAGTCGTCGCCCATGGTCATGGCCGGGACCACATTGCTGCGGTGGGAGACAAGACTCTCTTCCGAAAGATGTTGTAACGCCTGGGCAGACCTCCGTCTGAGGAGTAACGACATGGGATTCAGCAAGTTCAGCCCTCTCTTGCCGCTCTTCCCATGCTGCGTCGATGTAGAAGGCTTTCCGGAGCTGGACATCTTCTCCGACAGCCCGGAGGAGGATAGCGAGGATTGGCTCATCATGTACGGGCTTTGGAAAGAATACGAGGGCGTATCGCCGTGCGAGAAGGACGGCACCTGGTCTATCAACGGGCCATTTTGACCAGCGCTTGACTGCGCTCTCTGGCCTCTCGACCTGAATCCTGTTGGAGCGCTCACCCTCCTGCTTGTGTCGCGCCAGTTGTCTGCCGGGTTCGGAGAGGGTCTGGACGGGTCAGATGGCGGTGACGGGACGTTTTGACCGCCGCTGGTGCCAGCTTGCTGCGCAGAACCACCGACGGGCTGCTTCTGGTGTTGGGGAGGTGCTGACCGCCGCTCTTTTCGTTTCTGTGGCGCGGCAGGCGGCTCGCTCCGGCTAGCGATTCGCGGGATGGGCGGGAGGACGGGCGGAAAAGGGCTAACAGGAGGCGAATTGGAAGCGGAGCTGCTCTGTTCTGCGAAGTGGAAGCGGTGGGGGTTCGGCAGCTGGGGGTTGCTGGTGGGCGAGAAGACGTCCTGGAAGTGCTGCGGATTGGTGGGCGAGATCTGCGATGACGCGGACAGCGGCGGCTCAGGTGAGTTTGGCTGCGAGTTCGCGCGGCGATGGTGGGGGCCAGCGGGCGGAGGTGCTGAACGCCGCTCTTTTCGGTAGAAGGAGAAGACGTTCGAGGGTGCCATGCCTCTTGAGCTGCGCAGCCTGCACTCGGGGAGCAGAAACAGATGGCAGCCAACACACGTCTTCGCGCGGGCGGCCTGAAACGCGGGCCTGATGCAGGGCGCCGCGCAGTTGTCTCGGCGGGTCTCGCACTCGTGTGCTCAGCGCGGCTTGGGCGTGGGCTGGAGCGCAAAGCCAGACGCAATCATGGTGCGTGGGTGGTGTTGCTTGCGGGACCGGCCACGCCTGCTGGCAAACTGTTGCAACGGCGAGTTAACGACTTGTGCGTCCGAGCGGAGCCTTATCACTCGCTGGGCGTGGGCTGCGGCGTCATTGATGTCGGGTCCGTGGGTAACGAGATCGCCGCCGTATGGTGGACGACGTCGACTGGCCCTGCCTGCCTGCCTGCCTGCGCGCCCGCCCGAATCGTGCATGCGCCGCGCACGCTTCCCGACTGCAGCCCGAGTCGCATTCCTGCATCGCTGCAATTTCACATGCGGCCGTCTTCACATGTGCCAGACTTGCCCTGCGTCCGGGACATGAAACGGCGCGCACAAGCGTAGCGCCACCCGCCGGTGCGTGCCTGAGACACCCAGCTCCATATTTCTAGTGTACATGTACAGCTATCCCAAACAAACGCCAGACACCATGCTGAATATCTATGCCTTCCCTCATTTCTCCTTCTTGCTCAGCTCCATATTTCTAGCATCCGTGAACCCGCTGAACCCGCTGACCTCGCTGCCAGGCGTCGTCGCCCCGCTGCCGCTGCCCAGCTCCCAGTCGTTGTTGGGGTTGCTGCTTCTCCGCCGCTGTCCTCGCTCGCGCATCGCTCCGCGGATCTTCTTGCTCACCTCCTCGAATCCGCCCTGGCTCTCGAGCGTGCTGAATCCCTGTAACGAGAACCCCCCGCTGCCCGCAAGGCCCCCGCTGGAGTTTGTTCTTGACCGCGGCTTGCTTGGCGTCGTCGGCCGCGTCGCGAACAACGCAATGTTGCCCAGATTCTTGAACGACTCGTTCCGTGGCAGATGTCCGTCCGCCGTCAAGCCTCCGCCCATGCTCGTGTCCGTGACGTGAATGTTAGTTTGGCTGGGCGACGAGGGCATCGACTCGAGAGAGTATTCGCTGTCGCGCCGCTTGAAGTGCTCGCGCTTCGGAGATTCGTCATGGAAAGGATCCGCGACGATCCTGGCATGGTCGAAATCGGGATACATCTCCGGCCCCAGTTCGTTGATCACGTCGTTGACCTCGTGTACCAGGGCCGCCCTCATCTCTCTCAGCTTGTGCAACGTGTTGCTGGACGAAGGGTTGAGCGAAAGTGCGAGTGGCCGCAGCGACTTGAAGATGTCCATTCCAACCTCGCCAAAGCGGAGAGCTGCGTACGTAATGGTTGGAAAGAGGATCCAGCCGCAGATGAAGACGGCCCAAATCGGCACCGATTCCGGCACGAGGCCTCGGATACGGTTGCGGTATGTCCAGGAGGCGAGGAGGATCGTGTAGAAGTTGTACAGGAGCGGGGCGAAAGCCATCGATACAAGCAGCTTCCAGGTCGCCACGACGTCTCTGGCCTGGATTTTGACCGTCGACGCTGCCAGTGCTTCCTTGGACTTCTTGATAGAAATACGCTTTCCGGCGATGAAAACCGGCGCGAACAGAATAAGTCCGGGCAGCACACCAATGGACAGCAAAAGTAGCTTGCTGAAACGGTATACCAGCATGAAAACAACCTTGTGGATCGAGAACTTCGCGTATTCCACCTGGTGATCGCGGATGTTCAGCATCATCAGCTTCTTGTTGTACGCGAGAACCGACTGCTTCAGGCTGACGATCCGAGGGTCGTCCTTGTATCGTTCGTAACCCTTCACAAGCCGACGGTTGAGCTCAATAACCATGGGAAGAGGCAGCTTCTTGCCCTTCGGGTTGTAAAGACGGCGAACAGCTTGGATCAACTGCAGAAGGAATTAGACGCCGCAATTTCCGAAAGAGTGAAAAGTGAGATACGTACCATCAGCGTATCGTAGTCCGGTGCAGTCACCGTGACGGCGACCAAAGCGTTGTAAACATTTTCCAAGAGTTTGCCCACAGCTTCTCTGCGCTCTCCCTTCTTGTATAGCTCGATGAGCTCCTGGGAGACTTCGACTGGCGTACCGAACTCGATGACGGCCCTGGAACGGAACTTGTGGGCGTGGAAATAGTTCATACCGACGGGTACAATTTTCAGACCGCTGCTCGGATTGGCAGCAAGAGCTCCGAGAGCCATAATCGCCACGCCAGCTGTGCAATTGAGTTAGTGATTGCTCGCCCGAACAGGCGGAGATTGACTCTACCTTTGAGGGGCAAGAGCTCGGTGCGGTCATGGCTACCACCTTCAGGGAAGATACCAACACAGCCGCCCTGGTTGAGCTTCTCGAAAACAGCATCATAAACTTTGCTCTGGTCCACTTTGGGCGCAACCTTGAAGTTGATTCCCTCAAATCCCTCTGCTGGGCCGATCTTTCTATCGCCGTTCATGATCTTGCCATCATCGCTGACATCCTCACGGCCCGTCAACTGGCGCAAAGCCACTCCACCCTTGAACGGCCTTTTGACACGCAGCTCCTCTGGCCCATGTATCTCCAAAATCTCCGAGCTTGCCGCAGTATTGTTCACCGAAGGGAGCACGACAAGACCTCCGACCTGGAAATCTTTGCTCTCGAAGTTCGTCCCCACGCCGCGGACGAGGGTGGGGTCGTTGACGGGGTCGGGAAGATAGACCCTGCCCTGGGCGGGTTTCGTGCTGTCCAGGGCTCTCCCCACGGGCAGAGCACCAACGTTGCGAGCGAACCATCCGATGAACTTTCTCCGCATGGACTTCTCGGCGATAAGAAAGCAGATGCGGCGTTGGGCCTCCATGCGCACGACGCGCATGAGGATGAGGGGATCAACAAACTTGGGTCCTCGTCAGCTCGTCCAGAGCTCCTACTACGAAGCTGCTTGCTTGCTTACCTGGTTTGCATGAGGAGCAGCCACGAAGATGACGGGACCGCTGCGGGGGATCTTCCAAGAGCTCCGCGGGTGGACTTCCCTGAAGAACAGGTCGACGAGAATGGAGAAGGTCCAGAGTAACAGGTCGTATATAAAGTTGTTCATCGGTGCCAGTGTCTGGCCAACCGACCTCCGGCTCTTGGCCGAGCTGTTCTGCGGCATGATGCCGACTGTAGTCCGTAGCAATGGCAAGCTTCTCACTGATTCAGCGGCGCAGGGGAAAGCTACCTGTTATAGGAGGACCCGGCGGCGCGCTTAGCGGCGGACGCGGGAACGAGGCCTGTTAGCGGGAGCCGAGCGCAAGGTGCTGTGGCGAGATATTGTGTGATTCCAGGATCGGAGAGCGGCCTAGGGTCGCCAGGGCAGGCGAAGAGAGGAATGGCACGGCGAGCAGCGCCGGATGAGGAGGGGTTTGCGGCACGGCGCGAGGCGGTATCGAGAGTTGGGCTTAAATATGGTAGGATCACGGTACCCCACCAGAGAGCATGTGCTGTGTTTTTTCTGTCTATCGCGGCGCCACGGCGGGATGCGACGCACGCACGCGCTCGCCCGGAGAGGCCCCTGCACGCCGAGGTGTGGGAGCTGGAGAAACGCAGTGGGCCGGGCGCAGGCTTGCGGAGAGGCGACCAGCATCGCAGACTGGAAGAGAAGTGTTGGCGAGGCGCGCAGCGCGTCTCAACAAGAATGCGACGACGCCGACTTCATTGGCGGGCAGGGGTGCGGGTTGCGCCCACGAGCGCCTTCCCCGGATGCTTCGCTTCCAGCTGCTTCCGTGCGACCATGCACATCATCGTCACAGCCGGGAGAACTCTCGGTCGGACCCATCCACCCGCCCGGCGTGCAGAACTGACGTGACAGACCCCGGTTCCCGCTTGTGTCTACTGACGCACGCTATCGTTTGCGATGCTATGCTATCTGATTATCCCATTGACGAGTCCCAATGCAGTGCGTCAAACGCTAAGGAAACCGATGCTCAGAGAAGGTCGCTCTTCCTCGTCACCGGGAGCGAAGGCCTTTCCACCACTGTTCCCTATACCCGCAAACGCCACGCGCCTTGCATTAGCCGCACGCTCGCCACGAGCGAGACCACGGCCCTGTGCCCTGGTACCATCCTTTCCTATATCGTGCTCGTACAAGTCGCTGTTACAGTCTACCTGCAGCTTCCCCTCACCTCTCGTTCATGCCGTTGGCTCCGGGAATGCCCGAGCCCGGAGCCGGCGAACTGCCTGGCTGCTCGCCGCTCCCTGGTAATGCCGGCGGCATGAAGCTCTCTGGAAGCTTGATTGGCAACTGGAACTCGCCCTTGAGTTTGTCTCCAATCTTCTCACCCCTCACCGCCTTCTCCATCTCCTCCTTCGTCAAACTCTCGAACTCGACCAGCGCTCCGGCAAGACGGTCGAGCTCCTCGCGCTTCTCTGTCAAGAGCTTCTTGGCACGCTCTCTCGACGCGTCCAGAATCTTGCGCACTTCATCCTCAATCTTGTTCTTCGTTTCCGAAGACAGCCGAGAGAAGTTGCTGTAGAGGTCAATGTTGCCCAGCTCATCGCTCATGCCCATCTGGGTGACCATCGAGTAGGCGATGGCAGTGGCCTTTTGGATGTCGCTGGAAGCGCCAGAAGTGACGTAGTCGGGCCCGTAGATGAGTTCCTCTGCAACTTTGCCGCCCATGCACACATCAATATGAGCAAGATACTCCAGCTTTGTCTGGCTGACCCTGTCCATCTCAGGCAACTGGAAGGTGATGCCGAGAGCGTGGCCACGAGGCATGATGGTGGCCTTGTAGAGGGGATCCGCGTGCTTTGTGAACATGGCAACGAGCGCGTGACCGCCCTCGTGGTAAGCCGTCGCAATCTTATCCTTCTGTTGAATCACCGCCGAGCGCCGCTCGGCGCCGAGAAGAACCTTGTCTTTTGCCCATTCGAAATCAATCATGGAAACACGCTTTTGCTTGTTCTTGGATGCATGTACTGCAGCCTGATTCACAATGTTCTCAAGTTCGGCGCCGCTGAATCCGGGAGTACCACGAGCAATGACATCGGCATCGACATCCGTGCCAATCTGAACATTCCTCATGTGGTGCTTGAGGATGGCAGAACGGCCACGAACATCAGGAAGAGGGACAACGACATTGCGATCAAACCGCCCAGGGCGAGTAAGGGCCTTGTCGAGAAGTTCCGGGAAGTTTGTGGCAGCAATGAAGATCACGCCAGAGTTCTGCTCAAAACCGTCCAGTTCCGTGAGCAGTTGGTTGAGGGTTTGTTTGACGTACGCGTGGTCACGGTCGTTGCGTTTACCACCAATGGCATCGAGTTCGTCGACGAAGACAATGGCAGGCGCTTTGGATTTGGCCGCGTCGAAGAGCTCTCGGACACGCTTGGCACCGACACCGACGTACACCTCGTCGAATTCCGAGCCTGACATGTAGAAAAACGGGACGCCAGCCTCTCCGGCAACTGCGCGAGCCAACAGAGTTTTACCGGTACCAGGGGGGCCAACAAGGAGAACACCCTTGGGGAGCTTACCACCAAGGGCGTTGAACTTATCGGGGGCCTTGAGGAAATCGACGAGCTCCTGGAGTTCTTCCTTAGCCTCTTCGCAGCCATGGACATCACTAAATCGGGTAGTCTGGAGTTCCGGCTTCGCTTCCATGTCCTGCTTGGCACCACGCCTTTGCAGCATGCCGCTAGCTTCGATAACCATGGTTACGCAAACCATGGAAAGGTAGGTCAGAAGACCAAACCACAAGAAGAACTTGACCCATTTGAAGATAGTGCTGCCGGTGGATTCTTCGACGACGACGTATAACGGACTAGCCCTCTCGCCAGAACCGGTACGGGCAGTCGCGACGTTGCCGCCACGGACGCGTGCACCGACTGCTTGACCAATAGCCGAAATTTGGTCCATTCCAAGACCAGAGGCTTGCCCGGCAGTGCCATTATTGCCTTGAAGGCTAGCTGCCTTATCCGACTGACCAAGTCTCTCTAAAGCCCGAGTGTACAGCGCGTCGCATGCCGCGTTTGTAGCAAATCTGCCTGATTCATAGCGTTCAACGACGATTTGGGGAAGGTTAGCGCGAAGAAGCGCAGCATAGAAGGCATTCTGAGCGCTAGCACTCCCAGGATTGTTGTTTGCCGTTTGTTCCATGTGAGCCAAAAGATTCCGTGAAGTGTTGCCACCGAAGATACTGCGCTGCTGGGTCAAACCAACATTTCCGGGTCTCGGGATGGGGTTGAGTTTGAAGGGAGCGAGCCGGGTAAGAGTGGAGTATTGCCGAGAAGTGTTCGAGACCGAAGGGAAAGTGCGAGACAGAGGACTGAAGCGTCGGAGGGTATGAGCCGGCACTGTGGGGCTGTTAGCAAGCTGCCAGGGGTATTGCGCGCGCAGCGAATGCCATCCAAACCACTTGCCTTGAGCAAACATGCCAGCTACTGTTTGCGGGGCACCGAGCGCTTCGGGCGACGGGCGAAAGCGGAGAGCAGAGAGCGGGACGGAGGCCAAGCACTCAGGCACGACAGCCTGTCTTCCATCAGCAACCGAAGGTTCCGAAAGCGTTCCGTGACATACGTTTGACTTGGATCCATCGAGCAGTGGCCGGCGGTCTCGTGCGGGTTCCGAAGGCGACGCGCGACGTCCTAAGAGTCGCCAGGGAGTCTGCGCAGCAGCAGACATTGACGGCCAGGCCTCGGTAGCAGCAGAGGCGACACTCTTTATGACGTGTTAGGTCAGGATTTCTCATGAATAGGGCTGGGGCGGAGATCTTGAGCGCACCTGCAGGCTGACCGGAGCGTGGAAAGCCATGGTTGTTGAGAGGATGCGGCCGATGCCGCGGGAAAATAAGGAAAGACAGTGGCTAGAAAGAAGCGTGGGAGTACGGTGGAAGCGGAATTGATGGAATTAGAGAGTAGTGAGAGGGTGGCCACTCGCACAGGGCGGGTGTGATGTGGTGACGAAGGAGACTGGAAGAGTTGCCGTCGCGGCTCCGATAGCACCACCGGAGACCCGTGCCACCGGCCTTGGCGCTCCGCCTGGCTCCTTCCGAAAAATAAGCGTGCCCTCACCGGGCGCCCGGGCCTGCGCCTGTCTAACCCCGACCACAGCCCTTCCCCTCCGCGTTGCTGACCCCATATTATTCCACCGTCCATGGTTCGTTGATGCCCCTGGTTGCTTGACGTCTTGTGATTGCTTATCACTCACGTGATCCGCCCCACCGTCTCTGCTTTCATCAGTCGATGCCGCCGTTGCACTCCCGTCTGATCTACAACGCCAGCGTCACCTTGTAAGATCAGCTCGCCGCTTTAATTTCTTCTCTTCTCCCGTTCCAAAGCCAATCAATGCTGCTTTACCGGGCCGTGATCTGTGCACCTCAGCAAAGCATCCGTACCCTCCAAAATCCGGACGGACATATGCCGCAGCGACATCCGATTTGACGTGCGCTGAACCGAGATGGAAATATGATTACGACAAGTTAGCACGTTGGAGGAGGTCCACTCTACACTAGAAGCCTTTCAGCTCGCGCTTCCGTTCAAATGTGTGTTGAGAGGGCTGATTCAACCAGATGTCCCAATTTTTCCTCGCGTATGATTACATACATGCGGAATTGCATAAGCCTGCAAAAGGAGAAAAAGAAAACCTTGAACATTGCGGATATCTTGTCTGTTCTGAGATACGATACAAGAACTCGAGTTGTAACGACCGTGCAATCTTTCCCCAACACCCCTGCTTGATCTCACTACAACATTTATGAGTTCCACCATTCATTACACTAATGACCTTGACTATCCCCACAAATGCAGTCAACAGACAGCTTCACCCTATGCGCTAGTCGACAGGGCAGCGCCGTTGCTTGGAGCCGAACTCTTCGCGTTGGGCCATATCCCAACATCATCTAGGCTGAACCATCGGCAGGTGCAGCTGTACCCGTCGTAAGCTCCGCCTCCCGCTTGTTTAGGCTCATGACATCCCTCTTCAGGACGTCAACGATGCTCTCCGAGGAGGAGGCCGGCACTGACCGAGCGCAGTTGATGGCAGCAGCGGCAATGTGATCCCTGCTAGGGTCACGTTCGAAAAGCTTCAGAGATCGGGTGCACATCGAATTCGGAGTCGGGGCCCGCGCCTTGTTCTCGTTCGTGTTCGCGGTGGAGTTGCCGTTGTTTGCAGCGGCAACATTGGCACCACGAGGTGCTGCCCTGCCAAAGTTGTTGTTGCTGGCTGCGTTAAGGCTGGCGTTCTGGCCGGCGGCGTTTGCGTTGACCTGTGGGAAACCATTGGCGGCGTTGTTGTTGTTGTTGGCGTTTGCGGCGTTGGCATTGCCGGCACCAGCGCCTTGAGAACGTTCCTTCAGACCAATGTCGCCCCTCACATCTCCCACGAGGTCGCCGACACCACCAAGGAGCCCACCATTTTGGGGCGAAGGAGAGCGCTCCTTCAGTCCGATGTCGCTTGTCACGTCTCCGACGAGGTTTCCAACACCGCCGAGAAGTCCACCGTTGTTGCCACCCTGGGGGGAAGGAGCGCGTTCTTTCAGTCCGATGTCGCTTGTCACATCCCCTACGAGGTTGCCAACGTTACCGAGAATGCCTCCGTCTTGCGGCGAAGGAGAACGCTGCTTCAGTCCGAGGTCTCCCGTCACATCTCCCACAAGGCTACCAACGTTACCGAGGAGGCCTCCGTCTTGTGGCGAAGGAGAGCGGTCCTTGAGTCCGAGGCCAGACAGAAGGCCACCACCATTACCACCACCGCCGCCGCCAGTCAGTCCTCCCAGAAGACCACTGAGGAGGCCACCACTGTCGCCTCCAGCCGCATCGCCACCAGCGGCTGCGGCATCACCACCAGCTGCGGCATCATCGCCGCCACCACCAGTGAGCTTACCGAGCAAGCCACTTAGAAGGCCTCCGCCGTTGCCGCTGTCAGCACCAGCCTGGCTGTCGGTACCTGCTCCTGCATCAGCAGCAGCCGGAGTCTCTGCAGCGGCAGCGGCAGCGGGAGTGGCGGCGGCTGCTGCGGCATCTGCTGCTGGGGTTGCGGCTGCGGCGTTGGCAGCGGCAGCGGCAGCGGCAGGGTCAGCAGCGGCAGGGGTGGCTGCGGAGTCGGTAGCGGAGTCGGCGGCAGAGTCGGCGGCAGCGGCATCAGCTCCAGCGGCGTTAGCTCCGGCGGCGCCGCCTGGGTAGCGGACATGGAGGGCTTGTCGGTTTGCCTCGAGGCCTTCTTCGGGAGTAATATTCTGGAAATCGTTGGCACTGCTGTCGGTGGCATCTTGGGGAGATCTAGCCACGGAAGCAGCCCGAGGGAAACCCTGGAACGCGTTCGAGGTTGTATTTTGACGACGTACGAGAGAGTCTCTTGCGACGAGGGACGGAACGGCCTTGTTCGCAGTATCCTGAATTGGATATTAGAGACCAGGTTAAAGCTCCTACAGCGGGGTGAACGTACCACGAAGCGCCTCTCGACGGCGTTGCCATGCGGAAGGGCGTTTCCAGGAGCCGTAAGAAGGCTCAGAGCGAGCAAATTAGGCGTAATGAGGAACTTCATGGTTTCTAAGAAAGAGAGAAAAGTAGGATCTGACCCGCAGTGAGTGAATATCGGGATACGTCTCCCTAAAAAAATAAAATGGTAAGTAAAGTCGGGCGAGGTGGGGCAAAGAACAGCCACTGAGACAGAACAAGGTCAACTTGATTGCTGCTGGAGAGGAAACTGCTGGAGAGACAGCATTCTTAAGTCTAGTTCTCCCCACCGTGGCTATGTCATTCTCGAGCCGTTCCAAAACGGTAGGAACACCGGCTAGGCCTGCAGTAATCACGATAGGCCTTGCGGCTGCCGACGTGACGATGATTAGCGCAACAGCGGCTGACGATCCAATCAATCGCGGTAAGGAGCACACTTCGTTAACGTGATGCCGTGCACTACGGGTCGAGGGCTTGTGGGCTTCGAACGGCCAACAGCTGCCAAGAGAGCAAGTCTCCAGTTTTCTGACCCCGGGGGCGCACCAGAAATCCGAAGGTGTGCCCATATATGGCAAAAGATATGATGCATAAAGTATCATTCGGGTCTCGATAATCCGTGCAGATCGCAGCGGAAGCCAAGCTTTGGCTTCCAGGATCCCAATCTGCAGATCGGCGGGCAGCCTACCAATGTCTCAGAGTTCGGTCCTACCCATGATACCCAGCGCTGAACGATGTATATCCTTATGCAACTAGCGATTTTTTGTTTTGTTATCCAGCGTCGGCCCGGAGAGGCAGGTTGAAATCGAGCCGGTGGGAAATTCGCAGAGGGCTTCTCCAAGTGCAAATCCGAATACTTTGTTTTCAAGGCCACCGATATTGTTAATTTGGCCAACTGCAACCCGCAGTCATACAAATCCAGGCTACCAGGCAGACAGCCTTGGCGCGCGGATCCAAGAGGTTGCAAATAAGCTTATGGGGTCTCCGCTAAGATGCAACGCAACCCCTGTATCAGACCCCTGTCCATCCACAACCCCAGCTGTCTCAGTACCGTCTGCGCTCAGTCTCACAACACCAAGCTCCTCCGACCACTCAGGTCATGGTAACAGCCACTCGATAGCGCGCTCCTATTCCTGCCAAATTTCCTCGCGCGCTGAAACCATTCGAGCGACCACGCATCCAGGGTCAAACTACTCGGGCAGCAAACTATGGTTGATCGGCGTTCCAACGATGAGCCACGATCGAAAGACGCAGCGTTGACAAGCGAGGTGTCGACCCAGGCGTGTCCAGCAACGAGGAAGTGATATGTATATCTGCATAAGCGTGTCCGCCCCGGAAACACCTGCCAAGGGCGCCTCCTCTGTCTTGGCTCAAACCTACGCAAACTTGCGCATCCTCTTTCAACACGTCTACATTTCCTGTCTTTCGTCTCTAAACCACGCAATTCCAAGACATTGCCAATATCTCAAGCATCAGCACGACATCCCAGACTTGCCCATCATGGACAGGCGGCACAATACCACCAATGACGCATCAACGGCAAAGTACTCTCACATTATCAGCTCGGACGACCAGGGGCAGTTCCGCCATTCCAACGAGAAGGGAGGCCTTACCATGGTTCATGCCCGGCTGTCGGAAGAGACCGACTCCACGCTACTGGACCAGGTTGACCTGAGCGAAGACGACGACGATCTGCGCGAAAGCGGCGGTCCTCACGGCAATGGCAGCAGACGGCGGCGTGTGAGGCTCGGCCCGGTGTGGCTGTGGGCCTTGCACACCGGTTTGTTCCTTATGTCGCTGATGTTCTTCGTCTTGGGTGCGACCATGGGGCCGTCGACTAGGACGTTTGTGCAACAGTTCTCCGCATATTGTGAGTCTAGCCCATCTAGCCAATATCCTCTCTGGATCAGAACTTTGTACAAGGGCTTCGTATTCCCGTTTCGAGAGCATCCCGTATATCTCAACCCCCGTCGTTGAGGAATGCTCATTGTTCGCTCTTGGAAATGAATGAAATCGCATGCTAACCGTCCAACTCTCTCCAGCTCCTGCGCTGAGCGCAATTGAATACGAGACGGTGACATTCAACAATAGCAAAGGCGCCAAAACCGCCTACGTGGGCGCAGGGCCAGAGGCCGACAAGGCCTGGGAGCATGTAACTATGCACAGTAAGATGCCCTTTTAGACTCCCACGAACACTACCACACAAGATCAATGATCATACCCCCTGTTTTCTGTCACACTACACTCCCTGGTCGCTGCCTAGCGAGTGAGAGGGAAACATAGCTAACGAAGTGAAATCAGTGGGTGACCAGATGGTCGATGAAACCGACATGGCGGAACTTGGCAAGCCTCACGACCGGCTGCGCGTGACGGACGCGGCAACAGGTGCGAGCGGCTGGCGCATGGAGCTGGCCGTCGTGCACCAGCTGCATTGCTTGAACTTGATCCGCAAGGTCGTGCACAGGGACCACTACGAGTCGCTGGACCACGGCGACCTCGCCGTATCAGAAGAGAAGTTGGCCGGTCATCTGGGTAAGTGAACCAACTCTTCCGCCTTGCCCCCAAAAGAAAAATACAACAAGAGGCGAGAAAAATTGCAGTTTTGCTGACTTGTGATTCGGGGAAAACAAAAGACCACTGCATAGAGGCCCTCCGCATGAAGATCATGTGCGAAGCCGATGTCGGCGTGATATTGTACCAGGAGCAGCCGGGCGATGATGGAAAGTTCGAGCCGGATTATGAAACACAACACGTGTGCAGGAACTGGGACAAGGTCCGTGAATGGGCCGTCTCGAACAAGGTTGCAGATAAGGCAACATTCTAGCCTACTAGTTGTTAACGAAGTTGATGAAGATATTCACTTGCTCAATGTGTGATATGCATTTAATTTGAGGAGACACGACAAGCTATTGCAATTTCAGGCATTGGATTTAGATAAAGGAGCCGAGAAGGCTCAGTCTGCCAGCAAAAAAGATTGCAGCCATTCAAGTATAAGCAGCATTCAAGGCTCATATTGCTCCCATGATAGAGAAATGATTTGACCAGCGAATAAGGGGGATCCAGTGGCTTGTATGACGCTCAGAGCCGTCGCTTTAGCTCACATCTATCGGAGTCGTGTCAGTCTTATCGCAAGCAACTAGGGATATGGTCTTTATTCCCCTCTGCAGTCGCTTCCTTTGAGTAGAGGGCATTCCCCTCTTGAGAGTAATTCGAAGAGATAGATGATAGACGGAATGCCCAACTCCCATTGAAGGGAATGTTTAGGCTAGCCTTCTGATGAAAAGAATGATGTCGATTGTCTTCATCTTCAACCTCAGGATGGATGCTGCGCACCCTCGCCCTCAGCTTGGGCCTCCGAATTGCCCGGCCTCATCTCCTTTAACAGCTCATTGACGCTCTTCCGTGGGGTATCTTTCTTTTTCTTGTCATGGATCTTGACATCTGGCGCATGCAGACTCTTCTCCGCATCCTCATCTTTCTCCAGCTTCATGACTGCCCATCGATGTTCGAGACTTGCCTTCCAGGATGCGTGGCTACGCTGCTGCTGGACCACGCGACCGAACTTGTCAGTGGCGCTGAACTTCTGTTCTAGCATGCGGACCAGATCAGGGCTTCCGGGCTCGAGAAACTGCAAGCGGGCGATTTTGTGATAGCCGATGAAGCGAAAACCACCGCTTCGGTTTCCGACCTGCTCGAAGACGGCGATCGGTTCCATCTGGTAGTCAGCCAGGTCCGGGGTGTGAGTAGAGCCGGAAGGTTGGTGAGCCGACGATGGTGCCTCAGGCTGGAGTGGCTTCTTGCTAGAGTGGTCATCCGTCTTACCATTGAGCTCTCCGTTCCCGGCAGGCTGCTCGCTGCTGACGGATGCATTGACGAACCTCTCGCTTCCGGGTAGGTAATGCAAGTTTGTCTTGACGTAGATGAGGTGATCGGCTTCCCAACGCGGATTGGCTTCCTTGAAGAGCATGATATACTTCAGCCGGTCGGGCTCAGAGGTGGACGAGTTGAGCGTGCTGTGAACGGTCGAGCGCATGCCTTCGCCTGCTTCGAGTTCCACCGGCGGCCAATAATGATCGTGCACGTCCTCAGCGCGTGGCAGCCGCTCCGAATGGAATCCGTTTCCGGCGGTAGAGGCAGGCTTGTCGCCGGAGCCGCTGTCGGCGACCTGCTGCTTCTTGCGAAGAGCGGGTGGGACGTATGCCATGTCTGTCCGCCGTCAGGTCGATCCAGCGAGAGTCGGTTGAGGACGAAGCTTAGCACCAGCAATTTCTGGGACGCGTGGGGGAAGAGCAAACGCCGGTCCGAGGAAAGTCCGCACGAGGGCACAGTTGATGCCCTAGGCACTCAAACGGTGATTCAAGATTCGATGCACGCAAATGACACCAGGGAAAATCAAGAGTATTAGGTTATCTATACGGCTTTAGAGATGAAACGCTTCATGGTACGGAAATATCCCAATAAGTATTGAAAACCTATGCTTTCCAAATCTCAAAACCCCGTGTCCCCGTCCAATGCCCGTCCAACCGCGCGCCTTGCAAAGATCCCAGACTTTTGATAAGCCATGTTACTTATTGCCTGTTGCTACTTATGACACCTTATCCAGCCCCCATCTCGCTCTCTGATATGGGAGAGAGCTGTATGAAATTACAAATCTGTAGATATGTTTGAGAAATGTGCCAAGATGCACGATCAGCGGAGAAGAAGAAAGAAGAGGTAAGAGAGGACTCAAAGAAAAGGAGGAGTAGGGCGACGAATAAGAAAAGACAAGAGAAGGCTCGGGCCCGACAGTCAACTGCCATCCCGGATTTGATACAACTTCCGCTCCATCCAATCATACATACTATCCATGGGACTCGGCCACAAAAGGCATTTGCACTCGTACGTGTGTTGACGACCTCCTGGCAGCTGTCGTGATCTAGGAGACGTCTTGCCTCCATCGGTCGATAGCTGCTCTGCGGCCTGAATCCATACTGGGGTCCATCTGCATCTGATTGCCGACGCCCATGCCCATACCCATGCCCATACCCATACCCATCCCTGCCGCCGGCATGCCCATCTGCATGCCACCCATAGGCTGCATACCGTATGGCTGTCCCATCATCATTTGGCCGGCAGGAAAGCCAGTCATGCCTGCACCTCCCATGCCCATGGCGCCCGTGTTCATACCCATACCCATGTTCATGCCCATTCCCATGTTCATATTCATATTCATGTTCATAGGCATGTTCAGGGGCATGGGTGACTGCATAGGCATGCCCATACCCATCATCATGGGCTGCTGCTGCATCGGCATGCCCATGCCCACCATGCCAGCTTGCGGGTTGATGAAGCCGCTCTGGTTCATGGCCGGCATGCTCATGCCAAGGTTTGCAGTACTCGTGTTCATGTTGTTAGCGCCAAGGGTCATCATGCTGGCACGCTTGTCGAGTTGTCGGGCGCCGCTCGTTCTGCGGGCAGCGGCCAGCCCGGTGCCGTAATCTTTACCGAGAAGACCGCGCTCTCCGCTTGAACCATCAAGGACCATGCTCTTCGTACGGGCATCAGCTGGAGGACCTACGTCCAGAAGTGGCTTTTCCAGTCCATAGCTCGTGCTCCGTTTGTTGCCCTCGCGGATGTGAGCCTGACGAGTGGCAGTCTTCTGCTCACTCTTCTGTAGTAGACTGCCCTGCGGAAGGCTGGAAAGCAGTGCATCGTTGCTAATCTTTTCAGCCTGGTTGCCAGTGGGGTGAGCCGAAAGGATGTCTGCCAAGCTAAGAGAAGCTTTAAGCGGCGGGCGCAAGGGGTTTCCTGGGGATAGGCCCGAGGGCGTCGTATTCCCACGAGCCAAGGCTTCAGCTTGTAGACGGGCGCGACGTTGCCCGAGGGTCTCTTCCTCTTCGTTTACAACCCCTGGCGTCTTTGGGGTTGCGTCCTTCTTGGTCCCGCCTTTCTCGTCCCCATCTTTAAGGCCGTCGAACTGACTCATCATCTCACTCGCGAAATCTCCGCTAATAGGGCGCGTGCCCACGTCACCGAGTGCTGAGTTCAAAGCTTCCTTACGCTTGAGGCGCTCCCGTCTTGCTGCCAGAGGTTCCTCCTCATCATCCGACTCCTGTTCTGCCTGCGGGGGTTCTGGTGTTGGGTTGTTGCTATTGCGTTGGTCTTGAGAGTGTGCGCTGAGCATCGTCATACCCTGGCCAGGGCTGACGTCACGAGTGTAGGGTGTATCAGGGTGAAGTCCACGCAGACGGTTCCTCCGCCTACTGAGAGGTTCGCTGTCCTCCAACTCCTTCTTCTCAAGCAGGCCAAGAGGTCGGTCCCAGTCGTCGCCACGACCACCAACTCCTTGGCCAGCCTTGTTGGCAAGGCCGTTTTGGCCAGGAAAGAGCATGCCGAGCGGCACGTCGTCATCCTCTTCATCCGGATTGGGGGCTTCCCAGGCAAGGTTTACACGCTGGTTCTGGCGCTTCCTCTTCTCAATCTCCGCAACAGCGTCCAATTGAAGAAGAGTGCTGTGCATGCCATTCGGGAATGCAGTTGCCGCGGTACGGTTTCGCTCACGCTGCTGAGCCTTGCGCATCTGCAATTCCGCAAGGAGGGTCGTAGGTTGGCCGATGAACTGCTCATCATCATCGAGTTGTCCCTCGTCATCGTATTCATCACTTCCGTCGCGGGATAGGGTCTCCATGCCGTTGTATGCGTTGCCGTCATGGTCGCCTGATTGAAGTGCAGTGGACTCATTGATGTTGGATCCCTGGCTGGAGGTAGAGCCTCGTCTCTTTTGTTGCCCCGCGGCTTCGCTCTGCTCCAGAGCATTCGACAGACTCATCTGACTGTTCCGCTTTTGCAGCTTGTTCATCTTTCCGCTGCTGCTTTTCTTCTTGAGTTGCTTCGACACCTCGTCCGTGCTAGAGCGGCGCCCCAACAAGAATCCAAACGACGATTTCCTCTTTTCTTTCTTGGTTTCCTTCTCGGTCTTCTCATCGTCACCCAGCATGGTCGCTGAGCTCTTTCGCTTATCCATGTCAAGTAATGATGAAGAGCTTTTCCGCTTTTCTAGCATGCTCTTCCGCTTGGTCTCCCTACCATAGACGGCCTTCCCAACCGGACCAGCTACAGGATGGTCAGTGAAAGCACCAACAGGAGCGTTGGTTGATGCGTCCAGGATGTCGTCAAGCGTTGCCCGGGCAGATTCACCCTTAATCTCGACGTCGTGCGGCACGTTTGGCTGGTCAAAGTACACGCTGGCGCGGAGCTGAGGCGGCAGCTTATCCATGTTGACACTCTGCCGGGGGTCTACACTCTTGCGATTGTCGGGCTTGGTAGTGCCACCAAGCCACAGCGCGGAATTCCTGGCTTCGGCAACCATACCCCCCAGCACTTGACTTCGGCGCTTGTTGCGCAAATCGTTGGAGGGCAGCTGGGAGAGGCGTTTTGGCAAATTCAGCATCTTCGGGACCGGTGCGGGATAGTATACCATGCCATCGTCAGGCGGGGGAACTCCGGGGTGGTGGCCGTGTGGAAGGGAGTGCAGCATTGCGTGCTCACTGCCCTCGGATATCTCGCGCAGGCCCATCAGGGTAGGAGCGCAGTGTACGCCATCAAAGTCCCGAAAGGCGGTTTGGGCCTGCTGGTACGTGTCGGCGGTAGCGGGCCGGTCAGGGAGCTCATCGGGGTCCAGCATTCCATAGGCAACGCGTCCGTAGGCTCCGGCAGCGGGAGCTGATTCCTGGCTGGGCACGGTGGCCAGCTCATTCTCAATGTCCTGCACAATCCTATCGTATTCGAGGCTGAACTGCGAGGCGTTGCGGGCGTGCGGCTCGGCTGCGGGCGGCGGGTCGTTGTGGACGGTGGCGGTCTCGGCTTCGTCGACGTTCTCGGGGAACTCGTCGAGGAGCGAGCCCTTGGTCTGGGACATCTTGGAGACGGAGTGCTGGCGCTGCACGCCGGAGCGGTGCGACCACGAGCCAGAGCGGATGGAGCCCTTGGGCGAGGTCACGTAGGCGTTGGGCGAATAGCCACCCCAGCGGGCCTGCGAGTTGACATCGACGATTGAGTTGGCAAAGGAGCTTATCGACGTGTTGCGCGACCTGCCTGCGGGCACGGGTTTAGCGTTATCAGCGTGTGAAGCCAGCGACGAGCGGCGGCTCTGCTCCTTCTCCTCCAGCTGCAGTTTGCGGATCTCCTCGCCGATGTCCGAGCCGCTGGAGCTCATGCGCTCGGCGTGCTTCTCGAGGCGCTCAACATGAGTCGCGAAGCCGTCGGTGGGGGAATGCAGATCGGGAGTGGGTTGGGACAGCGGGAGCGAGCCCTCAGCGGAGACGGTGCGGACCATTGGCTTGGTGGCCATGGCGTTTCAATGAGAAACACGCCTTCGCGGCGGCGGGCGGGGTGCAGCTTGCGGCGGCGTTTTAGGGACACAGCAGGACGGGGAGAGGGCGCGGCAGCGAGGGACGGGGGGAGGCTATATCGCGGAGTCGTGAGACAGCAGCAAGGAGCCACCAAAAGGGCGAGCGACGCTTGGGCGGGCGACGCTTGCGCGCGGCGGGTACACGCGATAGGAGCCCCCCCAAAAATAAAGGATCGACGGATTAGACGGCGCGGCCCCGTTTGGCTGCAGCTTCGCCCGCCCCCCTGCCGGCGACGCGCCAAGCCGTGCTTTTGCCTTCACGCCCGTGCCTTCGGCGTCAGCCTTCGTATCAATCTACCGAAAACGACCCTGCACCACCACCCGCCGCATCCAACCCGACACCCACCGTCCCTTTGCTCGCCCTGCCGCTCACCCTGCGCTGACCGCGCGTCTGCCCTCGCGCCTGCCCAATGGACCGCCCGTCGTTCAAGCGCAAGTTCGACAGCGACGATGCCAGCGCCCGCAAGAACCAGAAGACGGCCGCCGACAAGCCCAAGATGTCGTTCGCCCAGCGCATGATGGCCAAGATGGGCTACAAGGAGGGCCAGGGCCTGGGAAAGTCCGGCGAGGGTATCCTCAACCCCATCGAGGTCAAGCTGCGGCCCCAGGGCGCTGGTGTTGGTGCCGTGAAGGAGAAGACCGAGCAGGCGAAGCAGGAGGCCCGCCGCGCCGCCGAACGTCGCGGTGAGGAGTATGAGGACTCGTCCGAGGAGGAGCGCAAGGCGCGCCAGCGCAGGAAGGCAGAGCGCAGGAAGGCCGCCGAAAGTGGTACCAGCGGAGCCAGCACACCCTCGGGTTTCACCCGCCCAAAGACGAAGTACAGGACCGTTGCCGATATCGAAGCTGCCGCCGAGGGCCTCGAGGTGCCGAATGTGCTGAAGAATCTGATCGATGCTACCGGCAAGGAGACGAAGCTGCTTACGTCTACCGCGGGGCTGATGACGCCTTTGGGTGGAACCCCGTCGGCAGCTACCGAAGCTGAGAAAATCGCCACGCGTGCCCGTCGCGAGCTCGAAGCTTTCGCGAACTCGTGGACTGAATTGACCGAGCGCAAGCAGTTCATCGAGATCGAAGAGGAGCAGCTTCAGCGGGAGATCGACGAGCAGGAGCAAGCTAGTCGCAAATTACAGGGGGTCACGGACGCCGTCGAAAGACTCAGCCGCCTGGAGCTGAACAGGCCCAGCACTGCTGACGACGCATCGGCCCGCTGGGAACAGGTCGTCTCCGAGCTCGAGACATTGCAGTTTGAGTTCCGCAATGAGCTCATGCAGTTCGGTCTGCAGGAGGCCGCCGTGGCTGCCATTGCCCCGCTGTTCAAGCAGGAAATGCTTGATTGGGAGCCCCTGGAGAAGCCTATGCATCTCGTACCGTACATCCACCGCCTGCGCACAATTCTGGGCATTGGTAAGGATGATCTTGTGCTTCACAGCGGACATGATGACCTCTATGGCTACAGAAGACACAAGTCGACCACTCCGTACGAGTCGCTCATCTACTCGCTCTGGCTCCCTCGAGTACGAACGACCATCACCAACACGTGGGATCCGTATTCGCCAACCCCGCTCATTGCCCTCGTCGAAGCCTGGAAGGACATCTTGCCTCCTTTTGTCCGCTACAGCCTTCTCAACAGTCTCATTGTGCAGAAACTTAAGAACACACTGCACGACTGGAACCCCAGAAGCTCTCTCAGGAAAAAGCACACCAAGCCTCTTCCCCACATCTGGCTGTTCCCCTGGCTACAATACCTCGCTGAAGAGCACACTAACCCTAAGTCCTCCACTGGCTTGCTGACGGATGTGCGCCACAAGTTCGGCTCTGCGTTGAAATCTTGGGACTTGTCTCGTGGCGTCATGCCTGGTCTTGACAGCTGGCGGGAAGTACTTCCGCATCTGGAGCACACCCTCGTCCGCTACCTCCTGCCACGCCTAGCCATGCACCTATCAACAAACTTTACAGTCGATCCTTCTGATCAGGACCTCACACCGCTTGAGCATGTCCTCGCCTGGACTGAATTCTTCAAGCCCAGCACCATGGGCCAGCTCATGTTGGCAGAATTCTTTCCGAAATGGCACAACGTTCTGCACTTGTGGCTTACGTCGGACCCTGATTATGAAGAGGTCGGTCGGTGGTTCAGCTGGTGGAAAGAACAGTTTTCAGACACCATCAATGCAGTCCCAGCCATTGCGCAGGCTTGGGAGCAAGGTTTGGAGATGATGAATACCGCTCTCGACTTGGGCGATGATGCAAAGAACGAACTGCCACTCCCCGACGTGCCGTCTGGCGTTGTTGGAGAAGAAGAAGAGAAGCGTCCAAACTTTGCAGCATCGACAGCCAGCAGGGCTGCCGAGGAGGATGAGACTACCTTCAAGGATGTCGTTGAGGACTGGTGTGGTGAGAATGATCTCCTGATGATCCCGCTCCGAGAGGCAGACAAGACAACAGGCTTGCCACTGTTCAGGATCACGGCGAGCGCATCTGGTAAGGGTGGTGCTATAGTGTATCTGAAGGGCGATGTCGTTTGGGCAATCAACAGAAAGGATGAAACCAGGGAGCCACTTGGACTAGAGGAGGGCCTGATCAAGAGAGCCGAAGGAAAATAGCGTTGCCATGACAGTATGCTGCAAAGCAATGCGATATCCATTACATGCTACCCTAACGGATCGAATTTGATAAGTACATGTTCAGATTGAGGTGAGTTAACAGCTCAGAAGCTACGGCTGTGATCGGCCAGTCGTGATTCTCGAGTTTATCGGTTTTGATACGGAGGCTTTAATTTAACTCAAGCGAAGTTCGTGTCATTAATTTGTCTTTTCAATCTAGTCTTAGCCAAACATTACGTCCATTATATCCCGTTATCATTAATCCGAAGCACATCATCCCTCATTCGTATTTTCACTCCCTTCCGTTTAAGTTTCATCTCTCATTCAAGTCTTGACTCTTCAACCTCATCTCTCAGCCAGGCCCTGACCACCTACCCTTGAAGCTCCCCCTTCAAACCTTAACCTTCTTCTCTTCAACATTAGTGCCATCTTCTTTTTTCTTCTCTTCCACACCTTCGTCATCATCCTTTTCTTTCTCCTTTTCCTCGATCTCATCCTCAACCGGCGCGGGTACGGCCATGAAGCTTGCGCAATCTTTCTCATCTTCCTTGTCACAATCCTGCGACATGACATGTTGGGATTGCACCTGCGACTCTGCCGGAGTCTGCTGGTCCATCTCGTCGGGGCGGGTCAAGCCGCGATCCTTGACGAAGAAGCAGCCGAACAGACAGAGCGCGATGAACGGCGCGAGGGTGATGAATACGGCGCGGCTGGCCTTGGCGTAGGCGTCGTGGATGGCGTCGCTATCGGCGGCGTTGTAGCGGCTGTAGTCGGGGGTCGAGTAGGTTGAGCGGGCGAGATCAGCGTAGGCGGCCGGCATATTCTTCTTCAGCGTGTTCTGCAGCACGGCGGCGGAAATGGCGAGGCCGAAGGCGCCGCCGAGTGACCTGAGGAAATTGCGGTTGGAGATGACCACGGCGCGCTGTGCCTTGGTCGCGTGCGCCTGCATCGCTACCAGGGTCGGCTGGAAGACAAAGCCGACGCCGATGCCATTGAGGCAGCTGATGATGACGATAGCCGCAATGTGCAGCGTGCGCGAGAAGAGCGTCGTTAGCGAGGCGCCGATCGTCCAGATGATGAAACCAGCCCAAATGACCTCGCCGTAACGCTTATAATGCGAGATGTAGAGGCCGGAGATGATTGAAGAGAAGGACTGGAAGAAGACGATGGGGATCGTCAAGCATGCGCTGATGAGCGGTGAGAAGTTGCGAACATTCTGGTAATAGATGGGAAGATAGTAGAGGTAGGCATAGTAAGTGACACCATAGAAGAAGTTTTGGATGATCAGCACGGCGACTGGAATGTTCTTGAACAAGCTCACTGTATTTCAGTCAGCTTACACGGGGGTGCTAAGTGGATCGGCAATCACTTACACGGCATCATGGGAAGCGGGGCAACCTTCCACTCAACAAATATGAAGGCCAATCCGAGCACACCTCCCACGGTGAGCATTGCTATGACCATGGGCGAGTCCCATTCGAAATAGGAGCCGCCGCCGGAAATGGGGATGAGGATCAGAATGGTAGCCAGAGATCCAGTGAAGAGGCCGTAGAAGTCGATTTTCCTGACATTGCCTTTGAAGTCCTTGGTCGGAACGGTGGCCGGGACCATGAACCAGTTGACGATGCAGCAAATTGCGGCCACCGGAGCGATAAACCAGAACAATGCACGCCAGGTGGCATGCTGCGCAAATGCAGCGCCAATCAGCGGGCCGACGAGGTTACCGGTGCCAACCATGGCTCCGAGGATACCTTGGTACTTTCCACGGTCTTCAAGGGTGACAACATCACTGACGATCATCATGGACAGACTAAAGGTGTCAGTGGTTCCTGCAGGTGTTGGTGTGAGTTGAACCTACCTTGTGATGCCGCCGCCAGCCACACCAGCCAGGCCACGGAAGACGTAGAGCATGGTCGAGTTGACGGCGAAGCCGCATAGCAGGTCACTGATGCACAGCAGGGCCAGCGCCGAGACATAGACGAGTTTGCGGCCAAACAGATCAGACAAACGTCCGTAGAGGACTTGAAAGACTGTGTTGGCAATCAGGTTGGACGTTCCAGCCCAGCTGATGGTGTTCTCGGCATCTATGTCCTTGGCAATGGAGGGGAGGAGCACGCCGATGCCATTCTGGTCGATGAAGCAGACCAACAAGCTGGCAGCAAGCGTGGAGAACAAAATGATCAGTTCGCGCTTGGGCAGAAGGTTGGTCTGGTCACGAAGGCCGGCCTCAACATCTCGCTGCTTCTGACGCACCGTCATTGAGGAAGGAGATAAGGGGGGTGAGGTGAGGTGAACTATGAGACGAATGAGAGCGTCCCGAGAGACATGGGACTCTTGGCGCGGCTGGGGGACGGGTGAATGACAGGCTGCTTATTCGCAAAAGGTTGTGAAAAGGCAGAGTGCGAGAGAGGCGTCACATTAAAACGAAAGCTGCTGGATCGGATCTGTGCAGCCGGGGAAAAAAGACCGGTATCGGTCCATGGTCCAAGGAGGCTAGTGGACAGCCCTGATCGTCCTCGTAAGCATTCTGGGCTTGCATCGCGGGCCGCGATGTTTTTGGCCGGTGAGTGTTGCTTAAAGCCGAAGCCTCTAGCGGCGGCGGCCGAAGGCTACTGAGGGTGGAAAAGATAATCTCCAGCAGAGGCGTGAAAAACGCTTTCGACTCCGTTTTGCCACAGCAGCGCGCCGGCTGTGGAGGAGACAGCGATAACATCCATGTCGGTGTGTGGCATTGGGCGCGGGAAGTGGAGCAGGTTGCAGCCCCTGCGGGAAATCTGGCGAGGCAAACAGGCACGTCGTTGGGTCATCGTCAGTCATCAGTCACGTGATTCTGCGCGCTAGCGTGGTTGCGGTCTAGCCCATCGCGCGCGTTCCTGCCGGCCTTGGTACCCCAGGCCCCTCGTGCCGACCAGTCCCAACACCACGCGGCAAATGCACCTCCTGCTGCCGAACATCGGAGCCCGCGCCGGCCGCGCGCGCAGCTGCAGCACACGTTGCATTTCTGGCGCCTGTCAGGCGTCCCTGTAACGCCGAGTCAAAGTCCTAGCCGTCGGGAAGCAATGGTCACGGCCGCACGTCCTCACGCCAGTCACGGTTCAGCAGCTGGCTTGCCTCTCGTGGAGCAAACATACGGTCTATCATACCGCTACTCCCCGCCCTTCGCGCTTCCTGGCCGGTATGGAAAGGTCTGCCTGTAGTGCTCCGCAATCTGCCTTCTAGTCGCAACCCACACGCCCTCCTTTTCGCCGATGTACTCCATGAATTTCCGCAGAGCCTCGGCCCTGCCCGCCTTTCCGACAATCCTGCTGTGCATCGGAATGTTCATCATCTTGCCACCCTCGCGGTACAGCATGTCGAACGTGCTCTTGAGGTACGACTCGTACGTCTGGCCCGCTGACGACATGAAGCCTGGTGCCATGTGGAACTTTCCGTCATTGCAGTCGTAGTTGTACGGGACCAGCAGGAGACCCTCACGCTTCTCTGGAGGCAGCCCGCTCTCCCACGGCAGATCAACCCAGTATGGAACGTCGTCATTGTACACCTCAGACGAGTACAGCAACGGCTTCCCCATCTCCTGAAACACAATCGGAAGGAGCGCATGCGTGTTCGGCGTACCTCTGCCGAAGTACACGCCCACCGGGAATTCTCCCGTCGTCTCCTTCAGCTTGTTGCATGTGTCTTTGATGTACTTCTTGTCTTCCTCCAGCCCGAGGTCCCAGAAGTCCAGCCAACGAAGGCCGTGAGCTGCAATCTCATGCCCATCCCTGACACAAGCTCTTGCAAAAGTAGGATTCTTCTCTGCATCACTCATGAGCTCACCAGAGCCCCACACAGTCCGAGTCATAGTCGTACTCACCCATTGCAGCAGCAACCGCAAATATAGTCATGTTCCATCCAAACTCCTTCATCAGCCTGTTGATTCGCCAGCAGCCTACACGGCTACCGTATTCGAAATCTTGCTCAGCGTTTAGGTATCGGGCGCCAACTTTGTGTCCACCGCTTGACCCCTTCTCCCATAGATACGGCTCAGACATGCCATCGCCCTCCAGCACCGAGCGCTCGCCTCCTTCTTCGTAATTTAATACGAAAGAAATGGCAATTCGAGCGCCATTCGGCCATTCAGCATCGTGGGATTCTTCCCCAAATCCTAGAGCACCAATCAGCTATTTCAATTAGTCATGCGACGATCCTAGACTGTTACCTTCGAAGTCGCGAGGCAACTGGAGAGACTCTTCAACATGCATCTTTGTTTACACCAGAACAGTGATCATAGAAGCGCGCCACGGTCAAATTTCGACCCTTTAATATTCCGTGCCTCACCCCGGGGAAAGATACAGACTCAAGCCCATTCAAGATCAGCGATACTCTGCGCACGATAGGAAAGCAGATAGATACCTGCCCTGCAACCCCACACTCGACCACATGATTCGCGGATAATGACGTTCCCTTGCCTGTCGATCTGTTTACCCCTCAGTCTCCCACTTCTGCACCTTGATAGGTATTCAATTACCAATAGCCGGAGCTAGCGCTTACCTCGGTGCGGCACAGGCATAGAACATGTCCGACATCGCACGCAGCTGTGTGCCACGTCCAGGCTGCAGAGTTGCTTAAACTGTTTGGAAGGCGACTGAGGCAAAAGGCACCGTTTTGATCTTGCAAGCTCGAAGCAGCTCAAGATGTCTGTCTTTTCGCTCGATCCAAGTCCAGGCAACCCTGTGACAACGACCGTCGTAGATGAAGTCTGCGGTGATTTGGGTGTGAGGATCAATGAAAATGAGAAGGAGGCTTACCAAAAGCTACTTGGAGTCTTTCATGATGCTGCAACAGAATTGATGGCAATGCCTGGTGAGTAATAGCCATACAGGAAGTAAATCAACGGTTCTGCGCTGGGGATGTGACTCGCAGTGCACACTGAAATAGGAGGAACCATTTTACTTTCCCTTCTTCAGAGCATTCATCATAACTTCCCCGATACGGATTGTTGCAGAGCTGATAGGCTGTATAGACTATGTCCCTCAAGTCGACCTGGAACGTTTTCCGCGAGAGAACGTTCATTTCCCACCTGCTGACGACAACACATACGGGGCTTGGGCATGGAGGTGCAGTATTAAAGATAAGAGCAGTGGTTTGGAGGGCTCGAATCTGCTAAAAGGGAAGACCGTGGTACTCAAAGACAACATCTCTGTAAAAGATGTCCCAATGCTTATGGGAACAGATTTCATCAAGGGCTATATTCCAGTATTTCAACCCTACCAGACACCTCGACAAAAAATTGACGTCAAGCAGAACACAGACGCCACCGTGGTGACGCGGGTGCTCGAGGCTGGAGCAGAGGTTGTTGGCAAAGCTGTTTGTGAGAACATGTGCCACAGTGCGACATCTCACTCTGCCGCCACAGGCCCTGTGGAGAATCCGTTCGCGAAAGGGTACAGTAGTGGGGGAAGCTCGAGTGGGAGTGGTGTTCTTGTGGCGCTTGGCGAAGTAGACATGTCGATCGGTGCAGATCAAGGTGGGAGCGTCAGGATTCCCGCCTGCAACTGCGGGGTTGTTGGTCTCAAGCCTACGTTTGGCTTGATCCCTTATACCGGTAAGAAAGACATGGAACTGTGTCCGTACTCTACTAAAGTATAGGTATTAGGATGCGCCGGAAATGAGCCAACGAATGATCATCTAGGCGTAATTACGAGGTCTGTTGGAGAGAACGCGCTCCTGCTCCAAGGTATTGCCGGTGCAGACAACGTAGATGACCGTGGCTTCGCTGCTCCAGCACCGGAACGCGTTCCAAAGTATTCGGCCACACTCTCCAGTTACGAAGCGCCTAAGGATCTCACTGGTATAAAGGTCGGCATCATAGCCGAATCTTTGACTGGCGCTGTCTTGGACCCACGTGTGAAGTCCACCTTCCTCAAGGCTGCCGAATGTTTCAGACAGCTGGGTGCGACTGTCTCGGAAGTGTCTATTCCGTTGCACAAGAAAGGACCGGCGATCTGGACTGGCATTAGCAAAGTTGGCGGTTTCCTCGGCAAGAGCACCGGGCCTTTCGGCCGCCGGGGCTACCAGATGGTGGACTTGCACAGCATGATGTGGCCCTTACAGCAGCAGAACTGGGACAATGCGTACGTCTCATTGAAGAACAACTACTTGAATGGCGCCTACGCCACAAAGATGTTCCCCCATCTGCTTGGTAAGGCGACCAACCTGTCTCGCATGCTTCGTGATGCGTACGACGCCGCGCTGAGCGAGTATGATGTTCTCATTACCCCGACACTGCCGTACATTGCAACCAGTCACTGCGCTCCTGATGCTGGCCCGCTCGACCAGATTGCAAAGCAGGTCGGGCTGACAAGCAATACTTGTCAGTTCAACCAAACCGGCCACCCGGCACTGACGATGCCGATCGGTATGCTGGAAATTCAGGAAGGCCATCTGAAAGGGACTGGAACAAAATTGCCGGTCGGCCTGCAGATTGTGGGGAAGTGGTGGGCGGAGGAAACAGTTTACCGAGTTGCTTACGCATGGGAATTGGCGAATCCGAATTGGAAGGATTAAGTGTTGGGAAGCATTGTCAGTTCGTAGCCAACTATGTCGATTGGACCGATTTGCATTGCCGTGTTAGGTATCTATGGCTTGCCGCTTGGCTCGGGCCGGCCAGGAGCGCTTACTCACCTTCGGCCCCAGACTGACGCCCGAAGCCGAACGCGTCGAAGCGGCTCCATACTTTCTCCGATACTTGTCAACCTCAGCTTCATCTAAATACATGCCAGAAACATCAATGGATGTAAAAGAGCAAGGAACCACAAGCAACCAGAGGCAGGGAAACAAGAGAACGTCCCGCCACGCGAAGAGGGAAATCCGTCAAAAGGCCAAAAACATCCAAGCCGTTGTCGCCATCGCCTTCGCCCTCATCGTCGTCATCCTCGCAGCCATGTCATCTCCAGCTGTCTTCACGCTCAATAAGCGTCTCTTCAACCCAACAACCTACTCCCGCATCCATCAACTCTGGTTCGGCGATCTCCCCCACTCGGCCACCGTCGCACCGGCCGAGATTGCCAAGAAGTGGTTTGGCGGAGGCTCGCCGGCCGACAAAGCCGCCTTCGATCACACCTGCACGACCGCTTTCCGCGACGCTCTGGTATCCGTAGGGCCAAAGGCTTACCCCTTGCCGCCGCTCGACGCCGCCGGCAACTCCAGCTACGCGGCCGAGCTGGCACATGCGCCAACCATCTCAGCGCCCTTCGCGGCGGCGCTCGCAGACGCAGCCAAAGGAGGAGAAGGCGGAAGCAGCAGCGACATCCGTGCGGGAGAAGAAGCCGCGGCCGACGCGGCGCTGAGCCTGGTGCTGCTGCTGGACCAGCTGTCACGGAACATCTTTCGGACGGACCAGAAGCTTATCTACTCGCATTACGACCGCCTGTCGCGCAGCTTGGTGCGGCATATCCTGTCAAGCAGCCCACGCGCGGACCTGCACCCCAAGTTCCGCGCTAAGCCCGTCTTTAGGCTGTGGTTCTACATGCCGCTGATGCACTCGGAGTTCCTTGAGGATCATCGGAGCTACGAGACGTTGGCGGGCGAGATGCTGGCGGAGATGAAGGCGCGGGGGGACAAGGAAGCCGAGGATTATGTGAAGCAGAGTCTGGATTTCGAAATAAAGCATAAGAATATCATCGAGAAGTTCGGGAGGTACCCGCACAGGAATGAAGTCATGGGCAGAACAATGACCAAGGAGGAGAGCAAATGGCTGGAGGCGGGGGGTGAGACGTTTGGCACGGGAAAATAGATTGTACAATTCCAAACCATGTCCCAACTGTAGGATCCGGCTCTTGTGCAACCCTCCATCGAGTTTCAGCAAATTCGATCGGATCAAGGGTCAGGAGGAGAATGCCGATGATCCCCGCTGTATCACACTCCTCGATCGGCTATTGCCGGAACAAGCAGTCACACTGTCCCGAACGCTCAACGTGATCTCTGATAACCTCGAACAGCGATGGCCACGTTGACGTCAGTTGAGGCTGAGCTTCTTCACATGTACGAAATGCGGTCACATGGCCCTTAGCATGTTCGCTCGAGAAGTATCCACCATGATGGACGAAGCGTCGCCGGGTCGCACGGACTTTGACGGGCGAATCGTTCGAGCGCGCAGTCAAAAGTCGGTCAGCGCAGAATAGGGGCTGCCTCGGTCTCTCACGGCTGAAGAGGAATTCCTGAACGGTGCTGCCCTTGCGATAGCTGGCCGTTGAGGCTCTCAGCGAGCCACATGGAAGTAGTGGTCCGGAAAGGGAAAGGGGCGTTCGCCGTGTGATGGCCGACACCCAGCTAAAGTGGGTGTCGCGGCCATCAGGCCAATGACAGGGAGCCGTCCCTCACATACCCTGTAAATGAAACGGTCCGGAACGCGAGGTTGAATCGTGCGAGAAGGCAAGGGCAGTCTTCCACCAGAATGAAGTGCGGCAAGGGCTCGTGGCAATCTCGTAGAAAATGCATGCAGCGTGTCAGACCCTTCTTTTGCGGGAGAAATGCGACGATGATCAAGGGCGGGGGATGTATGCCGGGTGGAAAATTAGCTGCCCGTCAGGCCGTCCGCCCTCGATGCACCGTGGCACCCCCGGGCTGGAAGTCCTATCGATAGCTAGCCGTACGAGATAACGAACCCAGTCTGCCGCAGTAACCGGCCGAGCACAGCGCCCACTTCCGACGCGCACCTGTCTTAGGCCGGAGACGGGTTGCTGGAGCCCTCGTCCACCACGCAGCCGCGGCTCTGAGCGCCGCGTTCGACTGCCATTGTGGCCTGGGAGTACTCGTGACGTCGGCCTGACTCGTGCGCAGCGGGTCAGCCTTGCGATAAGCTCTCATGGCGGACACGCTCGCTGCGGCGGCGCGAGCCTTGAGGCAGCAGCCGGCCGGCGGGCACTACTCTGCCGTGGCCCCTCCGCGGCCAGCTGGAGCTCTTGCCTGCGCATTTTTGCGCCCCGTTCCGCTGGCACCCTGACGTCCGTCATAACGCGCGCTCGACGCGCGACTGCTCGCCCTCTCGTTCCTGGCAGCAGAGCAGCGCGAGCTGGACCAAGGGCGGCGAGCGAGGGGCTTTCCCCGCGCCTGCGCTTGATGCATGAGTGAGCGGCGAGGGCAGCAAGCTCCAGACGGGCGGATCGGCCGTAGAAGGCCCAAAAGGGTCAGGACTAGCGTCGTTGTTCGCTGTCAGAGCAAGGGCCTGCCAGCTCGCTATTGGCCGACGCACTGAACGCGCGCTAACCCCAGCCACGCCTTTTCACGCGAATGGGCCATGCGTGTCACTGCCGCTGAGGGCGACGAGAGCGAGGGGTTGGGAGATCGCCGCGGGCGCTCCCAGAGATACCGCACCTCGCGCGCCGCTGCCACCATCTCCTCCACAACCATCTCCCGGCTCCCAGCCCACCAACCATCCAGGCACCGCTGTCCAATGTCTCGTAGGGCTGTCCGTAATACTGCGATTCAGGATTGCGACACGCTCTGCCACTACGCTAAATCAGCCGCTCTACTACCAAGTCACCGGACCCGCTCCGCTGTAACGCCCAGACTCCTCCATCGTCCGCCGAGACGCCCCCCTCCGGCTCGCACCACTTCCCACGAACCCCAATTCGCAGTACCCAACCACCACAGCGCGCATGCTTTACGAACGCGGCAGCATGACTGCCTTAAACACCGACGACCTAGAGGATCTTCTGGCCAGCCGTCCGTCTCTAGCAGCCTCAGTTGACGACTGCTACGATCTGGATGCTGCCCATCACCGCGCAAGCCGGTCGCCTTTCTTCGGCATCCCGTCAACCCACTCAGGCTTCCGCTCAGAGGAATCGGAGACCGAGGAGACCGATAGCGCGGGCCCATGGTCGCCGCCCGCCTGGCGCAAGGCCGGGAGCGGCTGGTACCGACACCACCACCATCATCATCTGTCGCCCGATAGCCCATCGCGGTCGCGCGAGACCAGTCCGCCCTACGAGAGCGCCGGCGAAGGCGATGCGATCATGCCTGCGAACGTGCCGCTGCCCATGAGTCCGTTGAAGCAGACGCCGCGAACCAGCCCCGAGCGCGATCTGCCGTGGGATGCGCGCGTCAAGAAAGAGGAGCACCAGGACAATGAGGACACGCCACAGCGTGCGCTGGCGCCTCGCGACAGGGAAAAGAGCAAAGATGGCTCTGCGCCGCCGCAGGGTATCTCGGCGACGGCCGCTGCGCATGCCAATAACTGTATGTATGGGGCGCGCAATGCCCAGTCGCATGCGCTGAACGTAGCAGATATCCGTCTCGCGCTGCGCGCGGAAGTGCAGCACCGGACCGAGCCTTACGAGGCTGCGTATTCGTGGTTGTGCGATAACTTTTCGATGGTAGCCAAGTCCCGCACTTCGACTCTGTTTTCCGTTCTTGTGGGTCTTTTGTCGATTTTTAGTCTGCGCCTCCTCCTGCAGCCGCCGTCCGCGGGCCACGTTCCGGATCTCGTGAAGGTTGCGGGCCTCGCAAAGGCGTTTGAGCCGTTCATCTACTACAGCGAAAACGGAGTGTCGCAAATAGGAGACTTGCAAGAGACGGGTGTCGCAGTATGGGATCTTGGAGAGAGCGTGCGTCTGACGAACATGACCTCGGCGCCCATTATAGTTAAGGAGCTCGACGAGCTGAGCGAAAGCCTGAAAACCCTCTCGGTAGAATTGACCAAGTTCTTTGCAAACGTGGACGGGGACGTCGATAGGTATATTAGTCGCACAGTCTGGCTGAGTCCAAGGCCGGTGACGCTGACACTAAGTAGTATCCTCATAGTCATGGACTGGGCGAAGCGCGAGCTGGCGCACATCCAGACGGTGCCAGAGAGCTCACTGTCGTCAGTCTTCGGCAATGTACACCGACTCTTGAGCCGGATTGGCCTTCTCGAAACCTCTTCTGGCGCACCTACAGCTGTCGGAAAGGTCGTCAGGGAGCTGTTCGGCCAGACAAGCCCCCAGCGCACCAAGGCAACCCTGCAACGCACTTTCAATGAATTCCTTAACGTGCTCGAGGAGAGCATTAACAACGAACTCACTGCCTCTACTGCCCTGTTCAGCCTGTACGAATCAATTGATCGCCAGTTCCTCAATCTCCAACGCACCGTGCTTCGCGAGACAGACCAGCAAGAGCGCGAGGAAGGCGATCTGCTGTCGAGTCTGTGGACACGCCTCATGGGTGCCAATGCCTCTCGCTTACGCAAGTACGAAAAGAACCGACAACTGCTGGCCTCTCTGCGCGCCCGCACCCTGCTCAATAAGGGTGCGCTCGGTGACCATCGCGCCAAGCTCCAGCAGCTCAAGAGCAACCTTGAGATGCTCCGGAAGCGGCTGATCAGCCCGCTGCTGAGGAGCAACGAGTCGAGCACGCTCGCCATCGAAGACCAGATCAGGGGCCTCGATGGCACATACGAGTACCTCCACGGCGTGCGGGAACGGCAGAAGACCAAGGTGATGGGTCTTCTCTACGGACCGAGTGAACGAATCCTCGTGATTGAAGGTAACTCCTCATAACTCAAGGCGGCGCCACGGTGCAACAATACGGCGTTCTTGCAGCAGCATTTGCAGTGGCGCACGGCGTAACGGTAAGAGGAGTTCTTCGGTCTCTGGCGTCCTTTCCTTTCATAGGATGGGGGTTTATATTTCGGGTTGATGCTGGGAGAATGGCGTTTTCGATTCTTGTTTTGGCGCCCTGGAAAACCTTCTTCCCCTCTCCTTTCTGCTTGCGTCTATGGCATCGGGTCTCGGGCGGGAATATTCTTCTGCATGAGCGGCATACGGAGTGCTCTTTTTGAACGACATTCTTATGGGCTACTGTGATGCTGTAACGCACTTTTTGTCAGCATAGACGCTGTAGAAACGATATTCACCATCTGCCAGTCCAGTGCCGTGCTTCCAGTGAAGAGTGAGACGGCGTGAAGAAGGTGGGATGCCTGGGGCAGGTTTTTCCGCCCGCTTGCGGAAGATCGAATCGCCGACGCGCATCGATCATCCATCCAAACTTCGAGCTCCAGTTCTGGTAGCCGCTCACGACTCCGCCCAGCATGCCTCCGAGACTCAATCTGCTTCCGGCTTCGAGGTCGCTTGCCTTCCGCCCAAGGCCCGCTGCGCCTCAATGGCGTGCCGGCCAAGTTGTTGCCGCCCCGCGCGCGGTCAGAAGATGTTACGCCGACGACGCATCGAAGAAGGATCTACCTGAGTCGGAAGATAGGAAGGGACCGAACACCGATACTCTGCCTCACGTCACTGAAGAAGCACGGGACATGGCGAAGATGCGGAAGATGCCTCCGCCGGAGGTGGAGCAGGGAACCCCGGTAGACGAGGTACGTGGGAATGCGGCGTTGAGCAGGATGCATTCTGCGCTGGAGGCAATTGGGGAGGCAGAATGGCCGGCTAACACGCTGCCCAGTACATCAAAAATGACAAGGAAGCATACAAGCACCTTCCAAAGGTCATGCAAGACAGCCTCAAGAATTCGTCAGGACCGAAGGGCAGCCGTTCTTACTCGACTTCCGCCATTCGCCGCCAGGAACAACTGGCAGTCGCCCCGGCGCCGGCTACAACAGAAATGACGGCTGAGGGCGTGAAATTCGGGGTCGTGCCTTTCCCTCTCCCCGCAGAGAACAGGCTCAAGAGTCGCTATGACCCGGTTGTCGAGCAGGTGACGAACCTGCTCATGCAGCACGGCAAGAAGAGTGTTGCGCAGCGCGTACGTCCCGCTCACGCGCACAAATGCCTCCGTCTTCCGCTACAGAGGCGCTGATATTTCTTGAAATAGAACATGGGACTCATCCTCAATCACCTCCGCACTGCTCCGCCACCGACCATCAGCCCGCAGCGGCCCCTCCTGCCGGGCGCTCCCCCGCCATCGCATCTCCCTCTCAACCCTGTCCTCTACCTCACCCTCGCCATCGACTCCATTGCACCGCTTATGCGCATCCGTTCCCAGCGTGGCGCCGCCGGAGGTGGTGTGGCGCTTCAAATCCCGGTGCCGCTAGGTCTGCGGCAAAGGCGGCGGAAGGCTGTTGAGTGGATACTCGAGGCTGCAACCAAGAGGAGGAACGCAGGTAGCGGCAAGGGTGGCTTCGCGATGCGGTTCGCGACCGAGCTGATCGCGGTGGTGCAGGGCACGAGCTCGGTGTGGCAGAAGCGGGATGGTGTACATAAGGTTGCCGTCGGAGCAAGAGCGAACCTTGTTGTCAAGCCCAAGTTTAGGAAATAAGCTGTAGGCATAAAAGATGTAACTGAGGGGAGAGGGTTTGGACGCGATGAGTGAACGTCGCGTTAATTTGACGGACTGGTTTACATTAAAATTGCTGGACTGGAGCGTGCCGGCTCCTTATATGGCGTATTGGCGGGCACAAAATCGCTCGCTGTTGTATACTACTCTGGATGGCAATGACTGTTTCAAAAGGTACATGAGGGGGAATTAGGTGAAACTATCATCATAGTGACTAGCTATGTCGGCTTTGGAAGACCCAGCTATGCATTATTCGCTCCTTCCTTTTCTCGCCGCAATCCGTCTCCGGAACCCTCCGCCCGCTCGAAGCTAAACTAAACCCCGGTCACGGATTATGGTCTTGTTCTACCACATGTATTCCACCTACGTAATCGTTCGTCCGCTCGAGGCTAAACCCGGGCACAGCTACTGATTACAAGGCCTGTATTCTCGAAGCTGAGGTAGAGTCTAATTACGTCTTCGATCCCTCTATACAATCCCTTCCCGTAATTCTATACCTATTTAAAATGAAAGTAGAACTTTATCGCATCTTTACTTCCCCCGCTGTACGCCTCTATAAACTATCTATAGAATCCTACTTAAGTTGGAGTAGAACCTAATTATGCCTTCGTGCTCTCTCCATTGTCTGTCTTCGTAACCCCTCGCCAGTTAGAAGCTAAAAGGGAACCTAATAGCTACAAGTATATATTGCTGTCGCCTTCTCGGGTGTCTTTGTTGGCGACCAGTTCTATAATCACTATTACTACTACCGCCATCGCGATTGCGATTTCTTTAGCGTCCACGGTCTCATCTTAAAATTCATTCCAGTAGTCTCCGTGTGTGCTGTTAAATGAGTATATACTTAGTCGCAAGAGGCGCCAATTCCTTCGTCATTTAGGCAAACATACTCACATCTCAGCCGTGCTTATTGCGCTTGCTATTTTACAGTACGGGCTATTTTATCCCACGAATTCTAACTCTAAAAGGCGCAGTTCCAGGGATGCCAGCTCCTGCAAAGCTATAAAAGGAGCCCGGATGCCCATTTTGTACACCCACCACTGGCACTAGGCGCCCAAGACCACGGCCTTGGGAAGACAGGCACTACCCAGTGACCAGTCTTCATGACTTCCTATAACCTCAGCCGGCTAATCAAACAGAACGCCGGCTAGTCTACAGCCTCAAGTTTTTTTTCCTCTTCGAAATCACTCCATCCAGCATTAATACTAATATCGATCTTCACCCGACTCGAAAGCTGCGCCTGTAAACGGCGTAGAGGACGCTAGCAGTACAAAGGGCGCTATGAAACCGATGGAACATTGGACAGAACACGCGGTTTTCCACGGCCCCCACGCATCCAACTCTCTGGGCAATTTCAATCATCTTACGATGCGGCATTTCCCATATCGCCATTCGTTTGCTCGTTCTCCTTGGCGACAAGGGAGTTTACCTGGCTGGCACAGCAGGCAAACCCGATCCAGTAAGGTGGGCCCTGATCTGGACATCGGCATACAGAAGGCGGCGAAGATTCCAAGAAGCATACGTCAGGTTGAAGGCAGGGGCCCTGCTTTTTGCGGCTCAGATCTTACGCAGGCAGGTGTAGCGAGATCTTTCGTCATCTCGGATCGGTGCGGAATCGTCGATTGTGAGAAATGGGCATTTTGGAAGAGGGTAATGGAGAACTGGTGTGCAGACCCTGTTTGAGCGGCTCGCAGAGGTCACAGTGACGCAACTCCACAAGGCTGACGTGCTTGCTGTGTACATCTGCAGATCCTGACAGGCACACAGCCTGCGGCTGCACGGGGACTGGGCTAAAGATCGCAAACAGATGTGGAGAAGAGCAAAAAGCTTGACTTGGACGCAAGGTTCTGATTTTCGGGGCGCTTCCCCCCTACCGGCAACCGGCTTGTTGCGATGACGTAGGAGCTCTCCGCATCATCGGCTTGGCAACGTCAGAATTGCTCAACTCCTGCCATTAGGATCGCACGCCGCGTTGCTGTATACTTCTTTCCTCTCGAGCCGCGAAGGAATCGCGCCTCCCACACCGTCGCTCCTATCTGCCGACTGACCGCCGTGAACATCCTTTCCGTGAAGAACTTACCCGGCGATTGATCTACAGCACCTCACCACTCACCACCATGCTGCGACACCCTGCTTCACGCGTTGTCCTGCGCTCGCTGAATGCTGCCCACACGCAGCAGCTTCGCACATCGCTTAATGCCAAGTCTCCCGTTGTCTCTAGACTGTGCACGCTGAGCAACAGCAAGCGCCCGCAGAGCGCACCGTGGAAACCAGTCTCGGCAGTTCTGTGGCAGCGCCAGCGCTATGCATCGACTCAGTGGGATAAGCCGGACACTAAGGCAGAGCAGGAGCTAGCTCAGAAGAAGCTCAAGCCTGAGCCCGAGCTGGTGTCGTCGACATCGTCAATCCACCCGGTGTTCGGTGAGGTCGCTACGCCGGAGCCAGCGAAGGATCCAGACATGATGAAAGGCATCAGGCAGGATGTGGTACGCACAACACCAAAGAAAGATTTCTATATAGGGGCAGCGCTGACAAGTTGCAGGAAACCGTCAAAGAGACGTTCTCCCTCACCGAAGTGCCGCATCAGGCATACGTTCTTGGCCTGGCGGGGGTGCTTCCCTACCTGGGGACGTCGCTGTCGACGGTGGCATGCGCGTATGAAATCAACCATGCGGCGGCGGGCAGCAGCACCTTCCTGTCGGCAGACACAGCAGAGGCGCTTCTGCACATCCTCGAGCCGCTGCAGGTTGGGTACGGAGCAGTGGTAGGTAATCTCCTGCTTTCCTCCGAGACAGCACGCTGACGCCGGAAATAGATCATCTCCTTTCTCGGAGCGATCCATTGGGGGCTCGAATGGGCCGGATATGGGGGTCACCAGGGCTACCGACGATATGCCATTGGTGTTGCGGCTCCGGCGGTCGCGTGGCCGACGATCCTGCTCCCAGTCGAGTACTCGCTGATTGCGCAGTTCCTGGCGTTCAACTTCCTGTACTATGCGGACGCGCGGGCGACGGTCCGCGGGTGGACGCCGCCGTGGTACGGCACGTATCGGTTCGTGCTGACCTTCATCGTGGGCGCCAGCATTGTGGTCAGTCTCATTGGCAGGGGCCAGATAGTGGAGAAGGTCGGCAAGCTGCCCAACCCTGTTGATCGCGTGATGCAGCTCAGGGAGGATGCGGAGGAGGCGCTGCAGAAGGAGGAGGCGGCACGGCGGGCAGCCATCGTGGCCCGCGAGGAGGGTGATGAGGAAGCGAAGATCCCCGGTGGAGACCCTGAAATCAAGTCGGGCTTGTGAGAGGAGAGTGATAGGCTGTTGGGAGAAGCTGCTTAGCTGGCAGAGGGTGTTCTGGGCGTCTTGGCGCAAATTTTGGGCAATGCGGAGGCCCGCGCAGGGTCGGTACGAGGGCCGATATCGTGGGGCAGGGGTGCGGCCGCAACGTGTCGTTGGGAGCCGCATGCGCTGGGTTGGGGAGCGCGATCTGGAAGCGGCGGGCGCACAACGGACATGCACTTTTGGCGAGTTTTCGATAGTCCAGCCCTTCGGCGAAATTTCTAATAATGACACCTGCGCTTCTGCTCATCTTCCAGACCCGTTTTTCTGTCCGCATGCTTGGTTTTTTAATGGGCCAGGAGCTGGCGCGGTTCGCATCCGCAGCCCGCCGCTCCCGCGTGCCTGGATCTTCGGCAAACCTGCCACAGCTCGCCGCCCCACCTCGCCGCTTGGTACGGGGTGTCGCTAGGGCGTGGCAGCCAGCGCCGAGCCTCCTGCGAGCGTTGGGGATCGCTGGATCGAGAGTGCCAGCAGTGCGCCGGCGACTCGGGTGGCGGCTGGACGGGGGCTGCGACACCAGGTCCGTGAGCAGGCCGCGCACTTGATGTTCACGTGCGACGGCGGCCGTGCAATGAGATTTCCCAGCGCCCCTCACTTTCCGCGCCCCGCAACCCCGAGCCAAGCGGCGCTCAGCTGGGAGCCCCGCTGGAGACGCGCCTGGGCTCTAACATCATAGCAACGCACACCAGAGCGGCTGACGCACAACCCACCGGCCCTGTGCCTTTTTTCTTGCTGACCACGCCGTGCTGGCTCTCCCAATTTCCTCCTGTCTCCCTCCTCTGGCACTGAAAAGGCCGCCAATTCGCCCGCACTCGCTCTTCCTCCATCCTCCATTGTTCCCTCGCCCTTCCCAAAACAGATACCCGGCTTCCGCACCTCCCGTTCACCTGCGGCGCCTCTCCCAACTCCGAAATCGCCCGCTCCTGCACCCCCAACACTGCATCCTATTTTTCCGTCTCGCGCACACCTTAGCCGCCACACAGCGCGTGCCTCGGAAGAACTCCTGCGCTACCTCCCTATCACGACGCCTCCATAAAGCGCCGCGCCGGCCCAGCACCCCCGCCGGCTCGTCACACTCCTCGTCCACTCTTGCGCGGGCTCCTCCAATCTCTTCTCCCACCACCTCCTCCACACACCACACACACACAATGGCCGCCGCCGTCGTGAGCGACAAGGATCTGCCGACCACCGCCGACGGCCCGAACCCGCCCATGGACAAGGCGGGCACGGAGATCAAGGCACGACGGGGCAGCATGCGCATGCCGCGCAGCGAGAGCTACGAGAAGCGCATGGAGAAGTTCTTCATTGGCTCCATTGACCAGGGCACCACCAGCTCGCGGTTCATCATCTTCGACGGCACCGGCACGCCGGTCGCCATGCACCAGATCGAGTTTACGCAGAAGTACCCGGAGTCTGGGTGAGTCAATCACGTCCCAATTATTTTTTCCCCTTTCGGCTGCGTGCTCCAACTTTTTTTTTCTTCGAAGCGCGGAGAAACTCTGGAGCGCGCGGTTGTTTTGTGGGGCTGTCAGGGGGACTGAGCGCTAACATGTGATCGCTGGTGCAGGTGGCACGAACACGACCCGTGGGAGCTCGTGCAGACGGTAAAGGAGTGCATCGAAGAGGCGACCAAGAAATTCTTGAAGTTGGGACACCAGGTTGAGGACATTAAGGCTGTTGGAATCACCAACCAGAGAGAAACGGTTCTGGTGTGGGATGCTGAGACCGGCGAGCCGCTGCACAACGCCATCGCCTGGCCCGACACTCGCGTCACGCACCTGGTGCGTGAGTTCAAGGCGAAGGAGGGCGCCGAGGCGCTGCCCGAGCTTTGCGGTCTGCCGCTGTCCACCTACCCTTCTGCCGTCAAGCTCGTGTGGTTGATCCGCAACGTGCCAGCCGTGAAGCAGGCCTACGACGAAGGCAAGCTGGCCTTCGGCACCGTCGACACGTGGCTGCTGTACAACCTCAATGGCGGTAAGGAAAACAACGTGTTCGTGACTGATGCCACCAATGCTTCTCGTACCATGTTCATGAACCTGTGGACGCGCGAGTACGACGACATGCTGTTCGAGTTCTTCGAGCTCGAGAGAAGCAAGCTTCGCGTCCCCAAGATTGTCCCTTCGTCCTGCGCAACATCCTTCGGCTGCCTTAGAGATGGACCGCTCAAGGGCATCAAGATTGCCGGCTGTTTGGGTGACCAGTCCGCCGCGCTTGTCGGCCAGCAGGGCTTCAGCCCGGGCAGCGCGAAGAACACCTACGGTACCGGCTGCTTCTTGCTGTACAACGTCGGCGAGACCCCCGTCATCTCGAAGCACGGCCTGCTGGCTACCGTCGCGTACGACTTCGGTCGATCGAGGAAGCCCGTCTACGCGCTGGAGGGCAGTATTGCCGTGGCCGGTTCTGGCGTGAAGTTCCTTATGAACAACCTGGGCTTCATCCGTGACTCGGACAAGGTCGGTGAGCTCGCAGCGAGCGTGGAGAACAACGGCGGCACCGTCTTCGTCACCGCATTCTCCGGTCTGTTCGCACCGTACTGGATCGACGACGCCAAGGGAACCATCTTCGGTATCACCCAGCACACCCAGCGTGGACACATTGCGAGAGCCACTCTCGAGGCCACCTGCTTCCAGACCAAGGCTATTCTCGACGCCATGGAGAAGGACAGTGGGCACAAGCTCGGAGAGTTGGCTGTCGACGGCGGTATGAGCAAGTCGGAGCTCTGCATGCAGGTAAGTCGAACGTCAGTCTGTGTTTTCTGATCAGTCACTAATCCGATGCTCGATAGACGCAAGCCAACATCATCGGCATTTCTGTCAACCGGCCTTCTATGCGCGAGACGACTGCTCTCGGCGCTGCGATCGCAGCAGGCTTCGCCGTCGACATCTGGAAGGAGTTCGACGAGCTGAAGGACATCAACCAGAAGGACCGTGTCATCTTTGAGCCCAACATCACCAAGGAGGAGAGCGCCAAGATGTTCAAGAAGTGGAGCCGCGCTGTCGAGATGTGCCGTGGCTGGCTAGACGCTGACGAGGGCGGTGAGGAGTGCTAGACGCATTTCACCGGCAAAAAAGAAAAAAAAAAGAGCGAAAAAATTCAAGAGATGGTGCACGGTTTAGAGGCAGACGGTATGCACACGGTGGTTTTCACGCAGTCATGATGATGAGCATTTATCAAGGTTCGCATCACTGGCATTTTGTCTTCTTGCATGTCTTTTCTTTTTCCCTTGGGGAATGCAATTGCGGTTGTCATTTGGCGAGGTGTTGTAGGTCTTTTGGATCGACGATCTACTCTGGACTTGTCTTTTTCACGCAGATACCTCACTTCAGTTTTTTTTTTTTTTTTTCAACACGTAGCTCTTCTCTTGCAATTCAAAAAAAAATATGAAATTCAAAATTAAAATTCCTAAAAAGGCAAATTGGCGCGACGTCGTTGTTCGGGCACGAAAACGCGCTCGGATTGCTTTGTTGAGCGGATGCATTAGATAGAATTTCACCATGCAAAAAGCTTACGCGGTGCGGGATGGCCGAAGAAAGCAAGTCCGAGGCGGTTCGTCAACACCCTTGCCGTTGGTCTGCTGACCTGAATGGTGGAATGAGGAAAGAAAAAAAAATCATCTGGCGGTGTGTAGGATTGGCGATGGGCTGACACTTGCAGAAAGTGGAGAGCTGGAGAGGGGTATGGTTTCGTGGAGAAAGATAGAGAAGGAGGGGAGCAGCAATGCTTACGCCGCCTGTGGCCGGTGCGGTCGGGGGGAGAAGAATGCCCAACGGGCACCATCCCGGCTCGTTGAATTTAGCTTGCAGCTTGCGGACCGGCGGGAGCATGCTTCCCCGTGTTTGGGGTGCAGCGCAAGGTTCAATCGACTTGCCGGAACTCTGCCGCAGCTACTTGTGCTATTCTTCAGCCGGCTCTTGCGACCACACCATGGCCAATCTATCCCCGACGGAGTCTCGGGCTTGCCAACTGACATCACGCCTTCAATTGCTTGTCTTCTGACCTGCCGTATCTGGCGTTAAGGCGACGTGCTCATAGGAGAGAGCGCCACCCTTCTGCTCGAGCGCTTGGCTGAAACATGCGGATCACAACAAGGCTGGCGTCAGATAGACAGAAGAAAAATGGCTCCCGAGTCAGGCAGCGGTCCGGTGGGATATCATGATCGCACACCAGCCTGAGACGGCATTTCTTCACATGATGCGACGGAATTGGCTCGACGCCTATGAGCTTGGTCCACGTGGTGGCCATCTGGAGGAGAACGCGGGCGGTCGACGACGCAGGCGCTGGAGGAGCGCGGGAGGCGGGCGCGGAAGGCGACGGCGCGGGCCTCGAGAAGGGCGATGTCGCCGCTGCAGCAGCTGCGGGGAACTTGGGCATGAAGACACAGCCTCAACGGCGATCGTCGTCGAAACAGCCTTCGAGCGAGAGCCGCAGGCGAGGCGGCGGCGCTGGGGAGCTTGGGCGCGCTGGTGGGGCGGGCCTCGGCTGGCTTGCTGCTGGCCTGGCAGGGACGGGGGCGCGCGGCGCCTCCTGAAGACGACGAGAAGAGGCTCAGCCAAATTTGAGTTCAACGCTCCTGCGCGTCAACCTTCTTCGCATGGATCGCCTCGCAGTGCTCGCCCAACACCGACCACGCCATCTCATTACACCACCGGATCTCCGCGACACGCCTCCACGCCAGCCGAGGCGCACGCGCTATCTGATCGGTTTCAGGAGAAGGCAGATGCGATCGATGCCTTACTCGTGGCCGCCCAACCCGTATCAGACTGTGCCGGCTGAGACCTGCCGCCGTCTTCCGCACAGCATGGTGCGTGCAGCATCGACGACTCGCCGCGATATTCGCCAGCTCGTATCGGTACCTCGCGCCCATCACAAGACCATCGGCCAGGGCTGCGACTCAGGATCGACCGCCTGCCAGTTCGTCGCTGCGCAGGCCGCTTCCGCACAGCCCTGGTCCCGGCGCCGCTCCTGAGAGGTCTTCCAGCGCGTCGTAGCCGAGCGCGAGCGCTGATCAGATTGCCTCCTTAGGCATCAACCGCCCAGCCGATCCCCAGCCATCGCCTGCCGCTGTCGGGCTCACGATCCAGCGCGCTGGAAGACCTGCTGCCAGCTGCGCGAGCAGAGCGTCGTGCTGCTCGGGTGCCTACAGTAGCCTGTGCCGGTCGTCGCCATCTCATCTCCAAGCTCGAGCTCCGTGCGCGCCCAGGCCGAATAGACGTCGCCGGAGCGCTCACAGCTGCCCATTTCGCGTGCCGCCTCGTCCAGACCCCCCGCCCAAGGTAAAAATCAGCTGTTTGCCGTCCGCTTCCTGGCCCCGCCGGGAACGAAACTCAGATCCATGCTCTAAGGCTGGAGAGGGGCCCGGTCTTGACTCGAAACTTGCTACGGCCTTCGGCACGCGGGAGCTGTCTCTGGCCCTGCGCCAACCAAAACGTTGCCCAGGCTGAGGCTGTTTGGCATCCGTCGTCTGCCGGAGGCACACCCGGCCTCGTCGTAACGGGTGCCATTCGACAGATGCCTGCCGTGCTTCACCCTGACCCCAGTCGCTGACGCAGCAATTGCAAATCACTCGCCGCTCGACCCCGGGGCAAATCATCGCCTGCAGCACCGAGACTCACGCAGGGGACTGGGCTGAAGGTCTTTCCTGATCCCTAAATTAATCAGCCATAGGGAAACCTCTCTCCAGGGGAACTTTCTTCCTAGCGCTCGCTCTGTGATGCTTCACGCTTTTAAGCTGACGGTTAGCGTGACGGCTTTGAAATACACATAACGTAGACGCGCGCACATCCTTTCCCGCTTCAGTCCTGTGCCCAATTGTCCTTGTTTTGACTTCTCTTCGACCGTGCCTGTTCATCTAGCTTCATCGCACAAACCACCGTTTCCGCTCATCGCCCCCAGCTCATCTGCACCCAAGCCGCCGCCACCCCTCCCCTCTACCCCTCCCCCACTGTAACGGCTAGCGGGAGTGTGACACGGCGAACCGACCGTTTCTGAGCCTGGCGCCACCATCTCTGCCGCTTGTGTGTTCCGGGCGCAAGCTTTGCAAGCGGCATTCTGGAAGCTCCGGTCGATAACCGTGTATCTGCAACGGCACAAGGCTGAAAGCACTGACCGCCTCACCACACACGCATAACCACGCCATCGGCCGGCCTGATCAAAATTTCCTCGGGTGGCCAAGACAGTGCGTTGGCCCAAGCCCTGAGGTAGGAAAAGATCGAACGGATACTAGCGTCATCCTGGAAGCCTGGACCACCATTGACCATCACATCAGATCCCCCAGGTCGAGCCCCTTCCAGCCCTGTGCCCTGTAAGGTGTACGCAGCCGCGGCAAGGGCTGCGGAAGCTCAAAGCTTGCATGGTTCCCACCGTCCGCTAGCACAAGAGTTCCAATCCGAACCAGGTTCAGACAATCATCTTCGTCATAAATCGTATACCTTGTACCTAGCCGCCTGTCCTCTCCCCGCCACCATCGCGCCCTGCGCTTCACCTCCCTGCCCTTCCCGCTACCTGATACCCGCTACCTGGCTGGAGACGGCCTTTCCCTGCAGCACGCTAGCCTACGAGCCTTCCAGAGAAAGGCAGAATCCTTTGACATCCGCCCACCCCCGACGGCCGCTCCCGGGGCTGGTGTGGTAGTTCCAGGCAGGACTGTACGTACATACATAAGTCCTTCCGTCCTGCGCTGGCTTTATTGATCCGTCCAGACAAGAGCCTCCCTCTCCCCCAGGATTATACTCGCGCCGCACCCGCCTTGCTGCCGCCATTGAAGCCACTGCCGGATCTCTTCTGAAGAAAGACGCCTTCTACGCGCCGCCCGGCCACAGCCCCGAGCTGTCTGCTGCTCTCCGACAGCGGCGACATCTTCCCCCAGCACACGACCTCAGCTCTCGCCACCGGTCCGCCCTTACCTACCATGTGTGACTATACCCAGGTTCACTACAAGTGCTCGCATTTGCGCTTTACCGTCCGGGCCTGGTGCATCAAGTACCAGGAAACGCATCGCAGGTGCCCGGCCAATGTGGTCGCCATGTGAGTGATTGTCCACCCTGCATGGCTGCTGGACGCCCCGGTCTCTTCACGCAGGTGCCATGCCACGCAAGCAACCCCACAGATCTCTCGTACAGCCACATGATCGCATCGCACATTGACCGGGTGACATTGCTGATTTTTTCTTTCTGTTTGGCAGAGAGTACCGGTTGGACGAGCTATGCGGTGAGCAACAACCCGAGAGATTGCTCTGTGGGCGGGCAGCTGATACGTCACTTTTTTTGGTGTGTTCATTAGGCGACTGCCGCAACAAGACCCAAGCGCGGACAGCAGTCGGCAGGCCCACTGCTGCACATGTGTAGATCTCGCGAAGGCGGGAAGACGGACAGACACGGCCGACGAAACGATGCATCCTGGAAGCGAGCGCGTTTACTATACCATGACGATCTGAAGCACCTCCATCGGCGAATAGCAGGCTCCGGTTTTTTTGCGGGTGGCTCTGGGTGGCCGGTTTTTGGGGCTGAGAGGCGTTGTCCTTGGAGTTCTTTTGTTTTTCCTTTGGGTCCACATTTCCTATGGAATATCTTCCGCCTTTCCTTCGCCTGCCTGCCTGGCTTTTTGGTCGTTGAAGCCCTCCCTCTTCTTTTGGATTTCCCAGCAGCTCGCTGGAGGCAGGTATGCTATCGATATCATGTCACATAGCGCAACCAAAGAAAAGGCAGGGATGGGCCAGCCCTACCAGCCCGTCCTTGATTTCTTCCCACTCCGCGGTTTCCAGAAGCTCTCCGGTACAACTGACAGGCAGGGGCACAGGGAAGCGGCGAGAAAAGCCCGACTGCGGGAAGAGAAAATGACTGCTCGCAAACATTTGCAGCAGAGCACGACCCCCAGTCCACGTTGCGTCCACTTTTCATGGAACAGTTCCATCGTCGTTCCAGTGGGAGAAGCAGCCCCCCGGTCGCCGGCTAATGCAGGCCCAGCAGCGGGGATCATCCCTTAGGCCCCTCAAATGACCATGAGCGGCTAGGGCGTGCAGGAGCAACTAATGCATCGCATACATAACGGCCGCCCAAGTACGACGACAGGCAACACATCGGCGGAGACGAACAGATGCGCAAGGGCTGGCAAGCCTCAAGTCTCCCAAAGTGGCTGGGGAGATTGGAAGTGTGGCAACCTCACAGCCAGCATAACATCACGCCTGCACCTTTCCCTGTTCAGCCATGCTGTTTCGCCCCGAGACCTGCCTGCTTTCCCTATATGCTCACGCGCGTCAAAGGACACGGGGGGCGGCTTCGGATGAGCAGGCGCGTACCTTGTTTGCATTGGACTGGTCCCACACCACGTCTCTCTCGATGCGCGCGTTAGTTTTGCGTACATACGTTACAGACGCACACCGCCTCGAGGCTGTGGCCGCTCCAATGAGGCGGAAGAGGAGGGGGGCGGGAGTGATGCCGCTGAGCTGAGTCCGATGGCGGCTGGTTTGTAGGCCATGCGCCACGCGTGTATGTGTACGTGCATCCTGTCCAGCTCAACCCGTGTGCAACCAGCCTTCATCCCGCCGATCTCGGCGTGGGCCCCCACTAGTGGGAGATCTGGTGTTGCCGTTACTATTCTCTATGTTTTCGTTCCCACCCACCACCCCCTTCTCGGCTGTCATGTGCTCACTTGGGAACTCCCGTCTATGATCATGATGTGCATATGCCCTGCAACTATCCGTTCCATCGCTGAGGGACAGGAGGAGCGAGGGCACTTGCAGACGGATGACGGCAGCGGCCGTTTCAGCTTCCCGTGAGGCCCCTTCCACGCCGTTTCTTCTGTCTGGCTGAATGCCCAAGGATTCCCATGGCAAATCCTGGATGACGATGATCCCAATGCATAGCAAGAATCCCACGTCCATCACCAATAGGGCTGCATCCCTGTTCACCCCTCTTCGAGATCGTCCTTCCCCGATCTTTCCTTTCCAAAACTGCTTGGACATGGCGCTGGGGGTACGGAAACGGCTTTGCCGTAAGGCTTCCCGCAGCATCTTTGTATCACCGTCGTACGTACCGTGTCCCCGTCCCGCTCCCCTCACCTTTCGATCAGTGGAATGTACTACCGGCCGCGCCATTTTCCCTGTTCTTTCCTGAATTTTTCTTTTTCTTCCCATCTACATTTCGGCACACACCGACTGTTTGAAAGGTTGGGTCTACTGCAGGCAATGGCTTGGGGGGGCAAGTCAAGGTTGCAGGTGACACGCATTGGGTCGTTACTCCAGAGAGCATATTGATCGACGCCTGAAGTCATCGGATACGTTCTAGAAATAGAGTCAAGCGTCCACCTTCGCAATACTGATATGTTTCACTTTCTCGTCATTTGCCCAATTGCTCCTATATCCCTTCCATTGACGTTTATGTGTAGCGTGGCACACGGGGGACCGGCGGCTCTCTCCGCTCTCTTGCTCCCCGCAGCGCAACACTGTGAGGTCAGAGACAATGTCGAGCCCTACTACTACTACTGTGTCATGTTCAACATGGATCTTGCATGCAGCGCATCGCCCAGAAAGCATTCACCTCTTTCGTCCTCACCGACCCTTTTCCAAATGGGCGGTCAGAACTCAATCTCCGGAAGCCGGGTGCATGCATACATGCACGCACGCACGGGTGCTATGATGCGCGCAATACGTACATCGTCATCGCCATCGACGTTGGCCATCCTGTCCTGCCTTGTCCGCCTCCCCGTCCCGCTCGGCTTCCTTGCTGTCACTTCTTCCTCCCCCTCCCTGTCCGGATGCATCAAGTCGAACTGAATATCTGGCTGCATCATCAAGCTCTGCCCTCTCTCAAGCACATCCTCAGTGTCGGTCTCACAGATGTTTCGGGGGATGTTGGTTGGAATCGAGCGTTCTTTCTGCTACAACTATTCTCCGAGACTCGAATCCATGCTCCTGCGAAGAATGACCCAGTTCTGTCATTTCCCCACCTCGTTGGAGAAGCACAACGCGTATATGGAGCGTCTAAATGCATATGGGCTCCGTTGAAGTTTTTCATCTTCGAGCAGATAAAAACCAGTCTCTTGAGAGCGAGGCATGCTGAATGATTAGTTGAGCAGAGAAAGTAAGCCAGGTAAACATTCCTTCATCCGGAAAGTTGATCTCCGCAGACAACAAACGAATCCAGATGCAAGTCAATGAAACAAGCCCGAAAGCTAGCCGACGCGGTGAGCAACAGATAGACGCCACTGCAGGTGCTGTCGCCGTTGGTTGCGCAAACCCTACCGGGAAGGAGCCGGTGCTAGCGGCGTCGACTTCGTCAGCTTCCGCACAGATCCATAGGAGCGAGAGTGAGAAGCGAGGGAGGAGATGAATTTGACGTCTTCCGTAGACCGGGATCCGTCCATGGCCGCCCCTGCCATCCTTTGCAAATCTCGGCTTTCTTTGCTTTTTCTCCCTTGTGCTTGGTTCTGGGTAACTCCCTACGCCGGATATGCAATGCAGCCTTCCGCGCTGCGAGAGCAGGGCAGGGGACAAAAGAGTGAATGTAGACGTGTTGCACAGATTCATGCACGCGTACCTTGGGATGCCATTGCTGAAAACCAGGTCACGGAGGGTTCGACAATTGTGAGGGAGCGGAAGGCACGCACCCTGCTCTCCTATATCTATTCGCTCACCGCATATCCTATGTGGATAGAATCATGTTTCGGGCCTCGTTTCGTGACACTGCGATGGACGAGCACGATGAAACGGTTACGCCGGTGTATGATTGCTCGATTGCCTTCGGTGGCTGGTATTACTGCTTTCCTTATACCTATGGCGCTCATGTCAATGGCTCTGGTGGGTAGCATTTCTGGTAGCGTCGTGTTATCCGCATGCGCAAGAATCGAACGGATGGTGATCTCTCACCACAATCTCAATCGGCATAACATCTATGAATAACGTCATGTAAATCTCATGATCTGGATGCCTCAGTGGAACACGAATGTACAATCAATGCTTCCACTGCCCGTATAACGACTTGTGTGCGTAGTGTGCCGCTCTTGTAGAGAAAAACGTTGAGGCATAATAACCCCTTATTCTCTATTTTTTCACGCTAGCCTGCGGCTGTGATATCCATTTGCAAGTGGCAGTCTAGAGATGTATCTTCTTTATGACCATCATGTAAGGGGAGGAAGCGGGGCGGAAAAGGTATGTCCACCCATTGTGAAATGACGTTCGATTTCGAAATATTGGGCTCTACTTTGCATGTGTTTTTTCGTGTCAGGCGGGGCCTTCTCAGCTGCATTGCCATTTGTCTCGGGCGCAGGCTCGATATCGCAGGATGATACAAAGGAGTCGTGGCATCGGGACCATTGTCCGGCCAATCGGAGGATTGTAACACGCGGGGCCGGAGATAACGTTTACAAGCCCGACATGCATACTTTTTTTTTTTAAAAAAAAAAAAGCCAGCCAGCGTTGAAGCTGTTTTCTTTCCAACGACGTGAGCGGAGCATCGGCTTCGACGGAACTGAAATTAGGGTTTCAACACAAGGCAGGTGCCATTTAACTCTCCGTAAATCAACGGGATGCCACATGCGGTGAAGTGAGGTACTGGCGGCGGGGGTGCGCTGGGTACACATGCATTTGACAGCGCAGTGAAGCCCAAGACGGAGACATGGGGTTGAGGTTGCAGCCCGCGATAAGCTGGATGGCAGGTGATTGTCTGCATATTGCGGGCCGTGGGGGTGTGCATTCTCAGTGGGCAGCTTCCGATTGGGTCTGTGGTGTTGTGAGCTCTCTCGTGGGGCGCGCGCGCTAAGGAGGATAGGGTCCAAGAATCCCCCGGTCGCTTCTCCTTTCCCTCTCCGCAACAGCCATGGCCGACGCCTTTTATGCCCTCGTGACTGGCGCGAATAGGTGTGTACCTCCCGAGCATCCCATAGCCCTCGTATTGACGCGCCTTGCAGCGGCATAGGCTTTGCCATCTGCTGTCGCCTGATTGACGAATTCCTGCAAACCCGCCCGCAGTCTCAGACCCTTGTCTTGATTCCCACCACGCGAAGCCGCCGCAAATGCGATGATACCGTCAGCCTGCTGGAGGCCCACCTCCAGAAGGCCTCGACCAAGGCCGAGAAGTCCATCCCGGGCATCAGCATCGTCCTGCAGAAACGCGTCCGATTCCAGCCCGAGATCCTCGACCTGTGCTCCATCTCATCCGTACAACAATGTGCCAACAGGCTAAAGACGGCCATCCCAAAACTGGACGCTATGATATTCAACGCAGGCATAGGCGGATGGACGGGCGTCAATTGGCCCTGGGCCATCTACAAGATTCTCACCGACTGGGTCGCCTCCACCACCTGGCCCATTGGCTTCAAGAATGCAGAGATCGGCCTGGTCACTAAGCCGCAAAGCGGAGCCACCGAGCCGCTGCTGGGCGAAGTCTTTTGTGCGAACGTCTTCGGCCACTACCTCTTGGGACACTACTGTGCTCCCCTGCTTTCGGCAGCTCGCCCTGCCAGCGGCCGCATCATCTGGATCTCAAGTCTCGAGGCTTACGCATCCGAGTTCTCCCTGGCCGATTTCCAGGGTCTCAAGTCCGACCAGCCGTACGAATCGTCGAAGCGGTTGACCGATCTCCTTGCCTTGACCTACGACTGTCCGTCCACCCGCCCTTGGACTTCACGATACACGGCCGCCGCACCCGACGAGAAGAGACCGAGCATGTATCTGTCGCATCCGGGAATAGTTGTCACTGGCATCTTCCCGCTCCCATTCCCCTGGTTGATGACATACTTGTGGATGCTTGCGGCCTATATCGCCCGTTGGTTGGGTAGCCCCTGGCACCCCACGCGGCCGTACCCAGCGGCGGTGGCTCCGGTCTGGCTGGCGCTGGCCTCACAGGAGACGCTAGACGAGACAGAAGCGCACGAGGGAAAGGGCAAATGGGGCAGTTCGACTGACCGCGCCGGCCACGAGAGGGTAGCGCGCACCGAGGTCGAAGGCTGGGGCTGGGGCGGGATTGTGGGAGAGGCTACGAATAGGAAAGGACGGAGACGAGGCGCGGTCGATCTCAAGGAGGGGGACAGGGAGGAGTTCGAGGAGCTGGGGAGGACGTGTTGGAAGGAGATGGAGGAGCTGAGGGAGCAGTGGGAAGGGAGAGTGGTTTGATCCTCCCCCCCTTATTGCATGTAACAATATAGTAATCCTCCGCAAAACAAGCACGATACTATTGTTGTGATGCTCGGCAAGCTCGGCGATCTGTTCTCGACCCTTCGTTGGCTCGCCAGCACACTAGGACCCCGCACCCCATCCTTCACGCTGACGGCAGAGCCAAGACGTGGGGAGGTCTGCTTGACAGCTGCACCGAAGGGCTAGGCGCATTCCAGACGCACCGTTTGCGGGAGCCCCGGATTAGACGCCTGAGGAGTCGACGGCAGTCGCACGACAGCGCAGCGCAGCCCGGAGTACGGCTGACGTGGAATGCAGTACGAGGTCGGAGTAGCATTCTCGCCACGGATCGTGGGATAGGCTGGGCATGGTGTGGGACGGGAGAGCAGCCACCGCATCGCCGCTAGGCAGCGGCAGTCCGCGCAAGCTCCCGGGTCCCCTGTGGATCCGAAAGGAAGGGATTTTGCGCGAGCGCCCGGGCAACCGGGTGCGCCGTGTCCAGCCAACGGCCGATCATGGGAGATTTCTGCGGAGTGCCGGAAAGGGGCGAGAGCTGAACAATCAGCGTCTGGACCCGCTGAAATATTTAGCTCCCACCGCGATTATTTTGCGCCGGCTGCCTTCAAAAATAACAACCGTCGCGCTGCTCTCCCGCAAGCAAGACAAGCCCCGTGCCTGCGTTTTTGTGCTCTCGCTTTCTGCGCGCCCACACCGCTGCCTTTGTCTGCCGTTCTTTGTTTGCTGCCATCGCCGCGTCTCGCCGCTCCAGCTCCAACCACCACCCCCTTTCGCAATGGAGCCCACCAAGCCATCCGAGGTGCTTGCGAGCGACTTCCCGCCCTGCTACTAGGCGTGGATGCCCAATATAATTTGACAAGGGCGGCTGATCGGGCATACCCTCGCCCCGTTACGACCACGGTTCCCGCCGCGAATTAGTCCCGCTGGACCTCAACCACTTTACCTGTCTTCTTTTGCACGCAGCCCCGTCCATGCACCTGCGCGCTGTCAAGAATGCCGATGTGCAGGCGCCACCGGCCAACCACAGTCGCTCGCCTCCGCTTCGCCGCACTCCCAAGCACTGTAAGTTGTCCAACACAGCGGCGCATTGCAGCCGCTTGCCCTGCCCAACCACCGTTGCCCGCGTTGTCGCCCGTGCCTGTCTCACTGACCCCGCCGCCAGAACTGAAGTCGCGTCCCAGCTCAAAACCCTCTGTCGCTCTTTCCGCACATCCACCCGCTTTCATCGGCCTTAGTTTCCCAACATGGACCACTCCCTCCCTTTCAACAATGAATCCCGCGCTCTGCAGACCCCGATCCGCGCTCCTCTTCTCTCCAGCCCTACTTCCGCCGAGCCCAAGTCGGAATACCTTCGCCAGCGACTTCGCGAACGGCGCCAGGACCTCGGCATGACCGATCAGTCTTTGCCCAGGGCGCTGAGTCTATCTGAACCCAAGCCTTCGCGAGCAATGGACGATTACATCTTCGCATCCGAGGAGGAGCAGAAAAAGAGCCGTCGCCGAGCACGCGGTCAAACTAGTCGTATCCCGAGCAATGCCTCGCAGCATTCTAGCGCCTCGACGCAACGGGCCCAGAGCTACAGCATGGGCTCGCGCGAGCAGCAGACGAACCTGGACAAGATGAGCAAAGACAACTTCGACCTCAAGCTGCGCCTCACTTTGGTTGAAGAGCGCAGCCATCGCTTCGAGAATGAACTGGAAGAAGCTTTGGAAAAGCTCGAGAGGATGAATGCCGTCGAAGAGGAAAGAGATGAGCTGTCCGAAGAGAACACCGCTCTGTGCGACCGTGTCGAGGAGCTTCGGCGCTCTCAAGAGGCCTGCGAGCAGAAGCTGAGGGACTCGTGGAAGATGACGGGCGAGGTCTTCGCCGAGCTCGAGAAGCGCGACGCTGCCATCAAAGAAGCTCTTGACATGTACTTGGACTCGGAGCGTCGGATACAAGAGTTGGAAGCAGAGCTCATCAGATACAAGCCTGCGCCTCGTCGACGCGATTCGTCGTATTTCAGCACTGGCCCTGACTCCGCTGGAATTAGGACCGCTGACGAGGTCAGCAGGCCCGCTTCTTCTCAGCTGGGAGGTCAAAGAGACGGCTTCAGCAGCAGTGCGCCACCGTCGCCCGAACGTCACGACACGGTGGCCCATCTCGCTTCGTCTCGCCCACTTAGCCAGCGATACAGCACCCTCGTCCGAACCATGTCTGCCGGAGACATCCGACTGAACGACCTTCGAGAGCGCGCATCCACGGCACATGTGGGCGAGTCTGCTGTTGAGGAGTGTGGCTCCCTCCATGCTTCGCCAGTGCAGCGCAGACGCACGCTTCGCCGTTCATCAGCAAGCCCGAAAATGGACCGTTCCTCAAGCAAAGCATCTAGCTCGACCCACTCTCATGGCCTGCGTAATGTCTATCTCGAGGGCGAACGTGGCGGACGCTCGCCATCATTCTCCGAGAGTATCCGTGCCCCCTCAGATGTCACGAGCAGTTCAGACCTCGGCGCATCTCAGTATTTCTCAGCAACTGAAGCTGGACCGTTCAGCGGAAGCTCTCCATGGCCGGCTTCTTCCTCTCCGCTGGGCGCGTACCAAGACAGCAGGGATGTTGCAAGCATTGCAGATTCGGACCAGGGCGAAGGGACAGTCATTCATGACGACGCCGGAGACACAAGAAGCGATATGACTCATTTCGAAGACGAAGACTACACGACACCTACGGCGAGCGAAGCACCAAGCATCCTTACTGAGTTCCGGCCTGGCCAGTATCCTCAGTGGCCAGGCGCCGGTGGCAAGTACGGTCTCGGTCGGGATTTGTTCTTCAATGGTGAGGGGTTGGACGACGTGCCAAGGGGCAGAAGAAAGGGATGATGCATTCATCACGGTGTCATCATGGTGGTTCTAGTGGGGGCGCTTGCATGATCAATTCATTCACTGGCAGTGACGGGTTTCTTCTTCATATACCCTATTGTTTTCTTTTCGATGGTAATGGCGTGGGTGGGAAAATGGGCTTGGAATGGGACATGGAGTTTCAACGGGGGAAGACAAAAAGCGAGTTTGATGATTGAGTATTAGGCGACAACCACGATAGACTAATAGTGTGACTTTTGGAATGCGTTCAATGCTAGCTACGGCCTACCTGTGTTCTGCGAGAAGTTGTGATGGTGGAGACGTTTGACGCAACCCTGTAACCAACAGCTTGGATACACAGATTCCCTCCCTTTCTCAACCTTTCGATGTATGCCCCCTTTGTCTAATAGATACACGGCGTCGCTTGACTGTTGCCAGCATGTGACGGGGCTTTGAGGTTGCGCACGTGCGCGGTGATCTGCGAGCCCCCCGTCGGACGATCGCAGCTCCAACACGCTACGTAGCTCTCAACCGCTGTTCCACGCACCCCAGCAATGCTTTGGCGCGAGCAACAATGCTCACTTCCGGCTTCACCAATGCGCCCGTTACGAAGTTCCTCGTCTTCTACACGGTGGCTGCCGCTTTTGTAGCCAGCATAACCGACTCGCAGTACCTCCTCTACATCCAAGTTGTCCCGCATCTCTGGGTGCACCGCCAGTTCTGGCGCCTTCTGACATGGCAGGTACGCATGTGCACCCCGTCATGATCGGGGAAGCCGCGGAATCTTATGGCAAGAGCTGACCCAAGCCTGCAGGCCTGCTTCGCCAATTCCACTGAGGTGCTCTTCGCCGCCATGACCTTCTACCACCTGCGCGTCATCGAACGGCTCTGGGGCTCGCGCAAGTTCGCTGTGAGTTCTTCCCCTCCACATCGCTCTCTCAGAATTTCCCGGGATGCCTCGGAAACCACGGTGGAGCTCTGTGCTAACACTCTACGATTTCCCACGCAGTCCTTCATCGTCTCAACGCTCCCCTACACGACGCTACTCCCCCCGCTTATCCTCGCCCTGGTCGTACGGCCCCTTACCTTCAACCATGCGAACTACCTCCCGGCAGGGCCGACGCCCCTGCTCTTTGCCATCCTGGCCCAGTACCACGCCTCGATCCCGCGCATCTACCGTTACAAGCTCACGACCAAGGCGCCGGCCGATAGTAACGGCTCAACAGCCAATACAGCGGGACAGCAGCGCGGCGGCCTCGACGCGTCCGTCACGCTCTCGTCCAAGACGCTGCATTATCTCCTGCCCATTCAGCTCGCGCTGTCGGCGCTGCCGGGCTCGGCAGTCAGCGCGGCCGTGGGCTGGTGCGTGGGATACGCGTGGCGGAACGAGATGCTACCGCTGGCAAACGGCTGGCGCATCCCCGGGTGGATTGTCGGCGAGAGGAAGGCCGAGGGCGGGAGGAGGGAGTTTGAGGGCTTGAGGCAGCGGATGGAGAGGGAGCACGGGGCCGCGACGGGAAGGGAGGGCGGCGACGGCACGCAGACGGAAGGAGAGGCGAGGAGGAGGGGAACCCTTGGGGGTATGTTGGCGGGGCAGTTTGGAGGGGAGGGCTGAGAATGTTGGTTGGGCAAGGAAGCTACAAGGATGGGGGCAGATGGGGGTCGCAGCTGGATGCCGAGTGGTAAGCATTTTCTGGCACCGTCTTGTATGTACTAATACGGCTATCATCTAGAGCAGTTGAATTGCTGTGTCATCGTCTTCTCAGGTGACAATCACTTAACGTGGCAGGAAATAGTATGCTGTTCGTATCTGCTCAACCATGGTATTGATCGATCCTTTTGGTGGAGGCCAATGTAGGATTCATCAGCGATTGCTCAGCCTCTTCTCGTCGTCGGAATGCCTGACGGAATTCCATGTCACAGTGGTAGTGGGGCAGCAGCAGTGACGAATGACACGGATCGAAACGTTCTCCTCCAGAAGAGTGCTTACCTCCATGAACGACGGCCTTGCTGCAGCATGCGTGGAACTTAGTCGTCACTTGCATTTCCTTTCACCTGTCTTCTTTGGGGGCCAAGTCGCGCGGATCTTCCTCTCATGTCAACTCGACCATTATCCGCATTTGTTCAGCGTCCGGGGACGATCTCCACCTAGTTCATCTATATGCCGGTACTTCTGGTCACTCGACATGCTTCTCCCTCGTGATGGAGGTTCCTTCATCCTTCTATGACGCAATGGGGAAGGGCACCATCGGCTGAGTAAGTGTCAGCCTCGGATGGGTGGAGTCGTGCCAAGTCCTGCAACGCCTCCGCAACCGCCCGCCTTGACTACGCCGCACTCAAAAGTCCCCGGGGTGGGTTAGCTCTCAGCCGCACACAAGGGGATGGCGGCGCCTAACACTTGCTGCAGCCCCTGCATCTGCTCGGTAGCTGTCTGCCGGATTTCTCGAGCATCAGTAATTGGCTTGCGAGCCGCTGGCAGCCATATCCTTTTTTATTCGATCCTGCAACCTGCGTTTCTTTATCAATATTGTCTTCAAGGCGACATTCTGCTTTGCCTCCTCCTGTGTCACAGATCCAATGGGGTCTGTTGTACATGCTATTTTTTCCCCAACAACCGGGCGCAAAGACAGCCACCACCGGCCGCCACTGATCTCGTTAAGCCGTGATCCGATGGTCTCACCTCAGCCAGCAGCCTGCAAGGTCCCCACACAATCATCGCCCAATGATGCCTACCCGGTGCCCGCATAGAGAAGCCTGCCACGCACTCCCAGCCAATCCGTCCGCGTGCGGCTTGCCTGCATTAGGCACATGCGGCTCCGCCGGCCTCGAGCCAGGGACTCATCATGATGAAGATGTTCTCCCCCACCGCTTGATGTCTCACTTCATACTGATCCACACTTAAAGAAGAAGGCAGCAACGCCTGTACAAGGCAATCACAAGTATATGCACGAATGCGGCGTTAGTCGCTTACACAGCGGCTACACAGGGTGCCAATTCCACCACATCCACTCAGCAGAAACCATTTAGCTCGGCTCTGCGGCGCAGCACCTAGGCGAGCGCTACTTCTCACACATGACGCACCCGCAGGGTCTACGTGAGATAAGATTCTGCGGGCGGGTAAGGCAAACGCCCACCGGGGCTTGAAGAAGGGAAATGGCGATCGTGCAGGCGGGGCGTAGCTGCTCGCTTGCTGCATGTCGTGCAGGGGCGGCCTTTCGTTGGTCTCTGCTTAAGGAAATCCTGCCGGATGAGTGTGAGGAGCAACCATGTTTGCCTAGGCGTAAGTGACCAACTACACAGCCTTGTGCATGCTAAATTTAGGGGAGGCACAGGGGACCGAAGGCGTCAAAGTGAGGTTTCAGGTCATGCTCGTACCATGGGTAGGTGAGGGTATATGGGAAAATGGTGGTGGGTGACTATTGTTCGCTGCGGCTGGTGTAACAGTCAGCTACATCTGGAGCCTGGGGCGGAGATGGTATATGAAGAGGGCCTGAGCGGGCTCTGGGGCTTTTTTTTTCTGAACAGATTCACCTTCACCATCACTCGCTCTCCTTATTCGTCGTCTTTCTTTTTCATTGAGTACCATCTTGCCCCTTTTGATCTCTGTTAGCGGTCAGTCATGTCGCTCACAGCACCCTATGATAATGCCATGCGCCTTGGTGAGTGCTTGTCTCATCTACCAGCTTCGCGTTCCGCCTAGCTTAATTCCTCCTGGATTGTTCTTCGCTGATTACAGAGCAGGCCAGGGCTTCAATACATACACTCAGGAGATCCGTATAGAGAACGCTGTTACCATCAGGCCAAAGGCACCAGTCACTGCCGCCAAGGTCGCCGCCCCGAAGCCAATCAAGAATGGCTCCCTTGCAGTCCCACCCAAGGATGCGCCTGCTATCGTAACGCCCCCAGTCACTCCTCCTCCAGCAAACAAGGCAGAGAGCAAGAGCGAGCCATCTACGCCGACGTCTGCCCCAAAGCGGTCTGCGGATGCTCAAGCATTGTCTGAACTTCCAACCATGGAAGCATTGCAGGATCGTGGCATGCCATCTCCTGCAGCCTCCATTATGGATATAGATGACTCGGTTGAGACAGCAGTCTTCTCGTTGCCGGACATCGACGGCGCACCGCCGAACCAGACAGTGACGTACAGCACGCGCGCAATCGACAATGTCAGTGACATCATGGATGCGCTCAACATCTCGACAGCCATGTCCATCAAGTACGGCACGATCCACGGCAATGCATCTGCTGGATTCGTGAACGAGAACAAGGTACTCGACTCTCAGCTCAACTACATCGTCAGCGTCAAGGTCAACAACGAGAACTGCCTGTCCTCCAGTCACACGCACCTCCACAATGGCGACATGATCTTCAACCCGGTTGAAGAGATGCCGCCGGAGCGCTTCACCGATGTGTACGGAGACTCTTTCATCTCGGGGTTCCTGGAGGGCGGCGAGTTCTCGGCCGTCATTTCCATCCAGGTGGCGGACCGGTCGCGTCTACGCCGGGTCAAGCAGGCCGTCGACCTGGCGCTGGCCGTCGGGCCATCGCCGGTTTCGATCGGGGCCCAGGAGAGCGTCGACAAGGACCACTCCGAGGTGCTGCAGGACACGGAGATCACCATCTCCGTCAACTGGACGGGTGGCGGCGACATCAAGAAGCCCGAGGTGCCGTGGACGCTTAACACGGTCGTCGCTGTCGCCAACGCCTTCCCTTCGATGGTGGCGAGGAGCAGTTCGAAGACGGCGGCGGTGCTGACGCGGTATGAGAGCTTGAGGGGCTTTCAGGCGTGGAAGTGGAAGATGGAGGCGAAGGAGAAGGGGTGGGCCGAGAGGCTGCAGCAGCTGAACTACACGCCATGCTCCCTATACACGGCGGAACTTTTCGATGCGCTCATGGCTTACAAGAAGCTGTGGAAGAGGATTGGCGGAAGTAAGCATTTTGTTCCTGCCGTAGCAATAGCCCTTACTGACTTATACCACAACAGTGCTCAAGGACCCTTCCAAGTGGCAGGCTAGGAAGCCTGTGGTCAAGGTCAAGGCTCTTTCTGATGGCCACGATATCTTGTACGAATCGCCAACAACGGCACGGAAGGCTTCCGGCTCTGCCCCTGACTCTCCCGCCACTCTGGCAACCATTGCATTGGCAGACATCCCCGAGCGCAAGCACACCTTTGACATTGATGATCCCCACATCCTCGAGGGTCGCAGCCTAAGGGAGTTGAACATGGCGCGCGACCCCATTCCCGTCGACCCCGTTGCTCTCAACGAAGCCAGGCTCCTCTGCCGCCAGGCAATGACACTGATCACGGAGGAGGTGAGTACTCAAGCAAAACAGCCACGACCTCGTACTGAACTGTTTCTTCCAGGCCGCTCGCCTTGTGTCGCATCCCGACCTTGCCTACGCCGACTTCAGCATCAAGACGCAACGGACCAAGCTCAAGCGCCCCAACTACGCTTACCCAGAGGTCCTAGCCGCACGCTTGCCTGTGCCTCTCCGGAATGACGCCCTCCCCACCGCCTTCCCTTCTTCAGCGGCTGCGCGATTGACGCAGGCCTTCGCTCGCGGCGACGAACTGCACTGCATCCTAGTCGGCGACGAGCCGAACCCGAACCGAACCATCAAGCCATTCACCTCGCTCGCCATGGCACCGAGCTCTACTGCAGGAGCCACTCCCATCGACGGCGTCGTCGCCTCAACTGCACCCGAAAACGCCACCGTCGACGACGACGACGCGCTGCCGCAGCTCGCGCGCCTCAGCTTGCACTCGTACCACCACCACGCCCTCTCCCTGTCCTCCTTCTCCAAGGGCTCCTCGCACGCCATCGGCGCCATCGGGTTCCGCTTCAACAACAACAACAGCGGCAGCGGCCCATCGTACTCGTCGGCCTCGTCGTCCAGCAAGAAGAAGGCCGCCGCTGAGGAAAAGGAAGACGGCTGCACGCACCACGCCGGCTCGCCCTCGTTCCACACGCTGTCGTCGTCGGGCGCGCCGTCGTGGCGCGCGCTCGAGTTGGCGTCGCACGTCGGCCACCCGGCCGTCAACGTCGTGCGCGTCGACGTCTTCTACGCGCCGCGCAGCCACCGCATCGCTGGATTGGCTTTTTGGGACGAGTTTGCGGGTAAGCGCGTCGAGCGGCTGGCTTGGAAGCAGTGGGAGGTGGATGCCGTCGAAGATGGTGGCCATGTCGTCGTCGGAGCGCCGGGCGGCCAGCAGCAGCAGTTGCCTGAGGGCATGGTGTGCGTCAAGCAGGAGCCGCCGAGGGATGGCGCGCGGTGGGCGTTTGTGGGGTTGTCGGGGGAGTGGGATGAGAGCGTTTGGGGGAGCGTGTTGACGAGGGTTGGGGCGGTGTGGAGGCGGGTTGAGGAGGAGAGGGGCGAGTTGGAGGTGGAGCTTTGAGGGGGTGGCTTCGTTTATCTTTATTTTGTTCTTCTGTTCTTTTTTTTTTATGTTTGGGATGCATATATGGTTGGGTAAAGGCGTAGGTGTACATAGTGCTAGTGTCTGTGTATGAATATTCTCTATTCTTATGTGGAAACTCTATGAGCCGTGGCTGCATTTGTGTGTTTGTCAACTCCAATGCCCACTTCAGTGTCCAGGGCCCTTTGTCTACACTGTCGCGCCATGTCATTATCCGGCATTCTCTTACATATGTTTCGAGAGAATTGCAGAGAGAACTACCGCCTGTAAAGCTTTGAGGCATCTGTACTGCACAAGTGTAGGTAGAACGCGACGATGCTCAGTGCCATCTAGTTCGGTCGTCGGTCGCCAGCACCAGATAGAAGACAATTCTCGGCAGCTTGCGGTGACGGTCGCGAGTTGATGTAACGGCGCAGGAAATGCTGTGGTTACGTGGTGACACAGTACGGAGTTTACGTGGGTATATAAACCAAACAGCGAGCTCCTTTCAATCACCGTAAAGGCAAAAAACACTCAGCATGTCGCGAGGGTTTCCTGTTGGGCCTACTCCGCTGCCGACGACCGCATCAGGTCTTAGGTTCGATTTCGGGGTGGGCTGCCAGGTTTTTGCCTCCCGTTTTGCTGCTCTGCCAGCACTTCCCAAAAAGGAAACCGCGCGTGGGTGGTTTTTTTCTTCCACCCAAGTCTACCACCAATCACGATCACGCAACCTTGCGCATCATAAGCGAGCCACATCCCGTCTTCCAATAGCCATATATCACGGTAGTGGCACTGTGTTGTTAGGTGGGGAGTATGTGGTGGAAATGCTTCCGACGCCGTATGGTTGAGATATTTCTACCATGATGAGCCTTGGATCTTGTTGAACAGTGCAAATGAATTGAATTGAACACTGTTAAGCAGCGAAACTATCTGAATATATACACCAACTGCTTGGAGTGATGTCATAAAGTAAAATGAATGGATGCCGTTTTAGAGGTGATATAAATAAGATATCTGCCTTGGCGTTGAATAAAAAGCAAAGAATACGGGTATTAAACTTAGTAGTCAATAAAGCAACGCACTGAGGTTTGTCGTCGGGGATGGAGCATAATATAAGCCACGTTAAAGCATATTCACCGCTAAGAATCTCAGTTTTGATTTCTTTACTTATTTATAAGAGTATCTTTGAATGCATAAATGGCGCTATAAATGAAGACGCTATAAGCCTATTAGTCATGGTCGGAGCTGAACCGCAACCGTTCAAGCTTTCGAGTCCTCCCTCATTTGCTTCAAGTTCGCCACGGCCTGTTCTGTGCTCCACCCTTCCTCCAATCCTCTGCGCAGCAGATCTTGCTCGCTCTCCGGCGCCATTCCGCCCGGCGCGGGCGGTCTCTTGTCCAAGTTCGTCGGGAAAGGGTATCCCTCGGCCAGGGCGGCGATCAGCGCCTGGACCTCGCGAGCCTTGCTCTCGCCCTGCTTTTTCATTGCCTTGATCTCGTCCCAGCAGCGTTCGACCAGAGGCAGCGCGTCGACCGTCTCCATGGGCTTGCCAAAGGCGGAGCTGATCTGGACGAGGTTGGCGCTGCGGTCGATGTCCGAGCTCTCGTTGGCGCCGGCGGCGTGGAAGAGGGCCGGGTTGAAGAAGACGCCGTCGCCTTTGGCCAGAGGCAGGCTGACCCAGCGCGAGAGGAAGTACTCGTTGAACTCCGGGCGGCGGTAGGCCATGTATCCCTTGGGGAAGCGCTGGCTGAAGGGCAAGAAGCGCGTGGGGCCCGAGGAGAGCGGCATGTCGCTGTGGGCGACGGCGCCCTGCAGCGTCAGCAGCTGACTGGCAACCTGCATGACCTTGGGGAAACGCGCGCAGGCATCGGCCGTCTGGAAGCCCAGGTGGTAGTCACGGTGCGAGACCTGTGGGGCTCCGCCCGGCCGCACGATATTGACTTGGGCGGTGATGCGGTAGGCGGGGCCCAGCCAGGCGGCGCAGATGTGGGACAGCCACGGGTTCGAGTAGTAGACGGCGAAGGAGCGCGGGTCGGCCATGCCATGCTTGCTGAAGGAGTTCCAGATGCGCGAGTTGGCCGACGAGGCGGCGAAATGATCGCCCTTGGCGCTGGAGGCTTCGGCGGCAATGATGTCGTCGTAGGCCTTGTTAGCAGCGTCAATGACGGAGAGGTCGGTGTACAGGTTCTTGACGGCGAAGACGCCAGGGCCGGAGAGGAGGAGGTGGTTCCACTCGTCCTGGAGCTGCTCGATGACGTTGGCATCGTCGAGCGAGAAGGAGGAGAGGTCGTAGACGGGGATGTTCTTCTCGACGGCGGCGGCGAGCGGGTAGTCGTCTTTAGTAGCAGTCTGCTCGCAGAGGCCGGCAAAGTCCTTCACGGAGATGGGCTCGTCCATGGACCAGGCGCGGGACGGAATGGGGCGCTTTCCAGAGCCGTTGGTCTCGCTGGTGCCGTTGGTGTGAAGGCTCGCCATGGTGGGCTTGCGGAAGGGTTTGAAGCGGAAGTTTGAGCAGAGAGACGGATATGCTGGCTTCAGAGAGGGTCTGTAGCGTATTGAAGAGGCGATGGCTGTGCGGGTCATTGAGTCTTGGGCGTCTGAGGCTCGACAGCTGTTGAGAGCGACTGTAGCTGCTTATATGTGCTGGCTCAGCTGATTCCAGGCATTGCAAAGCTGTTAAACGGATGTTGGACGGGGAAAGGCAGGCCCGGAACCATTACATGATGGATGGTGATGGTTGAGGTGGAGAGGCTGTAGTCGCGTTAAGATTTCCGCAAATGCTCGGGAACAGCGGGTAAAGATTTCCAGATCCAACGAACCCCAAAAACACATGAGTCTCGCTTATTCGCCAGCCGGGCCATGTCGCGGCGGACGGGCGAAGCAACACCAGCGATGCTGTATAACAGTCAGCGAGAATGCGGGAGTCGTCCGCGGGGTAGCAGCCCCCCGCCCTGCTGCCGCGGTTCCCAAAGCGGTTAGGCGGCGGCTGCTGACAGGGCAGGCCAGATGCCGAACCAACGTTCACTTTACACTCGACGTCCTTCCTCATCCAGAACGCCGCCGCCTCGCCCGGCATCCTGCAGACACGGGCCTCGACGCCGCCGAAACAGCAGGCGCAATGCTATTTTATTTACGCGCAAATAGGGGCCCAGGGCGCCCTGCCTGACAAGCCTCTGGCGTGAGACACGTCTGCAGCACTCATCCTTCGACGGTAGCGCAGCTGCATCACGACCACGACCCGGAGATTGCTCTGTTTACGCATTGGTGTTGCGCGGCGAGGGCCCCCAATGCTTACGCCCGCAGGAGATACGCCAGGTCCAGCATCGCGGCGGCCTCCACGATGGCGATTGTGAGATCGCCGCCGGCCGACCCCAGGGTCCAGCAATCCGGCCAGTGAGCGTGGCGGCGATATCTCCGGCATATTATCCATCTCATTTCTAAACGGCTGTTTCACAGCCTCAGAGCTACCACGCTGCCGGCCGGTACCGGCACATCCCACGGAACCTTGGCGCCCAGTCGCGAGCCCGCTTGGCGCACCGATGCTCGCTTCTTCCATGCCGCTCAATTGGCAGGATGCCGCCACAGCCAGTCTCGCCGCACGCCAGGCCAAGCCGCTAAGTCTAAAGACGAGGGATCCTTATCTGTCAAGCACGCGGCTTGTGGTACCCATCGATAAAACCCGGCTCTTTATAACGCCCGATGCTCGAATTTTGCGACTCCACCACCTGATGCTCACAACACCCAATTCAGTCCTCAAACTCTGAAGGCCCGCGGCCATATCCACCATGACCTGGGTCCACGACTTCAACCTGCGCGTTGCGCAGAGTCCTGTTGGCCGGTACTTCCGCCTTGCCAACAGCGGCCATGCAAGTCCAAACCTTCTTGTATGCCGTGCAGCTACTGACCCCACCACCAGCCCAAGGAGCGCAAGAACTCGTACTTCTTCACCGAGATCCGCGCCGGCCTAGCCACCTTCTTCGCCATGGCCTACATCATCTCCGTCAACTCGACCATTATCTCTGAGACGGGCGGCACCTGCGAATGTCCTGCTGAGAGCATGGCCGATTTGTGCGAAACCAACACCGAATACTTGCTGTGTGTGCAGGAGGTCAAGCGCGATTTGGTCACGGCCACTGCGGCAATCTCGGCCCTGTGCAGCTTCTGCATGGGCCTCTTCGCCAACATGCCAATCGCATTGGCTCCCGGCATGGGTGTAAGCATTCCTCCTTCCCCCACAGGAAATGTTATGCATGCTGACTCACGCAGCTCAATGCCTATTTCGCCTACACCGTCGTCGGTTACCATGGATCCGGTCCTGTCCCCTACCGCGTTGCTCTCACTGCCGTCTTCGTCGAAGGTTTCGTCTTCGTCGCCCTCACCATCTTCGGTCTCCGCCAATGGCTCGCCCGTGCCATTCCCGCCTCGATCAAGCTCGCCACCGGTGTCGGAATTGGTTTATACTTGACTTTGATTGGTCTGACGTACTCTGCTGGCATTGGCGCAGTTGTTGGCGCAACTTCTACGCCCCTGGAGCTTGCGGGCTGCGCCTCCGAATTCCAGGACCCGACGACCGGACTTTGCCCCAGTTCGGAAAAGATGCGCAACCCTGCTATGTGGATCGGCATTTTCCTTAGCGGCTTCATGACCGTCCTGCTGATGATGTACCGCGTCAAGGGCGCCATCATCATGGGCATCCTGCTCGTTTCCATCATCAGCTGGCCCAGGCCGACTCCGGTTACCTATTTCCCTTACACGGCGACGGGCAACAGCTCCTTTGATTTCTTCAAGAAGGTCGTCACCTTCCACCCCATCAAGCGCGTTCTTGATGTGCAGGAGTGGGATGTCTCTCAGTACGGCGGCCAATTCGGCCTTGCCTTCATTACTTTCCTGTACGTCGACATCCTCGACTGCACCGGTACCATGTACTCGATGGCTCGTTTCTGCGGCGCCATCGACGAGAGGACTCAGGACTTCGAGGGTAGCGCCATTGCCTATTTGATCGACGCTTTCGGTGTATCGATTGGTGCCCTTTTCGGCACTTCGCCCGTCACGGCTTATATCGAATCCGGTGCTGGTATCTCTGAAGGCGGTGCCACGGGCCTCACGGCCATGGTCACTGGCCTCTGCTTTTTCATTTCCATCTTCTTCGCCCCGATTTTCGCGTCGATCCCTCCCTGGGCGACTGGGTGCACGTTGATCATCGTCGGTTCGCTCATGGCCAAGGCCGCCAAGGACATCAACTGGGGCTACCTCGGCGACGCTGTCCCCGCCTTCCTGACCATCGCCATTATGCCTTTCACCTACTCGATTGCCGATGGTCTGATTGCCGGCATCTGCTCCTACATCCTCATCAACACGCTCGTCTGGCTCATCGGATTGGCTTCGGGCGGCCGCCTGCAGCCCGCCGACAAGAACCTCAAGGACCCCTGGACCTACAAGATCGAGGGTGGCATCTTCCCTCCGTGGCTCGTCCGCGCCGCCAAGGGCAAGAAGGACTTTTGGCGCCGGGACGAGAGCGAAGGCGTCGTCGACGGCACCCAACGGTCCTCGAGTTCCCTGGAGGCTGGACCCACCGAGAAGGTGTCTGAAACGGAGCAGCCGAAGGCGTGACGTATGTGATGAGTTCCGATTTTGTACAAAAGAAGAAAAGATAATTTTGGGATTTTGGCATAGATGGTTGTTGTTGATACCACTCTTAATATTATGATGTTCGACAAGAGACTTTTGCTTCTACTCGCTTTGGTTTGCACACGAGTCCTTATGCTAAACAAGCTCCCGCCAAAAGCGTTATATTATCTATTTAATATCTACGGCGGGGAAAATGCGCGTCCTGGCTTCCCACTCCTTAATAGCCAGCAATGGTCTTGGGCCTGTAAGGCTCCTCGAGGTACTTGATCTCGTCCTCGCTCAACACGAAATTGCTGTTCCGCACTGCCTCTTCGATGCGGTCCTTGGTCGACAGGCCGATGATGGGGCACTCGCCCTTGGACAGGACCCAGGCGGTGGCGACGGCGGCCATGGTAACGCCGCGCTTCTTAGCGAGCTCCTCGACCCTTCCGACGACGGCGGCATCCGTCTCGGTCTCCTGCGCACGGATGAGGGCGTTGAGGAAGTTGTCGGTCTGGTCGCGCACGGTGGTGCCGCGCGAGTCGAAGGGCCGCGCCAGCACGCCACGGGCGATGGGCGACCAGGGAATGATGCCGACGCCGGTGGCGCGGCAGTAGGGGATCATCTCGCGCTCCTCCTCGCGGTACAGCAGGTTGTGGTAGTTTTGCATGCTGATGAACTTGTGCCAGCCGTGCGTGGCGGCGATGTTCTGGAGCATTTGGAACTCCCAGGCCGCCATCTTTTAATTTCAAAAGAGGTTAGTTTGGTGGGGGAGGATCTTGTTGAATGGGTATATGGAGGATGATGAGGGAAGAAAAAACAAAGAAAAAAGGGTCCAAGCCAACGTTAGGTACTCACCGAGCTGGCGCCAATATAGCGCACCTTGCCGCTCTCGACGACGTCGTTGAGGGCGCGCATGATCTCCTCCATGGGCGTGCCGCGGTCGAGGCGGTGGATCTGGAGCACGTCGATGTAGGTGCCCAGGCGGGCGACGCTCTTGTCGACGGCGTCGAGGATGTGCTTGCGCGACAGGCCCACGCGGTTAACCAGGTCGGCGCCGTCGTTGACGCCCGACACGGCGATGGGCGGCTGCGTCCCGTCCTCGGCCACGCCGAAGTAGCACTTGGACAGGATGACGACCTTCTCGCGCGGGATCGCGTACTGCTTGAGCGCCTTGCCGATGATCTCCTCGCTGCGGCCGTGCGAGTAGATATCCGCCTTGAGAATTACCGCCCGCAGTCAGCGGAATTATGGACCATCGAGTCAACGAGGGCGACGAGACTCACAGTGTCCCAGGTGTTTATGCCGTTATCGTAGGCGTGCTTCAAGAGGGGCAGCGCTTCGGCTTCGTCAAGCACCCACTTCTGCCACTCGCTCGAGCCGTACGACATGGCTCCAAGAATGACCTTGCTGACCTTGAGGCCAGACTTGCCCAGGCTGTTTAGTTGTTAGCCAGCGTATTTTCTTGCATCTTCTCACAAACACTCGTTGCTTCCACGCGCCACGAATGTTTTGCAATCGAAACTCCCACGCGAGGAGCTGTGACTCAAAGGAGCCAGCGATTCTCAAAGACGACAGTGGAACGTACTTGACGTATTGCATCTTCGACTCGGCAGCCATTGTGTTTTTCTCGTGTTGTGGATCGAGATTGAGCTCGGTATTGACGGATGGCAGCAGGATGCCGCCGTCGACTTATCTATCAATTTGACTTTCAGATGTCGCTAAGGCTCTCCTTTCCCCGTACTATCACCGCCGCTAAACTCCGTTTTCTTGTGTCATCATGGCCCCGCATATCCAAGCTTCCCCACCAAGTCTAAGCCAGAGCGAGACGGGGCCGGTGATTGGGTGGTCGTTGAGTTCGTCTCTATATGTCCTGCCATCATGTTATCCCCCCGCCGCTTATCGAACACAGATATACCAGGATCATGTGGCAGAGTCGGAGGTAAGCTGATGTTGTCTCCGCGTTTTCCGTAGGCTTCCGGAAATAATTCTTGCAGTTACGTCGGCGGGTCTGTGGACAAAATAGTGATGACTCAGCATGGGCTCCACAGTTGCTTAGCAGGGCGGGGCGGCACGAGCCCGAGCTTAATCACGGTGATCTGCCCTCGTCACCGAGGTTGTTCATGCCGCCCGGAATCGACGCGCGGGAAAAGATATTGCAAGTGTCGTAGTGCGCTGGATGCATTTTGCTGTGGTACGTACGTACCAACGCAACACTGTGGCGTAGCTTTGCCGCATGCGTCCAGCGGACACGGAGGCGGGGTTTCGCCCCTCGTAATCTCGTCATCACCATAATTCACGCAGTGGAAGAGAGCAAGATTTGAACGGCAAAAAGAGGCCCGCAGGCCAAGCCCGTAGGCTCGTACTTTCATAACATTATCTAAAAGAGGCACCAGGCTATCTTTCGGTGCCTATGCCCAAACGCCATGCATACCAATAACGAAGTCCGTCTCAACCCGCTTACTGGCCACCACGCAGACGAAGCACCAAGTGCAGGGTCGACTCCTTCTGAATGTTGTAGTCCGAGAGAGTGCGACCATCCTCCAGCTGCTTACCAGCGAAAATGAGACGCTGCTGGTCCGGGGGGATACCCTCCTTGTCCTGGATCTTGCTCTTCACGTTGTCGATGGTGTCGGAAGATTCCACCTCGAGCGTGATGGTCTTGCCAGTGAGGGTCTTGACGAAAATCTGCATACCACCACGGAGACGCAGCACCAGGTGGAGAGTGGACTCCTTCTGGATGTTGTAGTCCGAGAGAGTGCGACCGTCCTCCAGCTGCTTACCCGCGAAGATCAGGCGCTGCTGGTCCGGGGGGATACCCTCCTTGTCCTGAATCTTGCTCTTGACGTTGTCGATGGTATCCGACGACTCAACTTCCAAGGTGATGGTCTTGCCGGTGAGCGTCTTGACGAAGATCTGCATACCACCACGAAGGCGGAGGACGAGGTGGAGAGTGCTCTCCTTCTGGATGTTGTAGTCGGACAGGGTACGGCCGTCCTCGAGCTGCTTGCCGGCGAAGATCAGGCGCTGCTGATCCGGAGGAATGCCCTCCTTGTCTTGGATCTTGGACTTGACATTGTCGATGGTGTCAGAGGACTCGACCTCCAGGGTGATGGTCTTGCCGGTCACTGTGATGACGTCAGCGGGCTGCGACGGGCGAGGGTGGGGGCTTGGGGACACATACGAGTCTTGACGAAGATCTGCATACCACCGCGCAGGCGGAGGACGAGGTGAAGGGTCGACTCCTTCTGGATGTTGTAATCCGACAAGGTACGGCCATCCTCGAGCTGCTTGCCAGCGAAGATAAGACGCTGCTGATCCGGAGGAATGCCTTCCTTATCCTGGATCTTGCTCTTCACGTTGTCGATGGTGTCGGACGACTCGACCTCAAGGGTGATGGTCTTGCCGGTGACTGCACGAGGCGTTAGCAGGCTGAAGGCGAGCGGAGAGGTGACGGCGGTGAGGGGACGTACGGGTCTTGACGAAGATCTGCATGGTGATGAGGTAGCAGTGGTCTTAAGCGATGTGTTGTCGGTCGGTGAGCGCAAAGGCAGATGGTGAGCGTGTTGCGGGTGTTGGGTTGGTAAGAGGAGGAAGCAGAGTCGGGGGTGTTGGGTCTTAAGTAGGCGGCAGGAGGCGGAGATGGAGTGGCGGGCGGGCGGGCACAGGCGCGCGGTGCTTGCTTACCTTACCACCCGCCGATTGCAGCGCCAGGCAGCCAGAGGCGCAGCCAGCAGCTTCTGGAAGGCGCGAGCGACGCTGCACGTGGCCACTAGTACTACAACAACACGCTGATCTGCGTGCACAGCTGGAATTCCATTTCTTCACGTCCCTCTCGCCCGTCGCCGCCGGCATCATCTCCTGAAGAGCTCCCGGGGCGTGCTCGTACGATGACGTTCACGGCCAGGCCCTTATCGGCCCAGTGACTCAATGACGGGGAGCTGGCCGCTCCCCGGCCCGCGTCTCCCGCAGGCGCAGGCCATCACGGTGCAGACCTGCCGATGTCGCCATGATAACTGTCCAGCGCTCATCAAACCAGCTCATCCGTCGTCTGATGCATTCTCCGGCTTGCTCACCGTAGGCTTGGATGGCAAGATGTGTCCAAGCGTAGCGCCACTCTTTGTTTGCGGGGTGAGCCGTGGTTCCTTGGTTCCTTGGTTCGGCGTGCCTGAGGCATCCGAGCTCGCCTTCCCCACTCTTTCGATGCATCCTACGTTAGATATCCACCGCCCCCACATTCCACTGCCCTCCACGTCTCTTTCGCTGCAACAGCCCAACGACCAATTTCCTGTCTCAGCCTTCGCTACTGCGGAATGCTGAATAAGCGGTTCTGTGTCCGCTAGTTTCAGCCCATCTACACCGGTGGAAGGGCTGACTTACCTAGTAACTTGCGCCCGAGCAACACGTCTGAGAGGCTGCGACCATGGCCCGAGAACAAAGAATGCCGTAAGCTGTGCGACTGCGAATATTGGCATTTCTCGTCTACACTCATTCCTATTCGTATATGTACCATACCAAGCTGCGGGGGCCAATATGCAAGTCTCCGCTCTTCTCGCAGGGTCTATTCAAGCGAGTCTGCTTTGAGTTCGACTCTCCGACCGCTTGCAAATTGATATAGCTTGATTGGACCTCCGTCTTACCAGCTTGGGGCCTTGAGATCCATTTTCCCTCTCTGCTGCACTTCAGTCTTCGACAGAGCACCATGGTTTCCGTGATCGTGATCGTTGTTATCGCCGTCATCGCCTATTATGCTGTCCGCGACCTCCGGCGCTACTGGGCCCTACGCCAATTCCAAGGGCCGCCTCTATGTGGCTTCACCAGATACTGGATGTTCAAATCGGCGACTTCAGGTCGTCTTCAACACTATTACAAGGACTGGAGTGTCAAATACGGTAAGAACCAAACCATTTCCAAGCTTTGGCCCATGTTCTGATTCTTTGCAGGTCCAACATGTCGCATAGGCCCAAACTTCTTACTAACAAAAGATCTCGCTGTCATCAAACAGATAAATGCTGTCCGGGGCGATTACAGTCGGAGCGACTGGTTCGTAGCCGCCCGCATGCATCCCACTCAGGACAACATCACAAGCTACATGGACGACAAGATCCATACGAAAGTTCGCCAAACGCTGGCACCAGGCGTGGGTTACCATGTCTCCTATCCTTTGACTTCTCCTGAGAAGATAGATGAGATACTCTCCAGTTCCTTATTCCAGCAGTTCTAACAGGTGAAAACAGTACTCTGGAAAAGACAACCCCCATTTGGAGCAGGATATCGACACAGCGGTGCTGAAAATGGTCGATTTGATACAATCGAAATATCTCTCCTCGCCTTCCAACTACGTCCAATTTGACCTCGCCCGCATGGCCACCTTTTTCACGCTGGACACGCTCGCGGCTGTCGCCTATGGCCGCTCCTTCGGCTTCCTGGACAAGGACGAGGATCCATTCGGATACCTGGAGCAGACCAAAATCTTCTGGCCTCTCTTCCAGTTCATGGCCACCTTCCCCGAGCTGCACAACATCATCCGCATCCCCTTCATCCGGAAGCTCTGGCCGACGGCCGACGACGTCCAAGGCCTGGGCGCCATCATGCACTTCGCGCAGGAGCTGGTGGCCGAGCGCTTCGGGCCCAACCCCGTCGTGCGCAAGGACATGCTGGGCTCGTTCATGGCGCACGGCATGCTGGCCAAAGCCCAGCTCGAGGCCGAGACGCTGATCCAGATCTCGGCCGGGTCCGACAGCACCGCGACGGCGATCCGCATGGCGCTGCTGCACATCTGCACCAACCCGCGCGTGCTCGCCTCGCTGCGCCGCGAGCTCGACGCCGCCGTGCGCTCCGGCGCCGCCTCGCGCCCCGTCATCCGCGACCAGGAGGCCCGCCGCCTGCCCTACCTGCAGGCCTGCATCAAGGAGACGCTGCGCGTCGTGCCGCCCGCCGCCGGCCTGCTGCCCAAGCGCGTGCCCGGCCCGGCCGGCGACACCATCGCCGGCGTGTGGGTGCCGCCCGGAACGGACGTCGGCTGGAACATCCAGGGCCTGATGCGCGACGAGGCGCTCTTCGGCCCCGACGCAGACCTCTTCCGCCCGGAGCGCTGGCTGCTCGAGCCCGACGACGCCAAGCTGGCCCGCATGCTCGACGCCCAGAGCATCATCTTCGGCTCCGGCAAGTACGGCTGCCTCGGCCGCCACGTCGCCAGCTTCGAGCTCGACAAGGCCATCGCCGAGCTCGTGCTCCGGTTCGAGTGGGAGCTCGCAGACGTCAAGGACCCGCTCAAGAGTCTCTGCATGGGATTTCATTTGCAGGAACAGCTTTTCTTCAGGGTTACCGAGAGAAAGGTCGTTGGGGGCGGGGACGTCAATGGGGAGGAGGCGTGGGAGAAGGTGGGAGCTGAGAGGAGAGATTTTGGATTGGAAACGAAGTGGGAGGATGTGTGAGACTTCTGCAATCGAGTGTCATTTTGTCAGCGGGACGATTTCGAGAACGTCTATGAAGATTTCATTATGAGCTATGAGTGTCACTATGGTAATGCGATATGATACAGTGGAAAGCAAGAATTCAAGTAGATTCAACCCTCAGCCACGCCGTCCATATCGAGACCGTTACGTTTTATACCTTTTCTTCCATCATACCATTCAACGCCATATCCATTTGCCACCCTCAAGTGGGAAAAGGAAAGGCAGAATAGATGGGCACGCTGTTGAAAGTGTGGATTGTATTTAGGAGCAATCCCGGGATCAATCTACCTAAGTACTGCGATCTTCACACATCAGCATATCGTGTTTAGCACAACGTAACAGGCCCTGAGATAATCAGAAGCTGTCTTTTCGCTCTTTGACTAGCAAGACTATGTATATCATAACAGTAATCGTGAATTCATACATCTGAGAAAGAAAAAAAAAACAGGAAATTTTCATTCTAACCCATAACCACCTAGCAAACCCAAAGCTAGATACACAATTTTTGCTAAGCCGCCTTCTCCGTCCCATGCTACCACTACTCTAGTGATTCCCGCTGAGAACCCGATAAAAATACAGCAAAGGGAGAACTAAGAAACTAGGAAACTCCTCCCGAATGTGTATGCTCACCACCCAAAACTACTACTCAATCAACCCTTGGCATTCCACTTATCGTTGTACGCGTTCACCGCCACCGCGATCTGCCTGTACAGCCAGTTCCTGCTCTGCTCGTCCGCGACGGGGATGAACGGCCCGTTGGTGCCGCCCTTGAGCGTGATGCTCATGCCCGTCCGCTCCTTGCTGATGGTCTGGATGTCCTTGAGCGGCACGTCCCACTCGGTCGTCAGCTTGCGCGTCTTCACCAGCATGATGCCGTTGTACGTCAGCATGACCAGCAGGTCCTTGCCGGGGAGCTCCAGGTGCGCGATGTAGTCCTCGTTGAAGTGGCGACCGTTGTCCAGCGTCTTGAGCCAGAACTGGCCGAGCGCCTCGCGCTGGCTGTAGGGACGCACGATGCCGTCCTGGCCGATGAAACGGGACAGGCGGACACGGTCGAGACCCTCTTGGTCGAAGACGGTTGTCGTGTTGCGCACGCCTTCGGCCATGTTGGACGCAAGATCGAACGCGCCGATGGCGGCCTTGGTGGGAACACCCAGCAAGCCCTTACCAATGCCCTTGACAAAGCCAAGAGTACCCTCCTTCTCCGCGCCCTGCAGCGGGTGGCGGGCGAGGCCGCCGATGCCACTGGCCAGACTCTCCGCGAATGCGTTACCACCAGATGTGATACCGTACAGAGCGTGCTTCGGTCTGTTCCTTGAACGCTTCATACGACGAGAGTTCTGGAACTCCTGGTCCATCGTGGCAACGGCAAGACCCTTAGACAAACTGCCGGTGAACTTGGCCATACTGTCCGAGAAACCGAAGACTGATTTCTTGACAAAACTGGACGCACCCTTCGCAATGCCAATACCAAGGTCCTGAGGCCTGTCCGTCATGACGAGACCCTTGTAAGGCTCGTAGAAGATGTCGGTGACACCAGACGATACGTTCTGGAACAAGCCAACAGGGTTGCCAAGGAAGTCGGCGGATCCAAGAATGAGATGGACTTGGCGCAAACTCTCCTGGACGTAGTGGTTCTTGATGCTGTTGACAAGAGCCGCGACCGATACGCGAGCATTCTCTAGAATGAGGGCGTTGTACCGCAGCGGAGCATCATTGACGTTACCGATGGACATGGTGAGGACATTGACGGCGAACATGAAGGGGTTAGAGGAAGTCATCGTGTCTTCGGCGTTGATACGCTCAGTACGGACGAAGGACAAATCGAACTGCATTGGCTGCAGGTGCAGAAGCTCGAAGTAGACATCCTGGCCGCCCTGTTCCTGCTTCGGCTCTGGGATGTCAAGCTCCTCGTCGCAAAGCTTTCCTTCCTTGACCTCAGACCAAGACGCTCCAGGAATCTTGGCAAAGTCAAGAAGCGCGAAGATGAAGTCTTCGTCGATTTCGAGTGTCATCTGCTGCAACAGGAAGGAGAAGTACTTGATGTACAGCACACCGTACGAATCATCCTTGACCCTCGTGATCGAGGCCTGGAGAATTGGGTGTGCCTCCATTTCCTTGCCCGTCTTGGGAACAACACTGGGGTAGAACAGAATAGGGAAGATACCGCCGTAGAGCTGGTTGTCGATCTGAATCCACTTGATAGTGCTGGAGAACTGCTGGTACAGCGCCGAGTCACCATAATTGAACTCGATATCACGCAGGGTGATGTAAACGAGTTCACGGAGCTGTCTGTTGACGAGTGAGATTCCGATACCAGCAATACGCAGCTTGGCCTTGAATGTAACATCCGTGTCCACATCCTTGACTTCAAAGCCGTCCGTGGTAGATCTGGATGCCGAGGCCGACTTCTGCTTGTACAAACTCTTCGAAGGCTTCCAGTTAGAGATGACAAGCGTCTGCGTCGGCCCATCCGCAACGACACTGAGATCGATGATCTTGCCACGGCTGGAACTCTGAGCCGGCGGAAGTTTGAGCGGAACCAGATTGCCAATCTCGGCGAGCTTGACGTGCCGCTCTTTATTGTTGGCCTTGAGCACAATCTCCTTGTTCTTGGCCGCCGGGTAGTCCCAGGCGTACGGCATAATGCTCTTTGGCGGAAGACGGTACCGGATGGGACGCCAGCCAGAACCGTTATCTTCCTCGTCCTCGTCAACGTTCGGGTTAGTCTGCCAGAACAAGAATTCCGTGTCGCTCTCATTGCGCATGGAGAAGGGCCAGTGCTTGGTCTCCACACTAACGTGCAAGAAAATGGTCGCTCCTTCCATGAGAATCTCGACACGAATCAGCTTCTGACGCTGACCAGCCTTGGCGAGCTTCACGTGGACGCTTCCGACATTTGCAATGTCGAAAGGTGCTGACCACTGATTGTTGACACCGGGGAAGCACAAGCAGAGTTGCTGACGCTCGCCCGATCGCAGATAGCGAAGAGGCAGGAGGTCGCCGTTCTTCAACGTCAGAATGTTCGAGGATCCGGGCTCACGGATGTTGATATCCTCGCTCATCTTGTTCTTGATGATGTACCGTGGAGCAATGGTAACAACCTTGCTCAAGTTGTACTGCACAGTATCAGCGCCATTCAATAAAGACTACAATGCGAAGCTTACCTTGCCCTCTCCCTCTTCAACAGTGACGCCCACGTGCATATCTGATCTCCCTTGGGCGCTCGGAAGCGCAACATCGTACGTACTACCAATCGCGTCGAAACTCTGCGGCTTGCTCCAGTTCGAATCACCGACCTTGATGAGTGCACGATTCTTGTGGTCATCGGTAGGGAAGGAGAACATGAACGGCTGGGCTCTGGTCGAATCGCCCTGCGTGTTTGCAAACACGCCGGCACCCGCGGCGGCCTTCGCTTGACCCAGGAATGCCTTGCTCCGCACGTCGAGCTCAAGCCCGGTCCTGTTGAGGATAACGTAAGGGCTGTACACAGCGACCTTGAAAGCACCTCCACTATCGGGAATGTTGTAGTAGTGGAGTTTCAGGCGCAATGCCAGGTCCTGATTGTCCTTGACTTCCACAGTCTTCTCACGTCGGAAGTTCTCCTTGTCGGACGAGTTGATGACGGAGAACTTGCTGGGCTTGAACGGCGTGTCCTGCATATCAACGCTCATGAGCAGCAAGTGGGAAAGTTCCACAACGTGCACAGGGCTGACGCCTCCCTTACGCAAGAAGTTCGTCCAATCCTTCTTCGTGTTGTCATCGTAGATCCTGTATTTGAAGTCGTATGGCAGGAGGTTCACGACTTCAACGGGGGCATGCAACTTGTAGCGCATGCATGGGTACACCTGCGTAAGCGGGTCCTTCTTGTCATAAGCCGCATGCAGCTGGAAATAGAAGGGCGGAGAGTCGTTGTCACTCTCGCCTTTGCACGTGATAATCCTCGTGGGCCGCTTGAGCATATCCTTCCAGAACAGCCTTTCGTTCGACCATGTGTAACCGAAGCCCTGATCCGGACGAATGATCAACGAGTGCATGAAGGCAGCGCCTACAGGAGCAGGCCTGGCATCTCCAGGAGCAACCTTCTCGATCTTGAGCAAGTTTCCATCCTCAGGGCTGAAGACGCCAATCTCGACAGGGATCTGAGTGTTGTTCTCGACGACGAGAGGAGAGCGGAAGGTGATATACTTGACGTTGTCCTGGCCAAGCGAGACTTCGCAGCAGATGCGGTGGAGGATACGGTCCTTACGGGGCTGAAGGTTGTAGATGTACTCGCCCTCACGGTTGACCGGAATGCGGTTGATGCTGTCAAACCCGCTGCCTTCCAGCTTGATGCCAACAATACCAGTTGCACCCTCCGGTGCGAGCGTTTCTCTGGTAGTTGTCGGGTCCTCAAACCTCCATGGCGCTTCTTGACCATCGGCTAATTTGGCAGCAGAGCCTCCATCAGTGTTCTCGCTGACTGCCCAGACGTTCATATCGAAACCAGTGTAGTTGCGAATGCGGTACGGGGCGTCGGTGCCACGCGGTTTTGAGAGCACGTCTTCATCGCTCGACAGGAAGTCCGCCGACTTCGATGCCAGTGCAATCGTGGCAGCAGTAACCGTTAGGTCCAGAGACTTCCTTGAGTACAGCTCAACTGCTAGCTTGTCGGGGTTTTGCTCCTTGGACATGTGGAAGCCGAGCTGCCAGGGCTCAATGAGCGGCTCCCAAGCAGACTTGGAGAAGTTGTAGATGTTGAAGAAGGTATCGATGCTGGTGTCGGCGACCATGGCTCCAGACCAGTCACGAACCTCGATGTCGAATTTCTTCACGCTCCAGTCTAGCATAGGCAATTCGTGTTTATCACCGATGATGACGACACGGATGCCCTGCATTGAGACCCTCATCTCCTCCTTCTTGACCACCGCCGAACCTTGAGCCTTTGCAACTTCCTTGCCTGCGCTAGAACGTTGGGTTGAAACCGTCTTCGCAGTCTGCTTGTTTTTGGTGGAAGCAACGGTGGATTTGGCATTGGTGCTCTTGGTACCACTCTTGATCTTCTTGGGTTCCTGACCCTGCAATTTTTCATCTCCATTGTTGTTCATAGCTGAAGCCTTGTTGAAGATTTGCATGGCCAACATTATATCGCGGAGCGATACACGAAGCACAAGAGGGTCGATGTCGACTTGGATGCTGGTCAGAGATGACTGCGGGCCTTGCGAACGCATATCAAGAGAAGTCTGAATGCTGAAGTCATCCAGGATGCGGAGTTTCGTGGTCTCCCACTGATCCATGCGGCACAGGAACATCCCGACCCGGTCTACCTGCAGGGTAGTAGCGTGCTGCTTTGAGATGAGCACTTGTTTTGTACCAAGCACAATGGCCTCGGAATTGGTCATCGCAGGGTTTGCGATAAGGATAGCCTGAGCCTCAACAACGTTGATGCGGAATGACATCTCCATAGTCGATTCCTCTTCGGGTTTCTTGGTCTCTGGCGTTTGAGCAGCCGGCTTGCTAAGGGCACTGGAGATGTCACTATTCGAGTTCTCTACGTCTTCGGTGGCAGTGTCATCCTCTTCGCTCTCGATCTCGATAGGCTCCTTGACAGAAAGGCCGGCGTTGACAAAGGCTTGGATGGCAAAGAGATAATCCAAGGCAAGGATGACGCGAGGGCTATCAATCGTCAAGAGGACAATCATGTGACGATCCTTGCCCCCGGAAATGGAGACGCTGGCCATGAACTGTTGCTTGACATCATTGTTGATCAAAGACATGACCTTGCGGAACTTGTTCGTCTCCTGAGTCCGGGTATCCCGGATCGTGAAGGATTGGATAAGAAGCTCCGACTCCAACGAACCGTCGCTGAGCATGCGCATCTTCACACTAGTCTCGTTCAAAGAGAACTTAGACAAGCTTGCAGCATCGATGTCGCCGACAGGCTCCGTCTCCTTGGCGTTGATCAACTCAAGACCGATGGCGCCAACCTTGAAAACGAGGTCGAGTTTAGTCCACGTCTCCTCCTGAGAGCCCAGCTCTGGGCCCTGGCTCGTAATGACCTGCTTGTCATTGCTGGGTTCGGGCTCGGTATTCTTCATCGTGTTGGCGCGTTTGAGCGTCGAGTCAGGCACTTGCCTCTCGACATCCTCATTCATAGCCGCTTCAGGGTCTGTAGCAAACGCAGCTGGAATGGATCTGGAAAGCTCAAGCATGAACCTCATCTGTTCTTGGGTTAATCTGAGGTTGATGTTGGACATGGAACCTTCGATCTCCAGGTCAGGGCGCTTGTACTCGGGCTTGTGTTCAACATAGGTGATGTCGAAACCCAGGTCAACCTTGTCGATCAACTCCAGCTCCTCCGACTTCTCCTCCTCGTAGTGGAAGAAGGAAGTGAGGCGAATGTTACGGAGGCCAGCAGACAGCTTGTTGGCAGTGTCTGCGTTCTTAGAGTCGTCAAGAGGTACGAACTTGTTGTTCGCATAGATTTCTCCCAAGTATGCTGTGAGGCTGTCACGTTCCGCCTGACCTTCAGGAGCAACCATGCGGGGGAAGACGACGATCGGTGTACGGATCAAGATATCGAAATGCATCTTGTTGGCCTTCTCTTGCACTTGGCTGGCTTGCTCCGCAGCGGCTTGACGAGCAGCATTGAAGATGGCCTGCATCTTGCCAAACTTGACTCCAAACTCCATGATCTTCCTGAAGGGCTCCGTGACAAAGTTGACTTTGATGGAACCGGAACGCAAGTAGATGGAAGTGTCGTAGCCAGGGTACGCCTTTGAGTCCGAATCGAAGGTCTCGTAGGCAAAGTCCAGCAACTCGTCACCTTCAATGGTAACAAGCTGACGCAAGGAAGATTCCTTAGAGACGCCTTGATTGACATCATCGGTCAAAGACAGACTGCCCAACTTGCCACCGACGCGCATCGCCTTGCCCATGATGAAGACACCAACATCTGCAGTACTGAGGCTCAAGGTTGCAAGGCGCATACCGTCGTTGTTCAATATGACCGATATTCCCTTAAGCTCAGCTCTGATGCGGATCTTGTCAGGGTCTGGGTTCACAGCAGCGACCGCGATTTCATCATCATCTTCCGGACTATCCTTGACCTTCTTCTTGTCTTTGTCTTCAGGCGGACCGGGGCTGGTGAAGGTGATGAGCACGAAGTCCAACAACGTCAACAAAGTCGCCCGAGTCACGATCAAGTTGATCGTGGAGACATGAACGTCTAAGTTTGTCCCAATGCCCTCATACTTGGGCATGAATTCGGGTGAGTCCTTGTTGACCTTGACAAACTTCAGTTGGAAGAGATCTCTGTCACCAGCATCGTCTGACGAGATAAGGTTCCTGAACTCTGGCAGTGGGTTAGGGTCAACGTGGTCCACGACCGCCATGCTCTTCAGACGGACTTCGGCCGCAATGTCGAAAGCCCTTTGGTAGAATTCGAGGTAGAAATGCTCCGCAACAAGTTCAACTAAAAGCTGGTCTGGTTTCTTGCCCTCTGGATCGGATCGATACAAAGAACCTTGCAGCTTGTCCACAGTGAACTTGAACTCAAAATTCCGCTGATGAACAGGCACGTCAGACTTGGTGCCATCAGTCGCATCCTCGAATTCAGCGTCATCGGCTTCGCTACCCGCGTCAGATACCACGAGCTCGCGTTGTTGCGCAGAGTATTGGAACGACCTGGATCTTGTCTTCGTAAGTTGGTCATTGCTGACATTGTCAGTGGGCTTCAAGTTTGAAGATCCAGTGGCTCCCTGTGCCACTTGTTTGTCCGGTGCAGGTGGGTCTTCGAACTTCGGTATAGCGACCTCAATCAACTTCATGAGGTTTTTGTACTTGGCATCCGAAATTGAAGCGTGCAAAACAGGCAGATTACCCGAGATGCGGAATTTTGTCAGGTCAGAGGCCTTGGGGACGATGCAAGTTTCAATGGTAAAGTCGACATTGATACGGTCCACGAGGTGGAGGTTCTTCGAGCCATCAGTTTCTACCAGTTGCGCCTTGGTCTCCTCTATCGAAGGCCCGATGAGGACTTGGGTTGAGTCGAGCTTCAACAGGAATTTGTCGTACATCAGGCCCTGAAGGCGCTTGAGATCATCCTCGGAGAACTGTCCCTTTTGCTTGGATTGGATGTCCTTTAGTGTGTCCTTGTCGATAAGCTCGCTGCTGACCTTGGCATGACCGGCATCCAAAATCAGGCAAATGCTGCTCTCTTTGGTAACGGAGTCCGGAACGATGATGAGAGGGGCTTGCAAGTCGAGCTGAGCGTTGATCGTCTTGTGCTCCTCAAGCGCAAACTCAAGACCAGCACGAGTCTGCTGTCGTAGACCCTCGACAGTTGCGCCAGCAGTCTCCATGAGTGCTCCAATAGACTCCATACGGCTCTCCGGAGGCTTGAAAAATTTCACAACCTCGACCACGAATCTGGGGTTGTAGATGACTTCCATACCCTTCAGCTTCACGGTCAGAGCGGTATCTGCGCTTCCATCCAGAGGGTTGTTTTCGAAAGACAACTGGAAGAAAGGATCGGCAACTTCCTCGTCCGCGTCAGCTTTTGAGGTTTCGTCGTCATTAAGCTCTTCGATGCGCTTCTCATCCGGCACAGGAGGAGCATCCTTGACGGTGACAATCTGAGGGAACAGACTGCCTTCCGTGGTGCCATCGTACAACCGCATGCCATCAAGGCTGAGCTCTGCAAGCATGGAATCGGTCCTCTGTAGAACCTTGGTGCTGAAGGAATCAAACAGCAAGCGCAGAATCTCCGTGGCCTTGCCGTGCGGGTCTCGCTTCAGTGTGAAGCTACCAGTCCGAAGACTCATTTCCACTTGCATCTTCACATACTCCCGCGGCATGTCAACGGCCTCGGTAATTTGCTTCTTCTCGTCCCAGTCGATGGCGTCGTACAGCTCTTGTCGCTGTTTCTCCGACATTTGGGCGTCCTCAGAAGTGTCCTCCTGGCCACCTCCCCAGATCCATGACGACCATGACTGCTTCTGGGGCTGCTTCTTCACGCCAACGTTCTCCTTACGCAGCTGATTACGGGCAAGCGAACGCCAGAATCGCAAGTCTTCATAAGACAACTTGTGCTCCAGGTCATCAAGCTCCTTAGTTTCATCCGGCGAAAGCTGCTCTTCTCTCTTCTTCTTCTTGAAAAGCTCGATGTACCGTTTCCGGTCATCGCGCCTTTCCCTGAAGTAATCCCAGGACCATTTACGGTTTCTCTCGTGGATCTTATCAAGCACTGCATTTCCAGCAAACTGAAGCCACGCCCGAGGATCTTCCTTCGGCCGGCTCTTGGGCTGCAGCCTCTTATACTCTTGATGCCTGATGAAGTAGTGGAAGAGGTCTACCAGCATCAAGGCATCGCGGTACTGGTCCTCGTCGATGACAAAGCCGAGCTCATCAAAGAGCAGACGAGCCTTGATCTTGGGCCGGTCCGTCTTGCCGGTCTTGTCCATCTCAAGCCCCGCCCTGCCACTGACGGGCTTGAGGATGAACTGATGCTCGGCAATGGTAGAGCTGTCGCCCTTGATGATCATGCTGCGAAGCTTTTCCACAAACTCGGCATGGTCCATTGCCTGTGTCGTGCCTGTGCCCGAACACAGCAGCTTCGCATCCGTGTCCCAGTATACCGCCAAAGAACCGAGCGTGGCGAGTTTGTGAGCGGAGGCAGAAGCGCTCTGGATGAAGGTGGGTTTCCAGTTCTCGTCGGTGCTAACGGCGCTGAGCTCGTCGAGAGTGATTCCGAGCGCAAACGGGTGGCCGGGATCGGAGAGGGAATCCTCATAGCGAATGTGCACATTCTTCACGCTGACCTGGACGTTATCCACGATAGCAGTGACCAAGCTCGCCGTGAAGCTCTGGTTCTTTTGCTGCTCCTCCTGCGACATGCCCTCGGTGTTTCTTTCTTTCAGCATTTCCGCACTGTCCAGCTTCTCCATCTTCACGGCGTGCGCCCGCCGGTCTTGCTCATCTGGGTCGAAGTCGGCATCCTCCCTAGGCGCAGCCAGCAGGAAGACATCCTCGATGCTAACCCGCACGGGCTTGCCTCTGAGGTTCGACCATGGTATAGAGAGTGTGAGCGAGCCGAGATGGCCCTGGACAACGTTGAGAGGGAGGTTGAGCTGATCGAGGGCTTCACGGCGAAGTTCGAGATCGCGGAGCTTGACGTCCCCAGACCAGATACCGACGTTCAATTGTTTCGGATCGAAGTTCTGGACGTACATGCCCAGAAAGCGGTTGAGCAAGTTGGCGACGAGACCCTCAAGCATGGCGGTGGAAGGTGGCCGTTACCCGGGCCTGGGATGGATATAGTACAAGGTTCGGAGGGTATTTGAGTGAAGCAGAAAACCGTTCTATCGTCAATCCATAAGCAGAATGGGTATCAATCAGGCAGACGTGACGTCGTTAGGTGGCGCGGAAGGCGTCGAAGGATTTGGTGGTGGTGCGGCGGAGGGAAAGTTGTTGTTTAAGTCGAGCGACCCCACTGACACCGACACACGCGGCGCGCGCCAGCTAGGAAGCTGCCAGGATTTGCCAGCTCAGAGCGGGGAGCGCGATGCGCGAAAAATCGCCCGAAGCCGCAAAAATGAGAAATGGTCGAGGTATGAGTCGAAAATCGCGTGCAACGATGCAGGCCGCTGCACTGGAGACACGCAACACCTACTGCACGCGCTCGTCTTTGTGTGGCTTGCCCATCTTTCCTGCTCATTCCGCCAGGATGACGTCGATCCCTTCTTCGTGACACCAGCAGCCAGGCCGCAGCTGTTGGTTCCACGTGACCGTTCTCATTCTCCCGCACTGACTCGTAGCCAATGGAATTTCCTCGCGCGTCTCCAGCCCAGAGCGCGACTGTTCATTCCGGTGCTTGTCGCCTTTCGCAACCCTAATTTCCAGACATTGAGTGCTGCAATCGTCATCCAGCCTTCAAGCTCAGCATTCTACTCAAGCATCGACTTCATCTGTCTCGCGCCGACAAACCCATCGCGCCCTCTGTCTCCCGCAACCGGTCCTCTACCCGGCTGAATCACCCACCATCGACTTTACTCTTCTCCATACAAGCACAATGGGCTGGTGGTGGCGCTCAAACACCCAGACTCCGGTCACGAAGCCCTCCGACTCCACGCCCGACCCGGTCCCAACTTCGTCGCAGCCTCCCTCGAGCCCGCACGATGTCGCAGATAAGCCTCGCGCCCCATTATCGCGCGAAGAGCAATCCGAGCTGGAGCTGCAGAATCTCCTCGCCGAGCTCCAGGCTTCTGTCAGGTCAGGAGAGGCTCCCAGCGGCGGCGCTACCACCACCGCCAACTCCAGCTCGACCGCCGCGGATCCCACATCCTCCTCCATCTTCCCCACAACCATGAACTGTCGCCAAGCCTTCGACGGGGCCTTCTACTGCCAGTCATTGGGCGGACAGGCCATGAACGTCTACCGCTACGGCAGCCTGCGCTCGTGCTCCGAGAACTGGTCCGACTTCTGGTTCTGCATGCGCACCCGCTCCTACGGCGACGCAGAAAAGGCCCGGCTGATCTCGGAGCGGTACGAGCAGAAGGAGGCCAAGTACCGCAGCGGCCCTAGCAGCGAGGATATATGGGACGTACGCAAGCCGGGCGAGGAGCTGCGCAACCCCTTCAACAAGGATCCGGACCAGATTGAGATCCCTGGCTTGCCCAAGCCCAAAAGGCTGACGCAGTCGCAGGAGTGAGCATGAAGGAGGGTCCACTTTGGTAAAGGCGCATAAATCAATGGGCGGGATGCTGGATTATGGATATGCATATGGCTGGCGTTGTCAAAAGTTTCCGAGGCGTTGTAGTGGAAATGGGATACCCAAATACTACGAGGTCGGTTCTATTAGTAGTACAACAGGGGGTAGTTGAAGCATCCATCTGGACACGAATGCACGATATAAATATAAATACATGCATCCGGACGAGAGCTTCAACGCCCCGATTTTGTTGCGATGCTCAATGAACCGGCCTCGTATGGAGTACAAGCAAGTCCAAATCCACATGAAGAGACGACGTGATGTTTATGTATGTATGTACAAATATGGAAATACTCATCTCTTGAAAGCCGACATCATTGTGAAGGCCTGGCTGGAACCGACGGTAACCACTCACTCTGATTTGGCCAGCTATTGACACCGAACGCAGATTGAGATTTAATAATTCGCTCACATAGTGGGTAGTTGAAGCTATCATCCGGACGCAGATGTAGATTTAATAAGACATTCGTGTCCGGACGACAGCTTCAACTACTCACTTATGACTGAATTCTTTTACAGAGAATAAGATTTCAGGTATCAGTTACGCTCTTCTCGACAAATGGTTTCACGGAGCAAATGGCACAAAGTTTTGAATTGTGAAAAGTAAATTTTTTTTGCACCATCTTGATGCTTGGTGATCATTAACTACAGTCCCATGTGCAGAAAAAACTTTTTTCCGCCCATTCATGATCTCATGAAAAAGGAAAAAACCCAGCACGAGCAATGCAAACCCAAAACCCTATAGTGGCTCTAAAAACTCCGAACCGCCATCATAGATGGGAATCTATGCCGAAGAAAAGAGGAAGCAAGAGGTGTGCGCACCAATTTAGTCAACCTCCTCGACGGTGGGGCCGTCGTCGCCGCCGGCGCCGCCAGGAGCAGCACCACCGGCAGCGCCGGGGAAGCCACCGGGAGCACCACCCTCACCACCAGCGCCGTAGAACTTCATCATGATGGGGTTGGCGACACCCTCAAGCTCCTTCTGCTGAGACTCGTACTCGTCCTTGGTAGCCTGCTGGTTGTCGTCCAACCAGGCAACGACCTTGTCGATCTCGGACTTGAGCTTCTCCTTGTCGCCAGCGTCGAGCTTCTCGTCGACCTTAGGGTCGGAGAGGGTGTTGCGGAGGGAGTAGGCGTAGGACTCGAGAGCGTTCTTGGCAGCGATACGGGCAGCCTCGGCCTCATCCTCAGCCTTGTACTTCTCGGCCTCAGCAAGCATACGCTCGATCTCCTCCTTGGACAGACGGCCCTTGTCGTTGGTGATGACAATCTTGTTGGTCTTGCCGGTGCCCTTCTCGAGAGCGGAGACGTTGATGATACCGTTGGCATCAACATCGAAGGTGACCTCGATCTGGGGAACACCACGGGGCGCCGGGGGAATGCCGGTAAGCTCGAACTTGCCGAGCAGGTTGTTGTCCTTGGTGCGAGCACGCTCACCCTCGAAGACCTGGATAAGGACACCGGGCTGGTTGTCGGAGAAGGTGGAGAAGACCTCGGACTTCTTGGTGGGGATGGTGGTGTTGCGCTTGATGAGAGGAGTCATGACACCACCAGCGGTCTCGATACCAATGGAGAGAGGAGCGACGTCGAGCAGGAGGATCTCGTTGGTGGACTTGGAAGAGGTGTCACCAGACAGGATAGCGGCCTGGACGGCAGCACCGTAGGCAACGGCCTCATCGGGGTTGATGGACTTGTTGGGCTCCTTGCCGTTGAAGAAGTCGGAGACCATCTTCTGGATCTTGGGGATACGGGTTGAGCCACCAACAAGAACAATCTCGTGGACGGAGGACTTGTCGATCTTGGCGTCACGGAGGACACGCTCGACGGGCTCCATGGTGGAGCGGAAGAGGTCCTGGCAGAGCTCCTCGAAGCGAGCACGGGTGATCGAGGTGTAGAAGTCAATACCCTCGTACAGGGAGTCGATCTCGATGGAGGTCTGGGCAGAGCTGGAGAGAGTGCGCTTGGCACGCTCGCAAGCAGTGCGGAGACGGCGGAGAGCACGGGCGTTGGAGGTCAGGTCCTTCTTGTGCTTCCTAATGGGTCGTTAGCAGCTGTGTATATGTAGGGTGGTTTTGCAAAAGTTACTCACCTCTTGAACTCCAGAGTGAAGTGGTTGACCAGGCGGTTGTCGAAGTCCTCACCACCAAGGTGAGTGTCACCGGCAGTGGACTTGACCTCGAAGATGCCCTCCTCAATGGTGAGGAGCGACACATCGAAGGTACCACCACCCAGATCGAAGATCAGGACGTTGCGCTCGCCAGAGGCCTTCTTGTCAAGACCGTAGGCGATGGCAGCGGCGGTGGGCTCGTTGATGATACGGAGGACGTTGAGGCCAGCGATGAGACCGGCATCCTTGGTAGCCTGGCGCTGGGAGTCGTTGAAGTAGGCGGGGACGGTAACGACAGCGTTGTTGACGGTGCCACCAAGGTAGGACTCAGCAGTCTCCCTCATCTTGGTCAGGACCATGGAGGAGATCTCCTCAGGAGTGAAGGTCTTCTCCTCGCCCTTGAACTCGACCTGGACAACAGGCTTGCCACCCTTCTCAACAACCTTGAAGGGGAAGTGCTTCATATCGGCCTGGACCTCAGCGTCGTTGAACTTGCGGCCGATCAGGCGCTTGGCGTCGAAGACGGTGTTGTGGGGGTTCATGGCGACCTGGTTCTTTGCGGAGTCACCGATCAGACGCTCGGTGTCTGTGCGAACGTTAGCGGATGCTCACGACGATCAGGCTGGGGCGGGGAGATGCTTACCAGTGAAGGCAACGAACGAGGGCGTGGTGCGGTTGCCCTGGTCGTTGGCGATAATCTCGATGCGGTCATCTCTGAAGATGCCGACGCACGAGTAGGTAGTACCCAAATCGATACCGATGGCGGGCGCCATTGTGATGTGAGGCTGAAAGAGGATCTAGTGTTGGGTATCAAAAGGCGAAAGGAAGAAGAAAGGTTCGTGGAATTCGTAGGTAGAGGGCTTTAAGCCTTCGTGCGGTTGAATGCGCAAGAGAATTTGGATGATGAAGAAGCGTGGATGGTTGCTTGCGCGCGGATGGTACTTAAGTAAAAAGTGCAGGCCGGAAGAAGGTGCTGGAATCTGGCAGAACCATCGCGGAAATCTTACGCCACAGCCCACAGCAACACCGCGCGCTGGGCCACCCACCACCCATGATGTCAGTAGACCCTTCTCGACACAGCTGGGGCATCCTGGAACATGCGCGCACTCTCAACGCATCCTTTTGCGCCCATTGCACCGTTTGCAGGCGCTGCGCGAGCCACACTTCTTTGGCAGGCCTGGCCCGATGACGCGCTTCTGCCCCACCAAGTTGTGGCTGGTGGCCGTAGATTCAGATAAGATTAGATTGCTGCCTCCCCAACCCTCGAGGCAGGCGCAGAAGGGTCAGAGCCGCCCCAGCCCCACAGTTCGCAGCTTCAAGAAACTTCTCGTCGCGACGAGGCGTTGCTCGCTCAGCCTTACATTCCAGAGCCTCAACGCTCTCCAAGCTTGCACAGCCCGCCGCACGCAGCGAGGTGCAGTCAGGCTGCAGCGCTGTCTGCCTGTTTACCGCCTGCTGCCTGTTGGCATTGCCAGCTCAGTGCTTCGCAGTGATCTGATGACAAACTTGGTCGCCAGCTTGACAAACAGCGATGCGTTTCGCTGGAATTTCCACGTTGTAAAATTTTACCCCAGAAGCTTGGCATCAACAACACTGCTTTTGCTGCCTAGCGTGAATTTGTTTTTCACTCGTACCATGGGTAGTTGAAGCTATGATCCGGACACGAATGTCTAATTATTAAATCTACATCTACGTCCGGATAATAGCTTCCACTGCCCACATATGTTGTTAAATGCGAGGCATAATTATTGTACTCCATGTTCTAGGGCCTTGTTATTCTTGCTACCCTTCGGTCGCAATACTCCTCTGTGACCAGCTGGTCTTGTTGCCTCAGGAACACAGGCGTCTGAATGTCTTGACTTCTGTGTTACCATTGCAAAATTCCAACGGTCCAAAATAAGAGATAGGACCAGGCATCCAGTGAACGCAACACGCGCAGTAGCAGGAGAGTCTGAGGGCCGTAGACGATTTCTCGCCGTGTTTAAACATTCTGCTACAGAGATCTGGGTGTATTGAGACAAAGGCCGTTCCATGCCAGCTTCTGGCTAGCTGCGACACACAGCGCGATGCAAAAAGCGCACGTTGGCAAGCGCTCACCGCATTCCTCCCCGGCGTGCTCCATTGGAGCCTAGAATTACAAGACAGTGTGGTGTCGCAAGAAGAGGTGGGACGCGTGTACACGTCAGATAATGAGGAGCAAAGTTTGAAGGGCGGGTTGTGCGACCTCTTGGCACCCACACATTTGAGGAAAGCTAGAATTCCCCAACTTGGCAGATCCGCTGGTGTTGCGGCCATAATGGCCAGTCGATACGGATAGCCGTCGGTGTGAAGGCAACTCGAAACGCACACAGCGGAGCGGAGGGAGGATCGGAGCATGGAGCGGAGACGCGGAACATCATGGGCAACTTCTTGGCAGGGAGCGGGCGAGACGGGCGGGTGTTGCGCTGCACCTTTCCGACTGCTCTGCGGCGAGCACCTAGTCTTCCACCGCAGCGGAACCCTACACAGTTCTTATCCTTCGGGGCAGCATTGAATTCCCGTGCTCTTGACCCTCCCCTTCGAGTTAGGTCGACTTGAAACTCGCACAGACCGACGGGACTGTAGAGCACCAGCATCAGCGGGAATAAAAGGACGATCGCCCGCGACACGAATTCTGAAGCGCGATCTGCTTCTCCGCAGCGGATCATGGCTAAGCTCAGGAATGAGGGGCTCAACAAACGGTGTTGCGGTGAACGTCTGGGGAGGGGCATGCCAAAGACGATTCATGCCAGGCAGCGAGTGTGCTGCTCGTGGGAACACGAGGGTCCCGGTCCCGTCCCGCTTCGGCCCCTGGCCGCATCTTAATGCTTCTCCGCAACGAAGGCATCTGGACCTTCGGCTCAGAAGCTGTCCCGCAGTTCCAGCCAATCACGGAGATTAGATTTCTCATCCGAACTCCGGGCCGGCCATTCCTGGAGCTCCCCATCAGTTGACCATGACCTGATTAGAGCAGCTTGCTTATCGAGCTTTATGTATCTCGAGCTGCTGAAAAGCTGCATGTTGGCTGCATTCCCGCTTTGCACCTGGCTTCAGCAATGCTCGCCTCCAAGCTCCGCCTGATTACTACCTTTCTAGCCTTGGGCATTGCACTACTCTGCGCGCGTTTGCCTTCCAGCATGTCTGCCACCGCAAGCTCTGTGCCTGCTGGTACACCTTGGGCTGACGGCCCATTGCCCCTCATTGAGACGCCCCAGTATGCAACGAAGAAGGACGACATTTGGACCAAGGGCGCCACGCACATGGCCCTTCTGCACAACGCTATTCTCCGCGGTTTCAACACCGTCTATTTGCAAGCGCCGCACATCAAGGACGTCGACAAGGCGGATTTCGTCGGATACAGTCTCGCGTGGTTCAGATTCGTAAAGAGCCACCACGACGATGAAGAAGCCGAGCTTTTCCCCAAGGTCGAGGAAGTGCTGAAGGAGAAGGGTATCTGGGAAGAGACGCACAAAGAGCACGGTGAGTGAAATCGGCGTACACGACTACAAGTACTAACTAATTGCTCCAACAGAGTCCTTCCTGGAGGGTCTCGGTGCCTTCAACACCTACCTGACATCCCTGTCGTCGCCCGCGGCCTTTGATGGCAAGGAACTCGTCCGCATAATGGACACATTTCGCGAGCCCTTCAACGACCACTTCCACTCCGAGATCAAGACGATCGCATCATTCGCAAACCTCCCCACCGCGCCCGCGCCCGACAGCCCGGAAGCTGAGAATGCAACGGCCACATTCAAGGTCTGGGGCAAGAAGACGCTGACGAAGGCGGGCATGACGGACGTGGTTCCGTTCTGCCTGCTGAATTTGGACCGGACATACGAGGAGGGGATGTGGGCGACATGGCCGCCGATGCCTGGCCCCATCCGGTGGATGATGGTGAACGTGTTCGGAAGCTGGAACTGGGGCTGGTGGCGGTTTAGCAGCTGCGATGGCAATGGCAACCCGCAGCCTTTGTATGCTCTCCAGGGCGACCAAGGGGCCGAGAAGAAGGAGGAGCTGTAACTGGCGCACCGTCACAAATGTGGTGCTGCGGGTCAGGGGAAGCAGTGAGTTCACCGAGGATGTTCGGATGTCGATGGAGTTGGTTCGGTGCTTTCTCGAACGACCTTGGATTATGGGTACATGAATTGCATTGATCAATTTCTGGGACCTCTGAAGAGCGCAGCAATATGGTGAGCGATTATCTGGTGTTTCATGGTGCCCCATCAACATGTGCTCCAGACTCAGATTCGGGAGTACATCCGGAATCTCGGAAGTTCGGGGTACGTAGAAGGCTCATGTCGGCCGACGCATCCCTCGGACGGTGCTCCGTCCCCGTTGAAGTGTCCCTCTTATCTTTGGCCCTAGGAATGCTGACACAGACTTACGGTGGCCAGCTTATGCGTGCCGGGGCTCAGAAGCCTGGCGCACTAATCGAGGCGGGGGAGTTGGTAATCCAGGGTCCTGCAGGGCGGAGACATCATTCTGCAGCAAGACCCTCCTCTCGCTGGGGCAGAGACGGACATGAAGCGCATCTGGGACTAACCTATGCGTGCATATTGAACGCACACACGCACGCCTCTCAAGGCGAGTACGAAGCTAAAGGCGGTGGGTATGCGGGATTGATACCCTGTTGCGAAGCTTTGAGAATTAATACCTCATGAACAAAGCGCAAGTTGACCGGTGTGTTGAGGGGAAGCTGGAGGCGCAAACACGCAAGCATGTGGTTGGTCGTGGTGGTTAGCCCCCCTGATAGCAGTCCTATGACGACGAAGGCCAGCTGCCCGCCCCGGCTAGCCGGAGAAAACCTAGGACAAAGCTCGGAGGGCCGGCAGCAGCCAACAGCATCGCAGGGCTTCGATTGACGGGCGCTGCGGGCGCGCAACGGCAGAGCCCGCGTCCCTTCGGGCACGACCGTCTGTGGCTTGCAGCAGTGAAGTGCCGCGACCGTCGCCGTGGCCATCTGTCAGTCGAGGGCGACGTGATGTTGACAGGCGACCCCTCCGCGTCATTCTGAGGTAGGCAGGAAGCGCGGCTGGCTCGTGGCTGGCGCCGGACAGCACGCAGGCGACCAGACGGACAAGCGGCGGGTGAGGAGCCGTGGGGCAAGAGGCGCAGGTGCAGGCGCGGTCCGCATTCCGGGCAGTTGTTGAGGCGGCGGCTTTCGGCCTCAGGCAGCCAGATAGGCCGGGGCGGCAGCGGGCTCGAGGCTGCGGAGCGGACTGAGATTGCAATCTGGAGAAGGGGGCACGGGGGGGTGCTTTGCCAGCGGAGATCGACGGGGGGCGCAGATGCTGGCCGTCGTCATCCCCGAAAAAAATCCTTGGCCTGGCTTGGGAGGGCGTGCAACCCAGGCCGGACTGAGGGGGGTGAGACGTGCCTGCTGCGACTTGTTGAACTCCGGCTCCTCAAAGGGCCCCAGTACATAAAGGGACGCGTCCGCCGCGCCCGGAGTGGAACTAGCAGAACCACTGACAGCAAACCCTCATTTCACCTTCTCCACGTGCGCCAGCTTGTTGCGTGCGCCGAGCGATACCCACGAGTCACGAAATCTCGACCTCCCACGTAGGTGGCGGCGATCCGAACTAGACCGCGGAAAAGCGCATCGGGCGGAGTGCAGGAACGAAAGAGAAAAAAAAACGTTGAGCGCGATCCTGATAGGACGGCCCCATCCAGTTCCGCGATAGAGTCATCGCCCAGCACGACCGACAGAGCCGATAGCGAAAATGGCAGCCGCCGGAGCAAGACAGGGTAAGCTGAAAAACTCTCCTCCTCGTCCGCCCCAAGCATGAGGTCGCAAAGCCTCAACCTCGTCCGCTGCATCTCTTCCGCTGCGTCCAGAGCGCCGGTTTCCGCTGCCCGCCCTCTGCACCATCTGTTCTCGTCCCCCGCCATGTCTGCGACCGGGGCTGGTAGGCGCCCATTGGCCCGGGAGCTCGCGAAACGCACCGAAACGGGAGGGCTGACATCAAAATCGTACGATTCCTACAGATGCCTTTGAGCGGGTCATTACGGGCAACAAGAGCTACGCCCGCCGCTCCGCCCAGAGCGAGCCGCAGCTGTGGTCGACGCTGTCCCAGGGCCAGAGCCCTGAGGTGCTCTGGTTCGGCTGCGGCGACTCGCGCGTGCCCGAGACGACCATCTGCGACTGCAAGCCCGGCGACATCTTCGTCCACCGCAACATCGCCAACGTCATCGCCCCCGGCGACCTGAGCAGCGAGAGCATCATCGACTTCGCCGTCGGCGCCGTCAAGGTCAAGCGCATCGTGCTGTGCGGCCACACCAAGTGCGGCGGCGCCATCAACGCCCTTAACGACAACGACCTCGGCCCCGCCCTCAACGCCTGGCTGCAGCCCCTGCGCGAGCTGCGCCGCAAGCACCAGCACGAAATTGACCAGCTCGATACGGTCGACAAGAAGGCGCTGCGCCTCGCTGAGCTCAACGTCCGCCAGGGCCTCGAGACCATCCGCGCCAACTCCACCGTCCGCAAGGCCGTGGCTGAGCGCGGCGTCAGCGTTCACGGTGTCATTTTCGACATCTCGACCGGCGAGCTGCGCGTGCTCGACGACGAGCACCACCACATCCCCGCCGGCCTGTGGCAGCACCGCTAAATTTTGGTTTGGAGTTCGGGAGGGAATACTTGTGCTATAGCCTAGACGGTGTTGACGGTCTTGTAAATTTGCGCCCCTGTGCCATCGACTCGGAGAGAGATAAGAGTCCGCACGTATCTATACCTATTGTTATGCTCCTAGGAATTGAAGTTTATCCCCGAGATGCCCATGTGTCAGCTGACACCTTTGTTTACTTTTAGAAGATTGAGATCTTCGGCTCTCGAGAGCTTGGCTATCGTGTTTCGAAGTTTAATATTAACCACCAGTGCTTTGTACGGCCTTGGCTCGCTGCAGATCAATGATACGCCCCGCATGATACCTGTAAAGGGGAGGTTCCTGGACAAACCCCACGCTCTGGATTGCCGCCACGATATATCGCTTAAGAGAGAGGTTCGTGCGCCTGATAAGTTTGGCTCTTCTTTTGGTTCGCTGGCAAATGAGCGCTGCCCAAAGATGGATTGCTATTTTATCAGTCTTCCGCCCTACCAACAACCCCATGCATTCCAATAACTCAATATTTAGCATCAAACCCGGCAAGCCACGCCTCAACAAATCATCAAACCAAACTTCCATTAAAGCCAAAGCATGTCCTACTTTGGGTTGGGCTCGATGCCGGTCCAGAACGCAGATCAGGGCGGTGGGGGAAGCCTATCTTATGGCGAGAGATGGCACATAGACAACACGGAATGGCATCACTGGATGCCTGGCCCTGAGTTCCCCTCGAATTCTCCTGTCCAACAACTAAGCTGTCCTGGGCCGTTCAGCGGACGTGCCCCGCGAGGACCTTCACTGAATTACTATCACTACGACCCTCAAAGCGGCATGCATCATCATACGTAGTTGTTAACTGCATATGCGATAGCCTGCGGAAGAGCAAGAGGCATCTGTTCGTGACTTCGGGGCTTCGTGTCTATCACTCTCCTTGTGAGCCAGCGTTCAGGTGCGATGCCAATGTACTGTGAAGCACGAGCGCTGATGTGCTCTGCATCTACAAACTATGACTTTCGCGGAAAGACATGTGCGAGGTGCGAGTCTCACGCCATTTCAAGACACAATAGTCACAGGTAAAGACATGTCTCTCGTCATTACACCGAACACTCCAGTTCACAGCCAAGATATAAACACCATCCTCAATTCCAGAAAGAGTCTCTGCACCTGTATTTCCCGATAGCTGAGAACGTAAGCCATGGTGAGCAACCAAACAAACAGGCCAGTCCGCCATCGCCGGATTGATGTGAATCTACCTTCGATCAACGCCGTGAACGAGGCCGCCGCGGCATCAACTACATATTTCATTCCCGGGGGAAGACGCGCAAAGAGAAAACGTTCTTCCCAATCCTCAAGCAGTAACTCTCCTCAGCCAAGTACCGGCCGCTTACGTCAACGGCCGCCCTACCAACGCTCACCACCCGCTCAACCTAACGGAGTGCATACAGCTACTTCAAGGACCTCTTCACAAGATTTAAGGGTCGGACTCGATTATGATGATAGTGACAGAACCGAGTATGACTCTGCCTGGGAGGACGACATGCCTTACGACCCGCAATCCACGTTCGACATGGTGACCGAAACCGAGAATAACATCATTCGGGCCTTCGAGGAAATCATGGCAACTATAAATGATGAATGGGAGCGGGCCAACGCTAGACTGAGGTCAATGATGGTTGCCTCTTTGTCTATGATCTCAACGGAAGCCACGACTAATCGACTAATGTTGTCTTGAGGGCTAGCTTGAATCGGCGACCACGTTACTGAGTTGCGGGTACGTGCATCGTATCAAAGAGATACTCTTTGTCTATGGCTCTCTGACAATCGAACTCACATTTTATAACTATTGGCGTGGGAGATGCGCCGTTGCACAAGGCTAATTTGTTCATTGCTACAGCACTAAATATGGGTAGTTGAAGTATTCATTTAAGGGCATCGGGACAAGAGTATCAACCATATCGACCACATTACAAGAGGAAGCAAATCGACCTCGTGGGTCCTTACTACAAGCAACTTGGTGAGTTGAGCTCTCTTGAGCACACGCCTGAGAGTCATGCAGGCCATTCCTCCAGCAAATGCAGATCGGCTCCTTCTGGATATCTATTTATTTCGACACTGATCTCTAGATGTGGAGGATCGGCAGTGAGAGGGATTTCCCCTCAACGGGTGCTCTTATAGGCTTTTCTTAGTTCCTTTACCATCCAATTTTCTTTTCCCATAATTACCACCTCAACGATCTGACGTCATTGTGAAAGTGATGGAAGAGTGAAGTGGCCAGTGCCATGCAGTTTCACATGCTCATCACCACAGAGACGGCTTAATCACTTGAGCTGGCGCCTTCTCTTTCTGGCTGCAGGTTCAGCTGACTGGTTGGCCGATCACTCGCCGGCCACAGGTATATCTTGCTTGGCTCAGGGCCCAGCACCTCTTTCTTCTACACCTTCCATCTACACCCAAGCTGACAATGTGGGACTTCACCATGCCGGACGGCCGCCGCGTTCTTGGCCAGCCTCCCTCGCCTCCTCCATTCTCCACCGGTTACCGCTCACCCGGGGTTCTGCTCGCCTCGGACATTCATGGTCCGTACGCTGCCGGCTACTACACTTACGATCGTACTGTCCAGCCTCCTCAGTACACGTACCATCCCGACTATCGCCATCTCCGTCGTCAGCCCACCACCTGCAACACGGATCTTCCTGATCGGTCCGGCAGTTTCGACAACGCTGAGAAGAGCTTTCACCGTGATGTTGGCCAGGGCAATGGAGGTTCCTCCGGCATGCGCAATGGTGATGTCGAAGTGGTGCGTAGTACTTTGGAAGACAATGACCCCGTGTCCGCTCACAATGCTTTCCAGAACAGCAAGCCGGCGAGCTTTGAGGTCGCCAACCCTGGTGATTCCGAACTGCGCTACCAGAGCAATGTCCATCCAAGCACCGACAGCTCTGTCCGCAAGGATCCTCCGAGGAAGCCCAAGTTCACCACGTTCCAGGCCACAAAGAAGAAGGTCGATCCCACCAACCGTCTGCCAAAGGACACCGACTTCAGCAAGGCCAAGCGCAAGACTTCTGACTTGGTGGGAGGCGACTATTCCGGTTGGGCTGCCACAGGTGCTCCTCGTCCAGATGCATTTGTCTTTAACGCGCTCTTGGGGGAGGTGAGAATGATGGAGAGTGAGTTGGGCGTGCCTGACAAGAAGACGGGCTTTCTGAGCGGAGTGATGACGAGCACCAAGCCCAATGAGGGACATCTGCCTGGCACCGAGAAGGTGGGCAAGGTGGGCAAGTGTCAAGGCAACCAGAGCACGCCCGGTGCTGCTTCTAACGAACGCGAGAAGTTCCGAACCACGATTCGCCCTACTGCTTCCACCAACGATGGTTCGGTGTATCTTGACCAGAACAAGTTCAACAGCAAGATGAGGGAGGATATCAGGAAGCTTGGCTACAGCAGCCCGGCAGAGCTGTGGAGCGGCTCCGGCGATGAGCCTCTGTCGAAGCGCCTGGGTCAGTTGGCGGTGCTGTCAAAGATGTTCGAGGAGTTTCTCTCTGTGTATGTCGAGGGCAGCGAGGCGCAGAGGATGGTCATGCGCGATGCTATGAAGACGATGGCTCAGAGTGCCTTCCGTGAGCGCGTGGATGGGCTCACCTTCTCTCCAGTCGAGTAAGATGTGATAAGCGGAAGGCATGATTCGGGCATTAAAAGGTAGTGATTTGCCCTTTCTGTGGATGAAAAACAAACTGACCACTGGTTGAAATTGCTTCGTTCGGTCTCCTGGTTGCTTAGATAAACGAGTTTTCAAAGAGGGCGGCGGAGATAAATGAGAGTCATTGTAGTCTAGTCTCGATATGAAGTCAGGCTGTCAGGAAGAGATCCTGCCGAGCTTTGACGTTTCTCAATCCAATTTCTGTTTCATCACCTTCTCGAGCTGACATTCGCACTAATGTAGCCCCGGATCGGTATGATACTCTTAACTCTGCCCTTCCTCTCCGGCGTCGTCAGACGCAAAACCCTGGGCGGCCAGCTTATTTTTCTCTGCCCTCTTCCTCGCTAGCCTAAGCTGCTCCTTCTTGATCGCGTTCTGCTTCATCCACCTCTGATGTTCCAGATATATTCCTGGAGGGGTGGCCACGACGGCGACACCAAAAACACACACTATTAACTGATCGAGACGGTCGAGTGCACGCCATCCGGCCTTTAGCTGCCTCGCCCTAAGCAGCACACTCGTAGCAAGACATCAGCATAGGTTTTTGCGTCGAGCCGGGGTGGACGCGACAAGCGGATGATACGCACCGATGGTTGATCAAGCGGTGTACGACTACGTTGTGGAGGAGTCTGAACATGGTATTGAACATGTGATGTGTGGACCCAAGTCTAGCAGAGGAATTTGGAGCTTGTAGTGTGTGGATGACGCGTGTGAAGGGGAGGGACATGGCTGCCGATAAGTAGATGGACGTGAAAATGCTGTGTTACGTGAGAGTTGCAGGGAAAATCGGTGCCAAGACGAAGTCGGCATGTGTGAACATCCCTACATAGTATAGTTCGTGGGAATTTTCAGGTATTGTGCGTGGAGCGACGGTATGTCATTCATCGATCGAAATTCAAGGATTCTGATTGAATGATGTCAGAAAATATATGACATTGGTACATACAAGCGCTCAACATTCGTACAGGATATCAAGAAAACAACAACCATCCTCGTCCAGCCTTTGGTAAGCTCCAGCATACCCAAAATACCAACGGGTCGAGCTTCCAAAATCGACCATGATTAAATCAATCTCCAGATTCAGCCATGGTCGTACATGATCCAAGCGCTTCCTGCGCAGCGATGGCTGACTGCAAGCTCTGCAGCAATAGCCGCCTGCTGCGCTCGTCTCCATTGGCATAGAGACCCACAATTCGAGCCAGGTAGCCATCAAGCTCGTCCATTGAGTCTTTGGACTCGTGTTGTAACGGCTCCATGAATGGATCCGATTCTTGCTCGCTGCGAATATTGATTTGGAAGCCATCAGAAAGTGGAAGCACCCCTTCCCTAAGAGTCTGGATCGTTGGAGACCCGACGTCGTCGTTTATCTTCCGGAAGTGCTTGTTGGATCCTTTCTCCGCCGCGAGTCGGTTCGGCGTGGGATCACCTGTCAAGCGTCTTGGCCTGGTGAAACGATTGATCCTGGAATGAGTTTGTGCCAAGATCATTGCTGCCTGGGGAATTGTCCCGTCGTTCTCTGCCTCGGAGCTACTTGATTCGTCGGGGCTAGAAGACGCTCTGCTGCCTGGACCAGGTGTATGGTCCTGTGGTTTCACTTCCTCCGAAGGTGTCCTTGAATAACTTTCCCAATTCTCACTGATGACCCTTGCTTTCCCTGTGATAGGTGAGGCCGGTGAGGCTGAATCGACAGCACGTCTGACAACAGTTTGTCCATCTTCGTTTCCCTTTTTCTTGACCTCCCATTCGTCTCCGTCGCTTTCAAATGGCCTCCCTTGCTCCAAAGACAGCTCGTTATCGCCAGGCTGCCAATCTTGCCGACTTGTCTCTTCATTTGTCCAACTGACACCAGCAGGATCATTGGCGATCCAGTATGACTCAGCCCTCTTCTGCACCTGTGTCTTATCCCATTCCTCCCACCGATACCCCATCGACACCTTCTCCGTCCTTCTCCTCTCCCACTCTCGCTGCGTTTCCAGCGTCCTCCTCTCAAACTCCCCAGAGCCCCCGTCAAACCCACCATCCACCTCCATCTCCCCATCAACTCCTGTACTGACGCCCTCCCACTCCAGACGCCGCCCCACCGCCCACCGCAACCCATCCCTCTCCCCCACCCTTCCTCGCCGTACCTCCCCATAAACCGCCGCCCCTTCTCTCGCTCCAATCAAACAGGATCCCTCCTCATCCCCATCAGCCTCGATCGCCAGCGTCGGACTACCCCGCTCAGAATACCGCACTCTCCGCCCCGTTGCCCCCCTCGTCTTCGGTCTCCTCCGCGTCTGACCTGATGATGGCTTGCGGTTGCATTCGTCATCGTCGCCGTCGCCGCTGTCGACATCTCCGTCTGCTCCCCGCTGCCACCCTTCCCAGAAATCCAACGCGTGGCGGCCACCCTGTCTGTCTGAAGGTGAGGGAGGAGGATAGAGAGGAGGAAAAGGGACGGGACTCGGCGTTCGCAACGTCCTGGCAACAACGGGCGAGCCGGAAGGAGAGCGACGGTCCGTCGCTGCTCGCGGCGAGAGTGAGGCGCGCGGCCGGCTTCCTGTCGTAGCGTCGTCTTCTTCGTCACGGGTGGTGGCGGCGGCGGCGGATGCGGTCATGTCGGGTGCTTGCGTGTGGGCGTTGTGATGGCTCGTGAGGTGGGGAAATGCGGTCTGGTGGAGGGCGTTGGTGCTGGGAGGGAGCAGTGGCCGTGGCGGAATGTTGGCGGAAGAGCGGGCGGCGATGGCGCGAGAAGAGGAGGAAGAAGAAGACTTGTTAATGTGGTGCTGAAGGTGGCTCGTAGGCCGTGATGACGGCGGCAGCGGGTGATAGGATTGCGAGCGGCGGACTGCGAGTAGTTGGGCAAGAAGCATGGTGTAGACGGCCGAAGAGAGCGCAGGACATGAGTTTGTGATGTGCTGTTGTTGGGACGGCAGTGGTGGTGGTTGTCTTTTGTGCTTGCACCTCAAGATCTTCTCGATATTGCTGGCTTTCTTGCTGGCTGAGAATGTCATGGAACGCAGCCGCGCGGCGGGTCGAAGTAAACAGGCATTTCATGAAAGTTGAAAGCACAGAATCACGAAGTGAAAGCCTGAGCGGAGGCCTTGGTCGTGTCGACACTTCTAGGCACGCATCGCCCAAAGCACTAGAATGCCGGCTGAACCTCATGGTGACATACACCGCAAACTTACGATTTGCTGGTCGATTTCTAGATGCTAGATAAACAATTGTGGGAGCAAACACCACCTCTCACCGATATCTCTCTCATTTGCGACGAACCGTTGATGGCCGAACGAGAGCATTCCGCCGCATAACAAGCTCATTGGCTTGTCATCTCTGCATTCTGGTAGGCTTACGCTCGTGGGTTGTTCCTGGATTCCGGTAACGAATCAGTATCCCAACCACCCGATCGCATGCTGCTTACTGCGACGTACCTTCTTTGCCACTTCTCAGCCCTACCGTCCTGCATATCTCACAATCCTGAACGCCACTTTGCGACATATGACCGACTCTTCACATGAGGGTGGCGACACCCGATCGTGGAAGCACATCACCAATCACAAGCCCAGAACGTGGAACATACTGTTTTTGGGAGGAGGCATGAATCCGCTACCGTTTTTTTCCAACTGCCTACAGCTATATATACCCAAAAGAGCCCGAAGAAGCTCCGTTACACACCCATGACGTATTTTCCTGCCTCCCGCCAGTGTCCTGAACAGCTAAAAAACAAAATCTACATAAACACAAACGCAGAGGACCAATCATAACCATTTCCCGTTCCGGTACCGTTTCCATTTGACGTTGAAGATAAATAGGAGACAAGAAAATAGATAACGCTTCGAGAAGTTCAGCCGTTCGTTGAAGATTAAACACCATACAGGATACAAGACGCCCCCATCTTGAAAAACTCCGCAGGAGACAAGGTCCGCTCAGATCGAACAGCGCCGAGTGCACACAAGCGAGTTGAGAGCGTTGTAGAGTAGTAGCGTCGTTGTGCTCTTGAAGAACTTGTTTTGGTTTCATTCATCTTTCGTGGGTCTTCGTTTGGTCCTCGTTTGCTCGCGCAGGCTATGCAATCCCAAAAAAGCAAAGAAGGATGCAAAACTGTCGAAGAGACCGGGTAAAAAGGTTGAAAAAGCTGAAACATCTGGCATCTGGCTGGCCGAGCCAGCCATTCGCCGCCGTGTAAGAGATACTCTTGAAAGGTGATAGAAATGCAGACTGCAAAACACACGCTAGTCGAGGTATCATCCCATCATCGGCATGAGCGGGCGTGAGAAAATGTAACCAGAAACGCCATTTGAGTATTCGTTAGAGATGGAATTGCAGTGGGTAAACGTGACGGAACCCGTTGTTTCGTGGGTCGTCGGGGAATCAAGCGGAATGCTTGCTTGCGCTCGTGCTCGTCATCAGACCGTCAGTCGTGAAAAGTGCCGCCGTAGCCGAAAAATTTGTTCGTCGCAAAACTAGGAAAAGCTGTACAATAAAGGCCAAGAACGCCGGTAACCGAGAAAACACAATCACTGCACCAGGATCGGAGCTAGTGATTGTGCTAACCGTCAATTCGCGCGAATAACCAGCCTCGACAGGAACTTGTTCGACAGCGAATCGAAGTCGTTCCTGTCGAACTTGGCCTCGGCACGGCTCTTCAAGTATTGCTCTGCAGAAATCGTTAGCCGTGCGTCGACGTCGTCATTTGCGTGCACCATACCGTATTTTGTAACGTGTCCTCGGACTTCAGTCATCGCGTCGCAGACAGCCTGGTTCGAGGCGAGAAGGTGGTGGTGCTTCCTGGTGTCCCACTCCATGAAGCCGGGAAGCTTCTGGGAGATGGCAGAGAAGAGGCCGACAATGACACCGACCGGCGTGCTCTCCATGTCGTTGCAGAACTTCTGGACGGCAGCGGGGTCAGGCACTCTGTAGTGGCAGTCGAACTGCATCTCCTCCCAGACAGCAAGAAGGATGGCGGCCAGCATGAAGATGGTCGGCCAGTTCTTGAGCTTCTCTCCGCTGTACACGGACGAGTAGAGCGAAGACAGCTCCTCGAGGATGTCCTTCTGCAGCTCACGCCACATGTCGGCAAGAGCGCACTTAACCTGGAAGTTGATCATGACGGGAGCGACCGTCTTGCCGAAGAATTTGCTCTCGTTAGTGTCGATCTTACCAACCTGGCTCTCCTCCTCCGACAGGCCCTCGACCATGGTCACGTGGAGCGTGAGGTTGTAGGCGACCACCAGCTTCAGAGCCTTGCGGATGACGGGCAGCTTGGACTTGAGGTAGTAGCGGTATGCCGTCTTCAGCATCTCGGTGAGGAAGAAGGTGCCCTCGAAGTAATCATCGATGAAGCGCTCAAAGCCGCCGTCGATGTGGCGGTCGATGTACTCGGAGAGAAGAGCGTGCGAGACACCCTCCATACCGGCCGAGAGCTTGGCGGTGGCGATCTCGAACTCCTTAGGCTTCTCGTTAGGAGGCTGCTCAACCCAGTCCATGCCAAAGCACTTCTCGTCGCGGACGTAGACCTCGCGAGCGGTGATGGGCAGGTAGTAGCCGTAGCCGTGGGTGATGTACAGCGGGCGCTCCATGGTCGAGAAGCCCTTGATGTTGCCAACCGAGAAACCCAAGCTCACGTGACGCTCAAAGTCCGCCTTCCAGTCCTTCATGAAGTACGCGATGTCCTTGATGTCGATACGAGTGCAAGGCACCTGCCAAAGACGGGCGTGCGAAGGCTGGCAGCCAGCGCAAGGATCGCCCTTGTCGCACGTCTTCTTGAGGAACTTGCAGCGCAGACAAGCACGCAACTTTCTGATCTCGTGAGCCTGCTGCCTCTGGTCTGGTCTCAGCGGACCGCGCCTCCTTCCAACACGCTTCTCGCCGCTAGCATCCTTCTTGGCCGAGCCGGCCGGCTTCTTGACAATGGTCTTTTGGACCTTGGCAGTAGTAGGGCCGAGGCTGGCAGTCGGGCTCTTTCTTCTCCTGGCAGCGGGGGGCGAGCTAATACCAGATGAAGTAGGTGATGAGGAAGAGGAGGCGGACTGCTTGATGAGATAGGGGGTGGCGGTAGCGGTCGGAGGGCTGACCGAGGAGAGGGAGTGGCTTGGGGAGTGGTAGTGGTCGTGATCGTGGTCGTGGTGATGAGGGAGGCCGTGCGCCATGCCGGTGCCGAAGTCGACCTCGGACTGAGGCGAGTGCATGGGGAAAGGGGGGATCTCCTCATAGCTACCGAAGGAATGCGCCGACTGCGGGACGTCTGATTGCGACGAATCCGAGTGGGTGCGGATGTGCAGGGTCTGGATGGGGTTGAAGACGGTGCCGTTGTGCGACTCGGTGGTGTAGGAATCGAACGACTGGCGACCGGGCTGCTGGAAGTCGATGGTGCTCCAGCCGTTGTCGCTGCTGGACAGCGAACGGACCTCGAGCCAGTTCTCGGTGGGCGAGCTGCCGGCGACGCTGGCGGCGACCAGTTCGTTCGAGTTCATGGGGTAGTTCAGCAACTCGTTCTGGAAGTCGTTCATCTGGAAGGGGGCCATGGTGTTCATGGGCTGCTCGACGGCGCCGCTCATGGTCATGTAGTTGTTGCCCATGTCCAGCGGCATCGTCGTGGTACTCATGCCGAGCGGGGCCTGGGTGGTGGGCATGTTGTACTCGACGGGCGACGTCTGCAGCGGCGCGCCGAAGTTGGTGAAGTTGGTGGTATCGATGGCGGCGCTGTCATGAGAGTACGAGTGGTGGTGCATCGGGTGGTGCATTTGGAACTGCCAGTCGGCGGTGGCCGTCGAGAGCATTGCCTGCGGGTCCAGCGACTGCGAGTGACTGTGGTATGCTAGACCGCTGGCCAGTGGAGCGGACGAGGTGGCGGATTGACTCGAGGCGGTGGTGGTGGCCCTCCTCGAGTGCGCGCTCTGCGGCGCATTGTGAGACATATTCGAGTGCGTTTGCTCGAGCGGCAGCGGCCAGGTGCTGTTTTGGAGATACGCGGAGTATCGGTGCTGGGCCGGATCTTGGAGGGTATTCTCGAAGGCGTAGAAGCCGTCGGAGTTGAAGTCGAGGTGATCCATCGCGATTATTGAGAGCAGACTCAGCTGAGCGGAGCAGCGAAATTGCAAAGATCACCTCTCACACCGCACTTTGGCGGCTTTGTCTGGCAGTGAGATTGGGGGACGGGCGACGCTGGTTGAAAGGAAGCCGCGCGCCGGGGCTGGCGACTTGGATAAAGAAGCGGTGAACGCACCCTGGCGGCGCGGCGGCGCTGATTGGCCGCCGATGCGAGCGAGGGTCCGGTGCGCCTTGGTCTGGTCACGCCGCGCGGGCGCTGCGACACTGACGGCTCCGCGAGTCGTGCGCAAGCTCTTTGACGTGCAGCCTGCTTGCTTTTCTGCCGGATGATGCGCAGGGCTCCCGCAACTTGAAGAAGCCTCCCCGCGCGGAGCAGCGCGGCGACGGGCGGCGGCGAGGGCGAGAGCGGCGCGAGGCAGGCAGGCAGACAGACAGGCAGGCATGCTGACGGCGACGGCACAGCGCTCAGCTTGCGGCCCGGCTCTCGCACCAGCCTCTATCGCTGCGCGCGCCGGCCGGTCAGCACCCAGCAGGGCCCTGTCTCTGCCACGCCCAGCCGTCCCCCACTTGCACCTCCACCCACTGGGCCTGTGTCTCACGCTACGAAAAACGCCGTCGACGGAACGGCTCCGGCAGCCCAGAGCAGCCTAGCGATCGCCCGCCAGCGCCGACCGGTCCTTCTGCGCCCGTCGTGAACAGCGTGCGAATGGCGCGGGGCGCGCGTGTGATTGGCGCCGTCGCGAACCGCTCCGTGGTTTTTACCCGCCTGCCGCGCTCGATCGGCTCTGCCCCTCTCGCGCCATCCAACCCAGGCGCCTGCGAACAGCCTCACCAGCTGCTTCCCTGCACCTGCAGACACCACCCCATCCTCACGATCCTTCTCGCCGGCGATCGTCAGCTCAGGCACAGGGCCGCCGCGGCGCGGCGATGGCACCGTGACACGCGCTCGCGGCCTTCAGGTATATGACGGGCAGGCGGGTGCTGGCAGCGGCGAGGCATGCGTGAAGACAGACAGCAGCGCCGCATCGTCAGCAGCACGCGAGACCGCCCTTTGTCGCCGGCGCCTCCGCGTGCGTGCCTCTGCCTTGCCTGGCCCGGTAGCGAAGCGATACCGACACCGACACAATCTGCGAGACTGGCGGCCCGCAGCTGCCGTACACGGTAGATGATTGTGTGCATTCGTATTGCCCAATGTGGTACGGCGACTCGCCCTGCGTGGTTGGCTGGACGGCGTGCCACCACCTTGCTTGCGTGCGCCGTCCGCCATGGCCGTTGAGTCGCAGCGAATCGCGCCCGCTCGCGCTGCAGCCATCCACACGCTGCTGCAGAGCAAAGCAGCCAGGCGCGTCGAATCTGCGCCCCTGCCATCGCCGCCCTCAACGCTCTCTCCACGGCTGGCCCCGTTTCGTGCAACCCGCCCGCGCTCCAGAGGTGGAGATATGATGCGCACCATCTGAGTCCCTCTCATGTCCACGAGAGCCGCGTGACTGCCCCTCCTCCAGCGCACTGGTTCTCCCGACGGCCTCCCCTTGCATTAGCTGCCCTGGGCGAGCGCGCGCGCAAGAGTCCTGCTCTCGCCACGCACAGCATACTGCAAGTCTCGTAGCTCATGGCTCGCACGAGAGCGTGAAATGAGCATGAGGTACCTCGCACGGCCACAGGAAGCAGAGCCACGCGCCTGCCGTGACGTTTAGAATTCAATAGAATCGGGCGCTTCGACTGTGTAGCCCGAGCCGTCAGCACGATTCCAGGCAGCACCCCAGCATTCCCCAATAAGCTCATTGATCCCTTATCTGGCTCTCATTCCAGCGCTCCTCGATAAGGGATAAGGGCACAAGTCCAGTACCTCGAGATACCTCACACACCGCCGAGGAGAGCGTTGAGGACGAGTACAAAGAATCCAATGTCTCAAGTTGATACATCCCTTGGCCTCCTCTCGCCATCCAGCCCCCCGGCCACCATCGCCGCAAGATTGACAGGTGTGCCGGCGCCACCAACGTGCATCACCCGGTCCCCGCCTATACAATCCCCTCCGGTTCATCCCCACACGTACAAGCTACCAGGCGATGCTTGTCTGTTCACAGAGCTCGCTGCGAACAATTAATCGTGGCGCGGGCCGTCACTCCTCAGCACGCAGTCAATTGTTTGGGGTTTGGCCGAGGATAATTGCGCAATTGGCGGCTACGTATCAATTATCAGATGATGCCAAAATAAGGACCCTTAGCGCAAATTACGGCGGCGTTCGTTGCGGTGCCATTCGCTGTGGCCAGAGTGGAGACGCAGGCCAGCTGTCAATTGTTCTAGAAGAAAATTCGTTTCATCAGTGGCCCCGCTGAGGGGTCGTCCGGAGCAGGCGGAGCAGCCCGCTTTTTTCTCGCGCGCGCTGTTGTTCGATGATGCGTCGCCTGGTCAATCATCTCGTCAACATGCAGGCGTCACGCCTCCCACCGAGCTTGGAGCCCTTTAACGTGCAGCATCCTCGAGCCGTCTGCTGCTCCAGGCCTCGACACCTTTGCCACCCCGTTGGAACGAGATGCGTTGTAGCAACGGCGCCCCGCCATGACTCCTGTCGACCCTCTCTTCCCGTGCAATCAGGGTCTTCTGGCGACGTGGGAGAGAGGGGTGATTGACTGCGCAGGAAGCACGGATGCCTGCCATGCTGTTCTCCCAGACTCCAGTCCTCACGCCCGCCGTTGCTGGGCGACGACGCGCGCGATGAATCGCTGCTCTCCCGGCCCTGTCCGCCGTCGACGGGCTCAAAGCCGAAGTTCAGCCCAACTCATCACGCGTTCGGATTTATTTTTCTGGGCGAGCATAAACAAGTACCTACGTGTTTGAGCTACGCTTAGCTACATACGACAAGTAGGAGGGCCCCACAATAGCAGCGCGTCCAATCGCCCTGCCGTACCACTCTTAACCTAAGCCCATCAGGAACAACCGTCAATCTTGACTGCGGGGCCGAGGACGTCTCGCCATGCGCGAGATCCTGTCGATGGCTGCCAGCGATGCGCCCGACGCCAACCCGCTCATCGACAAGGCCTCCCTCCAGCCGTTCCCTCCGACCCCAGCCGATGCCGCCGTGGCCGCCGCAGCTACCAGAACGCATGATCCGACGGCTCGACACGACGTCAAGGAAAGTCCGCCCGCCCTCGCCTGGCGCCTCCGGCTGCCTTCTTCGCATAGGAGAAGAGTAAGAGAAAAGAAAACAAGAGGAAAAAAATTGCCGGCCGGCCGGCCGCTAACCGGTCACTGCGACAGCACAGCACCACCAGCGCACCACCCACACGTCTCTTTTTTTTTTTTCTGCTCCTTCTTCCCCTTACCCGGTCTCCACACGGTGCGACTGGCAGAGGCGCTGATGACATGAAGGCGCGTGCCGCTTCCGTCTACGCACGTACAACGCTCGCTCGCCACTGTCTGCCTCCCCACACAGTCCTGCTGGCGTCACGGGCGTGGATGTGGTGGTTCGTGCGGTGCGGACGCGCGCGCCAGCCCGCGGCAAGGCTGGCAAAGCTCGGGGACGCGCGGGTTGGAGCATCGGGGGGCGCGAGCGCGAGTATGTGCGTGAGTGACGAGAGAGACGACGTCGTCAAACGCTCGGACTCTACTTGATTGCTGCCTTGTCAGGCGTGCCCCATGCTCGCTCAGCCTCACAAGCGGGGACAGGACCCGAAAAGCTGCGGGTGGGAACGGCGAGGATCACTGTCGAGCTGGCGCTGCAGCGGTGCTCGGGCGCCACGCTCCAACAACCGCACGCACGACACCGCGAGCAGCACCACCATCAGTGCTGCCTCCACCCGCACCACCACTGACGCAGCTGCTGTTCCACGGTCGCTGGTGTTGCCGTCGCCAGTGCGGCGCGGGGACAGCCAGACGGCACAGCAATGCCGCGCGCTGGCACCACCTTCGCCACGACGAGGGATCCATGAACGCGAGAGTCGACGAGGAAGAGGAGGAAGAAGGGCGCTGGCACACCCAGCCCCAAGCTCCGAGCAGAGCCGAGATGCCCGTGTACAGGATCATGGGCCCGTACGCGCTTCCGTACGCACCGGCGGCGGCTGCAAGACCACCACCGACCACCTCCACCACTCCACTCTCGCCACCACCACTGCTCCTGCTGCCCATCATCTGCCCATGATCACCACTACTGACGGCGGCAGCGTTTCGCGCGCGAGTCGAGGCAATGAGCGCGACGCTGATCGGACCGCTGACCACGTTGCCGACGCCGCGCCCACCCGCCAGCAAGCCGAAGGCGAAGCCCGTGTCCAGCGTCGGATTCTCGCGCTCGAGCTCGCGCAGTACGCCGCCCCACGTGCTGCTGAAGCCACCCGCGAAGAAGCCGTAGGCGAGGGCGAAGACGACCAGGAGGGCGACTGACGACGATGACGACGACGATCCGCCGGGAGTCGCGGGTAGGAGTAGTGTGTTGTTGGAGATGGCTCCGGCTTCGCTGCTGGTGCTGCTCACAGCACTAGTCATGATTTTGCCTATAGAGTAGACAGCAGGTCAGAAAAAATACCTCTACGGTTAGCTGGTGAACTGGACAGTATTGGCCCCACCACACTACTGGCTGAGCTAGCAGTAGCATCACTGCACTTCCCGCTCGCTGGCGCTACTATTGTTGGCAGCAAGCCACCGCGCTAGCAGTGCTTTGACGCGAGCCTCTGCTCGACAGAAAAAATAAACAAAAGAGGAAAAGAAAAGAGCAAAGTTAGGGGAGAAGTAGGACGACAATCTGCATGCGTACCTGTGCTGTCGATACTACTACTACTTCCACCTCCACCACGGGGCCCCGCCAACCCCCAAAACAGGAGCACCGCACCCGCCGAGGGCAGGGCCGACACGAGCAGCACGCGGCGCGTCCCCTTGGCATCGCGCACGCGGTCGCACAGGGCACCGATAAGGATGCCGCCGGGGACGGACGTGGCGTTGAGCAGCGCGAGCAGCAGCGCGCCCGTCCGCGGCGGCAGTGCCAGCTCCTGCGTCGCGTAGCTGGGCAGGTACGCCGCGGGCAGGAAGTAGCCCAGCGACTGCAGCACGTTCCCCGTCTGCAGCGCCCAGAAGCTGCGCGAGCGGAGCAGCGGGAGCGCGTCGAGGCGTCGACGGCGTTGGCGGCCTGATGCTGATGATGGCCTGCGGGCTGTGCTGGTGGCGGTGCTGCGGCTGTTGGCTGTTGTTGTCGTCGTCGTCGTCGTCGTTGAGTTGGTGCCGCTTGGCGTCGATGACGACGACGGCGAGGATTCTGCCGCCGTCGAAGGACACTGGGGGCGCAGGATGAACAGTAACGGCGCCGTGATGGCAGTCTACCAGCGTTTACCACGTGTGGTTAGCAAAATATGTTTTGGGGCGCAGCAAGTAAGCATTCAGCAAGTCTGCGGCGAGAAACGCCAGAAAAAGATCCAGAAGAGCCGTATCCCAATCGCCGGTCTTGCCTGGAAGGCTAAGTTCACCGCTCCCCAACAACTTGTTGACTTGAGAGGCTGAGAAAGAAAGGTGGCCGGTATACTAAGTGATGCGTAGTGAAACACATGACCAAAGGAAAAGTGGAAGGAAGAAAACAAAGAATCCTCTGAAGGAACTAGTCGAACATACCACAGCAACCGTCCAAGCCAGCATCGTGGCCTTGTAGCCAAATCGCTCCAGCCCACCCGAGATGGCAAAGGGTAAGCCGACGCCCGTCGCACTCTTGCCTGCCCACATGATGCCGTACGCCAACCCCTTGCGCCGCGCGAACCGCTCATCCAGGCACAGGGTTGACTGCGCGAAGAGCAGGCCCGCACCTAGACCCGCAATGACGCCTTGAAGCGCGACCAGCTGCCACACCTGACGCGCGAACGCCGACGCCAGAAAACTCCCGCTGAGCACGAGCAAACCGATGGGGCCAAACCAGTGGCGTAGGGACGGATACAACGTGAGGAGCGTGAAGGTTAGCGGCGAGGAGAGGTATAGGATGCCCTGTTTTGAGACAGGTCATACGTCAGTTTCATTTTTCCCTCGTAGGATGAAGCAAACAAAAAGAAAAGGAAGAAAGAAAGTCTTCTGCTCATGTGACTTGACACTGTACGTTTGACGACTAGAATGACATGAAAACCGCGCCCTCATAGCTGGAGTATTATTGAAATACTCATCGTGGAAAACCAGTCCTGGTTTTCATTTCTTTTTCTTTTGGACTGAGCGAAGTAGAGATATTCAAATCGTCAGATATCGCTGCGCAAGCATACAGTTGTAGCTGTGCCAATATTGGCAACACTTGACTTGTCGCCAACGAGGCCCGGAGCAGTAGAGTAGTATTCTTGAAAGATACCGAAAGCTATAGAAAAGCCTATAATCGCGGTTAGGATAAAAACTAATGCAATACGGTTCTGCTAGCATTCAGTGAGATGTACCCCAGACGGGAACTTGTATCAGCGAACAGGCGGCCAGGACTAGCCAGGCAGTCTTGCCACCATCGGTCTGTGGTAGAGCTTCTTGCTCCATTTGGAGGGTCTCCCGGCGGTTACCTAGCCGCTCTGCTGTCGTTGCTGATTCCTCAGTTGCGGTTGTCCAAGTGACTCGGCCCCGATGAGCCTCTGTATTCCGTAAGCTGGTCATGATGTCTCAGGCAAAACTATATGTAGATGAGTGAAACTGGTGAAGGTGAAGACGGTTGTGAACTCCAGATCTCCACAAAGAAGGCATAGAAGAGCATTGAAAAGGCAGGACTCTGGTGAAGATGATGTGGGGTAATCACACAAAGGTGGAGTAAAGGAATGACTGTTCTTCCTTATCCGAGGTCGGCCGCATCAAGTTGCCAAATGCAGGTTATTTGAGGATGGCAATCACATCGCAGCCAACCAGATTACAGTGGCAAATGTATGACTATTGGTCAGCCGATCATATGTCTCCAATGGAGGGGGGATATTGATCTAGGAATTTTCTTGCTTCAAAAAGCTTATTCTGCAATCAACTATGAGTGCCTCCGACAACACAAGAATCAGGACTCATTCTCAGAGGCTTGGAAGAAAATTCCGCGCATCTAGTGTGTACGGACTTAACCGTGATTCATGATTCTGATCCAGGGCGAATCCTTCGCAAAAGTTGCGAGACAGCGAAGAGCCGTGCTGTGAGATAGCGCGTGCCCTTGATACCTCGTTTAGTGAGACTGAATCGCAACAATTACGGAAATTTGCCACCGTGGCAGTAAACAGATCAAGCAGTCTTCCTCTGGTTCGATCTCTCAGGCATGCATATGTCGATCTTGGCAGCAGCTCAGAAAGGGAGCATCTCGAGAAAGCTCACCCCGAGGGCTATGTTGCGGCTGTAATCTTTGTCAGACATGAAGCCAAATTTGGATCCTCGTATGCGGAGGATGATCTCAGCGGGAGATGCAACCCGTTCCTGAGATCAGGTCACGCCGTACCCTGCAGCATCCAGACTATGCACTCTGTCTGCAGCGAGAGCGCTATCCTTGTAGCTGAGCCGATGCAGCTGTATACTGCAATCCTGCAATACGCATTCTCTTTGCTTCCGGCGATGCAGTGATACACGAGAGACGGCCCCCCATAATTTCCGATCATGCTACCAACAAATGGGTGCTGAGCTGGAACTGCGGCCCGTTCCTTGTCAGACATAATAGCATAGTGAATATGAGGATGTAGAAGTTCGAGGGAAGACCTCAGCCGCGATTTTCGGGTGAGCTGAAACCGCACGCAAGATCAGCGCGAGGGCGCTGGCGCATCCAGCGTCATGTCGGCGACGTGCATCGCGTTATCGATATCCAGCACGCATGATCGTGGAGGCAAGCCAAGATTCATGCCGTCTGTTGTGGCTTCCGCCAGGCATCCAGGCCCGCGTGCGAATCATGTAACGGCACGGAGCCGCCAGTGTCGACTGCTGCAGCGATTGCCGTCCCCTGCCAATGAATATCATACCTTCCCCAGCATCGCTTCGAGACTACTGGTATGGACGCAGGCGGCCATACGGCACGCAGATCTTGTGACAACGGCGGATGCGCGACGAACGGAACCGCGGACGCATTCATTGGACATGTACGAGGCCTCGACCGTGGGAAGAGTGCGCGATGGCGCAGGAACAGCGACAACTGGGACGGGAAACGTGCCGCAGCATGGAGTGGAGCTCGAATGTATGGACGCGGCGGTGCTAGCCTGCTACGGTTTCGAGAGAAGGTGTTTCAGGCGTCGAGGGGATTGTCGCGACGCTCGTCGGAGAGTTCGAGGTCATCTAGTGCTTTGATGAGAGGGTTAGCAAAGAAGCCGCCGGCGAGGAATCCTTTGTTACCTGGAGCGAAGGGCGGAGAGGCCTGGAGGCGCAAGAAGGGAAGCGACGTCCAGAGCTTGAGCGGCGCAGCTCCGCGCACGCGGCCGCCGATGCCCCGCGGTGAGATCATTGCTCCACGACCGCGTGCGAAAATACACATTCAAGTCCAACTCGCCGGTCAACCTCGAACGCGCTGCCGCCTGAGGGTCGTCCCTACACCCGGTTTGCGTGCTGCTCGTTTGCCGAAAGCGATTCGCGGGGCGCTGACAATGAGCTCGTGACAAACCAGAGCTCGCCAACGCTGCCCCGGAACCCCTCGTTGTATGCTTTCAGAAAGAGGCTCCAAAGACAACCCTTGGACCCTCTTTGTCTTGCAATCCATGCGGAAGCGCAGAGTGATCTTCAAAACCTCCGCCATGTCGCAGTCTCAGCAACAGTCCGCGCGCCAGCACGCACAAGCTCCTGACCCCACCCAACCATCGCCGTCCGACCGTCTGGAGGAGCTGCTGTCCGACTCGTCTTCGCGTTTGCAGGAAATCACCGACGACGACGAGTTTGAAGACATGGAGGAGGATTCTCCCAAGGGCGAGGTTGTGCCGGACCTCGTTGACCTCTCCGTAGAGCCAAAAGTCCCCGCTTTGTACTCTGCCTTGCCGCCGTTGGTCGACGGGCTGAAGACGAAATCCTCAGAAGACCAACGGGAAACCGTGGAGAAGATCTTGCCTTACCATACCGGGAACCCCTACAGCCGCAAGCTCAACTCGCACGGCATCCCGCATTTGCTCCGTCAAGAGCATCTCGACTATGCTATTGATGGATTGTCTGATTATCCGGCACCTTTTGTCGCGATGGATGCCAGTCGTCCGTGGATCCCGTACTGGAGTCTCTTCGCAATTGCCATTTTGGGAGGAGATACATCCGAGTTTCGTGAAGGGTGAGTTTGTTCCGGCATCTGAGAATTAGATCCCTGTTTGTGTTTCGCACAGTTACTTTCTGGAAGTAGTCTACATTTGCGCTGTTATACGCTGCGATCAAGACTTACCACTCCTGTCTTTTGGTTTTGACATGACAGCGTCAAACTCTGCCACATCCATTGTGGCCTGCCTACGTTGAGAGCTCTAACTATGTGTCACAGTGCTGTTCAGATGTACCGGCCACTGCAGAGCGCAACTGGTGGCTTCGGCGGAGGCCATGGCCAATCGCCCCATGTCATAGGATCATATGCCAGTGTCCTCGCTCTCGTCATTGTGGGCGGAGAGGAGGCTTACGACCTGATAGATCGCAAGGCCATGTCCGTGCCCCTGAATCTGTCATGTAGAACCTGGCTGAACTGAACCTATCCCACAGGTGGCACTTCCTTGGACGCATGAAACAAAATGACGGTGGCTTTACCGTCGCCGATGGGGGCGAGGAAGATGTGCGGTGAGCAAACAAACCGATGCTTCAGAACCCCGTCCCTTAACAGAGCGTATATGCTGACTTGTCCGACCCTTAAGCGGCGCGTACTGCGCTATGGTCATCATATCCCTGCTCAAGCTCCCGCTCGACCTGCCTCAGGACGCACCTGCCCGTGCTGCCGGCCTCATGTCCTTCACTGACCGGTTGCCTGAGTGGATATCAAGTTGTGAGTTCTGTTCTGGCCTTTACTTTCATTGTTCTCCGTGCAAATCACCGTATACCCACAAAAGGACAGCCCTGACGATCTCCCACAGGCCAAACCTTTGAAGGCGGCATTGGCGGTGCCCCAACCAATGAGGCCCATGGCGCCTACGCTTTCTGCGCACTGGCTTGCCTCTGCATACTGGGTGCGCCATTTGACATGCTCAACCGACACCTTGACCTGCCAGCGTTGATTCATTGGCTATCGTCGCGGCAGCAGGCGCCCGAGGGTGGCTTCGCCGGGCGCGCCAACAAGCTGGTCGATGGTTGCTACAACCACTGGGTCGGCGGATGTTGGGCGCTGGTGGAGGCGGCGCTACAAGTTCCAGGAACGACGGACAGGAGCGTCACCAAAGGCCTATGGAGCAGAGAAGGCATGGTGCGTTACATCCTATGCGCGTGCCAGGGAAAGAATGGTGGCTTGAGGGACAAACCTGGAAAGTGAGTGTTCCTTTTTCTTGCTTCCATTTTGCCGCCCACTTTCCAATCTCATCGTGGCATCGCTACGGGCGATGTTCCGACGGCTTCGAGGAACTTGAGTCAATTCAGTTACCCCTGGGCGTGAGGAGCGTTGCACTATCAGCTTGTTGGCAACCAGAAGCAACCCCTCAGGTGGACTACCTCCAAAGCCCAGCAAACCCCCAACGTGCAAATCTATCTCGTGAAGATAACGTGAGCTAATTTGCTCCCCTTTTCCCTTCGTCTTCAAAACAGGCCTGTCGATGGTTACCACAGTTGCTACAACCTCTCCGGCCTCAGCGCTGGTCAGTACCGCTACACATACGTCCCCCCTGAGACGGCCAACGCCTCCTCTAGCAACGGCGGAAGCAGCTTTTCGCCACCGCTCAATGCTGGCTTCTACTGGGCGGCTGAGGACGCGCCGGAGGACAGTGACCGTGTCTGGGACGAGGAGGACCGTGTTGGCAAGATCAACCCCGTGTACGTGCTCCCGGAAGGCGTAGCCGAGACGGCGAGAAGGTACTTTGAGGAGAAGGTTGGGTTCTGAGAGGTCTCGCCCTTCTGGGAAAGAGGTTAGAGCACGTGAACGAAAGGCGGCGCAAGGAGAGGGAGGAGGTTGACGCCAAGGATCCATGTACGGTTTCGAATGGATTGTGGCTTGTTTGAAAGTTTGGTCAGTGGCCTATGGGGAATGAAAGCGGTTGGCTAGGTTTTCCCTGTGAGGTTAAGTTCTTAGTGTGGGGGCAAAGTCGAGGTGGTGGTAGCAGAGTGAGGGGAAGGTAGTTTGAGAAGCGGTTCGTGTGCTGTGCGACTGGGCGGGAAAAGCATGCACGCGCGGGAATATGCACGAAGTAGCAGATAGGCGAGAAAAAATAGAGGTCGATCATCTGAGCTTGCTAGGAAAAAGAAAAGAGGGGAGCGAAGTGCCGCAGATCGACATGTCATTGTGTTTCGGCGGCGAGCCGCAACTTCACACTACGTAGATTCATCCGGACCAAGCACTTGCCTTCCCACTGTTTCCCACCTCTTTTTAGTTTTCTTTTTCTTCTGTCCTCTCAGTCTGATCCGAGCCCGTCCCACAAACAAGAGCCGTGTACCCGGTTCTCGCGTGCAGTCCGTCGGAACCCGATTCCCCACCATGCTCGCCCGCTGACCCAGCGCCCCGGCTGACTGCCGGCATCCCTTCCTTAGTTGGCCTCGTGGTACACGGTCATGACGCCCTGGATCCGGGGCTTCAGGAATGCCTTGATGGCCTTGTGGGCCTCGCAGTCGTCGTCGTAGAACTTCATGTCCTCGAGAGAGGCGAAGACGGTGTTGGCGGCGACGGTGAAGTCCTGGTTGCGGCCGGCCGGGTCCGGGATCACGGCATGGGCCTTGGCCGAGATGATGTAGGGTTTGGAGTCCTGCACGGCCGCCCGAACGAGACGCTGGTGAGCTGCCAAACGGTTTTCACGCAAGCGGGTGGAGATTGGAGGGGGGGTGGAAGGGCAAAGGGCGGACGGAATATGCTTTGGCGGGAAATGCAGGTGACGTGGGAGCTGGACATAGAGCTCGCGGCGCATGGCCGGGGCTGAAGCGGCCGTCCTCCCGGCGTGCTGGGAGAGACATGGCCCGAGAGGGCGGGTTAGGTCATACCTTCTTTGCGTCGGTGGAGAGGGTGGTGTATTTCTCCAGGATGGCGGAAACGTCGTCGGGGTTCGGGACCTTGAACAGGGTGATGCGATTGATGGGCTTCGCCATGGTGGTGTAACGCTGGTGGAGGAGGAGCGGGAAGCGGGAGCTGCGGAGCTGGTGACACAACGGCTTCTGAAGCTGGACGGAGCACAGCAGGAGTGACGCGGACGGCGGGCTGGCCGCTGCTGCTGGGAGCAGCGAGCCTTTCAATCCATTGCTGAGAAGGTTCATAGGCCTCGGATGGCGGGGCGTCTCACAGAGCGGAACCCCGCCGCAGTTCTCGGAGTTTGGTCAGCCCTGCTGCCGATCTGGCACAATTGGCGGGGACGTCATCGGCGCTGACAGAGGCTGTCGCTATCCGCGCGGCCGCGAAAAGCTGCTACATATCTCAGCTCCGGCCCCTCACCGCCCTTCGCGCGGCACGACATCCAGGTACCGGGCCGGGAGCCATTGGCGGTCGCGCTGCATTGCGAAGCGCCGGGCAGGGACCCCGCGTTCGCTGCGCGCGATCATGATTACCCGGCGATCCAGGCCGCGCGCTCAACGCCATGGCAATGCAGCGACGAGGCACGGCAGCTGCGGCCGGGCAGCGCCGAGCGCCACTGCGACGTCGCGGTGGCCGGGCGGGCCTCGCACAGCAACGCGGCTGGTCGCACACAAGCTCGCGCTCGCTCGGCGGCCACGGGCTCGCGGACGGCGTGGGCTGGCTGGCTGGTGCCGAATTCCAACGGCTCGACTCATGCCGGGCCGCTGACCCTTCGCCCGTTGCGGACGCGGGCGCATATAGTTCCACCTCGTCGCCCTCAAGCGCTGCCAACTCACTGTGCATGAAGCACGGCCGGCGGGCGACAAGGCTCTCCCAGCGGTACCACCAACCCGACGCCTGCTTGTCAAACCAACATCCCTGTGCGACTCGAGGGCCTTGACAAGCCACAAACACCTGCTTGCCATCAACGGCGCGCTCGCTTCTTCAGTGCAGCGGCCAGCTCTTGTGCACTGCATTAGTGAGCTCGACGATCGCAGTCCTCACGTACCTCGCGAATCACGCTACGCATGCAGCCCGGTGGCGACACCCCAGCCCGAGGCCTCTATCAAAACAGCCTACCACTGCCCGCTCTACTGGCGAAAACGCGCGCCAACACATCAAATATGGGTCGCGAATGCCCACAGAGCCTCAGCGAGCCCTGCAGGCCAATGCCCGAGGCGCTGCATATCCTCGCATGCCCGCTGCATCCCGCCTCCTGCAATAAAGCTCTCTGTGTCCCGCCTCTCGTTGGAAGAGTAGTCCCGTCCCCCCATTGCCCCTCGCCCTTGCCGCCCTCTCCATCACGAGCCCGTTGACCCTTCCAATCGCTGCTGTACCACGAGCCGACGAGAGCAAGCCACACCTCTGCTGCCATTGACGAGTCGGGACAAAGCTGCCAGCCATTGGCCTTCTGGAACCATGTTCTACATAATGTACCTGACCGGTAAGCTTAAATTGTTTTCTTTTGCCCTTCACCGCAAATCCTGACTGCCCACTCCCAGGCCTCTGCCAGCGCCGCCACTGGCCCGACCCGCTCTACGAGTGCTATCGCACCCGCCATGGCTATACCTGCACCGTCCGCGTCAACAACCGCGAGTACACAACCGACGCCGAGTACGAGTCGGACGAGCTCGCCCGCAACGCCGCCGCCACCCGCGCCTACATGATCTGCCGCAACTTCTCCGTCAACGACGGCATGTATCCCGGCCAGCGCCAGGGCCAGGGTGGCGTCATCCAGGGCCTTCCCGTGGCCATTGGCACCGGCCGCCGCAGCACCTACTCGTCGTCGTCCAACGACTACGACAGCGGCAGCGGCGGCAGCTCGCCCCGCAGCAGCGACTACGGCCTCGAGACCGAGAGCAGGCGGAGCAGCAAGAGCTCCTCCGGCAGCTGTTACTGCGGCCGCGGCACCTACGACCGGTGCTCGACGTGCTGGCGCTAGATGTCGATCCCCGGAAAAAGTAACCACCAAAAAAGAAAGGAGGAGATCCGCGAGGATTTCTTCAGACCTGTGCAATTCTCCGAGAAGAGCAACCTAACGACTTTATTCACGACCCGACCGACGGCTGTCCAAGACTTATTTTCTTCACGCCCTCTTGATGACCTTCTCACGACTGCATTCACGATTTTCATTCCCTGCCTCGTACTTGGGATTTACTGCCTGGCGCAACGAGTTTATCTTGATTTCCATCTCCAATTTTTGTCTCTTCGGGAAAAGCAGAGCCGCCTAAGGATTGGCTAGCAAGCGGCAAGCACTCCATGATACCAACACGACCGACGAGCCTTGGGCGGTTTGTAAATTGTTGTTCCATTTTCTGTTCCTTTCTCGCTTCTTCAAGCGACGAGGAATCCGCATCAAAGCATCACTGATTGAAATGGGAAATGGGAACATCGGCGGCCATATTGTTTTTCTCTTTTCCCTTTGTCTGTTTTCCTTTCTTGACAAAATCTCACGACATGATGATCATGAAGGACATGAGTCTCGTCGTTTGAGCGATCAAGTTCCCAGGCCCTTGTTTTTCGATTGTTTCTCCACCTGTCCCAATTGGCTGGAAATTTTCGTTTGTTTTTGGATCCGTAGTGGTCGGAAGGGGCTTGGGTCAGCAAAAATAGGCGTGCCCCAACGCTTCTTGTCCGCCATTCGAGAGTTATCTAGACGAGAAGACTGCTCAAGATCAAAAATCGATCTAGCCTTTCTCATCTAGGCTCTTTCAAAAAACCAATAGATTGAGGATTCACACCCACAATACCTACTTCCTACCTTGACTCATTCGTCGCGACTATTGAATTCCGGCCCTTGGATTACGGTCCAGGTAGAACGGCTTCCCTCACACTTACCAGGTTCATCCATGCAGCCTTTTCTGTACATATCTGAAGGTGCACGGACTGAGACGTGTCCAATAGATGTACCATTCGTTGTTGAGTAGGGTCATCTTGTTGGTCTGGGTTGGCGCGTTCTTAGAAGTGCGGTACGGCCCGCAACCTTACTTTACTCGCCACACACTATACCGATGGACGGCACGCAGACGCTAGTTACCTGGTGGCGCATGTTTAGTCCCATGGCTTGCAGGGTTGTTGCTTCAACCAGTGCAAGACCGTTGTGGGCGTGGTTTTGAGGTCTCAGGTTTTTCTGCAGAAGTGTTGGGTAGTGAATGCGAAGTGGGTGCAGTCCACCTCCTGCGTGATCATGAGCAATATGACGTAGAAACAACTCAAGTAGCACGAGTTCGAAGCGCTGTAGGCAGGAGATTTTGTGAATAAGAAAAATCCTTCCTTGGGACCCTTGCTTCTTGTGGAGTACAAGCTCAGCCCGCATTTTCCTGAACAGAGTTTCACATATTGTCGAGCTAAGCTTAGGACGTATAACATATATAGCTAACACGTAAGGAGTGCTTCATATATACTGTTGAGCATAGTATTGCAAGTTTATGTTAAGGCTGTTAAGGCCCTTGTTGAGGCGTTGAAGATACGCATAAGTTGAGCTTCTCTCCTCTTCCTTCTATCGTCCTCTCGGCGATCTCTGACCTCTTAGATGAAAGACCATTTACCCTTTTAGGGGGGGATTCCATCCATCGGATCGGCTTACATTTTTCTGGTCACCCCCCCTCCCCCATTATCTAAGTACGACTACAGCGGAGCCTGCCCATCAACAATGCCACCCGCAATATTAGCCAAGACCGGCTGGCCCTTCTGGGATAGCCTCAACCCCTTCAAGTGGGCCGACGCTTCCAAGAAGGAAGACGCGCCAGTCGCCCTCAGGGACCTTAAGCATCACCTTATAATGGACGGGCCCGACGCCGAGCCTTACGTCGCCACGACTATTCTCCCGCGCGCCCAGCCGGCACCGGAGTCGGAGCCTCAGTCTACCGAGGACGTCGCGGCCTTCTTCACCACAGGGCCCAACGCTGGCATGCCGGAGGCTTCGGGACAAAATGGAGACGAGGCTGATGTTAACTTGCTGCCGGCTCTACTGCGCCGGCAGGAGGGTTCTCCTTACAGTTTTTCCAGTGTTCAACTACCTCGGGCAGCGGAAGAGGAGCCGAAAAAGGAGGGTGGATTCAGGAGTCGGCTACAGGAAGAAGCTAAGCGTCGCTCAGTCGAAGAGAAAGGTCACGGCGATGAAGCCGCACTCGAAAGCTGGGTATATGGAGAAGAGCCGCGGGATGAAGGCGAGTGGGATGGGCGCGTCATGAAGGAAGCGTCCGTCATCAGGAATCAAGGTCCACCCGGAAGTGGCACGAATGAGACCGGAGTGATTCATCAAGACAAACAGTCAAATGATACTTCTCCGGGCGGCTATGATCTTCGACTTCCGGATTACGTGGGCGGCCATTGCGGACCTTTAGGAGTTTGGCGTGATGCGTGCCCCGAAGAGTACTTCCATGCGCTGGATGCGTATGGTAGTGGATCGGGGATAGTTATTGCCATTGTATCTCTTGGTGTCGCCTCGTCATTGGGTCTACTCGCGGTGTTGGGCACAGCGGTGGTTTGCGGGTGCAGAAAGAGAAGGAAAAAGAAGAAGGCGAAAACAGAGGCGGAAAGGACAGATGTAGAAGCAGTATGGCCTGGATCGAAGACCACAGGCAAGGCTGGATGACCTGTCCCGAAAGGAACAGGCGAACGTCCCTCTCTTGATCGGAGTTTCTTTTGTCGAGATGCTACACTCACTCCAACCCAGATTTCCTTTGTCAGCCAACCCTCCTTTGACATTTCCTTTGTAGGGGTCGAAATATTTGTACATAGGTAGTAAATAATAATGGATGGCGACCGTGCCTACACAGCGGAGATTGTGCTCTGAGATGGCCGCACAGCCTTCGGGTGCCATGGTGAGGGCTAACATGAGTTAGCAGCGAGGCGCGAGATTGTGATTCGTAAGCAGGATGGAAGAGTCGCGGAGTTGCGGCGTCGGGGGTTTGATAAGATGGCCGGAGATGGCCCGCTCGCGTGGCAACGATGACGGCCTGCAGCTCTGGAAGCCTACCGAACCTCCGTCAACCTCTCAATCACCCTCCTCGCTCAAGGTTGCCCCGTCCAAGCTGCAGCTTTCCCTCCAGAGCATGCCGTAATCCCGCCGCTCGCCGACTCTCCCAGCGGCCGCCCGCCGATAATAATACCGCCTTGTCTCCGCGCCCCGCGCAAGCTCCTGCTCCCAAGCTGCAATCGCGCCATCGTAGCCCGCCATGTTCCAAACCTTCACCGGCTCTTCGCGCCGCCCTCGTCAGGTCAACCTCTCCGGCCGTGTCTCCAACCCCTTCGCCCAGCTCGGTGCTGGCCAAGGCTCGCAATCCGCCGTCCAAAGCGCCCAGCAGGAGCGAGCCCAGCGTCAGCGCGAGCGTGACCGCCTCCACGCCGCCAGGATTATCCAGAAGACGTGGCGCGGCCATGCCTGCCGCCGAGCCTTGTACCACCAGATACGGCGGGATTGGGATGACTTGGAGAGCCAATGTAAGTATCTCGCCGCGAGCGTGCCTGCCAGGCTGACACCACCCCCCCACGCAGCCCAAGCCGACGCACCCTACCCCACCGAGGCCGATGCCTTCCTCCAGATCCAACGCCTTCTCCTCTTCGTGAACCTGCGCAATGAGGAAGACCACCGGAGACTCACCCGCTACTGCAACCGCGCCATGAAGTCGGAATTCACAGGGGGGCCTTGGCCCATGGCCTATTTGCGATTGGAGCAGGCAGTGCTGGGCACACTGACCCGCCAGGTGAATGCTATATCTGAGAGGATGAAGAAGACGGATAAGGCTGGAAAGGATGCCAAGAACACGGCTTCGTCAGTGCTTGAGGCTCCAGCTGTTTTGCCGTCGCTTGAAGCTTTGTGTTATTTGAACGAGTTGATACCCAAAGAGGCTGCTGTACTTTCCAACCTCTATTATCAAGCTATGGCTAGCGTCACGGCAGCGGCTTTTTCCACCGACTCCCCGCCAGGTATGTTAAAATTTAACCCTTTGATGAATGAGTGCTGACCTGTTTTGTTAGCGGGAGCTTCCGACCCGGAAGTGCAAAAGCAGGCCTTGTTCCGGGCAATCGTCGGTCCTCTCACGAAATTCCATGCCAATACTGAACTAGCATATGAAGCCTTCGCTGGCCACTATCTCCACATCGAGGCGTTGAGTTCTGGCGATGCCTACACCTGCGCCGCAACAACTGGACAGGAATGGTTGGATCAGCTGGCAGCCAGCCTGAATGTAAAGCTTCTTGCGCACTCTGTTGCCGAACTTGTGCGGACCTCAAGGATCGATAAATATGAGTTGAGCGTCGAGAGCCGCGTGCGCTTACTGGGCTGCTTCATCTACTGCCATAGGCACGCTCATAACTTCAGCAGCGCCCATGAGTACTCTTCTCAGAAAGACTTCGTCTCCGTAGTCTCGAACCTCCTCTCCTCTGTTGCTGACGATGTCACGCTTGATACTGCCAGCATTGGCGATGGCGACGATGAGAGCAGCTGGAAGAAACAACCCTACAAGCGCATAACTCTGGCACCCTTCCTGCAAGAGCAGATTACGTCACTTGTCGACGAGAGCAGCATTCGTGGTCTACTGGCGGATAGGTCGAGCGATTCGCTGGATGACGAGGCGAGAGAGCTCGCCAGCTACGCGCTGACTCTCATTCGCTTCTTCCCTCGTAGAGGCGATGAAATCCGCATGTGGCTTTATCTTGGCTCTAGCGACATTCGAAGCACTCCAGCCATCAAGTACTTCTGGCAGGCTGTCCGCGCCACCAGCGTAGTACAGAAAATCTCCAGAGACTCGAGAGCTGCGATTGAGTTATTGAAAGATAAGAAGAGCGCTCCTGCCGCTGACCGTTGGCAGGCGCCATCAATCTTGGACGACACTAACTCAGTGATCACTAAGGAGTGGCAAGTTATTCTGATTTTCTTAGAACTCTACATATTCGTCCTGAAAGTTATGGATGATGAGGAGTTCTTCTCGGGAGGCAACGTCATGGACATTGATAGTGGGTCAAGGTCATCGAGGACTCGGGAGAATGCTCTTCCTTTGAGTGATGTAAGAGACCTCACCGTTTTCCTCAAAAACCTAGGCTTCACCATGTACTTCAACGCGTCGGAGATTCTGGGAGATGACCAACGGGATACGTCATCCACCGGTGGGATTCGGGATTTCTTCAGACTATCATCAGCTCCAAACGAGGCCACGGAAACTACTCAGCAGGAGCGAAAGCCTGAACAACACGCGATAGGCGGTATTACGGGAATGAGCCTTGACTATGTTAAAGGACTTGTAACTGGACTGCTGCGGATGGTGTACGAGAGGGATTCGCGTCGCAAGTTTTTACCTAAGGATCACTGGCTGATGACGTCTCGTTTCGACATGGGTGGCTTTATTTCTGCCGTGGTCGAAGAAGAGGAGAACCGGAACAGACTTCAAGAGGAAGACGACGAAGATGCAGGTCAAGAGATGGATCAGGACATTGACGGTCTCGACATGAGCAGCGAGCGGCATCTGATCGGTACTCGACGGACTCAGCAGGCTCGGCACCTCGACAGGTTGCAGATGCAGCAAAGGAGAGCTAGCCGGAAGAGGTACCTGCAACTCGTGGCGCCGCGCCTGGAAATACTGCAAAACATGCCCTTTTTCATACCCTTCACAACCCGGGTACAGATATTCAGGGAGTTTGTACGTCTGGACCAGATCAAAAGGAGGCATGGCCGGATCGATCCCGACCAGTGGCGCATGGCTATGATTCACGAACTTCATTCGCGCGATCACATCGACAGGCATCACGCCAAAATCAGACGCCAGCACGAGTTTGACGATGCGTTTGAGCAGTTCTACGGACTTGGCGAGCAGCTAAAGGAACCGATTCAAATTACCTTCGTGGACCAGTTCGATACGGTTGAAGCTGGCATTGATGGAGGTGGCGTTACGAAAGAATTCCTAACCAGCGTGACTAGCCAGGCGTTTGCACCGACACCAACCGGCATCAACATGTTCGTGGAAAATGAGGCGCATCTACTTTATCCCAACCCGTCGGCAGTGGAGCACCAGAAGGAGATACTGCGTGAAGTAGGAGTGAAGGAGGGATCAAGTCTTTGGACCGAGCAACTACGGAACCTCCTCGATCGGTACGAGTTCCTTGGACGCATCGTTGGCAAATGCCTTTACGAAGGGATTCTTGTGGATATCAACTTTGCTCCGTTCTTCCTGCTCAAATGGGCTCTAACTGGTGGTTTGAACTCTGCTACCAAAGAGTCGGGTTACCGCGCGAATCTCAATGACCTCCGCGACCTCGACGAGGATCTCTACCAGGGACTCCTCAAACTGAAGAACTATCCTGGCAACGTCGAAGAAGACTTGTCCCTCTACTTCACCATTACTGACGTCATCCGCACCGACCCTATAACGGGCAAGCAGACGACCGTCACCAAAGAACTTTTGAAGGATGGCGCCAACACCCCAGTCACGGACCGGAACCGGCTTGTCTATATATCTCTCGTCGCGCGCCATCGTCTCCAAGTGCAGCCAGCCATGCAGACCGGAGCCTTCCTCCGTGGCCTCTCAGCAATGATCTCGCCGTCTTGGCTCAGCATGTTCAACCAGTCGGAGCTCCAGACGCTCATCGGCGGCACTTCGAGCAGCATCGACGTGGCCGACTTGCGGCGCAACACGCAGTACGGCGGTCTCTACGTCATCGGCGACGACGGCCTGGAGCACCCGAGCGTCCAGCTCTTCTGGCGCGTCATGGAGAGCTTGTCCGACGAGAACAGGCGCGCCGTGCTCAAGTTCGTGACGAGCACGCCGCGCGCGCCGCTGCTCGGCTTTGGCAGCCTGAACCCCAGGTTCAGCATCAGGGATGCCGGTAACGACATGACCAGGCTGCCCAGCACGAGCACGTGCGTGAATTTGCTGAAGCTGCCGTTGTACAAGGATGAAAATACGTTGAGGGAGAAGTTGCTGTACGCAGTAAACTCCGGGGCCGGGTTCGATTTGTCGTAATTTGGCATGGGGGCATGATGGTTTTCTCAGCGGGTCTAAGATGGACCCCCTTTCATTTTCATATTCGTGTCGAATGAGACAGTTCTAGGTGAGCTTTATAGCATAAGCTCTCTCACTTTGGGGTACTTGTGGGGAGGAATTTTCATCATCGGTGGGTGAGGGGGTTTAATTATTTCAGCGTGCGTCGAAATAGACCATAGGCTTTTCAGAGATTTGCATAAACTTGCGCAGAGCAAAAAAAAAAATGCAATGTCTACATTATTCCCGCTTTTGAATACCGGGACGACGTCAATGTGGGAGAGTTGCTGACGGAAGTTCCTGAGCTTGTCTGGCCTGGATGACTCACCCGGCCATTCATAGCGGTTGCATCAACCTTTGGCAGCGCCGTTGGCGCTGAAGCCCCTACGGACCCAAAACCGTTTGTCCCATTAGATGCGGGAACGAGTGCGGGCGTCAACGGCGCGGCGAAGCCATGTCTGCAAGGCATGGTGGGCCAATCAGGGAAGGTGCATTTGTAGCACTTGCAGTTGTCGCGTGCTTATCTGCTTACCGGTTTAGGCTACTCGATGCGGGGAGTGAGGGCAGAGTGGGGTAACGACCTCGATCCTTTCGCCAGTCCGTCCGCTTTGGTACCAGGCCAGATTGTAGACTGAGGGAAGAGACTTGTGATCCTGCTGCGTGTTATGACTCCTTATTGCCCTTCGGCTGTACGACCTTTTGGAGGATCTTAGGTCCGCAAGCGGTGTGTGTTGCTGGTATAAAGTTGAGGTCGACACCGTGGAAAGAGGTCACAGAAGACACGGCTTTCGAGACTCATCTGTTTGGGAGACGTGGTTTGCTTGTTCCGGAAATCCCTTGGTGTATATCGGAGAATCAGAAACCGCTGCTCAAGATGGGAGAAGCATACGCCCAAGAGTCGTATTCCAAGTTCAATCGGCACAAGGAGAGAGGTACGTTCATGCTTGGTTCCAAATATTGTCTACAGTACCTTCTGATTCCTTCCATATTACTCACACCTCTTTCCCATCCTTTTATGCGAGCCTCAGCCAAACTGACCAAACTTTGCTTGCTCCTCTAGGAACCTACGATGCCGAAACAATCCACAACATCATCAATACAACCAGCGTCCTGCACGTCTCCTTCACGGACCCCGCCTCACCGTTTCCCGTCGTGCTGCCCATGATCGGCCAGGTCGGCCAGTACGCTGAGGACACCGAGCCGCACCTCTACCTACATGGCTACGTGTCGAGTCGGATCATGAAGGTGACGTCGTCGTCGTCGAACAACGACAACAGCGAGGATGAACCCCAAGGGCTCCCCATGACCGTCGCCGCGACCAAAGTCGACGGCTTCGTCCTCGCCCTGTCGCCCTTCAGCCACAGCTACAACTACCGCTCCGCCCTCGTCTTCGGCCACGCCACGCTGCTGCCGTCGTCGGATGACCCGGAGACGCTCTGGGCCATGGAGCTCATCACGGATTCGGTCGTGCCTGAGAGGTGAGTGATTTGATATTTCCCCCGCTTCACTCCTTTCCCCCCCGCGTCCCCTCCTCCCATCAAAACAACAGGCGTACAACACACACACTCACGCAAAAGGGAACAAAACCAGATGGCAACACACCCGCGTGCCCCCCACCCCATCCGAGCTCACGTCGACGCGCATCATCAAACTCCGCATCGCGTCGGCGACGGCAAAGGTGCGCGTCGGGCCCGCCAGCTCCGAGCGGCGCGACCTCAAGGACCCGGACGTCGCGGGAAAGATCTGGCAGGGCGTGGTGCCCGTGTGGGAGCATTTCGGGGAGCCGGTGACGACGATCGAGGCGAAGGCGGCGGGCGGAGGGGTGGCGGTGGTGCCCGAGCATGTGCGTCGGTTCGTCGAGGCGGAGAATGCGAATGCGGAGGAGTATGCGGTGGGGGCGGCGACGGCGACGGAGAAGCAGGGAAAAGAGGAGGAGGGGGAGGAGGAGGATTGAGTGCGTAGTAGATGCGATGGGGAGGGGCCGGAGAGTGCGAGGACGTTGTATGAGACATGGACTTCAGTGGGCCGTTCTGGCCCTTCTTCTCCTTTGCTTTTGGAGCGTAGGCGGAGTCGCAAACGACGGTTATTATCCCCTGGCAGAACGAGGCGGGGAAGACGAGGAGGAGGAGTGTCTGTAATGCAAAAAAGTGAGAGACGAAAAAAGGGCAAAACTGAACCCCGCTACATGCGGGTTAAGCTCAGAAAGACTCTTTGGGACCGTCTTTTTTGTCTTCCCTAGCCCGTTTTCGAACCTTCGACCTCTTTATATTACCCACAGAGGACGGGTGGAAACTTGGACTGCCCTACATAAACCTTCAGGCTCTCATTTAACCAAGCACCACCTCTTCGAGCGTGACTAGCATGCCGGAATGGCTGACTGAGCGGCTTATATATCGACACTCCTCATACCTGCGGGACATATTAGCTAGTCCCGAGACAAGCGTAACGATTGCAGGGAAGCGAGTTCATGGCCGTGGGGGAGTTGTTGGTGGAGGATGTGGAAAATGTCGCTGTTCTGGCTTCCCTTTACCTCCCTTTATCTTTTTTTTTATTAAGCGTTGCAGCCGACTCTTTCTCTTTTCGGTTTCATCAAGATAAATGTACATATGAACCAAATTTTCAGTCTCTGAAAGTCAATAGTCCTTTTTATTTTTTTTTCTTAACTTGTAATCCAACGTTATTAAGTCATTTCCATCTCCATAGAACAGAAACTGGCCAACCTAAAGAACCACGATACTTCCTTCCCATCGACCAAAATCAGGAGGCAACCCTATCCATGATGACGGCGCCAGGGTCCTTGGTCGTGTTGTCGCCCCAATCGGCGCGCCAGCCGTTCTCCTCGAGGTAGCGACGCCAGGCGTCGTCCTCGTCCTCGAGGCGGGTGCTGACGTCCGGGATGACGAACCAGGCGATGAGGGCGCCGAGCACGGCGAAGGCGGCACCGATCAGGAAGGTGGCCTGGTCGGCTTTGCTCTCGTCGGCCCACGACTTGAGGATGGCGCTGAAGACCTGGGTGCCGATGGCGGCGCCCGCCTTGGAGAAGGCGGCGACGAGGCCCATCATCTGCCCGCGGATCGACGTGGGGAAGCACTCGGACGCGGTGAGGACGACAGTGCTGGTTTTGATGTGTCAGCTGGGAGGTCGATAAAGACTATGAAGTAGGAATAGGGGTCGGAGGTAAAAGTGATGGAGAAATCAAAATGCTCACCTTCCAGGACCAACTTCTCCCAGCGTCAGGAACAGGCCGTAAAGGACGACAAACAGGGGAAACACGCTCTGGATCTGCTTGTTCGCGCCACCCAAGATGAAGCCCAGGCCGGCCTGGAGGGCGAAGCCTAGGCACATGGTCTGCCTGCGGCCGATCTTGTCGGACAGGTAGCCGCCGAGGAAAGGACCGGGGATGTAGAAGCAGTTGATGACGACGCCCCAGCCCAGACTCTTGACCAGCGAGTCGGAAGCATTCACGCGGGAGGTCACGGTCGAAGAGAAGATGCCGAAGGGGATGCTGACGTAGTTGTATAGGAACCAGGTGGCGGAGCAGCCGCAGAAGGCGCGCCAGTAGCGGCGGAAGGCCAGCACGTAGGGCACGCGCTGGCGACGCATGGCGCTGCGGCGGTAGGCCGTCGACACGGCCATGCGGATGCGGAACCAGAAGATGGACACGGGCGGCACCAGGCCCAGGGCGAACGAGGTGCGCCACACGATACCGTACTTGCCCTCCTGGCCGTGCGTGCAGAGCAGCAGCAGCAGCGGCACCAGCCCGCCGAAGACGTAGCCCAGCGACGCCGACAGGTCCGCCAGCATGGCGAACATGAAGCCGCGGTGCTTGCGCAGCGCCTTGTTCTCGTCCGTGGCTTCGGTTGCGCCCGCTCCCGACACGGGGTACTCACCGCCCGCTCCGACGCCCGCGATGCCGCGCGCGATGATGAGCATCCAGAACATGCCCTTTTCGGACGTGCCCGATGCGCCAGCGGAGAGGGCGATACCGAGTACAAGCAGGATGGTGGTGGCGACGGCTCCCGTCTTGCGGCCAAACTGGTCGACGACGCCGCCGAAAAGAAGCATACCAATAATCATGCCGATTAGGAAAGCATTGCTGAGACGGGTGTAGATGTCGTTCGTCAAAGAATCCGGGTAAATAACAGCGAGGAGCAGTTCAACATTGCCAATGACAGCGGCATTGCTACGAGGAATTAGAAAGTGTTTTTGAACAGTGAAGTCGAATCGCAATGCAGAAGTTTCCACACGCTGTTGAACTCAAGGGTTGGAGAAAATGCGCTGAGGTGAAGGTGTGGGAACGGAGACTCACTATCCATCCGAGCCAATTGCAAGACCGGAATACAGAATCATCAACCAGACCGAGACTTTGCTGTAGTAGGACTTCTCAACGTCGCCCGTCTCGGCGTCGACCTCGGCCACAGAAGCGTCATGTTGCTTTTTCTCCTCAATGGTATCCCCACCTTCCAAGCTCTTGTCCTGAGGTTGAGAGATGGCATCGACGTCCTTTGACTGCGCCATTTTGGTTGGCGAGAGACGGCCGACGCGGAACTGAACTGTGGCCGACAAACAAAACTGCCTGGCGGACTAGAAGACCGAGAAAAGGGAGCCAGAAATGCGGCCTCCCGCCAGGATAAAAACCCCCGGCTTTATCATCTTGGCGGTTTCCTAGCAGGTTTGTCGGCTTGTACCGCAGGCGGCTCAGGCGCGCTTCGCCGGGTTGCCGTCGAGTCTCCCGGACTTGTTGCAGCAGTTCAGGATATTCTCCGGGGGGTCGCCGATCCGGCGAGGGGAAAGTGGGGGATACCCTTGCAGATAAGCCGACGGCTGGTGTGACGGATTAAACTGCTTCGGCGGGGAAGTGCCGTTGCCGACCGCTACCTCCCGCTACCACCTACAATAACATCTCAACTGCCGGGGCTGCGTGCATGTGGCTTGTCTCGTTTATCTCCTTCCATTGAACCTCGATCGAGCACCCATTGGACGAAGATGAAGGGCGGCATCCTCGAAGGGCAGCAGCCGCACGCCACCGCGCCACGCACCACGCGTACCCGGCGATCTTACCTGAAGTTGTTGACCGCCCTGTTTGTTGCAGCGCTGTATGCACGCTTTTTCTATGTCAGTACACCATTCGAGAGAAACAATCCCGTTGAGATAGACAGTGAAGTCTGACATTGAGATAAGACCCGCCATAGCCACGCCCACAAGGTCGCTCGTGTGCAGAAATGCTCCATCTCCAACCTGCACTCCGACCTTTCTTTCCTGGATGTCTCGCCGATCACCGCCGATGAATTCATCGCGCGTCGCGATAACCTCGCGCGGGCACTCCACGCAGACGGAGTAGATGCGTTAGTAGACCCTCATCCCATATTTCGCCCCTGTCATTTATATTTTCTCTTTTGTGTCTTTTGGTCAAAAGAAGAATTAAAAACTGATCAAACGGCGCTCCAGGTTCGTTCTTGAGCCAGGCTACACCTTCCAGTACTACGGCAACATCAGCCAGCAGGACTGGGAGCCATGGGAGCCGGAAGAGCGGCCGATGCTGATGATCGTCGAGCCCGTCCACAACTCGTCGACGGGCACCATCGTGGCCAAGACGTCCTTCCTCTCCCCGGCCTTCGAGGAGGGCCGCGTGCGCATGCTGGGCATCCCCGCGAAGGGCGAGCTCGACATCGTCACCTGGGAGGAGCACTGGAACCCCTACCGCACCCTGCGCGAGAGCCGCCTGTTCGTCGGCCGCGAGAACGTGACGCTCATGGTCGACGAGGAGATGCGCGATTACATCGTGCGCGGCCTGCAGTCCAACGGCTTCGAGACGCTGGGCTTGGCCGGTGAGGTCGAGGCCGTCAGGCAGATCAAGACGCCCGCCGAAATCGAGCTGATCAGGGCGGTGAACACGGGCACTGTCGAGGCCGTCAGGGCGATGAGGCCTTGTGAGTTTCCCCAAGATTATGCTCATCGAGACTGTTGTTGACTTGATGATACCAGGCCTTGTCCCGGGATTGATCGAAGATGAGGTAATGGCGATTCTGGACAACTCGTTGCTGTCCATTGGCTTTTCGCTCTTCTTCGATATTGTGCTGTTCGAGGAGAACGGTGCTCTGCCACATGGTGGTTTCGTGACGGGCGGGAAGGTGCTGAAGGAGGACTCTGTCGTGCTTATTGACGTCGGGTAAGCTTTTCGCAGCAGCCAGCTTCAATCAGGCTTCAGCCGGACTAACCTGAACGCGCAGAGCACACTACCTCGGATACTCCTCAGACATCTGCCGCAGCTTCTTCATTCCAACATGGAAAGAGCGATCGCTCTGGGAGAAGGCTGCATCCATCTTGACTTTCTCCAAGCCCTGCTCCTCCTCGGCAAAGATTGACTCTGATCTGTATGCTGAGAAGTTGAAGGTCTGGGACATCGTGCTCGAGGCTCAGACAGAGTCGGCCAAGATGTTCAAGCCTAACAACAGCGCCGCCAGCGTCGACATTGCCGCGAGGAAGGTCATCTCCGACGCCGGCTACGGTGAGATGTTCACTCACCGCGTTGGTCATGGCATTGGCATCAAAGGTGAGTCGCAGACTCCGAGAGGCTTCCAAATACCCGAGACTGACGAGTTTGTAGCCCACGAATCCCCCTACCTCAATAAGGGCAACCACGACGTCCTGCTGAGGCCCGGCATGACCTTCACGTCGGAGCCGGGCATCTACATGCTCAACAAGTTTGGTGTCAGGCATGAAGATATCTATGCCGTCACCGAGGATGGAGAGGCCGAATTGCTCACTGGAAAGCGCGCAGTCAGCCCTTGGGAACCTTGAAATGACACCATGAAACCGTGATGCAAAAGTTGAACAAAAAAAAAGCATTTGTATGACTAAATGTATGGCTTCTGACGAAGAAACTAAAAAAGGAGAAAGAAATATACTGGGACCTGTCCAATCTGCTCGTGATGGTCACTGTATAAAAATGACTGAATGTTTAAAGATCTCAAGAAAGGTCATCATCTCGAATGTAAGAAGGAAGTAAGAGAGATAAGAAGCAGGCCCCGTCCAGCGAGGGCCTAAAACTTTTCAAAAAAGAGCACTTACTCTACTCTTGGGTATCTGGCGGCAAATACGCATCCCGCGCCCTCCCTCCAGCACCAGCACCAGAGTCTCCTCCCCTTTCCCGCGGGGCCCCTCCGCCTGGATTGACCAGCCTCCACACCCAATCCTTCACGTTGACCACCTTCTCCACACCCGTCAGTCCTGCAGCCCTGTCCCGCCCATTCCTGACCAACAGCTCGATCCTAGTCTGATTCTTCTGGATGCTCTTCCTCAAGCTGTACCCGAACACGCGATCCCTGAACGTATCCAGCGCCACGTTTTCGACCAGCACGACGTCCTGCACCCTCAGGCTCTTCAGCGCCTCCCTCAACGGCTCCTTCGGCGGCTGATTCTTTCTTTTCTCCTTTCCTCCCTGCCCCTCTTGGCTTTCTTCGTCCGCCTCGTGCGCGAACCAGAACGAAACCTTCAGCCCTGTGGCCGTCTCGTCGCCGACCAACAGCTCGATCAGATCCCTCAGCAACCCGCCACGCGTGCGCACCGCCCGCGGCGGCAGGATGGCGATGACGCCCACTAGCAGGTTGACGACGACCGTCTGCGGGACGATGCGCTGCAGGTGCGAGGCTGAGGGGATGTCCTTGAGCGCCGTGATGTGCCGGGGGAGGCGGGCATCTGGGAGCAGTTCGCTGTGGAGCTCGGAGCGGGAATAATCGAAACTGTCGCCATCCAAGGACGAGATGTTGGTGTTGAACGAGTGGTCGAAGCTGAGCATGGTAGTCTCGATGTCTAGCTCGGTCGGGTCTAGGGCGAGCTGCGAGGAGTGCATGTCGTCGTGGACGGCGATGGAGTGCTCGATGAAGTCGTCGTCTTGGGTGGCATCATCTTGCTGTCTTTGTGGTGGAGAAGGGGACCAGGCAGCGTGCCTTTTCGTTGCATCGTTGTGAGAAGGTGGTGTTCCTTCGTCAGATGGCTGGCTGCTGAAGGCAAAAGAGTGCTCGGCGTCGGCGAAAGCTGGTGCGTACAGAAAGTCTTTTCGTAGAGGACTCTCCTGCGTGAAACCGGTGCGCAGATGAGCATCCCGTGAGGTTGAGATGATTCGCCATTTCGAGCCTGCCGCGTTCCCCGGCTCTTCTTCCTCTTCGCTGCCCGCGAACTGCCTATTCAAGAAGCGGCGCACGGCCGGCGTCCAATCATTGAGCAGAGCGCTTTCGTCCCAAGAAAGCTTCGCCGGGTCCGGGGCGCCGGTGAGCAGCTTGACGCGTTTTGCAGGCCGCGCCGCTGCGTCAGCAGCAGTGCGCATGGCGTCGGCGGAGGTGGACATGGCGCAATGCTAACGCGGAAAGACGAGTCGTATGCTGTCGCATGCTGCTTACGCTGTCCGGACGAGAGGCCCCAGCGCTCGGGGTTCGGTGTCGGCGGAGAACGGGGATTGTGGCCTTTTCGCTGCACGCTGATAGGGGCGAGGGAGATCGGCTCAGGCATTGCAACGCCTCGGCCTCGGTGATAACCGCACAATCAGCGAATTGCCAGCCAGGCAACCTCGACCTGAACTGCTGCGCAGCTGCAAGTCAAGAGCAAAAGACAGGTCGCCGGCGGACTATTCGGACGAAACAAAAAAGCGCGAACGGCCGCTTTGACCGCGCGGGTAACACCGGTCGAATATATACCGCCTTGCTCCCAAACCCGCCGCCTGCGCGTAATTCACCACGAACCCTTCCTTCCGGTCCGGACAGTCTTTTGTTGGCAAAAGCAAGCCGGAATCCCGCAGCAAGACGACCACGTTGTACCACAAACGGCACGGCATCCACGCCCCACCTCCCGTTTTCCCAGCGCGGAATTCCGACCGCGGGGATTATCTGATCATCAGATTAAAATTACGTCGCCCGCCATTCGCGTCCCGCAGCAGCGTCATTGCTTCCCCACGCTTTTTCCTCTTTTCCTCTTCGAACTTCCTCTTTTTACTCGCGCCGTATAGCCTCGAGTCTTCCCCACCATGGCGGCGGCGCTGAAGAACCTCTGGGGCAAGGTCGGCGGCGGGGCGGCCTCGTCGCAACACCCGAACGGCTTCGCCAAAGCCCCGGCGAGCGACCAGCTTTTCCCCAAGACGAACCCGGCCGTCGATGGCGAGGAGTGTTTGCGCGACTGCGAGTCGTGCACAATCAAGTACCCGCGCAAATGGAGCATTGACGAGAACGAGGACATGTACGGCCACGTCAAGGGTTGGAGCACGCACATGGTAGTTGCGACAGGAAAGACAGATTGGGTATGTCCGCTCTTGTGCCTTTTCTTTCTTTTTTCTTGGATCCGTATTGACGTGTGTTGACTTGCAGGTCAGGGACGTGGCCGACGAGAAAGGCTCCATCATGGAGGCGGTGGATAAGTGCGGCGTTAAGCCTTCGAATGGCGTAAGTACTAGCTATCTAATACCTCAATCCGCAAAGTTGCTGCTGTCGCCCCTCTCCACGTGAGACCCCAAGCATTAACGCTCGAATCTTCCGCAGAAAATGATGCTCTCCGCCTCCGACATGCCCGTCCCGAACGAGCACACCTCCCCAGGCACCGAAACCGCCACCACCGTCCTCCTCCTACCCTCATTCCAAATCTTCGACAACGTCACGCCGTCCCTCGTCCCCGCCCTCATCCAGAATTACGTCAACCTCTCTCCGACCAACATGACACCCCTCATCCACTCCGACCCGCCGCAGCAGCGCCCTGCCTCCAGCCACTCCGGCAAATCACACAAGTCACACAAATTCCACCACCACCACAACAGCCATCCCGCGCCCGACCCATCCACATTGATACCCCGCGACTGCCCGCACGACTACCTCATCATGCTGTGCAGCCACAAGACGCGAGACGCCCGCTGCGGTCAGTCAGCGCCGCTTCTGCGTCGCGAGTTCGAGCGCCACCTGCGCCCGCTCGGCCTGTACCGCGATCTGCACGACGAGCGCCCCGGCGGCTGTGCCATCTACTTCATCAACCACGTCGGCGGCCACAAGTTCGCCGCCAACGTGCTGATATACCGCCGCGTCGGCAGCGCCGGCACCGTGGCGCCGCCTGTCGTCGAGCAGGAGAAGGCTGTGAACGGCGCCAGCAGAGAAGGAGAGCAGAACGGGAGCGCCGCTGCTCATGCAGGCGAAGAGGCCGTCGAGGAGAATGGGAATGGAGAGAAGGGACCGAGCAAGCCGCCGATCCGGGAAGCGGCGCAATGTATGTGGCTGGCGCGAGTGCGGCCGGAGGACTGCGAGAACATCGTAAAGTATACGATATTGCAGGGGAAGCTCGTGAAACCGGAGAGACAGCTGCGTGCAGGATTCGACAGAGGAAGACAACTAGTCAGCTGGTAAAGAGGTGTCCGGAATTTAGAGGTTGAGCGAGAGATAGTCGGTATTCGACATTATAGCTCCAAGGATTGGAACTTTTTTTAGATTAGAGCGTCGTTTACGCCAGATGTACTGCCGAGGCTCCGAACGCAAAGTATTCTTTCAAGTATATTAGACAATGGTACGCCTGACCATCGTGTTTGGGTATAATATTAGAAACAATTGAGCTGCAGGTGCTTGATGATCAGTGCCGCGATCAGCCTGAAAGCGTTAAAAAATGTGGACTGTCCATGGCCAACCCCTTGGATGTCCATTTTGGAAAACAGGGGTAATGGCTCTCCGACAAGCGGATGCTCTCGGAATGTGGATGGGCATCGGCAGAGAAGCACGGCGGCATAAAGAGATAATGCAGCAATATGGGATATTCGAAATACGGTGGCGGCTAAGCCTTTTCATCCGTTCTGTACGTCAAAGTAGTAGGGCAGCTCTCCGGGACCTGGATTGGGCGTCAATCTGATGACGCTTCTGGCTGATCTAAGCGACGCAGTTGAGGAACTCGATGTCGATGGCGGGATGACAGATGATGCAGTCCTCGGTTGCACTGGCGTTCGCACCGACGAATTTCTGGATGCAATCGAGGGCGTCCGTGGCAGGCGCACGTGCTCCGAACTGTAATCGTAGAAGTGAGATGGCGCAGTACGTAGGGTACCATTGCTTTCGCTGAGTTCTGCGGTTGAGGTTGTGCTTCGCGTATACAAGGACTCTGCGTATGGCGCGGTCCGTGGGGTCTTGTAGTGGATGGCCGATCCGGTGGAGCCCATGGACGAAGATGACAGTTGGGACGGCGCGAGGCTCGCCGTTTCAGAGCTTGAACTGTACGCGTCGCGCTGAAGCTCAATTACAAGCTCGGGTGCGAGCTCCGTCATGCCGGTGAGAATTTCGGCGAACATTTCCATAAGTTCCTGAAACTGGCCTTCCGAGATGGCCTGTGTGGAGAAACGCGCGTGTTCGTAGCGCTTGAGGAATGCGGTCCCTAGCTCTGGCGGATTGATGAGACCAAAAGTTGAGAGGTGGCCCAGATAGTCGCGCAAGCCCATGGTGGAGGGTCGCTGCAGCAAAGCGACGATGCGCGCATCCGGCATTACCGGCACGCCGTCCAGCGACATGTGGAATGCAAAGGCGGGATCCGCGGGAGCCAGAGATACGGCTTTCGCCTCAATAAGATTGGGCAATTCGGCAATGACGTTGCAGAACTGCAAGTTGGGTACGCCATCCATCACAGGCGACGCCCAGCCCGGGTGCGAAATGTGTCCCCAAGGAGGCGAGTTGGGGTCAACGGGGATAGCCGTGACGTCGCGAGACCGGTCCTTCTTCCTCAGACTGCGCTCGCGAGACGGCGCAGTGCTCCCTTCCCGCTCTTCTTGCAGCTCGGGCCGCAGGTCTCGAGGCCGCGAATCCCATGCTATCAGCGCACTGCGCTCAAACCCCTTCACGATCATGCGCCGCACATGTTTGCCAACTTCGCCCTGCTCGATGGGTATGTACGACTTGGGGATGCCGAGGAGGACGGTGCGATTCGTGTAGAGGCGGGTGGCGTAGACGCAGACGGTGATGACGAGGGTCAGGACGTAGACGGCGCCGACGACGAAGGCATTCGGGTATCCGCGATTGCGCACAGCTTGGTAGACGAGATCGCCGGGAGTTGCAGCAAGGAGGATGACGAGCAGCAGGAAGAGGATGGAGTAGGTAGTTGAATACCATATGCGAAAAAAGGGTATGCGCATGCTGGGGTAAACAAACAGGAAAAGAATCACATATTGCGGGGAGGGCTGGGGGGTGTTTCCGCGGTGTTTCGGTGGAGGTTAAGGGAGCCACGGCAGATTGAGTTCCACAGATGAGCTGCCTTGGTCGTCGATCAGCCGAAGTCGTGGCCACTGCCCGATGATGCCTGCTGACTCGTGCTGCCGCCTCGTCGGGCACCCGCTACGCCTGCTGTCGTCGTCAAAGAGCCAAAGCCGTTTGTTCCAACCTCCGGCGCTATTACACGTCATCCCAGCAGTGCTGCGGCCTTGGGTTTTCTTGCGTTTCACAAAATCCTGAGGCAACGCCCCGGCAGCCGGTAACTAGTCTGCTGGTAGTGTGCACAATACCCCGCGGAGTATCGATTGAAAAGCGATGGAATGGCCAGATGACGCCGCTGAATGATGCTCGCGAGAAGGTCACGAGGTCGAAGACTTGACCAAACTTGCAGTAGATCTCGAACCAGGAGGGCCCGGCCCGGCGCTGTTTTCAGCAGTCAAGGCGGCGGCGCGGGCGGTGGAGGGGCAGATCGGGGGGTGCGGGCTATTTTCGGGCCGGCGCCGCGGGAGTGGTCCAGCGGTCTTCTAAGAAGCTATTCGAATGTTCCAGCGTCCAATACGCGCTGAAATCCATAATTACCCCTCCAGTCCCTTGCCAGCCGCTGCAACCGCCGCCGCGTCCGCATACAATTACCCGTTGCTGAACCGTGACAGCCTAGCGCTCAGCTCCGAATAGTGAGTTGCCCTTCCACAGCCCTCCGCCGCATGTCCACCAGAGCCCCAAGAAAGTGAATCTAGTATCCCCCCATCCAAAACTAGACTGACCCACTCACTCATTGTCTGCTGTATTTCCCTCCATTCGCACTACCAATCTTCGCGCGCAAACTTCAAGTAAGCTGACCAGCTGTTTCCACCAGAACTCTCTACGGTCTCTCAATCCCCTCCACTTCACACCTCTATCCGCAAACCGCCGTCGCAATGGTTCTCCACAACCCCAACAACTGGCATTGGGTCAACAAGGATGTTGGCACCTGGACGCGCGAATTCTTGGAGAAGGACCTGCAAGGCATCTCCGTCGAGGCCGATGGCGTCACCGCCCAGGTCGACCGTGTCATTAGCATGGACGGCGATGTCGAGGTCAGCCAGCGCAAGGGCAAGGTCATAACCATCTACGATGTGAAGCTGCAGCTGGAGTACTCAGGTATGCGCTGAGCCCTCCCACGATGCGACAAGGCTAGAACACGTACCTGACCTCTTCTGTAGGCAAGAACAAGGAAGGCGAGGCAGCAAGTGGTACCATCACCGTCCCGGAGATCGCCCACGACACCGAGGAAGACGAGTATGTCGTATGTTTCCCTCTCCGGAGCACTTGATACCCTGGCCGAGACGACGCTCACACATCCACCTTGCGCAGTTTGAGATAGACATCTACAGCGAATCCTCGAGCAAGCAACCCGTCAAGGACCTCGTCCGCTCCCAACTTACTCCTAAGCTCCGCGCACGCTTCGCAAACCTCACCAATGCTTTGATCGCCGAGCACGGCAGGGACATCCAGCATGCTCCCGGCTCCAACCCCTCCAGTGGCTTCACCACCCCAAAGGTCTACGAAAGCTCCTCGATCAACAAGGGCAGCCAATCCACCACCTCAACCACCACTACCGCCGCCTCTAACGGCAAGGGCCCGCTCGTCAACACGACGACGCTCACCGACAACGACGAGTTCCGCACGACGGCCGCGGAGCTGTACCAGACCTTTACGGACCCGCAGCGCGTGGCCGCCTTCACGCGTGCGCCGCCCAAGACGTGGGAGGGCGCAAAGGAGGGTGCCAAGTTCGAGCTGTTTGGTGGTAACGTCTCGGGCGAATTCGTCACGCTTGAGGAGCCGAAGACGATTGTGCAGAAGTGGCGCCTCGCCCAATGGCCCCAGGGCCACTTCTCTACCCTCAACATCCACTTCGACCAGAACGACGTCGACAAGGTCACCGTCATGCGCGTTGAGTGGCAGGGCGTCCCCATCGGCCAGGAGGACGTGACCAAGCGCAACTGGGGCGAGTACTATGTCAAGAGCATTAAGACCACTTTCGGCTTCGGCACCGTCTTGTAAATAGGGGACATGAACAGGATGGAGGAAAGAGAGGGAAAGGAGCTGACCGGGACATGGAATTTGGCGTCGACGGCGTGGAGGCCACAGTCGATTTTTCTTTTTATTGCTTTCATATACGAATCCAAACCATTCTTGATGCGAAAAGGAAGAACCCCGAGCGAGGAGAGTTTGGGATGCTGGCATAGAGAAAACAATCGAGCAATTGGACCCATCACTGTCTAATCCTTCGTGCGAAAGTACTTTAATATTTTCATGTGCTTCTTGCTTGAGACCCAAACATTATCCAGGTCTCAAAGGCAGTATTCCTTGACGGTGCAAGAGAATAGTTTTCAGCGTCATTAAATGCATCACGTATACGTGGAAAGCAGGCGTTTGCCTTACAAAGAGAAAGTAAATAGATGTAAAAGAACTCCAACCTCCTTCATAAACTATACATATCCCCATATCGTGAATAGAACAACTGTACAGTCAAGTTTTCCCTTTCTCCATCGTCTCCTACATTGAATCTATCGGAATCATGTTCTCACGCTCAAAGGCTATCTATTCACACCCTAGAAAAAAAATCGAAAAATATTAAAACCCCTTTTCGTTTCAACGCTTACGTCTCCTACATCATCATCGCCGCAGCGATAACCGCCGCCATGCCCCCAACAACCACACCGCGCACGCCGATGCTCGCCGCACTACCCGTATACACCGGCACCGACGCCTGATCGGTCTTGGTACCACTGCTGCTGCTGCTGGTGCTGCCGCGAGTGGCGCTCGATGACGTGGGCGTGCTGTAGGGAGTAAGGAGGGAGGAAGAAGGAGTGTTCAGGTGCACGACGGTGCCGTTGTAATTCTGCGGCGCTGATGCTGCTCCCGCGGCGGCGGCGTGCGCCGACGAGGAGGCAGCAGCAGCAGGGGCAGAAGAAGAGTGGATGAGAGGGTAGTAGTAGCTGCTGGCCGACGAATACGAGGCGGCGGGCACGGGAATGACGGAGAAGGTCACCAGCTGGGACGTCGTGGAGGTGAATGCAGTCGCCGCTGCCGTGCGAGAGTTGGCATTGACGTTGGTGTTGGCGGTGTTGGCGCCACTGCCGCTGCCGCTGTTGCTGTTTCCACTGCCATTGTTGTTGTTGCTGCTGCCCACAGATCCACCAACCGCAGAAGAGGAGGAAGGATTAGAGCTTTGAACGACAGAAACGGAGGAAGAGGAAGAGCCGGAGCCGGAGCCGGAGCCTGAGCCGCCATGGACACTGGACTGGGCGGAGGGGACCGCGACGACAATGCTGCTGCTGCTACCAGCATACACCTGTTTAGAGGCAGAGACAGAGGCACCAGCAGAGGGCACAGAGTTGCCGCTACCGCCGACCCGAGTTGTAGTCGTAGCGACAGGGACGACGGTCAAGTACGCCGGCACCGCGGTGGTGAGCACAGCAACGGTCTTCGCGCTGGCAGGGCAGTTAGTAACGGAAGGCGGGCACTGAGTGACGGTGACGAGCTGGGTCTGGTAGACAGTGCTGGTCGAGAAGCCACCGTTGGTGTTGGCGTTGCCGCTATCGCCCTGGCTGCTCTGGCTGCTCTGAGAGCCTTGAGAACCCTGGGAGCTCTGACCGGTCTGGCCGTCGACCGCCTTGGTTGCTGACGGGCTAACAACGACAGGATACACGGTCGTGGAGACGGGGACCAAGGTGGTGGCCACAGACAGGTGGGTCTTGGAGTTGGCGGGGCAGTTGGTGACCGAAGGCGGGCATGCAGTGATGGTGACGAGCTGGGTTGCGTAGACGGTGGATGTCGTCAGTGTAGATGACTGGGCGGAACCACCGGCGGTGGAGATAGGCCTGGTCAAGGTGAGAGTGGTCGGTTGGGGTCCGCAGTTGCTACACACGGTCACGACAGTGGTCCAGCCGGCGGGGATGGCAGAGGGCGTCTGCGTCGGGCAGATCGTTGTCGTGTAGGTTGTCGTGTAGGTTGTCGTGATTGTGGTGAAGCCAGTAGGGCAAACGTCGACATATGTCGTGGTGATGACAGTGGTAGTCACATCTCCCGGAGCCGAAAGGGAACCAGGGGGAGTCGGCGCCGACGTGATCCCAGACACTGCATTGGGGGAAGAACCAGTGGGACCAGAGACTTGAGCGGAGCTGGGGAGGGGGGTGCCGGAAGCTCCCACAAGGCTCGACGCACTTGGAGTCGACAGGTGGATAGACAGGTTGCCAATTGGTGAAAGAACGGGCGGAGTGTAGAGAGATGGCGTGACAAGCGGAGTGTTCACAACCGGTGTATCAACAGGAGGAGTGAAGATAGGCGTGCCGACAGGAGTGTTGACAGAAGGAGTGAAGACAGGAGTGTTAATGACCGATGTGTTAAGAGAAGGAGTGAATACGGGTGTATCAACCGGGGGCGTGAAAACAGGAGTATTCACAACAGGAGGAGTGAGAACAGGCGTGCCGATAATCGGAGTGAAAATAGGAGTGTCGATAGCCGGGGTTGAGATTGGAGTGTTAACAGCCGGCGGAGTCAGAACAGGAGTGTTGACAATCGGCGTATCGACAGGAGTGTTCACAACTGGCGTATCGATAGGAGTGGCAACAGGTGTATCGACGGGAGTGACAACAGGCGTTGGCGTAGGAGTGATCGCAGTGGAAGAAGTGCACGTCGGTGCCAGGTTTGCGTCGTCGCCGCACAAGCCGTATCTGATGTCACAGTTATAGGCCGCGCCACAGTACTCATCAGTCGTGCCGCAGTTGCCCCACTGGCTGCAGCAATTTCCAAATGTGGACCCCTCGCAAGTTTGGCCAGACGCACCACACGTGCCATCCGTCGAGACGGGGAGTTCGAGCTTGTTAGGCTTGTATTGGAGGAAGCTGCACTGCGAGTTTGGCACACAGCCGTCTCCGCAGCCAGTGAGAATTGCCTTCATATACTCGGAGTAAATGTAGCCATTTTCGGTGCTCTGCTGGTCAAGGGTGGCCTCCCAGAGCATGAAACCACCGAAGTTGGGGCTCCAACTGAGATCTCTTTCAAACCAAGTGTAGACCTGCTCTGGTGACAGGTGGGCACCAGGATCGGAGGGTGCGCCTTCAGTGGTAGCAGGCTATTGGGACGATTAGTTGAACGAACAGAAATAACACGTGGTCCAGCGAAACTTACCAAACCAGCAAAAACCCTCACATCAGGATTGCGGCTAAATGTGCTCACCAGCCCCGGGAGGGTGTAGCTCAGGAAATCAATGTTTGTATCCATGTACGATGCGAGAGCGTTGCACCCCTGATTGTTGTAGAGCTGAACGAAGATGAAGTCGAACCATGAGGATGCGAACGCATCGGAAAGGTTGGGATCCGGGAACCAGCATTGAGGAGCACCAGAAATGTAGTAGTTCTTGGACGTGTCTTCGAGGAACAGAACATCGTGGAAGTGGTTGACCATGTCCGGATAGTACTGGGACTGATAGTTCGGTGCGTCGGCAGGTGCGGGCGTGATCAGCGATTCAATATCGAAGTCGAAGCCGTCGACAACGGCGTCGCCGAAAGGTCTCGGAGTTCCATCGTTTTTCGAAGGACCGAACGCTTTCCACAGGAAATCGGCAAAGGCGACGGCGTAGTCACTGTCCTTCAGGTAGTAGTCATTTGGCGAAGCACCACCAATAGACAGGAAAATCTTCTTTCCATAGACATCCTGACATGTCTTGATATCCTGGCCGATCCAAGGGCAGTTGCTTGGGAGATCTGAGTTCGGGTAACGCTCCGACCCGCATTGGTTGCCGAAGTTGGCTCCCGGGTTGCCGTACTCATTAGGGAACGTGTTGATAAACCCAATGTTGATGATGTCGTAGGCGCCAGTTTGGCAGATGTCGACCAGGCGGCTCTGGTCCGACCCTTGACCCTGGGGACAAGCACGTATTAGTACTGTCCACACTGACTTTGAACTCGATCAAAGGACCTACCCAATAGACGGCGACGTTGGTGCTAGCCTGGGGATCGAAAGCGGGAGCAGGATAGGTGACGGGACATTCCGGAAGCGCGAGCGCGACCGGTAGACTCAAGAGGGCGGGCATAGTGATTACTAAATTAGTATTATACCAAGAGAATGACAGGTAGCCGAAGCTGGTGTAGAGAGTGGAATGACCGTGGTCACCAACGAAGGGACGCAGACGGCAGGTCCGCAACAAGCAAGCAGGTGCTGAAAAAGGATTGACAGAAGCAGCGCCTGGCAGAAGAAAGCAGGCAGGGAGTAGAGACAGGATATAAAGAGAAACACCCGCCCGTGCGTCTCGGCGTGAGCGAGGTGATTCCAGGGCCGGAACCGCTCAAAGGTGTTGTCTCCTTAGCAGGTCATCAAAGTCGACTCCACTTTCTGCGGTTCCTTCTGCCAGATTCGGCGCAACTTTACAGCCTCGTGGACAAATTAGAATTGCAGCCATGGAAACTGGCTGACGTAGGCAGAGTAAACCAATCAATGCTGTTTACAAGAGCCCACAATGGTGCGGCGTGGGCAAGTAAAACATTAGCAGGTGCATGGCGTAGCGCCACGGGGACATCCGAAGGTGTGTGCCGCATGTTCGGCCTTTCCTGTTCCTGGAACAAGCGTAGGCAGCAGAGCGGAGAAGGGACGGCATTAGAAGGTTAGCAAGATGCTTAACTGCGAAAAGAGGTTGATTGCCGGCGGATCCATTCAAACAGGCCATGAAGCGAAATTTGGTGTAGGTGGTGGCGCAGGATGCAGTGGCGTAAGGGTCCAGTCCAGCCTCTAAGCGCCCACTCACTACGCCGCCGGCACCAGTCTGCCCGGCGAAAGTCCCGCGTACCAGTCTTGCGGGTGACTGATGTAGGAGACATTGCCTACAGGCTGCTTGGGACTCAGCGAACAATTGAGCACATCGACGATCTACCGGAAAAGGCAGTCCACGATGCGAAGGTGAGCGGGTTGGGTGGGGAAGAAGTGTGGTGGGGGCGCGATGAACGTTTTTCGGGAATTTAGCCGCTTTGGCATCGGCACTGCCGACGAGAAGGATTCAACCGCAGCCTCGCACCTCAAACTGCCATTCAATAATATTTCGTGAGCATTCGCGCATCGCTGACAAACAATGGACGCGCAAGACTGTTCTTGAAAATTGTTGTTGAAGACTCGAGTTGCACAGCATATGGGATCGTTCCGACTCGGCGCGGACGAGACGTTCCGCTGACATCCCCGGCGGCAATCATCGCCTCTCGCCCGAGAGGACGTGCGTTCGTAGGGCTCAACATCGTATAATAACCTTATCTCATCCGCTGTGCACCCAAATATCCATGATCTCGTTTCTCTTCGACATACGCGGCCTGCCCCTATATCCCACGTAGAATCCTATTCATGGCGTTCGTATAGACGCCATTCTTCTTCCACTTGGCTATCTTGGCTTGCATTTTGCAGCTGCTGTGCAGGCAGCCACAGCAGCGCCGCTGCATCGGCGTTATCCGAAGGCTTGACGCTAGGGCGAAAAACGTCTCCAGCACTCCGGAAATTTCCCCCTGCATGGAGCATTCGACATGGACAGTAGAATATCGCATTCGGATCCTCCGGCATTTGGACAAATTCTTTTTTTTTTATCGCCACGTGAAGATTAAAAGTCTATCATACCGATTTCAACATAACGTTGCCCATCTACAAAGGTGGAAGGCTCGGTTGGCCTTAAAACGTTGAATCCGAAGTCCTGGAAGACAGGGGCCTCTCCTGTCCGTATGGTGTGTCCGTTACTAGAGCGCAGCTGAACCGTGGGTAGTTTGACCCTGCCGACCTGATTCCCGATCCGTGACTCCAAGAACGCCGAAAACGAAATCCTAGTGCAGAGGAATACGTTCCCTTTCAAGCCTCCTTGCCTCCTCGCTCTTTCCGCGCTTTATGGCCTCACTCTTCATCGAATCCATCACCGCCTCAAGGTCTCTCAATTCCACCTGGGCCTCCCTCTCAGCAGCCTCGCCTGGCCGACTGTTCAAAATGTCCCAAATCTCCCATTTGCGCTCCTCCTTTTCGGCATACTTGTCGTATTCAATTTGCGAACCGAAGCAGATGCCGTAACCATCGCAGTAGCAAGTGTGCGGTGACGGGCAGAACTGGTACTGCCTGGTGAAGATGTAGTGCCATGTGTACTCCATGATGCGGCCCGCGTACTGGTCATCCAGGTCCGTCTTCAACAGCCAAGTCCGGTAGTGCTCGTACATCTCCTTGGGATTTGCCCGAATACGATCCCGAGATACTCCGAACTGGGCGCAGCAAGGCGCGCTCAGCACGCCCGGCACGCGGTGCATCTCGCCCATCCCACCCAAGCCCGGCGGATGGAGCTCCCTCCAGATCTGCGGAGTGTAGTACTTCTCCTCCATGCGGAGATGCTCGTCGAAATCGACTTCGGGCCGATCCAGATGCAACCAGTCCGGACATCCAGGCTTGGCATCGCACCTAAAGGGCATGTCTTCAGAGCCATTAGCAGAAAATCAGACCAGGGAGATGAAGATCAACGTACAGCCGGTCCTCCAGATGCGCTCGACACGGAGCATCTTCAGCATTTCAGCCGAGTCCTGGCCCAGGATCAACAGATTGTGCCATCCGACCTTGTGGGCGTGGAAGAACAGCACGACGTCGGGTAGATCATCGTAGTGGTCGATCACGTAGGTCAGGTAGGCCATGGACTCGCGGCCCTTATTCTTAGGCACGCGGAAGTCAGCCCAGGGGTCGTCCATGACGTAGACGGCCGTCTGCAGGTCGGGCAGCTCCTCGCGGACGTCGTCGATCCACGAGACGTCCTCGCCCTTCATGCGGGGCACGACGAGCACGCGCGAGTAGTTGCCGTCGGGCTTCGGGACGCCGGGACGGAAGGGATCTTCGTCAGGAGTGAGGGCGCGCAGTGGAGCAGCGGCGGAGCTGGCGGGGCCGACGGATGGCCTCGTAAAGTCATCGACATGATCGTATGGCGCGGTGGTCGACGGTGGGCGCGGGCGAGACGAGCGCAGGTGCGGCAAGCCGGGCTGCCAGGCAAGGTAGTAGAAGGCCAGGCAAAGGGCGAGCAGCGAGATTGCAGTCAGGGTTGATCGCCGGGCGAGAGGCATCGCGGCGACAGCGGGTCCGGAGGGGAGCTGGGTGGACTCATGTGAACGTGAGGGTGTAGGGGACACCAATTGCGCCCGCAGAAGTATGTAAGGGAAGAGCGCGGGTACGAGGACACGGAGGAGTTTGCTGAGCTGTGGAGGCCAGATGGGCCGCATGCAGATCGGCAGGGTGGCCGTACAGGCATCTATCCCTGGCGCCCGCAATCAACTCTGTTCGTATCCAGCCTCGCACGCTAGCCACGACATGACTGGCCGCCGGATGCGCTTTTTTCGCCCGCTGCAGATGACGCGCTGCGCTGCTCAGGCACGCGTGAGAATACCAAGTGCTAGGGTCTGCCGCCTGCGAACAAAGCTTGGCCTGCAGTCCGCTGCTCCAATGCGACGATCTGCCATGGAAATGCGCCCTTGCGCTGTGTTCCATTGGCAGTCCCCGCGCCACACGTGACATTACATCACCACGCTATCACCGCAGCTTCCATGCTTGTTGCTGTCGCACCCAACAAAGCCTATTTATTATTGCGCGCCTCAGAACGCATTCCTGACCTGCATCCACTTCGACCACAACCTTGTACCTGAAACCATGTCGAACTTCACGAGCTATTCCTCCTCGAGCTTCTCCTACAGCTCCAGCTCTAGCTCCAACGGCCAGACCAGCGGCAAATCATACCACAAAGAGACCCACAGCAACCCCCAGGGCACTACTACCAGGACCACCTCTCAGAACATGGGCGAGCCTATGATCCAAGAGACTCGCCATTTCGATGCGAGCGGTCGCGAACTGCTCGGAAGTGGCCAGGCTGCAACCAGGCCTACCATCGAGCAACCCCGCGGCCGGGTTGAGGAGATCGACGAGTCCGACGCCGACCGCGCGTACAGGCAAAAGATGGAGGACGAGTACGCAAAGAGGGAGGGTGGCGCGTAAATCCGATGCCAGCGAGCGAGTCAACGGCGAGCCATGCCTCCCCTGGTCAGTCGTTCCACATTGATGATTCATGACCACTTCAAAATTATAATACCATGACTTCTTAGCACCCTCCGTGTCCATTTCGTCTTTCGTGATGATCGTATGAGCTTTACTCAGTTTCTTGAGCCTGCTCCAGCAGCTCACCTTCCCACCCGTTCTCCCGTAGATACAACTCAAAAGCCTTGTCCTCGGCCAGAAGATCTGCCTCAGTCATGTCTTCGATTAAGAACCTGAAATTGGAATTAGCCGGTTGCCGGACTTTAACGCAAACACACATTCCAAGAAACTTACCAGTACACGACCATTCCAATGGCACCGAAAATCGCAGTGAAGAAAAAGGTCCAGCGCTGGCCGAGGTTCTCCTTGATGGGCGTGAACACTTCGGTCCCCACGGCCGCACCGGCTTTGCCCAGAGCTGCTGAGATGGCGTAACAGACACCACGAATCGCCGTGGGATACGTCTCCGTAGACACCAACCCAAGAGTCGCGCCTGGACCCATGTGGCCCAGGCTCTGCATCAGCCCGTACATGACGACGAACGCGGGGATTACCTTCGAGATCTCGGCAAACGAACAGCCGACGATGAGCCCAATGAGCAGGTAGCCCCCAAAGCCGAGGATGCCCGTCCAGCGGCGGCCGAGGCGGTTGACGAGGAAAATGCCGACGAAGACACCCGGAAGCGTCATCAGAGCGAGGATAAGCTGCCAAATGGCCACGGTCTGCAGCGCCTTTCCCGGAACGAGAGAGTTGATGATGGTGCTGCTCATGATGCCGTTGGGGAAATTGACAAAGTCGTAGATGAAGAAGGCCCCGCCGGTGCCAGCGAGTTTGAGCCAGTACCTCTTGAGGATGAGGCGGAGGGGAATCGATACCGTCTTGGTCGTCTTGAAGTTGGAACGGCGGAAGAGCTTGGAGTCCTCCATGCGCAGACGAAAGAGGAAAACGAAAAGCGGGAGGAGAATGGAGATGGTGTTGACCGAGATGTAGGCCGTTGTGAGATCATTATTGGACGCGATCAACGTCATCAAATAGACGAAGATGCACACCGGACCTCCCCAGCAGGTAATAAATGTCGTCGCGCAGACAAAGATGGGGCCCCGATTTGCTGGGTTGTAGTCTTCCATACCTTCACAGGCAGCCTATTCCAACCCGTGTCAGCACTGTTTCGTTCCCACCTCATTTCGGTGGCCAACTCACAGTAGCTCCAGCAGGAAACTCGCCGCCAACTCCTACGCCAGCAATGCCTCGAGCTATGGTAAGGTACCACAGCATGCTATCCACGCCGAGGTGTTGCACCTTCAGCGCCAGCGTTGCCATCAAGCTACCAATAACAACCAGGGAGGAAGTAAAGACCATGCCTGCCTTCCGGGACCAGCCATCGGTGACAAACCCCAACAGGATGATTCCCAGGATTTGGCCGACAATGAGAGAGTTCGAAATTCTCGTTTGGTCTGCCGCGGTGTACGCGGAGCCATACATGTGCTTGAAGATTACATTCACGTTGTTGGCAATCTTCTGCTGATAGCCATCGGAAAAGTTCGCTGCTGTCTTGAAAAAAGGTCAGCCGAAAGCTGTTGAGCTGGGCCATCCAAAACTTACACAGCCAGCTACCGCAAAGAAGGTTGTGGTGCGAGCACTTCGCCTGCCAATGCTAGCGTCTTCAAGGGAGGGTGAGCTTGGATCGTCGACACCCGCAACTGTGCCTGCAATTTGCTTTTTCTCATTGACTTCAGGCTCGCGGTTCTCTGAGACTGCAATGTGCGGCTGCATCTTGACTCCGGGATTACTTTTTTGTCCTTCTTGAATTTTTCTCTCTCATGCAAGCCATTATATACTCGGAAGAACCCCCGCCTCAACATCACAATGCAGCATCAAAAAATCCCTACTACCGAGCAGTTTCAGCAGTGTTTTTGTGGAGCGGTGGGTCTCTAAGCTTGCGCGGTCCGACATTGGCCGCTGATAAGATCATCTCAAAGCGCACAAACCTCCGCGGATGCACGGCTTTCTCCTCGGCAGGTTCACGGAGAACGGCGACAAGCCGGCGAGCTTGATATGCATTTGGATTTGTTTTCGCGTGTGGTTTTACACCCCTGGCCGCCGGCGGGTAGGGCGCAAAGCTTGTCATTGCTTGGCCCCCTGCTCTATCGGCAAGCACGGCACGACCAACTCGAAAGCGGGGTCAATAATTGGTTGCCGTGGCACACAGGCTTCGCTCTTTCATCTGATAATCTCATTCGATCTCAGCATCCTGCATGCTATCTATCAGCTCCTAGCTGCAAGATATACGATCAAAGGACCAACTGCTCATTATGACCTTCTGTTCTCGGCAAGCCGGCGTATGCGTTTACAATCTACAATCACGTCAGGTTAGAAATCGCGCCCGAGGCCTAAATGAAGAGAGAGAGAGGAAGCAGAGAAGGACTGACGAATACCCCGACTTCTCCACCGCCCTCACGTATGTCGGCGTCTCCTTGCACCTCTTCAGCCACGCCTCCACCGCCGGCCATTTCTTCCCCTGCGTGCCCAGCTGCCTCTCGAGGATGTAGTCGGCGCTGAGCTGCATCATGACGTCCGCGGCCGTCACGGCATCGCCGGCCAGAAACTTCGAACCGCTCTCAGATAGGTCGCGCTCGATCCAGTCCAGGTCGTTTTGCACGTTGGCGCTCATGCCTAGCTCCATCGCCGCCAGTCCTTCCTTCGGCAGGCCGGTCGACTCCGGGTAGTGCCATCGTGCGTACGTGATGGCCAAGCCGTGCAACAAAAAGGTCGCTTCCGCCGCGTGGATCCATTGCAGGATCTTGACGTTCGCCGCTGCGTCGTCCTCCACCTTGGGTAACAGGCGGTGCTGTTTATCATATTTTGCGCAGAGGTATCTGCAATGTCCGTGAGCTTCCCAAGTTTCCGCAAAATTCCCTTTTCTCCGGTAACGGAAGGGTGTCCTCTTGCTCTCCTGATCTTCCTATTGCTTTATCTTTTCTTTTTTTCCCTCTCGTTCTTGGGTTATATGGGGAAAGCTATGGGGGAAGCTATGGGGAAAGCTATGGGGTAAGCTTATGTGATACCTACTCAGTAATTGCCCCGCTCTCAAAGACGAACAGGTCGCCGTCCTTGATGGTGGGGAACCTGCCAACCGGACTCACACACGCGCCTTTGGCATCCTTAGGCGCCTGCTGGTGCTCCTGTCTGTCCCAGAATTTGATCTCATAGTCGAGCCCGAGCTCTTCGAGCAGCCAGGCCGTACGAATACTACGCGACGCTTGAAGGAAGAAAAGGGTAATTGGCGGCATGGTGAGTTTTTCTTGCAGAGAAGAGAGACGAAATCAGGAGAGGAGGATTCACAGAATGGTGTGAAGTAGGAAAAGAAATACCCGCACAACAGTAAGACACTTGTCCGGTGTATTTGTAAGGCATATGCAAATGTCGACGCCATAGGTCTTGTCATTGGCGGAAGTGGCATTGTTTTCGAGTCCGCCCACATTCCCCGCACATGCTTGAGGACTTGGCAATTGCTTTGCGCTTACTGATTCGAAATACCCAGGTCAGCTTGATCGTAACTAGACAAGCCAACGACAGAACAGAGCGGCACTGATGATGTACCACAAGAAAAGAGAACGGACCAACACCTCCTACACCTTCCCAAACACATCCTGATCCTTCACATCCAACACAATCATATGCCCCGGCGCATGCCCCAGCACCGTCCCCTCCAACCCCTCCGCCGCCCGCATCACCGCCTCCTGCGGCGTAACCCCGCACCCCCAAAACACAGGCACGTTCTCCTCGTCGCCCTCGGTCAGCGGCGTGACGCCGTCCTCCAGCGCGGGCGGCTCGCCCCAGTCGGGCTTGTTAACATCACAAATGCCCAGCCGCGCGGCCGCGTCCCAGCCCCAGGCGACGGGTTCGCCGTGCGCCGCGACGAACGGCCGCGTCGCGTCGCGCACCGCCTCGATGGCACGCCGCGGGTACGGCCGCATGCTGACGACGTACGTCGAGGCGGCGAAGACGCCGGCAGGGCAGAGTGGGATGGTCGTGCGGTACATGGGCACGACACGCCCGAGAAGCGTGTGCCGTGGGATCAGCCCCGCGCGCGTCAGGGCCGCTTCGAAGCTGTAGGAGCAGCCGATCAGGAAGGCGACGTGGTCGGCTGTCCAGTAGGATTCGACGTCGGCGATGTGGGAGGCGGCGAGGGTGCCGTTTCTGGGAGAGGAGTGCGGTTCGGCGTCAGTTTCGAAGTTTTCCCCGTCCAAGAGCATTGAAGCGTTCAGAAAAGGAAAGGAGAGGAACGTATGGAGGAAAGGGAATGGGGTAAGTACTTGTACACCATATACCGCGGCGCGTCGGTCCGGATGTCAATGCCTTTGGCTATGGCATCGTTGGCCACACCGTCGATCCAAGACTTCAGCGCCGAGTAGCTTCCCACGGATGCAGACTCAGCCAGCAGCGGGCATGGCACCGGATTGCGCTTGCAGAGCAGCCGGAAATCGGCGGCGTAACGAGAGGGGAGCACGATCAAATTCGCTTGCAGGTAGTCTGGCGCCAGACCGGACGTCGAGAGGATGGTGTTGGCACGCGCGGCGGCGCGGGCAGAGTGACCCGTTGGATAGGCTGATGGATCCGTGGGAGGGGTGGAGAGGGAGCCCATGGTGTTGATGATCAGCGTGACTGTGGTCGATGATGGTGGTTGTGTTTGGCAGTGAAGCCCTCTACATTGGAATCACTACAGAAAGTATTGAAACTGCTTGATCTTCTCTATCTTGCCACTGCTACTCTAGAAGAAGGGATGGTATGAGGTGTGGAGCTCCGGCCCCGGTAAACTGCCTATCGGCTGGGCGATACGATCCGATAAGCACCTTCGGCAAGCCATGCCGAACAGGCGGGCATTAGAAAAAGGTGCGAAAGCAGCAACATGGATGAAATGACCAATCAACAAGCAGACTGCTGCCGGTGTTCCGGGTCATAGGATCAACCGCGGGGTAACTTGAGTGGTTGAAATTGTGGGGTCGTGCGGTATGACGAGCCGATGACCTGCTGAATATTGATCGCAGGCTAGGATGCCCTCTCACACCGTCAATTGATGTGATATCGATGGCAATTTCAAAACGGATGTCTTGTGCTGCATGTAGATAGACGACAAGATTAGAATTTCTTGCCTATTGCTTCATGGGGCTTTTCAACGTCAACAAGCCCATACGGAGCTTAGCCGCGCTAAAGATCTTGTTCCAGATGCAAGCTCGAGACTTCAAGCCAAGTTAAGTTATACGTAGTGGATATAAGGACACGGATCAAAAGATCAAGGGTCCAAGAAGTCTACGACCCTTCAAGATTCCGACGATGTCTACAAATAAAATAGAGCCGTACTCCCAAAACACCGTGCATTGATCAATTGGTTCCAGAGAGCACAGTGATCAAATGGCAATGTCTGAGAATGTATCTGATCGAGCGGCACAATGGTGAATGAGAAGGGCTATCGTTCAATTAAAGGGAGGGTTCCCGTCATTATCATTTCTCTAGATCTATGCGTGTCATCGCAGGCCATCCAGACCAAAAGTCATCAGAGGTGGTATTCAAAATCAAGAGCGCGATCTCCTGTCTTGACCTTCCTGGTGTCTTCAATCTCTCCGTTGGCGATTCTCTTCTTCTCGTTGTTACACTTTCTGATGTAAAGATATTTCCCAACTATAAGCAGCTGGCTAACGCAGAGCGCACCCAGGGAGAATCTGCAAAAGGGTATTAGTAAAGCATCATCTAATTTTAGAATGCCGGACTCACGCGTTGCCCAGCTTGTAAGGGGCCTTTCTGTAAATTTGGCCAGCAACAACACCAGCGGTATTTCCAATGGTCTGCTGGAAACCAATGGCCGTCGCACGACGGTAGTGTGGTGCTACGTTGACATTCAGCCAAGTGAGGTTGAGTCCAGGCCCGTTGTAGACTGCAACGGCGCAGAGAAAGGTTCCGAAGAATTTGACTCCTTCAGGCGTATCTGTGAGGAGTAGAATGTATCCGATGATGCCAAAAATGTTTGCGAAGAAAACAAACTATGAACCATTAGCTCAGAATGTTGCCTCTCGTACAAGGAACACTTACTGGACCACGAATCCGCAGCTTGTCCGAGATAAAGGCAAAGCTCAAGAAAGCAATACCGCCAAAGATGTAGACGGGGATAGTCAGATACTGAGACTGAAGAGTGTTGTAACCCATTCCCTGGATAATAGACGGAAGAAAGGTGCTAAAGCCGTAAAGCAAGATATCTTGACAGAACTGAATAGAGCCACTGCAGAATCCGTTAGTACCCAATTTGACCCAAATAATGCCTAACATACCTGAGGTAAACTTTAGGGTCTTTGAGAGCAAGTTTGACTTCGTTCCAGTCGAATTCCTCGCTTCCCATGTAGGCCTGTCGCTGGATGGCACGGACACGCATCATCTCCTTCTCTTCGGCATTAAGAAAGTAAGCGTTCGAAGGATCATTCGGAAGACCGAACCACACGACAAAGGCTACGAGTACGCTGAATATGCCTTCGATGATGTAAACCCATCTAATCGACGTTAATATAGTACCAGGCGGTGAAGAAGGCATGTGCATACCTCCAGCCAGCATAATTTCCGACACCATCCATGTGGAGAATGGCATAGGCGAGAAGCCCACCGAAGGCGCCTGCAATTGCCGTGCACACGAAAAGGTAGGAAACGCGCTTGGCCTGCTCCTCGCGGCGGTAAACCATAGTCAGGTAGAGGTTAAGGCCGGGGAAGAGGCCACCCTCGCAGGCTCCAAGAATCAGCCTGGTGGCGTAAAGGCCGCCAATGTTCTGAATAAAGCCGGAAAAAATGGTAACAAGAGACCAGACGACGCAGAGACTGGTCATGAGAATGCGTGGGGTAAGTTTCTTAAGGAGCACGGCCCATGGGGTCTCGAAGGTAACGTATGTGGCGTAGAAGATGGAAACGGCGGTCGAGAATTCTTGGGCACTTGCACCGATGGCTTCAGGCATACCTGCTGTCTTGACATTGCCTGTTATAACGTTAGTTTGAGGTGTCTTGAAGAGGCTCACAGATGCATACCAATGTTGGAACGGTCGAGAAAGCATGACTGGCAGGTGTGAGCGGGGTCATCTCGGCATGGGAGTAGACGGGAAATATACCAGGTAGACCAGCATGATGACGGGAGTAAATGCAGCATCGAGCTTTGCTAGTAACTTAGTCTCCTTTGCAGGGTCAATGTGCAAGTGAGTCTCGCCCGACTCAGCATGGCTGGCGGCATCCTGAGGGCTCTGCTGGGCGTCATAGACGGGAGACTTGGACTCCGGGTCCTGTGCAGGCGACTCCATGGTGGCAAGCGGACAGTGGGCTGGAGCGGACAAGATGGAGCAGCGGTCGTCTTTAACTGCAACAGGGTTGCAGGGGTGGTAAGCGGGCTATCTCTGGTACGTATAGCGGCCACACATTAAAAGCGGTGATTGACCTGATAGATCGGGATGAACATCCGTGGATAGTCAGGCCGACGCGATAAGCCGACGCTGGCCTGTCTCGGCGTCACCACAACGTGCGACATTCGGGCGCATGAAAAGCCATGGCGGATGCAATGCGACGGGCATCTGAGGCGCTACGTCAAGGTGCAGCTGAAGTGAGACGGGACGAGATGGCTGGAGAGGGGAAAGCGTCGGCAGGTGGATGCGAGATGCGAGCGTTGACGGCGGGCGAGTGGAGCGCGGGGCGGAGTCGCAGCGCACAAGCGATCGGCCTGGCGTCGGCCTGAGCCAGCCAGGCAGGCGCGACTGCTGTCACCACCTTAACGGAACATTGTCCCCGCTGATCGGGCTTGGCTTCCACTGGTTTTCAGTTGCCTGCCCGCCCGCCGTGCGACTTGAGCCTCTCTCTGCCCCGGCCTAGTTTAGAGTCTGTCCAGTCCCCGCTCGTGGACCCACTTGCTCACTATCGCTACCGGCCATGTCTTCTGCAAAGCACCGCTCCCATGCGAGGCCTACCGACCCTTACCGGAGGACTTCTCTCGCGTGAGATTCCCACCTCCCCTTCCTGCTCTCGTCAATTTATTTACCCTTCTGTCTTGCAGGTGCAAACGCTGCAGGGGCAGGAAGACGAAATGTAGCGGCGAGTTCCCCCGGTGCCGGACCTGCGTCAACACCAATAACGAATGCATCTACCTCGAGCACGAACGCAAAATCTCCGTCCCAGAATAGTATGCTTCTCACCACCTCACACCGCCATTTTACCAACCTTACCCAAACAGCTACCTCCGTGACTTGGAGACTCGCTTGAAGGCCTACGAGTGTAAGTCGCCTTCGCCTACCTTCTCACGCCTGACCTTAACAGATTCGCAGCCGGCAACCCACCTACCAATTCGCCTATCCCTCCTTCGGTAGCCTCAGCGCCCACCTCTTCTACCATTGATGACGACGCTGCAACTGATGGCTTTGATGACAATCCCCTCACCGATGGAATGACCCATCTTGTCATCACCCCTTCCGGCCAAAGACGTAAAGTCCCCCCTTTTCTTTGGCCCTAGTGATTGCTGAGACGCTTCCCAGACTACCTCGGAAACTCATCGTCAACAAGCTTCGGCCTCAGGCTGCGCAGCTTCTTCGAGACCTTCCGCCGCTTCGACCAGGACCTCTCGATTGAAGTTCAGTATCCCACCTACAATCCAGCAGCCTGGCCAAAGCGACGACCATCTGTCGCCGAAGTCCCCAAGCTGCCCCCGCGCGACTTTGCCAAAAGATTATATCAGGCGCAATACAGATACATCGGCACCATCTTTTCCTTTGTTGAACCGCGTGTCTTCGACCAGAGACTCGAAAAGGTCTACAGTGGTACCCTGGATCTGTCCGACAGGGAAGCATGTCTTGAGTACTGCCAAGTTCTAGTCATCCTTGCCTATGGTCAGCTGTACAGCGTGAACCAGTGGGACGGACACGATGGCCCACCCGGCTTCGATTATTTCATGCAAGCATTGCAGTTCTTACCCGATACCCATGATGAAGGATCCGTCTTGTTCGTCGAAGTCCTCTCCCTTGTCGGTTATTTCATGCAGAATCTCAATCGCCGCGATGCTGCATTCCTTTACGTAAGGCCACTGCATCTCCGGGTCGTATGAGTCGTCTACTAACGAATACTCCCAGATCGGCCTCGCCCTCAGAATGGCCATTTCACTTGGCCTTCATCAGGAGATAGTCGACCCAGATATGGATGAGGGGATAAGAGAGCACCGGCGCCGCTTGTGGTGGTCGGTCTACTCCATGGATAGGTGAGTCACCAACCACAAGCCGCTCCGAACTCGCAGCTGATCAGGCCAGAATACTGTGTGCCAAGTCCGGAAATCCAATTACCATCCTTGATGAAGATATCGGCGTATTGCCGCCGTCGAGGTTACCGCACGAGCCTGAGGTCAGCTCTGCCACCGTTTTGCTCCACTACACAGAATTGTCACGCATTCTTGGTAAAATCATGAAGGGTGAGATTGAAGTCGACCCACTCCGACAAATGAAACCATCAAGCTGATTCAATCAGGAATCTACCGAAAGAGCCCAAAGACAGGCTCAAGCCTTGTCACCTCTGTTTACAACATCATGACCGATCTGAACAATTGGCGACGTGACCTCCCAAAGCCCCTCCAATTCGACGCATCTCGCCTGGACCGTGACATCTCGCGCGAATCCGTCTCAACGTTTTTACATTACTATCAATGCATAAACATGACCGCTCGTCCTCTCCTCTTCCGAGTCGTCCAACGCCGGCTTGCAAACTTGACCACAGAGAAAGAGACGGACTGGCGTAGTGGCCTTTCTACCACGACCATTGCAGTGATTGAGGCTTGCGTGGCGGCAGCTCGAGACAGCACAACCATGATGCACGCGGCTGCCAAACAGAACCTTGTTGGTAAGGATCTCGTTTATTTCACCTCAGATAACATTTTGCACAGCTCGGGCTGACACTTTACCAGCTACCTACGGCTTCATGGACGGCGAGCACATATTCAGCGCCGCGATAGTGTTAGTGATGGCCAACCTTGCCTTTCCCCACAACGACCGTGATCACGTCGCCATGGAAAAGGCTCTTGATGTCCTTGGTGGCATGGCCGAAAAAGGCAACGGTCACATACGAGCGAGGCATGAGCTGCTCATCAAGTTGCGCGGAATGACTGCGACGGATCCCACACCATTAGTGGCAGAAGTAACCAGTCAGACCATAGAACCGCCATCACTAGCCTTGGCAGCTGGAAGTGAAGGCGAGCTACCGCCCGAGGCAACGATGCAGCCGTTTGATATCGACGCGGCCCTGCCTGGTATGCAGTACACCGGCGATGTGAATCTATGGGAGGAAGGTTATGGCGACTGGGGCCCGGCTGTCGACTTTGATTGGGGGGCTTGGACGGAAGCTGCCCAAGGAAGTGGTAGGTGAGCAATAACGAAGCCATGAGACCGTAGATACGAAACGATGCATTCACGATCCAAATGTCTGCAAATATATAAAGCGTTTTCATGCTTCAATGAATATTTCCAAGTCTCGCAGAAACCGTAGCGACGGATCCGTGATCGAGAAGATTGGTATTGGTATGGCAACCCAGCTTGCGGAGCTGACGATTTTATCCACACATTTTCCATGACGATTTGACCATCCTTTTTGGGTCTACGAATGCTTCAAGTGATCATATCTGCAATTTTACTACACTTCAGCCCATGCTTACTTCTCTTCCTCATGATCGCTCAAGCCTTCGTCTCCTCCCTCACCTCGCCATCCTCCTCCTCCAACGTCTTCGCCTCGGGATCCTTGCCAAACCCGCCCTCCACGCCAGCTTCCTCCCTACCCGTCCGCCTCTGCACCGTCCTGCCTCCCTTGGAACTCCAGACGCCCCCGGTGACGCCGCCCTTGACGAAGAGGTAGTCGAGGTCCTCGAGCTCGAGCCCGTTGGTCTCCGGGAAGAAGCAGTAGACGATGGGGACCCAGAGGGCGCAGAAGACGGCGAAGATGACAAAGGTGCGCCACTGGATGTTCTGCGTGGCGATGGGCGTGATTTGGACGACGGTGAAGACGCACATCCTGTGAAGAGAGGGGAAAAAAAGTATCAGTCAGTCTGTATATACTCAAAAGAAATGAAAATGGCAAGAGAGAGGGATGACGGGTTAGTCAGCACGTACCAATTTATGAAGGAGCCGAGGGCTTGGCCCTTGGAGCGGATGCGGGTGGTTGTGACCTCGGAAGGATAAAACCAGGGTATAGGAAGCCAGCCGATGCCGAGGAAGATCTGGAACAGGAAGACCATGGCAGTGGCACCGTAGGCGGCGGGTTGCGTGCCCGTCGAAAGGAGGATGCTGGCGAGCGAGAAGCAAACGCATAGCCCCGCAGCACTGAACATAAGGAGCGCTCGGCGGCCGTAGCGGTCGACGGTCTTTTGTTTTGGTCCTAGTGTTAGCAGATTGTCTCAAGTTATGAAAGTGATAAGAGAGAAATGACGCACCCAGAGAGGGATGAAGCTGCCGACAAGATACGTCAGAGATGTGCAGCCTCCGAGAATGAGAGAGATGGTACGCGTCAGGCCCATGTTCTGCTCGTAGACGGTAGGCGCGTAGTAATTGATCATGTTTGAGCCTGTGAACTGCTGCATGACGTTGACTGCCAGACACAAGCAGATCCGTCGGAAGTTACCCATCGGCCCGCCCGAGATGAGTTCCTTGTACTGGAACGGTCCGCCACGCGTCTCCTTCTCAATCGACACTTGGATGGTGCGTACCGTCTCAACGACCTCGGCATCATCGATTGCCGTGTCATCCAGTCGCGAGAGCACGTCCGCCGCCTCTCGTGTGCGATCCTTCTCGATCAGGAAGCGAGGTGTCTCCGGGAGGGGCAGCATTTGTAGTACCAGGCAGATGGCGAAAAAGGCTTGGAAAGCGATGGGCCAGCGCCATTGGATGGGACCGGAGACGTACGACAGGCCGAAGTCCATCCAGTAGGCGATGCAAAGCCCAACTATGGTGACGGTGCCTTGGGCGCTAAGGAGTCGGCCGCGATTCTTTGGTTTGGCAAGCTCGGATTGGTAGGCTGGGATGTTGGAGCTGTTGAAGCCGTTGCCCTGGTGGTGGGGGTGATTGTCAGTGAAGGGTCGAGGCAAGACAAATGACCGAGCGCTGTTGAAGTTGTGCCAGAGAGGGGGTATATCTCCTTACAATTCCGGTCACGATACGTCCGACCAGCAGCTGAGCGATGGTGGTAGATGAGGTGAGGATGATGGTTCCAATAATCATGGTTGTGCCGCCAGCAATGATCATGTTCTTTCTCCCGTAGGTTTCGGCAAAGAAGAAGGATATCAAGGAGCCGAACGCGCATCCAATCTGGAGGGGTCAGCGTCCAGGTGTCTTGTTTGGGCGTTGAGGGTTCTCACGTCGTATATGGAGACGATGAGGCCTTGCATATTCGCGTCTGGATTGTTGAAATCATTTCCGAATTGATTTTCTGCGCCGATGATGCCGCTCATGACACCTCTGGACAGCAGAGGTCAGTTAATTGATCGCCATACGTGCAGACGGCATAATTACTTACTGATCGTAGCCCAAGAGGAGGAAACCTTGGCAAGAGGCGGCTTGTCGAAGGCTTAGCATCTCCACACCAAGTGAATTTGCGGATGCTTACCCGTGATGGCCCAGTTCAGCCAACGGCCCCTCAAGTCTGATCCAAACATTGTGCCTCGAAGTGAAGGATGCTGGAGACAGGCGGACAGTTTGGAAGAAGCTGTGGTCAGAAAAAGGGAACCAGGTCGATGGAATAAAGCACCGAGGCGGCTTGGAGGCGGATGCCGCACCCCAACGCCGCCCGGCAACTGCAAAGCTTACCCCCCATGCGTTCTCCGCAAAAGACTGGGGCAAAGTCTGGGGACTGGTGAGGCGTACTCGGTTGATTAGCTGCACCGAGGCCTAGTGCTTAGACGATCATCTCCCAAAAGGGGAAGTTGGCTGCATCAATGCCCCGAATACCGAGCGGTTCGAACAGATGCAGGGACAGCGTTTGAGTGAAGATGAGCAGAAGGCAATGCTGTTCGCTGAGCTGCACTGCGGTATCAAGAATTGCAGGTGGATTACGTGACGTCATGTGGAAACAGTGGAGGTGTTTTGTACCGTACGCTCGGCTTTTCCGAACGGCGGTGAATAACTCAGTCTTACCGCTCGTTAATCATCGTTGTATAGGAGGTTGTGTGTCCGCATTGGCTCATGTGCAGAAATTGATATACGGGCAGCTTCCCTCTTTGAACAAGGTTGTACGGCGCAGGGACCATGAGTCAGGCCAGGCAACAACGGCCATCTCCACTCGAGCCTTACAGTCTCGTATCACAACATACAACGCGCAACGACTAACGGTAACTTACTGCTGCAAACCAGGCGTCATGACTAAAATGGACGAGGTTCTTGAGACCCCGGAGCTGCTGGAGCACATTCTGGCGCAGCTCCCAATGAGAGACCTCCTGCTCGCGCAGCACGTGTGCAGGCGCTTCAACAGTATTATCGCCTCATCGCCCACACTCCAGCAGGCTCTCTTCTTCCGGCCGCGCCCCGCAACGGCTACTCCAAAGCCGTCGTCGATCAAGCTGCTCCACTACCCTGGCGATGAGCCCGTCGCCGAAACGTGGGAGCGGAACCCCCTTCTCGCCTCGGCCTTTTGGCCTTGGTTCGACCGCAGCACTCCGAAATCGAGGTTTTCAGCCCCCTTCTGGGATCCTGATATCTTCTCGACGCTGCCTCTGGCTGACGAGCAAACACGCTTCGCTTTTCTGCGTCCCGAGGCTTCCTGGCGGCGCATGCTGTTGACGCAGCCCGCCGTCGCCGCCCTCGACATCATGCTTGTCAGCCACTCGGCGCTTCGCGGCACCATTGATGATGCGAGCCTCTGTCTCGGCAGCGGCCTTCGGATGGGCGTGCTGTACGATGTCACGTGCCAAGAGATACTGGGCTCCCGTTACCGCGCCAAGCGACGTTTCCGCGTGCAGTGGCACGGCGCCGATAGGAGAATTGTGCTGAACATTGCCAGTACTGCCCAGTGTAAAAAAAGGGATAATAACGATGCCGTATGGAAAAGCTATTTTAGCGGAGCCTGTCAAGGGAAGGGCCTCGAGTGGCGAAAGCGGGACACGGACTGGAGGTCAGTCTTCTTCTTTAAACCCACCATTTACCTCAGCTGACGCCGGAATAGAATAGTGCCTGATGAGGTTCTCCTGGCGGGCGACTATGAGGTTGAGGAGTAGCCCACGACAAGGAAAATGCAATCGAGGAACGGCTGATAATTCAACGCAACTAATATACAATGTTTTTTTTTTTTCGTATACTAGCTGACGGACCCTTCGAAGTGCACCACCCTAGTTCTTCTCAACCGGCTTCTTCGCCGTGATGATCCACGCCTTCCAATCCAACGAAAACTCGCCCTCTCCAAATCTCTCCTGCAATGCCTTCTCAATCGCCGGTTCCAGCAACGGCCCGTACTTGCCCTTCTCCTCCTCGCTCCAGAACTTCTCCGTGATGACCCTGCACATCATCCCGTACAGCTCGCAGAACTCCCGCGCGCTGGCATGCTTCGTCCGGTTCTCGAAGCTCTCGACGCGCATGTCCTCAAACCCAACCGCCTCGACGCCGCGCTCGAAGAAGGACCGCTCCTCCCACGCGTCGTCGGTCGTCGAGAAAGCCTTGCAAAATTCCGTCCATGTCGGGAACTTTGGGCCGTCGAGCGACTTCACGGCCGCCTCGACGGGCGAGTACCATCCCACCGACTCCCAGACGGTGAAGCCGCAGGTGCCGCCCGGCTGTAGGACGCGGTGCCACTCGCGCAGGACCAGGCTCGGGTCGGGCAGGCCGACGAAGCCGAAATTGGTGAGGACGTGGGTAAAGGTGTTGGAGGGGATGTCCATTTTCTATACGTGGCGGTTATTCCTCAAGTCAGTAGAATACCGAAGGGGAGCTGATCCGCTAACGTACCTGAGCGTCGAGGATCTTAGTCGTCGCGCCCTTCCAGCCCGCCTCCTTGATCCTGCTCTGAACCAGGTCGATCATGCCCTGGGAGATGTCGCCGCAGGTATGGTTGATGCGGCCCTTGGCGTGGTCGGGCAGCATGTCGTACAGGTGCACCGTCAGGATTCCCGTACCGCACGCATTGTCGAGCGTGACCAGCTTTTCGCCGCTTGTGGGAGACAGACTGTCATCGAGCCCGGCTTGCTTGATGAGCGGCCGCGCGAAGGGACCCGTCATGGCCTCCCCCGGCTTGTATTTCTTCGCGATGTTGGGATCCTTCCAGTCCATTGTGATTGTCGGAGATAGTACGCAGTAGTTCGAGTTAGATGTCTGATTTGAGAGATAGTTGAGAGAGAAACTGTGAAGTGAGGGCGCTGGTCATTTCAAAAACCTCTCCATCCTGCCCTTTATGTATCTGAAGGAAGCGGGGGCCTCTCGGCCACATTGACAAGCCACAGCTTACGCGGGTGGGACATCAAATGTTGCTGGCAGCTTACGTCCAGTCAAGCTTGGTGGAGCGGTGCAAATTAATTTCCCTTTCAAGCGTCTCGCAATGTCTCCGGCGGATGGGCAGTTATGTCTCCGAGAGTCACGTGACTGTGATTCTCACCCCCAAATTGCCAAACTGAGTTAGCTTCTGTTGAGATCTGACAGCAGAGTCAGGCTCCGGAGAGATTTTTGATCATGGGGTTGATCCTGCGGCCTGAAACCAACGTATTCGACCTTCTGGCCTCCATCACCACTTGGAATCCCCGTTAGCCAGCTTCCTTAAACGGAAGTCCGCGAATGTTTGTCATTTGATAAGAAAATAGCAATCGTCAACAAAGATTTGAACATAAACTGCAAGCGCTGACGGGCCATAGTTCTAATCTTAGCTGAAAGTACATTTGTATGGCTTATTACAAGTCATTCCACCTTCACCTGTACGCCGTGCATCAATCCACCCGATGTTCAGCACTGAAACATGAAGCGGGTTCATAGAGTCAGATAATCAGTAATGCCTAGACTCTTTGGTATACTGTATATTGGGTTGTGCGACAATGCCCAGAAACTTTGGAATTCATCTTTCTCTCTATGCGAGCAAAAAATTCAAGACAGTACCGACCTGCTCCTTGGTGCTCGGCTTTGGCGGGAAAACTTGAGCAGGGCGCTTCTCGTTGGCCTTCTCAAGCGATTTAGGCTTAGTATATAATAGATTCAGCAAATCCTATCTGTCAGAACATGTGCGGTTTCTTAGCATGTTGGCTGCTAGGTCGGTGTCGAGCTGGCTCTCAATCTGGCCCACAGTCTTTTTTTGCAGATTCTCAGTTCGAATTTGTGTACCGCTAACTTGAATGCCATTTTCTATTTTATTTTATTTTTTGCATGTGAACACAGCTGTAACTGCTGGATAATGCTTCTTATATGCGAAGAGCACGTGTTATAAACCTATCAGCACAGCCTAAATCGTGTCCCAGGATTAATCATCGCTCTTGTATCCACCGCTGGTCGCTTATGCATTAGATCATTAGACTTCAGTAGTGGAGCTTCTTCGTAGGATGCCCCAAAAAATAGCTTGCTTTTGGAATCGTCACAGCGGGATTTTGAAGGAACGTATTAACAGCTGTACTTTTTCATCGCCATTAAGCTGGGTGATCCGGCCAATGTGTAATACCTCAACAGCATCCTCTAGACAAGCGTCCGAGAAATCCGTACAAATATTTACAAAACGAAAGGCAAAAGAGCTTCACTGGAATCCCTAATTTTCCACCTCAAACAACCGTCAACGTAGCATTACCCCTCAGATCGGCACTCGAGCTACCGACATAGATGGCAAACTCGCCGGGCTCGACGACGTACTTCATGCGGATGTCCCAGACGCCGAGCTTGCTGACGTCGATGTCGAAGTCGATGTCGACGGTCTCGCCGGCCTTGACGAGCACCTTCTTGAAGCCCTTGAGCTCCTTGTTAGGCACGGCGACGCTGGCGATCAGGTCGCTGACGTACAGCTGGACGACCTCCTGGCCGTCGCGGGTCGAGTTGTTGGTGACGCTGACCGAGGCCGTGACGACGTCGGAGGCGCCCACCTCAGCTTGCGACAAGGTGACGTTGGAGTAGGCGAACTCGCTGTAGCTCTTGCCGTAGCCGAACTCGTAGAGCGGGACGGGCGTCGACAGGACGTACTGGTGGCCGAAGAGCATGGTGCCGTTGTCGTAGATCTCGCCGGCGTCGATGGTGCGGCCCGAGTTGAGGTAGTCGTAGAAGACGGGCGTGGTGCCGACGTCGTGCGGGATGCCGACCGAGAGCTTGCCGCTGGGGTTGTGGTCGCCGAACAGCACGTCGGCCAGGGCGTTGCCGCCCTCCTCGGACGGGTAGAACTGCTGCACTAGCGCCGTGGCGTTGCGCGAGATCCACGGCTCCGTCACGGGCTTGCCGCTCTGGAACACGACGACCGTCGGCTTGCCCGTGTCGATGATGGCCTTGACCAGGGCGTTCTGCGCCCCCACCAGCCGCAGCGAGTGCACGTCGACGTGCTCGCCCGTCGTCGCGTTCAGCCCCGTCCACAGCTCCGTCTGGTCTCGCGACCACGTGCCGACTACCACGACGGCTACGTCGGCCGCCTCAGCCGCGGCGATGGCTTCGGGGAAGCCCGACTGGTCGTTGGACCAGCGCTCAGTGCCGAGCGCGTACGTCACGGTGCCGCTCGATGCCGCCTTGATTCCGGCGAAGGGGGTGACGCCGCGGTACTGGGAGCCTTCGACGACGTAGTCACCGTACTGTTCGCAGTGTTAGGGCGGGCTCTGTTTCTGGGACTGTGATATCTGACTTACGTTCATGAAGTCTGCCATGGGGCCGATGACGGCAACGTTGGCAGACTTGTCGAGTGGCAGGACACTCTCCTTGTTCTCAAGCAGCACGATGGACTCGGCGTCGAGCTTGCGCGCAAGAGCGACCGACTTGGCCGTGTGGATGTGCTGAGCCGTCTCGTTGGCCGGGACAGCGCGGTAGGGGTCTTCGAAGATGCCCAGGACGAACTTGGTCCTAAGCGTCCTGGCGACGGCCTCGTCGACGATGTCGAGGTCCAGCTTGCCCGAACCGACCAGGTCGATGATGGTCTCAAAGTTGTAGGAGCCGCCACCCATCTCAACATCGTTGCCAGCAGGCAGAGCGTACATTGTAACGGCTTCCTTGTCGATGGGATCGGCTCGGCACATCTTGAAGGATTTGCACAGGCGGTCGGTTCCTCCGGCGTCAGAGCTCACGTAGTACTCGTATCCCCATTCGCCACGGAGGATCTGTGGACTGTGTCAGCGGGGGGCAATTACTCCCTCTTTCGGCAGACTTACATCAGTGAGCGTGTGGTGGTCTGCAACCGCAGGGACACCGTCCCAAGAATGATAAGCCGACATGACACTGGTAGCTCCAGCGTCGATGATGGCCCGGTGGAAAGGCGGCAGCCAAGTGGTCCTCAACTCTCTCTCTCCGCCGTGCACCGGGCCGGTGTTGAGACCCTGCTCCGGGTTGCTGAAGCCCGCAAAGTGCTTGACCATGGCACTGACGTTGTGGCTCTCGAGTGCGCGCACATACGCGTATCCCATCTCGCCGGCCAGGTATGGGTCTTCGCCGTACGTTTCCTCAACACGGCCGAAGCGCAACTCACGTGCAAGGTCGACGACAGGCGCGAAGATCTGGTTGATTCCGAGCGCGAGCGCCTCCTCTGCAATGACGTCGGCCATCTCACCGATGAGCTCGGTGTTGAAGGAGCAGGCATGGGCGATAGGGCTGTTAAAGATGGTCGAGTTGAAGTAGGACACTATAGCAAGCCGCTGTTAGGTTTGTGACACCCCTGAATGCAATCGAGAAGTCTTACCTCCGTGGATACCCTCATTTTGCAGCTGTTGCGCTTACGTCAGCTGCACAATCAATGAGGTCATGTCCTGAGAGAAGTTCTTACCAGTGCCGGAATTCCCAGGGTGGTGTTGTGCAGAAGGTAGTCCTGCGCAATCTTGCCGGCTTCCGCAATGGTTTGCTACACGACAGTCAGAAAGACGTACTGGCACGGTATATCACAAGAATGTCTAACTTGAGGGATAGGATAGCCCGTCCAGATCTGGCCTGCCCTCCATTCCATGTTCCACACCAGACCACTGGCATTGAACTCGCCGGTGGTCGCATTGATGAAATTGGTAATGTCGCCCTGGATCAGCTGCGCGACCTTTTCCTGGAGCGTCATGCGCGAAAGCAGATCCTGCACGCGGTCCTCGACGGGGGCCGAGGGGTTCTTGTACAGCGGGGCGGTGCCGTTGGTGGTGAGGTTCTGGGCATTGGCGACGGCAGCGACAGCGGCAGCCACAACGGCTGCCGACAGGGAAGCGACCGAGCTCGAGACCATGGTCGTGGTCTGACAAACGGGCAAACGCGGGCGGGATGCGAGTCCTCGTTCACCCACCGGAGGACCCGCACAGCTTTTTAAGTAAACCCATGGCGTGCCTGGCGGGATGCCCAAGCTAGCTTGCGGCTCGGCAGCTCGTGTTCTCGGATCTCAGTCCCTGGAAGATCGCGGTAATTAAGACAGCGTGGTGGAGTTTAGGCAGAATTGCCCCGCAGCCGCCTCGCTTCGGCCAGAAGAGCCTCGCGCTCGCAGTCCCGGTCGGATGACCGTGGTCCTGGACAATGAAATAACTGGGGGGTTGAAACACGGCGGGCCTCTCATTGGCGGAATATATGACGCACGGGCCCAGCAGGGTGGTGTCTGGGGAGAGCTTGGCTGCGGAGTGCGGGGGAATTGTACCGCGAGCCCAGACAGGAAGGCATCCCACTGGAGGGAATCATGGGATGACATGGCACCATGCCTGCGATCTGCTCATGGGTGCTGGTCGCTCCGCGTCCAACTAGGCATGGTAGACCACCCAGACCCGGGTAATCAGGTGTAACGTGAGCCCTGCCAAAGTATTATTACCTGGCCGCTGCTCTCCCCTACTGGGAGCACTTTCCAGAGCTATTTGCAGACATTGTTGCCAACATGGGCCTCTGGTTCAACATATCGCTGGCCGTTTTCGCCGCGACAGGGTGAGCTTTCCGGGAGTGGGTCCGACGGCCCGCAGCAATTAGCTGATCTCGCCTTCAGATCTTTCCTGTTCGGCTACGACTCTGGTGGTAAGTAGCTGGTTCCACTCAACCTGCTGATTCTCAGACGAACTGACGGCCTTGCAGTCATGACCGACGTCATCCAGTCTCCGCATTTCCTGGATTTCTTCGACACCACCAAAACCTCTCCGATTATAGGAGCAATCAACTCCACTTTTTCTGGTGGAGCCGTCTTTGGCAGTTTGATGGGCGGTCTGACCATGGACCGCTTTGGCCGCAAGGGCACCATCATCATCGGTGCAACCATCGCCTGCGTTGGCGCCATTCTTCAGTGCGCCGCAATGCATCTCGCCATGATGCTGGTTGGCCGCATCATGGCCGGCTGGGCTGTCGGCCTTCTGTCCATGAGTGTTCCCGTCTACCAGAGTGAATGCGCCCATCCCGAAAAGAGAGGCAAGTTTCAGATAGAGATCCCGAAATGAAGAGTGCGCCCAATAACAACCTCCCAGGTTTGATTGTCGGCATTGCACAGCAGATGATCGGTGTCGGATTCATCGTCTCCACATGGGTTGGTTACGGAAGTCATCATGTTCCAAAGACCAGCTCGTTCTCTTGGTAAGTACTCGCTTTGTAACAATCCGAATGCGGCAATTCGCGGGGCCTGAGGCGTTGATGGCGCTTTCGAGGCTTGCTGCCAAGAGCGGGAGCGGCGTCATTTCTGATTCAGGCGTTTTCTAAGTCCAACTTGCATGTAAAAGGTGATCGTGATGGCTGACGATATCGCGCAGGAGGTTTCCCCTTGCTTTCCAGGCCTTGCCCTGTGTCATACTGATGGCCGGCATGCCCTTTTTCCCCGAATCCCCCAGGCACCTCCTGGAGACGGACCGCGACGAGGAAGCAATGCGTGTCCTTCGCAAGCTACATTTCAATGGCAGCAACCAAGAGTGGATTGATCGCGAATTTCACGAGATCAAAACCACCATCTCTGCAGAAAAGGCCATTACCGCACCGTTAGTGAACACCTCTGGGAATTCGGGAGCCTTTCACTTACTGACCTGGTTGTGTTTAGTGGTTGGCGCATTATGTTCACCGTCAAACAATGGAGAACCCGGCTCTTGCACGCCACAGCTGTGCAGGTCTTCACTCAGATGACTGGGTACGTTCCTGTGGCCGAGTGGGCTGAAGTCGAAAGAAGGCTGACGTGTGAAAAGCATCAACGTGATCAACTATTACCAGACGATCATGTACGAGCACCTGGGCATCGAGGGCTCACGCAACCTCCTTGTTACCGGTATCTACAACTGCGTCGGTCCGCTCTGCAGTAAGTGTCCTTCTGCCTTGTGTTTCACTGAAGACACCCTGACCGCTTTGATAGATCTTGTCTTCATCACATTCTGCGCGGATCGCTTTGGAAGGAAAAAGGTATGACAGCAGAGCCCTGATGCGTGACCATCAGCTAACCGATTCTGTCCAGCCATTGATCTTCGGAAGTGCGGCAATTACCTTGGCGCTCATTTGTGAGGCTATACTCAACGCTAAGAACCCCAATGGCGCAAGGGAAGGCCTCTCGATTGGTGGTGTCTTTTTCATCTTTTTGGTGACCTGCGTAAGTAATGACTTTTGCTGAGAACCTCAAAGACCGGGTTAGTAACAGCAGAACAGATCTTCAGTTTCTCCTTCGGTCCAATCAGCTGGACGTATGCCTCCGAAATCATGCCTATGCAAATCAGAGCTCGCGGCAGTGCCTTCGCTACGGGCATTGGCAACTGGCTGGTTTCGACCATCTGGAGTCAGGTATCTCCCATCGGTCTAGGAGCCATTGGCTGGAAGGTAAGCAGAAAACGATACTTCCCAAAGATTGTGTATGCTGATGTCACCCAAGTATTACTTCGTCTTCATTGCCTGGAACATTTGTGTCACCCTCCCCGTCATCGTCATTTTCTTCAAGGAGACAAAGAAGCTTTCCCTCGAGGAGATTGATCTGTTGTTTGGCGAGCGCGCGCTGGGTCAATTGCCGGAGAACATTCATGACGTGAAGGTGGATCCGAATGCCGCAGAGATCATCCATCATGAAACCAAGCAGTAGTAGGGTGTTGTGAGGATCGATCTGGCGTCTATAGGAGGGAGTGCGTCAACCCAACAGTTGTTTCGTACAATACACGGCGAAAGTGATAGACATGAGAAATTACATGGCTGTTGCAAACATGTTAATGGTATAGGGCCATTTAATTATTCAACTGGTTATCTTTTTGGTGTGCTTAAAATGTCTTGTAACATTTTACTCGGAAGGTGGGCCTTCCAGAGGGTATCATAAGTTGGAGCATGGGGCTTTGCCTTGATATGAAGGTCTCAAACCAGTCATCTCAATCGCGGGCGTCTGCATGGGGAGTTCTCCCTGGATCTGAATGACTTTCCGCAAGACTTCCAGTACGTGTGCCGGAGAGTACGGGGACTGGCATGCGAGTACGATTGTGCTCCTCAAACCGAGAGATATGAGATATCGTCGCGCTGTTTCAAGCCCGGGATATAGTTTAGCTCTGACATCCCGTTCAGTGACCTGGGACGCCAAGGGGTTTGCAGCGGCACCTCCCACAACGGTCATCCACAATAGGACTCGAGTCATCAGCGGTCCCCAGCAAAAATCAGGGTCGGGGTGCGTCTTCTCAATGGCTGCTTTAAGAAGTTCCGGAACTGAGAGTGGGCGGGATGGGGTCAATGTATCGCTCGCAAGTATTGCAGCAACTGAGAATGGGACCATGTGGAAAAATGCGTTGGCGTAGATATGGGAAAGAATACGGATGGACTCATAGTACCAATCGCCAAATACCGGGCTCTCGGGATCCTCTGCTGATGGCTTCGGTAGGATTCGGTCCATGAGAAAAGAACGTGCTTGGAAGAGCCGCTCATCATTTCTTCCAGGGCAGGTTCCATTCGAAATGCTTCGCTTACATGAAAGGAATATATCAACAGCCTCCCGAAGATTTTCTAGCAGTTCTGCCGTGTATCTCGAGCATCGATAGTCCTTGACAATGGAGGCCCAGATCCTTTCTGGGAGATACATTGGTTTATCCGGCTCCCGCTCCTCAGGTGGTACGCTAAGGTCATAAGTTGCAGGCACCCAATCCAGGAAGATTTGCGCGGGCTGCTGTTCTGTGTGGATGCAGGCTTGGAATACCACACTGGGACGAGTCAGTCACGTGCTTGTTTTCCAGAGTAGCAGAGTCAAGTGACAAAGATATATGGACTGAAAACATACTGTACTACCGCATTGCACAGCCAGCGCGATGCAGGGGAGTCGTGGTAGAGGCGCTGGAAACCTCCTCTTAGCTGGACGATTCTCTCCAGGCCTTTCTTGTGGACTTCCAGCACGGCGAAGTTTCCATGGATCACCTCGCTATGCAGGAGCCGGGTTAGGATCATGATGGTCTCATCGTCGAGCTGAATGCGTGGGTCGCTCAGGCTCTGGTTGAGCAAGCGCACCGCCTCCAGCTTCACGGCAGCAGTGATGGCGCTCTCGCGGGAGAGGCCTCTGAGGACGTCGAGGCGCGCAGATGCCATGCACATGCCGGCCAGAAAGATGTTGCTGTTCTCAATTGGTGCAACGCGGTAAATGGTTGATGCAAAGTACTCGACGCCTGGGGACATGTCAGCTGCGGTTGCGTAACGTAGCATTCATGGTGGGTACTCACAGAACTGCTGCAGCTCGCGAACATGCTGCTTGGGCGCGGCGAAACCCGGCAGTTGGCCGAGCGGGTCCAGGTGCGAGGCAAGCCGGTCGAGCAGGGAGATGGCCAGACGATTGCCGCCGTCGTGGGCGGGTGGGGCGGGGTTCGCGGGCACGAGGGCTCCGTCGGGGTGCTTGTAGAGGTGCACGAGGGCGATGTGGTCGTGGTCGGCTTGGCTGGAGCTCTTCTTGCGGGCAGCGTGGTCGTACATGACATGCGAGCGGACGGCTTTGCGCACGCTCGCGGCACGGAACTGGCTGGGATCGGTGGAGTTGAGCCAGCGCAGGCCCGGCTGGGCTGGCGGCGGTCGCGGCTTGCGCTTCCTCTTGCGCGGCGGCTTCTTGTTGTGGTCTGCATCGGGGCTGCCTGCAGGGGGGAGCGGTCAGTGGTGGAGCTGCCAGTCAGCAGCTGGCCGCACGACATACTGGAAGAACGCGCTACGGCTGGAGAGAGAGAGTCTTCCGCGTCCATCTTCGCAGAGCCGCGTCCCTCATCGTCCCGCGACATGACGGAACTGCGCGGTCTGCATCACGGCGACAGGACGTCAGTAGCGCGACAGCAGGCCTAGGCCGCGGCGCGCAGGCGTTCCAGTGTCTGGGCGGGGCTGATTCAGCAGCGAGGCAGATGGCGTCTGAAGCCAAATGCACATCACGTGTGCGACCAGGGGCCCCGCAAATCGAGTCGGAGCAGCATCCGCGCTTCCCCACCTGAGCTAACACCACGCCACATCGGTCGGCGATCTTCCTCCTCCTGGCCGGCAATCATAGCATGCCTGGAGATCATCTCACCGTGCAAGCGCTGACGTCGACATCCACATGCGACCAGTCACACGTTTCGACCCATTCAGCCGCACGCAGGCAGGCAAACTTCGACGCACATTTCAATGCATACGGCACATGCATATCTCGTCACTCCTTCACGGCCAGCCTAAAGAAAACGCTGCCGTCTCCACCAGCGCAAGAGGCGAATGCATTTTTCACGTGCTTCGTTTCCCGATTGGTCCCTACCTAGCTGACGTGAAGCCCCTTCACGTGAAGCATGGATGCAGGACGAAAAAAGCAACGTGACAGCGTACTCACCAGGGAGAGCGCCAGAACGCGATATGCACGCGCTCGATGTAACCTCTATATCACAGCATGGCCCCTCCGCTGTTTTCTTGCCCGACGGCGGCGCAATGGCTGATACGTCTGTACTGCCGCAACCTTAACGAGTCGAGCCCTCCTTTGAGCCGAAATCAGTTTGATTATCTCGGATCAGCATCTCTTTCACGCTACTCTCGGCACTGCGGGGCCGAGTCGTATCCCACAAGGCCGATCCCCCTCAGACAGGACAGCACCATGGCCCACGCCTCCCTCCATTTGCAAAGAATCGAGAAGCATCCCGCCCATATCAACCAACGAGCACAGCCAATGGTTCTCAGCTTCCTCATGAAGAATTCCCCAGATTTGACAGCCTTGATTGAAGACGAAATAAGGTAGTCTATGAAGGTGCCTGAGGAAGAGGGTATAATAATGGCACTGTCTCACACAATTCTTCGTCGACGATCAAACCTGTAGCACGACGGAACCATGAGAGCCTCCATCCAAGCCAGACTTTCCCTCGTACCGGTTCCACTGAAGCGTGCGCGTTACCAGTCCAAAGCACCGGGTGCGGTATGTTGCCCTTGTTTGTTTGACAGACAGAAACGAGACATTCCTCGGGCCAGGACAGTATTACACCAAGACATTTCAGAACCCTACTGACGTATGATACATTCATCTTGAAGACTAGCATATGACAACAGAGATCTTATCGATGTTTTTGATGAACTCCAACATGGGATAGGAAAGACGTAGATTCGCCTGGAAATGAACAAGTTGACCACGCATGGAAGGGCTTAAAAAAAACATACAGCGATACAGTACATGTCGAAATAAGATGGTGGTACCGAACGTTACTCCAAGCCCCTGCACGATAGCCCCCTTTGCTCTCCCGTTTGCCGTGATTTTACATTCCGAAGTAATCTCTAAACGGAGAATTAAGACCCGCGAGCCGTCATATGCACTAGGTACCTCCGGGATCGCCCCGTGAGAATCGAGATCCGCAGGATTCCGAGCCCGGCATTGTCCAATAGGGGCAGTTCCGACAGCGCAGGATTCTGTGCGACCAGCCAGTGGTGGGGGTGCCATGTAGCCAATCCAAAGGAGCGGTCGCTTGCATGGTGATACAGTGAGTATCAAACACAAAAGGTGCAGCGGTTCGGAATGCCTGCAGGCAACAGATGCTGGATTTGTGTCTGACTGCAGCTACTGTCTGTCGAACAGCGTGCGCCTCATAAGTCACTGCTGTCCCGCCACCGCTCGTCCCATCCCTCCAAGGCCCCTTCATACTTGCCCACACCAGCTTGTACCCGCAACCGCATAGCGCCTCTCGTTCCCTGCTCATATGAAGCCAGATTGAGGACGTCGCCCCTCGGGTTCCAGCTTTTCTGCACATTGATTGTCTTGTGCTTCCCGATACGAACCAGGGAATGCTGGAACATGGGATCGGGATGCGTGTCAGCGATCGAGGTGAAGTCAAGTTGCACCACATTGTTCTCCACACCAGCGAAGATGGAAGGCGAGAAAGGCGACGGAGACGTAAGAGCGTAGACGGGGGAGTCGATGGACCGACGGTCATTGCGACGCTGGTTGTGCCTGAACTGGTTCCGCGGGTTGAGAAAAAGATTCCAGCCGTAATGGCTGCTGTGCCATTCTGAACCGGCGTCTCCGTCTGTGCGTGTGCCATTGCTGAGGGAATTGCTCTTGGTTCCATGTGGCCCGCCGACATGCGCGTACTGAAAGGCTCGCCCACCAGAAACACGCATGTCGAAGAACTTGACGATGCTGTGGCGCGAGCTGCCGACTACAAGCCTCTCGCGCGCAATCGTCTGCAGGGCATACACCGCGCCATCATCTGTTGGATCCCAGTAGCAAGATTCGTATGCTGCAGGCGAGCGCATATCGTGCACACGAACAATACCGTCGTAACCACCGCTCAGAAAGACATTTGGATCGTCCTTCGCCGAGTGCGGCAACGGCAGAGGCGAGATCGGATACACCGATGACTGCCTGGGCTCGCCGTCAGTCGTCACCTCGACTCTATCCAGAGCACCCCAAGGAGTGGCGTCAAGGCCAAATTTGCGTATCGGGCCCTCTGAGAAACCCGAAGGGGTGATTGCGTAGACGTGAACCGGCTCTGTAGAGGGTCCCAAACCAATCGCAAGAGTTTCGGGGGAGAGGAAGCGGGTTGACCATATGCGGGAAGGGGTGTGATTTTTGGACAAACTTTGCAGATGGCTGATCGGCTCTATCGTGTCTGCAGCCTTGTGCACTGGGTACAATGCGACGGCCGAGTCTGCGAAAGCAGCTGCGAGCAGAGGGTTCTTGGACGACGATGAGACATGAACAGCCTTGACGGGGCGGCCGTCGGTATTGTAGATCTCACGGCGCCACGCGGGCGGATCATCTAGCGTAAAGGTCACTAGGTTCAAGTCACCGTTAGCTGTGCCCAGTATGACCTGTTCAGCATCCGGGTGAGGCGTCGCGCTCCTCTGGGCAGGCCGGAGGATGTTGACGCAAGTAATATCGTCTCTGCCCTCAAAGGAACCGGGTATCTTGAAAGTGAACCAGCTTGTTCTATGGTGATATTGGTCGAAGTAGTGCTGTCGATCTGCTTGCGAGACTTGGTCCCATAACCTTTCAGTTGCTGGGCCCGACTCCTTGGCCCGGATAAGTAGATCGGTCCCAGCGCCCCACACGAGTATCTCTCGACGACCGTACGCAGATCCATCAGCAAGTTCTTCATACGAGTCCAAACTGGGCTGGAATCCCATCGTCTGTCCTCGGGGCCGCTTCCATTGCGTCAACGGCTGTCCACTGTTCAGGGAGACAATAGAGCCGGCAGGCTCGATGTAGCGACCAACAAAAGCCTTCCGGTCCCAGTTCCTTGACAGAGTTGTCAACGAGTGGGCCAGAAGACGTGCGGGCTGGTTGATTGCTGGGTAAGAAGGAAAGCGACTGCGTAGGAAGATTTTCCAACCATCGTGCTCTATGAATGTGTGCAGCTTGCGGCAGGTTAACGACAGGTCGCGCAGGGCTTGAGCGGTGGTGAAGTAGATAATTATGTGCGACAAGAGCTCTATAGGGAGCTCTTCAAGTGCTGTGGGCATTTTTCTTGCAGGTGTTGAAAATCTGTGTTGGATGGCTTTAGGCAGCTACGTGACGGCGAGAACGTCATCCTTGGGGCTATCGATAAGGCCGTACATGACTCATGAGTCTCGCCAAGAGCGGCCTCGTTTTCATTCGCGTGCCCCCTCGCGTCTCTTCGCCTCGTCTTTCTCGTGCCCGGGCCACTTTACCCGTGAGCACACACCTTCTCTCAACATGACTCCACCAATCCAACTCTGCGCAGCCGTGACGAAGCTCGTGGCTACGAGCCTCTTAGGAATGCCTTACGGCCGTGAGCTAACCTTTAGGCGATTGGAAACATCGTGTTCCCTGCCGACTGCAACATAAGACGTCCAGATATGCTTCGTGTGGCTGGCGGGGAAGTGTCCTGGTCTCCACAGCCAGCAACCAATTTACCCGGTGGGGAAGCCTGCTTCAGTATGCGTGGCGATCACAGCGGAAAAGAGGCTACCGTACCGTTGCGACCGGCGGCTTAAAAAAGCATGCAATTTCTCTCAAACACCGACTCGCTTGCAATCGCATCTCCGAAAAGGCATCTTCCCTGCAACAATGGCCTGGACTTCACTGGCCCCCGTTCTGCTTTCTGCCTTAGTGGCGCAGCTTGCACTATGCCAGAACCTGACATACACCAACCCTATTCTGCCAGGCTTTCATCCCGATCCCAGCTGCATTCTCGTCGCTGAATGGGACAATACCTTTTTCTGCGCCAGTTCGAGCTTTTTAGCCTTTCCTGGCATTCCCATCCATGTCAGCAAAGACCTTCAACGCTGGCAGCTGATTGGCAATGTTCTCAATCGTCCCGGGCAGCTTCCTGAACTCGCCAATACCAGCAGGCAGACTAGTGGAATCTGGGCTCCAACTATCAGATATCGCAATGGCACTTTCTATATTGTAACCACCTTGGTTCATGACGATCGAGACGCGTTCGACTCGAAACGTTGGGACAACGTCATTTTCTCCTCCAGAGATCCCTACGATGACGCGGCGTGGTCCGATGCTGTCCATTTTGCCTTTGAAGGCTACGACACCAGTCCATTCTGGGACGATGATGGCCAAGTCTACATGACGGGTTCACATGCTTACAAAGTGAGGCCTGGAATCGATCAGATGCCCATCAATCTTCAGACTGGAGAAACGGGTGAGCATGTCAACATCTGGAATGGGACCGGAGGCCTAGCGCCCGAAGGCCCGCATGTGTACAAGAAGGATGGGCTATACTACCTGATGATTGCCGAGGGTGGGACCGGTCTCAACCACATGGAAACGATCGCCCGATCCTCGTCCGCAAACGGTCCCTATGAACCATATCAGGGGAATCCCATCTTGTCAAATGCGAATACCTCCGAATATTTTCAGACTGTTGGCCACGTTGACCTATTCCAAGACACAGCCGGGAAATGGTGGGGCGTCGCACTTGCTACACGCTCGGGGCCTCAGTTTCTCACATACCCAATGGGTCGCGAGACTGTACTCTTCCCTGTGACCTGGGACGAGGGAGAATGGCCTGTTCTTTCTCAGGTGAGGGGCCACATGACTGGCTGGCCGCGCCCGTCGGCGCCAGGCTCCATTGTGGGAGCGGGGCCATTTATCTCATCCCCTGACGTTGTGGATTTCGCCCCGGGGACGGCCCTCCCTCTCCACTTTTTGCACTGGCGATTCCCAAGGGCAGATGCATATGCCATTTCACCACCCGGACATGAATACAGCCTGAGGTTGAAACCGTCAAGGCTGAACCTGACAGCATACGACGCACAAAACGCGACTGAGGACCAGACACTGCTGGCCAGACGCCAGGTCGACACACTATTCACTTTTGGTGTGGATATCACATTCTCGCCGCAACACGAGGAAGATGAAGCAGGAGTAACAGTGTTCCTCACTCAGAATCATCACATGGATCTTGGCCTTGTCCTACTCCCTTCTCGAGATAATGACTCGGTTACATCCGCGCCGACGCTGAGGCCACATTTCCGCTTCCGCGCGACAAGCTATGTCGCTGTTCCGGATCCGGTGGTGGTGCCCGTGCCTGATGCCTGGGTAGACCAGACTCTCAGGTTCGAGATCAAGGCTGCTAATTTGACTCATTATTCTTTTTCTGTCGGGCCGAGTGCACATCAGTCGCAGATGACGACGGTCATGTATGGCGCCGGCAGCGTGGTTAGCTGGGGTTTCACAGGTGAGCGCTCGCTTAGAGAGCTGAAACTCCTGTTTTGTGATGACAGAGGGCTAACCCATCACCCATAGGAACGCTAGTCGGCGTCTATGCTACTAGTAACGGCGGCAATGGCTCGACGGATGCATATGTGAGCCGATGGAGGTACCAGGGACAAGGCCAAGTGATTGATTGACGGTTATGTGCTTTCGATGCCCTTGAATCCCGATGCGCGCGAGGACATGGAGGCGTGAGTTCCGATACCCTCGCCTGATATGAAATGTTATATTACTAGCATTCTTCTGCGCAAAGTAGCAAGTACAACTAGACGTTAAATTAAGCACTTCGCGACCAATCAACTTTTAGTCTGACAGGCCGCCCCAAATGAGGCTCAGCCATGTTCCGTGAGAGCCGTCCGCCGCCATCAAGACGACAAGCAAGACCATCGTAGCGCAGCATCACTGGCTACCAGCATGCCTCTGACCCATGTCGTTCTATTCCTTCCCCGCCATCCATGCTCGGATCGACCTTCCACAAGTGATTAACCCGCCAAGCCCCACGTCACGTCGGCCTCCTCCATCCCCAGCCGAGTCCTCGTATCGATAAAGGCCCGGGGCCCTACGTGAACGGCAGATAAGCATCACACCTCGGTGAAACTCAACGAACCCATCACAGTCCTCACTGTCAAAAGGCCCCATCAAACTCGCTTTCCTTTCGAAGCGGCAGGAGACCTCACGATGCTCGTGCACATCTTCGTCATCGGCCTCTTCACCGCATTGCTCTACCGGCATGTCATCTACCCGCTCCTGCTTTCTCCGCTGAGCCGCATCCCCGCGCCGCACTGGTCATGCCACATCTGTCCGCTCTGGATTTACGACCGCCGGCGCCGCGCACGCGAGGTGCGCAGCGTGCACGCCGCGCATCAGGCTCTGGGCCCTGTCGTGCGGCTTGCACCCAACGAGATCTCGGTCGCTAGCATCAAAGGCGGGATAAGTAGGGTGTACGCCGGCGGGTGGGAGAAGGATGGATGGTATGAATTTTTTGCGAATTTCGGGTGAGTCCCTGTTTAAGACCCTTATCGTACGGTACCAGACTTGACCTAGAAATTCGATTCTACTTTCCATCATCTTCCAAATCATTTCCTCCTCTAATTTCCTTTTTTTTTTAAAAAAAATAAAGATTGAGTCAGCCTCTACTTTGTGTTTTTGACTCAAGTTTGCAAAAAAAAAAAAAAAAAAAAAAACGAAAACATGTTTCTTACGGTCTCTAACTTTCTGTTAGTGTCCCCCCAATGTTCGCTACAGCCGGTGCAAAGCCGCACTCGACTCGGAAGCGCATGATCAGCAATATCTACTCCAAATCCACCATTCAATCCGCGCCATCCCTCCGTGCAGCCACCGCCGTCATCTTGCATGACCGTCTCCTTCCTCTTCTGGCTTCCTTGACCTCCAGCGGCAGTGACGACGACAATGGCGGTAAGACCTCGGTGGCGACCAGCATCTATCCTCTCATCAGCGGTCTGACTATGGATTTCGTGACGTCGCACATCTTCGGCCTGGCGTCGGGTACCAACTTCACGCAAGATGCCGAAGCGCGTGGCCGCTTCTTGCACTGGTACAAATGCCGCCATGGTTACTCGTTCTGGCCGCAGGAGTTCCCGGGCTTCACGAGCTGGGTGAAGCGGTGGCTTGGTTTGAGGCTGGCCCCCGAGTTCGTGGATCAGGCAAACCGGGACATTGAGAGCATGACGTGGGACATGTGCGAGAAGGCTGCGGCTGTCTTGGCGCAGAGCCCGGAGGAGGAGGACTTGGCGTCCTCGAGGCCGGAGGCCTATCCTGCCGTGTACAGTCAGCTCAGCGCTGCGCTGGAGAAAAACTTGGCGAAGAAGGCAGACAGCACCACTCCTTGCGACATGTCTGAGCGCCGCGTGCAGATCGCCTCGGAAGTGCTTGATCACTTAGCTGCTGGCTTTGATACCTCGGGAATTACGTTGGTCTATCTTGTGCATGAGCTGTCTCAGCGTCCCGAGCTCCAGAAAGCTCTCCGGTCTGAGCTTCTCAGCCTATCCACGCCCATCACCGCTGCATCTGCACCTGAGATCCCCGACGCGAAGGAGCTTGATTCGTTGCCGCTGCTCCAGGCCGTGCTGCAGGAAACACTTCGTCTACACTCTGCGATCCCTGGCATGCAACCGCGCACATCGCCGGCCGGCGCATCGCTAGGCCCGCCAGGACACGAGTACGCTGGCTTGCCAGCCAAGGTGCGTGTGGCTAGTCAAGCATGGACGCTGCACCGCAATGAAGAGGTCTTTCCAGACGCAGAGCAGTGGAAGCCAGAAAGGTGGCTGGATGAAAAGGGCGGCTTGCTCACTGCAGAGAGCGAGAGTGGCGGCGAACAGTACCGTGAGATGATGAGATGGTTTTGGGCCTTTGGCAGTGGCGGAAGGATGTGTATCGGCAGCCATTTGGCCACCTATCGTGAGTCTCGAACCTTTCCCCTGGCACGCATACGCGTTGCTGAGTGAGCACTGACGGCTTGGCCAATACAGAGATGAAGTTCATCATCGCCGCAATCTATTCAAACTACGAAACCAATATCGTGAGCGACGAGGGTATCCAGCAGTGTGATGCATACACTGCGCCGCCCGTGTCCGACGAGCCCCTGATGGTAACTTTCAGGCGTGCAAAGTGAAGTGCGAATAGGGAAGAGGCACATCTCTGCTCGACACTGTAAAGTCAATTATTCAGAGTTAGAAGAAATCCAAGACGTTACTCTGTGCACGCGTGCATAAACAGTGCAAAGCAGAAGTAGAGCCGAGATTATTGTTCGTCCAGGAGGGAGGAACAGAAACGACGGTTCGACGTGAGTCAGTTGCCTAGGAAGGGCTTAGAGTGGGGCCAGAGGTGTGAACGAGTTCTTCAAGAGGCCATTGGCTTTCGGAAATGACGACGTCTTACGCCTCCCGGGGCGGCTAAGCTCGAACAGGCCGGAGCTCGACAGGGGGAGGCAAAAGTTGCTGTGGATGCGTGGTGTTGAGCCTCCGGGTGGCCGAGAGAACAGGTGTTCGGCGTCTGCGAAACGTTCGTCGTGGGTCAGCGCGCGAGCTATGTTGTCAGTGCTAGCCAGGATAAACGGTGTGGCTTGCTTGATGCAAGTAATTGCGGGCGGCAAATGGCTCCGATTCGCCGCGGGAGGGTCGACGGTGGCTGCTAGCTCGATCCTCCAGCTTCACGCCGTCGATGCTCCCCACAACGGGGCAGGCGGACCGGCAGGCCAGGGCGCGACTCATGGAGCTGCAGGGCTGGTGATGACAAAGGATTCCAGGGACCTGGACGGTCGTCCCTACGGCGTGGCGAAACAGCGGAAAGCGGTGAGATTGCTTGCGAGGATGAGACAGGCCGCGGCTGCAGGCCCGAGGACGCAGCCGGGTTTTCAGCAGGGCGTGTTCCCGTTCGGTGAGAGGCTGAGGTCGCACAGGCAGCGCTGGGCGGGGTGCCGGGGGGCGGTTCCGCTGCCCTCATCAATCGATCTGAGGCTGCTTCTTGCGCAGGTCCGCGCAAAAAGAACGGTGCAGCAGCGCGTTGCTTTTCGGGCTCGCCAATGCCTGCCGCGCCGCAGCGCGGGCCGCGCAAACGGCAGGTCGACGAGAAGCACTGGCCCTCGATCTGCCTCTGATCGCCCGGGCTTCACAGCGGCTGCAGTGCAACAGGCCGCGACCCTGGTCGACGCAGGCCTCTGAAAGCGCTTGCAGAATTCTATCAGCTTTCGGTGCAGCTGCGTGCGATAGCTCAGATGGCGCGACGCAAGGCATGTGAAGCCCCAAGGGCGGCCGCGGGCGAGCTGAGCCCTCGCACGATATGGCGGGGGCGCATGGGCGTCTAGCGCCTGCTGCGCAGCGAACCGGGTCGCCTCTGCGCAGCTCCGCGGCGGTGCGCCCCCTGCGCTTGGCCTGCGATCCGACAGGGCCAGGATGCCAGAGCGTTGCCCCCTGCCCATGGCAACCCGGTGCAAGAGGTTGCCGTTGAACCTTCTTTTGCTGCTGCCCTAGCGCCAGATGTGCAGCGCGCTGTGCACGCCGCATATGGGCCATGCTGATCCGCTCCGCAGTCTCAGGTGGAATGTTGCCGCGCACCCACGACGTCTGCTATATCTCGCGAGACGTCCCCGGCCGCTGTCACAAGCCACGGCTCTCGTTCCCTCGCGGCCGCTCTCACCACCTCTAGCACGCCCGCCAGCTCCCCAATCCGGCGTCGACGGCCACCGGCGCTAGCAGCAGCAGCGCGCGCGGGAAGCGCCCCCATGCCCGCGAAGGGATGCGCCAGGCCCAGTGGTCCCTTACTTCGCCATCACATTGCGTTCTCCTCCAGCCCCGCGCGGCGGGCGTTGAGGTAGCGCTGCGGACGGGGGCTCGTTGCCGGCTAGCAGCTGCGTCGGCCGCCTTCCGCGCGCCGCCATTCGTGAGCCCAAGTCTGGTAGCGAAGATATCTTAGCCGGAGATCAGCAGAACCTTGAGCTCGCCGTGGCGCCGACGAGAACGGGCGAGATGAGCCAGTGATCGCCCGCACAGCTGCAGGTGTACTCAGACGCCCAATCCTGACCCCCTCCGTCCGCGCGACACCACCGCGACCTCCTCTCCCCAACGGCCTCCTGCCCGCCGGGCGCCGCCCCAAGCGCTCTGCCCGGTCGGCCTCCGCCTCACGCACCGCCTCGCGGCCGACCTGCCCGCCGCCGCCGCACGTGGCCCGCGAGCCTTGGTTGACCGAGCCCGCATCCGTCGTCATCCTCCCTCCCAGGCCCAGGCTTATCCACGGTTCCGGCGAGCCCAGCGCGGGGTCACCAGGCGCGCCCGCAAGCTCGAGAGCACGGCTAGATCCGGCACCCGGAGCTGCCTGACGATTGCCCCTCCGCCCAGCGAAGCCGCGATCAGAGCGCCGCTAGCAGGCGTGACTGCATAACTCTGTGCCTGCGGTGGGTCTGGCCATCGTCACTTCTCCCCAACTCTCCACCCCGCGATCACGCTTTCTGCCCAGCTCCCGTGGAGCCGCAACCGCTCGTTACCCGCTCGCCGGATGCTTCTTTCCTCGATGCTGAGATCAAACCTGGCCTCATTCCCTCTTCCTACCGTCCCTTCGGATTTTGGCCCGCCTGTTATCCTCCGCACTTCTCGCCAGCCCGCCAAGCGCCCACCCAACCACGCTCTGCCCTCCCCGCTACTTGTTTCTGTTGGTCTCGTAGAACCCTTTCTGTTTTTCTGTGGAGACCAACCACTCTTCTTCCTGCGCCGATAGCACTTTCAACGGCCCCCCGCCGCCCTCAGCTGCTGGCGCTGCTGGCCTTTTCCTTTTTACTTGAAAACCGGCCCGCCTCCTGCTCTGCTTGCCTGGCCTCAAATACCGCGGTTGTTCGACTTCGCCGGCGCCACTGTTCCAGCCTTTCTCCCCTCGACTTCGCAACCAGGTTCCAAGCGGGCTGCACAGAGCGCCCTGCCGGCCAAGATGATGCCCACGCACTTTGGACCGCCTTCGGGGAGCTACATGCCAATGTACATGGGCGGCCCGGTCTACGCCCAGCAGCCTCAGCATCAGCACCAAACGGATGTTCGGCCATTGAGCAGGTACGGCGGAGACACGTCGCGGAGTTCGCCATCTCACGACGCCCGACTCCCAGCTGATAATGTACAACTTAGCGCCGATGTCGAGCTTGTCATCCGCCAGCAGCCCAAGGAGGCTCTCGTCACCGTCGACGGAAAGGAGAAAGGTGAGTTTGCACCGACCCGACGACTTGTGAGCCTGGGCTGACGCCCGGCGAAATGCGACAGCGCGGAAACCTGTCGATCCGCCTCCCATCATCCAGCTGCGCGTGAAGCCGAACGCCGATCCTCAAGGGTAAGACGCTCAAGCTCCGTGGAAGCTGGCGGATGCTGACGACATTCAGACACTACATGCAGAGTCCGTATCTTATCATGATTGCGGACTTGTGGCACCCTGAAGAAGACGAAGCCAACCCAGACAAGGCTTTGTCAGGTACCATTTGCTCGTCACTTCATCGCCTGAAGGATGTTGACAACAAGGGTAAGGATGGCATCCTGATACCCGTGGTCGCAGACTCATCCTCGTCCTAACGCTTGTCAATCTTAGATGGCGCATTCTTCGTGTTTGGCGACATTTCAATCAAGCAGCAAGGCGAACACCGCCTCCGCTTCAGCCTCTTCGATATCCACAAGTACGTAAATCCGTGGCTTGCGACAGGGGCCGATACTGATTGCGCAGGCCGGGCAACGTGTATGAATTCGTTACCAGCATTATTTCAGACAGGTTCAAAGGTGAGCACAAGGCATGTGTGCTGTATTTGCGGGAGCTAAAAGTTTTCAGTCGTGTCCGCAAAGGACTTTCATGGAATGGACGAGTCCACATACCTTTCCCGCGCTTTCTCGGACCAAGGAGTTCGACTCAGGCTTCGCAAGGAACCAAGACACGTGATGGGGTGAGACAACCGATTGTGCGCAAGATTGGAAAGTTGATACTAACGTTTTTGAGGAGACGCAAACGATCGCCACCCTCACAGACATTCGAACAACCCCCACCACAACAGTTTCAACCTCCGACGCCCACCAATCCCTCTGCCCTTGCGTACCAAATGAGCAGCGCCACGTACCACTCGGGTTATTCCACGCACGCTGACGGATCTCCTATCAAACGACAGAGGGTGGACGACGATGCCTCGCCGCGGTACAACGCGAGCCACGTTAGCTCGTCCCCATCCGCGCAACAACTGCCGAACAGACAGGGGAATTTACCCGTCCAATCACCAAGCGGTATCAACATGAGCATGGGCACTTGGCCGGCAAACAACATAGGTTATAGCAGCAACTACAGCAGCTATGGAAGGGGTATGTCAATGAACAGTACGTCAGCTCCCCAGGAGCTGACGACCATGGGCCCACCACTTGGCGGTGCTAGACCGACTCTTTCGGCTGCTCATACGAGCAGTATTGGTTTACCTTCGGTTCCCTCGCGGAGTAGTAATCTTTTCGCAGGACTCGAGCCCTATACGGACGACGGACTGACCCTGCCCCCCTCGTACCACGATCGCACAGACAGCCTCTCAGGATCGATCAGCCACATCGATTATTCAAATCACGCGACAGACGGTACCCGTGGCATGCCTGTTCAGTCTCCAGAGCACGGCTCACATTTTCCTCGTTCCGAATTCCACTTCCAGCCGCCCAATCTGCAGTCCGGTTCCCTCATGAATCCGTTTGAAGGCAGCGGAAGCAGGGCCGGGACTCAATGGCCGGCCGTTCCAGCCAGCCGGTACGAAGAGCGCGTTGATCGTGCACGCTCACACTACCAACTCAATAGCCTTCACCACCCGATCGGGGGCAGCGATGGTCATCACGCATCCCCGCATCACGGTTCTGGTTTTGACGATCAGTACAAGCATGAGGACCATCATTTCAAGACCGAGGGGCAGTAAGATGATGGGATGTACTCCCATTGGATACGGATTTCGATGGTGATGTTGTAGGAGTCCAATGTCCCTGGATTGGAGTGAGGGTGGTGATGCAATTTCCGTCGACGACGCAGGCGATGAGATCATGACATTGAGGCTGGCCATGTGTTTCTCTCGAAAGCGACGGGCGTCGACGTTCTTATACCTACTGATTTCGACTTATCCGCGGTTCCTTGGAGTTACGGCATAAAAAGGGCGGGCAAAAACGGCTGCACAGAGGCGTACCACGGTCCCATTAGGCGGCAATATCTTCTTTCGCGACACTTCGAGCATCGTCTGGTCAGTTCTACCATGGATTAGTCGGGTCTCCCTTGTTTCCTTCAGACAGAAAGACATGAGGGAGGTACCTGGCTTTTGGCTTTCGTGTATCATGGTTCATCTTCTGTCTTTCTCTCCACCCGAAGGATGTCCATGATGCTATTACAGCTGGACGCTTTTGTTCTTGTAGTAGTTGTCCTTCGACTCGCGTTGGCAATTGTGTGTTTTCTTTCTTTCTGCTGGGTCGGTCCAGAAGTCGATTTGCATTGCTGGAGAAAAACTTTTACCTCATCTTCTAGATCATGCCCCATGGCGGAGTCTGGCTTCTTGGTTGATTCATTCTTGCTTGCTTCATCTGTTATCGAGACCGAATTTTGCACTTGCGTCATGTTAACAGCCTCACATCGTGCTGTCTCGTCGTCGGTCATCCCTCATCACGATGTACGGTTCAAAATGGTCGCCGTCATGCATTTACGGATCTTTGTATGTTGTGATTTTGCCTTCTAGCTAAGAGACTGTATCGTACGACCAAATAGCGAGATCACAGCAAACATCGCATAGGAACAAATGACTACATTGAAGACGGAGCCCCCGGCTGTGCTCTGCTGAAGGCTTGGGACTCTCACTGTGCCTTCGGCAGATCTAAGACCCGTTCTTGCAGAGAGCTAGATGCATTAGTAAAACGTCGGACTATCTTCTCCGGACGTGGCATCCGCCGGGCCTGTTGATCTTCCTTTGTGGCTGACCTAGCGCATAATGCACCATTTACATGTGAATACAATTTAGCTTCATCCCTTGGTCCGTAGCCGCACCGAGCGAGCTCCTGAACAGTTTAGCACAACTTTGCTAAATAATGTCACTCCTGCTTTCGGCAATCCATTGCGAATCCAACTGCCTTGTGGCATCTTCATTGATGCTTATTGCGCATGAGGCTTGAGACTACTAGCTCTCCAGCCTCGTTAGTCAAGCTGAGACGAGATCGCGTGAATGATTCGACCGCGGTCGAGATTTTGGCAGTATCACAAAAGATCCACAGTCGCGCAGACCCATCAGTCACAGCAGGGCGTACAAGTACGCAAAACAGTCTGGGAGAGGGCCTATTGTACCACGTTACGTCTCATGTACAGTGCCAGCCTTCTCTCAGAGTCAATGCGCCTTGTCGTGAGAAAAAGGCGTCTCCTCGTGTTTTCTAGTCGTTTCATACATCGCTCAGCAGTACATACGCTCTTCTCGGTGCATCTCCTCGTCGATCTGCCCACGAAACGTATTCTTTTTCTACTCTACCTGTGGAAACCTGACATTGTCGTGTTTTCTCTTCATGGTCACGGAATTCCATGTAACGGCCGTGCCAAACGGAGCTCCCAGGTTCATGAAAATAAAAACATAGCAACCTCCTACCATCTACCGACGTTCGCATGATAGCTTTGTTGGCTCTCCTTGCTTTCTTGCCAAGCACGCCTCTCCCTTTGATGGAGTGACAGATGGATCCTAAAACTACTATCAAGCGCGTCAAACCGCTGGTGCCGAAAACATGGGTGCGCCAGTATCTAGCCAGGAACAGACTCAACAAGTCTCTTTAGGAAAAAGGCGGATGGTTCACTCCGGGTCTATGAGCGAAACAAACACGGAACAGGTTAAAAGTGAGAAGTGTCTATCAAGTAAACATTCGAGCGGGCCCCAATTATCAGCACGCGTAGCCTAATATCAGTGGTCGCCATAATCACTCTTCGCTCCACTCAAGCACGGCACTATCAATTTATCGCGTCACCTCTTCTCGAACGCTGACACGCGCACACGACAAAAGGAGACACGTCGACTCCCGAAAAAGCAAGGCATGCATGCGGCTTACGGGAAGTTCATGCAGCCCATGTCGCTCTTAGTAAGTACCTCTCCGTGTTCGCACTGCATCCCTGTCAGCAACACCACCCACGCTACCTCGCGCTCCCTGTCGTGTCGTGTCAGGGGCCCCTCCGGGAAAACGAACGAGTGGGATGCAAAAAAAGAAACACCAACACAGTGCCACGTGCGTGCCTCTCACGAAAGGTACACTGTGCGTGCGTTTGATATTTCATGCGCGACAGCGGCCGCAGCGGCCGACTTTCCTTTTCTTTCTTTTTTTGTCGGAGCAAAAATGCAATCAATACTCGGCCAGCATACGGAAAAATATACACCGGCAGCTTGGGGGCCTCGAGAGCCCCCAGTCATTGGCTTTGGCCAACTATGCCGACTTGTCGCAATCACGAATCTTTGGTTCAGCGTTTCGTCCATTTCTCCAAGCTCACCCACACGAATATAGTGTCCACGTTCCACAATATTAGGGGCTGAGAAGAGGGGGAAAACGTTGCTCGGCTTGCTAACGAAACCCAAAGAAACAGGCATTGTTCATCTGTCGCGAGGAAGAGCATTTTCTCACTAGACCTCAGCTTACTTCGTCACCTCGAACATACGGCTCCATGCCTTCGGCATCAAAAAATACTCCTTCTATGTCACGGCCTGGGCGTAGAGTCAGCATATCAAGGGCAATGGCATTTCAGCTTTTTAGCACAGGTACTTCTGTTTTGCAGCAACTAGCTAAGGGCTCTGCGAGAGTATCGTACACAAGTAAAAAGAAGTAGAAGGGAAACAAAGACAATGACACAGAACAGGGATCGCAGCACATGCAACCGAGTGCAACTGAGATCTACGAGAGCAGAATTCTTGCAGACGGGTCCTCTTCGAGCATTTCGTACCACGCCGACTGACGCGTCGTCTTCAGGAAAACAGAGGTGAGTGAGGAAGAGAGCGGCACGAAAAAAAAAAAAAAAGAAAGAAAGAAAAGCACAGGATGAATATGAAATGACAAGCGGAGAAAGAGTTTTGAATTAATGAGAATGATTCGCCCAATACTTTCAACTCAAAACCAGCAGCCTTCGTGACTTTTTCCCCCTTCCCTCTCGTGAGACGGCATGTCAAAACAAGAAGCAGAATATGGTATTTCCCTAACGTCCCTCTGAACTGGAGGATTCATCGAAAAGAAATAAAGCCAAAACATGAACAAACGCGGAGAAACGCCACCATCATCCTGGACGCAATTACTCATGACATGATTGAGAGAGATGGATGCAACCTCGAACCGTAAGACAAAACGGAGAGGATGATCTGCGGGAAACGAATATTGACGACGGCGGGCCTTCAATCAGTGGCACTGCCAAGTGGGAGAGCGGCGCCACCGGCTATTTCGCCTGCACGAAGCGAGCACCCGGGGATATGGGGACGGAACCAGGCCGTATGTAAGCATATTGGTGGTTCAGACATCAGGGTCGTCTTCACCAATAGCGTCGATATCACCATCGGCATCTAGATCCTCGCCAACCTCGACAAGCGAAGGGGCAGACTTGCCCTTCCCGTTACCAATCTCCTCATCTTCGCTCATAGCCGTTGCAGCATCGTCGTCGTCGTCGTCTTCCTCAATCTGCTTTGAATAGCCATTACTTCGAGTCTTGCCGACCCCCTTTCCCTTGCCGATTCCCCTTACATTGTCTGGCTTTTCCTCGCTCCCATGCCGGCTATCGTTGGCCCCATCAAGCCCGTTTACCACAATCTCTCCGAGCTTGCTCCTTGTACGGCGTCCAGAAGGCATAGAAAGAGGTTTGCCATGTCCGGCGAGCGGTGTCTCCGGTTTAGCGCCACCGAGAGTTTTGCCGCTCCTCGTAGAGCTCCGAACGGGTGTAACGTTGCGCCTGCTGCTGGAAGAGAATGGCCGTCCACGCTTCTTCGCGGCCGTGCCAGGAATGGGCGGAAAGACCTCAAAGCGAGTGGGTGGTATGCCGGCTGAAGGATTGTTTTTGGCTGGTGTTGATTCCTGACGCGAGGTGCCGTTGGCCTGTGGGGTAGAGGGGTTTGACTTGATAGACCCGGTGGATTTCGCTTTCGGCGTTTTGGGTCTCTGCGGGCTTTGGGGATCGCCGGAAGAAGCCACGTCTTCCTTCCCTTCGGCCTCATCATTCTGATTGTCTGATTGATGGCCATTCGTCTCTGGATGCTCAGCAGCCTCTGTCATTTGCACCCCTTCTTCTGGCGCGACCTTTTCATCGTCTTCGCCCTCACGCTGTGCAACTGTCTGCAAAGGTGGGCCCTCGTCGTAGTGAGAGAGATTGTTGTGTCCCATCACATACGGAGTCCAGACAAGACACTCGGCATTGATCTGCGGATACTGCTTGGCCTCAAACTTGTCGATATACTGACGGAAGTAATCATAGTCCAGGCGCAAGGCGTATTTCTTAGTAACAGGATCCCTCACAAGAGCACGCAGGCCTTCCAAAGCGGATACGATGTCGTCGGCCGTCATGCCTGTCCTCTCGGAGATGGTTGTGATACTGATGGGTCCGCGTTGGTCTATGAGCTGGTAACAAAGGATTAGCCGCCAGTAACTCCGGTAGGAAACGAGACCCATGTCCGATAGCGGCTTCTCTGGGGAGCCGGTCTTCTTCTCTACTCGCGTGAGGAGGTACGAAAATTCAATCAGCATGTGCCCGAAGCCCTTTCGTTGATGGATTGGCAGAACGAGAATACAGGATACGTTGTTCAGACTGCTTGGCCGCTTCTCCTTGGAAAAGTATCCGACGAAATGGCATCCGTACTCGTCTGTTTCCGTCATGACGTAGAATAAGAATGGCTCCACATCATAGTAGAGCGTTTTGGAGCCAAGGAAGAGTTTTGCCAAGAGACAGAGGTTTTGGCAGTAGACAGGATTCTTTCGTCCGTCGACCTCGAAAAAGGAAAAACGTCCATCACGGTAAATTTCATCGCCTGGGGGGTGTTTTGCAGGACATTTGAGCTTGTGCCTCCAGGCAACGTAGTCAGAGTTCATGTACTTGAGGCAGAACTCGCAGATATAAAGGACTTTGTTCCGGCTGTATTCCTCTGGATACGGCGCAGCGTGCCACGTGTCGATTTCGTACCCTCCAAAATTGATGCATTTGATCTTGCTTGGTGGTCCCGACACCTTCGAGCTGCGGCTGTGATCACTAGACGTGCCTAGTTGAGCGGTCTTCTTTTTCCAGTCGTCTTCTGCTTTTAGACGTGCATCTTCAAAGCGTTTACGGTCTGCGCCACCAGGAAAGGTTTTGCTCGTATCAGCTTCCGCTTCAGATAAGATGCCTCCATAAGGCTTGGACTTTGATTCATCCATCTCGCGATCGCCGAAGCCGAAGAATTGGGTGAAGTTATTATGGAGCGCCGGGTAGTGAGAGACTTCGGGTTCGGCAGCGGCCGCGGCTGCACGTTCAGCTCTCCTGGCCCGGTCACGGGCTCTCCGCTTCTTCTGTTTTGCAGTTGAACTTAGTACATCTCGCAGCTTTGATGTGTCTAAATTCGTAAAGGCAACGACGAGTTGCTTGTTGGTGGATTTGAGGATTATGGCACCGGGCTGGTCAACCTTTTGAGAAGCGGACCTTCTTGGCCGCGTTCGGCGCGATGACCTAATAGCGTTGGACCCTTCGTCCTCATCCGACTCTTTCTCACCGTCCGTTACCACCGGTTGCGAAGCCACGCGGATTGGGGCTGGCGATGAGGCATCCGAGTCGTCGGCGTCAGGCTCGGATGGCGTTTGCGTCTGAGAGGATCGGCGTCGCTTTCGAGTTGAACGCACAGGCAGCGGCTGATCCTCCGGCTCTGCCTTGCGTTTCCTGAGCGAGCGGGAACCGTCCATAGGATCATCTGGGTGGATCAAGGTGTTGAACACAGAATGCGAGTCGGGCTTATTGGTCCCTCGGGAAGCGGGCAACAAGTCTCTGGTGAGCTTTTGAGCAGAAGAACGCCGCCGAACAGCAGGGCGTGGAGTCTCTTCCTCATCAGCTTCCAGATCATTTTCCACGCAAGCCGTGCAGCGCCAGTTCTCGGCATCTGTACAGCGGTGAGCAGATGCACGGCGCATTGGGACCGAAGTCAGAAGTGCGATTGGCTTGGCTTACCTTCCTCAGTCTTAAGTGAGTTAGCGTCGCGAGCGCACTGCCGATGGGCTGCAGGAACAAACATCAGCATATATTAATCTTTCGCCGCATCTGAGCTTACCATTGTCCCCGCATACAGCGCACGAGAGATATTCCTCAAACTCCTCGCTGGGATCATGCTCCTCGTCCTGACCACAGAAGCTGTGTTTCGGAGATCAGCGTCAGATCCACATGAGTGTTTAGCAGACTTACACGCAGCGATTGGGGTCCACAATCTCGGCATCGCCCTCTTCTGCTGTATCACTCTGGCCCTCCCACTCATTTGCCCCTTCCGACTCCGAGTCACTTTCACCATCGGCATCAACCTCGCTCTCGCTGCTCTTGGACTCGTCTGAAGAGTCGTCGAGCACGGCTTCCTCGTCGTCCTCTTCGCCCTCGGCGTCAATGTCATCGCCTTGCTGCAGCTTGACTGCTCCGACTGGCTCGCCAGCATCCTCATCGTCATCAACCTCCTCGCCTTCAGCGTCGATGTCCTCGCCTTCGGCATCCATATCGGAGCCCTCATCGTCGGGTAGCGGTTGGCTGTGGCCCATGTACGGCGCAGGCTGGATCATGTCCACGTCCTCCTCGTGCTCAGCATCGACGTCGCTGTCTTCGTCCTCGACCGTGTTGCCCATGCCTTGGCCTAACAGCCTACTCGGCTCGGCGGCCATGGCATACGTTACGACCGAAGCCAGCTTCGAAGCAAAGAAAGCCAGGTTTACGTGATGTCGGCAATGGAACTGGCGCGCGCAGTTTGGTTTATTGCCCCGTCATCCGGTCAGTGGCGGCGCTGTCGTCGCGTAGCGGCCGGTCGCGTTCGCGTTGGCTGCTGGCTGTCGCTATGCGCCCCGACGCCTCAGCTACGCGGCCAGGTCGCGCATGTATATGGACAGCCGGAATCCGCAGGCTCGCCGGGAGGGGAGGGCGCGGTGATGGAGCGTGTCGGTAGGGCGGATGTGGTTGATCGGCGGCGCGGGTGGGCTGCGATTGCGTTCGACGCGTCGGCGCAGGGGCTCTTCACGGGAGCGAGGATAGCGGTTTCTGCGACTTGTTGAGAAGCAGAAGGCTCGGCGACACCAAAACCGTAGCTCTCGCGCGCGAGAAGTGCCGTTGGCGGATGTAATGACCCCTTGGTGTAGGTGTCTTGGAACGGAGAGAGGTGCTGGCTGGGGGCGCACGGACGCGCCCGCCGGCCATTCAACCTCCGGTCTTGCCAGTACAGCTGCCGTGGGCGCGCATCACCACCGCCGACAACTGCTCGACACCCCGAATACCGCCCCGCCTACACTCGACACTCGCCACTCACAATGCCCGTCCCCTTCGAGGCGCTGCTCCCTTATGGGATCATGCTGGCCGTATGTGCCTTCCCCGCACCGCGCTGCGCGCACCACCACTGACGCAGCACCCAGTTCTTCGGCCTCAGCGGTGCCGGCATGGCCAAGCTTAAGAGCCTCCAGAACGGCGGCAACCGCACAAGGCACTCGCTGGATGCTTGGGATAGGGTGAGTCTATCAGTCTCCTGCGATTGATTCGAGCAGGTCCGCTAACGCCCGGCAGCAAAGTACGATTCGTGCTCTCTCCTTCCTCACCCGTGACCGGCGAATACTGAACGGATGCAGTGATGCAGCGCGACCGCAGGTTGACTGGCTACCTCAGAGGTCAGACGGACAAGCCAGAGGCACCGGAGGGCTTCGAGTTGAACAATCCCTGGAAGGTAGGCAAGGCCATGGTGAAACGCTTGCGGCAAATGCTAACTCTCAACGCAGCTCGAGAGGCGGGTTTTGTAAATCCAATACCAATGCGAATCACTTTCCTCAAACCCGTAAACGCCAAGTCTGTACAATTCTATATAAGAGAATCCAGTGGTACTTATACCCGGATACAATACATGCATCATTTGAGTTCGGACACCAGACCTTTGATTCCTGCACGTTCCGGTTTGCTCAAATTGATACCAAAAACCCTGTCTAACACGGAAACCCGCTCCTCCTCGTTCTTGAAAGTTTGCTGCGACTCTGTTTTGCCGTGAATGCGCAATTTCAAATCATCTTGGAGGATCATGATTCCAACCAATTCCGCATTCTCGGGAGAATCAATGACCATCTTAGCGCAGATTACCTTTTGCGTAAACCAGACCTTGGAGCTCGTGCTCGTCCAGTAGTTCATGAGCTCATAATCTTGTGGCAGGAACTCTAGCTCGCTGAAGCAGTACATGTCCAGCCAGGGCGATTCGTTGTTCGAACGATGCTGGTACACCCACAGCCTCTGGTTAGGGTCGGTGTTTCCGTCGACATTTTTCCAGGCCAGCCGCATCTCCGCCGGAGCGATTTGGGTGGTAGTGGTGTCGCAAGCATTTCTCTCCAGGCGCAGCGGGCTTGTGGGAGCACTCCAGCCCCCAAACCCAACGTCTATCATATACTTGGCGCCATCAATGGTGACCAAGTTGATCATATGGCTCCTGTGACACGGTGCTCGTTAGCGAATCACGGGTCGCGCGTACGTAAGCAAGACTTACCAGCCGCCGAACGGTGCTTCTGCACCACCCTTGACTCGCGCACCGGCCGAGTAGACCTGATAGCCAAGAGATCTCAGGACGATGTTATGGACCAGGTTATTCTCCATGCAATAACCCCCTCGGCCCTGCGTCAGCACCTGCTTTTGGAATAGCTCGTCGGGATCCAGCGAAATACGGCGGTGCTGGGAATAGTGCAGGCTGAGGTTCTCGAACGGGATGGCGGAAAGGCTGTGTTTTTGCAGCAGAGCCAAATAGTCCAGCTTTTCCTGTGGGCTTAGCGGCGTGACATCATACTGGTGCAGACTTTCCGACAAGCAGATGCGGTCAAAATATTGGCGTAGCTGGGTCCTTGTGTAGCGCGGGGGGTTGGCCATGGTCCGTTCGAAGCTCGCAGGCCGCGAGGGAATGTTCTTGCCAGAGTCGTACCGCCTGAGCGCGCTCCTCATGAGGGGCGATCCGGAGCTTTGACAAATGACGGAGATGGCGTTTCTCTTCGGTAGCGGGGCTCTGAAACTTGTGGAGAATCGGCACGGCAACAATAGGCAGATCAGATCCGAGTCATGCGACGTCGCCAAGTGCTAGAAGATGTGCAAGGAGAAGAGCTACGCTTTGTTGGACTTATCGATGCTTGGGCTGAGCGTGCTCAAAAGGCGGATGGCGGCGGAGTTGGTGGCCTTTTCGCCGTCCGCTTGCTCAGCCATGACAAGCGGTCATATTGTCCGATGCGCAGCGCGCAGGCGGAGGGATGGGATATCCTGGTCTCGCATCGTATGCCTCATACAGTGACACAGCAGTCCCCGGGCAGCGGAGTTTCCTGGGTCGGGAGCCGGAAGCGCAGAAGGCTGCGAAACATGTCATTTTTCCCGAACACGTTTGTCAAGGATATCACAGTGGGTGCCAAAAGATTCAAACCAATCATAATTCAGGCTCGCATGATGGGTAGTTGAAGCAGTTGCCCGGACGTACATGGAGAAGCTTATAGGAACGTTCCATTAGGCGGTAGCTCCAGCGCTCACGTGAGTCGAATGCCATAAGGTTCCTCGCGGTGGCGATTGTGGAGATCATTCTGTAATGCGGCAGTCTACCTATGCGGGTGGTTGCAGTCCATGTCCGAACTCGACACCGAAAATTCAGATCTGCAGCACATTTGCGACTCGACATTTTCTTCGGTCGCTCGTGCGACCGAGAATAGGAGGATGTTTCGCAACACGTGTGGGCGGTGGACCGGGAATGTTTGCACTATCGGCAGTCCCACACACCGTGGAGGTGGGGCAGGCGGCGCTTTAAACTTGCGGCTGATGAGCGCCCTGTGGCAAGCGGCAAGAGCGATACGTACACGGCGCAGTTATCTCGCTAGCCCAACCCCTAGCCAAGGGTAAGAAAGCACGAATTGGGCTAAGCTCAGTACTCTGCAGACGGCGAACCAATCAGCGCACGCGTTGCCCCTGAGCGTTTCCCAAGATTTAAGGAACGAGAGGGTGTCCGTCGTGCCCGCATCAACCGTGTAGATTACCGAGCTTATGTAAATCTCGGCGGCTACGCGTCTGACTAGTGAGATAACCGCGCCGGATCAGCATGTTTGCCTGCCAGCCCCTTAATTGGCGTATGAGTAGTTAGAAGTACGGCCGGCGCTGTTGTGCGCATGAGTTTGCTAAGTTCATTTTTTTCGTATCACGGCTTTTACCTTTTGATGCTCTTTCATTCATTTGCCGGTCGCTGTCGTCCTTACCTCATTCCACTCCTTTCCATGACCTTGCGCCGCGCGTCGCCCACTTAGTGACCACCCTCGAGCGCCCGCCTTCACTCCGCCCTCCCTAATACCTACTACCACCACTCGATCGCCATGGATTTAGAACCGCCTCGGCCATTAGCGTTTGGGTTCCCTTCTCCGCATGGCCTCACTCCTGCCCTCGACTCACCAACTCTGGGAAGCTCCGTGTATAGCCCCAATCCCGCCGTTCTGTCTCCTCCGCCCGCCGACATCCTCAACGAGAACTACAAGAGCGCCGTCGCCGACAACTATGCCGACAGCGCCAACCGCAATGGCAAGCCCCGCACCTCGCACGCGCTGGACCCCAACGACGCCGTCGTCATGCACCTGCTGGTCGAGACGGCAGTCGGCGACAGTCTGGGATACGAGGTGCTTTCGTTCGAAGAGGTGGAGGCGCTCAAGAAGGAGCGGACGTCGCTGACGTCCAAGATGGAGGCCGTGGGACAGAAACTGGCATTGGAGACCAAGATGCGCGACGCCGCCCAGTCCCTCAGTCGGCTAGACCCGAAGCGGCGCGGCTCCAACGGCGAGGAAGGAGCAGACGAGACGAGCAACGGCGCCGACCAATCGGCGAAGAGTGAAGCTGACTACAAGGCGAGCGCGCAGAAGTGCGATGAGTTGTCGCGCGAGCTCTGGCAGATGGAGAGGAGATCCAGGCAGATTGAGAACCAGTTGCTGAGACACACGGCTGGAATCCTGCAGATGACGCACAAGGGCCCGACTAAGCGCACTCGGAGCAGACAATCACTGGCGAACGGTGCCCCGCAAGCCAATCGCCCGGATAGCCCCGCCAGCAGCTACACCTACGAGAACTCTGGCGCCCGGAGCCCTGTTCGCCACGACGATAAAGACGCTTTCGACGACCGAAGCCTCTATAGATCGCCGGAAAACCTCGACAAACTAGTCGACGCACTTAAGCATGGAAAGGCCTTGACGGCCCGCTCTAATCCGCTCGGAGATGACGACTCGCCAATGACTAATGACACACTACAATCGGTGGATAAGAGACTGGAGGACCTCAATGACCGGCTGCGCCAGTTGATCGTCCAGGCTAATCCTGACGCGAACAAGGAGTATGATGCAGGCCCGAGGGGCACGGGAGATGGGAATGCAGCTCAGCGGGCCGCCAACATTGAGGAGAAGCTGGACTACCTGGACCAGGCGCTGCGGGACATTGAAGCTGAGCAGAGTAACATGCGCTCGAACGGCTCAATGCCCTCAGGCATGGGAGAGCGTCTGGAGAACATCAACCACCAGCTTTTCCAGCTTGTCAGCAGAGCGCCAAGAGAAAACAGCGAGGAGTTTCCTCCGCCTCCTCAAGAAGGCGCCGAAAACCAGCTTCAATACATCGACGATGCTCTTTACGCCATGGAACAATCACAGCAAGAGCTTCTTTCGCAGCTGGAGCAAGCCCGCAACGCCGATACTTCAGAGCTCACTGCGTACTGGAAAGAGCAGGCCACGGACTACGAAAAGGTGTGCGAGAGCCTCTGGGAACTCATCCGTACCGGCCACGAAGATGCTCGCCAGCGGAAGCTGCAGCGCAGGAGGGTCCTCGAGGCGGACCCGGAGGCCGAGGCGGAGCTGGGCGAACTGTCGCCCGACGAGGACCCCATGCCGGAAGAGTTCACGCTCAGCCGCTTCAAGAACCACGTCGAAGATATGTACCGCAGGGCATCCGGCTTGAAGGAGAAGCAGTCGATCCTTCGCCGCCAGATCAAGCAGCAGCGCGAGCTGAACGAGAAGTCCGACGCCGAAAGGGAGGAAGAGTTCATGCGCCTGCGCGGCGAAATCGACCGACTCCGCCATCAGCTTCACGCCAACTCTTCGGATTCCGGCGCGCTGCAGGGCGCCGAAGAGCGCATCTCAGAGCTCGAAACGGCAAAGTCGGAAGCAGAGGCCAAGGTCGCCGAGCTCAGCCAGAACCTCGAGGCGTCCAAGGCCAGCGAGGCGGAGAAGGCTCGCGCCATCGAGCAGAAGGAGGAAGAGCTCGCCAAGACGGACAAGGAGCTGCGGGAGCTGGAGGGCGAGATGGTGAGGCTGCAAACGGAGCTCACAATGGCGAAGGCGGAGCTGGATGGCGCCTACGGCACTCGGGCACAGCGCGCTGCCGAGGTTGCATCGAACCCGGAGATCAAGCGCGAGCTGGAAGAGCTGGGCAGGATCAACCTGGAGCTGACGGGACAAGTTGCGCAGCTCACAGAATCCCACGCCGCGGCGCAGCGCTCGGCCAAGGACGTGGCGGAGCGCGAGAGGATGCTGCGCGAGGAGCTTCGCGACACCATCAGCGAGTTCGAGGAGATGACCAAGGCCAACGTCGAGAGCGAGAAGGAGCGCGAGGGCCTCGAAGGCGTCATCGACAACCTCCGCGAGAAGATCGAGTCGCTCGAGTCGCAGCTCTCGGACGAGAGGATGCGCTGGCTCGGCATCAAGAGCCCGGCTGCCGTGCCCACGCCCGGCGCCCCTGGCGCTCCGGGTGTCGTCCTGACCGAGACTACCAGCACCAAGGTGATGCGCGAAGAGTTCAGGAAGATGATGAGAGAATCGAGAGCAGAGGCTATAAAGGCCCTGAGGGTAAGCCTACCCTTCCCTCCCTCAACCCAGTTGCAGTCGATCACTAACCACGTACTTTCACCAACAGGCCGAACAAGACGAACGCAAGAAACTAGAGCAGATCATCAGGCACCTAAAGAAGGAACAGCTGCCCCCTCCCAAGTCGCCCAAGGCCGGACTGAGCCGAAGCATGACGGCGGTAATGTAATCCCCGCCGCCTCATCGTTGCTCTTTTACCTCATACCAGCTGTCCTCACGATTATCATGCAACGGGAACCGCGAGACTGTTGCCCGCAAGCTCCGGACTGTACCAACAACATTTTAAAATCTCGCTGTAGTATTTCCATCTTCTAAAAAAAACAACTCAGAAAGCAGCTACCAAACTTACACGCAGAGTCAGGCGTAAAGGGAGTTTTGTCTGTGTCGTCTCTCAGGAATTGTTCATCCGCCTTTTTCTGTTCCACTTCATCAAATGGTCTTTTTCTTCCATCTTACTTACCATTTTTATTATTTCATTCAGAGACCGATTGGTGTCTCGCTGGACGGCTATCTCTGATTTCGAAAGGGCGGCCAAGTTCTGATTTTGCGTATTTTGTTCTTCAGCCTGCTGTCCGCATGAATTACTCCGGCTTCTGTGGCTGCCGATGTGGTCAGCCGGCGATTGTATACCCCCAGTGCCTGCGACAAGCGCTGGTATTGTAGCATCATTTGTTTTTTGTTTTTATTAACATCCGAATTCATCATATACGAGGAGCATCGAGGAGAGAAAAGGGGGAAAAGTTGTTGTATAGTGCTTTTTGAAACTATATTGGTATTCTCTGTTTGCCAACCAATTGACTTGAAGCCCAAGAGTAAGAGCCCAGTCCAACGGTCGTCTATGTATGCTCTGTATATGTATGTGCGCTTTATCATTTTTCTTTACAGAAAAGGGTCATTATCCGTCATATGCCAAAAGTCCGCCGCCGCTACCGTCATTCGTGCAGGAACGAAGGGATGCTCCGGAAGAAAGAGTAGAAGAAGAGGGAAAATGGCCGCAATCCAGGCGCACCGAGAAGAGAAAAGAAAGCCGCATCAGCAAACAGATCAGAACATGGCGTCCGCAGGCTGTGCCTTCGCCGCCGCAGCCGCGATCCACCTCGCCATGACCGCCGCCGTACTGGCCGCCGCGTATGTCGTGCTCGTCACCGTCTGCTCGGCGGTGGTAGTCACTGTCTCCTGCACGGTAGTCGTGGAAGTCGACGGCGCCGCGGTCGGCGTCGAAGGTACGACGACGGAGGTGAGCATGGTTGTCGGCGAAGGCGATGATGCCGCTTGAACCGCCACGTTGCTGCTGCTGCTTCCCTCCTGCTTGCCCGGCGCCGGGGCCGAGCCGATCAGCAGCGCCTGCATGACCTCCAGCGCAGCGAGTTGCGGGCCGACGCCGGCCTTGCCATCGTAGCCGTTGATGTCCCAGCGGTAGCCGCAGCTGGTGCCATCGTCGCCACCGGAGCAGGCGGCGGCAGCACCGAGAGCAGAAGCGCGCAGCAGGGGCAAGACGGTGCCGTTGTCGACGGCCGGGGCGATGACGCTCATCTTGGCCAGCCAGCGCGAGAGGTAGGCCTTGAAGGAGAGCTGGTCGGTGTTGCAGGTGCCGAGGGGCTCGCAGGCGGGCTCGAAGGCGACGTCGGTGGCGTTGCCGGCCGGGGGCGAGAAGAAGATGCGGGCGGCGTTGTCGAGGAGGCCCTTGGTGTGGGCGTCCCACGGGGCGGCTCCGTCGGTGCTGTTGTACATGGCGGCGGCGCCGTACAGGTACATGGCGACGTTGTAGCTCCACTGCGTCTTGTCGAATTGGGTGCAGTTCTGGTCCACGCCCGCGCCGTCGTAGATGTCGTACGAAGAGGCGCTGACGGCGCCGACGCCGACGCTCCAGTCCCACACCTTGGTCGCCCAGTCGGCATACGTCGCGTTGCCCGTGTAGCGGTGGAGGCGCGCCGCCAGCTGGAAAAGGCCGCCGTTGGAGATCGAGTTCTTGTACGTGTAGCCGTTGTTGCTAGCGTACACCTGCCAGCGCAGTCCGCCGTTGCACGTCGCAGTGTCCCACCGCGCGACCTGCGTGTTGAACGCGTTGACAGCCAGGTCGAGCCAGGCAGATGGTGGGTTGGTCACGCCGGCCGTGCTGGCCGCGCTGGGCTCAGGGAAGTTCTGCTCTGCTGCCGACATGGCGGCCAGTGCCCAGAATACTTGGTCATCATTTCCCTGACATAATGGTTAGTAGTGTCTCACAATTGACTCTCTCTTTCCCGTTTTTTTTTTGTTCATTTTAAAATAAAGTTCTCTTTAAAGTTTCTCCTTTTGGCCTCTCTCTTCCTCTCGTTTCTCGGAAAGCTGAAAAGCACTTACAAGTTCCTTTTCCCACTCGGTGTTCATAAAGTCGTTGGAAGGACCCTTTTGCGCGAGCAGCGCTTGGGTGACGGTGTCCACGTAGCTGGCGTCGCCCGTGTAGGACCAGTAGTCGATCAGGCCGCCCCACACGGCACCTGCCTCCCACCAATAGATGGGTTTGTCGAAGGTGCCAACAAGGATGGGCGTAGTACCCGTGGCGTTGTTGACGTAGAGCTTCATCAGGCCGTTTGCCACAGTGGCGGCGCCGGCTTTGATCGACGAGGAGTCGTCAACCGAGAGTGTGAGGCCGGCCGCGTGGGCAGAGGGAATGAGAGCGAGAGCGGCTGCTGCTGCCGTCAAGGCGCGCTGCCAGATATCGTTCTTCGTCATGATCGTTGTAGTTTGTTTGGTATCCAAGAAAGAGAGTCGTCTTTAATTGAGCTGGTAACGGTGGAATGGCCCGGTAAATGGAAGAAAGTTGGAGTTTGCAGAATGGAAGAGAAGTAGTATGAAAGGAAGAAGAGAAAGCACTATCTGGCCAAGGCAGAATAGCGAAAGGTGAAGGAATGGGAAGGTGGTCAGAGCCTTGACATTATCCAGCGGAGGAATGAGCGAGCGGAAAGCTTTTGAGGACAATAGCAGGCACCACCCTAACTTTAGCCTCTGGCCCGGACCCCAGCTGCAAGTGGATGTGGGCATATGGGGGTGGGCCGCAGCCGCCGGGCGGCCTTGTCAAGGAAAATTCGCCGACTAGCTTTCGTCTTTTGGGCCAAGTGAATAAGCATCATAAGGTATGAGGCAGGGACCAAAGGTCCAAGTGCAGCGTGACGATTGGCCGGTGGCTGAGCGCGTGTGAAACTGGAAACGGGTGCGGCTGGCCAATCGCACGCAATCCCGCCAATTGTGAAACACGCGGCCAGCAAACCCGCCGCTGCGGCTGCGTTTTGAGTTCTGCCAACTCGCATGTCTTGCCCCCGGTCCTGCCGCAAAAAGGGAAGGTCGCCCTGTCGGTCGCTGCTGATCGTCCTGAGAAAGCGCCTGTGAAGCCGCGGCTCCCACCTTCCGTCCTCCACCTATGGTTCCGGGCTTTCTCACCGGCCAAACTAGCTAGGAAGGTTGTGGTCATGCACGACGTTCCAAAGAAGAAGGCGGCGGTCGGCCCGGCGCGAAAACTCTTATTCAAAGCCTTGAGGTTGATGAGGCGCCTTCAATTCCGCCATGGCTGAAAAATTCCAATCATGGAAGCAGGCTCAGCACCGACTACATCCCTTCAGCTCAAGATATTCTAATTTGGTCTCTAGTGTAGTGCCTCAGAGCACCACAACGTGTGACTTGAAACCCCCAGCTCAGCCCACCCTGGGCCGGCTACGGCCGCTCTGTTATGCTTACGCGGACGGCAGCTGGCCTCGACTAGGTAGCCGAGCATTGTTATGCGAATGTCTCAACATAACGTCTAGACTTGTTTCCAGACCCATGCTATCACACAGGGATCTTTCTCCGGGTGCATCCCGACGCGGAGCATGCGATTCATGCACAAAGAATATTTCATTCGCAGCTTTTCCCTGATTACGATCCTGTTCTGTCCTCCTGACGGCAGGTCACAAAACCCTTTCCCGCACGACCGCCTCAGGCCGGGTACCTTTTGATACGCAGCCGCATCCCATGCATCGGCTTCGTCGTCACCACTCCCGCAGGAATGACGTCCTTCTCATCCATCGCCAGCGTCCACTCGAAGCGACTCACGAAAGCCGCGACCAGCGCCCTCAGCTCCGCCTGTGCGAACTTCTGCCCGATGCAGCTGCGCGGCCCGTGCAAGAAGGTAAGCTGGCAGTAATTGCTGCTCGCGCCGCCGTGGTTGTTCGCGCGGCGACGACCCTGCTCATCGTCATCGTCATCGTCGATCCAGCGCTCCGGCCTGAAGCACTCCGCATCCGGGCCCCACAGTGCCGGCGACCGGTTGATGGCCCAGGGCACGAGCAGCACCTGGGTGCCCTTCGGCACACGCTGCCCGCAGATGTCCGTGTCGCGCACCGCATCGCGCAGCGTCACCGGCACCGTCGGGTACAGCCGCGTCGTCTCGTTGCACACGGCATTCAGGTACGGCATCCCGTTCTCAAGCTTCTCGGTCAGCGTTGCGGCGGAAGCGGATGAGGGAGAGGCGAGCTCGGAGGACAGGTTGGCGAGGACTTCGGCGCGGAGGCGTGCCTGTGCGGTTGGGTGTACGGCGAGGAGGTAGCAGACCCAAGTGAAGGCAGACGAAGTGGTTTCGTGGCTGTGTGGAGTTGCGTTAGCCCTCTTCCAACGCGGTTTTACAACCCCGAGCTGGTGGTGGGATGCAAGAGACTTACCCGGCGGCAAGGAAGGTCAAGAGTTGATCGATCAGCATGTCGTCGCCGAAGAGATTCGACCGCATCATCACTGATAGAATGTCCTTCTGCTGCTCCTCACTCTCCGCCTTGGCCGAGGCCTTCTTGTCCGTTAGGAGCTGCTGACAGATCTGCTTCAACCGAGTTGTCGTGTCACGCATCACCTCGTTGATCCGCCACGGTAGGATCTTGACGATATGCTCCAAGCCGAGGACGTGGAGTGTGAAAAAGACGGTCTTCTCCATTGTCGGCTCGAGCACCTCCTCGTAGGTAGCCACAAGAGGGTCGTCGGAGTTCTTGAGCGCGTTGAAGTCACGCCCAAGCGCGGCGAGGCCAATAATGTCAAGCGTAACCTTTGTGGACCAATGGTTGATCTCGATGACGGGATCGTCCTGCACCTCGGCCGTCACGGCATCAGTCAGGGCGACGGCCTTGTTCCAGAAGACGGGATACAGCTCCTTGATGTGCCGGAAGCTGAAGGAGGGCAAGATGTTCTTGCGCTGGAACCGGTGCTCGTCTCCCTCGACAATGATCAGTCCGTCGCCGAGGATGCGGCGCAGGAAGCCGCGCAGCCTCGTGGGCTTCTCGAAGTCGTAGCTCTTATGCACGAGGACGTCTGCGATGGTGCGCGGTTCCGTCGGGATGATGCGGTCGACGTTAAAGAAGCCGCGGAACCGGATGAGGCCGTCGTTGGGGATCGTCTTGATCCACTTGAGGAATTCGTTGCCTGGGGGCTTCGACATGACGACGGGGCCATTGGCGATGATGGGATACTTTGGCTGGGGTTGTTACTTAGAAGGTGCAGAAAATCTGCGGCAAAGCGATCTTACCACGGCTTCGGGAAGATAGCGGAAGGGGCTGATGAAGAACGGGTAGATCAACACTTTGCAGAAAGCCCATGCTAAGAAGTTGATAGCGACCAACGCCAGGAAAATGGGCGTGATCGGGAGCCGAAGATTCTGACCAGGAAAAAATTGTTTCACCAGAAAGGCCTCCGGGGCTGAAAACAAGACAAGCTTGACGGGAAGTGGTAGATCTATGGTCATTGTGCAAGTGTGTTGGCGCCAGCGTTAAGATTGGGCTCGACCAAACAGCAGCAGCTGACTGTTTTGTAGGTCTTTAACTCGTGGAGGCGGTACATGTGATGTAACAGGGCTGTGGGGTGGAGCCTCGGTCGCGAGAAGATCAACCCTCAGCTTTACTCATCTGGACGTTAGCGAGTCTTGTCCGGCACGCAACGGCAGTAGGCGCAGCAGTACGGTTGGCAGGCTAGGAGTAGCAACTTGGTGGGACACTACGGCCGTAAGCAGATCATTCCCTGACTTGCGTTCTGAATTAAGTAAAATCTGGGGTATGGTGCGGGCTCAGAAAGCTTATTGCCACCAACCTCGGCTCGTGCCTAGCCATCCGCACCGCCACTGCCGAGCCTACGACTAGAGAAGGGTTGTTCTGCAGGTCATATGATTTTCTGGAACATCATTGGTGCTTCTTGATGAAAGAGCTCTTGATTGGCTCTAAAGTTCAGCGTCGGCCAAAAGTAGAATCATGACGTGTTGCACGCGTGGGAACAAACCGTGCAATTAAAACCTGTTTGAAGGCAACGGACCGAGCTGGACGCAAGTAGATGAAATTGGTGGATAGCAAACGAGATGGTGAAGCTTGAGAGCGCTTCAAGAAGGCACCTAAGGTCGAAGAGAGGAGAATGGGAAAACGGCGCTTAGATCAGTCAATCATACGAGGATTCGAAGAAAAAAGAAAGCGATAAAGTACTCTGTAGTCGCGTAAAAGCCGGGTTGCATGAGATTGTTGCGTGGCAAGGAAAGACTGGTGGTGTGTTTAGCGAGTACTTATACAAGTGGGGCGTGCCTTAGGCGCCATGATGCTTGCTGACACAACGATAGGTGGGAGAAGGATGAAAAGAAAAAGCGTCAGTCGCGGCTGCAGCTGTTGATCCATGCGGTTGCCGAGCCGATTATTTCTCCTTGGCCGCCGCTACACGTGATCTGGTGATAAGCCTGTCCGTGCCTTGGACGCGGTCGCGTGGCTCCGTCTTACCCACGACGCTCCTTCCACCATCAACACTACCGCACACCTCCTTTCACATCCTCACCTAAAAATTGCGGCCATGTACGGGCAGTGACCAGAATTTTTCCAACAAGCTCCACATTCCTACGGATTACGTCAAGTTTACACCTGCCCCCACCGCATGAAACCCTGTCGCAACAAATAATCACCCTTCGTCGTCAACAGCCCCGCGCCTTCCATCTACGCTTCCGACATCGCAGCCATGGAAAAGCGCATTAGTCGATCGAACCTCAAGCGGCGACAAGAGTCCCCCTACCCCAAAAAGGAAAGCAAACGCGGCAAGGCCGGGAACACCAAAGAAGCTAAGACCAGCCTGGACGACTTGCCCGATGAGTTGATTGAGGAAATCTTCAAGTTGGCGAACACATGTTATCCTGGCCATCTTCCTATCGATAAGATAAGACAACAGCGGAAGACGCGCACCCTGTGGAGCATATGCTTGGTCTCGAAGAGGTTCTGCCGGATAGCAGAGCCCCTGCTATACTCATGGTATGCCGACTACGACTCAATTACTCGCCGCCACTTCTTGCGCAGAATCGCGCAAAGTCCGGACCATGCAGCACGTGTGCGCGAAATGGTAGTCCGGCTTGAGGAAAAAATCTTTGCCGCCCAACCTCACGAGGGCGGAGACTTCGCCGACATTTTTGCCGCTGCTGCAGAAGTGAATGACATACTTTCCAAAGAGAGGTGGCTCGTTGATTTAGCGCGCGGCCGCTACGAATCCGAGGCGTCGCTCCTCCTGGCCCAGACGCCGAACCTGGAGGAGCTTAAGTTTGAGATTGATAAGAGCTTTGGCACCTTTTACGGCTGGACGCATCGGCTTGCGAGGTGGATAATTCAGACGCCGCCCGAGGCCGGACACGTTGCGCCACTGTCGAAGCTAAAGAGCCTCATCATGGTTACAGAAGGATATTTCCAGATGCTCTCTGTGCAGGATTTCCTCGGCATTCCAACGCTGCGCAACCTTGAGCTTTGGACCCCCGAAGCATCGGACGAGGATGCCTCGGATTGGCCCAGGGCGATTTCGAACGTCGAGACGCTGACCATTGGGCCCTGTGTAGTGGGTGACGAGTTTATCAAAGGACTGATGGCGTCGTGCAAAGCACTGAAATGCTTCAACTACGCCATCGGGCGCAATCTGCTTAATCAGCGGCAGTGGAAGTGCGAAGCAATAGACATGGACCGGTTGTACGAAGCGCTGCTGCAGCATCAAGACTCATTAGAGACGCTGAACATCGAAGGAGATCGGAGCCAACACGTTTTGACCGAAAGCTTTCGCCTGACTTGCTTCAACAACCTCAAACATCTCACCGTATCCTTTGCATCCTTCATTGCAATGGGTGGGCCTCGATGGGCGCCGCTGGACGCTCTGCCGGGCTCTATCGAGACGCTGCACTTGAACTGCTTCAAGGAGCATTGGCTCACGCTGTCGGCCTTCCTGTCGGACCTCGTCGAAAACTACCGCGAGGAGTTTCCTCGAATCAGGCTTCTGGAGCTTCTCGTGGATGGCACGGCATTCCACTTCATGCACGACAAGTTGGACTTCCTGCCGAGCAGACTGATTTGGGCAGGCATCGAGCTACGCCTGGACGAGAGACCGAAAGGGGAGAACTTCCTGTACCTGCAACCGGTGCAGTCTACGCCTGGGACGTGTTCGGTGATATCGACGCTTGTGCCAGATGACCTGTCGAAGCCGCGCAAGGCTGATCGGGGGGTTCGTAGTTGGAAGATGGTGTTCCCGGAGCGGTCAATCGACACGCCGGAGAAGGAGTAGCAATGAATATACCTGTCCGCGTGTTCTCCGGCGTTTGCAACCAAGGAAGTTGAGCATGCGGCACTTTTAGCGCCCAGTGCTGACTCCGGATCGCGGCATTTAGCGAAAGTGAGAGATCTCTCCGATTAGACCGCTACATGGCAACAGCCGGGCTAGGCCTCGTCGGGCAAGCCGGGCCGTACCAGGAAATGAGTCCGCCGAGGATTTCATGGCGGCCTGCCCCGAAGCGGCTGCGGAGGCTCCGACTGCCTGATGCGGGCCCGTCTCCACACTCCACACTCCGCAGCCAAGTTTTGCGTCTCACCCCACCGCCATCTCCCATCCCCACAAACACGGCCGTGAGCCGCGTGCCAATGCGGCGGCGCCCCGCGACACGCTGCAGATCCCGTCCGTCTTGCGATTTGCCGACTCCTCATTCTGCCTAAATGCCTTGGCCATCCAACGTCATGCCTGCCTGCAAGCCAACGGGACGCCGCTTCGGCACCTGCGCCGACCGTCGGCACGTCGTCGGTGCAAGCGATCGTCGCCATGCGAACCCTCTGTTGACGCTTGCGCTTCCCTGCTACGGCTGCTCACGGCGCTTATATTCCCCGCAAAAGCTCGGGGAGAACCTATGCGTCGGCTCATTCTCGCGCGAGCCACTGTGCTACTGCGCCATGCCGCGAGCTGATCTTCGCCATATATCTTGCGCATCAACCCTTGCCTTACCTGTGGTGTCTGGGCCCTGACCCTTCCTTCCTTTCCATCTTGACTGCCGTGAACTGGAGGACGGACGACTCTCTTCATCATGGTGCAAATCGACATGTTCGGTCGCGGCTGGAAGCTGCAGCTGGCCATCACAGCCGCTTGTTCCATGGCCTTCATCCTGTTCGGTACGCCGCCTCAGCCTTCTCGACCCAGACGGAACATTTCCTAACCAGTCGCCAGGTTATGATCAGGGCGTTTTCAGTGGCATTGTCGGCAACGACCACTTCCTAGACGTCGTCGGCCACCCCAACGATACCCTACTAGGCATTATTGTTGCCGTATATAACCTCGGATGCTTTACCGGCTGTATCGCTGCCTTCTGTTTTGGAGAAACCCTGGGTCGCCGTAGGGCCATGTGGGTGGCCATGGCATGGATCATTGTGAGCTGCTTGCTTCTTGCACCACGCTGCTTTCACTAACACTGCTCTAGGTTGGCGGCGCTCTTCAAGCATCGGCATATTCGAGAGGCCATATGATTGCTGCTCGATTCATTACCGGAATTGGCACTGGAATGGAGACGTCGACGGTTCCAATGTACGCAGACCAGCTTCGTGAGGGGTTTGGTCATGACTGACGCCTCATAGGTACCAAGCCGAACTTTCCCATGCCCACAACCGAGGCCGTCTCGTCTGCAGTGAGCCCCTATTCGTCGGTGTTGGTATCGTCATGGGTAAGCCGGGATGCCATTTCAGGACAGCCGTCATTAGACACTTGCTTACCCCATCAATTAGCATACTGGTTCGACTATGGCATCAACTTCGTCGGCGGAGAAATCGCGTGGAGGCTGCCCATCGCTTGCCAGGTCATCTTCGCCATCATCGTCATCGTTCTCGTTTTCGGACTTCCGGACTCGCCGCGTGATCTGTTCAACAAGGGCAGGCATGACGATGCCGTCAAGGTGCTCTGCGACGTCTTTGACAAGGAGCCCGATCACCCGTCCATCAAGAAGGAAAAGGCTGAGATTCTGCATGCCCTTTCTCTCGAGGGCGAGGCCCAGAAGAGCTGGCTGCACATCTTCCAGCAGGATGAGGTCCAGACCGGAAAGCGCGTCTTGCTCGCGTACGGCATGCAATTCATGAACCAGGTTGGCGGTATTAACCTTGTTGTGTAAGTAACCTGGTAAACCTACCGCTTCGATCCTTGTTGCTAACATGAGCACAGCTACTACGTCCCTACCGTCCTTCAGGAGAACGTTGGCATGACTCGTAACATGTCGCTGCTTCTCGGTGGAGTGTATGTTATCATGTGCCCTTGTGTGGGAGAAGTAATGTACTAACAAGCTTCTCCAGTATCCAAATCATGTTCCCACTTGGCTCAATCATCCCAGCTTTGGGTGCAGACAAGCTGGGTCGTCGCCGCCCTATGATGTGGGGATCTTTTGGCTTGGGAATTTGCATGATGATGATCTCGATCCTCCTGAGCTTCAAGAACTCCAGCATTGGAGAGCCCACCGCATCCGCGAGTGTCGCCTTCTTCTTCGTCTACATGTTTATCTTCGGCGCCAGCTGTAACTGCATCCCTTGGGTCTACGTCCCTGGTAAGTCGCGAAGGCATTGCACAGCTTTTTAAATAGGTACTGACTACCTACTCCGTAGAAATATTGCCACTGAGAGCTAGAGCTCGTGGTACTGCCATCGGTATCTCATCCAACTGGCTCTGGGTAAGTTTTCAACCCTGAATCTCGTCTTCTGACGATTGCACACAGCTCAAACTAACGGAATTTCTCTCTCCCAGAACTTCGTCATCGTCATGATCACGCCCATCATCATCAACCGCCTGCAGTGGAAGGCCTACCTCATCTTCATGATCACCAACCTCCTCTTCGTCCCGCTCATTTACTTCTGCTACCCGGAGACTGCAATGCTCTCGCTCGAGGAGATGGACGAGCTGTACACGACGCGCGGCGAGAGCCCCATCAAGATCAGCAAGCGCATCCGCAAGGAGAAGCAGATGGGTATGAGGAGCCTGGAGGTGGGCACAAGCTCGAACGAGGAGGTCGTCGCACCCATCGAGAAGGGCATTTCCGAGGAGGTTCAGACGCATCACGAGCATGCGGGGTCGAAATAAGGCCCGATAAAGAGGGAAGGGAGAACGCCGTGGCTGGCGGGCAAAAGTTAAATAGTATACCAGTATGCTTTATAAAGAGCAATTGCATTTTTTCTGTCTGTCATACACTTCTGCACTCGTCTATTGCCTGCTTCAACCAACGCGAGACTCGATGGAAAGTTCACGCTGTATGTTTTGCGTATGACCATCATTAAATATGGCTCCTACAATCCTGACCCCTCTTCGAAATATTAACTTTGATTCGTCTCTTTTACTGCCAGATTACAGGGCTGTTCTACCTGCTAGTACTTACCCGCGTCGCTAGTAGTCTACGTTGTAAGTGGTCAGAATTGTGGGTACCTTAAATATTCATCCATGGTGAAGTTATTGGACATTACAATTTATCTATGGATCCTTGTGTAGGCTCGGACCTTCTCTTTGTCTCTTGATTTCCTTCTCCCGCATCTCTCTCCCTTCTTTGTATACGCTAACATCGTAAACGCTCTCTGCTTGCTAGAAAATGTTGTCGCTTAACGCAGATGTTCAACCTTCTACGCTGTACGCAAAATTCCCACCGAAGATCAGCATCGGGTATCTTCCCTTACGCCCAGTAGTGTCCTCCTTGACTTTGCCAGGCTAAATATGTCAGTTCCCTCGATCATAGATATTTAATCGTCACCGTCATCGCCATCCTTGTCATCTTTCTTGCCTCCGTTCTCTTTTTTTCTCCGTTCCTTACGCAATGCCTCGACGACCTTCTGGTGCTTCTCATCCGCCAGCTCGTCCCATTCGACATCTTATACACGTCAGCGATTTCCAGTACAGAGAACATAAATACTGGACGAGAACCGCTTACCATATTCGTCGGCAATCAGCTTGATCTCCTTCCGAAGAGCATTAGCTTCCTCGATAAAAAATTGCCACTTCTCCATCTCGAAGCCGCGCTCATTGTATAGCTTTTGCTGGCGACGTGAGATGGTGATGTTCATGGCTGATCGGTAGGATGCCTCGCGGTTGTGGTAGAGGAACCACACGTAACCGCCAATCAAAGTGCTGAGCCCAACAAGATACTAAGAGAGATTTGTTAGGGTCAAATTGCTTTAACATCAACAATTCGCGACAACTTACAGTCACGGGCTCCATGACATCCCAGCCCAACTCGGTATCAAACGTGAGCTTGTAGACGGTTCCCCACCATGCAACCACGAGACCCAGCCCACCAAGCGCGACACGTTGGGCTCCCTTATGAGCGAGCTGGTCACATTCTTTCTTGATGTCTGCCAGGTCTGCGATCTTCTTGCTGGTCGAGCGTAGACGCATGCGCAAATAGTACGTGCGGTCGTTGAAGCTGGGAACACCGACTCTAATGTCGTGCGGCGCGCTCTCAATTTCAATGGCAAATTCCTGGCCGCGTGCTGCATCTCGAATGAAGTCGCCGATTTCCGTCGACTTGGACCAGCGTACGAATCGTCGCTCTGCCTCGGTATCGGTGGGGGCTTCGTGGCCGAGGCCACTGTATGATTCAACACCACCTTCGCCGGCGCCGCCCCGAAGACGATTGGCCTAATGACAATGAGCGGCTGAGTACAACAGGATCTAGGTCCACGTACCTCTGCCTTAGACTTGCGGTTAAGTTTGCCGGTTTTGTGGGTGACGCCGTCGATTCTCAGCTCGTCAGGGGTGTCGATATGGTCGTCGTCGTCACTCTTCTTCGGGTCGTGGACTTTGGTCTTCTTCGCGGGATCGAGCGAGTCTTGTGTTGAATCCTCGGCCCGAAAATAGACCTCTGGTATCCTCTCCTTTCCTTCTCTACTCACCGTGGGGAGCTCAGATTGAATCAGGCGCTCGAGGTATGAGAGTGGTTGCTGGGGGTGGACAAGGAGCGCGAGAGGCTCGACGTCTTTACGGTCGCTGTTGTAATCTTTGGTCGTGAGTGGAAGGATCAATTTCAGCATTCGGCTGGGTGTTGTGAGTAATTTGCCTATACAGCATCAGCGTCATGGTCTCCGGTGGACTCGCGGGTTGCGCACCTTTTGTCATGGCACCGGCTGAGCGCAGGCGGCCAACAGGTGGTACGTCTGAGCCTTCTCGATGCCATGGAGTGCGGATCTGCTTTCCCTTGTCCTCTGCGACTCTCTGGTCGAAGTCTTCGTTCTCTTCCTGGGTGATGTTGTTGTTCAACTCGCTTGCTGGTTGCGAACTGGAGCTCATGACCGGTCTTTCCTGGATAAGGTTGTTTGGGGTCGAGCCGAATGCCCTCCAAGCATTGCGGCGCGCAAAGGCGGAGGTGTCGCATGACGGTGAGGCATAGAAGCGGAAGATGCGAAGCTGCAACGATAGAGCAGGGGTCCTGGCTGCTCGTGCAGCGCAGTGGAAGAGCCGGGGCTGCATGGTGTGGCGCGAGATGTGTCTTAGGTACCGAGAAAAAGGAAAGATCAAAGCATGGTCAGAAGTCCGAGAGAGTGAAGTAGTGTGGCTGCAATAATGTGGAAGTCAACATGCGAGTGTCCGGCTTGCGACACCGGGAAACAAACTACGTCATTATCTGCCTGCCTGATGATCGACGCAGCGCCTCGGCTGTTCCTGTCCAGCTCAACACCACAAGATCCATCACCAACATCGGCCCGACACGTTTCTCGAATCCTTCCTTTTCCCTGGTTCGCATGTCGATCATTTTGTTGTTTTCGGGTTTCGTTCGTCCAACCGTTCCTTCATCATGACCAGGTGGCGTGCAAATGGGAAACAGTCCAGTCGAAGAATATGGTGCTTCGGTACCTATTCCAGATCACATGTTCAGGTTCTACCATAGTGCTCTTGCCGTCAACACTGCAACAAGGCGTGCTTTCCCCTTAGCAACTGCTTCGTAGGCCTCAGGCCCAATTCAGGAAACGAACAATGCCAGTGGAGTAGGGGGAGATTTTCAGGGTTGGTTCCATGCAGGCTGCCTAAGACGCGGCATCGACCCCGTCGCTCGACAGCGCTGATCCTGTTTGGTGTTGCAAGCCGCCTACCACTCAGGCACACGTTCGCGCGACCATGTCCGGCCTAGTTTGTTTCTCGCAAGCTTCCCCGACGGCTGGGGTGCCCCTAGATGCAGATCGCAGCAGAAGTGAGACTCTCCTTTGTCGCAGAAGCGACGATCTCAAAGGTCGCCGCGTGTGTGCTGCGAAGATTGTCGGCGAGCAGACTCGGGAGCCACACGGTGGCCGAGGCCGAGGGGCGCCGGCGGGGGCGGGAGCAGGCGGGAGTGCGAGGAGGGGTCCTTCGGTCTCGACCGGGATCGCAGAGGACACCAACGGCCAATTCTGCGCCCAGAAATGACTCGGAGCTCCACCATGCTCCAATGCTTCTTATTCCTCCGCTCGCCCTCTTCTTCGTTTGCTCGACACTCCTCTTCCAAGCCCTTCCCCCGCTGACAAAAGAGTTCCGCCGGCTCTCATAAGCAACATCACCGAGAGTGGACCGTGCCTACAACATCGTCCGCCGAAATATATCTACACACCATACATACCCTGCCTCTTTGCGCCCACACTCCGCCAACGACATGACCACCACCACTATGACCGAAGCTCCTGTCATCAATGGCGTCGCCGCTGCCCACCCAACCTTCGATTCCATCCCGGACGTGATAGAAGCCTTCGGTGCGCCCACCTCTCCCCGTCTCCACGCCACCCCTTCAGCCTCTGCTCCCGGCTGCGCGCCTTCCCAGCGCATTGGCTAACAATCACGCTCTTTTCCACAGGCCGCGGCGAATTCGTCATTGTGCTCGACTCGCCCTCGCGCGAAAATGAGGGCGACCTCATCATCGCCGCCTCCGCCCTCACGCCCGCCAAGGCATCCTTCATGATCCGCTACACATCCGGCTACATTTGCGCACCCGTGACGGCCGCTCGCGCCAAGAAGCTGGCGTTGCCGCAGATGGTTGTCGACAATTCCGACCCGAACCGCACCGCCTACGCCGTCTCCGTCGACGCCTCCGCCCGCCACGGCATCTCCACAGGCATATCCGCCACCGACCGCAGCGTTACTTGCCGGCTGCTCGCCAACGACAGCGCCACGGCTGAGGACTTCAGGCGGCCCGGCCACATCCTGCCGTTGCAGTCGCGCGACGGTGGCGTCAGACAGCGGCGCGGTCACACCGAGGCGGCCACGGAGCTGTGCCGCCTCGCGAAACTGCCCGAGGTCGGCGTCATCTGCGAGCTCATCACCGACGGCGAGGAGAAGGAAGGCGTGCCTGAGCGTGTCGGCGGCGGCATGATGAGGAGGGACGAGTGCCTGGCTTTCGGCAAGAGGTTCGGTATCAAGGTGTGCACCATCGAGGACATGGTGCGCTACGTTGAAGAAACCGAGGGCAAGCTCGAGGGTGTTGTGGGCGTCGACTACTAGGTGATCCGGAGTAAATGACAGAGACCAATTCCTCGGCCTCAGGAAACAGCACCCGCATCCTCGAGTACAGGAAACCGCGCCCATTGATGCCCACAACCACGGTCATCTCTTTTCTATTTTTGCACATTTGTCCGTCACATTTGTCGTTTCTTTTCTTGGACGTATTTTCGCCTTGGCACAGCCACTATATCGTCGGCCTGTGCGTTCGTTCTCGTTGGCGTAGGCGTTGCTTGTACGGGCTTGGGAGAGAATGGAGGATCCCGCTCAGACGTGAAGTAGCGGAAAGGATGGCGTCTATCAAAAATCCTCGAAGTGTATGTACATAAGATTACCCGCCGAAACAAAATAGAGGCAAACCTGCGAAGGACCAGGGAATTCAACTTCATCAATCTCGTATTGCTTATATTCCCGACCGAACTTGAATCCAATCTCGACCAAGACTTCTCTATTTACTTACATTACACTCTTACCTCAGCCCAACATCAAAGCGCCACTAAGCTCCAACAGCCGCTGCATCGGGAAGGCCCTAAAATCTACAGCGCCACACCCAAACCAACACAACGGGACATTCCCCGGAAGGAGCACCGCATAGGCAATCTTGGAATACCATAATACGCCGACGTAGCACAGCATGACATGCGTCCACGCGCTGCGCCCCGAATTCCGCACGTGTCTCACACGCCACGCGTCAGCACAACTACAGCTCGGGAAACGTTCCGTAAAACGGGTCGATCACGAGTGACGAGCGGCTCGGTGGGACATCAAAATGCCATCCTGGTCAGTGACATGTGCTTTCTTGATCCCTACTAGTTCCCACAACATGCAGATGTGCAGATCACACAGCACATATCTCCTGTGCCTGTCAGCAAAAAAGCAAAACCTCAATCCGGTACCGATACAGGATCATTCGACTTTTTTTTCAGCCGGATCCTAGCAAGGATGATAGATCAAGCCAAAGCAACCATCAGCTTTCCCCCTCGACTATGCATTAGCCCACCCAGTCTTTTTTTTGGCCGTGCCAGAGTTGACTTATGCAAGCCACTAATTCCCGGACCTGTCATCGACTAGCGCCATTCTACCCGACCCGCGGGCGATAAGTAAAATCAAGAAATAGCAAGCTAGCATTGGCTCCGCGCGGCGGCAATACCGTAGTGCAACCGGTGTTGATCATTGGCTTCTCCTCTGCTGGGCGACCGCTGGGCGACCACGCCACCATAACGGCCGGCTATGTACGGGAGAGGGACCACCCGGCTTCCCTTTTTTCGCCGTTGCAAACGTCACTTCAGACTTTTTCTTGCCCATCCTCCTCCCCGCTTGCTCTTGCTTTTCACCCACACCGTCCCCCGTTCGTCCTGAGAGAGAGCCGCGGTTCGTCACTTTCAAACTACGGCAAGGACGGCAACAACTGCTGCCAAACGACTCGAAGAGGCCAAGGCTGGAGGATTCGCTGGTGTCTCTTAGTGTCTGACGTTAGTACACGAGAATCACGGAGAGCGGGAGGCAAGGATTCTGCTGCTTTTTCCCCAGGATGGCGCCTAGTTGCGAGGCGTGACTCCTGATCTGCCGCGCCAGATGGCAATACGTAGTCGGCTCGGCCGAAGGTCTCGTGGGTTTCCGTTTTCGCCCTCAGCCCTTTGTCGTGAGGCTCCTTCGACAGCAAGGGATATCCTTCCAATCCTGCATATTTGGCGGGATCTGAGATGCATGTTTAGCTTTTCAGCTGCAGCTATCGGGTCTCGGAGCTAGGTCCAGAGGCTTATCGTGGCTGTGCTGTGAGGCGAATTCGGTGGGTACGTTTTTGGGACCAGTTGGGTACCATTGGATATGGTAGAGTAAGTTTGCAGAGCATTCCAACGCTGATCGTGATTGACGCACTCAGTGACGTCCATCCCGAGCAAACATGGCCCGTCATTCTCCCAAAGGCAGGTAAGTACTGAATCTAAATCTGAGAAGGATATGTATTCACAATATGAATGACTGAATGTACAAGATATATGTCTTATGCAAGTCTTTCACCGCCCAAACTCCGAATATGCATGTAAAGGAATGACAAAGGAAATTATCTGCGGGCGGACAGTTCCCGATTCTTTAAAGGCCGGAATCCTGCTTAGGGTAGATGGTGTTCTTCCAGTAGGCATCCCAGTTCTTGCAAGTCTTCTGCCATGCAGGGTCGTTGAGGCCCTTGATCTGGTCCTTGGCCTCAAGGAGCTGAACTCCAAGGCCCTGACTGATGTGCCAAGCCTGTAAAAATGGTAATGTCAGCGAATTGTCTCATAATGGTGCATATTGGGTGACTTACGATGTGGCAATGCATGAGCCAGGATCCAGGGTTGTCAGTCGGGAAGGCGATAGCCATCCAGCCGTTAGCGGGCAGCAGCGAAACGTCGCGGCGAGTGGGATTGTTCCAGTTAAGGGTAGCGGGCGAAGAGTTGATGTCAAAGGTACCGGTTCCCTTGCCGAGGATGTAGAAGTCGTGACCGTGCAAGTGCATGGGGTGGGGGATCTTGGGTGTGTTTTCAACCTCTTGAATGATCCAGTAGGTCCAAATGTTTTCGGTCGGCAGCTCAATCAAGTTGTACGACTGGGGATAGCTGGTGTTCTTATCAATGACGTACTGCAGCGTCGGCTTTTCCCAATCGATGTCGATGGAAGTCATGTTGACGCCCCAGTAGACGATGTTCTGCTGGTTGGTGGTGACATTCTGAGTCGTCATATCGACAGGGAGAGTCTTGACCTGGCTTAGGAAGGTGGTGTTGGGGACGGTGTTGGCAACGTAAGGCGTGGGAAGAGGCTCGGCGCAGCCACCAGGCACGCTTGAGGCGCTGTCGGCAGGATCACCAGAAGATCCGGCATAGCTGAAGACACCGCGTCCATGGTAATTGTTTCCGCTCAGGCAGCCAGTAGCAACCTCTGCGCGGAACCAATAGTTACCAGGTGTCTGATTGGTGGTGAAGATGACGTCGTAGCGCTGGCCAATTGCCATGAGAAGCCAGTTGGTGGTCCACGGCTTGCTCGGAACGAAGTCGGAGGTGATTACGGTGAAGTTGTGGTTGTCGAGGGAAACCCAGACGTTGTTGTCGACCGAGGTGTTGATCAGACGGAGGCGGTACTTCTTGTTGGGCTGGAGGTTGTTGACCCTGCTGTACGCGCCGGCCTTGCCATCTGGGGACTTCATGGTGCCATTCACAAGGATGGTATCACCTGGCGGAGGGGGCTGGTTCTGCTGCAAGTCTTGGAAGGATTGAGCTTCGATGCGGTAGGCGCCGGAGTAGTACCAGTCGGTCACGGTGTAGGTGCCAAGGTCGTAATCGTAGTTGGAAGAGGCAGGGCCATTGATGACGAGCTGGCCAACTGCACCATCGCCGTACTGGGCGGAGAAGTGGCTGTGGAACCAAGTGGTGCCGAACTGAGTCGCTTGGAACAGATAGGTCTTGGAGTCGTTGGGTGCAAGCGGGCATTCGGTGAGGCCGTTGACGCCGTCCTGAGTGTTGCTGTTGAGCTGGCGAATGCCGTGCCAGTGCACGCTAGTACCGTTGCTGGCCATCTTGTTGTTGATGGTGACGGAGATCATATCGCCCCAGTTCGCATACAGCGTGGGGCCAGGGATCTTGTTGTTGAACATCAAGCACGGGCGAGAGGGCCCGCCATCGGGACTGCAAGTGCTGTTGGTGATGTCGAGGGTGTAGTAGACGGTCTTGCCAGTGCTGGGCCACTTGGCGTCAAAGTCGGTCACGGCTGAGTAGCCGTTGGCCCAGCAGGCCCTGGTCAAGGGGCCGTTGGAGCACGCGGAGTCGGCCTTTTTGGTGGAGGCTGCAGCTGCGGAAGAGGAAGTGCTTGCGGCACGGGGGACAACCTTGAAACCGTCCGGGGGCCCCTCAGGCCCATAGAGCACGTGGTCTTGAGGGAGAGTCTTAGCAGACGAGTGGGCGACAAAGACGGCGAGCCAGGCGGCGGCGAGGCTCGTGATACGCATGATGGCGGAGAGTGAGCAGAAATGAGCAGGTTCTAAGGAGCAAAAAAGAATGGTCCGGATTCAGAGCCCCGTATAAGAAGGGAGCTTGCTGCTGTGGATGTCGACTCTCTCCGGCAGGGTTGTCGACATATATACCACGCAAGAGGTCACGGCAGCGCGGCAAATCCATAGTGGCAGGCGTCAAATCAGAGGCAAGATGGCAGGCAGCTGAACGCTCTTGGGGCAAAACAGATTAGGTTGGCGGCATGATCCACAGCACGTCAGGTCTGGAGCGGGAGCGGGAGGCCAAGCATTGCGGAGGTGACGAAGTGGAGGCCCAAAGAGGAAATTACCGGGCCGGGCAATGGCTCAGGTGTCAATAGGGTAGAGGTGTGGCGCTGCGCCGCGATGACGGGCCCGACTGGGCTAGCGGTGCAGCCGTCGGCGAAGATGACGGGTCCCCATTGTGTGGCTCTCGTGGCTCTTCCCTGACCCGCATTTTCGTTGGCTGGACCGACGGCGACGTGCAGGTGTCGGGCGAAGGTGCATGCGTGGAAATTGCGTTGCACGAGCGGCGCGCGTTGAGATGGCGGTGCATGTGGGCGTGAGAGGACGAGTGAGCAGCCGTCAGTCGGGAAGCCGGGGGGCGCAGAGCGGAGGCGGAGCTCAGCGCTGCCGACACGGAACCGACTACCCATCTACAGCTTCTTAGCGTACCTGCCATCTCCACCTCCACCATGCCGCCAAGCCGCTTCCTTCGCAACCACTCTTGCATCTCGCTTGTCATCCTGCAGCCATCCGACGCTGCAGCTGCCGCGATCCGTGACGAGCAGCACGTCAGCCCCATCGGCGCCGGCGCCCACCGAACGGCGAGTGAGCAGCGCACAGGAGCCGCATGTGCCGCCAACTGCTAAACTTAGCATGCCTCATGCAGGAACCGCTCTAATTCTGGCTCCCCGCTCACCAAGTCCGAAACGCCATGGCAATGCTCGGAGACTTCCCGAGAGCTGCAAGATACGGCTGTGCCTGTCGCTCACGCGCCACGCTAGACTGCTCTGGGCTTCCCATCGCGGTATAGTCGTCCCGTCGTTGCCTGCGTCCAGACCCATGACGTCCTCCTTGATCGGCAGCGCGAGCGGCTGGCTTGCAACGCCCGCCGATGATCCCACCCGCGTGGTTGGTGGCTTTCGCGTCATATTTCCCATGCTATATTCGGCCACGCTGGTTGAGGCTCTTCTAGTCCATCCACACCACGTCCTTGGAACGAGCTAGCCATCAGCTCCGACTGCCATGCCAGCTCGTGACTGTTCGCGGCTGCTGCCGTCTCTCATTGCTGTTTGTCTACTTGGGATATAAGGCACCCCCGAGCCCCCATGTCACAACCACCACCTTCCACCAGACATTCATCCGCCTTCCCTGCATCAATTGTAATGTCTTTCTTTTCCGTGGCCACCGTCCTCGGCCTCCTCGCGCGCAGCGCTTTGGCTGACGATAGCCTGATCGGCGGCTGCGAATCCTATGGCAAGGACTTCCAGGGAGGCGGCGAATACTTCCAGAATGTCAACTCCGCCGATCCCTTCACCTTTGTCCAGGACTTCGAGGGTAATCCAGTGCATGCCACCCAACGTTAGAAATATATTAACCCTGCCACCAGGCTGCCAGAATGCCAACTCTACAAATATCCTGGTTGATCCCAATGGTGGCCAGTACACGTGCAGCAATACCCCAATGCAGCCTGACGATACGGATGAGATGTCAACATGGTATTTCAGCATGTCTGCTGCACATCAGCCCTGCGCTAATCCCCTCTAGCCCCTTGCTGAAGAACCAACTCTGGAGCGGTGCTTGGTCCCTCCTGATTCTCAGCAACAACGGAGCCGATGGCGCACCCATCGCCTTTGAGAGAGACTTTCTCCTCGACGTTGGCTCCCAAACGACCATCTCGATGACTCCGACTGTCACGGCAAGCACAGTCGTCGTGCCCACAATCAACACGACCACGACTACTACAACCACCTCTATCAAGACCCTGCCGCCTTCGACTACCACGGTGCCCAGCACAACCGTCCGGAAGACCAGTACTGTCACTCCCCAGCCTGTCTGGTCTACGAAGACCATCACTCTTGCCACCGTCACCATCCCCAAAGTATCCGTCGCAGTCAGCAAGGTCGTCAAAACCGTCGCCGCGTCTTGCCACGTGCCGTCACGTCAGCCATCCCCCGATCCATTCTGCAAGATTTGGCCCAGCCAGGCTTCTGCCCAGCAAATTGTTAAATCCGCTGCCTATGTGGCAAACGTTCCTGCCCCCAGTCTTACCAAGGTTAGCGCCAAGTTTGGAGGCGGTCGCAACATGTACAATTGGCTTCATCATGACCGCGCCCAATGGCTTCGCGCACGCGACGAACGCTTGGGTGAGATTCAGGGCGTGGGCAGGCGTGCTCCGGATGCCCAGCCCTTGACTGTCACCGAGCAGGACAGCTCCAAGTTCATCACCGTCACTTCCACCTCCACCACCAGCGCTGTGACCAGCACTAACTTCGGTAAGCTACCAAATCCAGAAGATAGGCGCGATACTGACAGGACTCGCATCAGTCACTGCAACTGCCACCAGCACTGTCACTCCGGCCCCAGTCACCGTCATGAGCGGCAAGACCTACTTGCCTCCGTCTACTGTTACCCTGGCCACGCCGACCAGCACCCGCACTGTCTTCACTATCGCCAAGGTCACCACCACGAGGGTCCAGACCGTCCCGTATGTATTCTCTTCTCCACCGGCTATCTTTCCTCGACTAATATATTCTGTAGCATCACCGTCACCACCACCCTCGCACCTGCTGCTTCCAAGACTGCTTGCCATGCGAAGGGCGGTACGTATTACTAGATGTTCGTGTTCCTTGTACAGCTTTAGAGAATGTTGATAGTTGGTTTCTCCCCATCCATTCCTACTTTTTACGCTTTTTAACGACGGTCTCTACCAACGATGCATATCCTCGGAGAATCAGGCATAGGCGTTCCGGGGGATTTTTCTTTTTCTACTGGAGCAACCCTTCTCTCTTCATTTTTGTCTATTGCCTTTCCGGACCATCAGAGATTTTCCACTTGGTATCACTGGGTATACCTAACTCCACTACTTTGGGGACACCTGGAGCACATCCTTCGAAGTTATCTGTACATACAAAGATAGATTTATGGATACAGTTTCATCGAATTCTTCATTGCCTGGCTGTTTATATTGAAGTGAATTGAGGCGAAGCGAGATATGCATTGCAAATTATGAGAGAACGACCGATGGTTGCGTGTATCATCAGCACTTTACGTCCAAAGATCACAGTCTCTTCTATCCAGAACCGCAACTCCTCCATTCCTCTTCGTAGGAACTCCTGCCTTCTCTGGGAGTCCAATTACAACGAAGGAAGACGCTTCATACCATATTCAAAACGACCAGATACAACCAGTCCATACCAATTCAAACTCTTGAACCGTACAATTGGAGTTCTTGCATTGGATATATTTATTCTATCCCAACGCACGTAGATATTTCGTTATTATCGTAGTGATATGAATTAATGCAACACTTTATTTTTTAAGCCTTGTCCCGCGTTGGAGAATATAGAATTTTCTGCGAATAGAAGTTAGGTTTAGCCTAGTGGTAATGTTGAGCACTATGAATTATTTCTTGTAGTTGCTGGACACTCCCCCAACCAACCCAAAAGAAAGGGGTTTTTTGTTGAACTCCCTTCTCCCATACGTTGGTAGCCTATGGGAGCGTTCTCTGAAGAAACCAATGAGGACCGCCAAATGCATATCTCCTGTACCAAGGTAGTGGTAGCAACAACGATTAGCGTCGCCCAGAAAGCAACAACCCAGCATCATGGAAAACGACTTGTCTGCACCGTTCCAACGATCAAGGGCAGTATTGAGGGATACGGAAACGTTACCCAGATCGTGGGAGCCGGTGGCTTGAGTGCTTGACGGCACCTAACGAGCATAGACGTCATGGATGTCGGAGAATAATCTGGATACTGGGTGATATAACCAACGGGCGAGGCTGTTACCGCCGCTCCAGATGATGGGATCCAACGAGCTGGTCTGGCACGAGTAGTAGCCGTTCCTCGGCTGGTGGTTATGATGACACCTTGGGATCACATGTCGTTCTAGAAGGTAAAGTCCAGCGTCTAGAAGGTTGGCGATTGCTGAAACAGTACTAGTGTGAGTAGCTTAATGCACAACCATAGATACCAATTTAACAGTGGCAACGACTGATGGACGGAAAGAACATGGTGTAGTTGACGCGCACATCTCGAACAAGCAACCGCAGATGCCTCTTCTCTCGGACGGAAAAATCAATCAAGCCGCCACACCCACCCTTATCCAAGCGGTTCCGATGCCTCTCTGATCCAAAAGACCACACGATTCTGAATGCCTGCGTAGAGTTCATTATTGTACAAGCAATGGAAAGAGGAAACTCCGTCAGGTTCTTTCCCCGCTTGTCCTGTGACTCCTATTCACCTCAGAATGTCCGAAACGCCTGGTATCTCATGCTCCCCACATCATTCCCTGATGGCTTATAACGTTTCTCCAGGAGCTCATGAAAACAAAACAAAAAAGTACAGGTGAAGAATTAGAGGAAAGAAGACCGAAGAACTCATTGAGAAAACATGCGTCGTAATTAAGGTCATCGGGAGAGTTCCATGATTGTAAACGCCATCCTAGTCTTGCATCGCTACTAAGAATGGCCGTGCCGTTTCACACCTGACTCAGTGATGTTGCGACTGCTGCCTTGCGAGCCCTTGCTTGGCCTGTAGTGAAGTTAAGTTAGTCGAGCCCAACTACAAAGCGGTGGATGGATGCATACCTTCATAAGCTCAATCCTAGCCTTCAGATTCTGTGTGACTTCCGCGGCTCTCTTCCAGCTCTCCGCGCCGTTGCTGGTGCTCATACTCCCCGCTCCGCTTAGTCTACTACTGCCCAAGCTGCCAAACTCGCGATCTTCATGACCACCCGACAAGCCAAGTGCTGGGCTGGCACGACCACCGTATCCGGAGCCGGAGTGACTGGACATGCCACTGCCAGATCCACCGCGGCGCAGTGGGGAGAGCTTGCTGCTGCGAGAGCCAGACCGCGAAAGACCGTCGCCGAAATTCTCCTTCCCATCACCGCCAGGAGACTGCGGGGTGAAATTGCGGCGGCCAAAGCTGCTAGTGTGCCCGTAGCTGCTGTGTCCGTACGAGCCGTTCATGCCAACGTCATAGCCGCCATGGTGCTGCTCGTGGTGCATTTCGAATGGTGGCGGCGATGCAGCACGCATTTGGCGTGACAGCTCGCGCTTCAGCCGCTCGACCTCACGCTGTTGTGTTTGAACGGTTTGCTCCGCGGCCTCGGCATCAGAACGGGCGCGCACAAGCTGCGTCTCCTTGGCTTTGATAGACAGAACATCCCGAGTGTGATCCTCGATAAGTTGGGCGTTCTGGTTCTGGAGTTCGTGGATTTGCGACGTCATCCGGGACTTCTCCGTCTTCAGGTCTTCATTCTGCTTTCGCAGCATCTCAACCTCCGCACGGAGTTCGTCCAGTTCGGCCTTTTCAACGGCGCTGAGGCCGGGTGCAGGCGCCGGAGCGGGAGGCTCGGCGGCAGGCGCAGCTGCCGGCTTCCCGAGAGGCCTTCCTGCAAGACCACGCCCCAAACCGGCCCGGGGAGCGGGTTTCGCCGGAGGCTCAGGCTCTGGGTCGGAAACCAACTCTTCAACGGGAGGAGCAGGTGCTTTCTTAGGCGATGGAGCAGCCAAACCTGGCTTCTTCAACCCCCCCAAGCGCGAGCCAGGTGCCGTAAGGCCAGATTTCGGACCACCCAGTTTCGAAGCGCCAGGCCGGCTGGCCGGTTTTGCAGCCGCTGCAGGCTCTTCAACTGGAGGCGACTTCGCGCGAGCTGCAGGGGCGGCTTTCTTTGCACCCGGGGCAGGCTTCTTTCCCACCGGCTTCTTACCAGCAGGTGCGGCAGCTGGCTTAGGAGGCGCGGCAGCCTTGGGCTTGTACTTAGCCTTGACCTCAGCGGAATCGTGGAATTCCTTGATCTTGTTCTTCCGGATCTCGTCCAAGCCTTCCAAGTGCGGATTCATGATACGGTCGCCCATGATCTTCCACAGTGTTCCGAGAATCTCAGCACCCGCATCACGCTGCGTGGCTTGGGATTCAGTGAGGAGCTTCGTCGCACCTTCAGAAATGCTCTTGGTCTCTGGCGGCTGAGGTGCGTCCTTGGTCGACTTGAGTACCCGGATGAGGAGCTGGCTGGTGCCGAGCTTGACCTGAGGGTTTTTGTGCTTGAGGGCCTCCATAATTTCCTCCAAACACTCGCCCAAGCTAGTTGAGGTGACACACGCCTCGAGCGCCGCGCCCAACGCATCTGCGACTGCCGGCTTTTTCTCCTTCAAGCGCTCGATCATGGGACTGAAGACAGTCGACCGGTACTTTCCAAAGCTCTTCCGCAATCCCTTGGCAAAGAGCTCCACACAGTTTGCGGCAACGGTGACGACAGCAACGTTGGCATCCTTCATGGACTTGGCGAGTCCGCGCATGATGTCATCAAATGGCCCTTCTTCCATAGCAGGAACGTTGATGGCGGTGTGGAGGTCATCCAGAGCCTCTTTCCGGTCTTTCCACTTTGACGAGCCGAGACGCTCCGAGAAGTCCTTGGGGACCTTTGCCATCACATCAACAGCCATAAACTCCGGCTCCAGATCAATTTCGGCTTCTTCCTCGCCTTCGGCTTCTTCTCCTTCATCGCCGCCACCGGCCGCAGCGGCAGCCTCCGCCGCCTCTTGCTGCGAGCGGAGAAGTCTCTCCTGCTTTGGCGGCGGCTCCTCCTTCACCTTCTCAAAGAGCTTATCCAAATCCGTCTGTTGAACAGGTTTGAGATCGCCCCAGAAGAGGGGCTTCATGGCTTCCTTTAGCCATCTGTAGAATTCGACTGTCAAGTTCTGGGCCTCGGCACGGACGTTCTTGTCGGCGTGGCCGAAAACTTTGGGAAGAGCCTTCAGGATGGGCTTGGGCTCGACGGTCTTGCAGCCGTATGCGTGGACGATGGCAGTCAGGACCTTCAGACAGGCGGCAATGACTTTGGGTTGTTTGTGCGCTAAAATCGGTAGTAACTCTTCAATGACAGGGTCGGCGCGGTCCATCTCAATGTACAGCATCAGCGCCTCCTGCGCCTTCGTTTGGGCGGCGGGGCGACCGGTCAATCCCTTCTCGACGATCGGCGCGATGGTGAGATTCCGTGTCCTACGCGCAACACTGTCAGCCTCTGTCATCGAACGACGACGCTTACGGGACAGTACCTTTGGGTGCCCTGAAGGCCGGCGATTTGAAGATACGAGCATAGTGCACCGAGGGCCTCTGCCTGCGCAGCGACGTTGGAGTCGGCGACCGCCCCTTTCCATAGGCCGGAGTCGAGGGTAAATTGGCGAACGACGGGATCGGTCTCACCCTGGGCCTTGTCGAACTCCTTTGCTGCGGCCTCATAGCCCTCCTTTCTCACCTTCCAGTTCTTGTGCTGGAAGCGATCGGGGAGCGGCAGGGAGCTGAAGTCCTCTTCGTCACCCATCGTGGAGAAGCTGAAGGCGGGGGGTTATTGCTGCAATCTGCGACGAGAGGCGGTCAGCGGCGTGTTTCCAGAGACAGGCAGGGCCAGATCGGGCGCAAATGAGCGGCGGCAACGGGGAGTCCCCTCGGCGGGGACGTTTTTGCTGCGCCCGGACGTACCAGTAGTGTTGGGCGGCGGTAGGCGTGCTGGGAAAAGAGTGCAGGTGACGGATCGTGGTGCAGCGGCTGCGGTTGGGATAGTGCAGGCGCCGTGCAGAGGTGTTGGGAGGGGTAGGTGGTGGTGTCGGGTTGCGATGATGAAATGGTCGCGCGTGTTTTGAAGACAACAAGCGGCCCTTTTCGGCTGCGGGCGTGGGCGTTGCTGGGCGGACACAGCGCAAGCCTAAGGGCTTCCACCACGCAGCAGCAATTGACCCGCCCCGCCCTCCGCTCCGGTTTGCACCTGTTCCTAGCCCGTTTGCAGCCTCGCAGCGCCACGCACACCGCCGTCGCCGCCGCCGCCGCCGCTGGAGAGAGCGCGCGTCCTCCGCACTCGTCCCGCAGCAAAACATCCCCGTCGCTCGGCCGCACAGCCCTACCCGCACCGTCACCGTCCCAAACACCCCACGACACGTCTCCCCCAAACCCCTCCTGCGCCCGCGCAAGCTGCCTGACCCCGAATCTGCCACCCAGGGCGCACCGAGTGCCGCAGACCGGATGCGCCCGTCGCCGCCATGAGTACGCTTTTGACCCAACGCCAGGCCGATGAGCTGTTCGTCCCCACCGCCTGTTACACACAAATGCACCATGTTCTGATATCTTGGCCCAGGCACAAGGCAATCATAGCATACCTCGCCGCCTCCGGCCACCCAAGCAGCGCCCAGGCCCTGACCGACGAGCTGGGCATCGGCGAGTCCTTCGACGATGCCACCCGCAAGAAATATGAGGGGTTGCTGGAAAAGAAGTGGACCAGCGTTGTCCGCCTGCAGAAAAAGGTCCTGCCCTTCGCAACTCCTTCCGATGCCTATACTGACCCTGTGCCCCCCAGATCATGGACCTAGAGTCGCGGAATGCCAGCCTGCAGTCCGAACTCGACAATGCCACCCCGACCTCGCTCATGCGCAAGAACACCGACCCTGCGAGCTGGCTTCCCAGGTCTCCCGCACGCCACACGCTCCAGTCTCACCGCTCCCCCATCACTTGCGTTGCCTTTCACCCAGTCTTCACCTCGCTGGCCTCGGGCTCCGAGGACACCACAATCAAGATCTGGGATTGGGAGCTCGGAGAGCTGGAGCGCACCGTCAAGGGCCACACCAAGGGCGTCTTGGACGTCGATTTTGGAGGCCCCCGCGGCGGCACCTTGCTCGCTTCGTGTTCCTCCGACTTGACCATAAAGCTCTGGGACCCGAGTGATGAGTACAAGAACATCAGAACCCTCCCTGGCCACGACCACTCCGTCTCCTCCGTCCGCTTTGTTCCCAGTGGAGCTGCCGGCTCTCCCTCCTCCGGCAACCTGCTGGTGTCCGCATCACGAGACAAGACGCTCAGGATTTGGGACGTTACCACCGGATTCTGCGTCAAAACGATTCGAGGGCATGCCGATTGGGTTCGCGATGTCGCCCCGAGCTTTGATGGACGGTGGCTCCTCTCTGCCAGTAATGACCAGACGGCCCGTCTCTGGGATGCCACCAACGGTGAGCCGAAGTTCACCTTCGTCGGCCATGACCACGTTGTCGAGTGCGTGGCACTTGCACCGCCTGCTGCTTACGGGCACCTCTCTGTCCTTGCCGGCCTCAAGAAGCCACCAGCGGCGAGCAGCTCTGCTGAGTTCCTGGCGACCGGCTCCCGTGACAAGACCATCAAGCTCTGGGATGGCCGGGGTACACTGATCAAGACACTGGCCGGCCATGACAACTGGGTCCGCGCTCTGGTCTTCCATCCTGGCGGCAAATACCTCCTCAGCTGTGGTGACGACAAGACAATCCGATGCTGGGATCTTGCACAAGAGGGCAAATGCGTCAAGACCATTGAGGATGCACATGGCCACTTCGTCAGCTGCATGCGCTGGGCCCCTAGCGTCCAGAAGGAGCCGCAGACCAACGGCGAAACAAACGGCGCGCCAGCACCGCCGAATGGAGCCAAGAAAGAAGACCCGAATGCAAAGAACATCAGATGTGTTATTGCAACGGGCAGCGTTGATCTGAACGTCAGGGTCTTCGCGTCCTAGTGGAGCTCGACAATCACAGATCCACATCCGAATATATGCCGTATCACGGACCGCGGAGAGAGAATGTGTGTATGTGTGGGGAGGACAAGGCAACTGGATCACGAGTCTGACGAACCTTTTAGAGAGAGCGAGAGCGAGCAAGAGCACAACGCGGAAGGCGAGTGAGATTCACGCTGCAAAATAACAGGTGCTGCTGCCGGTCCGGCAACCAACCTGGCAGTGCTATTTTTGCATACCCTCGGCGTTGGGTTTGGCGCGAGAAGGAAACTTGCTTCAACCGGGAGAACACTGGAGTGGCAGATATCTTTTTTGCCGTCTGTCTTGTTTGCGCTTTTTTTTAAGTCTTTTCTTTTTGACTTACGAAGACGTTTTAGTATGAGCGGAGGAGATTGTAGTTCTTGATGATGATGATGTCTGGAGACACGTAATGCGTATGCAGCATTTCCTCATGTGTGTCATTTTGGTCTTCTCGTTGTATTCATACATGGCTTTTGTCTCTCGCTATGTGATTCCACCATCCTTGACCTTCTGTAGTATACGTTACGTGTCTTCCCCGGAAGCGCCATGATCTCATCGTCATACGATGTGAATCAGAAGAGCTTGTTCGCTTTCGGGTATATAGTCAGGCGTCAATCAGGTTATATAATAGTGCTCTCTCTCAGTCTTCTTTCTCAACCCCTGATGTGCCGTAGTCACAGGTACAGGACGTGCGTCTTTCGTGGTGCATGGTTTAAGTTGGCGCTTCCCCCAAGATTATCTATTCCTTTGACTTAACTCCATAGCACTCCAGTGTCATATCTAGGCCTTCCAGTTGACGGCAGGCATTCCAAACAGTGAATCAAATGCCCACTTCATTACTCGTTTAACTCAAGCGGCGACGCAATGGGTCTACTTCAGACTATTGGAAGCTCAACCATGTTCTTGATGCTGAGCCTCCATTTACTCGCCTAATCATTAATAGATTCCTACTTGTAAACGCCCTCATTACGAAGGAATCTCACAAGTATATAGTTTAACTGGGAAGATTAATAGCTTTAATAATTCTAACATCGGCTGATTTGTTCTATATTCTAGCGCACATCGATCTCTACTGTAAGGTGTGAATGGTGTCTAGGTTTGGCTTGCAGAGCTGACTAATTGTGAACTGGGGAGAAGGTTTTGGCTCTGCCCCGTCCGCTGAAGCCACCATCTACTTTATCTGTTCACGTTTTTAAAACAGCTCGTTATGAATTATAACCAGCTTGTGCAGTACTTCATCAATGAACATTTTTTACTCGTACTTCATATTGGCAAATAGCATTTTTAGCGATAGATACGCTCTGTTATCACCTTATCACTATTTACGACGGTAATTCCTTTACTACTCTGTCCATACTTGAGCTTTTCGGTACAGATGAATGGGCATCCTCTAAGTGTCTCTGATGCGTCTCAAAGGGGAGATATCGTGTCGTTCGAGTCGACGAAAATCAGATTCATCTATAGCTATCCTTCCCTACAGATATTAGGACGGAGGTTTCTGATGAGCGCATTGGCCCTTGGAGTATCAATGTGCCAAACAAGATAAACGCATCTGCAATTACTGGGTTGTATTGGTTCAGATACCACGTCAAGTCTGCATACATTCCGAAACCTACGATGTCTTAAATAAGGACGAAGGAAGTTACGTAAAAATTCGGTGGTGGTATGGACACTGCAGTGAGACAAAAGTATTCCACTTCTTCGCCCTTGATTATCGCAGACAACTGGACTTAAATCTTATCAGTAGTTGATTTTCAGTACATAGCCAGGGTAGCCAGGGTAAAAAAAAATATAAGTTGTATGTATTCCCTAGAAAGCGCACTAATATTAAACGAAAAATGCGCGTGCACCGGAAGGACACGGTGTGATAGGAGCCTAGCCAAGAGTAAAATAAAAGCCGTAGTGTAACCTCGTGCACGGCTGCATATATTCAAATAGAAGTGTCATGTTTGGGGATCGCTGTTTAGAAAGCTCTTGTGAGAACTTTTGGCACATGTACTGACATCACTTTTCAAATGCTCGTTCGATCGCCCATTGAAACGTTGGGAGAACCTGACCATACCATGCGTGATTATATACGCTATTCCTATTACTCCAGTCCTTCAGAGAGCCTCCTCTCCCATAGAAACCAACCAATAAACTGTCTCAGTGACAAACCCAGCACCGGAGGGAAAAAGCAGCCTAACCCCGAATTTCCCTGACCAAACAATGATATAAACTTATAGAAGTACAAAAAACCTACCCACTCGCAAAAATAGTTGTTGTGGTGATGATGATGTTTGCGTGTTCCCAAGCCTCGTCTCCGACGGTGCTCTCTCATGCGGTACGGCAACAACACCTACGCCCACCCACCACAACCAGCAGTAATGATCTTCTGAACTCAACGCAATCGTGCCATCTTTGGTCATGAATCGTCGCGTGCTGTTGTTGTCGTAACATTCGTGAGCTTCGTGGATGATGCTTGGCTGCCGAACGAAGAAAGCAGGAAACAAGAATAAACAGACCAGAAAGAAAAGGCCATAGTGGAAAGAAAAAAGAAAAAAGGCCTGGGGAAACAAGAAACTAGAGCCCTAACCGATTAACTCCCACCTACCAACATGCGCCTGAGAAAGTGATTTCCGACTATACCGGACTCGAATGAATAAGCAAGTGACCAAACCGTCTCTGGTTTCCTAATGATCCAACACCGCAACTCATGCAGCAACGAACAACCTGTTTGCCTGGTCAAGTTCAGTCAGAACAAACCTCCATGACTGCATCATAGCCAGAAGTCTCCGGCATTTTCTTTTTTCTCAGGACTCAGCCTCTTCTCCATTTCAGTACCAAAATCAAGACTGGGTATCTCAACCTTTGGTGTCTCGATCTTGGGCGGTGCCTCCTTTTTCTTTCTGGGACCTGTTTTCTTGGGAGACGTGATCTTGTCCTCTCGCAGGCCCATACGCACATCCTTAACTTCCCAGCCGTCGGCTACAGCAGCCTTGACCCAGGTCTTAAGGCCATCGTGCACTGCGCCGTAAAACTTCTCCTTGCAAGTGCGCAGTTGGCCGCCCATGATCTTCTCGAAGCCTGAAGCACGTAGATCGTAGCGCAGGTCGTTGCGCTCTTCCACCGTGGGGAGAGACGCAAGAATGCCATTCATGAGGTCGAGGTGCGTGGAAATGTAGTTTGTCGCATCCCACTCCACGCCTCCAACATAAGGAGCGGCAGGAACTGGCGGGCGCGGCTGAGGGAAGTGCTGTTGAGCAAAGCTTCGGTTGTCCACAGGTGGCCTGTTCTCATCGTTCTCCAGGGTATCTGATCCGAGGGGAATCACATTCAAGTGGTGAAGGAAAATCCAGAAAACCTCCTTGGTTACGTTGACGACTTCCTGGCACCAAATCCTGTAGGGTCTTGGCTGATGCATCTCAAGGATGAATGGAACCGGGCGGGCCTCTTCGGGCTTCTGGGGTCCTTGAAGGTATTTCAAAATGATACGGGCCCGTCCGGGAAGCTCTTCTGGTGTCTCGAGAACGGAAGACAAATGGGCGACTTTGGTCTGTTAGTGCATACGGCTCATTTTTCGCGATAGGAACGGATGACTCACATAGAAGGCTCATGATGAGACCGCGAGTGGTGAATTCACTGGGTCCTTTGTGTTCTTCGTCGAAAAGCATAGCCAAAAGGGCAGGGAATAGGGTTGATTCTATCTCGCATAGCTTCTGGCATGCGATCTTGGTGGTACAGAGCCCCTTGAGGCAAAGCAGGGACTCATGTAGAAGAGTGTCCTCATGTTCCTCCCTAAAGAATAAGGTATTAGCAAACAGGAGGCTGTGTTTGTGAATTTGGACTCTTGTGAGGCACTCACCGCCACTCGATCTGCATAATACGTTCGAGCAAGCCGACAATTTCCATCATGCCACCTTGGCGAATGAAAGCATCCACCCAAGCAACGGTCTCATTTCGAAGCAGGAGCCTAAGCTTATGAAGCTTGCCCACTTCAACGAGTTCAGGCTTTTGAACTTTCCTGAGATATGCGACAAACTCTTCCGGCGTAGCTGCTTTAGGAGCGCGGCTGAAAAACGAAGATCCGGTGGCAGAAGAGAGAGATTTTGACGAAGGAGACTTCTGCCCGTCGTAGCTCTTCGAGGACCTGTCGGGCGGCGGTATCTCAGATTTTTGCTTCTCACCCTTGTCGCCTCTACTGAACGTAAACGTCTTACTGCGCGGCCTCGGAGTCTTTGCCGGTTCATCGGAATCAGGAATAATGCGATCGCTGCTCTGGTCGGAGGTCGTTCTCCGGCCGACTGCTGGCTTTCCCCATATTGATGTCCGCTGCGACGGCTCGACTGCTGACTTGGGCTCCTCGATTTTGTTTTTGCTGATGAAATCGGCCTTGACGCGGGTGTTCAGGCTGCGCATCTTGGAGCGCAGGTTTTCGGGGATATTCCTAGAATCCTGGTCGGTCGTTAGCTGTGATCAGAATCGGCTGGGGACTTCCTTACCAGCACAGCCTCAAACTCAGCATCGATTTTCTCTTGATCGAGGGGAGTCTCGGGTTCCGGCTGGGTGGAACGGCCGTTGATGGCCGCAACGGCCGCCATAACCTTCGAGCCGCGTTTCGAGGCGAGCGCAGACTCCATTTGCTTCTTGTCATCCTCTCCTTTATGCTTCTGGGAGTTGGTACCACGCAGTGTGGACTCCTCTGCAGAGGGCCGCCTCGATTCGCCCCTCGCCTTCCAGTTATCTACGAATGTCTGCGCCTTGCCGCCAAGGGTCTGCTTTTTCTCTTCGCTCTTCCTGGATAGTGTCTCGACGAACGAATGGGCCGACGCACTCTTCGGTAGATACCACGAGTTCGGGCGGGAGCTGGGGCGCGTGGAGCCACCTGAGGATTGGCGCTGTTGCAGGCTTGGCTTGTCGGCGTCGCAAAAGTTGCGCTGCTTGGTAGGCGTGTAATCAGCAGGCGTGTACAGAGCAATCTCATGCTCAATGTCGCGCTGGACGGCGAGTGGGATGGTCGTTGTGGTGGTGATTTCGTGATAGTCGTCGGACGGGCGCTGGGTGGAGAATTCGGCCCAAATGGGGGTGTGGTTCGGCGAAGTGGCTGAGTGCGGCGGCGTTGTGTTCTCCTTGTCTCTGCTGGTGTTTGCGCTGGCCTTCTTGGGCGACTTCGCCTTGGAAAAGACGGCGGACAGGCTCGTGGAGGACTTGGGCTTCTTCATCTTGTCTTCGCTGTGCGGTCGCAAATAGTCCTTTTGGTCATCTTTGGCGGCGTCCTTGGACTTTTCCTTCTCCTTGGCGAGGGATCGGAGGGAAACAGTGCTCAGCGTCTTTTTGTGCAGGCTGCGCATCTTACCGTCGCGAGCGTCCTTGGATTTCCGGGGCGACGCGGGAGCGCTGGGCTGGTTGTGGATTTCGCCGAGAACGCGCTGCGCGTGCGGGTGGTCGGGCGGCAACATGGGCATCGAGGCCATTGCAGCCTGAGAGCTCCTGGGCCGGCGGGCGTCCTTGGGATCGGGAACCGCGAGCGCGGTGCCGTCGGAGGGCGAGCGCTTGTGATTGAGGCCGGTGAGAATGGACTTAATGGCGGTCGCAGATCGGTTGCGCCTGTGACTTGGGCGGTCTGGCGCGGTGGCCAGCCTTTGGCTGCCCATGGCACTCATGCTGCTGCGCGAGCGTAAGTGTGAGCTGGTGAATGGCACGGGCGCGCGCGGTGGGGACGGCGAGAGGGTACGTACGCAGAGACGGTGTGCACCGGAGAAGGGCGCCGGCGGGCGACAACGGAACCAGAGGCGGGTGGCAGCAGATGGGGAAAATCGGACGGAGAGGGAGTCTTTAGTCTCTGACGCACATGTTCTCGCTGACAAGTGCAGGCAAGAGTCCGCTTCTGCTCGTGCGGGCTGGGGGCATGTCCATGCGCGGTTGTTTACGCCGTTGTCAAGGGCGATGGATCGGCACCCCGGCCAAGCGATCGCCCTCACCGCTAGGTGACGTCGGTCGCTAAGGAAGGTTTTGTTTTGCTGCCGCCCTGGCCAACCGAACAGCACACCCGCCGGGCCGCCCCTACGCAGTAAATCGCCGCCTCCCACCTCCGTCTCTCTGCTGGCGCCGCTATGACCGCGCCCTCACACACCAAAGGGGGCGCTGCCTGTTGCACGGGTGCACAAACAGGCCATCATCATGCGACAACCAACGAGGTCAAGTATTCAAGAGTATTCTAGGTGATAAGAAGACGGAGGAAGCAATGAGCGCTAAGCTCGACACCGCCGAGCCTCACAATAGCCCAACGCTGCAAGGCCGACCGCATGTGCCCTGGATCTCAACCAAGCCGTTTCACGCCCGCGCTCCTTCGGTGAGCCCATTCGATGAGGATGCTTTTCGGACGCGTCGACTCCTCTCATCAGCTTCTGCTTCCCTCTGCCGGCCATCTGTAACCCTCCCACTGCCATGCTCTGCAATATGATCTTTCAGCTCTTGCCTTTGTTGCTGCCGGCGTGCATGCAGCTCGAAACACGCTACGACAAACATCAGGAGGTGGAAGGTGCTGGTCCGAAGTGAGTACTTGCACCAAGGTAAAAGGCTGCACGCCGAGGGAACGTACGCTAAACCCGCAGCACAGGCACATCCTGTCATTACGAGGTAGTAACGAGATCCCTTGTGGTGTAGCTTTGGTTGACCTCGCCATCGCCAGCTCAAGTTCGAGAAAACGCGCTGGCGGGGACGAGTGACCTTGTGAGGGCCCGCGTAATAAACGGCTCGAACGTTGCTCAACCAATATCTCGAGCTTTCACGATGAGGATTCATGTCGTCTTCGGCCATCTTCAGAGCCCAATAAACGCTCTCAGCGAGGAAAATACACAACACGAGGTTAACGGCAATCTGCATGCCTGGATGGATGTTGCGTGTCCTTCGAGAGACCCGAGAGAAGAAGCTGAGGGCGTTCCAGATTGCGCTTACTCCCATAAGCGCTACTAGCTGAGCAGACATCAGTCTTCTGATGGCTGCACCGAGTGTCAGGAAACTTACGGTGACGAGCATGTAGTAGAGGCCATCGTTCCTAATCGACGGATCGGTTAGGGTTCCTGCCGTCCATTCCCTGTCCTGCTGCTTGTGGAACCACCAGATTCGCTTGTACACTCTGGGGAGGTCAGAGAGCGCCTTGGCGAGCAGTGGAATACCGCCGATCGCAGATACTAAAGCCGTCAAAGGGACGAAAGACCGCCGGCTTACGCGCTGGCGTGGCGTTCTGGATGAGCCTCGTTGCTTTTCATCTGCTTGATGCAGTGGAACATCTACCATAGGCGAAGGCCGACTATGGGTGGTTGTTGCCGGAGAATGATGTGATTTTGAGGAAGATGATGTTGAGTTGCGTCTAGGGTTCTCCTCAATCCGAACCATGCCAGGGGTGCGAAGGGTACGAGCGTCTGGGCCTGTCTTCGGGGCTAGGTCCATGGCTGCCAGGATATGACTGAACGAAGAGCAACGAGAAGCGATCGGCTGCCCGAGGTGCTGAGGCGAATGCTTTGGGCTGACTTAGTGACTTGGGTACGGCTCGACGAGCTAAGGCCTTACAATGACTCTGAAAAATGGTAAGAATCGGAGCAGGTGATGCCTTCCTAGCTGGGAAATCAACACGGTGTTTCCACACTGGATCAGGCAGGCGAGATCAAGCTGGTTGACGCAAAGGGGGGACCTCGCCGCGCGAAGCACGACTTTTGTATTTTGAATGTGAGAGAGAGAGGGGATATCTACTTGGTGCGAAGACATGACTACGATCCAATAGCAGCCGTTCGGAAAGCAGGAGACATTTTAGCTTTCAGTAGTGCTACGATCTTGAGTGATAGGGACTGTGACAGGTGATTCAGGTGTGCAACAAAAGTCGTGGCCGTCTTTGGTGCAGCGCGCCAATCCCGTCCTGAGAAATGTCATGGTCGGCCCGCCCTTGGGCGCAATTCCGCCTTGATTTGACTCAAGCTCCGAACATCACAACCACCATGCCACCCGCTCTGTGCGCGCTGTGTCAGCGCGACCGCGCGTTGATCCTGCGGCCCAAGAATCATCAGAAGCTGTGCAAGCTCTGTTTCCTCGAGGTCTTTGAGACCGAAATCCACCACACGATTGTCTCAACAAACCTCTTCCAGCGCGGCGAAAAGATTGCGATAGGTGCATCCGGTGGCAAAGACAGCACCGTTCTCGCCAGCGTCTTAAAGACTTTGAACGAACGATATGACTATGGTGTCGAGCTTATATTGCTGAGCATAGACGAGGGGATCAAGGGCTACCGCGACGACAGCCTGGAGACTGTCAAGCGCAATGCTGTGCAGTACGATATGCCGCTGACCATTGTTGGATATGACGAACTATACGGCTGGACAATGGATCAGGTTGTTGAGCAGGTTGGAAAAAAGGGTAACTGCACATACTGTGGCGTTTTCAGACGTCAGGCTCTGGATCGAGGTGCTGCGCGACTGGGCGTTAGACATGTTGTTACTGGCCACAACGCAGATGATGTCGCAGAGACCGTACTCATGAACTGTAAGATGCCTCTGTGTACTCGGTCACTTGCTTCGGAAAACATCATCCGCAGCTGATCCACATACTGTCGAACTTTGCGCTAATACGCTGCAGTGCTGCGTGGCGACCTCCCACGTCTTTCTCGCACAACGTCGATCGTAACCTCTACTCCCTCCACCGCGCCTCCTCCGCCCGGCCCTGATGGTATAGTCGCCATTGACCATACCAACATCAAGCGCAGCAAGCCGTTGAAATATGCATACGAGAAGGAGATCGTGCTATACGCCCACCACAAGAATCTCGACTACTTTAGCACCGAGTGCATTTATTCCCCTGAGGCTTTCCGCGGCAGCGCTCGAGCGCTTATTAAGAATCTTGAGCGTGTTCGGCCGAGCGCAATTCTCGATGTCGTCCGAAGCGGAGAAGATATGGCGAAGTTGGTTCCCGGAGGGGACGGCGACAAAGCATGTGGGGGAAAAGAATGTGGCTCTACCACAGTTGCGCTCCCCGATGAGGATGAGGGCGGTTGTGGTAGCGCTCAGGGACGTAGCACTGGAGGTGAAATGGCGAAGATGGAGCGCGTCCTTGCGCAGAATGATGTCGCAGCGACTGCCGGGCTGGAAACAGAGATCACATTGGACACCGTCCCATTGGCATCCAAGCACAAACAAAAACAGCCGAAACGCCGGCCCAATGGGAACATCCCGGATAGGCAAACGTCGAAGAAAGCGCCAAAGCAACAAACAATGGGTAAATGCGCCAAGTGTGGCTACATCTCAAGCCAGGCAGTCTGCAAGGCCTGCACTTTGCTTGAAGGCCTGAACAAGAATAGACCGAAGACTACGATCGGAGTGAACGCAGAGACGAACGAAGAGAAGCCGCTCCAAAAAGCCATGCGGGATGTTTCGATCAGCGCCGAGTGAAACGAGACATGCAACCCGCAGAGTTAAGACATACACCCGGCAAAGGCCAACGCTTTCTTCAGCCGCCGCCGCAAAGCGTCGCGGCGCCTGTCAGGCGCGTCGGTAGTTCCCATCACCATTCGCAGCCGGCCAACTCAATGTCGCCATTGCAAGGCTGGTGTGGCATGATATTGGAAGCAGGAAGGTACTCAGAGAGAGTTAGAGAATGTGCCGCAGCGTTGCAGCGGGCTATAAAGGACGATGCAAACGCCCGTGGAAGTCAGGCTACAAAACCAGTTCGGATGCCGACATGGCGGCCACTATCCGCAGAATTATAACACAGTAGTATAGTGGGTGGTAGGCAATAGACGTGATGAGGTCATTGCATTTCAGCCGGGCGTTCTGTGTTCATTCACTGCTCTGCACCTGCTGCGCGGCAAGACCCTTTTTAGCAACAACGATCCACTCCCTCCTTCTTCTTCCGACACTCCACCGCGAACACTGCGCGCCACCTCGCTCCAACTCCTGCACCGCCCGCTCTTTCCTTTCAAATGCTCTGGGTGTCGCGCAGTCTCTGGCTTGCGCGAACCTGCAGCATGAAGCTCAACTACAAGAATGTGGGCTTTCCTCACTTAACCCGATACCCAAGAACGATGCTAACATATGGGCCGCTTCAGCGAAAGTCCGAGGGTCCAAAGTTGGGCCATATCGTTGCCAAAGACCTGGTGAGTGCAACTGCTTGTCGTCAAAATGGGCTTTTGGGTTGACTGTCTTCACCTCATACAGCGAAAGCAAACCAAGCATTGCTTCGCGAAAGCCGAGCCAAGACCGGAGCCTTCGCCTCTCATGCTCGATCTTGACGGCAAGAGCCTCACCGACGAGGGTTGCTTGGCCATGATAGAAGGCCTCGAGGAAACGTTGGAGACGCACAGTGGGGTTTCTGCCAACAAGCTTGAAGAGCTTCATCTCAGAGGCAATCGGCTTACTACCACCTCTCTTCGTGCTCTTGCTCACGTCATCGAGCTCGCCCGCTTCGAGCTAGTCGACATCGACCTCTCCGATAATAACATCAGTGTCAAGACGGATGAGGACGCAAACAACTGGGAGACGTTCTTGAAGGCTTTCCGTGGATGCCGCCTGCTGAGACGCATTGATCTCAGCGGCAATCAACTCGATGGGCCGCGTCCATTTGAAATCCTTGACAGAGTCTACTCAAAACAGCCTCCTGTTGACCCCACGCAGCTTGAGGATGTCGGAGGCTACACGAATGGTCGTGAGTCCGGGATTGACTCCAACAGCGACGTGGCCGAGCTCACCAACCGCGCTCGCGACATCAGCATTACGTCGCCGACAGATGATCCACCAACGGCCAATGTTGGCATGTCTGCTGGCACTGTGCTCAAGCGTCGCGAGGGCCTTCGTGCGGTCCCGTACATCATTCTCAGCGACACTGCCATGACTGATGCTGGCGCACTCTTCTTCTCCTACATTATCCAAAGACACTTCTATCCCCAGCAACTGATGTGCCCTCTGAGGCCCGGGCCCCAAGCTGCTCAACTCGACGAGTACCGGCAAAGGAACCATTGCTGGGGCCTCGTCTACCTTCCAAATGAAAACCTGACGGAGACTGGACTCCGTCTGTTGGGAAAGGCAGAGGATTCGCGCTCAGAGTTCACGGGTATTGTGGACGACTTTGGACTCTCTGACTCTGTCGGTTCTTTTGTGATGGTCGATGCTAAGCAGGCAAATTCGGGTCTGCGGTACGTCTTCACGTCATGCCATGTTTCTCCCTGCAGTTGTCACCTTTTACTGTTCGTTGCTGACGTTTTTGATTATAGAAGGAGCTCAAATGCTTCATCCATCCGAAGGCGCTCAGATTCTGTTGCAGAGCCCGGCAAGAAGCACGCCATTGCCCTAGATATCGAGAACTACCGAAAGAAGATCCAGCGTAATATCTTGGAGGAGCTAGGCTACGACAGTATTGACCTCTGGCGCTGTGCCGTCAAGATGCTCACCTACGCGAAGGTTCTCATGCTGAACCATGAGCAAGGAGAGGATTCTCCGCTGCCCATAGTCGATAGAGCCGATCCGATCATGCAGATGATGCAGACACACCTCTTCGCTTCTCGCATGGTGGCTACACCCTCAGCTCACGGTGACCCTGTCCTTGCAGTTACCGAGACTACTCCGGAATTCACTCAGTTGGACGTGGAGTCATGGCCCAGCCTTCCTGCTCCTGTTGGAAAGCCCGCACCCCAAAAGACGTCCATTCATGTTGCCATCGAAGAGGAAGATGGCTACGAGCGTGACTCAGATCTGCTTGGAGAGATTCCCGAGCATGTGTGGAAGGATATCCTTGTCCAAGCGGCCGGTGCTCATCACATCCTGTCGAACGCACAGCAGGACGCCATCGTGCATTACGCTCGGGACAGGACTACGGCAAGGTTGGAGAAGGGCGAACTGGGAAAGCCGAGGCCTTTCAAGCTATGGTGGATTCTGGAGCGTATGGGCTGCCTGGCGTACGAAATCAAGGATTAAGGACGGGGACTTTGGGATCGGCATCTGAAAGTAGAAGTGCGACAGCATTCTAGTGTTGCATGGAAGCCATCACGAAAGGCCTCCCTAGCGACTTTAAAAAAAGCCTTTTAGCTTCTAAAGCTCTATCTGGCAGACCTCAGAGATGATAGCAAATCAGAAGTTCATCGATCAATGCTCGTGAGTCTGTAAGCGTGCTTGTACTGAGGGTTACTGCAACCGATGGCTAGCGTGAAGAATAGCACATAGCGTAAGTATGACTCAACCCATGGATGTCGAATTAATAATTATACATTCACGTACGGACGATAGCTCCAGCTACCGGTGGTATGAGCAATGGAAATAAATTCACGCTAGCCGTCGGCTGCAATACCCCTCTATATAAAGAAAGCGAGGGGAGATCCGTGCGCCGCATCTCCGGGCCTTAGGCTTCCAGAAGAACTGGGCCCTGAGAATGACGTATCCGCCATCATACTCTTTCTCAGCCCTACAATCCACCGTGGAGTCCTGACCATTCTGCCCTACCTACGACATCTGTGCGCGCCGGCGATTCTCGCTCTTTTCGCCATCTTCATCGCCATCTGCGCCGACCGCACGCCCTCCACCCTCGACTCGTCATTGCCATTCTTATCGACGACGACTAAGACCGCGACCACCGCCGACATGCCCCGCAATAGCACCAGCACGACGTACTCCAACATCGCGACGCCAACGTCGGCCATTCCCTCATCAACGGTGCCGTGGCCGCGTACCTTCACCGACGGCCTGCCGCTGCCGAAGCTGCTCGTCTTCGACCTCGACTACACACTCTGGCCCTTTTGGGTCGACACGCACGTCACGCCTCCGCTGAAGGCCGAGGTGGGAGGCCAAAAGGTCAAGGATCGGTATGGCGAGCCGTACGGGTTTTATAGTGAAGTTGGAGGCGTGCTTGTGGCGGTGAGTACCCCGCGATACACAGTCACTTTTTTTTTCCCCCACTGCAACGTGGGAAGCAGAGGAAGTTGGAAGCTGATGAGGAATTGTTTCACGCAGGCACACGACAAAGGCATCAAAATAGCGGCGGCGTCGCGCACGCACGCGCCAGAGCTGGGCCGGGAGATGCTGTCGTTACTGCGCGTATCCACCGGCAGCGGCAGCGAGGAGACGAAGGGTGGTGCGGGCGGCGGGAGCACCGAGAAGGCCATCTCGTTTTTCGATTACCTGCAGATCTTCCCTGGCAGCAAGACAACGCATTTTGCGAAGATACACGAGGCGAGCGGGATCGAGTACGAGGACATGCTATTCTTCGATGATGAAGCGAGGAACAGGAATGTGGAGACGTTGGGGGTGGTCATGTTGTTGGTCAGGGACGGGGTTACGAGAGATGAGGTGGATAGGGGTGTAGAATTGTGGAGAAAGAGGAACAAGAAAGCTTAGGAGGAGGCCGCTGCGCCGCTGGATGACGTGGTGATGGAAATGCACGATGATGTTACGAGGGTGAGAGCACGTTGGACAGATGGTTAACATTGATACATTCCGGTAGACGGAGATAGAGCAAGATATCTAGACGGGGTTGGATACCCCTTACATGCTCCTCAATTTTTCTCTCTAAAACACCTAGCTCTTGACTTCTAACCATAACGTCTTTCTTCGTTTCAAACCCCTCGGTCGGACGTCGTACCCACCAGGTTCATTATATGACACTAGAGTCTACTCAACATAACACAATAACAGTAGCAGCTCGCATGATACTTGCCTCTATGTAAAAGAAACGGAGGCTAGCTACTATGCCGGAAAGTGCACCCTAGGCTGAGCTTGTTTGAGTTTCTACGTCGCGGCACAAGGCATCTCAATAAGCTCGTAGGCTATTGGCGGAGATTTATCACCAGCATATACCGGATGGCAGGGGGAACAGAAACATGCGCAAATGACTGGACCTGTGTTTCGACCCGCTTTAACACTGCCACGGTGAGACACTACCTACCGGTTCTGTCTACAGAGCATCACACGTCCATTATCGGTTCCCTTTCTCGCTACAATGGGCAGTGCTTCCCCCGCATTATCGCGCTCCGATTCATCAGTCTGTGCCTTGGTACTATTTAGTACTCGCTCAGAATCGGCGCTCGTTTACACGGAGCAGGTATGGATGGCGATGAGGATCATCAAAAATTCTTCCAGATCAGATGAATGCTAGGCCGAGACTCCCTAAATGAGGCAGTTGCCATGACTAGGCTCCTATCGACGTCTTTTGCCACATGGCCGCCCATCACAGTTGATAATGCTAGGCGATTTGGTCGTCATTTACAGACCATCTGCTTACATGACATATGAAGCACCATCAGTATTCTGTGAGAATGAAGTTGGCTTGATACCATTCATAAGACTGAGCTTAAAGCAACACTGGGCTTGTTGTAGATCCGGTTTGGCAGGACTGGATGTTGTGGAACATGTTTTTGTGGTCCCGGAGGGCTCACGGCGCTAAGTGATACCTCAGGGATTCGGGCTTTCAGCAGGAAATAACAGAAGCCATCAATGTGAGCTGTACGACCGTTGTCGGAGTGTCGGACCGCGAGCGGAATTCAATTTTGATAACGACAGAGACTAGTTGGCCCGTGGGTGCAGAAGATCGGTCGGACGAATGGTGGATACCGTACATCCCGGTTTTGTTGTACAGTGTACAGCGCACAATTGAACGCTTAGGCTTGAAGATATCATATCTAGTTTGGATAACCTAGTCCAACCCCTAAAAGCTTCTCCTTGGAGAGAATGGCAGACCTCTCTGTGTCTTGAAGTTGAGGGAAAGGGGGCGATTCCCTCGCAAACGTCTTCCTTAGACTTGAATGGTACCCAATCTAGGAGTACAGACCCACTCCTTTTCTTCGGGGGTAGATCTAGTGCTCGGATTTGCGATTCACACATCGGAAAGGGCTCGGAGCAGGGAAAGGAGATAGTCACGAGGCCGAGGGAGCAGTCGACGGCTCGGTTCGACTTAACCAGCACACCCTCACAGTTACTCGAGATGCCGATCGCCAACGGCATGGTGGGAGACGGCGGAAGTTGAAGTAGCCGACGCCGATGAACGGTGGAAGAACTTTTCCTTAACGCCTTGACCCCAGGATGACGCAGCTTCCAGACATGGCGTCGGCCAAAACAGCAGGCCGCCATGGGATAAGATCGGTGAAACAGACGGACGTAGAGACAGTTACAGCAAATACAGGAATTCGGAGCGAGCCAGCGCTGTGCTGCATGTCAATGGAAGGCCTGACGGGCTAGCACGCAAAGAGAGGTCTTCGACCGGGAGGCCTGAGGGATTCACACATGGGAGCATTTGGCCGGACTCAAGGAGGATGTTGTGCTGATGATCTCTCCTGAGGGTCTTCTTGCTGGCGGTTATCTCCGGATGCTCGCTGTTCGGAGAAAGCGCCAAATTGCGCAACGCCCAAGGCTCTGAAGGCTTGCAAGTCCCAAAGCGGTGAAATAGGCTGGGCATCTTCGATGGAAGAGCATAAGGGAGCAGGCCGCCAAAGACACCGGGCGCGTCGACAGATGAATAGCAACGACAGCAATAGGCTTGGCACTCCGCGCCAGTTGAAACAGGGAGTGCGCGGCGGGACGGGGGAGCGTCGGCGCGGGGAGCAGCGACGCAGGCGCGTCGACCGACAGTGCATGTCGCTTAGTTTCAAGTACACAGTTGCCGACGGCGCCAAGCAGCCAAGCCGCCTTGCAGCGTGTTCGCCGGCGGGACGTTGGGCTTGGCGCCGTTTCAAGCACCAGCAGCGTCACCATCCCGCCTGAGAAATTTCCACCAACGCTCGGCCGCGACGCCACAACACCGCCAGCTCCCCAGAGGACGCGCAATGGACGCCCGGACGTCATCTTCTCTCCGCAGTCTGTGTGACGGCGCATACAGCGCCGCCTGCTGCGTGTGAGGTAGATGCGGCTCAGTCGCCCGTCCAGCGCTGCACCACTGAGCGACCCGCCGTGCCTGATCCTGCCGCCCCTTCGCCGCACATGGCGCTCCCCCCGGCATCAGCAGGCTGGGAACACTGCCGCGTCCAGCAAAACCCACTGCAGATCGTGCCCACTGCATGCGCCAACAGTGATCGGGCATTCGTCCAGGCGGCGGCTCCCTGCTCGGCAATCACTTTCTCGCTAGCCGATGCGGAGGCGATGCCTGGCCGCGTCTGCTCCATTCCTGCCAGAGAGACTGCTGTGAAGTTTCATCTATGCTCCACATTGCCAAGTGAAAATAGATTGAGCTGCCCGTAGGGCATAGTCGTTTCTTCTTCGGGGACCACCGAGCTCCGTTTTGTTTGGTGGACCACGTAATCCCAGCCTGGTCGACTTGTATCATGAGAGCCAGGAGGATGATGCCCTGGGGCCTGCCAGCCAGCAGATGTATAAAGACGAACACAGGCCGGCTGCCAGACACTTCTTTCTCCAGGCAAGCATCCTGCACTTTCTTTCGTTCACATACTTCCACTCTTTTCCCAAAGTCCAATCGAACAGATCTGTGATCGTTCACTTCACCACCACTGCAAAAATGTTGTCCAAGACTCTTCTTCCTCTCCTTGCCGCCTCCGGCATCGTCTCTGCTGCGCAGACCAAGACCTTTGGCAGGAACCTCGTCCGCCGTGCCGACTTCCCTATCCCCGACTCCCAGGGCTCCGTCACCTACGACGCGGCTGAGGAGATCGACGGCGAGTTCGACGGTGGCTACAAGACCTACGGCCGTGGTGTTTCCTGCACTGGTCAGGAGGAGGGTGGCGACTCGGACGCCGTCTTCATCCTCAAGGACGGTGCCACGCTCAAGAACGCCATCATTGGTTCCGACCAGATCGAGGGTGTTCACTGCGAGGGTTCCTGCACCATCGAGAACGTCTGGTGGGAGGCCGTCTGCGAGGACGCTCTCTCCCTGAAGGGCGACGGTGACGCTACCGTCTCGGGCGGTGGTGCCACCGGTGCTGATGACAAGGTCATCCAGCACAACGGTGTCGGCTCCGTCAGCATCGACGGCTTCACCGTCGTCGATTTCGGCAAGCTCTACCGCTCTTGCGGCAACTGCGACGAGATGGGCGAGCGCAAGGTCACCGTCAGCAACGTCAGCGCCTCCTCCGGCAAGGTCCTTACCGGCATCAACTCCAACTACGGCGACAGTAAGTCACCCTTTTCCTCGTCTGGGTCACCGACTCCTAACACAATCTCACAGCTGCCACCATCACCGACACCTGCGCCACCGATGTCAAGGAGGTCTGCGTCGAGTACGAGGGCAACGACACTGGCGACGAGCCCGAGGAGATCTCCTCCGGTGTCTCGGATGCCTGCATCTACTCCGACCCTCTCCCCGAGTGCTAGACGCCATCTTCGCCACCACACGCGCTTTTTCATTAGGAGGGATCCAGCGAGACGGGAAGGTGTTTCGAGTTTCGTGGACGGAGGAAGTGGGCTTTGGTCTTCGTTGTATATTATAAACTTGTCTCCAAAAATAGGAAGTTGACCTACTTTTGCAAAAAACTTCTTGTGTGCCCTAATTCTGCCTCCGTGAAATCGAATCCTGCATCAGCAATGGTTCAGTCCTTGGCTTGAGTTGTTATCGACCGGAACCAACTGGAGTGGGTAGGAGGGACGTTCGAAGCCAAGATGGACCAAGGCGAGACGCAGATGAATCTTGATGGACGATCCAAACAGGGACCAGGCAAGTTTCTCGCGGACGAGCCAGCACGCTTTCTTGGGGAAAGGATGTGCCTTTAGGCCATCTGCCGAGACCCTTCCTGAGTCGGCGGGCGGGTATTAGCGAGACAAACATCGACCCTTGGGCCAATCCAAACAACACCAACCACCCCAGTCGCCAAGCATCGCGAACAAACAGCAACGAACGTTGACATAAGGTTATGGTCTGTGTGACGGTGCGATCGGAGGTTATTTTTCGAAACTCCTGCAAGCCACGCCCTCATTCTCTCCGCATCGGACGCATGACTTCCGGTAGGCGAGTTTTATCTTATTTTAAGCTAAACCGTCCCACATTGGGGCCATCCGTGATAGCCGCGGTCGCGCACCTTCTTCCCTTCGTGCCCGCGTGCCGTTCCACCCGGCTCGGGGCGTGCCGACTTAGCCGGCGCGCAACCACGATGGCGCCATCCCACCCACCTGACAGTACTGTGCGTGCTTTTATCCTGCCATACGGCAAATACATGAACGACGCATTTTCTCCTCGCCAGTAAGATTCGCAACTCGTTTGGACGGCCGGTCGAGTGATCGTGCGCCAGGATAGAAACAGATGTGGCTCGCTTTTAATTTTTTCGCACAGACTTCATATCCGCGGAACGTCGGCAAGCAAGACGTGCTTCAGCCCTTCGAGGACCCGCCCAATTCGCTCCTTCTCTTTTATTTCGCTCAGAGAGAAGAGCGGGAGGTTCACCCTTTCAGAGAACGGGTGCGACCAGCTCGTCGCCATGAAAGGAGAGATAGAGTTGTGTGGCTCCTCGTATCCTATCCTATCCCAAGGCAACCTACTCGGAGAGACGTCCGAAAGCAATGGGCTGATTGCGCACAATACCCGAGAAGCAAACGCCGTGGTGTCAAAGCTTTGTCAAGCTGCTGTTCAGTTTCGTGCAAGACATCATCCTTGTCCTCCGCTCCGCTCCGCTCGTCAAGCGGAGGAAGAGGAGGCGTCAATGGGCGCACGATGATGCGCACAAGGATAAGTGAATGAGTGCGTAAAACGTGTGCACTGCCGGACGGAGCGGAGGAAGAGCGGAGCGGGAGAGCGGGAGGAGACGCCTCTTTCGCTCGTGTATCCGTGTCTGCAGGCCGTGAAGAGGAAAAAGTCTCTTGTTTCAGGCGGTGCCGGCTATCCGGTCGTGGGGATGAGTCCCATTCCACCATTTTCGTACCGGTGGGTTAGGAGCAGGCTCTTTTTGGCAGGCTTTCCGCCAGGGTGTTATAGCCGGACTCCCTCGCTAATCTTATATTTAAGCATGTTCGGCCGGAGGTAGGTACGGGCTGGTCCGTGGGGATACTCGAGTCGTAGGCTCCATAGCTGCCTCTTTTGGGGTGTGGATTCATGCGGGAGGCTTGAGCGCTCGTGATGGCGTCGACGCCCTTTTCTGTGGAATGGAGAGTGTCTCTGTTCATTCATCAAGGTTTGTGTTGACGATGGGAAGGTATTCTCGACAGGCTGAGTCCCGTGTTTCGTTGCGTGGGCGTTGCCACCATGCATGGATTGGAGACGGGTACAAATGACACCATCGCGCAAGGGATGTTGCGATAGGTTGGTCCGCCAACTTCGAACGTCGATAGAAATTTCCTTTACATGATGTTTGCGCCGCAACCAATCATGCTTCGTATGACAGGTGGCATGCTTTATTGCTCTTATCTTACCCGTTTACAAACCTTGCACATCATTTCCATTCTGATGCAGATAACTCCCGAATTCCGAAATGTTCTGGAAACAAGCTTTAGCCGCATCTTAGCACACCTCTTTTAAACGTCAACAATGGCTACAGGTCATGTGCGTTCTGTCAAACGACTTCACAGGATAAAAGAAGTCGCTGATCAACATACAGAGAGATGGGGCTTAAGATTTCGAACATCTCGCTAGATGGCAGCCTTGCATAACATGAGCGAGTAGTCGAAGCCCATAATGACTATTAGACGATACCTCGGCAGTCGTTGGCAGGTAAGATCCAACGGTTTAAAGCGAATAAACAAAGATGGATAATAGTCGTGGATCTAGACGCTTGCTATGCATGGTGTTGATAACAAGTTACAAGGACCAATGGAACCGTCTCCCATACATCCTGGCCCCCACGCGATGTATATGCAAGGGGATACTGTTCGTGTGGTAAGCTTTGCGATCCTGCTTACAGCTTCGTATAAGAAGTCGTTGCCGGCACCGTGTGCACGGCTCAGGTGAGACATGCTGCGGGCGCTTTCCGATTGCTCAGAGTGACTCAGTTACGTCAGCCGGACCAGCTCGGTCGGAGAACAAACACTCTAAATCATCTTGACAGCAGCTCATGCCAAAGGCGGTAAGAAGAGGGGCGTAAGGGTCTGCAGGGATGGTGAGCCGAGGCTGCGGGGCATGGCGCCTCCTCGGATTTTCGTTGCCTGATACTTAAACATACGTAGCCTCCTCGGACTATTGCTACCACTACTTGTCCGTACGTCACCTCCTCGGACCATCATTGCCTACCCTTCATACATACGTAGCGTCTTCGAATCACTATTTTAGGAATTCAGCCTCCAGGCAGCATTCAGGATATATATTTCTCTCTTCGCTCGATACACTACCAACCATACTCCATCTCGGCAAAGACAAAGTATAGACGATTCCAATGGCATCTTTTGAGGAAAAGCTTGAACAGGCCTGCCAGGCTAATGACCTCCCTAATGCCGTCCTGATATCTTCCAACAAGGACGGTATGTGAATATTTTCATATTTCTTTTTCCCTTTTATGTAACCCTGCAGCTGGCTAACTGGTCACAGGTAGCTTCAAATATGAACGGGTCTTCGGCAAACGCTCTCTGCTTGAGGGCGGCGATCAGGGCCCCTTGGACGCGGACGCTGTGATGTGGGTTGCGTCTTGCACCAAACTCATGACCAGCGTCGCTGCTATGCAGTGCGTGGAGCGCGGCCAGCTCTCTCTCGAAGCTCCTGTCTACGACCTTCTTCCTGAGCTCCGTGACTTGGAAATCCTCGAGAGCATCGACGACAACGGCAACATCAAAACGAGAAAGAACCCCACGCCAATCACGCTGAGGTCAGTCATACTGACTTGAAACTTCACCGATGAAAAAAAGGGACTGAATCAAACCGAGCAGACACCTCCTCACGCACTCGTCGGGCATCGGCTACGACGAGATGCACCCGATCCTCATGGCGTGGCGCAAAGCCAGCGGCACCAAGCCCGGCGGCAAGACGGTCGAGGAGCGCTTCACGTACCCGCTCCTGTTCGAGCCGGGCACGTCGTGGATGTACGGCGCGAGCACCGACTGGGCGGGCAAGCTGATCGAGCGCGCGACGGGCACGCGGCTGGAGGCGTACATGCAGCAGCACCTGTGGGCGCCGCTGGGCATCACCGACATGACGTTCCACCTGCGCTCGCGGCCGGACCTGGAGGCGCGCATGACGGACCTGAGCGGTCGCCCGCAGCCCGACGCCAAATGCGTGCACATGCGCTCGCCCTTCCTCTTCCCGGACATGGTCGACGACCTCGGCGGCCAGGGCGTCTACACGACCGCCCGCGAGCTGTTCAAGTTCGTGCACGCGCTGTTACTAGACGACGAGCGCCTGCTCAAGCGCGCCTCGCTCGACCGCCTCTTCAGCCCGCACCTCGACCCGCCCGCCCGCGCCTCGCTGAACGACATCATGAAGGCCCCCGCCGACCGCCGCACCGTGCCCGCCGCCGGCTACGCGCCCGAGACCGTCATCGACTGGGGCCTCGCCGGCTTGGTCGTCACCAACGACGTCCCCGGCTGGACCCGCGCCGGCACCCTGCTGTGGTCCGGCTTGCCCAACGTGAACTGGTGGGTCGATCGGAAGGCCGGTCTGGCCGTCTTGTACGCGAGCCAGCTCTTCCCGCCTGCCGACCCGAAGACGGTCGAGATGCAGGAGCTGTACGCGAGGGAGATGTACAAGAGGTACGGCGTTGAGCGGGAGCAGAAGCTTTAGAAGGCTAGGATGGTGGTAGAGAGAGTGTCGAGATCGTGATTTGGGGTGTAGGTACACACTTCGGTCGGTGAAGCCGTCGTGATGCGCGTCAGTCAGCTTCGGGCACAGTAGAGATTGAATAAAGCATCAAGAAGGTCGGGGAAGAATTCGTATTTTGAATGTCGAAGTGACACTAAGCGGCTATGCCTCTATCTACAGTGGGGTCGGCGAGGTGCGGTGAAATCATTGTTTGGATCGAGGGAAGAAGGGAAATCATGCATGCGACTGGCAAGCAGTGCATGGAAGACGGCTCAGAAGTAACTGTTCATATGCGCGCATTGGTTAAGTGCCAAAGGCCGAAACCATCCGCGGTACTTTTCGTGACATTGTAATCATCGCCGTGGAGAGGAAAGAAAAAGAAGTGGAAGAAGCCTTGAGGACGATGGGTTTAAGTAGGCCGTGTTTGCTGCGCTATACCCTTTATGGTCACCTGGGCCGTGGAAGTCAGTAAACGGAAGGAACGACCTGCGCACGTGCGGCAGACAGTCTGCAGGTGGGATTCTCTAGCCTTCCACGCCCAAGACAGCGCATTGGGTGAGACACCCTCCCCAAAACATTCAAGCACCTCCAATCTTCTCGCATGGTATCGCCTGATATTGAAGATTCCAAGGAATATCTCATGCAAACTTATCTCATTAAGTCGTATCTATGTACACCTCTACCGACACTCAGCGACACCCAGCTGAGACACCAGATCTACAGCTCGATCAAGACTTTGTCCTCGCCGCCACGAAGTCCACCAGATCGAAGAAACTCTTCTTATAATACCTCTCTTGCGTCGTACGGTTGACGACCTGAATGCCAAATTGTTGCGCGTAGTCACCGAATTCCCAGTTATCGGCAAAGCTCCACGCGAACGCACCAAGGACGTGGACGTTGTCCTCCCAGATTGCCTTGAGCACCTCACTCATGAAAGAGAGGTAGTAGTAGCTGCGAGGAAGGTCGTACAACTGGTCCGAGAGATCTTCCTTGTCCGCCTCGCCGAACACAGGGTAGCCAAACTCAGTGATCATGACAGGGTGCTGGAAGGTGTTCCACAGATAGGACAGGTAGGTGCGCAGGTACTTGGGCGTGATGTAGACGTAGGTCTGCGAACGGTAACCGATGTTCCAGCCGGTGCTTGTCAAGGTTGATTGCTCGACGCAGTAGGGGAAGAGGGGGTCGGATGTGTTGGCTGCGCAAACCGCAATTCCATCAGGCGGCGGGCTTACGACTGTCGCAGTGTAGGGATCGATGCCGAGGAAGTCTGTGTGGAGGTTAGCATCCCTAAGCCAGACTGGGGAGGAACTGCTTTCTCACCTGATGTACCACCGATGTATTCCAAATCCTCCTGTGAGAGCGGCACATAATCGGGGACTGTCATCTTGAAGGCCTCAGGGTAATCCTTCCCGAGGAAGATAGGGTTGGCAAATGTTGCCAGTTGAAACTCGTTGAAATGGTTCGCGGCGTCCACATCCGAGGAATTCTGAGGGTCGCGTGGTACACCAAAGTTGTCGTTGAACTTGATTCCAACCTTGCCGGTGCCGTTGATCTCCTCGTGATAGAAATGATAGAGTCTGGCATGGGCTTTGACAACCGTGTTTACACTCTTGCCATTGTCACAATAGAGTAAGGGTTCATTGAAAGTGAACCAGACAGGAACACGGTCAGCAAAGTGAGTCATGACGATCTTGCCATAGTTCACGAAAGCATCCTCGAACGTCTCATTCTGATAAGCTCCGTTGGTGTAACCAATAAGAGGAGGGTCCGCAGCAGTGCTTAAGTTGTTTCCGTAGAACTGCAGAGGCGTGTCGAAGTGGATCAGGGTGACAGTCGGCTGCATTCCCTTCTCAAGGACAAAATTAATGAGATCGTCGTAGTGGTCGAGGCCTTGCTGGTTGAGGGGGGTGCCTTCAAGCACGAATGGCAAGATTCGAGACCACGGAATAGTAAAAGAATAGTACTTGACTCCCATAGCAGCCAGACGCTCGATATCCTGCTTGTACAGGTAGTAGTTCTCGTTTGTGACGTAGTTGGTGGGTTTTCCGGTCGAAGGAGAGATCAAAATTTCCATGAGAGAGGGTGTTCTCCCTTCGTCTGCGATGGCCCCTTCGATCTGGGAAGCAGAGCCTGCAACTCCGAACATGAAGTCGTCTGGGAAGTAAGAGCAGTCCTGGGGAGTGAAATATTCTGGAGGCGGCAGAACAAGTTCACTAGTAGGCACCGGAGTTGGGGAGACGGTTGTTGAGTAAAGACCCCTGAAGGTAAAGTTGGCGAGACTGGCATGTTCCCACAAAGCAGACCACGCAGCCTGTCCGTAGGGGTCGGCGGTATCGGTGGCAGTTGCCGTGGCATTGGGATCCCAGTTTCCCCATGTCGTTGTGCTCAGATCTGGAACCAGGTGGCTGAGGGATGCGTATGGCGGGGCGTAAGTTGTGACTGGCGCAGACTTGACTGAGGTAGCAGTCCGGACCGTCTCCGTTTGCGTGAACGAAAAGTTGCTGAAGGCATAGGTCGGAGAAGCGTAAGTCGCAGAATAAGTCTGGCTTGCGGTGCATTGAGCAGGTCCATCAGCAGACACATAGACCTGTTGTGCGAGCGCAATAGCGCCGCTGCTGAGCAGCAAAAGCAAAGACATGGCAAGAAGCTTCAAATATGCACGAATGGAAAAAGGACTTTGCATCACGCCTTTAAATGCCAACGCTCCGTGGCAGAGAGCGCCGCCTCCGTCATTCTATGACAGAGTAAATTACTCGGATGGCGCGCTTCTCGAGCAAAGGTACCGTGAGGGCGGCATTTCCTACCACATTGGGCGGGGAATAGCCGGGCAGTTACATCGTGCCAGAGGAGCGGCAGCTGCACAGACGGCACTAATACCGGGTTGGCATCGAACAGCGCGGGGATGTGGGACTGTGGGGAGAGCATCGCCCGCCTCGCCTTATAAAGTGCCGAGAATCGAGTCGTCGAGAGTGGAAGAAGCCGAGGACGCAAGTGACGACCGAGTTCCGGTACTGTTTTCTGACAAGCGCCGGCATTCCCGATGTCGAGGAGCGGAGAATAAGATCACAGCTGGACGAGCCGACGATTAGCCGCAGGAATGCGGAGGCGACCAGGCTTGTTCCTTGACCGATGCGGGGAGTCGGGGCCCCGAGGGGAGCGCGAAGTGGGAGACGCAGGAGCATGTAGTATCGGGCGGACGTGCAGACTCTGATATGTCCATCTCATGCAGAAGTCGGTCGCGCATGGCAATTAGCATGCGGCGAAGAGCGGTATGATGGTTTCTGGATGCGGTCACCGGGCCCCCACGGGCACTCGGGCCTGGGTGATGAGATGAGAACTGGAGCCGACCACGCGGTCTAGCTCGGCTGGCGGTGCGTTTGATTCGTCAATGGCACTCTGTGCCTGATCAAGACTCACGCGACGGAACTGGAACACGTGCTGGGCGGAAGAAGTTGCCTTGCACCCGTCTTGCAAACCGCCAACGGGTGGCCGGCAGGAAAAGTCGGAAGACGGTCTGGCGACGCTGGATGCAGCGCAACATGTGATGTGGCAAGCGAACCAGTGAGGGTGGCTGAGGCGAGCGCAGCGTGCGGATGGTTTCGCAGCAGGCTGGGCGCCAAGCGCGATTCATCGCGCATGCAGAAGGGCGTGTGGCTACCATAGGCTGCGTCGCAAGGAAGCACGCGCGCTCACTGGATAAGCTTCCGGCACCGGTGCACAGCCTTGGGGACCCTTTGAGCGTCGAGCGGGAATTCGAGCTCAGCCGGTGACGCACCCCAAAGCCTCGCGCCAAGGCCCGCATGAGCTCCTCCATTGCCTTCGCTCAGCAACCGCTCGCAACTTGGTCTTCCTCCGTCCTGCCACCGTCCCCTGTCGACAGACGGCACCTCACCAACACCACTGCGCCCGCTAGCACTCTCGGATACGACCGACAGCGCCCCATCTTCGATTATCAGACCCCAACCCTGCCAGAGCACCTCACCCGATCCTGTTTGAAGCCGGACAGGTCGCCAGTGGCCCATTTTTTCTCCACATTCGGTCCTACCCACGGGCTCTCCCCTGCGACCCTGACCAGCTGGCGCCCACCGCCCCAGAGCTCACATCCCTGCAGCCATCTTGAGGCTGTCGACTGAAACCTCTCCTCCAACCGCCTCGCCAACCCAACGCTCCCCCACTCACTTCGACGCCCTCCCGACCGCGATCCTCTACCGCGCCGCCCTTGCGACCACGCTCGCTGCCCCTCGAACACCGCCACTCCCACATCCCGCCCGCACCCAACGCCCGCAACCATGTCGCTCGAATCCGCGCTCGACGAGGAGCGTCGGGCCGTCATGGACATTTTGGAGGGGATCAATCGCGGTCGCGCGTCGCATTCGCGAGCAAGCAGTCCTGGCGGCGCGCAATCCCCCGTGCGCAGCATGCTGGACATTGGCGACAAGCACACGGCCAAGTTCATTCTCCCTTCGGACCAGGAGAAGGAAGAAAAGCGCAAGAAGCGGGAGGAGGAATTCCGCCAGGCCAGCTTGAAGGCGGCTTCGCAGCCCCCCGGCGCGAGGAGAGCCCGCAGCCCCTTGGCTGGCGGCAGCACCGACCCCGAGGATGCCTATTCATTCAACATGCTCCCATCCATCGATTCACGCGTGCCAAAGCGCGTCACACAAGGTGGGAAAAAAGGTAAGCAGCGCGCCATGGCAACCGTATTTGGTTCAGGAAGCGGCAGCAAGGACCTCAGCCGACGCAACTCGACAGGCATCATGGGAAAGAGCAAATCCAAGTCTCCTGCCGCCCGCCTCCGGACTGATTCCCCTGGAAGAATGTACCGCAACAGCAATTTCATGGTCGACCCATCAAAGTATGTTACGGAATCTGGAAGATCCATCGACATGAATAGTGCATATCGCAGATTGTCTGACGCGGCCCTCCTTCGTTCTGGTGGTAGCCTGGCTTCTTTGCCATCTAGGAAAGGATCGGATCCCACGAGAGGCGAAACTATAGTCCCAGGTGGTGGTGTGCGTCTGGAGAAAGACTATTATGCAGACGATGACGACGACGATGCTATCGAGAGCAGCGACGACGACGACTCGGATCTTGATTCTGGTGATGAGGGCAGAGGCAGGCGACGCCGACGAAGCACCAATAACACAGATATCAAAGACAAGCTCCCGAAGAGCTTGCTTGCAGCCGCCGAGGAAGACCGTAAGTGATCACATGCGCCAGCCTACGCAAATTCTGACCCATGTGCACAGGAAAAACGTCGAGCGAGTACAAAGTTAGGTCTTTGCTGGAGCCTACGGTCACAGTCACAGGTCCAAATGGCGAGAAGATGACACAGAAAAAGAAGGGAGTCCATCCGACAACGAACTTCGATGCAGGCGGATCAGGCATGTCGACGCCGATGACGTCGGACACAGAGCAAGACATCTCAGAGATCAAACGCGCACAACGGATGGCCATGACCATGTCACCAATCCATTCAACGCCTGCAGCTCACAGATGCATCCGTCAAATCATCCGCGGCGACTATTCCGGAATGCAAAGAGAAGCAGAGAGGGGCTTGCGTCGCCAACGCATGTATCTTGTAGCAACTGACCTCAGTGAGGAAGCAGCCTACGCGCTTGAATGGACCATCGGCACTGTTCTGCGCGATGGTGACACGCTTCTCGCTGTATATGCTGTTGATGAGGAAATTGGTACTGGAGGCGAGTCTGGGGCGATTGGCATTGGCGAGGGCGCTCAGATGATGCGTGACACTGCCAGTCTTGTCAAGACTCTCTCGCACAACCAGCGCGTGATTGATGACGGGCGCCCGAAGCCGAAGAGCCGCCACCAGAGCCTAGGGCCATCGCCGTTGCATCAGAGTTTCCGCCCCACTGATGACAATGAGCAGGACCAGCCGGAACCTGATTTAGCAAACATGGACCAGGCAGAGCGTGAGCGCTGGCATGCCACGATGGAAGTGAGCGATCGCATTGTCTCGCTACTTCGGAAAACGAAGCTCCAGGTTCGGGCTGTCATTGAAGTGTTCCACTGCAGGAGCCCGAAGCACATGATTACTGAAGTGGTAAGCAATTCCACGACGCGGAGTGAAGGATACAGTCCTAACTCGATGTTTTAGATCGATTTCATGGACCCAACACTTGTCATTCTTGGATCGCGAGGTCGCAGCGCGCTGAAGGGGTAAGTTTCACGCTCATCAACTCGTTTCGAGGGCGCCTTTGGCTGACCTAGCATTCTCATAGTGTCCTTCTTGGCTCTTTCAGTAATTACCTGGTCACCAAGTCGTCTGTTCCGGTCATGGTAGCACGGAAACGACTGCGCAAGCACAGCAAATACAAGCGCGGCAACTTGCGCCTGTCTAACGTGCTTTCGAACCCAGCATCGAAGCTGGCTTCAGCCAAAATCGACTAATCGCACCTTCTGGACTAGATGGGCTGGTCAATCAAGCATGTTGTTGACTGAACAAAAGCGTGTCACGGATCCTTGTGTGATTTCCTATATAAGAGGCAATTATGTCGCGCGCTTGTTGCCAAACCTTTCTAACCCCTTTGCGGGGTTTGGCCCATGCTGCCAGGTCTCCCTGGCGAAGTCTCATTCATTTGGCCTGTTGCTCTCGGCCCACGACTCCTGCTATCGTTTGACGCACAGAACTCATACCCATGACCGGAAACGGCTCTTCTATTATTCATTATTATCCTTTACTTTGGACTGTGGTTTGCATTGCTGCTGTTGCTCTTGTATCCGCGACAGAGGTGCTGAGTGGAAAGCCAATTCAAGTGGACATATACCCGTTGGCTGTGCGTAGCTTCCAGTTAATCTGTCTCGATGGAAAGTGAGGCCTGGTCGACTTAATCCAATCACCACTACTAAAAGGAAATACATTATAGTTGTGTGACATAGCGTTAGGAATAAGGGAGCGGACATCGGAGATGGCTAACCAAATATAGCAAGTTTCCGTAGTAGGGCGAGTTTCGCCGACGTCATGGCGAGGTTCGTCATGCGCCCTTGCAATGTTCCCCACCGCGCTGTGCTCTTCGAGTTCTGCTTTGATTCGCATCGTATGACGGCTTTCACATCTCAGTCAACATGACCTTCCAGCAGGAGCTGACGTCCTGGCTCTCTCCGGAGGCCAAGAAAACCAATGAAGTACCGGCCATCGGATCCAAAGCTCCGTCATCAGAGCGGCTACCCGTCCCAGGCGCTGACGGCAAGCCTGTGGTTGTGACCTTCCTACGGCACTGCGGGTGCCCCTGTATGTGCAACCATGACCTTAATATATTTTGTTTTTTCCAGACCCCCCACCACAGAAAGTAAAATGCTAACGAAGAAACGCGCGCGCCCCGCAGTCGCAGAAAAGACGTTCCGCAGGCTCCGCGAGGCGGCATCGGGCAACGCGGACGTGCGGTTCGTGGCCGTCTCGCACAGCGACCAGGCGTCGACGGAGCGCTGGCTCGACTCCCTAAGCGGCGGCGGCGGCGGCGGCGGCATCACCACGGGGCCGGCGGTCGAGCTGGTCGTCGACGCGGAGCGCGACGTCTTCGCGCAGTGGGGGCTGGGCGTGTCGTCCCTGTGGCACGTCCTCAGCCCGTGGAGCATGTACTCGGTGTACCGCCTCGGCCGCGACGAGGGCATCTGGAACCGCCCCACCGAGAGCGGCAACCGCTGGCAAACGGCGGGCTCGTTCGCCGTCGACGGCGAGGGCGTCGTCAGGTGGGGCGGGCCGGCGAGGCAGGCGGATGACGTGCCCGACTTTGGGCAGGCGGTCAAGGCGTTGAGGGAGCAGCAGCAGCAGCCAAAGGCGAACCTGTGAGAAGGGGGGGAGTCCTGCGGGGTGTGGTGGTCATTGGGATATCAGGTGGTTCGAGGCGAGAATGGTCCATTGAGGCGGCGGGAGAGTTTGGGCAGCGTATCGCATGAATTGCGCCCTTTGGAGAGTCAAGGTCGACATCCCAAGCAGGAAACATCTGGGCTGTGAGACAGAGTCAGCGGTGCGGCGGACCCCAGTCAGTCGCAAGCCTCTTGGTGGCGCTAACCGACCATCTCGACTCGTGTAACGGCTCCGCCTTTCTCTCTCTTCTACCTACAACATCCGACATGATGGCAAAAAAGCAGATTCAGATACGCCTTCGCCTTTCCGAGAGATGTTCCTCTGCCTCTACGCATGGGTACTTTACCCCAGCTCGGGCGGATGATCCACGGCAGCCCTGTAAGGCCAGCAACGGATGCCTGCGGAAGCCAGTGTCGCACGTACACCCCTTTGCCTTGCGATACGACCATGCGAACACCGTGCGAAATTAAAACAGTCGCTAGAATGCTTGCTCCCTATACGTGCTCACCGTCTAGCTCTCTACAATAGCTCGCCTAAATGGCAACTGAGTCGGTGAGTTTGCATAAAAGGCACGCAGGAACCCGCACGAAGATCATCTTTACACTCAAGCTCAGTGATTGCCTTTCGTTTGAACCTACTTTCATCACCATGGCTGCCAAGGCTCTTCTTCTTCCTCTCCTCGCCATCTCTGGCCTTGTGCAGGCATCTCCTCTGGCTGCCAGGCAAAGCGAGGCCTGGACTACGCTGCCCGCCACCCCGAACCTGCCTGCTCCTATCAGCAGCACCAAGGCTGCCATCAACGGCGTCGAACTTTGGTTCCAGAAGTACAATGAGGCTGCAGGCGGCACCCCTGTAGTCTTTATCCACGGTGGTCTCGGATACTCTGCCTACTTTGGCGATGTCATCAGCTCCGTCTCGAAGAAGCACTACGTCATTGCCGTCGACCGCCGCGGCCACGGCAGGAGCACATATGGCGCCAACGACAAATTCACGTTCGAAATGTTCGCCAAGGATACCTACGACCTGCTCAAGGCCGAGGGCGTCGACAAGGCCCTGTGGGTGGGCTGGTCCGACGGCGCGGCGACGACGCTGGCCGGCCTGCTGGACAGCACCATCTCGGCCTCCATCTCCAAGGCCTTCGTCTTCGCCGGCTTCCAGAGCTTCTCCGACACCAACACCACCTTCTCCGACACGGCCATCTACTCCGAGTTCGTGTCGCGCTGCGGCACCGAGTACGCCCAGCTGCAGCCTTCGGCCAACTTCAAGGACTTCGCCACCAAGGTCGGCACGCTCGAGGCCACCCTGCCCACCTGGACCGACGCCGATCTCGCCAAGATCAACGGCGCCAAGGTCACCATCTCCGGTGCTGACCATGACGAGGCCGTCAACCTCGATGTCCCCGAGCACTTGAACTCGGCCATTTCCGGCAGCAAGCTGGTCATGATGACTGGTGTTAGCCACTTCGCCCCTGTCCAGGACCCTGCCCAGTTTTCGCAGAAGATTGAGGACTTCATCGCTGCATAGGCGCTGTTTGTGGGAGTTTGGTGTCTGGCGGAAAAGAACATTGTAAGAAGTCATTGTAGATATAGAGTTTATGCAAGCAAAAATGATGATACGCTTGAAATGCAGGATGCAAACTATTCCGCCTTCTTGATCCTGATTGCTGCCGGGTTGTGGTGATATTGCGATACACGATCAACCGATTGACTGTTTTGGACTTGAGGATGACCACTTCACAGTTCTAGCCCTTAAAGTGAGTAACAGGGCCATTATAAGCATTCACCGGTCAAATCCACGAGTCCTGCTCCATGCTGCCTCGAACCCTTCGGGCATGGCTCGGTCCTGCTCGTTCTTTGGTACGTTCGAAGCTTCTCTCTGCGTGGGCTCCGGAAACTTTGGGGCGACGCCCTCATCAGGCCACAACGGCTTCGTGTTGAACTTGAAATCAAGAATTTCAGGACGCTTGTAGTGGCCGTTCCCATCAATCCACACCTTCACAGGACCCAGATCCTTGAAGTCTAACTCAGCCGTGACAAGCTTCTCCTCAGAACCGGTGTGCGGACCGGCCAAGAAAGAGCAAAAGGGATGGATGACGGCCGACCAGCCTCCACCGGCCTTCACGAAGTCTTGTTGCCCCAGATTTGCCTCCATCCAGTCCAGACACTGCTGGTCGACGTAGTTAGAAGCGGTAAGCACGAAGGCTTGAGCGGTCAGCGCGTGCGTCTTCATCAACGCCTCGATCTGCGCGTCAGCCACGGGCTCAAAGCCACGCATCGTCGACAGCGCGGGCCACGCGCCCACGTGGACGTGCTGGTTCTGGTCGATGAGTGCCTGGCGCGCGCCGTTGAGCGTGTTCTCCCAGCAGCAGAGGCCGCCGAGGTTGTAGGCGGCGGCGCCGCCACCACCACCATCACCATCATCACTGCCGCCGCCACCACCATTCAGCTTGGGCCTGACGACCCGCAAACTCCAGCCGCCGCCCTGAGCCCAGACGAAGCGCTCGGCGTACGTGGGCTGCAGTTTGCGGTGCACGCCCAAGATTGCGCCGTCCGAATCGACGACGACCTGCGAGTTGAACAGCGTGTAGCCGCCTCCGGGCATGCGTTCCGACACGCCCAGGCTGACGGTCACGCCTGCCGCGCGGCACGCCGCCTGCACGCTCCGCATGCTCGCGTCGCTCGCGTCGCAGACCACGCTTTCGTCGGCGTACTTGGCCAGCGCGCCCACCTGCTGTATCGGCGGGTAGGCCTCGCAGAAATACTATAAGGGCGCCCAGTTAACTACAGCTCGGCAATTTAGATTTCACGAATGCAGAGAGAGAGGGCATACCGGGTAGCCGGGTATGAACGTCTCGGGGAAGCCGAGAAGCTTGATGCCCTGCTTGCCCGCCTCTTCGATGATCCGCACGACTTTGGCTGTGGTGGCTTTCTTGTCCATGAATACCGGGGCCGCGTGCACGGCGGCGGCTTTCAGCTTCATTTTGGGGACGACGGCAGTTGAAGATGAAGCCATTGCTCTCTCAGCGTGGTTGGTGGCCAGGGTCAACTGGGGAGTTGCGCTTTGCTCGGCTAGGATGCTGGGCTGCTGCAGGGTGGGAGATGTGCCGGCGGGATGTTCAAGCTTGTAGGTACTTGCTGTGTGACGCAGAATTGGGGGGGTTTTGACATGCGTAGGCGAAGCGGGGCAGCATCCCTGCTGCACGTCGCGCCCGCGCTTCATTGCACACCGTTCGTCAACGGATCGGGCCGCCTGGACGGAGAGATACTCGCAAACTGATCTACACTCAATCACTTTCCCAATTCTCGCCGGCCTCGGCCATGACTTCGTTAATAATCCACAGATATATCCTGCCTGACGCAAAAGCCACGATCTGTACGTATACCCCTTGAAATCAAACGTGAAGCCTATCTGAAATACTTCGGAATAGAGGATTCCTATGAACAATAATCAAGGCTGCTTGAGTACTGGAAATCATCCATGCTCACTCTTTCAAAGAGTCATTTAATATGCCCAGAAGGCGAAAGAACAAGGGAATAAAGCCGTAATATGAAGAATGATTTTTGGCGTTTGAGAGGAGGTGTCGGGGAATAATTTCTCCCACGAAATGGCCATGTGGGCTAAGAGAACAGGGATGCGCTAAAACCAATGACAATGTGTTACGGAAGAATTTTGCGTGAGGTGAGAGCTCGGCGGAGATGACGTGCCATTGACAGCGAAGATTCAGTATGCAGGGAAGAGCTATGATGCCAATACATCTACGGAATGTACCTCCGCAGGTTCAGAGTATGGCTCACCGATCTATCAGCCCCCCCGAAAGGATTTGTCGACCATAGAGCTGAAGTAAAGTTGGGGAAAGAACGTCCAATCCACGGAATATCCAAATGCCAGGAAACACGATAGCTTCGAATCTGTACTGAAGATTTGTTCCGGTAGTATGGGAGATTGCAGGCAAGATCCAAGGGCTGAGATCGAAAGATCGCGGATCTGGCGCCGTACCACCATACCTTCCGTTGGGTGATCTTTTCGGATGCTCCCGGGGGCTGATGCATTGCCACGAGGAGTGGTTGGCGATTCGTTTACGCTAGGATGGGCTATGTCGATACAACTCTTGGGAAGCCCCTAGATGCATGTCTCACCTGCACGTCACGCGGGTGCTATCCTTCACTTACATGTGTTTTCACATGCAAAGTGCAAACGAAAAACATCATCCTGCAGCTCTGTAAGCAGGAGCAACAGCCATATAATCAAATCATTGCCCTGGCGCCAGCCCACGCCGGCCTGCATGCACTCTGTTCCAGAATGGTTGCTTCCATGGGTGACGGACGGGCATCTGCGAGATTGGCATGGGACACCGAGATCCGTCCAATTGCCTGGTACGCTGCCGCTCAAGGCGCCCGTAGCGCCGGCGCTTCTTATCAACATGGCTGGTGTGGAGTATAAATAGTGTGGATCTGTGGGGTTGTCGTGGCACGCACGTGCATGCGATGGACGGCTGTAGTCACCGCGTCAAGTTTCGTGAAAGCCATGGTAACCCCGCTCGGCTTGCATGTGGCTAGTTTGCTTAGGAGAGTACCAGATTGGTACCGGGCCTCTCGCTTACCACTAGCTATACCTGCCCTCCGCATCCGGTGAATAGTCATATAGCGTCGAGGGTCAGCACCATCCATTCTTCCGGCAATAGACGGCAGTTGGCTCGTTTCGCTTATCTGAGTGCGTCCGCCACGCGGCAGAAGCTGTGAAAGTAGTTTCGAGACTTTGGTGGGCGGGTACCTCGATAGAGGTCAGGAGATAGCTAGTTGTTGAGCTCACTCAGCACGCAACCACCCACGGTACCCAGCGCCATGGCCCCACGATAGTTGAGCTAGCTCGCTATGACGAATAGCAGACTCTCCAAAAAAAAAAAGAACCAAATTACCGTGCCCGGAAGGAACTACTAATAAGGAACATTGCTTGGCATCCCGTAGTAGAGTCGACGCTTGTTTCTTGTCCAAACTGACTGGCATCATAAGCTGATGTGAGTATGATTTATTCACGTGATATACACCTGACTGCGCGCAACTCTGTCCGTTGGATTTTCGGCAATTGTATCTCACTTGCGCGCAGTTATGCCGAAGGGGTGTTACGATAATCGACATCGGGTCCCCACGTTCTCCGTACTCGCGTTCCTTCCGCGCCTCGCCCTACGACGTGTCCACTGAGAAGGTAGTGATTGAGGTGTACAACAAAGCATGATGCGAGCACTGGAGCGAAAGGAGAAGAATCCCCGGGCACTTCGGAGCAGTCGTTGTAGTATAAAGCGCGAGAGCCTTCGTGCAAGCTCGGTGCACAGAACACTTTCTGCCCGCAGCCCGAAATGACAAGCAGCAGCAAAACCAGCGTCGTAATCGTGGGGGCCGGCCCCGTAGGGCTGATTTTGGCTCTGCGACTCGCCCAGGCGAAGGTCGACGTCACCGTCGTCGAGGCTCAAAACAAAATAGACGACGCACCGAAAGCCATAGCTCAACTCCCGGCCATTCTTTCGGAATTCAAAAAAGCGGGGATCCTTGAAGACCTGGTTGCGGCGGCAGGTACACTGGCAAACACGACTTTCGTCTTTCGGAGGACATCCGACTCCTCCATCATCTTCGAACCACCGCATGACCCCAACCGGCCCGGAGTTTTGCTACTACCGCAGGGAGAGCTCTGTAGGATTGCTTGTGAGCATTTGAAGAGGCTTGAAAATGCCACCGTGCTCATGGGTCATGCTTTGCTGTCCTTCGACGATTCTGCGAACGGCGTCACAGCTAGAGTCTCTACCCCTGACGGCCCCGAGAAAACCATCACGGCTTCGTTTCTCGTGGGCGCAGACGGAGGTAGAAGCACGGTGCGGAAATTGGCGGGGATTGGGTTCGAGGGAGAGACGTTGCCATGCCAGCTTGTAGCGTCGGACGTCTACTATGACTTTGCCAGGCATGGAGGTTTCAAGCATGCCAACTTCATGGTGGACAAGGAGAACTATGGCCTGATCAGCCAAATCACGAATGTCGGATTGTGGCGCGTATCCTTCAGCGTTCCTCTGGGGTCCGACATGAAAGACATCGAGGCGATTGCTCCCGAGAGATATGAGGCCATGTTTCCCGGACCGCGGCCGTTGGAGTACACAATTGATCGGCTGGCTCCTTACAAGGCGCAACAGCTCTGCGCCACAACCTTCCGCACAGGCAGGGTTCTCTTGGCTGGTGATGCGGCACACTGCAAGTCCCCCCGCCCCGCCAAGTCCAACGGATAGTGGTTGGCTGACATCAGGCACAGTGACGAACCCTTACGCTGGATGGGGCATGGCTTCGGGTGTTTTGGATGCCAGCAGCCTTGCAGATGCCCTAGTCTCTTGCTTGCAGAAGGGAGCTTCTGAGAGCCTTCTAGATGGCTGGGCAGAGGCGCGGCGTGAAAAGTTCCTCAAGGCCATCGATCCGATCTCAAAGGGGTGTTTCTGGGCTGTGCAAGACCCGGATGTCGATTCCCTCCCGCAGAGGCACCCACTCATCAAAGCGATGAAGGCAGGCAAACCACCGAGCATGGGTACAGACGTAACCATGCTGCCAGGGTACGCACAATAAGCTGGAGGAGCCGTGAGATCAAATACAAATGAATTTCTTTGTGCAATGCTCTTATGGACACTCTTAAACCTTGCTTTTTTCTTGCCCTTCTTTAACCGCAGCCTCGATACCCTCTGCGACTTGATCAGGCACTGAGAGGAAAGCAGAATGCGCACCAGAATTCCTTCGGATGGTGGCGTTCAGGGACTGAGCCATTGCCTCTTGAATTTGCGGAAGGAGGATGGTGTCGCCATCGCAGATGAAGTACATGCAAGGGATGTCATGCCACGGCTCGTAGGTCGACGGGCCGGAAAAGACGGCAGCAGCAGTATGGGTGAGACGAGCGCCCCACTTGTCCTGCTCGGCGGGCGAGAGATCAGGGAGAGCAGTTGAGGCTGGTAGGTCGGCGAAGACCCTGGGACCCTGCAGAAATGAGACAGCATGCCAGGGAGTGGCACAGAGAAATGACCTACCTCGAACCTCATCCATGGCAAGGGCTGGCCGCCAAGCATATCGAGCAAACTCTTCCCTTTAGGAAGAGCAAATGCGGAGAGATAGACGATCTCCAAGATACCACCCTGCTTCCCCTCCAAGGCGCGCTGCCTTGCGCCGAAACCCTCGCTAGCGCAAGATCCGACGACTCCGCCTGGAAAGTGGTGGTGAGTGGGATGGACAGGTATTTGTCAGACCGGACGTACCGTAGGAGTGGAGGACGAGAACCACGTGCTTGGCTTGTTCCTCGACCAGATTGGTTAAGGCAGCCCTCAGCGAGGCTACATCCGTGTCCAGAGTTTGGTTCGCCGGCTCGCCGCCCACTGAGGGATGGTCAACGGCAACGGATTCATAGCCCTTCTGCTGGAGCAGGTGACGTAGAGGGCCGAAGGCGTCAGAAGGCTGCCAGGCGCCCGGAACGAGAAGGATCGTCGGCTTCGACATCACTCGTGTCCGCTATCTCCAAGAATCGCGATGCGGAGGATGGCATGATGTCGCGGCCTTATATTACTGCCGGTCAAATTGGCCCCCGCTGCGTGGTGGGGCGTTCGGCTGGGCTCGCACGAGACATGGTGGACCTCTTCCCTGATCTGAGTCGTGCGGCCGGAGGTGAGCCTGCTTGCGGGCGTTGAGACTGCCGTCAAAGGCTTCCGAAGCTGTGGTGTTGTTGTGGTTACAAGCGGAGTTAACCGGAGCGGTGCGTCGCTCCAATGGGGAGGCACAGCGCGGCGCGGAGCGCTCCTTCTTCCGCCCATTCATCATCCTCCCTCTGATCATCACCTTGCCATCTCGCCGAACTTGCCGCACAACCTCGCCTTTCGCTACCATATACCGCCTCCCGCAATCGGCAAATGCGCCACGCTGCCCATCGTATTTGCGTTTCTCTTCGCCGTCGCTTCCCTGGCCGTGGTTCCTCCACTCGCACACCTCTGAGACGGGCCGTGCAAAATGTCACGATCGGCCGCAAGGCTGAGTTAAACTTCAACTCACATGCGGAGGGCAGCTTTGGACGTCATCCGATACACCCCCGCAGTTCTACCCCGCATCCGACACCATCTCAACCGTCACGCTAGGTAGGTACTAGTACTTTCAAGTCATCGCTTATCGCGAAAAAAAAAAATTGTTCAATTGATAGGTAATGACTGCTATCGCCATGCGTCCGACTTTGCGCGCCGGCTTTCTCGCCGGATTATCTATCTTTATTGCCCCTGCGAGCCGTCATTACACCGGGTCGGAAGAAAAGCTTTTTTTCTCAAAACTAAACTGTTAGCAAAGAAGCTCGTCGATTGAGAGACAACGCCCTTTCTTTGCTTCCGGCGGAATCCCTCTAGGCCCTTCACATTCACGTCGATGGACTTTGCCACCCTCGCCGTAGATCCATTTGTTGCCGTCCGAAGCAAAAGGGTTCCTCCACACCGGCGCCGACGGCGTGTCTGGAGGCGTCCCTGCTCCCGGGAGCATTGACGTATGAGCATTGGCCGAATATGCCGACGACGCTTGTGACGACGAGGAGTCTCGGCGAAAGCGTAAGTGCACCGAATCGGTCCTTACGAGCTGCGGACACGTCGAGTCGCCCATGTGGAATTGTGAAGAGACGGATTCTCGGCCGAAGTATTGGGGCGCTGATGCGGTCCTTTCTTGCGGCAACGGAAGGAGCAATGCCGACTTCTCCGCCCGGTGTTGCGGCAACACTGTGTATCGCGGTTGTATTGTCGGGTGATGTCTCGCGTCGTTCTTCGGAGCGATTTCGAACCTGTGCACTGTCAGCTCTGATGCAAGGACCCTGGGGCCAGAACATACGTAGGCTTGTTGATGCTCACGTCATAAATTCTCGGCCTACCCCTCTTTTTATGCTCCGGGTCGAAGCAGTCCATCTGTGGAGCACAGCAATCAGCACACGGCCCAGTTGAATCATTTCTCATCCACTCACCCCTCTTCCGGACGCCACGCATCGTTTGCAAGGGCGCTGGTCCTCACAGCGTGCGTGGAGTCTCCGGCAATGGTTGCACGCCGAGTTCACGGGCACAGACGGTCGTCTTGTTCTGGGTTTGTAGTGCACAGCGTCATCGGCCATTTGTTTTTGCCCTGACACCGACCCTACTAATTCTCAGTCAGCCTCAGCAGCGGATATCCCTTCTGTACATGCTAACCTGAGTATACAAGCATATTGGGATGTCGAGTCGGAAAAGAACTAAGGTCTTGCGGAAATCACCAGGCCCTGTCTGAAAAGGTCGTCGAGATTGTGGCTTGATATCAGAGTAAAGGAGCGCGTGGTCATTGAGCGTCCATTGCCATGTGCGGCGGAGAGACAGGCTGGTCCTGTAAGTATATGTATGGGGACTACGTCTTAGTGACTGGAGACCGATACTGGGCCATCCGCTGGAGATGGCTCCGGACGGAAACGTTGCACGGGTCTCCGACGAACAGTCCAAGCCCGCAAATTGGCGGGGCGGGGAAGACTGAGGGCATCATACAGCAGGGCGTCAAAAGCCGGTGGTCAGGGATCGTTGCTGACGCCAGCCTCCAACGTTGCCAGTCCCATCCGCATGGTTCACCTCGACGCTCTATACCGTCGGACTTTTCTCATCCAGCCGCCGCCGCCACCACCACCTGAGCCTCGCTCCAAGGGCTGGCGGATGCGACGCTACGGTGCTCGACGGCCTGTGGCAGGCGGGACCGCATGAAGCGGTCTGGAAGCGGCCTGAATGCAGACGCGCTCCCGCGATGAGCGCATGCATGCGAAATAAGCATTTTGGTGAAGATTGTGGTCGTAAAAGGTTAAGTGCAGAGGCTACGGCCCGTCACTTGTGCCCTGAGAGCTCATAGGAACGGGGGGAAAAGGACCTATTTGGCATTTCGGCCAATCGCATTTGGTCGCTGTAGTCAACCAGCGGTTCCTACTGGCCAATCAGTCTTCGCTCTCTGTTTCGCAAACGGCATCCAGCTTTTCCATTACGGCTTTACCGATTGGGCATGTGCTCGTGGCCAGCGATGCGCTATAGCTGTGTTGCCCAACACACTAGTTGCGCCTCTCGACTGATGCGCAAGTTGAAATGAGGTTCAGCTGTGTTGTGCCGCTGTGGAGCGACACGGACTTCGCAGGGGTTCCCGCTCGGCAAGACGATGGGCCCTGCTAGGAAGCTTGGAAAGGCTTCCGATAGGCGGTTGGAGGGGAACCATCAAGGTCCCGTCCCTGTAGAAGGATTTGGTTCTGCAGAGGTCATGGTGGGAAGGAATATCCCGCTTGGGACCGAGCCAGCGATGGCGCACGACCAGCTTTTCTGATCGATGCTTAGCGGACCGCGCCAGACGAAGAGCTTTCCGCGTACCGCTCTCTAACCCGCCGCCATTCGCCCGGCCTTCTCTTCCCTGGACAGCCACAATTCTTACTGTAGAACCTCTCGCTGCCGAGGCCTCTTGCTCGATTAACACTCTTGGCCCGCCACGCCTACTTTTCGTCCTCGGCAGCCGTTTGGTATTGCGATCAACTGACTGCGCGCCAGATGCAGTAAATGCTCGCCGGCTTTATTGGCGTAGAGCCTTGGATCCTATCCAGCTTCAACACTTTTAGCATGCATCCTATCCGAAACACAGAACAACAGACCGGGCATTGCCCGGGAATATGGTTGATGCTACAGTAGCCGAGCTGAGCCGGGGATGCGACTGTCGTTTGCCCATCTGCAGGCTGGAAAAGAATTCTCCTGAGTGCAGCCCGCATTTCAGCAGGGAACTGGCAACATCTGTCGCGTTCTGGTGCCCTCAACACGCATGCTAGCGCAAACCATGGCCCCACTGCCCTTGGCTTGTACTCCTAAAGGAATGCCCCCACAGCTGCCACCCACGCATGTGTTACCGTCGATTGGAGCTGTCAAAACCTCCACCGGACCAAGATTGTGCACTGCCCATTGATTTTTGCCCTCGGTCCGGAGCTCGCCCTATTTGCACTGATAAAAGGCTTTTGAGAAAGCGTCAATCGGACTTCACCGGACGGTGAGTTTCTCAAATTCTTACTATCGGCGATTGGAGCTGTTCAGACCTGAATGGCACGCTGACGAAATGTGGCTTCTCCAATCTAGATCCGCAAATGGTGTTGTCCAAGCACCGTTCATGCAAGACGAAACAGCAAATGGCCAATGTCCAACCAGATTCTGCGCAATAATAACCTTCAGCATGACGAAAAGGTTGCGTCAGCAGTCCTGAGATTCTCTTGGCCCCAAGTGTCGTACTAAGCGACCTGTTCGTCCAGACTTGAGCTTCCGCAGATCACACAACTTCACTGAGAAGCAGGTTTCCGGGTGATGTGCATGTCTTGCAGACGGAGGAAAGACTGAGCCGGAAATAAGATTCCTTGGCACATTGGACGAGCAGCCGGCGGCCAGACTGCGGAGCCAGGGGTGGAAAAGGAGCAAAAGTTTACCGCCTGGAACTATACACGGAGAGAAAAACGTACCTATCGAGCCGAGGCGGATGTGTCGGGTTGATCGACGTAGGTGCCGGGTCCCTGCGTACGTGTAGCTATCTCCAGATCACCACCCGACCCCGCTTATCTGCCAGAAGCGGAGTAAATCATGACTCGCATGGCCCCCGCAACTCGTTACATCCCGACGGATCCTGATAAGACCCTCCAGCCAAACCCGCTATCGACCATAGAGCACGCTCAAGTACCTGACACGGTCCGCCTCCGTGTCCGCCTCCGCAGCGACCGGATGTGGCCCCTTTCAGGACTCCAAGATGGCTGATTGGCTGCCTGGAGATGGCTACGGCATTGACAAGATAGGCGCGATGACAACGCGTTACCTCTGTCGCGGTATATATTCAGCTAGAATTCTCCGCGTGAGCAACGGACCCCATCTCTCTGTCTGTCCAATTCCTCATCATCTCGTCGCTTAGCAACAATGAATCATATCAAGGCGGTTTTCGCGAAGTGTGCGGAGGAGCAGCGGGTGAGGCAGCGCTTGCCATGCACATGACGTATCCCGAACTCACAAGCAATACAGTCCGCACTCATTGGCCATGTTACCGCGGGATATCCAACCATGGAGGAGACGGCGGATGTACTCCTCGCCCTAGAGGCGGGCGGAGTCGGTAGGCACGCGACTTTCCCCCTCTCCAGCACAGCCACTGAGACGGGACGACAGACATTATCGAACTTGGTGTACCGTTCACAGACCCCATCGCGGACACGCCGGCCATCCAATCCGCGAACATGGTAAGTGGAGCAAAACCTGAAGCATACGTATCCCCTTCACAATGGTGCCAAGAGCACTAGGTTCGGTCCAGAACGCCCGAGGAACTAGTGGGCTAACAGTTGCGCGTAGAAAGCACTACTGAACGGGGTTAAGATGAGCACTTGTTTGGAGATGGCGCGGACGGCCCGAAGCAAAGGGCTGCATGCTCCGGTGCTCCTGATGGGCTACTTAAACCCTTTCCTAAGCTACGGTGAGGAGAAGATGATCAAAGATGCCCGCGCGGCGGGCATTGACGGCCTCGTCATCCTCGACGCCCCGCCCGAGGAGGCCGTCCGTCTGAGGAACTACTGCACAAAATATGGGTAAGAATGGCGAAACGCGGATATTATTGAGGATGGATGCTGACAAGGGCGCCGCAATCAGCATCTCGTACGTACCGCTGGTCGCTCCGACGACCGACGAGGCCCGGCTCGGTGTGCTGGGCAAGATCGCAGACTCGTTCATCTACGTCGTGCCCGGTGGCACCCCCAAGGCGGAGCTGCCCAAGCTGCTGGCCAAGGTGCATCAGTTCGCGGGCAAGATGCCAGTGGCCGTCAGGTCGGAGCCTCAAACGCACGAGGAGTTCTTGGAGGTGGGAGCTGTGGCTGAGGCCATCGCCACAGCCGACCCGTTGGCATGTGTGCTCGGAGAGGCGCGGGCAGGGCAGGCGGCGGCGGACGTCAAAGAGCACGCGGCGTCTGTCAGCGGACGCCCGGCGGCCGGCGGCACGGCCGGGTACAAGCGGACGGACAGCGGCACGGCACTCGTCGATCACCTGGAAGCGCTCGCGGTCGACAGGGAGGCCACGATCGACAGCGGCACGCACATTGAGGGGTTCGGCGGGCAGTACGTTCCCGAGGCCCTGATGGGGTGTCTGGCGGAGCTGGAGGCGGGGTTCAAGGCCTGCGTCGACGATCCTGCCTTCTGGGAGGAGTTCCGCTCTCACTACTCGTTCCTGGGCCGGCCGGGCCAGTTGCACAAGGCGGAGCGGCTGACGGAGCACATTGGTGGAGCTAACATTTGGCTGAAGCGGGAAGATCTGAACCACACGGGCAGTCACAAGATCAACAACGCCCTGGGACAGGTGAGAAGCGCAAGCCGGGTCCATCGGGAGATTATACTGACTTGCTGCTGCAGATCCTTCTGGCCCGCCGCCTGGGCAAGAAGGAAATCATTGCGGAAACGGGAGCTGGTCAGCACGGTGTGGCAACAGCGACGGTGTGCGCCAAGTTTGGCATGAAGTGCACCATCTACATGGGAGCAGAAGATGCACGGCGCCAAGCGTTGAACGTTTTCCGTATCAGATTATTGGGCGCTGAGGTAGTGCCTGTTGAGGCTGGGTCCAAGACGCTGCGCAACGCCGTCAATGGTCGGTTCCCCTATAGAGGCTCTTGTCTCCCATCGTCCGTTTAAACGTTTCTAGTGCTGACAAGCTCCACCACTACAGAGGCATTGCAAGCTTGGGTCGCCAACCTGTCGACGACCCACTACCTGATTGGCTCCGCCATCGGGCCCCACCCGTTCCCACAGGTAAGACGACCATAATTCTCCTCCCGACGACGTTGCTAAAAAAACCATTTTCACAGATCGTGCGCACGTTCCAGAGCATCATCGGCCAGGAAGCGCGGGCGGCGATGCTGGAGCAGGCAGGCAAGCTGCCCGACGCCGTCGTGGCCTGCGTGGGCGGCGGCAGCAACGCCGTGGGGCTCTTCCACCCGTTCGCGGGCGACGCGAGCGTCAAGCTGCTGGGCGTCGAGGCGGCGGGCGACGGCACCGACACGACTCGACACAGCGCGACGCTGACCAACGGCACCGTGGGCGTGCTGCACGGCGTGCGCACTTATTTGTTGCAGGACGCCGACGGCCAGATCCTCGACACGCACTCCATCTCGGCCGGCCTCGACTACCCGGGCGTCGGCCCCCAGATGGCCGCCTGGAAGGCCTCCGGCCGCGCCCGCTTCGTCGCCGCCACAGACGCCCAGGCCCTGAAGGGCTTCCGCCTGCTGTCCCAGCTCGAGGGCATCATTCCTGCCCTCGAGACGTCGCACGCCGTCTACGGCGGCATGGAGCTCGCTCGCGAGCTTGGTAAGGGGAAGGATGTCGTTATCAACATTAGCGGTCGTGGCGACAAGGACGTCCAGACCGTAGCGGAGGAGCTGCCGAAACTCGGCCCGCAGATTGGCTGGGACTTGCGCTTCTGATGTGTTGTTTAGTTCCTGTTTGTTCAGTTTTGCGAGCAGTATATCTCCCAGCCCGTGTGCTGTGATGCGATTAAGACCAATGAGAAATATTTTTTTGTTTACTTTTTGCGTCCATGGATCCGTCTCTTTCCGCTACAGTGTTGGCCGGGTGATTATTCTTTGGTTTTGTTGACACGAGCAAAGTCAGCAAGTAGTAGTGCTTATGATATAGCTGGCTCGAGAGGGTCCATTCCCGAAACGCCCTACTTCCACGAGCTCATGCCAGATTGACTTTGACCCGGTCCATTCATCCTTCGAACAACGGAGGTGGGACCGGGGCCAAGCCCTTGCAACGGAAGGGACAGGGCAACAACACCAGCATCGACTACTGGAGCGGACCTTGATTTTTTTTTTCTCCCTAATTCCTACGGCTCGACCATCGCGGTGCTAAATTCACTACCAACTATAGTACACACATGTTCGCCTCGGCAGAACTTTATTAGCTCCGTTCATAAAATGTCCTTTTAATTCTTTCCGCTAACCGTCGATAGTAGTGGACAGAAAGTTTCATTGTCCGCCAAGCGTAATGGTATGTATGTATTGCCCGTTGGGGGGGTGGTCACGGGTGCAGCGTAGGTAGTAGCCGGCTTACCCACTAGCGTGGCGCGGCCCGCCCGGATCCTCGCGACCGAACAAATGGCTATATAGCGACTTTCCGATCGCAGCATTTTGTGGAATGGTCAAACTAGGCGGCGCGCCCGCCGGAGTGTGGCTTGGTTCCTTGAGTCGATTTGTTCCCCCCGATCTCTTCGGAGTACGGCCGGACGCCCATTTCTTACACTTACTGTTCGGACTTCGATGTGGAGCCCCTCCCCCGTTTGCCCGCTCGGAGGTCCGGGGATCGTCTCTCAGGTGTCCGGGTTTCCTTGGCCTTCTGCAGATGAGAGGAAGGAGAATTTGTTGCATTGCGCAGAGACATCTATGATTAAGAATACATAGGAAACCATCATACCAAGCCTATGTGCCCAAAGAAATCGTACAATTCATCAACACGTCAACAGTGATAAAGCATGCCCAACTCGTGACTACGTATACACACACAACCTCGGTCAGACCTGCCCAAACGACCACCAGTCGTCTACCCCCCTCACAAAGTCCTGCCCTTGGGCGAAATAGCTCTGCGCCAGTACGGCCAGCTCATCGTTGTCCCCCATTCCCAACGCCATCGAGTCCATGATATCCCCTCCTCCACCCCCCACTACTCCACTTGCACTACCCCCACCGCTGCTTCCTATCGTTGCTGTTGCGCCTGCTCTGCTGCCTCCGCTCCCAATTCCCCCGCCAGCACCACCATTTCTACCAATCGACCCCGCGGCAGACGTACCCGGCGTCGACACGCTGTTGTGCCTCGCATTGCCGCCGCCGCCGCCGCTTTCTCCGCGCGGATACGTCGGCTCGGGCAGCAGCCTCGACGACACGACCTCGCCGTGCGACGTGCCACCTGCGACGGTGCCACTCGGGTCGCGGTAGTGCGGCCAGAGGCTGGATCCGAAGAGGGAGCCGGAAAGGTCGCCAGTCGATGATGTGAAGACGCCTTCAAGGATCTCCCAGAAGGTGGTCAGGTCGATGAAGACTTGGCCCGAGGTTTCCGAGGGGGTGTTGGAGGACGAGGAAGACGAGTCGTGGTAGGAGGCCGAGACAGTGGCTTCGAAAGACTGGAGCTTGGAGGCCTGGGGGTGCTTGTGTTAGTGATTTGCGTGCACTTGGTAGAGGTCTCAGGAGGTGCTTACGATTTGAGCGATGTGCGGCCAGTGGGCACCTAAGCGGCGCACAAAATCGAGGCATTTGAGAAAGTTGTTGCGCTTCTCGGTGCGGATGCCGGCGTCGTCGGCGAAGCTCTGCTGCAAGTAAATGGTAGCAACGACGGCGACGCAGTTACCGATGAACGGGTCGGTGACGCGGAACGACTTCTCCTCGACGAGATCCACGAGGTGGATGACCCAATCGGTGTGCGAAGCGATCAAATCTGCCGTGTGCTGAAGGAAGATTTCCGGGATGCTGACACGGAAATTGCGTAGCCGTAGGGAGAGGATCAGTGGGTGATTAAGTAGACACATAATAGTATGGTAGATGATTTGCGAGAAAAACCAAGGGCACCAATAGTCTCGTTGCTTTTCCAACTCCTCGGTGGGTCGTTCGTCGAATTTGGAAGGGCGGAATCGATGCTTGTAAGGCATGTGCGACTCAAACTCCATCATGGAGACCATGATTTTCGAGTACTCAGACTCAGCAGACCATGGAAAGTGCACGCCGGGGTTGGCTCGTCGCCGTGCGTAGCGGACGGCTTTGTGCCAATACTGGCTGAGCTGAATGACATATGCGGTTATGCCCTGATCTTTGACACCATCTTGGACCACCCTTGCATCTACGCTCGGATCGGAAAACGGAGGTTTTTTGGTACTTGTAGGAAATCTTGGGAAATTTTCCGAATCTTTTGATATTGAAATGCCGCAGTTGCTTCCATGAAGTTTTTTCATAAAGATGATGCTCCAAAAGCACCGTCGTCTCTCTTCGTGGGCCGGGTCTTGTAGTGTTATGTGGCATTCACTAGAGAGTCCGGCACTTTCAGCGAGATCCAACGCCAACGAGGTTAGGGAGCTCGCTCTATGCGTGTTTCCAACTGAGATTCTTGATTAGCTTGGTAATGGTGAGAGTGAAATGGACATACCGCTGAAGTCAACAAGGCTGAGGAGGCAAAGGGCCTGCAAGGTCGAAAGCTCGATAGGCCCATGGGATACTCTCCGCATAACGAGGGTGCGAGCGGCCTCTGCATATCCCCGGACGGCTTGCTCTCGCCTATCACGGTACAGAGGATCATCTGAGAAGCGCACAGCCACAGCCAGGATACCAAAAAGAACCTCAGGGTCCTTCGTGCCTAGGGTGGATATAAAGGTCTTTGGATCAAACAGAGGAAGCGGTTGGCCATTGCAGTAGAGAAGGTAGAGCTCTGCCACAGAAACTATCGTGTCCCACTGTGGCAGGGTGCTAGGTGGCGGTCAGCATCAGGAGAAATGCTCGCGGAGGCCAAGAGGACTACTGACCTTGCTGTTGCAGGGGGAGAAGGCTGATCAACTGGAGGCGGCAAGCTGTTCAGGCCGGTAGAAGGGGTAGGAGTAGGCGGGCTTGCAGTCCACGGGATGCGGCTGCGAATTGAGTCAGCACAGTGCGCAGAATGCGGAAGAGGTGGCCTACTTCAGCGCACCCAGCACTTCGGCGACTTTGGTCTCCAAGACACTCAGGCGATCGGCCTAGGCGAGTCAGCAAAGCTGCAACAAGCAGAGAAGTGGAGGGAAACGCACCCAGGGCCCAGGCGGGCCGGCGGATTCGGCAGTCTCGCTGACACTGCCGTGGCGATCGCGATTGGAATCGGTGGTGCCGCCGGCATATTCGCTAGCCGCCGGATGGTCGGTGGCGTAGTAGCAGGTCTGGCCGAGGCGGGAGCAGTGCGAGCAATTGGGCCGCTCTCCCGGACAACGTGATTTTTTGCGCCTTCAGGATTCAATGACACAAGCCAGACTGAAAATTGGGTTGTGCTGGACTTACCGGCACGGCTCGCAGGCCTGGCGAATGCGCTTGGCGGGACGGTGCTCCGGCGGAGGGACGGAAGACATAGTTTCGGTGTGTCAAAGCCCCACAAGCTTTATGGAAACATCGAGGCTGGTTCTCGCGTGAGAATTCCAGGGTAACATGTGGCCTTCAAATGGTCGGCTGGAGAAGGGCGGCAGCCGATAGGAAGATGCGGAAGGCGGGACGGAGACGCGGATGTGCGATTAAGTATTTTCTGTCGCTTATCAAATCCCTGCTACCCCGCAGCCCCTGATTGGCCCTTATCTGCCCTCGGTTTCCTGAACCGTTGACTTGCACAGCTTTACCATCGAAACACAGCCTTAATCATTGCGTAAAGTCTACCAAACGCCAGCCCCTGAACCATGCATGCCTGAACTTTTCCAACTCCACATTCCCCTCTTCCTCCGCCTCACGCCCCGATCGCCTCCCGCAGCGTCCTGACGAACGCATACACATCCGAGAATGTGTTGTACAGCGGCACGGGCGCCACCCGCACCACGTCAGGCTCACGGCTGTCCGCAACGATGCCCGCATCTGACAGAGCCTTCGCCACCGTCTTGAGCAGCCCCGGCGCCAGCAGCACGCTCAACTGCGCACCGCGCTGCTGGGGATCCAGCGGCGTGATGATGCGGTACGGACGAGCGTTCTCGTCGGCAGGCAGATCCTTCAGGAGCAGGTGCTCGGCGTAAGCCGTCAGCTTCAGCGACTTGGCCCGCAGCTCGTGGATCGATGTCTCGTTGAAGACGGAAAGAGCAGCGCAGAGAGACGTCAGGTCGATGGCCGACGGGTTGGAGCACTGGAAGCCGCCTGCGCCGGGGATGGGCCGGAACTCTGTGCTCTGTGTCAGCGCTGGGTATGCCGCGAGTGGCCGGCCTTTGACTTACTATTGTCCATCTTGAACCGAACCGCCCTATCTCCGCCGTACCACCCCGTCAGGCGCGGCCGGAAGATGGGCTGGCCGTCGTCGCCAAACTCGACCTTTCCGTGCTTCTCGTGCACGAAGCACCCCGCAATCGCACCGGGTCCGGCGTTCTGGTACTTGTACGTGCACCATGCCGCAAAGTCGACATCCCAGTCGTGGAGCTGCACCGGCACGTTACCCGCCGCGTGCGCCAGGTCCCAACCTATTGTCAGGCCCTTGGACTTGGCGTGTGCCGTGATGGTCGGCATGTCAAAGTACTGGCCGCTGTAGTACTGGATTCCAGGAAGCAGAATGAGCGCGATCTCGTCAGCATGTTCATCGATCGCCCGCAGGATCTTCTCCGTCGAGATGATGTGGTCGTTGTCGGGCTCAAGCAGGATCATGTGCTCCTTGGGGTTCATTCCACGCGTCAAAAGTTGAGACTCGATTGCGTAGTGGTCGCTGGGGAACGCTTTCCACTCGAGCAAAATCTTGGTGCGCTGACCCGCCGGCTTGTAGAAACTGGCCATCAACATGTGCAGGTTGACGGTGAGTGTGTTCATAATGGCAACTTCCTCAGGCTTGGCCCCGACGATGCGTGCAGACTGCTCCGCTGCCGTCTCGGCCATCAATTGCCACGGCTTCAACGGCGACTCGTCCAGCTGGGTGAAGTGACCGTAGACACCAATGCCCGACCACGTGTCGAGCTGGGCCTCGATGTACTTGGACACGGCCTTAGGCTGCAGTCCGAGCGAGTTGCCACAAAAGTAGATGCCATCCTCCGAAGAAAGGCCTAAACCCCCATCAGCATTGCGCCGCCGCTGGCCTTTATCCCAATCGAGAACTTACCGGGCTTTGCCAAGGCCTTTGACTTCAGGTTGGCCTTGGACGGGATGATGAACTTGTCCCGGAAAGAGCGCAGGGGGTCCTGCGAGTCAAGCTGCTGCGCGTAGCTCTCGCTATCCGCGTCCGCCGGGAACTGCGGCTTGGATTCAACCTTGGAGGGAGACATGTCGGAATAGTTTGGGCGGTCGTTGATCTTGCTAAGTCCCTGCCGGTGGTGTGACGCTCTTATCAACCACCTGAAAGCCGTTATGTGCCGCTGATGCAGTGCAGCACTTTGTAGACCGCCTAGCAACCCGTCTCCGTGTTCCGTTTCCGCTTCCGCTTCCGCTCCCACCGGCCCCTCGTTGCGCCGGAGAAGCTCCTATCACACCACCGTTCGTCATTGGTCCCCTACGGTACATGATGATATTACACTGTTGAAGCGACGCTAGATTTTCACCTATGTCACAGTCAACCAGCTTGGCGCTCTCATTCATTGCCTGTCTTGCTAGCCCTGCCGTAGTGCAACACCGATCTCCTCGCCGCCTGCAACATGCTCGACCATCTCGACGGCAACCTTGCACACTACCGTGTATCACACGAAAATGCCTTTCTGCCTGATCGGCTGCCACTCCAACGGCTACCAGACCCTTACTACGCCGAGTGGGAATCGGTGATAGAAATTCTGCCCCAACTTTTGCGCTCCGGCGAGCTCATTTCGGCAATCAACGACCTCCCAATCCTTGAGACTTCGAGATTGAGCAGCGAAGAGGAATGGAGAAGAGCATATGTAATCTTGGGCTTCTTCACGCATGCATACATTTGGGGTGGAGAAAAGCCGTCAGAGGTGCGCCAAACGAAACGAAGCCAGTGGAATTTGCTAACTTTGACTTCAAGGTTCTCCCTCCATGCATTACCTTACCGTTCCTTGAGGTCTCGGAGCACCTCGGACTGCCGCCAACTGCAACTTACGCTGCGGTGAATCTCTGGAATTACAAGACCGTCGATCCCACCGTGCCGCTTTCTGTTCCGGAGAACCTCCGGGTGCTGCACAGCTTCACGGGCACCGACGATGAAGCCTGGTTCTACCTCATCTCCGTCGCCATCGAGTCGCGCGGCGCCCACACGGTGCCGCTCATGATGCAGTGCATTGACGCGGCAGCGCGGGGCGACCACTGGAAGGTGGTTCAGGGGTTGGACTCGCTGCGGGTCTGCATCAACGAGCTCGGGGTGATCCTGGAGCGCATGTACGAGCGGCTCGACCCACAAGTCTTCTACTTCCACATCCGGCCCTTCCTGGCCGGCAGCAAGGGCATGGCCACGGCCGGCCTGCCGCGCGGCGTCTTCTACGACGAGGGCGACGGCAAGGGCGAGTGGCGCCAGTACAGCGGCGGCAGCAACGCCCAGAGCTCGCTCATCCAGTTCTTCGACATCGTGCTCGGCGTGCGCCACACGTCCGGCGGCGAGCTCATCAAGAACAGCTTCATCGAGGAGATGAGGTTCTATATGCCCGGCCCCCACCGCCGCTTCCTGCAGTACCTCGACCGCGCCGCCAACATCCGCGAGTACGCCCTCAACCCGTCGACCGAGAACACGGTGCTCGAGGCCTACGACGCCGCCGTGGCCGCCCTTGCCGCCTTCCGGGACAAGCATATCCAGATTGTGACAAGTGAGTGATATCTCATTCTTTTTTATTCTCCCCCTCTCTATGTTACTTTAGCATTGAAAGGAATGAAATCATTCTGACCAGCTGCAGGATACATCATCATGCCCTCGCGCATGAAAGCGCAAAAAACAAACACGGTCAACATCGCATCTGCGTCGTCAATCCAGGATGGCGAGGACAAGGCCGATAAGAAGCTTTACGGAACTGGCGGCACGGTAAGGACTTTCCCCCAGCCAGATGCATCCACCTTACGCGTTCTCGACATTTTACTAATTTTGGTTTTTCGACAGGCCCTGATACCCTTTTTAAAGCAAACTAGGGATGAAACGAAGAAGGCGGCGAGCTCGCAGTGATATCTTTAAAAGTGTTTTGTTTTCTCATGTTATTACATCTTTGGTTTGTAAGGTTGATCCTGCTGGGACACGTCCCTCGGAGTTATTGGACGAAACGGCGTTATTATTCATGGGGGTTATTTGATCATTCTCGATTCGATTGCAAGGAAGCAGCCTAGATCACAGCAAGAGTAGAAGTAAGATAATCACTTGATTGAAATCTGAAGACATGTTGTCATGAGGACATCTTCGATCGGTCGATGACGTTTGTTGGGGTGAGATGAAGTGCGATCTGAACGCAGCCTTCCGCCGGCCATCCGTCGGATGGAGTTGAGCCGCGAGTAGGCGGTTCACAGAATAGGCGATGACGGAATCTCACTTCTGCAATTTTTTCGTAATAGCATGCTCATTGGCGTGCACGCGCAGAGGAGCAGGGGCCCTTGCTGGTCAGGCTAGCCATTGAGCTTTCTTCGAGGGCTCAGCCAGAGAAACGCCATCCATCCGATGTGCTCGTGGTTGAATCTAAGTCTGTGGTAGGTTTTGTAAGCTAAGCCCAGTTCGGGAGGGCTGCTTATGCCCAAAATACCTCGAGAAATCGACAAGCGGATTGGTTGAGAAAGGAGGTCACTTTCAGCCGGGAATTTGGTTAGACTAATACAGTATTATTCATTCCTACGATCCTACGATACTTTTAGATGACCAACGACTCGCTATCCTTGTATTCTCCCAGCTTAAACAACTTCTTCGCGTTCTCCCTCCCGATCTTCAACCGATCCCGGGTGTTGAGCTCCATCTTGTCGAACCACTCACATCCGTCCTCAAACGTCTCGAAGGGGTAGTCGACGGAGAACAGGATGCGGTCGGCGCTGACCTCGGCCAAGCAGAAGTTCAGGGTGGTGGTGGAGAAGTGGCCGGAGGTGGTGATCCAGACGTTCTGGTCGAAGTACTGACGGATCGTCTTCTTGCACTGCTTCTCCAGGCCGAGCAGCTTCTTGCGGTCCTCGAACCAGTGGTTGATGCGCCACAGGTCGAAGGGGATGTGCTCGCCCAGGTGGCCGATGATGATCTGCAGCTTCGGGTGCCGGTCGAAGACGCCATTCGTCACCATGCCCAGCAGGTGCAGGCTGACGCCGTGCGCGAACGACAGCGGGGGGCCAATCAGCCAGTGCCGCGCCTTCCACAGCTTCTCGAAGACCACGCCCGTGGGGTTGCGGGGGTGGAGGTAGAGCTGTGATATGCTGTCAGCCTCATGGAAGTTGGATGAGGAAAAGGGAATATCTACCGGAACATCCAGCTCGGTGCAGGTCTGCCAGAAGGTATCCCATTCAGGGCCGTCGTAGAAGATCAAATCCTCGCCATCAGGCCCGGCACGCTGCGTATCGTTTATCAATGCGCCCTTGAAGCCGTACTGCTTAACGCATCGTCTTAACTCCTCAGCCGCGGTCTTGGGGTCGTGCATAGACAGCGTTCTATGTAAACGTCAGCAGATATCCTCCAAGATCTCGTGCAGTCCGGGAACTTACGCGAAAGCACCTAGACGGTCCGGGTGTGGCTTGATCTTCTCGGCGATCCAGTCGTTGATCTCGACGGCGAGCGCGTCGGCCTCCTTTCGCTCCCAGATGTCCTGCACGCCGGGAGCCGTGTACGAAAGGATCTGGTAGCCGACACCGTGCTTGTCGGCGTGCTGCAGGCGGATCTTGTCCACGTCCTGAATCTCTTGCACGTGCTTCTCGACGTCTGTTGCGAACAGACCGGCCCACCACCGCGTCTTCTCGTCGAAGCGGGGCAGGGCGAAGGCCTCCTCGAGGATAATCTTGCCGAGCATGGTGTTCGTTCTTTTGATGCTGAATGTGTGCGGGAAAGTTTTTGGATCTGAAGCCTGTGTTTCCCTCCCTTTGCTCTTTTTATTTTAGAAGGTACAAAGCCTATCCTGGCCCCTTTCGCTGATGCTTTGGCTTATGTGAGTGCGGATGAGGTCCGTCGGATGGCTCCCGACGGATGCACTAACTATCAAGTGCGGGGGGCTGCGGGTCTGGCTGCGGGGCAGGTATCCCTCGGAAGGCGGTCGCGGGGCCATTGTTCTGTCCTTTCCGCGGCCATCAGGTACGGTGCTGATCCCGGTCCGCTCTCGGTGTGCTAAGTGTTGGCTTGACCAAAGACGTGCCGCCAGAGGCCTCGGAAGGGATGCTTACGTCATGCGTCCCTTACCCGAGGCTCCTCTCCGCCTCTTTCCGTGCTCTAACCACCAAATTTGCACTTCCCGACTTACCCTTTTTTCAAGATTCTGTTTCTGGTTTTGGCTTCGGTGCATTATGGCATATAGATACATATATTCGGATGCGTCCGCATTCCTGGAGCGAAACATGTTCGTGTGTCTAGGACCGGCATTCCTGCACCTGAGTCTCAGTCGAATGGCAGCAGTCGGTGACAAGGTTGCATGGAATGCTCCGAGATGACTTATGTGAGTATCTTTACGAGATAGGGGCGGAAAACAGATTCTGGATCTGGGGATATCATACTTAGAGTATCATGGAGTACCGTGTTGCCATTTAGAATAATACACGCAGTATATACACACACATTAGATAGCTCCAGTTACCATGCCATGTTACTCATCAGCGTAGACGACGAATGGGCTGACCATGATCCCATTCTCAAGGTCGTACTCGTCGTACATTGTAGTACCATGCAGCACTTCGTAGTTTCTCATCGCACCACAAGCATCGGTTGCGTTCCCTGTAGCATCCGCATTGGTGCACACCTTCCCAAGGAGGCCGGCAATGCGCTGCCCAACATCCCGGCCTTCGAACCACGCGCCGTGCAAGAAACCAAAGTACTCTGCCGAGTTGGCCTCTCCGGCAAACCACAGTCTATCCACGTTGGCCCGCAGATTCTGGTGCTTCTCAAGTGTGACTCCAACCGGCCAGTTGGAGTAGGATCCATAGGCCCAAGGCTGCAAGCTCCAGCGCGGATACATGACGTCGATTGGTTCGGGGATGTCCTTGTCGGGGAACATCTTGCGCAGGACCTCCATCAGCTCCACCGTTGTCTCCTCGACAGTCTGGGCCTCGATGCGATACGACTCGCTGTGAACGACGGTTGCGAAAATGATTCCGCTGCCGGGGATGAAGCCATCGGTGTCGAGAGACTGCCACACGGGATAGTATCCACGCTTTTCCGGGTCGGCGTAGAGGAAGAATTGCGTGTCGGGGTCCCAGAAGGTCTCGTTGAACTGCATGAAGATCTTGGTGTAGGTTCCCATCTGGAAATTCTCAATGGCGTCCTGCTTCCAATCCGGCAGTTCCGGTTCGAAGGTAACAGCATCATTCTGTAGCACTCCGAGGGAGAAGGTGCAAATGGCGTATGCAGCGGAGACGCAACTACCGTCGGCGTTGTACACAGTGACTCCATCTGACGAGTATTTGATGTCGGTTACTGTAGTGTTCAGCAGCAGGCGAGAGTCGTTCTTCTTGAGGAAAGTGTTGGCTTCTCCAATGACAAAAGCGTTGAAGCCACGCTGGTCGACGACGAAGTTGTTGGCCTCACTGAATTGGTAAAAGGATGCGTTGTACCCCCAGATACCGGCGGCGAACCCGCTCTGCTCAGGCTCATAAGCAGTTTCCCAGTCCCATTCCCACCACTCCACAGCCTGGGCGGCCATGTTCTTCTTCGGCTTCCATCCGGCAAGACTGAAGCCCACTCTGGTGCTCGTGTCTTGCAGGTTCTCGGTCACGATGTAGCCGGCATTCTGCTCCGCTATGGCATAAGCATCCTCGAACTCGTCCAGAAGGTAGGTAAAGTCAACGGCACCCGTCTCGTTGTAGGTAAGAATGGAGCTGTAGTTGGAGTAGGTGTTTGTGACGTTGTATTTCTTCCCCATGGTCCAAATGGGATTCTCCGGGCCACCTTCAGAGCCTAGTCCTTGGATCCAGTTGGCGCCTAGGGGCTGGTCAGTCGAGGTAGCTGGGCAGTACTGGGATAGAGATTACCTAGTTCAACGACATAGGGAGATCCGTCAGGCTTCGAGCCAAAGGTCGTGTGGGCAACACGCCCTCCGATGTATGAATTGTGCTCGATGATGATAAAGTCCGAGATGGATTGGTTAGAGAGGGCTTGGGCGGCAGTGATGCCTGCCACGCCGGCACCTAGGATTGCAACAGTCGTCTTGTGGCATTGCTGGTCGTCCACTCTTGACGACAAGGCGGCGGCCGAGACGTAGCGGAGACTTGGTAGAGCCCACAGAGCAGATGAAGCTGAGAACCTCATGGTGAGAATGGCCCAGACGCAACAGACTCGGTACTTACCAAGGCTGCGAAGCTGGGGGTATTAATATATTGCTGGAGAGAAGCACGTTGCACAGATGCAAGGCGCGATAAGCTGTAGTGGATGCAAGCTAGGCTGAATACGCGCGTTGTCTCGGGGCGGCTCATCGAGCCGTCGGCGACTAGGCGAAACATAGCAGCTCGACGCTGAGGTGAGGTCGGTACCTTGCATCAGGGCGGAGATAACAGGATCAAAGCGGCAGTTCCATGCGAAGATGGGCGGAGACGACGAAAGCTTGAGGGCGCGGGATGCTGCTCGGCCTCCCGAGTCAGCGCGGGGTTTCCGCGATCGCCAGCACCAAGATTGCACTCAAGATAAGAGATAGCATCCGACGCCCATGACGCGGTCTTCTCCGCTTCCTGACTATTTTTTTGTACGAAACCACGTCTCGTTGTTATCAACGTCTTTCAATAATGACACCTCCAGCAGCACCTGGCCTGGCTTGATTAAATCGGCATCGAAAGCCCATTAGTAAGCCCGGCTCTGCGGCTATATTCCGATCGAATAACCGACAATTCCAGGAAGGCCGCTTTCCTCAAAGTGATCCCTGGATTTCATTCAGTATACGAATACCGATTAGTGCTCGGAGAAATTCAGAGAAGGCAGGCATACGAGCCCATCGTGGTGCCAACCCAAATTCTATAACAGCACTTGAATGAAACAGGGTCGGCCGATCCGATGACCGGGATCCGGATAGAAAGCAAGGATGGTTGAGAAACTACCTTGACGTGGGTTTCTGTGGGGAAAAAAAAGTAAAAAAAAAAAGTCGAGAATGATGTCCTCTCAATCTCTGGGTTGTTGGCAGAAACATATTCTTTCAGCAGTTATGCATAGCGGCATTGTTACTCGAGTTGAATAGCAGGCCGCTGCGATGACTTGACTCCTGGGATGACTGCCGCTCACGAAATTTCCTTCGGCTTTGACTGTAGCTCGTAGTCAACTACACTTGGGTTTGCTCGACATAGCATGACCTTGGGTGTGGAACTGCCTCGAAGCCGGCATTGGCTGTCTTCGTCATGGTCCTGTCTCCGATGGCGAAAGGGGACTAGCAGTGCAACGATGAAGTGTGTCGTGGGCTTAAGTCTCGTCCGGCTATTGGTAGTGTCCAAGCGTTGTTTCCATCACGACTCTTCAGGGGAAGGGCGTGCCGACAGCCGCTAAACTAACCAGCTAATAAGCGCACCGTGCTGCTGCGAAGGTCAAACTTTTGCGGCCGCAAGGTGTGGACTGCCACGCGCGCAGCCGACTTCAGCCGAGAGAAGATCGACGTTGGGGTGTTCAGGCATTCTTGAATGCTACATCAGGCGCCATGTCTCCTGCGCATGACCTGGAGCGTGGGCTGTCGGAGTAACCAGACTCGGAAGCGAGCGCTGACTCGCATCCGTTCTATACGGGTTCGGGGAGCATTCTCTGATCCGCTGCTTTGGAGCCGTCGAGTGGATGATCCATTTTCAGGGCAGACGGTTGTGGGCCTCGTCATGCATGGGTGGAGCGAGACGCACGGCTGATCCCCGAAACGGTTCGAAAATCGTGGCCGGCGCAGGTCGGGAGCGAGGACACGAGGCGCGACGTTTGCATGCTGCATGGGGGCGAGCCTACGGATTGGGAGGCCGGAGTGGCAGATTTGGAAGCGAGACGCAGCTTGATATGCACCGGACGAAGCAGCTAGCGGCTTGGACGCTGCTGGGCTCGTATCTATCTTTAGATTAGGGCGGGCGCGACCCACACGCTGCCGCGACTCCACCGTCGCACTGCTCTTGCCCGTGCACGAGTTGAGCTACGCACTCTTCCAAGGCACCTTCTTCCCGCGCGGGCCTTCCCGGATCTATAATGCTCCTGCCCGGGCGAGCCTCATCACGCCCGTCTGCCCCGTGAAGACATGTGCTGTTGAGGCGCAATGGAACGCGTAACCCACGGCGACGCCGCCGACGAGGACGACCTCTACAGCGCCCCGCCGCCGCGCGATACCACCGGCCATGCCTCGCCCACTCTCCGCCCCGCGGAGCAGCCTCTGCACGACCGCGCAACGCCCCCCTCGCCGCCGCTCTCGACCGCTGCGCGCTCGTCTGCCAGCTACACGGCCACCACTGCCCGCAGCTTCGCCTCAACCACCCTCTCCACCCTGGCCACCTCGTCGCACGCCTCGAACATGAGCAATGCCGACGCCAAGGATGCCGCCGCCCTGCGCGCCCGCCAGGCCCAGCACGCCCGCCCGCAGACCACGCTGCTGAACCTCGTCTCCGACACGGCCACCTCGTCCGCCTTGCCCCAGCCTTTTGGCTTCTCCATATCGCGCAAGGGCCGCATGGTTGCCGTCTACAGCACGAAGAACATCTGGCTCCTCCAGGCAGACAAGCTGCCGCGCACCTTCATCCGCACCCTGGAGCTTCGTCGGAAGCCCATCGCCATCGACATTCTCGATGATGGCAGCCGCCTCGCCGTGTTGTCCAATCCCCACAAGGTCGATTTGTACAGGCTGCAGGACGGAGAGAATACAACTCTGGAGAGGATGAAGAGCGTCATTTTGACTGTCGATGCAAACACAATTGCCCTTTCTCCCGACGGCATGGTCCTGGCGACGGGTTACCAATTCGGAATCGAGCTCATTTCATTGGCCGAAAAGGCCTCCGAGCACGACCGCCGGTCCGTGAACTGCGACCCCATGGACCACCTTGCCTTTTCTGACGATGGACGCACCTTGCTTGCGACCACGTCTGCAAAGCTCCCGCGTTCCACCACCCTCTTCACCGTCCACGGAGCGTTTGACGGGCCCTTTACTGAAGATGGCGAGCTCATTCCGCAAGAGTGCCATGTTGCGTGGACTAGGCAGATCCTTTTTCCCGAAAAGGCTGTGACTGCGAAGCAGGCCCTGTTGCTTCCCGATACAATTACTGGGCAGGTCAATGAGCTGTTTGCTTTTGATGCGGAAGAAGACTCTTGGGGAATCTATGACCTTGCTGGCGTACAGTTCGTGGAAACAAAAGAACCCCCTCCAGAGGTCGGCCGGTTCATGAGAGCTGAGTCTCTGGAAGACGCTCTCCCCGCCGTTTCTCCCTCTGCCGAGCATGTCGCCGTCGCCGTCAAGCAACAAGACGCGAATTCCATATGGCTGTACAGGCTGCCAGATGCTTATGAGTCCAATGCTGCCGTGTACAGAGACTTGAGGCAACACTCCGACCATCACACCCCCGTTGCCCCATGCGCCTATATCTCTCTCCAGAGGCCTGAAGACACCTCTTCCCAAGATATCTCTGCCATGCGCTGGTTGTCACCTCCTTCTCATGAGCCTAGTAGCACTGAAAGATTGCTTGCTGTCGGTAATGTCGTGTGGAACACGACTCCTGATACTCCAATAATGCCCGGCGAGACGGCCAAGACCACAGGCATTCTGATCATGATGGACTTCGATTTCTCCCAGGGCCCCGATGCCTGCGGCCGCCCTGATAACACAAAGAGGATAGAAATAGACCTCGACGAAGCTCTTCCAGGAGAAAAGCTACCGGAGGATGATATCGATTTCGAGCGAGAAGTCGAACTTGTTCGAACTCGGACTGTAGCGCAGAAGAGGGGCGAGGCTGCCAGGGCTGCAGCAAGGAACAATCTGCTCCGCTCGTCTAGCACGACCAGCCCTGCGTCAGCCTCCCGCAATCGCGTCCCCAGCCCGCTGGCTACTTCAGCCCGGCACGAAGAAGCCACCGCTGCCTTTGAGGAACCATATTCGCACGGCCAGCCCAGATCTCAGATGTCGTTGAACAGAGCTGCGACTGTTGCTGCTGCAGCTCCAGCGAACCGAAGACACCTCCGTGCACTGCCAAATCAGCCCTTGGAGTACAGACGCGCGGACGGTCTTCGTGAAATTCCACATGAGAGTGATGCAGATAATTGGGTTCCACCACCACCACCCTATACTGAAAACGCAGATCCCCCGGGCCCAGGCGCGATGAGCATAAGCCTAAGTCATCCCATGGGCGTATCTCTCCCTACCATCCCTCAATCACCGCCGGCGCAGCACACATCGCTTCCTCGTCTTCGAATCCCTGCTATCCCGCAAAGCGTGCTAGCTGATACCTCAAATCACTCCGCCCCACCAGTACGGCAAGACGCCGACTCTCCATCGAGCTTTCATCCCAGCTATCACAATAATCCGCGATCGGCCCATCCGCTTCAGCAATCAAGTGGCACATCCCACCACTCCCGCCCTTCAGGCCAGTCGGCTCGACCATTGATATCACGCATGCACACAAGTCCGACACGGCCGTCAACCTCGCCGCCGCCAACTCAACCGAATTTCACCTTTCACCATATCTCGGCATCGGCACATCCCTCATATCAACCAGAGCCGCAATTTCCGTCTGCACATGCAGAACCGTCCGCCTACCAGGCAACGGCAAATTATCTGGCACCGCAGATACAGCAACACCAAAACGCTGCAGACCCCCCTTCTCCAACCTCAGCTCAAACCGAGACTTTCCGCCGTCGTGACAGCGTCCCGGCACCCGGTCCTCCTGGTGCTGGCTGGGGAGCAATTGGGGTAAATCATCGTGCAGCGCAGAGTGCAGACGATCTAGGGCGAACGCACAGGAATCGAGTTGGACGTCGCGGCCGCTCAAACCTATCCCGACTGGCAACGATTCGCAGCACGAACTCAGGCAGCTCAGCGGGGGCGCGCCGTGCTAATAGCACGCCGAACCTGATAGAGATCAACGCTCGCGAGAGGGAGAAGGACAGGAGCGATTTCGATCGTGTCAAGGAAGGGATGCGCAAGCTGAGGTGCATCGTCATGTGAGGCAAAGATTGAATCTCTCCACCCAGCCTTCAGTTCTCATATGCGAGACGCGCATGTGAGCAACCGATCAACTCCCTTTTTTTCCCCTCCCCGCCCCTCTGGTTTGCCCATACTATCAATTACCTTTACTCAGTATCTTTACTCACAAACCTCATTATATTCTTTTCATTGGTAAGACCAGGCCGTCACCTTCGTCCGCAGCGCTCGTTTGTATTCTTCTTCTCTCGAGTCTCGCCCTTGTTGGAAACAGGGGCTTTCTTGAGCATATCAACCATTTGGAGGCGCTATATGTTGCTCTCTCCCATTTCTTTTGTGTTAACATTTTACATCACATTTCCCCCTTAGAGTATGCCTTCATGACTGTCGTTCATCGGAGAAACGGTTGATTTTGTATATAGAAGAAAGGGGCGGTTTTTGTTTGCTTGGACGTGACACACTCTTGGTTCGAGTGTTGGTTGAAAGAGATACCCTGGCGTTTGTTTGACGGCCTGGCGTCTCTATTTCCTTTTTTCTTCTTTTTTTATTAAACTTAACAGTGAAGCAGAATGTCAGGAATAAGGAGGTGGGAAAATATTCGAGGGTGGACGGTAGTGACGGGACGGGCAGATGACTATGGATCTTCTCTTCTGGCGGTTTCTTAAACCCCTACGAACACGCACATTGGAGAGTGATTGTGGTTATGGTTGGGTGCAGGGGAGAAAACAGGAACAGGACATAGGGTAGTCAAATGGATTTGTCTTTGGATAGGAAGACGATTTTCTTTTGTGTTTCCCATTCTACCGTTTCTATTCAATATTGGAGTGACTTAAGAACTAATGTTTCATGGAGGGAGGAGGTGCCCGTAATGTGCTGGGAACGAAATGCACTCAGCTATGGTGAAGGTTATTGTCCTATGGCGAACGAGTAAGATGTCCTGTCGCTACAAACCCCGGTCAGGGCGCGATGAATGTACCGTAGTGAAAGCCGCGAGCAGACGTGGAACTGACCACGATTAACGTTGACCGAGACACTCGGTCAGAGTTTAGTAACATTCCCTTCGACTTTTGGAACCCAACGGTTTCCGGAATCTAACCTGATTGAATTCCTCTCTTGTTTACCTTTTTATTCTGCTGTTCTGACGCGATCCAAATAGAAGAAAACATGTGCATCAATTAGTCACTTGGAACCGTGGGAGGAATGAATATCTAAGATCATGTTTATACAAGTCCCGCATCCGGCGAGTAATAAACGAATCGAATGAATAGATGAGGCTTTCACCACAGAAGAAAGGTAAAATAAGGTCACGTCGACACCCACGACCATCAATGCATGCTGGACATGCCAACAAAAAGAGTAAGGTTGCAGGATTCATGCTCGTCTCGATAGCTTCGTCCTGAAAATATACATTTTTCTTCTCTCATCACACATGCTGCCACTACAAGCCATTCACACCCTTTCTCTCGTTAGCTCCATCATACGTAGATGTATTCAACCGCGCAGGGGCCATCCTCATCGCCCTCGGCGGGAGCAAGACCCTGGCTCTGGCCCTGGCCGTTCTCGCCGGAAACACCGGCGTCGAATCCAGGAGTTGGGGCGGCGGCGCCGTTACCGGCGAAGCTGTGGGATCCGGAGTGGTGACCGGAGTTACCTGTAGGGATAGCGGAGTCAGCAGCGCTGGTGGTGGGGATGGCTGGGGTGCTTAGCGCGGGTGTTTCAGCTGCGGGGGAAGTGGTGTAGGAAGCGGGTGCCTCGACGGAGGAGGATGAAGACGCGTTGGCACCGTCGACGGCGGCTGAGGAGGCGGCGGCGGAGGCGGGAGTAGTGGCCGCAGCCGTCGAGGTGGCCAGCGGGGTCGGGGTGTATTCGACGGCGAGGGTGCTGCTGGAGGAGGGGATGTTGATGGCCACAGCGCTGGACGGCGCGACGGCGGGGGTAGAAGATGTGGCAACCTCGGTGGAAACAGGTGCCTCAGTGGATGCAGGGGCCTTGGTGGAAGATGGGGCAGCGGTGGTGGTAGGGGCCACAGAAGAAACAGGGGCAACAGACGAGCTGGATCCGACGTTAACCTGCAGGCCAAGGGTGGCCTCGAAGACGGCATCGCCGTAGAAGGGCTCTGTTCAAGCTGTCAGCACCAGAGATGTCAACCATGAGGGGCGAAAACGTACCAGTGCCGGCATTGCCAACGTTCACGTAGGTGCTCTCAGTAAAGACACCCTGCTTGACCAAGGCAAGAAGCCAGTCCTTGATGTCACCACTGAAAGAGCCAGTGAACTGAGTGTCGGGCAGCAGGCTGCTAACAGTGATGCCGGTGTCTTCGTTCTTGCCCTGGTAGAGCTTCCACGAAGTACCGTACAGGTTGTCGATGGTGGCAACAGCGCCGTCAGTCCAGCCGATGGGCAGCTGGCCACCCTCGTACTGCAGCCAGAGCATGAGCTCCTGGGCGTTGGAGCTGGTGGAGTCACCCTTGGTGTCCGAGGTCATGAAGTCGTAGCAGACGTTGCCCTTGTAGGCGGTCGTGTTGGTCCTGGTCCACTCGTAGGTGGTCGGGATGGAGCCAATGTCGCTGATGCGGTTCTCAAGGTTCTGGGTCAAGCCAACGAACGAGTAGCCCTTGGGGACGTTGTCGGTAGACTGGACGTATTCAATGTTCCAGGTGCTGTTCCACTTGACGGCCGGGTTGCCGTTGGCGTCGGTCGTGGTGCCAACATAGCCGGTGCAGGCACTGCCCTCGATCTGAGCCGAGTTGTACATCATGTTGTACACGATCCACGGGGTTCCGGTGAGGATGAGCGAATCATCGGGCATGCCACACAGGTTTTCGGCGGCCTGGGCACGTTTCTGCAGGGTGGGAAGGGCCGAGGTCGATGCCGCGAGGGCGAGCATCGCCTGGATGGAGGAAGACTTGAGGGAAGGCATGATGGATGTTTCAAAGGTGACGGGTGTGTAGCGAACGTGATGAGCAACCAGGCTGGAGAACGAATGGAAGGAGTATGCAATACTCTAAAAGAAGGGAATGTTTCCTACCGTAGCAAGGGAGCCTACTTGCAACAGAGGGCTGTTTTATACGATCTGCCCGCCAGCGGGAGGGAGGTGGGCCCGGAGATTTGCTTCATGGGTTGATTGGGGGTTTGAAACGTTGGCTCGCTCGGCTTCATCTATTTTGCGAGTAAGAGCCCCGCCTGGCCTGTTGTCAGGCGGAGAGCCTCTCTACACACGACGATCATGGCGCCGCAGGGAGCCTCGCGCGCCGAGTAGAGACGCAAGCCAGGCTCGTAAGACGCAAGCGCTGCGGGCAGTTGCGGATGGCGGGATGCACCGTGAGGTTCAGGAGGCTGAAGATGATATCGCTTGCGACAAGCCCCACTTGAACTTCGACCTTGTGTACCGATGCCGGATTGGAGATGCTCAACCATCTGGCGATGCGCTCGCGCTGCACGATCTTGGTGCTCTGGGGTGGAGAGAGAACCACGGTGGGTGCCAAAAGACCTGAGCCATTGAAACTGATTTCTATCAGCTCATTACGTAGGTAGGCCAAGTTACAATCCAGGCGTATATGTACATTTAATAGCTCGACATTTGCGTCCGGATGGTAGCTTCAGCTACTTGCGTAAGTCGGGTGCCCTTGCCTGCGAAGATAGCTGCGGAGGATCGTTTCTGTGAGAGCCGACGCTGGTAGCTGCAGCCTTGCGACGGCGGGTAGCCTTGGCGCGGCTGCTGACGTAAAATGGACCCTGGCGCGTTGACGCAAGCTGGCCGGCACCTAAGCTGGAGCTCCGCCCACAGGTGACCTCGACTTCATCCAGCCTGGCGCCCCGTCTATCCTTATAGCTCTGCTATGAGCTGTGTCTATTGCTACTGAAGCTCTTCCACCCATTTCCGCCCCTCCGCCGTCACTATGGCGTTCAACTTCAACATCTTCCGCATCCTGGGCGACCTGTCCCATGCCATCTCGCATATGATCCTCATCGCCGTCATCCACTCAAACCAAAGTGCTGAAGGTGACTACTACCTCCGGATGCCTACTTACCTGCTGCTGCACGACTAACAAACATCCCTTCCGCAGGCGTCTCCCTCCTGACCCAGGTCCTCTATGTCGTCGTCTTCTGTTCGCGATACATCGACCTCTTCTACGTATCTCCCTTTGGCGACTGGCACAGATGGTGGAATTTTGTGCTCAAGATCTACTTCATCACCACCTCGGCATACATCGTCTTCATAATGACCCGCGTCTTCGCACGCACGAGAGAAAGGGAGAAGGCCATGAAGCTGGGCGGATATGCTACTCTTGGAAGCCTGGTTCTGACCCCAGTCATGACTGGAATATTCCACAAGTGGCACCCCTTCACCTTTGGCGAGGTAGGCACCTCGCGCTTCCCTGTTTCCGAAAGTGGGGTAAACTGACTTTGGCTCCATGTAGAATCTCTGGACCTTTTCCATTATCCTCGAGTCCGTCGCCGTCATGCCACAACTACTTCTACTTCGGCAGACCAACGTCCCCACCGTTATAGACTCGTTTTATCTTGTCACCCTGGGTTCTTACCGTGGCTTCTACATCCTGAACTGGCTCGTCCGCGGCTTCGGGCCCGAGCACAATTTCGACCCTATCCGCACCATTTTTGGCATCGTTCAGACGGCTCTATACATAGATTTTGCATGGGTGTACTGGACGAGGCAGCGCGTCAAGCTTCGGCATGGCGGAGTTGTCGACAGCGACGACCTGAGCAGGAGCTGGTTCGTCGGACGAGTGCTCGGTCGGAAGAGCACGGATGTGGATCGCGACGACTTCGACTACGATGCAGAGGCTGGAGATGTTCCCTCACCACAGGAATCCAGGCCGAGGAACAACAAGTGGGGTGCTCGAGGAATCTCCGTTTCAGCAGATGAGGGGGTGCTTGACCATGAAAGAGGGGAGGCGTCTAAGCCTCTTACGGCACCAGAAGCATTTGAGGACGACAGCGACGATGAAGGTGACTTGGGGGGCAGGTCCAGCCACAAAAACGCGGACGAACATGCCAGCGGTGTCAGCAACGGTGCAGAATGGCGAGAGGAACGGGATTAACTGAGGTGACATTTCTCTTCTACATTATTCAACACCGCATTCTACGGAATCGGTTCGGCGCACTCGGTTAGCTCTGTCGGTCGTAGAGGGTGTGTTATCTATTGCCGAAATGAATTTGAATTTTAAGTTCGTGTTGTAGTATGGAACAATGACTTTGAAATCTAATGCGTGGCGTAGCATGCAAGTGTTGATACATTTTACGAGAGTGTTGAAGGAGTGTGACCTGCATTCGGAGAGGTACCGCAAGGCACAGCTTGCCGGTGGCTGCACGGCCGATCTCCCGCCTGCAAGTGGTGCTTGGTGGGCTTCCGCTCCCCTTCTTCCCCAGCCGCATAAGCGGGGCTTGACCGAGCTGGCAATTGCGTCACCACAAACCCGCACCCGATATCTCCGTGTGCTGACGCAGCAGAGGGCCCACGCAACAATCTTCCGCTTTTTCGTAAGGTTCTGCTTCAGTCGTACACATGAGTTCGTTGAGAAGATTGCTCACGTTGCGGGGACATTTAGGCGCCGCGCCGAAACGAGGGTTTGCAACCTCCACAACTGTCAAGATGGCCACAGACGGCAAACTCAATATCAACTCCAAGTACCGGCTGAAGTCGGGATTCGACATTCCAGTGCTTGGCTTTGGTGTACGTTAATATTCCACTGTCTCTGTCCCATGCGCTTTCTTTTGCACGCCTCGCCAGCTGCGTTTCCGTCGATTCGCAGCTGACCTCCAACACTTGCTAGCCGCACGGAACATAAGTCCTCGAGCTATATTCCAAGAAGCCAGCCTAATGGTTGCTGTGCAACTACATGAAACCGCGGCTTACTCCGTTCATTGTCGCTGACTCTTCACCAGGTGTACCAGACGTAAGAACCATCCTTCGAAACGCAGCTGAATGAGTCAAAAGGCTGAATGGAATCCAAAGCCCCGCCGCCGAAGCAACTGATCTCGTCAAACACGCCATCGGTAGCGGATATCGCCATGTAAGCCTGCGGTGACCAGGCCCATCGTGTTCCGCATCTTGCGCAGCGTTAACGTCGCACACAGGTCGACTCAGCCCGAGCATATCGGAATGAGAAGGCTTCAGCCGCGGGACTGCTAGCCTTGGGCGTCCCCCGTTCGTCCCTCTTCTTCACGTCCAAGGTGGCACCCAAGCGCATGTCGTACGAATCGGCCAAGGCGGATGTCGACGCAACGCTCGCCGAGACGGGGCTCGACTACATCGACTTGTACTTGATCCACGCGCCGTACGGCGGCCGCGAGGCACGCTTGGGCGCGTGGAAGGCGCTCGTCGAGGCCGTCGAGGCCGGGAAGGTCAGGAGCATCGGCGTTAGCAACTACGGCGTGCATCATCTCGAGGAGCTGGAGGCGTGGATCAAGGAGACGGAGGAGACACAGGGAATGGGGAAAGGCGGCGTGCTGAGCGTGAACCAGGTGGAGCTGCATCCGTGGCTGGCCAGGGATGATATAGTCCAGTGGTGCCGTCAAAGGGGGGTTTTGATGGAGGTGAGGACTGGAATGTCTCAAGCATGTGTTGCCTCACTGACATCTGTAACACAGGCCTACTCTCCGCTGGTGCGGGCCACTAAGAACAATGATCCATTGTTGGTGCCCCTGGCGAAGAAACACGGGAAGTCGACGGCACAGATTTTGTTGCGGTGGAGTTTGCAAAAGGTACGCCTCTACGACACGGTTTTGGAGCAGCAGGTGGTTGACCGCGTGACAGGGATTCGTGACTCTCCCGAAAACGGTGACTATGTCTCGCATCGAAGAGAACGCTAGCATCTTCGACTTCGAGCTGGATGCTGAGGACATGGGGAGCCTGGAGACCGGGGCATACGCACCGTGCACATGGGATCCCACTGTTAGCCGTGACTAGAGAGCCGCCATAAGCTCAAGCTCAGCTCGACGGCCCACAGCTGCTCCGAGACAAGCGGAGGTGGAGATAGCTTCGTTAGGAATTTCGATGCGTCCCAGTGCTCAGATAGGAAATCTAGAGCGGGATGGTTCCATGGAAGCGTCGGTTGGATGACAGGGGAACCATATTGTCATCGTCGGACCCTGAATATGATCAGCACTCTGTCTTCAGATGGGACAAAGACGTCTCAAGCCCTGTGTAAACCAGCAGATGCTAGGTTGCACAGCAAGCGGACTGGGTATATGCAAGACCAACCTGTGCACCAGCGGCGCCTGCAGGTCTTGCCTCTTTCTCCTTTGTCCTCTCGGCTAGGGGCAGCTTCAATGCGAAAGCTGGGGCGCGCAGCCAATGTTCAGTTGAGGCTTTTCTACGTCCGAATGTAGCAGTCTGGCTGGAGCCGTTGAGCGCTAGACGCCAGTTGCTCGTAAACAGCCGTGACGGGGTGAGACTGAGCCACGGTTGGGACGGGCAGCTGTCAGCACGGTTATTGGCCGCCGCGTCACCGCATGGCGCGGTGGATTGCGCGATTGGCTCCGGCTCGGGGGCCAACATGCATCATCCTCGGCCTTATGGACTGCTCTCGGAGAAGATCAGCAGCAGTGCACTTCATCTCAATTTAGGAATAAACAGCTGCTGGTGCGGAGGCGGGCGATCTGCAGGCTGGCCGACCCTCGCGCGCATCCCCAAACCACAGCTGAACAACGTCTGTCTGATCAACGGACGGGCAAGGAGGGAATGGGAGGGGGGAAGTGCGGCAGGCTCGCTTCGGCGCCCTGGAACGCAGCCACGGAGGCGCTGGAAAAGCTTGGTAAAGCTTGGCTCCTGGATTACGCGGCTTGCAGCGGCGTGCGGCTAGGCTCGTGTGCTTGACTCTGCGCAAGAGCGAAAGATAAGAAAAGCGCGCAGTCGGCGCAGGGCGAGGCCTGGTGTTCATGAGGCATGCACGGCGGGTGTGCCTGGGCAGGCGGGCCGCGAGATTGGGTTCAGCAGGCGGCGGGTTGGCAGCGTCAGCAGCAGACTGGCGGTCGCAGCCTGATTAGTGCTTTACGAGCGGTGTTGCAGGCGATGACGACGCCTGAACAGATTGCACCACGCCAGGCATGCAATCGCGTCACCCCGGTCGAGTGTCGGGTCGCGGCACCTTGCCAATGCCGCCTTTCCCGGCCACGCATGCGGCGGCGAAGCAAACTTCGGGCGGCGGGGAGAGGCTCAGCTTGCGCGCAAAGGCTGGTGCTCCGACGGGCCAACGCCTGCGAACGCTGCCTGTGGCGCACGCCTTGCCGCCCGGTCCATGCCTGACGCCTGTGGCCGCGACATCACCGCCAGCACCCCGGTCCGCGCTCGGTCGCATCTCCACACGGCCGCGAGTTGCTCCGCTGTGCCTCGCATCCGCCTGGAGCCATAATAATAAGCCCCCAGCCCCAAGCCGCTCGACCCGGCAATTCCTCACGCGACAACCAACTCTCACACCTGCTCCTCCTCTGCCCGTCGCGCTCTCCTGAATCCCCCCATAATATGCGATTGGCCCTCTAGACACGCTCGCTTCCCCAGATTTCCGCCGCCATGTTTTCCCGCCTTTCGATATGCTCGCTCGTCGCCACCCTCGGCCTGCTACGCGACGTGCATGCCGTGCCGACGCCCGATCCGGCCATCCAGAGACGGGACGCCGATTTCTTGAGCGTCAAGACGAAGAACAAGGAGGACCACAGCGGCAAGGGCGGTGATCCCGTGGACAAGTACTTCCACGAGTCGACAGTATGCTTCCCCCGACTGCGCCCTCGAATTGCCTCCCTAACCTTCCTTTTTACAGTTCCACCCGCACTACGACGGCCGTTTCGCCGCGACGACCCTGACTTACGACGACCGCCTGTCCAACCTCACCGCGCTCGTCCAGACCTACCTCTCCACCATGCACGACATCGGCGCTGAAACGTGGATCATGCACGGCTCGCTGCTAGGCTGGTGGTGGAACCGCAAGATCATGCCCTGGGACACGGACATTGACGTGCAAATGTCGGAGCAGAGCATGCACTACCTCGCCAGCTACTACAACATGACGGTCCATCACTTCAACATCCCCGGCACCGACATCAGCCGCGACTACATGATTGAGGTCAACCCGCACTACGTCAACGCCTCCACCGACGACTGGCTCAACGTCATCGACGCCCGCTGGATTGACACCGACACCGGCCTGTTTATCGACATCACCACCGTCCGCCACGACAAGGAGAAGGAAGAAGCCGGCAACCCCGGCTGGATGTACTGCAAGGACAAGCACCACTTCAGATACGACGACATCTTCCCCCTCCGCGACAGCACCTTCGAGAACATGCCCGTCAAGATCCCCTACGCCTACACTGCCCTGCTGCAGGAGGAGTACGGTTCCAAGAGTTTGACCAACACGCGTTACGAAGGCCACCGCTTTGATCAGCAAGCCATGGAGTGGATTCCCCTTGAGTAAGTCTGACCTCGGCTACGCCTTGCCGATCTTACGTGTTCGCTGACTGTATTGCCTCGTGTAGCTCGTACTGCTCGACCCACAAGAAGGATTGTCGCACTGGAACTCACCAGGGAGGTGTTTGAGAGCGCCTCCTGACCAACCGACTTTCTCCTCGTTGGCAGAGCATCAGGGACGCCCTTTTACCGAACCAATCCTGTAGGGATACGAAACCTTCGTCATCAGTCCCTCGGTCCGGTCGCCACCCGCCCACCGCGCCGAGTCCGAGCCAATTCCCTGGCCTCACGTTGCCACCATCGGCGAATGTGCGCCCATGATCGCCAACACTCGTTTCTTTGTACAGACGACACACGAACCCATCATAACGTGGACCCTGCATAGCCCGGCGTTAATCGGATCTGTTTTACCCCTGGGGAAATGGGGCATAGTAGCAAAGGCGCTACGGTAAAGGCATCGGAAAAATATAAAAAGAACTCGACATATCTGGACAGGAAGGATCATTTCTTGCCTAATAACGAACCATCTACCTTTTTTTTTCGAGCATAAACTTTTAGGGAATGGATAGAGGAGCAATCTAGCCTCTTCAAGTGCGACCGAGAGCAATATTCGTAGCATGTTTGGCTTCGTTCGAAAGCTAGATACCCACCACCGCGTCCGGATATCTATAACGACACTGGACGCGTTTGTTTTTCATGATGCGGTCTCGATCGAATGGATTTATCTCAAATTTCACCTTACGTACCCTTCACATGAAACGTGCCTCAGTATCGTCCACTCTACTCGTAGTTCCGCATTGACTATGACGACCACTTGTCGCTTTTCTTTTATGAGCACCTCGGTCAAGATGATACCTTTGCCTTTTCATATCCTCTTCTTTGCGTACCCAGTAGCCCGCTTAACGAGCCCAATGTTAAACCCAACGATCCTCGTTGATGCTATTCTTAACTTCTTCGCCTATCGGTTCCTCTGATAAACTTACCATTGCCTCTCTCCTCTCCTTCACAATGCTTCTTCCAAATATTCCCAGTTCGCCATCTTGCTGGCTAATATTGGTTTTTCTTCGCTTAGCAACCGCCGTTCAGATAGAAAGCCGTCGATGTACTGGCTTTTAGACTCTACGAACAATCTTTCAACCAGATTCCATAGGGGTAAGAGAGGCCAAGAAGAAGAATACTCAAGGGAAACGTACTGTAATCCAATCTGCGCATTAATAATTGTTCAGAGAACGAGGTTAATTAGTGTATCGTTTTAGTACATTTCAGCAGCTGTTCCATGATGAATTGAAAAGAAAATCCAATCTTCTCGAACCGACCACCACAGAGATCTTACACCCTACTTACATAGGTAGTTGAAATCGCTTGTCGTGCTACGTATTTATCCTTGCATTTTGCATAACGCAATATATGTTTATACGCACACTCGCCCCCCTCGGGGCAGCTCAACCTCCTCAGTAGTGAGGCATCAGTGTCCCACAGGCCCCCTGCGTTCATACGTCTTTGAATAGATTTAATAGCATAGAAACGCTCACATACAGATGTTTACTTGAACTGCCTTCGGACAGGTTCGGTATCTCTTGCAGGACTTAAAATAGTAAAATGACCTGCAACTTGTTGAGGCTTTGTCCTGATTCTTTTACTTTTCATCGTACCGATTTCTGGAAGCCTAGTATTAAAATGACTTGCGAAAGCTATCCACTCCCTCCTGCGTACACACAGGCTCAATAAACTCCGTCGAGGATCCCAGACTCGTGATGAGGCGACTACACAGTCTATACGCTGGCCCAGTCCGATTGAGCACAACAACGATGCAATGATAATATAACTTTCCAGCTACACGCCGGATCAAGCGTATTCAATAGTTTTTGGGACCTCTTCGAAATCCGTGCTAAGCTTTTGTTATCCTTGGCGCTCGGGCGCTTGACATACCTAAGGCTCGCCAACAGCCGCGAGCACATTGCGCTAGCTTTTAGCTCTAGTCGATCCAAAGGATTATAGACTATACGATCTGCACTCCTTTTGATGAGAGAGGATCGAGGTCGGGAAGATATACCATGGCTCCTGAAGCTCTTAGGTATGCCGGTAATCCGTGGTTGTCGTCCTCCATCGGCGGACGAAGTTCAATTGGGGTGGAGGATTCCATGCAATGCACAACCAATTCAGCTGAATAAATATAGCATTTATAGTTAAGCTCGCATCCTCTATTCGTAACTAAGCCATGTCTCCGAGGCAGCTTGTGCAAGCAGAGTGTGGGTTCGTGTCCGACCACTGAGAAAAGAGACAACCCTGAGGCCTACCTAAATTAGACACTGGACACTCGATCGTGTATTGGTAGTAAAATCGAAGGTAGTCCTGCCTAGAGCTATTCTGAGCCCTCTTTTGCCCTCGGGGAGGCCTGCTACGTGTTCTTTTAAATAAACTCTGCACCAATCTATGTTGAGAAACTCTATACCGCATTCAATATACCTTAAATTACATATCCCAAACACTGTTATACATCAGCAAGTCTATTATCTCAAGAAAATCCCTCAATCCGCCGCACCTCAGCGACCACACCATGTAGTTACCCGATGCCCTAGCGTACCACTAGTTATTTCTCGTCTGTCTCTCGTAAGGCGTCTGCTTCTGACTATCAAGCACAGGGCTTATCGGCCCGTGTCGAGCTTGGGGCTCTCAATAGTAGCCTCGCTTTTCTGATGTGTGTCTAGAATGAGTGGGATGGCTTTCCTTCGCTTTTTCTCGTCCGCGATTTTCTCCTTAATGTCTAGAGCTTCATCTTGCGGCAGCAGAGCCCTTGATGAATGAGGCGCAAGGTCTGAAACCCCACGGAGAAAGCGACGGGTCACAAAGATGGGAGATCCGCTGGATAACCTTAACAGCCCGACTAGGGTCGGCACTTGAGTGAAAAGGATCCGGACGCAACGGAGAATGACTATTCAGATCAGACCGGTGGTAGAGAGACACCCCTGAGTCGTGTCAAGAGTGACAAATTTCAGTAGCACTGTGTCAATCATAAGGCTCTCCCCACAGTTGTCAAATCCCTTTCCGCCCCGGCCAGACCATAGATGACAGCATGACTCTCAGACAGGCAGCGATGGACAGGGGACCTTGGAGGCAGGATAGGTTCCCTAAAGCGGTTACGAAACTGATGATCAGCTATAAGGCGCCCTTTGGAGGGGGCCTCTACAATACCGTGCGAGATAATGTCACGGCTTCGTTTCGATGCAACGGTAATTTAAAGTCGTTTCATCGTAGCATTGGCAGAGCTACAGCGAGGACCAATCGCGTCCTACCTTTACCATCTGTCCTTTACAAGGACGTTTCGAGCATCGTAGATTGGTCGCGGAACGAAAGTCCATGTGCAAAACGGACTCACCGCCATCCTGAAAACTCCACTAGCATGAAGGCTGTCGCCCCACCCGCGTATCTCCTATAGCTGCTCCACCCTCTTGATCTCATCCCCATCCACGCTCACGAAGCCTACCCCAGCCGCCTCCATTTCTTGCTGCACCTCGGCCCATTTGGAGGGATCCACCGGCTTCGTTCCTTCGGTCACGACGACCGTCCTGAAGCCCTCCCTCACCGCGTCCAGCGCGGTGAACTTGACGCAATAGTCCATCGCCAGGCCAACGACGAAGACGTCAGACACATCAGCAGCCCTGAGCAAATCGGCGAGCCCGCTACGTGCGACGGTCGGGCTACGAAACGGATCGGCAAAGGCGGAGTACATCTCGACCCGGCGATCCTGGCCCTTCTCGAGGACGTGCGTGACGCGACTCTGGTCAAGCTCCGGGATCAACTCGGCACCAGGCGTGCCTTGGATGCAGTGGTCTGGCCACAGTCGCGTCGTCTGCGTCTCGCTAGCGTTGAGCGGGTTTGCTATGGTAACGGTCGTGACGAAGGGAACGTTGTCCGGCGCGGCGTGGTTCGACGCGAAGGAGACGTGGTCACGCGGGTGCCAGTCCTTGGTCGCGACTCGTGCCGCAAAGGGTAGGCGCAGCAGACGGTTGATCGTGGGTGCGATGGTACGACCGTCCTGCACTGCGAGGGCGCCGTTCTAGCGAGATTGTTGGGGTCAGTGAAATGGGCAGCATGGGGCGGTATGTCGGGAATGCACGAAGCTGCGATGTGCGCCGGGGGGTCAAGCCTTGTGTGAATTAATAGCGGCATGCTGATCGAGGCGGGAAATGAGTGTGGGGTTAGCCTTACAGGAGGGCAGAAGTCCTCCTGCACGTCGACGATGACCAGTGCGGGCTTGAAGTCGGCGTTGCTTGGTGCTGAGGCCATGTCTGGTGCTAGCTGCACGCGCGGCTTGGGAGGCTGGGAAGCACAGGCGCCGGTGAGAAATCGATCGCACACGAGTCTAAATGATGGACGATCGCAGAGACGCCAGACGGTAACAAGCCGACAGGAGGATCGATTGGGGTTTGAGGAGCGTTTGGGATGCGGCGAATGGGCTCGCTTGCCTGTGGAGTGGTGAGGGCGTTACGCCGCACCGGGTCGGAAAGCGCATGCAGGCTTATCGCCAGCTGGAGGCTCGTGCGTCGCTCCGGACAACGGGGTTCGCAATCTTCTGCCATGACGTCTCCGAAGACACTGCGACCAAGAAGTTGCGAGCAGGACGAATCCGAGCCCAGATTCGGAAACAGGACGCTGATGAGAAATGCGCAGTGCACCGGCAGGGATGACACGGTCGGTTTTAAGGACGAGGCTCCGATTTGTGGCCCGTGCGCCGTCTAAGTCACCACGCGCGGCTTGGCTGTGCGGCGACTGGCGTGAGGCCGAGGCCGAGGCCTGCACCGCGCGGTTCTGGGCCCAGAGAAACACGACAGCTGCAGCCAGTGGCAGGGGCGACGCGCGGTGATGGAGCCAGCTGCTTGTTACGTTCCCCACCCCCCAGGGCGCAGTCAGGCGGCAAGGTGTATTTTCGAAGGCAGTTTGTCGCGCGGCCCGGCTTTTACGGAACTCGACCCGCTTTAGGCTCCGAACCTTAAAACCATCTGCTGCCGCTCGAGCGCCAAGCTGACTCACTAGCCCTGTACAGGAGCCCAAGATGTGTCCGAGCCTGTCCGCTTAAGTCCATCCTTTGGAGCCTATCGCAAGGGTGTGTTCATTATAAGTATCTGCCATCCCCACGACGGCAAGACGCCGTCAAACACCAGCCAGCACCAACCGCCTCCAGCACCCCAAAAAACACAATCGACAACAACAACAATGCACTCCACCACCATGACTTCCTCCGAGACCAAGTACATCTACATCACCAACCTTCGGGGCGGCCAGGCAATTCGCGCCGACCCCAACCTCTTCCTCCCCGACGACGACGAGGAGGAGCAGGCGACGACCACTCGCCCGCTGTACCCGCCTCGCAACTCGTCCGTCTCGTCGACGTCGTCGACCTCGTCACGACTCTCGTCTGCCGAGCCCTCGGATCAGGAGTAAACTTCTGCCGATCCCTCCGCACGACCTCGAATGGTTCCCCACACCTCTCCACATGGCTGTGGGAGATCCCAATCACCGCCTTTATGGCTACATTGGTAGGGGGTCGTATTCCACCACTCTTGCGTCATGGCCGATGGCCCTTTTCTGAGCACTAGGAGCGGATCCACCTCCCTGCGATCTGAAGTCATTGCTGCTTTCGGCTGCTGCAATGCACCGATCATCTCGGAATTCATTTTTCACGGCACATTGACGTCGTAATCGTTTCTCCCTCGGACAGCTTCGCGCTCCTGGCCCAGCTGAAGGCTTCTCGGTGCCCAGCAAATCAAAGACACCGAGAGGCAAGGTCGACTATTCGCCAAGCGTGGATTAGTCCATCTTTCTTGCGCCATGGTTCACGATTCCTCACCCGCGCTCGCCAGTGATTGGTGCGAGCTGAAGTCGTCCCTTGGCGCCCAGACTTCCCCCCGCAGATTCCGACGTTCTGGACGTCATCTCCCTTGGACCCACATCCTGACCAGGGCGGAGCCGCGCCAATGCTATCAGCTTTTCTCGCCTTATTTCTTGGCCAACGCGAGCCTGTGGGGTCCCTAGCATCATCGCGAGCACAAGCGACTCGCAATTGACCCGGCTGACGTGCATCTCATCTCCTACTTGCTCGGCATGCAGCACCGCAAGTAGGAGATCCCGACGCAATGGCCTGTGTCCTCGACACCCCAATGGCCGAAGAACTTGCACCAAGGGTCGTCCGAGAGGACGCACAAAGTGTGCTCTTGGGTTTCACATTGGATAGTAGGCATCTCACAAGGCCAAGGGGCCACGCTCTCATACTTTTCCAAATATCTTCCTTCTGGTGTCATTAGCATTTCTTGAGGCGAAGGTCACAGAAAAGCGAATACCCGTGTCGTTTTTAGTTAGCATTATTGCATAGCAGGTGTTTAATGTAGAGGCTCTCGCCTACCTAATTGACTTTTTCGATTCAGAACATGTTGCTCCTGTGTCGGGATTACTTTCCCAGAGTCGTGAACGTGGCAACTTCCTACGGTGTCGTGTCTAGTTACGCATAAGAGTTTGCCCGTGTCAGGACCTTACCTTGATTGGATGACTGCCGGCCCGCTAGGCTACCAGAGGCGGGCAATTACCACGGCCAAATGGTCCACAGAGCGTGTGAGATTGAGTTGGAGCTTACCGAAGATCGCAAGCATGACTAGCGAACGAGAAGTCGTGGCCATTGCGGGGGTGCTGCACCCCACAGTCAACCAAGAGTCCGGACCGCTCGTCCGCTTCATGGTCGGAAGGGTATTGTTTTCTGCTTTGGGTCTGCCACACCACGTCTGCAGAGATCACGAACACGTCGCAGCACCCAGAAAGCCAGAAACTTGGCGCCCAGCACGGTGGGGAGAGGAGACACAGGATCGGCGCTATTCTAGAAGCGCCTCCGGTCGGCTCCGACTCAGTTCGCAGATTTTCCAAGAACACACCACCACACCACCCCACCACCTCAACAACAACACCTTCCTGTCTACCTCTTGTTGCATTTTCCATCACGCGTCCAGAACACTCAAAGTACGACAACGAAGCACAATGCAGGCCAATCGCACGGAGCATCTCTCGGATCAAGGTATCTAGGTAGCATCAGCATGACACCGGTGTTCGGCGGGCTTTCCTAGCGTCTCACTGTACCACCCGCCAATTCTCTTCCCCCCACGTTCTGCGGAGCGGACCGTCAGCCAGCAGGCTTGCGTGGGGTGTTGGGTGCGTGAGACGTCTGGTAGCTCGTCGTTCTGAGAGGATACGGTTGAACTTGATCTAGATAATTCTAGCGAAAGGACGCATGCTGCTTGCCTTGCAACCCCTGCCCTGCGTGCCGGGCTGTGAAATGCTGACTCTCGTGTAGGGAGCCATGCCCCACGAACAGCACGTCGCCACGACGGCTGACGTCGAAAAGGGCGTCATTCCACAGCTGCAGGGCGTGATACCGCCCCAGCGGGACGAGGAACAACTGGCCGCTCAAGATCACGCCCCAGATTCGGTTCGCCGCCCTTCAATTGCCTTGGATGCCACCAAGAGCTGGTACAAAGCTTTTGAGGAAACACTCGTGGAATGTATGTTGACCTGTTCTGCTGATTGAAAAGACACGCGCTGACAGGCTCAAGACAACCTCGAGGCACGCGGCATACAGCGGGTGGAGCCAGAGGAGCGGCACGACCTCCGCTCCTTAGGCTACTCGCAGATCGCGATCCTGTGGTTCTCGGTCAATTTAGCAGCCAACAACATCACACTTGGCATGCTTGGACCCGCGGTTTACTACCTTGGCTTCACTGATAGCTGCCTGTGTGCCGTTTTTGGTATGCTCCTGGGGTGCCTTGGTGTCGCCTACGCCGCCACCTTTGGCCCGCGTTCCGGGAACAGGACGATGATCTTTTCACGCTATACTATGGGCTGGTATCCGTCTAAGATCGTGGTGCTGCTAAACATCATCGTCCTCCTTGGTTACGCCATGATCGACTGCGTGGTTGCGGGGCAGATCCTCTCAGCTGTATCTACCAACAGCATGTCCGTCGTGGTAGGGATCGTTATTGTGGCCCTGATTACCTGGGGTATTACTACATTCGGTTACTCTGTCTTCCACATGTATGAGCGCTACGCCTGGCTGCCCCAGCTCATGATCATCTGCATCCTAGCTGGTGTTGCCGGCCCCAACTTTGACACCACAACCCCTTCCTCGGCTGGCGATGCACGTACGCTTGCAGGGAACCGGCTTTCCTTCTTCTCGCTCTGCCTTGCAGCTGCAATTACGTATGGCGGGGGTGCTGCGGACTATTTTGTTTACTACCCGTCGTCCACGCCCTCGTGGAAGGTCTTCGCTGTAACCATGGTTGGTCTGTCCGCCAGTTTTACCTTCGCATTCATCGTCGGGATCGGGCTAGCCTCGGGCATGGCTGCCAATCCAAGCTGGGAGGCTGCATATGGGACCTCGCAAGGCGCCCTCATTGTAGAAGGGTTCGCGCCATTGGGTGATTTCGGCAAGTTCTGCGGTGTCATTGTCGCCCTCGGGCTTATCGCCAATCTCATCGTGCCGACTTACTCCTCCGGCGTTGACTTTCAAATCCTTGGCCGCTGGTGCGCACGGGTGCCGCGCGTCGCCTGGAACACGATTGGCGTCGTCATCTATACCGTCTGTGCTGCAGCGGGACGCGCTCACCTGGCTGAGATCTTCACCAACTTCCTCGCGCTGATGGGGTATTGGGTGTGCATCTGGCTAGCCATCACGCTCGAGGAGCATCTGCTTTTCCGGCGCAACGTGGGACGGACCTGGGACTGGGCGCGCTGGGACGAGAAAAAACACCTGCCACTGGGCATTGCAGCGCTGATAGCTTTCTTGGTGGGATGGGCGGGTGCTATCCTGTCCATGGCACAAGTTTGGTATATTGGGCCAATTGCCAAGACAGTTGGCGATTATGGGGCTGACATGGGCAACTATGTGGGTTTCGCATGGGCTGCGCTCGTATTTCCGCCGCTGAGGTGGTGGGAGATCAAGAGGTTCGGGCGGTAGACCTACTGGTATGCAATTGCTGGAGGACGGGCGTAGCTCGTGGTCCATTTTCTCCAAGGAAATATGCACTCAGGCTGCTGTTCTCCAGCTACGGTGCTAGCCGTCTAACTAAAAATAAATGAATTCAACATTCACAAATAATCACCAATTCATTTCCAAATCAAGACCAACTTTCTTGTAGCTTAAACTGTTAATTCTTTGCTTATCGATACCACCCGGCAGTGGGGCCAACATTGCGGGGCTGCAGGCAGTAGTCAAACGTCACTGCGCTCGCCAGCCCAAACTCCAATCACGACCAATATATTTCCGACCACGCCGCTCCTTCCCACCTCGTGCGCCCATACATCCCCGCTGCCTACGACGTCCGATTAACGCACGCGACTCACCATGCGCCTCATCAAACAAAGCATCGACCGCCGGACAGGAGCGGGCACGGCGACGCTACTACCCGAAGAGCCGGAAGACATGTGGCACGCGTACAACCTGATCCGGCCGCTGGACACGCTGCGCGCGGCCGCGGTGCGCAAGGTGACGACGGCGTCGGCGACGGGCGCGACGTCGTCGAAGCGCGTGCACACGACGCTGACGATCCGGGTGACGCGCACCGACTTCGACGCGGGCAGCAGCCAGCTGCACGTCGCCGGCCAGGTCGCCGAGGAGAACGAGTTTGTCGGCCTGAACCAGAGCCACACGCTGGACCTGGAGCTGCAGCGCCAGTTCGTGCTCGAGAAGAATGACGGCTGGGACAGCGTCGCGCTCGAGGCGCTCAAGGAGGCCACCGATCCCACCAAGCGCGCCGAGGTCTGGGCCGTCGTGATGCAGGAGGGCATGGCGAACATCTGCCTGATTACCGAGCATCAGACCATCCTGCGCCAGCGCGTGGAGACGCCTATACCGAGGAAGAGAAGGGGCGGGACTGGCGATCATGACAAAGTATGATTTACTAAATTCTTCCCCCAAGAATGTTTCCAAAAGAATTATGCTAACTATTTTCCAGGGCATGGACAAGTTCTTCTCGACAGTCCTCAGCACGCTCCTCCGCCAAATCGACCTCTCGAACCCACGCCCGCTCCTCCTCGCCTCGCCCGGCTTCGTCGCAGCCTCGTTCCAGGCCTATATCAAGCAGCAGGCCCTGTCGACGGGCAACAAGCCGCTGCAAGCGCAAGTGCAGTCGATCCTGGTCGCGCACTCGTCGTCGGGCCACGTGCACGCGCTGAACGAGGTGCTCAAGTCGCCGACGGTGCTGGCCAAGCTCAGCGACACCAAGTACGCGCGCGAGACGGCGCTGATGGACCGCTTCCTCGAGCTGCTGCGCATGGACGACGGCCGCGCGTGGTACGGCCCGCGCGAGGTCGAAAAGGCCGTCGATAAGGGCGCCGTCGGCCGCGGCGGCGGCGTCCTGCTCATCTCAAACGCCCTCTTCCGCAGCCAGGACATCGCCACCCGCCGCCGCTGGGTGCGCCTGGTCGATCGCGTCAGGGAGCAGGAGGGCGGCGAGGTGCGCGTGCTGAGCTCGGCGCACGAGAGCGGGAAGAGGCTGGAGGGCTTGGGCAACATTGCTGCTATCTTGACTTTCCCCATTGAGGACCTGGACGAAGAGGTTGAGGCAGAAGAGGCTGCTACCGCGGAGGATGGAGAGCAAATATGAATGAAATTTGAGTTTTTGAAAGGAATCATCGCAGACCTTTTTTGTTGTTCCTGTGTGCTGTTATAGAAGCAAGTGCTGTAGCTTTTCCCCAGCTCGAGTCCATGGAGAGAGTGTTGACAAGACGAAACAGGTCTCGGTCAGTGTTTGTTGCATTTTCGGCGTCTTTTAAACGCATTGACGTGGACTTTCAATGATGGAAGTACTCATAATCTACTTGAATTGCATATTGCTCCGTGTTATTACGCCCTTTCGTGAATCTGCGAGAACAAGGTACTCGCTCTAAAAGTCTAACTGCCGCAGTAGCCTATAATTCCCTTCTAATTGAGGCGCAACTCAATGCAAAGTCATGATGGTATCGAATGCTGAAACTGAAAAAGAAGAAGCGCCCAACGTGTAGAAAACACCTTGAAATGCACCCTAGACCCGCTGACCATAATGCCGTATCAAATTCACCTTAAACCCCCGCTCATGCAGCTGTTAACTCTCATGTTCCATCCTTCAAATCCGAGCATCAGTGCTCAGTGGGTTGCTCCTCGAGCCGCTACTTAAGGCACTTCCAATGGTGCCCCGCAGAACCAAGGCATATTAAACAAGAAAATCCCAAAGTCCAAATATTGTGGCCTGTGTCTTCAGGCCCTCCCCTGTCATGCCAGATTCGCCGTTGTTTGAGCACCTGGTTGGCAGAGGAGCGTTACGATGTAAAATGTGTGGCACAGTAGATCGATTGTAGTACTTTGCACAGTCAAGTTTGTCGTGTACTTTAGAAGTCGTCGTCCTCGAATGCAGCTTCGTGAATGAGCTGCGTTGAAAGGCCGTAGGCGGCGAACCTTGACTCGTAAGGGCCAGTGGCGGACGTATGGTTGACTCTAGAAGTATCCGGCTTCTGCGGCGGAAGCATGCCGCTATCAGCAGACATCCCCTTAGCAGTGAGCTCCACGCGTTGCGTCGGGGAAGAGAGTTCGTGGTTATCTAAAACATCCGCCTTTCTCTTCTGGGCCTGCTTTGCAGATGTCGTCGACAGCAAGTCGAGAGTCGGGTGCGCCGTATTGGCACTGTTCAGTGTTTTTGGCTGCGGCGCCACCGAAGGAAAATGCTGCTGGGTGGGGGCACGGACTTTCGAAGGCGTAGGTTGTGCTTCTGGGACCATCGCATCGATGGCCGCAAGATCCTCAGCCGAGAGATCCAACTCCGAAGAGAAAAATGAATCAGAGGAAGTGGCGCACGGCTGACAATTCGCGGATGTAGTAGGGTCTCGGGCGACTTGTAAGTCCGAGCCTGAAGCCAGCTTGTCAACTAGCTCCGCATCCATTGACGGTAAATCGTCAACCTCTTCAGCCGGAGCTGCGATCGAGGCCTTCGAAGTCGGCGTCTGACCTTGAACGGCAGCCATCAGTGCTTCCTCGTCAATGTCGTCAGTACTCCAGGGATTAAGAGAATCGTCGTCGCTGCCGAAAGCGGCATTGAACACCGACTCGGAATTTTTGATTGCTTGGGTGAACGTGTCGGAGAGTCCATCAACATGGTTCTCATCCTCTGGGTTATGGGTGTGACTCGTTGAGTTGCGGGGGGTAGGCTCCGGTGAGAGAGCGATTTGGCAGTTCTGATCTTCCTTGTCGGCATCATCGACCTCGTTAACCTCATTGCGGATATCATCGTCAGGTAAGTCGTCTTCGCTTGCGTCATTGCAAACAGCATCATCAGGCTGGCCACACTGCTCTTCGGCGGCCTCGAGCTGCGAAAGCTGGGAAGATCTGAAGGGGTTTGCGTCTTCGGGCTCAGGCTTGAGCTCGGGCGCCGGCTTCGGCTGAGCCTTTTGAAGATAACTTCGGAACCAGTCTTTCTGGCGGTGCTGGGTGAACTTATAGCCGCAGGCCTGGGTGGCGTATCCAATGCCGTTTGCGCGGAGAGCCTCCTTCTCCTTCCGCTCCTTCTCCTCTCTCCGCTTCTTGGCCTCCTTCTTCTTTTTCTCTTTCTTTTTCAGTTCCTCGGCTTTTCGATCTTTAGCGGCGTGGCTCTCCAGACGTCGATTCTGGCTCTCGGAAGGACGACCACCGTTCTTGCGGTATTCGGCCTTTGCTTGCTTGGATGTCTGTTTAAGTATTGTCGGCATTATGCGGATAGGTTCAGCGACGTATAAATGGGTGACTGTGTTATGGCGCGGGATTGTGGCGGCTGAGTATGGTGGGGTGTGGTGTCGAGCTCATGGCGTGGGCGCAACTTCAGTTCCTTGGGCCTGACAGTGATTGGTATGATGCGTGGGCTGAGCAGTTGTGTTTGGGCGTGTTAAGTGGTGCGACTACATTTGTGGAGCGGCGGACAGGCGGCAGCGGCGAATCGAGAAGGCGCGTCGCGTGTCGCGCGAGCACGTGCTTAGCCATTCCCACCTGTTCTTCGAGGTCCCTTCGGCTCTTCCCGCTCACGCCTCTTCGCCTTCTCTGTGCCAATTCCACTGTTTGGCGCTCGTTCGCGCCCGGCTGTTGTTATGATGGCGAGGTTGATGTCGGGAGCCGGATCATTCCCCGCCGCGGGGCTGAGTTTCGAGCCCTTGCAGCATGCAGCTCATCCGGCCCTCTTCTCTACTCGCTCCTCTTTTATCCGGACCGACGCGTCACCTCGTTCTGAACTCCACGAACTAACATTGGCTAACACACTGGGGCCTCGGTCAGGAAGTGCGCGGATGCAAGGTGCCCTGCTGTTCCCCTCGTTCTCAATAGTGCCAAATCTACGCCCTCCCCCGCCATCTTGCCGATTGCGCGAAGGATTCGTGATTGCCAGACCACGGCGCCTCGGCCAGGAACACCGGAATGGGCATTGGCTGTCGCTGGCGATCCGACGCCAGTCAGCCACATGACATCGTACCTGGCCGACACGGCAGCCTGAAGTGGACTGTCGCTTAGATTTCCCACTTTTCCCCTCCATCGTGGTCAGGTGCTAGTGCAAGATTTCGGCGCAATGACCGTTCGCGAAGCCCTACGAAAAAAAGCCACAACGATGGCTTTCCCCGCAATCGGTCGCCGTGTGGAGAGGTGCGAATAGAGCGCGGACGCCATCCTGGTTGGGTACCTTTGCCCGCTGCGCTTACGCCCGGCGCATGTCCAACACTATTCATATCACATCCGCCAGCCTATCGGAGTCGCACGTTGGCCGAGTCAGCACTTAGCGGAGCGGCTCTCAACAAGCACTGACTATGAGGACTTGTAGAGAAAGGCAGGTCCCACTGCAAGGAGCTGCCTGTTTCCGCAACTGGCGTCTCCTCCTCGCTAGCGATCTCGGTGCCCAGTCGCTTTTTCGCGTCTACCGAGGGAACATTCCATCTCTCTATTGCCTTTGTCCAGGTTTTTCTCCAGCCTCGTGAATATGCCCGCGCTTAAAAGCCCGCTGCCGTTCGCCGTTATTCGGCCAGCAAGCAGCCAGTGTTCCCCTCGCCGCCGCTCTGTTGTTCATCATGGCCCGTCTGTCTCTGTCTGTCGTCTTTGCGCTTTTGTCATGGCGGGCAATCGCTGCTCCGACGCCGCTTGAGAAGAGAGGTACTCCACCATGAATTCTTTGGCCTCAACTTGAGCTCACACCTACCCAGCTGTCAGCGCCGACCTGCTTGCCAAGTTCAATCTGTTCGAGCAGTATTCTGCTGCATCGTATTGCGCCCAGAACAACAACTCGACGGGCACCGAAGTCTCGTGCGAAGCCGGCAATTGCCCGTTGGTGGATGCCGCAACCACCAACACCGTCGTCGAATTCGAAGAGTAAGTGGCCAGGTCCCTCCCTTGTCCGAGTTTGTTGTCAAGAGTCATCACATTTCCTTCATCTTTCATTATCGAACACGTCTTTGGATTTATTCCTGGATGAAGCATGACTGGACTCCTTCTACCAACCAATGCCCCGTCATGTTAAAATTGATGGTGGACTCTTGTTTCTTTCTCTCGTATAGTCATTTTACAGAAGCAATGTAAACTTTTCAGTAGAAATCTCCGACTAACCTTCTTACAGCTCCGCCGTTACCGATACGACGGGTTTTGTAGCCACCGACTCTACCAATCGACTGATCGTTGTGTCTTTCCGTGGCTCGAGATCTATTCAGAATTGGATTGCAAACTTCGATTTCGGTTGGTCTTCTTCGACTTCTTCCACAGTACCTGTAGCCTAACCAATCATCACAGGGACAACGGCAACCACCATTTGCTCCGGCTGCCCCGCACACTCGGGCTTCTGGAACTCGTGGCAAGAAGCCCGCAGTTATGTCGTTGCCGCTGTAGAATCGGCCAGAGCGGCCAATCCCAGTTATCAGATTGTTGCCACCGGTCACAGCCTGTGCGTACCTCAGTCTCCTCGATACCAGAACATTTAGCTGATAAAAATAGGGGAGGTGCGGTGGCCACTTTAGCTGCGGCGGACCTACGAAACAGTGGTTACAATGTAGTCTTGGTGAGTCTGATTTTTAAACTTACGTCTGGATATAACTCACTGACGACCGTACAGTACACTTACGGGGCTCCTCGTATCGGACCGGCCGCTCTGTCGGACTATATCACGGCTCAGGGCAACAACTACCGCGTCACGCATCTCAATGACCCCGTATGCCATTACTCTTACACCCCTTTTCTCGGGACAAAAGGCTTACTATCTTCTAGGTTCCCCGCCTACCGACTCTCAACATGGGCTACGTGCACGTCTCTCCCGAGTACTACATCAGCAGTGCCAACAATGCTGCGGTGACTACCAACGACATCACCACTTACGAGGGCAACTCCAACCTATCCGGCAATGCTAAATGGGGTTTGAACGTGGACGTTAACGCCCATCTCTGGTACTTTAACGAGATTGCTGCATGCGAATGATTTTACGATTTTATGATTTTCCTTTGGAGTTCAAATAAGGGCATGTGGGTCAACTGGACCCTTGGAAGTCTGGAGCTTGGGCCAGGTTTTTTGGTTGCCCCGGCATGAGATGCTCTCATTGCCACATTCGGCGCTTAATCCGTGCCGCTTAGGGGCCCTCTTCATCTGAAGAATCAACAAGAAGAAGATATGGTTTTCATGCACGTCATAATCCCTGCCATCGGGCTGTGCCGCAGAACTCCTGTGTTTCCAGATGGAAGTGATCACGTACGATCAAGATCGCTTGGTGGCGTGATGTTTTCTAATGACCGTGCAACTCACCCAGCAGAACAGTGCAGCTGAAGTACATTAGCATCTTGACATCTTCGACCCAGTTTCTGTTCGCACCATCGGGATTCGGCGCCCAAACCGACAATTGTAGGTTCTCCTGAATGACTTCACCGCCTCATCCGTAGCAATGGTACCGAGTCGACCACGCCGCATACCAAAACAGACGGAGTCATACGGCGCAGCCACGCCCCACTTAACGATATCGTGCGCTCCATGAGCCATCCAGACTCTAAATATCGCAAGCTCACTCCCATCCTTCGTGTTCTTGAATTTCTCACTCATTCGTCCCGCAAAGGTTCTGGGCCACTATCATGACCTTCCCACACTGCCCTGCCACTAATCAAATTGGAATGCGTCACTCCTCTCCGCTTCGTGCACTGCTTACTGATCTTAGTGAGATTCCCCTTCGAAACTGCTCCATGTACTGCGCCTGCTCACTTCGTTATGCCAATTGTGTTTAGTCGGGTTGCATACCCAGTGGGCGCTGATACCCCTGTGCAAAGCAAAAAGGACATTTCTTACCTCTCCTAAGCCTGAGAATGGCTGTTTCAAGCTCCTGTATGCCTCGACCATGTTGAAGTGGCTGCGGTGAAGCTCAAGTGAGAAGTGCCGTTGAGGGGTGGAAAAGAAATGTATTAACCGATAGCGACAACAGCATAACTCCACAAATCCTTCTGAAAAGCTACAATTTCAGTGTGAAACAACAGAAAACTAATGGATTTAAAACTAGAAGGGTATAGCGAGAGTCTCGGAATCCCATCTACGTAAAGGAAAGAAGAAAAGGAAGAAGGAAAGCGGAGGGATAAAATAAGTCCATGGTACAGCGCTTTCAATCGAGGTGGACAAAAGCTCCCTGTAGGCCAGGAACTTGGAGGTTCATTAGGGTGATCAAACTGCTCCATTAGGAAGTGGATGGTCAGCCATCCCTCTCTAATTTTAGTTTCTCCTTTTCCGGGAAGTGAAGAGCAACGCAGAAAGCATGAGGACTTGGCAAAGCATATGAGCGGAAGCATATGGGTATAGTTGCCATGTTGAAGATTTAATTCAAACAAGCTTTAGCGTTCCAATGATCTAACTCATGTGAAAGCGGTAGTAAGCATACTTGCGAACTCTCAGCATATTTGGTTGAATACCCGATCTTCAAGTGCCGGTGACGAGAGAACTTGAACAAGGGTCTGCAAATTGCCTGGAAGTAACTGCTCCGTCAGTCCAGACCATCAGCCACCATGAGGCAGATGAAGCACTCGTATTGACATGGCCTGACAAGAAGTGCAAGCTCCCGAACCCATGGCGCATCAAACGCCAAGCATTTCCATCCTCGTACTCATGCGATTCGGATGTGCATCCTCTCGCCTCACCGCCTCCCGCACTCTCGGCCCCCAAAAAATTGAATACGTCACAGCCAACGGACTGACTCCCGGAACAAGTGGTGTGGGTGGGTTGCTGCATTTACTTTTTAGGTTAATCATGTCCGACTCCGCATACGGGTATCAATGCCTGCGCATCCGACAGCCCTATCGGCTGCCCCTCCGCAAGAGCCGCTGCTGCTTGCTGGACGGGACGAGAAGTCGCAACCCGCCCGCTCATCCCACGCACGACCGGGGGAAATATACTCGAAACTCGCGAGGCTAAGCGAAGGTACCAGTTACGTCACCAATCAAAGCGAGTCTTTGATTATCTTCCGGCGCTGGGCAAACACGTGGTCCTGTCCTTTTAGTTTGTTCTCTGGAAAGAATGAATGTGTACAGCTAAGAAAAAAAAAAGAGGAAAGATGAGCACATGTCCATGCAGGTATGGCGCGGTGCACTGCTATAATCAATATAACGCCAGCTTGTTGGTGTGGGTGTGTCCGAATGGTCGGGGTTACACAGGGACGGAAAAGTGGGAGGTGTGTTACAGACAGGAAGCAAGATTATGTTTGCTTTTGCCTTCCCCGCCTCCACTTTTCAACGGCTCTCGGATGCACAAAGCTTGCGTCCGGTGGGAGTTGCAGATTGCATCACGTATACCTACAGACAGCTACATGCAAATGCAGTGTAGGTAGCAGAGACTACGTCAAAGAGCGCATGTGCACGCACATACGCACGCACCTATTCGCGACGAAGAAAGCATCCGCAGCAGAAAAAGAAAAGAAAACGAAGAAGAAATGGTCGGAAGATGGCGGAATCTTCTGGTTGGGGGCTGATAGTCATGCACGGCGGAAGAAGACGCGGCTCCGCGGTGAAGAGATGGGATATGTTGTAAGCGATCGTCGCTTGCCCTATCGGACGTGATACATACTGTGGCTAACGCTCTTGCATTGCGTAACGGCAGGAACACAATAAAGCAAGATGGAATTGAGGTGGAGGTGTCCCGGTAGACAGTCGATCTCCTGCAGTCCAGACCAGTCCCCAGACGCCACGAACGTCATGCGTGGTCTGACGTCGTTCAAAAACCTATACCACCGCCGCCTTCGAAGGCGCAGGTGCAGGTGCAGCCTGAGGTTTAATCTGGAGCTTATTGGTTGCGGCAGCGAAATACGAGTCCTTTCCCGCGATTACCTTTTCGCATGGGAAGCTAAAATCAATGTGGTTTTCGTGGCACCCTTTCCGGGAATCGACGCTTGTTCATCTCATTTCTTTTTCCCGGGAGCGTGGTTTTCGGCGCAGGAGCCGGTTGATGCAGAGTGGCCCGAAGCTGGGTGAGACGACCAACAGGATGTCTTCAGTCCGCTTCCGGGATCGATAACAGGGCATCCTCAAAGGGGTGCGATCGTGTGCATGGGCGGCGCTTAAGTGCATGAGCGTTTGATAGGCAGAGAAAAGCACAGCGTGCGACTTCTCTCTGTTCAATCATGAATACAGTACCTTTGTCGGGAAGCCTTCACGATGTCGCGAATCGCGCAATTCCGTGCGTCCTCTCAACATGTCTGACGTGTCGTGTCTGTTACGATAATGGAATAGACTCTCTTTGGTGCTCTAGGCCACAGGGTCCGCTCCGATCTAGCTGAATGAGAGCGACATGGAATTCGCCATTTCCTCCTTTTTCTAGGCACAAAAAGGGAATAGAGATGCCATGGAAAAAACCGTTGCTGTCTAGAATGAAACTAAATTGAGAGGGTATCAATCGCATGAAAAGGCCGTTGATGCACCTGCATGTACATGTTGCGTGTATGCTCATCCAAGCCGTTACAATTCATTTATTCGGGTTTACGTGCGTAGACGACACATCTAGGTCTAGATTAGCAAGTGCGCGCTTGTATGGAGAAAATATGACAACGGACACGTCGTGCCAAGCTTTGACCCCCTTCGACTTGACGCCTCTCAATAGTTGTGCTCGATAATTCTGGACCTCTTCGTAGGACCACTATAGCAGAGAGAGGTATGTCAGCCAACCAACGGCCCGCCTTCGTCCTGCACGTGACTAATTAGGATGCTCAAACTCACCCCGTGGATCCTGGTCAGCAGTGCCATTACCCAACCTTCCATACCGTCCTCCCAGTTCTTCAGGTTCCAGCGGCCGAGCTCTTTAAGGCGTTCGTCATCAGACCAAGGGCCAATGGGCCAGATGAAGCGCTTTGTAATGACATCTACGAAGCCTGCTGGTGGTTAGCTTGACCCGTTCCTGAATGTATGTAAAATGCCGGGACCTTGTCGAAGACTTACCGGCTTGCTCAATGAGCCGGGTCATATGGCTCGAGATTTCGAACGTCTTGCCCATCCTGTCGCCAGCTTCGACGAGCAGGGGCCCAAAGCTTCTAATGATCTCGTCATGAGGCGTCTCTGCTGGGTCCGTGTGAATATCGACCCCAAACTCCAACTGCTCAAGGTACCCGTTCGGTCGAATGTGCCTGATGGTAGTACAAGAGGTCAGTGGGGGAAGTTGCTAAGGGCTAACACGCAACATAGGTATTCGCGTTCTGATTGGTCAACAATAAAAAAACATCATCTCCATACTTCAGGCATTCTTGATAAAACTTGGGCCAGTTTCCTACACTGCCCGTCAAGCCACGGACGTGAATAAGGTCAAAGCTGTTTTCCGGATACGTCCATTCGCTGCAGCAGTCATCTATCTCGAAGCGGACGTTTGGTGGTGCATAGGGCACTTGAGTGGGCGATAGATCTGTGCCTATGATCTCGCACGAGGGGTATCTGTCCCCCATGTCGACAGCCCACAGGCCGGTACCAGTGCCGACGTCCAGCACCTTCTGCGGGTCCTGCAAGGGCGCGAAGAAGAGTGCGTCGTTGAGGGTCAACAACCACACGTGATGCCTTTCCCAATTGGGGGCAATGTCAGCCGTGTGAAGAGGAATTGGCCCCAGGGAGACATACTCTATGCTGCCCGCCTTCGCCTGGCGATCATCGTTGGGCTGGTAGTACGCTCCATCCCCTGCGCGGCTCCGGTCAGTCGGCCCAAAGCGGAGTCCAGGGTTGAGACGCACGGTAGGCGTGGTATCTCCTCCCGTTCTCATAGCGGTACATTGTTACGCTCGACGCCACAGTCCGTGACCTCTGGCTGCATTAGCTAAGGGAGCGGGAATGTCAGGTCCAGCAGCTGCGCGTCATTATCCCCCCGAACGTCTTTGGCGAAGGATCAATAGCGCCGATCAGAGGAACAACACCAGTCAAGGAAAGGGGATGTGCTCACGAGGTGAAGGTGCGGTTGTCCTCATGATCAGCTGGATCTTCCGGGAGCTCATCCTAGCGCAGCCGTTAGCCCCAGAGTCTAGCGCGGTTCACGACACAGGTTGCGTTGCGACGCATCGCAGCGGCAGATGACTGGCGTCGAGGGGAGGGAGCCTCACTAGGCCGCCGGCGGGATGGTGCGAAGTCATGTCTGTCGCGAGCGATTTTCCTGGGAGAGAGGGTCTCGATCTGATCTGCTGCGCAATCGGGGGCACGTGAGCCCAGGCGCGCCCTTGCTGTGTGGGAGGTTGTGGTGTCGTGCTAGGGTGCTGCTGCCTTGCGATGCGAGGAGGCGGCGAGGCGAGGCGGGGACCGGGTCTGGTGCGCTGCGCAGCTGGAGCGGTGGGCGACAGGTTGCACGATGCGATACGATACGATACACCCCAGGTGACAGATCGCTCAGAACCCAGCGATCCGGAGTCGCAGCTGCGGGTCTGATGCTCGGCGAGCGTGCGTGGCCCCGGCGAGCCGGTTGCTGGGAGCTGGGCGGACTGCCGGGCCTCGTCGCCTCGCCGGCCGGCCGAGCAGCGCAGCCCTCACCGGTCGCCGCTGTGGCGAAGCTCGCTCCCAGATCGATTGCCTGCGAGCCGTGTGCTGCCGCCACTGCCGCTGGATTGCGAAATGTGAGACATGCGCTTCTCCGCCCTTCGCCCAGCAGCTGCCCGCCGACGCTCTGTGCGCCCCTGCGATCTGCACACAACGACAAGGCCAGCGCTACACCGCATCAACAGCGGAAGCAGCGGGTGTAGCACCCATTTCTGTACAGAGCCTATTTTTTGTCCTCCAGCCAGTGACACGCGCTACTGTATATGTACATGCGCACGTCCTGTAGCGCAAAAGTTCCATACTAGATACCCCGTCCGCCTGCGCCGTCAAGCATCGTATTTTAGCCCCCCATTCAAGCAGTGATGAGACAGAGTCCAATTGACAAGGAAATAAAAAGAAAATCATAGCCTCGTGAGTCCCGTGTACGTTATTAGAGGACACTCAGCCAACCCAACTCCAACGCCGCGATGCCTCTCTACGTATCATCTTGCCGTGCACATGTGATTGCACCCCTATTTGCCTTCCGCCCTGCCGTCCCCGCTGCCTGCTGATTCGTTCTCTCTCGACTTGGCTTTCTCGCGCTCGTCTTCGCTCTGGCTGGCGCTACCTTCTCCCTCGGTAACTATGCCATCCTTCGACTCGCGTCTTAGCCGGTCCGCCTTGTCTTTCAGCACCCGTGCTTCTTCCGCTGCTCGTTGCGCCCGCACTTGCTTCTTCCACATGCCCGCGTACTTGCCCTTCTTTGCCAGCAGTTCCTCGTGCGTGCCCTTCTCCGCCACGCGGCCCTCGTGCAGCACTAGGATCTGGTCCGCTCGTGTGATGGTGCTGAGACGGTGCGCAATGACCAGCATTGTCCGCCCTTGGCCCAGTGTGGTCAGCGCCTCCTGGATGTGCTGCTCCGTCTCCGTGTCCAGCGCCGCCGTGGCTTCGTCGAGCATGATGATGCGCGGGTCCTTGAGGATCGTGCGCGCAATCGCTACCCGCTGCTTTTCTCCGCCAGACAGCCGCAGACCGCGCTCGCCCACCTTGGTGTTGTACCCATCCGGAAATGTGAGGATCTTGTCGTGAATACTCGCTGCGCGGCATGCGTTGTACACATCTTCGTCCGTTGCACGAGGGTTGGCATACTTTAGGTTGTACATGAGTGTCTCGTTGAACAAAACCGTATCCTGTGGCACCACACCGATGTGCCTCCGGAGGGAATCGATGCTGATATCTTCAACGTCGTGACCATCGACCTGGATGGTACCGCCCTGGATGTTGTAGAAGCGGAAGAGAAGGCGGAACACCGTCGATTTGCCGCCGCCTGATTCGCCGACAAATGCTGTCGTGGTGCCTGGCTTGCAGTGGAAGTCTAGACCTTGCAGCGCCGGCTTACGCTCATCATACGCAAACCGGACATCGTTGAACCGGATGTCACCCTCGCAAGTGGGCAGGTTTTTGACGTAAGGCCTGTCCACAACAGTAGGTTGCTCCTTGAAAAGCTCAAGCATGCGTTCCGAGTTGATCATTGCCGACTGGATCATGCGGTAAAACGTTCCGAAGAAGTTCAGAGGTTGCTGCAGTTGCGCCATGTACGTAAGAAGCGTGACAAAATGGCCTACCTTGCTTTGACCAGTCGTCACCTCGTATGCCGCAATGAAGCAGGCAATCATCAGCCCAAGCATGAACACCAGGTTTTGCGTGATGTTCATGAGGTTCAGGGAGAAGAGCACCCTGTACTCGGCAGCTTGGTACTTGTTGACAGCCGCCCGATAACGGTTGAACTCGTAGGCTTCGGCGTTGAAGTATTTCACCGTCTCGTACGAGACCATCGAATCGTTTCTTGACAAAGTCAGTGACACTGTTTAACAAGCGCCGAACTCCACTTACTTGACTGCATCCTCTTCTCGGTCTGCGTTCACCATCTGGCGTCTGATCTCCGCACGCCATTGGGCCATGCGGATGGTCAGATAGACATACCAGAAAGTGACGACAGCTACGACAAGAGCATAGTAGGCATCGAATGCAATGAGGAAGAATGCTATGGCAACACACAGGTCGACCAGCATTGGGACAACCTGGAAAGTCACCTGCTCCAGGAAGGTGTTGATGGAACTGCCTTTTCCAAGAGCCGAAAGGACCTCTCCGGTTTTCTTGCCAAGATGAAAATCCAAGCTCAGGCCATGGACATGCTCGAACGCGGCAACGGAAAGCTCACGATAAGAATATTGACCGACAGGGATCCACAGCGTCGACCGTGCGGCGCCGAGGAGCCCATTGCTTCCTTGGAGGAGTCGGCAGACAATGTAGAGACAGATGTACATCCATGGCATCCTCACCGGGTGGTCTTCGTCTCCCGAAAGCTCGTTGGTGATGATTCCCACCATGTAGGGCACGAGCACGTTGACGACCCGTTGCAGCACGACGATCAGAAAACAGATGACGACCATGATCTGCAACCGGCGGTCCTTGGACGGCCAGAGGTATGGGAAGAAGACCGAGTAGCCCTTGAGATATTCCCACCAGCTCCGGGAGGGAATGTTCTCCGGTCGGCTCCAGCCGGCAGGTGCTCCTTCGGTGTGCTTGTGCTTGCCTCCTGAGGGCGCGGAGCCGTAGTGCGTGTTGCCATTGGCGCTACCATTCTCCGCGTTGTGTGCAGCCAGGAGTCCGGTGGTCTCGCTCGGGCCGTCGGCGTCGGACCGCTTGCTGTGATTGCGTCTGGCCACGAAGACGAAGTAGAAGCCGATCAACGCGCCAAGCAAGATGATGCGCAGAAGATCGACGCAAACTTCTGTGACCTCCCACTCAGTCATATTGTACCGAAGTTTGCCACGGCCTCCATGTCCGCTACGGGGCTCGCGATGCTTGTGGGTGTAGAGGGCAAGGGAGGCGGCCAGCAGGGCAAGCTCGAACAGCAGGGCGAAGATCCAGGTGGCCTGATGCACAAAGTTCGGCGCGGGCTTCGTGTCAATTATGGAGATGACGAAGAGGATGTAGACGAAAAACGAGCCGACGAGGTAGATCTGGCAAAGTCAGCCGGGTGTTCGTGTTCTCAGGCGTCCCGTCCGGTCTTACCACGACGGACTGGCCGCACCACCACTGCTCGCTGCGGCCGTACAGGGCGTGCACGATGATGTTAATGGCGTTGGCGACGAAGGTGAGGGCAACCAGGACCGAGAGCCACTCGAAAAGCAGCTTGCGGGCGCGTGGCAGGTCGTCTGCCTGGGGGTCCTTCTTCGGCGGTGTCCGCGGAGGGGTGCGCTTGGGCAGAGGCTTTCCTCCAGGGCCGGTAGGCGCATGGTCGGTGGTGTCGAGATCATTAGGATTACGATTAGGGGAGGACGAGGCGGCGACGGAGCGGATTGTAAAGGCAGTGAGGAAGAAGAGCAGCAGCACAATGGGCGAGGCGTAGTGCAGGTACAGCAGCAGCGAGCGCGTGGTGGAGTTGGAGACCAGCGGAGCGACTGGGCCGGGCGGCGTATCGTGTTGGGGCATGGCGGATGGTTGGCGAGGGGAGGGAGCGGGCGGCGGTGGAGGAAAAGGAGCCGTCAGGCAAGCATGACAGCGACTCGGGCGGGAGCCGCTCGCGTGAAGGTTGGCTGTGGCGGTTTTGTGGAGTTCGGGAGCTTTAGAGTGAGAGACAATCGCGGCGCGGCGGCGTGCAGCGTCTAGCCCGCCACAGATCCATGTGGACACACGCACGGCCGCGCATCTTGCGTTCGATGCCGCTTGCGCTTAGTGCCGGCCAGGGCAGCTGCTGGGCGCGCGCCGGGCCTGCAAGTGAATCAACACCACGCAAAATGTCACACGCGCCCCCGCGAGTCGGAGGCCGATCCAGCAGCTGCTGACTGCCGGGGCTGCACCCGCCTGCAGTCGGTCCGCCTTCCACGCCGCACCGCGCCCTCACCGCAACGCCCTGGCTCTGGATGCAGGAACACGTTGACCACGAGTAGCCCCCTCGGTCCAGCGAGAGTCTCCCCGCGCACGCCATGCCGGCCGACCCTCCGCCTGCGCCCCCGCTGCCGCCCCAGCGCCAGCAGGCGCGCAACGCCTTCACCAGATTTGTCCAGCAGAGCTTCACCAGCTACGGCTCGCGCCCGCCCAGCGCCGCGCAGGCCCGCCCCGACAGCGCGCGCCCGCCGCTCCAGCCCAGAATTCCCGGGTGCGTCGTGTGATGCGCAACCGCCAACCCCGTGCTGACCCCCGCAGGCTGAGTTCGCTGTCGTCGCAAGATGCAAGCCACAAGACCGGCCTTGACATCGGCGCCGTCCACATCAATCAGGAGCGGACACATGCCGTCCTCGCTGGCCGTGAGATCCTCAAGACGGTCCGCATCACTGGCACCAAGTGCGCCGAGGAGACCAACCTGCGCGCCGCCATCATCAATTATGCCTCGCACCACCAGGCCGGCGCCCCCTCCGCGCCAACCAGGCACCGCGACACGCTCGAGATCCACGATGTCAAGTGGTCGCATGGCAGCTACAGCTCCCACATCGCCACCGCCGCCGCCAATGGCAAGGTTGTGCTGTACGATCTCAACCGCACCGGCGTCGAGCTGGCCCAGCTGCACGAGCACCACCGCCAGGTCCACAAGTTGGCCTTCAACCCGCACCAGGGCTACCTGCTGCTGTCCGGCAGCCGTGACGCAACCGCCCGCCTGTGGGACCTGCGCGACATGAAGAAAGATGTCATGTCCTGCCCCAGCCGCGACCGCTACTCGGGCCAGAGCGAGGGCATCCGCGACATCAAGTGGTCGCCCACCGACGGCGTCGAGTTTGCCTTTGGCACTGAGAACGGCGTCATCCAGCGCTGGGACTACCGCATGAATCGTGCCCCGAAGCTCAAGATCAATGCCCATGACAAGACGTGCTATGCCATTGACTGGCATCCCGACGGCAAGCACCTGGCCAGCGCAAGCGCAGACCGCTCCGTCCGCATCTGGGACTTCTCCTCCGACCAGCGCCGCCAGAAGCCTGCCTGGGTCATCCGCACCCCGTACCCGGTTTTTAACGCGCAGTGGAGGCCGCCCTTCTGGTCTCCGGGTCAAGACCACGGCGTGTGGCAATGCACGCAGCTTGTAACGGCGTACGATCGGGACCACCCCGTCGTGCATGTGTGGGACTTCCGCCGTCCGTCCCTGCCTTTTCGGGAAATATCCCTCTATCAGACTGCTCCCACGGATCTGCTGTGGCGTTCTCGTGACCTCCTCTGGACCGTTGGGCGCGAGGGTATCTTCACCCAGTCAGACGTGCATTTCGCTCCCAAGGTTGTGGACAGGCGTAACATGTCTTCCTTTGCCGTCTCCTCCAACGGCGACATTGGCGCTTTTTCGCAGCAACGTGTCCGCCGCCGCCCTTCGGCAGGATACGACTCGGACGAAACCTACACCACCGACGGGCGAACGAAACGCGAGCTGTCCGAAAAGAGCAGTCTTCCACGGAGCTCTGCAGATGACAGCATCGATGACAGCTTCCTCAGCTCCTCGTACAAGCGCCACCATGGGCGAACGTCGAGTAACCGCTCGACCAAGTCGATCAGCAGCACACCGCCCAGCTCCGACAATCCTGGCAAGATGCTGTACCTCAACGAATCCCTTGCTAATCAGAAGCACTCGTTCACGCCCGATCAGGTCGCCCTTCGCGGTGTTGTACCCGGGTCCATTAATGTCCCTCTGTTTACCTTTCTTGCCCAGAAGTACAACATGATCGCGATCGAGGATCCGCCGACGATCCAATCATTTCAAACTATCCAAAAAGTCTTCGACGCAAATGCAGAGTACGCCCAGAAAGCTGGCAATCATCGATTGGCGAACTCGTGGAGGGTGGTGGGTCAAACAGTATCGGATGCTGTGCAACAACGCGCGACTGCAAATCACCGGCGGAGACTCGAGCAGCAGCCAGCTACTCCGGCCAAGCCACTTCCGTCAGCAGTGAGCAAGAATGTATTGACAGAGAAGAAAGAGCAGGACCTCCTTCCCATCCCTGTCGCGCGCGCAATCTACGGCGCGGATGGGCAGGCCCAGGCTTCAGCCGACAGCTCATCACAGGTACCAACGCCGATCGCCCGTGCGATCAACCCGCCCAAGGCCTCGACGCATGTGGAACAAGACGCTCTTCCAGACCCCGAGCAGGACGAAGCCTTGACCCTACCACCTTCCCTTGTGGAGAGGTCTATTCATAGAGGAGGCCAAGACCGGTCGGAAGCCTCATCCCGGCGTCAGGCGCGCAGGTCGAGCATTGCACACCCTTCATGGGCGCTCTCGACCAACGACCTCGAAGAACGACGGGCTATGGCGAGCAGCTACAGGGTTCCGCCGCGTATTCCTCTCAGCTTGGAGCCGTACGGTAGCAGTCCGGCTCTGAATGGACGCCCTGAGTTCGATCGACATAATTCCGGGGAAAGCTTCGCTATGTTTTCCGCCTCCACTGATTCGCATGGATTATCCGTTCCAGGCTCGTTCGCGAGTGGCAGATCGCCGTCGCACGCGCAGGATGCGGAGTCGTTGCAGGACCGTTGGGACCACCAAAGCAGTGGGCCAGCCTTCTCGAGCTTCGGTAACGGCGCCACATCCACGAGTGGGCCAGACCCATACATGGAGTCACCGGGTGGCTTTCGTGCTGACGTGCATAAGGTGCGTACGCCGGTTTCGTCACACCTCTCACGTTCGGCTAAATGGCTTCTTCACGCATGCGCCACATTCCCAACGCTGACTTGGGCCTAGGGACCCCCGCCGCGCATCAATTTCGATGACTCGGTACCGGATCATGGGAACGTTAGTAGCAGTACAAGCGAGCAAGGACGCATTGTGCACGAGGCCGTAGCTTCAAGCGTCGCAAACACCAACCCCACTACCAACGTCATAAGCTCGAGTTCAGAGCAAAGCAAGGCCATCCATGACATTGAGACATTGCGGAAGCATAATCAGCTCATGCGCAACTCAAGCTCAGAGTCAGATGCATTCACAAGCACTCATGGCAGCTTCTCAGAAGCATCTGTGAGTAACTTCGACATCATGGAAGCAAGCGGCACTATCGTGCCCGATGGTCCAGCTGACGCTCCCTCTCCGAATCTCGCTCGCCCTCCGTCCCTGCTCCATGAGTCTGTTAGCGCACCTGCTGCAATTGAGACCCTAGACGCGGACAGTGACGCTCTGATTCTCGCTGACTTCCTCTCCAAGCACGCAAGCGTGGACAGCGAGCTCAGCGCCCCATTCGCGCTCGTAGACATGCTTGGATGGCTTCTTGACTTCCACACGAACACACTTTCTGATGCGCAAACCGTCTCAATCATGCTTCTGCTTATCTCCGACTTTCTGCCTCATACTCACCCTCTCGCAGATGCCTCTACGTCCACCCTTCTTAACCAATATGCAGACCACCTTCACTCTCTCAACATGTCGCCCGCCCAAATCCGAGCAATCCTAAATTCGCAACTTGCACCGCTCACGCGCACCGGCATTAACCCGTTGCAAGCCGAATCAATATTGCAAACGTATCACATGCAGCTTCTTTCACTTGGGCTTTTCAATGCTGCTGCTCTTCTGCGACGAGTGGCGTATCCAACGTATCCCGCTGTGTACGAGCAAGCACTTCAGGAAACTCAAATTGGACTTCGATGCACACAGTGCAAGAGCCCCATCAACAACCCAGGTGACAAGACACTATGCGAGAATTGCAAGGGCCGGCAAGCTCCATGTCCAGTATGCTGGAGTGCACTACCACCAACAGACATAGCACCGCTCGTTGCGCCCAAGAAACGGAGCAAAAGCCGGAGCAGGACCAGAAGTCACCAGCATAATGCAAGCGTGAACAGCATCACGATCCCCCGGTCCAACGCTAGGCATAAGGCCGCCAACGGAGGTCGACACAGCCACACGCCCTCGGACGCTTCCCTGCAGATGTCCCGCACGGCTACAACCACAACAGTTACGACGGCAAACTCCGGCGTCGGCGGACCCTCGCTCAACACATCTGCCGCAGCGCGTCATCACGGCGCCGTGACGGAGTCGCCGTCTTTGCCACCTTTGCCACCGGTACTTTACTCCTCCTGCGCCACATGTGGCCACACCGCCCATACGAGTTGCCTCCGCGCTTGGCACATCGACACGAACCTTTCGCTCGGAGCTTGCCCGGTTAGCGGCTGCTTGTGCGATTGCGTGCGCGGGCCTCTTCGCGACGAAAAACTCGAAGAGATCAAGCGCCGCAAGGCCGGCGAGGACCGCGGCCGCGTTCGCGACGATGGCCGCCGAGTCCGGGATAGTGGCGCCGCCATGAGAGCGGCAGCTTTGGCCACGCGTGGTGGCGTCGCCGGTGCTGGTGTTGTCGGAGAGAGAACCGCGCCGGGCGGCGATAAAGGCGGCGCCCCCCTAGGCGGAGGAGGCTTTAGTGGCGTCGGGGGCGCCGCGTTTGGAGCTGCAACAGGGGTCGCATCATCGAGGGCAATGGGCTTGGTGAGGGCGGAGAGTACGAGGAGTGAGAGTCAGAGGGGCAGGGGTGTGGACAGAGATATGGGAGGGAGACTGGAGACGAGGGATGATAGTAGCGCAGGGATCACTGCGGGTGGTGGTGGGAGGAGAGTGAGACTTGTGGAGCCCTCCGGTAGGAGTACGTGAGAACTGTTGATCGTCGATCTAGTTTAGAAGACTATGACGTTTGTAGATGTCGGATTTGATGACAGACATGTAGATTCCGCAGTGACGATGAAAGGCTTGAACGTATTTTTACGAACAAAACTTGTATTCTCTCGTTGGATTGTGAGACATCTGTGGAGTACATGCAAAGATTTCCCAGTGATGACCAGGGTTTTTCTAATTGCGGCCAAAGGTGTGGGTGGGCAAGATCGGATGACATGCGCCACTTTTCATGTGACAGTCAATGATGGATCTCGCTCAACGTACATATTCCAGGCAGACTATGCTTATCCCGTATCAGATCCCGGTCGCTTTCCCCATGCAACAAAGCCCCTCCATTATCCAGAAAATATATTCTCAATGCAAATACCCCGTCTCTTAACAACCTTCATTAACCACATCAAACCTGCTGTAAACAACATGCCTGGTAGCATGACGTCAAAATTCTGGCTGTGCACAAGCAGGCAAACACCCAGAAGGGATCAAGCAAGCGACAGAGCATATAAGACCAATAAACAATTTTAAAACAGCCATTATAACGACCATTCCAACACACAAAGCGATATTTGTTGAGTGTAACCTTCCATTTTCGGGACCCCTGCCATTCTCATGTCTAGTGATGAAGAAACGAGAAATCGACTGGCCATCTTCATTAGGTTTGGCAGATGATATTTTCTGCAAATCGCAGAGCACTAGTAAAAAGAGTGAAATGGCCGATGTTCGGGTGACGACGCTCCCGGGGTAGATTCCAAACAATGAGGGCCATGCTTCGTACAGCATATGCAAAGTGATATATCTATTGACTAAATACCTGGCACGAGAACACTTCCCAAATATGGAGAGCTCTAGGAAGTGTGCCTTCTAAATTTTGACTTTGTTCAATTTGTTCTCTGTCAAAGCTTGTTGACTTCCACGCTGGCACCCACAAAGTCAACAGCGTGAAGGGACAACAAACTTTTAAATCTAATTTTTGGAGCGAATACGTTACTATAAAGTGTTATGGTGAAGAATCAAATTTTTTAGAGGTTCCGCAGGGGAATTGTGATCATTCGGAACATTGAATCGGCTGGTAGCTCGCCTGCATCACTTCAACGAATAACATCGTGAAGAATTTCCGTGGCATCTTGAATTGAATAAATGGCTAGATAACCACTTCTTGATTTCAGAGCGCCTACTGTATGGTTGCGGAAGTGCAGTATGGTTTGGTGATTTGGGAACATTTCTGGTTCCTCTCGAGACAACAAAGGGCGTCGGTAAAGAAGAAAGGCACTGATCGCGAGGCAAAAAATGAACAAAAGGACCGCATCGAAAACGGAAATGGAATTTGTTTTGTAACTGTCATATTTACACCGACGAATGCCCTAAGCTCTGGGAGAACAATGAGGTCAAGACTCGTACATAAGGGGTCGATTTGGGAGGACACCATTCAACCGACCCCCAACATCGGGCTGCAGAGGAAAGCCGCCACCTTCCCAGTTGATCTAGTTTGAACATCAATCCATCTAACTTTACCTTTGCCGCAACCGATGTCGCCATCCAAGACCTCCAACCCCACCCACAGCGTCAGGCAACCGCCCAGGCCCGCCACTACTCAATCACGCAAAAGCCGCCAGCCCACCAAAATGCTTCAAGGCACACCGTCACTCCAGCACAGAACAACGTCCAGCAGAACAACAACCCCAACGTTCCATCGCCGTCATCACCATCCCATCCGGCCCAGCCACCGAGCTCGTCGAGCCCCCAGCTTTCCATCGGCTAGCAGCAGCAGGCTCTCTTCTTCCCCTGCTGCACATGCAGAGCGGCGCGCGAGTCCAGGCCCAGGCCCCCTCTTCCGGCTCACGGGCAGGCAAGCGCTCGCGTCGGCAGCCGCCTACAGGAGAGGCGCGGCGCTCGCGCGTAATAACAGGGGCCACGGCAAAGGCGGCAGCGACAGCGGCAGTGTGCCGCCATCCGTGCCAGCGGCGACACCGTGTGGTACTTTCGTCTTGCCCGACCGGAGCAGGAGGAGCATTGGGGTCGCGACGACCATGCCTCTCAATCGGGTCGAGAAGGGAATTGAAGAAGAAGATGATGATGATAACGAGGAGGTAGAGGAGCGGGAGGAGGACGATGAGGATGATGATCATGTCGGCCTGCAAGTAGGCGATGGCGGGGTGAACGAAAGTGACGTCTCCCGCTCTCCTGGCTCAGACGACAGCAGAGATGTATGGGTTCGCATCGACCGGAAGTTTTGTGATGGGGTGGGGATGGATATTCCGTGTCTTCGGGGTTTCTGCTCGCGCAGGCCTTGAGTTCATATTAGCCGTGTGTGAAGGTCAGGCTGGAATAAGACTGGGGTGTCGCCGTCGGGAGGGACTGTATGAGGGCGATCAAGGCATGCAATTTGAGATCTGAAAGATAAAGGACGTTGTTTTGAGGGTGAAGTATTGGCTGTGGTTGCAGTAGACACAAAATTTGACATACATCCTGTAAGATGGAATAAATCAGTTTAGAAAAGCCACTCGCCCAGGAATCTGCACGTCTTCAGCTCTTGCTAATGATTCAATGAATGAATGCATTTACTCTTCTGGCGCGATGCCTAATTACGAGTTTTCATGTATGTCGGTGAAGAATGTACACGAAATGAGACCGCTGGAGCCATACTCTGCTCTGCACCGTTCCCAATCATTACGACTTCTGCCTTCCATAACGCTCACAAGTGTGTGCGTATGCTTCGTCCTTGCCCGCCAATAAACCCGTTCCCCAAAAATGCACAATAACTGAAAATGACAGAAAGCATCCCCAAATCCGGGGGGTTGTTCGGTGGTATCATGCTCTTCGTACCCGGCTATCCCTTTCAAACTGTGGAACGTACAGTCGAGGGAATAAGAAAAAAAAAGAAATTTAGACCAAAAGCGGGATGAGATCGGCCGGAAGGATCGTGGCATGACCACGCCTTCATCATAATTAAGGTGATATGACGAGTCATATCCCAGAAGCGATTGTTCATCAGCCCAAGGTCGTTCAAAAGAAAGAGATCGACTACAAAATCAGCAGACTGGCAAAAGCGGCAACAAATGCAATGACGCTGGCACCAACACCATGGAGGCCGGCCGGGGCGTCACTGCTGCTGTTGGAGTCGTCGCCGCCCTGGCTGAAGGTCTGGGAGCTAGAAGAGCTGGACGAGCTGGAGCTGTCGCTGCCATCGCTGGTGGAGGAGCCATCGGAACCGGAGCTGTCCGAGCTATCGGAGCTCGAAGTGCTGCCAGTGTCGCCGCGGTTACCGCCGCCGCTCACGCCGGGGACGGACTCGGGCTCGGCGGCGGTGCTGGAAGCGGAAGAGGCGGAGCTGGTCTTGGTAGAGCCGCCGGCGGAGGAGGAGCTCGAAGCCTTGCCTTTGTCGGGATCCTCACCGGTAGCCTGGAGGGAGCCAAGGATCACCTGCTTATCCGAGATGACAACCGTGTCGTTGGTGCCGGCCTCGTTGTCATAGATGTACGTCTTGGAGCCGTCCTTGGTGGCGCCAGACGGCGGGTCGTAGCATTCAACCTCGATGGACGAGAAGTGAGCATAGTAGTAGCCGTTCTGCATGTACTGGCTGCTCCAATCGACAAGACCGCCAGCCCACTCGATGGTACCCTCGCCGTTGGAAGGAAGACCAGCAGGCCAGAGCGAGAGCATGACACGAGAAGGAGTCTGCGGGTAGTCGAAGCGGTTGGAAGTGGCATTCCAGGTGTCCTTGCGGTTGAGAGTGCGCATGGTCTTGCCGTCAATGGACCAGGTCAGCGTGTCGGGTTGCCAGTCAATGACGTATTCGTGCTCCTGGTTGACAGTGTCGCTAGACATCTTGAGGTTCTCGCCATTGTTGTCTGCGAAGTCGGTCAGCAATCGTCGGCAGTGTGCTTGGGAGAGAGGGACGTACAGTTGGTTACTCCCTGACTGTAAAAATTGCTCTGAGCGGTATTGATGTCGGTACCGACGAACTCGAAGTCAATCTCGTCCCTTACGTCACTCATCATGATGAACGCAGTGACAACGCCCTTGCCCTGCGAGGTGGTCATCTTGGCAGTGATTTTGCCGTACCACACGTAGTGGGAGCTGGCCAGCAGGGTGCCGACCGTGTCCTGGGCCATGGTGAGCAGGACGCCGCCATTGTACTCGAGCGGTTTGCCCGTCGAGACCCAATTGGTCTTGCTCGCATCGCCCAGGTACTTGGCGATATCAGTGACGCCGCTGAGCCCGTCGATTTTGAACTTGCTGGAATCGCACACCGGGGCGGGCACGCAGGAGTCGAGCGTGTGCGAGAACAGCGGGTCGCAGCCGCCGAGGCAGTATGCACCAACGCCGCACTGACCGTACTCTGCATAGCGGCCATGTTAGCGGCTGTGTACGTTGAAACGCGCGGGCGGAGGGGAAGTGACGTACGGGAGCAGCACGGGGAACTGGCCGGGCACGGATTGTTAGGCCCGCAGGTTGGAATGTCGGCGCGGACTACGGAGAGCAGAGTGATAGCTGCCAGCGCAGCAGCAGACACGAGGGAGCGGCCCATGGCGACGGGAGTAACTGCGGATGTTCGTTGTACGGAAGAAGCGGGAGTATGCAGGGTGTTTCGTGTGACGGGAGCGACCGAAGGCAGGGCAGCAGCACGGACGAGCGAGTGGAAGTCCTGGAGCTTGCTGCGAACGCAGAACGAGGGGTGTCGAGGTGGAGAGTAGGAGAGCGAGCGGCGTGCCGCAGGGGGCGCCGGGAGAAGAAAAGAGAAGCATGGGTGTGTTCGACAGGCAGTCTCGCCGCGGACGCGATGCCAATTCGGGCGTGTGGAGGAATGGAGGCAATTAAGGTTGGCTGGCGGCGATCGCCCATGCGGAGGATTTGCCCTCGCTCTTTCCCCCAAGCAGTCGGCTCTATTCCGCGACAGGCAAAGAGCCCGGCCAACACGAGCGTGCAAAACCCTTCGACGCAAAAATAGGCCGCTAGATCCTACCATAACATCCGTTCAGGCCGTCGTATCTCTCGGCCTGACCGCCGCCCGACGCTGAGCGCGCCTAACGAGCGAGAATTGTGGAGAGCGTTTTGTTTTGACTGGACCCTTTGCTGGCCCGCGATTCATGCGCCTCGGCTACGCTCGACAGCCGCGTGACCCGCCGCCTCCTCCCGTCACACCATCAATTGCCGCATTCCTTCCATCCCTTCTAGCGCATATCCATGCCAGACGCCTTTGTCTCTGCTCCGTCATGCCTTCACTGTGGCCTTCTTCATTTGCGCGTGCTGGAGATTTTCACTGATCGCCCTTAGCTATTATTTATGCTTAATCTGCTGCAGCAAGTCATGTCGCATCCGTGCGCCCGCATGTCGTGCAGGACCCGAAAAGAAGCTTACTTACTCCCGATGTCCCGGAAATCATTGGCCCCCTTCCTGCAGAAATAAGAAAAGGATGAGGAATCGGAAAGAAAAGCTGCAGAAAAAAGAGAGCCGCATGCTGCACGTCATCCTTGCCGCGCCACCTCTGAAACAGAACGAATAAAGCCCGCCCCCGAACAAGTATTATCCATGCCATCATGCATTACCCCCATGCTAAACACCAGCCACCATGCGCCAAGCAGATCCATGGGTATCGTGCTGTGCTGTGAAGAAAATCGAAAATTGCTGAACTTCAGGACGACATGCGCGGGTGGTCGTCAGGCTGGCACTTCGGGCAGAGCAGTGGGTAGTGCGGGAGCGCCTCGAAAGCGCCCACCATCTGGACGTGCCCGCAAGTCTTGAGCATGCCATAGCCCACGTACTCCTTGGCTTCCGGCGCAAAAATGGTCGGGTATTTCTCGCGAGCATTTTCCGTCTTCCTGAGGTAATCGTACGCTGCGCCGTGCGTCAGAGGGCCGCCGTTGATACTCGTCAACTCGCCGTGCCACCACTTCTCAACCGGGTCGTCTCCCTTAGGAATCGTGGGAGTCGGTAGGCCTCTGCCTCCCCTACCCAAGTACGGCTCTCTCGATGGCTGACTGGCCGCCTGCGATCTGCGCCCGTACCACACGTTGTTGATCGCGCGGAAAGCACCGGCAGATCCCAGGCTCTGAGCCGCGTTTGGAACACCCCAGCCACCATCCGGGGGCCCGACCGATACACCGTATTGAGGAACTGTAGTACCAAAGCGACCGGGAACCGTACCATAAGGTCCGCTCATCGAGCTGGATCTGGACGCATGTCTGCTGTATGCGCTCATGTCCCTGTCAGAGGAACGGTCCCACAGGTCGCCGTGATCGTCAGGATTCTTCTTTGGGGATTTCTTCTTCTTTTTATTTTTCCAACCCGTCGGCTCGGTCGGTTCGGTTGTAGGCTGCCGGGTTGGAAGAGTCTCACCCGGCGGATAAGTCGTAGCCATCCACTGCGGCGGCACCTGCAGCCGCGCAGGGGCTCCATAGCTTGTTGTCGCGAGGAAAGGATTGCTGAAATCACTACTTCCCGGCACAAACTCTTGGGCTTGAGCATTCAGCCTACTGGGAGTCGTGGCGTTGCCTCTGAAGTGCCGTCGTAGGTGTGGAGGGACGCTGACACGCTTAGATGTCTCAATCTCAGGAGGATTGCTGGGTGAAGCAAACCCACTTCCCTTGATTGTGCTCACGGCTGAACTGCTGCCACTCCTAAGCGAATGCAGCGACCACTGTGAACTCTCATTGGGTCTCGAGCTACTGCTCTGGTCCTCGGTGAATGAAGTCTCCGAGCCTACAACCTCATCCTCGGCAAACCCGCGAGTGCCTTCTTCCGAATCGGCTCCTGTACCGCTGGCCTTGGAGCGAAGCGACACGCTCTCAAGATCTGTTTCCCGAGATAAACTGACAGTCGACTCTGGCCACGTGTTGATTGTTTCTGGAGAGCGTGTATCATCGTGCTTAGAGTCTTCCACAATTGACTTCTCCTTAGACTGTTCCCTCTCGACACTTGCTCCTTCATAACCTGCACCTGCAAATGTCGACGTTGCGTCGGGGTGTATTATCGAGGAAGCGATGGGGCTTTTGGCGTGGAAAGAAGGCGATTCGGACGAAAAGCCTGATGGTCCATACCCAATACCCAAACCGGAATCTTCATTAGGATCCTCAGGCGTATCAGTAAAGTGGACATGAGAGCTTAGATGCTCAGCATGCTGGAGTTCTGCCACAGCCGCGCTGGCCTTTGCGATGGCCTCATCTGACTTGGTTATTTCAGACCTCGCAGCATTGATAACGGTGGATTCAGCTCTCTTTTCATTAGAAGCAGTAGGTGTCTGGTCTTCATCTCCTAGCTTTGCAGTCTGATTGGAGCGGCCTGTAATATCGAAGTTCTGGATGGGCGGCGCTGCCGGAGAAGGTGTCCTCTGAATATCAACCGGCGGTTCAGACGCCGTCTCGGAAACTGTAATCTCATTCCGGGCCTCAGATCGGACAGGCGATGGCTCAGAGCCGCTGGTTCTAGGTGCACGATTGCGATCGACGATAGCCACCAACCTTGGGATGCGGGAAGGAGAAGCAGGCGGTGGAAGTGCATGATACACATCCTCGTGCGCAGTGGCGAAGCTTTGACTGGAACCACTAGGGAACGGAGAAGCAGCGGCAGTTCGGTATTGAGAGTTGGATGTTGTATCGGAAGAAGCGGCCTTGGAATGAGTCTTCGAAGCTGTCTTGCTGGGAGGAAGTGCCTTCGGTATGGCAGGAACGAGCTTTGTTGTATCAGGCGCTTTATCCTTTTGCTCGCGGGCTGCGGCTCGACGGGCTGTGGCTAATTGAAAAGGTACCACCTTCGTAGGAGATTTCGGCGTGATCGTTGAGCCATCATGCGCAGCCTTGGGTTGCCTTCCAAGGTTCCCTAGCGATTTGCGCCCGGTCAAGACTGGCGCAGACTTCTGGGAGGCTGAAGACAGCCCGGCAGTCCATTCTGTCGGTAAGGGTTTCCTAGGGCTGTCTGGTCGGTGTGTAGGTGGTTGTGGTCTCCGGAAGTCAAGCGTCGCACCAGAACCACGTGTTGGCGCCATAGCGGGAATAGCAGGAATAGCTAGCGAAATAGGGTCAAGTAAATCGCTTTCAAAGGATGTGGGGGAGGTTGAGACTGTACCAGCGTCAGATGCGGCCGTAGGATCCGATGTGGAACTGCTATCGGGCCTGGATGAAAGAGTATTTAGCAAGGAATAGCGGAGGCGAGAGAGGCAGACTTACCGATCTGCGCTGAACAGTCTAGCGATCTGCGCCCAGGAAGACGTAGACGAGGCTCGGGCTCTGGGGGAGACAGAGGCTGGCTTGGTGGGAGAGAGCAGGGGGAATTGGGCGGACGAATGAAGATCGAGGCTGGCGCTTCCAGTCTCAGGAAAGTCCTTGGTCTCGTGCTTGGAGGCTGCCCGCTTCGTCGGGCGGACAGTCTGGTCGGAACCGCTCCTTCCGCGTCCAGTGACCTTGCGCCTGCCTCTGTATGTGCCTCTGCCAACCCACCTGCTTCTGTTTGCGTTCTCGTCGCCCCAACCCTCCGATGCTGGCTGAAACGTCTGCGTGCTACTGTCAGAACCTGCCGCAGCAGAGTCGAGCCGAGCCGCCAGACGCTGCGCGGGTGACGGCAAACTGGAAGACGGCGTCGTACAGCCCTGTGCAACCGAACCAGAATTAGACTCCATGGCAGTGCGCGCGATTGATGCCCACGTTGTCGGTGGCGTTTGCTGGCTCGCTACGGCGTGTCGAACGGGTTGCTGCAGCAGCATGTCCTGTTCTTCCGCCCTCTGGTCCACAAAGCTCGTATCTGCATCGTGCTTTTCTTGTCCTGCAGCTTGCCCGGAAGTATGGTTGTAAATGTTCGTTGCACACTCAGACGGAGGGTACACATCCTCTTTTGTGTCGCGAGGGTGAGGAGCTGCCAGCCCAGCTCGTTCATAGGCTTTGTCGCAAAAGTCGACTAGAGTGAAGTCGGCATGCTGGCAGCGGGAGTAGTAAATGTAGCGATAGTTGCACATTGCGATGCGCAACAAGGGAGTCGCAGCGGTTGGTGGGTGTGGATGGTGGAGAGAAGAGCCTCGCCAGAACACCTTCGACGATATATCTCGGGAACGAGCAAACGAAAAGCCGGCCGAGTCTCCAGGCCAACAGTGCCCATGTGAGATCCATCACCTTCGAGCTGGAAATTGCCTCCACTTCACTTCGCTCAGATAACACACCACAAGGTTAAGCTTTAAACAGCCACGCTTCGGTCAACACTTCCTTCAATGGCAATAAAAGACGTAAAGACGAGGGAAATATATGCTACTGTAGCTTCCTGAAAGAGGCTCTCACTTGATGACCTGCCCATCCTACACTCTTTACTCACTCACTCCACTACTTCAAAGAGAACAATATGATGAGCTGTAGCCAGCATTTTTCCAAGGTTAGCCCAACTGCAAATGAGGGACATTCCGAATCGGAAGTGATGTTGTCCCAGGGAAGGTACTTACGCTTGACCAAATATCCAATTCGAGAGACCGACTTCTCGTGCCTTAGAACTTTCTCTTCTTTTTCGGTCCTTGAGACTTTTCCAATGTGCGTTTGAGCTCTTCGCGCTTCCTATTCGCTCGATCCAAGCCTGATTCCGGCGCAATGCTTTGATATGGCGTAGATGTTGTCGTTCCTTCTGAAGCCACTCTGGACAAACTCACATCTGGCGACCGTGCCCGTCTGACCATGCTCGTTCCCGTCGATCCAACATCCTCGCCGTCTCCACTGACTCTATTGTGAATCCCACTTGAAATGGGGGCTTCCGAGGGAGGTGAAGTCGACGACGCGCTATCGTTTGCTTTGCTTGGTGACTTCTTACCTCCGAGCACACCGAGCTTTCCTCGGCGGGTATGTGCTGCCGTCGGGTTCTCCCTACCACTCGGGCCAGCCTGGGCCGTGAGCGCAGGCTCAGGCTCGGGTTCAGGCGCCGTCGCAATGTTTGTACCGTCTTCGTCTTCCGTTTCGGATGCAGTCGTTTCTCCTCCTGCGGCCTTACCGCTGCCTATTGGGGCTTTCTCGGGCGGCTTAGATGCCCTCCCTCCTAGTCTACCGAGTTTCTTTGGTTCGGGTGAAACAACTGGTGGTGTGGACGTGGATGGTGCTGATAAAGACGTAGACTTGTGCACTCTGGATGGTCCGTCTAGGTCTTCATCATCGGTCGTCGCTTCAGAATCATAAACGTAAGCTGGCCGAGGCAGAGAGCTTGAAAGGTTGTGCTTGGACGAATTTTGTGGCTCTTTTGATTTCTTCAATCGCGGTGGGGTTGCTTGACGCTGCTGGTAATTAGACAGAACCGAGAACAGGTCCAAGCACAACTCACCTCGAATTCGTCTTCCTCAGCAATTGGCGTTTTCTCCGCCCCCGAGGCATCTCCGCCTGCAGAGGGGTTTCCAACTTCGTCAACAACGTTGCTGACAGCAGTTGGCAGATTGGAGAGCCAAAGATCATCCTTATCTTGGTCATCATCTACGGATTCAGTAGACGCCGATACCTCAAGAACTCGAAACAAGCTACTTTCGGGCACCCGAGCATTTCGGGCCTTGGCGTAGCTCTGCCGCCATTGCTCAGAGTCAAAGCGGCCAAGACCTTGAACCTGCCTGACTGCTTGCTCTCTAGGCGTCAAATGAACGGCGCCGGCTGCGCCGGGGAAGATAGTGGTGATATCTGTGCCAGAGGCCTCGAGTTTATCCAGCAGCTTGGAAATGACGTGATCTTTAGCATTAAGTCGGCCGACTAAATCATCTACTTGCTGCATGTGATGATAGAGGTTGCTCATGAGAGGCGAGATCACATGGTGCTGCAAGGATGCAGAAGGCAAAGGCGTGCAGTTTAGCATCCATTCCAGGCTGCCAAGCGAGCCGGGCAAGGGCGCTGTGAGATGGAGGTTCAGGGCTCGTGAGTCCTTTACGTTCTTGGTCACTTGGCGGCGCGTCCCGGCGTGACCCTCAATCGCGTTCCTAATGTGATCGAGCAAGAGACGCATCTGCGCGGCATCTTCAGTTGGATCAATCGCAGTTTCCTCGCACAGGGCACGCTTGAATATGCTTTTCCTGTCCATGCTCTCCTTCCAGATGTTGCGGAGGTCTGTCAGAAACACGACATAGCTGTTGGAGGTGAATTTGGTCTTTGCAAACAGCGGCGGGCACGGTGGCGGGATGCCGCTGACTTGCAGCGGCTTCCAAGTTAGCTCCATGTGCGACTGTGATGGCGGCAGGCTGGCGATGGTGTTGAGGTGGGTTGGTGTTAAGTAGGCGGCGTTTCAGCGCGAAGGGCCGATTGTGTGGCCGTGACGTCTGCCTGCGCGCGGCCCTCTCCGCAACCCCGGCACGGTCGCGTCGCGGCAGCACCTGAGCTTACCCAGCACGTCAAACTACTCTACTCCAAGACAGCCAACACCATGGACCCGCAGAATCAACCCCCGTGGCGTGCGCGACCGGCCCACCGGAAGCCTGCGTCTACCATCCCGAGCAAACGCTCCGCCGACACGCAAGAGGAAGAATGGGTCGCCGGCGAGGATCGTTTTGTTCTGCAGCAAGCGAAGAAAAAGGCCGCCATACGAGTGAAGGGTGGCCGTGCAAAGCCTATCGACTGGCTCGCGGTGACTCTCCGCGTCATTGACGGCACTCAGGACGTCTTGGACGAGGATGACGACACCGAGCTGGACATTGTCGACCCCGAGGGCGTGCTCGAATCCCTGGACGAGAAGCAGATGGAGGAGCTGGAGAACGACATCGATACCTATCTGACGCTCGAAACCGACAGGAAGAACAAGGAATTCTGGCAGGTACGTTGTTGCCCAAACTCTCCACGCGCCGCATATTGCTGACCCAGCTCAGACTATGAAGGTCATCTGCAAAGACCGCCGCCAGAAATCCAAATCTTCCGGCCGAGAGGCTCGTGGTGTCAGTTCGGTCGCCGGCGACGTTGACCGCCTCCTTAGCCCGAAATCGCTCGAAGAGCTCGAGGCGCTCGAGAGGCAGATCCGGAGAAAGCTCGACTCGAACGAACCCATCGACGTTGATTACTGGGAACACCTCCTGAAGAGTCTTCTTGTGTGGAAAGCCAAGGCGAAGCTAAGACGCTTGTCTCAGACCATCATCAACAGCCGGCTGCAGGGGTTGCGCAAGCAACAGGAGCAAGAGGCACTCGTAGTGCAGGACAAGTTGCGAGGGATTCTGGGCTCAAACTCGACGTCCCAGTCTTCTGTGGCATACACACAGGCGATGGATCCGGAGCCTTTCTTGAAACTGCGCTCGGAAGATAAGGCGCTTGAGTCGGTTGATGAGAAGGCCTTCCTGGACAAAATTGTGAGTCGGTCCAAGGCATGGTATCTTCAAGGGCTAACCTGTGCAGGCCGAAGATCGACGCAAGGTCTTGAAGCTGGGATATGTTCCCTTCAAGCAGTCTGGCCCCGACAAAGCTGCTCCCACGATACAGGCCAAACCAACGGATACGGGAAGCGCGGCAGGCGTCTCCAGGTTCGCCGCACGAGACGAGGATTTTTCACATGCTACTCAAACGCTGTACGAGCGCGAGGTTGCTCGCGGGGTCAGTGAAAACGAGGAGATTTTCAACGGCGAAGAGGAGGTCATCACACCAAACAAGTCGCGGTGGGCGGACAAGTACCGGCCGCGCAAGCCACGCTATTTCAACCGGGTGCAGATGGGGTATGAGTGGAACAAATACAACCAGACGCACTACGACCACGACAATCCTCCGCCCAAGGTTGTACAGGGCTACAAGTTCAACATCTTCTACCCTGACCTGATCGACAAGACCAAAGCACCGACGTACCGCATCGAACGGGAGAATGGGCGGAAGCGCGGCCAGTCATTCGCGCCAGCTGGCGAAGAAGACACATGCTTGATCCGCTTCATTGCCGGACCGCCGTACGAAGACATTGCATTTCGAATCGTTGACAAGGAGTGGGATTACAGCGCCAAACGGGAGCGAGGGTTCAAGAGCAGCTTCGACAAAGTAAGGCTTTCGACGAGGCGGCGCGTCTCCGTATTTAGTGGCAGTGACGTTGTGCGGGGCGATGCTGACAAGGTGGACAGGGAATCCTGCAGCTTCACTTTCAGTTCAAGAAGGTATCTCCCGCTTGAACCAGGCTGGCAGACAAGGCATTGGAGCAGAGTGCTAACACGACTTAGATTTACTACCGTAAATGAGCGGTCCGTTAGATCCAGTGTGTTGGAGACGGCATGCTCGGCCAATCATAACAAGGCCGCTAAGGGGCGCCTGCGTCCGTGTTACAAGCAGCGGGTGGAGAGACTCCCGGGTTCGGAGGAAGGCCGCGTTAGGGTACCCGACATTCCTGGACTTTGGTAGCTCTGCTGCGGCGATGCAGCATGAAAATTCATGGGCTTCCACATGCATCCAAGAGGTGGGTGGCAGTTGACGTTAGCCGTCACACGCTTATTCCCATTCCGCTACAGCCAATAAGATGGCAGGGTTTCGCGTATGGTAGAGGGCCTGACAAAGCAGAAATTCCTGGTTCGGAAGATCAGTTGGCTGCACGTGCCAACATGATGCAGCAGTAACGCTTGTGTGAATGGCAAGCCCCAAACAAGTCCCGAGACAACTTCGGCTGAAGCATCTGGAAGGGGTAACACACGGCAAAGTGCGGCCGGCCAGATAGGGGTTGCAGTGTCCACGAGCATTTGGAATAAAGGGCGATAATAAGCAGACGCACAGGCCGGCGAAAGCTTCTAGAAGAGCTGAGCGGGCGGCTACCAGGCTTGCCGGCTTGCCTGCGTGCGTGGCTGCAGAGAGGTTGGGCACTTCATGCGCGGTCAACTGCAGGCTTCCGCTGGCTGTGTGTAATTCTACCAGGCAGTCCAGGCAAGCTGAGCCAATGGGGCCGGCGGACCGGCTGGCCATGATGCCTGGCGCAGGTCCCGCCGCCTGATTGACCAGGCCTAACAAAGGCTTGTAGCGCGTGTTTGTTGTGCGGTGCGGCAGACCATGACCTTTGTGCGCTGGCGGGCGTGGGCGGCATTGCGGGTGATGGCATGGGCTGGAAAGCTGCCTGCTGGTGGAGACCCCAATAGAAATGTCCCACTGGTCGTCGTTCTGGAATTCTTCCACGATCGTTCACCCTCCACAACAGGTTACCTTGGACTGGCCTCGTCGACCTGCGCCTCCTCCAACTCAGTCACAGAGGGTCATGACAATTACAGGCCCATCTCACCAGCTTCGGCCCGAGCGATTCCAGATGCCCTTTAGAAGTGATACGCCCAGGACCTCCTTCCTTCCCGTCCGCCAGGCTTCCATCTCCGCCATGCCGTCGCCAGCCTTGTTGGTCCCTTGCAAGCAGGAGGACGTTCAGCCGCAAACACTCGACAGCCATGAGCAGCTCTTCGAACCGCCGGCGGGGCCGTCGGACCTCTCGTTCATGGATTACGACTATCCCTGCCAGCATCCGGACTTCCCCAATTACGACGTCGGCGCATCATCGCATCCGCCGCCGCCGCTCGACTATGGTCAGCAATACTCGTACGCTTCGCCTGACTACGATCCGACCTGCCCCAGGACCTTCTCCAGCTTGGGCCCCGACCACTTCTCCGACGTCTGCTTTCCAGCGGGCTATCAGTTTCCTGGCCAGCAGCAGGGCTTCTACTTTCCTGGCCATGGCTATCAGGTGCCCTCGCCGCCGGTCGAGTGTCCGGCCAGGAGCCAGTCTCCCGCACACATGGACGCTGGCTTCTATCCCACGCCTGCCTCGCATTGCTTGCCGTTCCGCGACACTCACCTGAGGCAGGAGTTTGGCCAAGTGCCCCACGATGACCGCGGCGGCCTTGAAAACGAGCAGGATGACAAGAATGATGACAAGAACGAGCCGTACGCGAAGCTCATTTACCGAGCGCTCATGGAGAAGCCAGGCCACACGATGGTGTTGCGGGATATCTATGCCTGGTTTCAGCACTACACCGACAAGCCCAAGGAAAGCAACACCAAGGGGTGGCAAAACAGCATCCGGCACAATCTTTCGATGAATGGGGTGAGTATCCACCGTCTATCGTGCTTCACGGACCAGCTGACCAAAAGTGCCACAGGCCTTCCAGAAGGTCGAGCAGCCGGTAGGAGAGGACTCAAAGAAGGCTAATATGTGGCGCCTGACCGACGAAGCGATTCGTGAGGGCGTCAAGTCGACAACGCGCTATCGCAAGAAGGAGCAGCAGAGGCGTACTGCGAGGCACGCCCACAACCCGCACCACCGTCCGTCTGCCCAGCGACAAGCCGCTGGCGCCAAGGGCGGGGATGCAACCAAACGCTCTTCAGAAAAGCGACAGGTGCAGCAGCGACAGCGGCCTGACCAAGACCTCTTCGAACACGGGCTCGGCATCATCCATCCGGAAGACCAACCCTACCCGAACCCATACGCTTATTACATGCAGCAGCAGGAAGAGGACTCGGAGTCCAGGTGCACATCGCTTTCCCCTTACCAGTCTTTCCCGCAAAGCCCAATGCAAGACCAAAGCTGGGGCTGCAATACCATGTCCGACGTCCCCTCCCTGTTCGCCCCCGCTACTGCCTACTTCCCCGCCGGGTCGTTTGGTGGCGCGCGCCTAGGTTTTACACCTTCGACCACCCCGTCGCCGTCTGACCCGGGTGATCCGCCGACCCCTGCCAACAACCCGGGAGGCTTGGACGTGGACCCTGATGGTCACCTGGTGCCGCCTGCACCCACGACTTTCTTTGAGGTCGAGGGTGCTCTGATGTAGGAGTCATGTTTGTCTTCCTTTCCGAGTTCTGCTTTGGTTATTGTTTGCTTTGTTCTGACATACCCACCCCCCGAAACACGACCGTACTGTGCTGCAACATAAGTCTTCGCATTTCCTTTTTGGTATGATCCAGCGCATAAACGATCTCTTTATCTGTTCCGAACGTGCAGCGTTGCCTGTTTTCTGCCCCCGTACCTCTCGCGCGCTAAGATACCGACAAGTCTTTTATGTACAAGCCTGTACTGCCCCCGAACAAATGTAGTTGTCGATTTAGCCCCTTGCTTGTTTTCTTTCATGGAGCTGGAGCTGGCCCTTCGGTAGCAGAGCAAGTGTAACAGAAATTCAAATGCGCCTGCACAGTTCTATGAATCGCTGCAAGTGATTGTTTCTATCCGCCATCCTTGTGCATCCGGCACTCTGAGCTCAACCGGACATACGCGTTTGCATCACTCGCCCGGCTTCCATGCACGTCTCTTTGCAAGGTTTGTCTTTCCGTTTTACTTCTTGGAGAACACACGCTGCATCCCGGAGGTCACAATTATCCAAGCAAGCATTCTCCGCCAATAGCCGCTTACAACTACTATCCACATATGCTGAGTAGAGATAGGGGCGCTTCTAAACTTCTATCAAACCCTCTGTGTGTGCCTCACTGACCCAGGTTACCTGGATTTCTTGATATTGACGCCTTGCATATCACCTATCTTCTTCTCGGAGCCACCAGTATGTAAGCGACTCATACACAACTGTAAGCGGCGTCCTTTTCTCCGCTTTTCAATGGCGACTCTGGCCCGTGCTGTGGCTCTGGGTTATCCTCCCGCGGAAGCATCCCTGCAGCTCCAACCATATGATCATAACGCACATGCAGGGCTCCATGTAGCCGCTGGTCACACATTCGAGAGGAAGCATGTAAAGCTGCATACTTTCCAGCCACCCATACCGCCCCAGCATCGACCTCATGTAACGCAGACCCAAGGCAGTTTTTTTTTTTTTTTTTGGTCTACAGAAGAGCTCTTGTCTGTACGGCGGGATTTTGCCGATGCATCACTGAACCTTTAATGCATGAGGCATCTTAAAGCAATGGAGGGACAGTTATGGCTTCTAAACACATTGCTTACCGAATAATTTATTCTCGTCTGTGCACTACATATGTTGACATGTCGGCTTTAAGAGCGGATGTTGCCTTTCTGTTGTCTCATAGAATGACGAGTTCATCTCTATTCCGATCGGAGAGAAATTTGCACCAACCAAGATACTGTTTTTTTATAGCTTTCCGGACGCACAACAGATGTGCGCCTCTCCTTACTTTCACCCCTTCTTCCACTGCATAGGGTTCAGTCAGATGCACATCGGGGACTGACAGATCCAGTTCACCTGCAGTCCTCCGCTGACACAAGGGCTATGGAAATCCTATGCCTGCAAGAAGGTCGATGCGTGGTTTGTAGAAACAGGGACCCGGACGACCCATGTAATGACGGAGTAGGATATGGCTGCGGCCACCCGCGACATGCATATAGTCGCGCCTTTAGAATTTCCGATCGATCCAGGCGCAGAAGAAGCACAGAAAACCTGGAAACCCTTTGACTTACCGTTTGAATTGAAATATAGGCAAGGTAAAATTCCGTGTCATAGCTTAAGGTGTGCAACTCTCGGACTCTTGATGGGACTTCATGGAAGAACTTATATACCCGCAATGTCCAGCGAAAGGCTAATTAATAGGAATAATTGTCAGATATCAGGATTGAATCAGCTTCAAAAGCTATATTCTGCATATGCGTGACTGCTTTTGCTTCTCTCTGCTGCCGTACAGTGTGTATCTTGTCGTGCAAAGAATATCTCATATATGTTGAAGCCACACCGCCAGCCCGGTAAGCATCCCCGAATCCCGGTCCGAACTATTCATTGGCTGCCAAAATGCTGCGATGTAATAGTCATGTGGGTTCACACAGCATAGAGGTTGAGCAACATCAAATGAAGCCAGAATAAGGTAAAAGTTTATTACTTTTCAACCGAAAAATCTCGTCTCAGCTTGCAGTTGGACATTGGAAACCCTAGCATTTGGAAGGTTCGCCTAATCTAAAAGGGCCAGGGATCGGAGATTTTCTGACACCGGCAAGATGCATACGCAAAGCAAGATGCTACCTGATGAGATCAGATTCTTGCCAGCGGTAACCGCTGCAGGTCTTCATTCTACGGCCAATCAAACAGTAGTGGCGACATGCAACCCTGCATATCTTGCAAGTGATCATCCAAGGAAACACAATAGGCAGCGATTCAGCGGGGATTCGCCTGTGCCAAGCACCAGGGGATTGCAGCGTTGCATCCTCATATATTAGCATGACTAGGGTGAGCTCGGTGTGTTATTTCTGCAGTTCAACCCTAATATATGAGCTAAGTGCTCAGTCGATATTTCTGTTGCACCGAAAGATGTCTGCTAGTATACGTTGTGCTGCTGCTGTATATTTCAAGAAAAGTAAGCGACGAATGGAGAATTGGACAATGGATGTTTGACGTACTACTGCAACATGAGATGAGCAAGATGAGCCACGATACTACGTTTCTGCATCAAAACGCGCAGAAGTAATCGGCCGTGGCAGGCAGACCTGCACTCCAGCGGACCGGACCAGTGGTTAGACCCTTACTATAGGTATGAACTGCATACTTTTGAAAAATGCAAGAAAAGTTGCATCCGCTAGCCCCCGGTGTGCACAGCATATGACATGGTTGATGCGGTAAGTTTTAGCGAATAATAGCCTCCGGGGCGGGCAAGGCTGGGAAGTACGATGCTATTGGGGGCAAGTCAAATCCTTCAAGACCTTTATTAATGTCTATGGCGCGTGATTCTAATATTGTTGTTGAAGTGTTGCAGTGTTGCATAGGGACAAAATCGAAAATTTGCGGCACGAGATAGTCTCCAGGACTACAAACACTGACAGTAGAAGATGGCACGTCCGGCCATAGGTGTGATACGCAGCAATGTTGGCGGGGGATCAGGTCATGCAAGTCTTAGAAGATGTCGTGGGGTTAGTGCTGGGTTGAAATACGGTGCGTATTCTACAAACCATGCTATTTCGGAGTGGAATGTCATCATTGCCAAGGAGTGGTAGCGGGAGAAAAGTTGTGTAGCAATGATTTTCTCTGCTTCTAGGAACTTGAAAATAGCATGGGAAGTGTTGTAGACATGGATACTCATAGCGTTATCTCATTCCACAGTAATTTATTTGAATTCTGAATTTTGCAAGAAGGTCCTCGCATACAGGTGGGGCGTGTGCAATCGTCTCTAAATTCGGACAAGGATTAGAAGCGATACGAGGCAGCAGTGACGTTTGCCTCTTTTCGTGAGTGCTGCAAGGGAAACATGCGAGTTAGCAGCTGGACGTAGCACACGGTTGCGCATACCGGACGAGCGCAGAGAAGTTGGGATTGTTCTTTGTGAAGGTGAATGCAATTGCTGTTTTACCGCGTGAGTGGACGCAAGCGCCGCCGCACGGCTAACCGGGTAGCTGGGTCGAATTTTCTGAAGGCGTGAGAAGGTGCACGACAAGAGGGAGATTAAGATTGAAGTTACACGACGCGGAAGGTGCTCTGACTAACGCGCCATGACGCCAGAACAAGCAACGCGCAAGCCGCGCCGAAACGCCGCCCGGCCTCTTGTCTGGCCCTGCCACGGCTTGCCGAGCTTTTATATCTGAGACCTGAAACACCGCCCCGAAAGCCCGGATGCTGCCGGCTCCTGTTCCCCTTTTGTCGATCCCGCCTACAAACAAAATAGTGGGCACCCTAGCAATTCATGCAGCGGACGCGATGAAAAGTTAAGCCTCCGGTCGTCCCTTCCTCCCCCATACTTGTTGCTCGGCACGCGTGGCCCTCGCGTACATGGCGTTCCTCTGGGGTAATTGTGCGGAGGAGATATTGTCCACCAATCGCCCGCCGCGCCACGCCGGGGCACGGCACTTGCAACTGCGGAGACGGCTGCGCCATTGCGGAGAAGGGATCCACCTTACTCGTTGCTGGAATCCTCCCTGACCGGGTATCCCTTCTGGCGCCGCAATGGTTGATTTCCCTATCGTGGCCAGACGGATAAACCTGCGCACTGGCGAAATTATGGCCTCTGCGCCCCATCCATAAATATCGAGGCCAGCCCGGCAGACTGTGGCCTGCATCGCCCTTCTTTTGCAATTGTCGCCCAGAATGTTGTTTGGTGGAGCCGCTGCGCTCCTGCTCCTGAATGCCGCCGCTTCCCTGGCCTCTCCTCACCATGCGAAGCAGCGCTCGGCCGTCTCTATAGGGCCCCAGCCCGCCTACAGGCCTATGCCGGCCTCTCCCGCGAGGAACAAGACCTGCGTGGTTCCCTCGGCTGGTGATGGCTCCGACGACGGTCCCGCCCTTCTTGAAGCCTTCAAGAGCTGCAGCCCCGGCGGTAGTGTGGTCATGTCTGCAAACACGACCTACACCATCGGCACTGCCCTGGATCTGACCTTCCTCAAGAATGTTGATTGGGGTGAGTCCTGTTTTTTTTTCTCTTTAGTGGTCGAGAGTAAGCAAGAGCTAGGAACAGGAAAAGACTCATGCGGAAAAGGAGCCAATCGGCAGGGGCAGATGTACCATCAAGATCCACTGACTCAATACTGACTCGATCTCGCAGTCATCGAGGGCACGATCAAGTTCACCGACGACACCGACTACTGGCAGGCCAACGCCTTCAACCAGACGTTCCAGAATGCCACGACCTTCTTCCAGCTGGGCGGCGAGGACGTCAACGTCTACGGCGGCGGCACGCTGGACGGCAACGGGCAGGCGTGGTACGACCTGTACGCCGAGGACATCTACATCCTGAGGCCCATCCTCTTCGGCACCATTGGCCTCAAGGGCGGCTCCATCAGCGACATCAAGCTGCGCTACAGCCCGCAGTGGTACAACCTCGTCGTCAACAGCACCGACGTCGTCTTCTCCAACATCGACATTGCAGGCGGCAGCGTGTCGTCCAACCCGGCCAAGAACACGGACGGCTGGGACACGTACCGCAGCAGCAACATCGTCATCCAGGACAGCCACATCAACAACGGCGACGACTGCGTCTCCTTCAAGCCCAACAGCACCGAGATCGTCGTGCAGAACCTGTGGTGCAACGGCAGCCACGGCATCAGCGTCGGCTCGCTGGGCCAGTACGCCGGCGAGGTCGACATCGTCGAGAACGTCTACGTCTACAACATCAGCATGTCCGACGCCTCCGACGGCGCCCGCATCAAGGTCTGGCCCGGCGCCCCGGCCGCCCTCTCCGGCGACCTGCAGGGCGGCGGCGGCCTCGGCACCGTCAACAACATCACCTACGACACCATGCGCATCGACAATGTCGACTACGCCGTCGAGATCACCCAGTGCTACGGCCAGAAGAACCTGACCCTCTGCAACGAGTACCCCTCCAACCTCACCATCTCCAACATCCTCATCAAGAACTTCGAGGGCACCACCTCGTCCAAGCGCGACCCGCTCGTCGGCTACCTCGTCTGCTCCAGCCCCTCCGTCTGCAGCAACATCACCCTCGAGAACATTGACGTCGTCAGCCCGTCTGGCACCAACCTGTTCACCTGTGAGAACATTGACGAGGCGAGCCTGGGCGTGAACTGCACGGCCCCTTCGTCGTAGGGAAGCGATGGCGAAAGAAAAGGTAGATAGATGACATAGCTGAAATGTGGAAATTAATTTAATGTCCCCGATCTCGGACACGTGGTGCACATCGTAAGCTGATCAGATACTGGCTTGAATATTGTGCACTGGCGTAACGGTTGAGTGAAAATGCTTCGAGTCTGCTGGAGTGACGCCCAGCCACGGTTCTGGAGTCTGCCGATATCCATTTACTCTGTCGTGGGTAGCTTAGAGTCCACAGTCACGAACCCCCTTTCCGAGGTTGCGTTCTGAATGGAAACCGTTAAAACTACGGCTCGGCTCAAATCTCAAGGGACTGCATGGGAAAAAGGCAAAATTGGATGTAGCTGCTGATCAAGAATGTCTCGCCCGTATCTGTGCCACATGAGCGAATCTCAGCCCCAGCAGCTCTTCATTAGGCGGGTTCAATCTGCGGCGCTGAATTACTCCGCCTCCTCACCCACCGGGCCCAACTCAGGAGGCTACCCGTTTGGGCAACCGTCTCTGACGGGCTCGAATGAGGAAGCCTTAGTCCGCCGGCGCACGCAAACATGACCTGAAACCGGGGGGCAGAGAAGGTATGTCGGGAGGAAGAACGTCGTGATCGAACTTGGGCGAAACGGGCGACCTAGATGCGGCACTGGATAAGACAACAGGGATGAAATTTTGGCGTGTGGAATCCTTTTGAATTTTTGGGGTTCTCGTCGCTGCCGAATCACTGATATCGTCAAATAAATCGTCATGGCGCACTGAAGTTGTCTTCCTAACTACAGCGCAGAAGCCTTCTTATATGAAAGCCTCCCATTGGTATGCAGCCAGCAACGCTACCGAATCCCCGAAACCGTTTGCACCGAATGAAGAAAGAGCATTGCCTGCGAAGAATCTTGTCAGCTCTGCTTCGTTCAAGCGTCGCGTAACATCGCCCGCGTGATTTTCTTCCTCCTTTCGTTTTTTTCTCCTCCGGACCTTCTGCTCGGGGCTCTTGTACGTACCATTTTTCTGATGAAACCCTCTTTTTTCAACCCAGCGCTTACCGGCTGGCGCTCCAAACGCTCTTGAGGAAACCGTCACGCTGCGCCAGGCGGTTGATGGAGTCGTCGCTCTCGCCCATGGCGCGGACGAAGCCGCAGAGGGCGTAGGTCTGGTTCTCGCCGGTGTAGCGGCCGTTCTCGTCGACCTTGCCGATGGAGATCTGGGCCGAGGCGTGGTCCTTGGCCTGGATGATGCGGTTGGTGGCCGAGCACTTGCGGGGGACGTAGCTGGGTCAAGGTTAGTCTTGCTGCATTTCGTTCTCCGCGGGCGACCCGTGTTGTGCGGGAGAAAATTGGTTGCGCTGCGAGGGTGAGACTCACAGGTCGACGAGGTCACCGCGTTCGTTCTCCATTTTGACTGAGGTTGGTGGGGGTCGTGAGAGGGGTGGTTGGGCTGAGACTACGGTGGTTGTCGCTGCTGCTGTCGTCGGTCGTCGCGAAATTGGCGTGCGAAGGCCGTGCGATGCCACCTCGCTAAGCCCTATTAGCGCGCCACGTGACCACCCAAAGCAGCAACACCTGGAAGGTACCAAGCATAAATCCTCAGCCACTAATGCCGAGAATTTGCAAATTTCAATAAAGCCTACAGACAAGTGTGGTGTAATATGGTCTGCACTAGGAAACAGGATGCACCCTTAATTCCGCAATCCCGCTGGCAGCAGCAGATTTACAAGAAAATATTATCTCCCTATCCGTTGCATGCCTCGATGAAGATAATCCAATTATGTCGGACATAAGTAGTCTGTCTCAACAGAAAATGTACAGAGAAGCGCCGAATCCGTCCAAGCCTGGTATCTCCTAGGAATTTTTCCCGAACGCCATTCCAATCTAAACACATCCAATATTACAAAGTCGGGGCTCTCTTCAACCCAACGTGATAACGAACAAACAATGTGTCGATGAAGTGTTCATGCCTAATTCCAGGCGACCTCTTCTTGGCAAACTCGTTGATCGCATTCTGCAGCGTCCATCCGAGCCGCTCCACCAAATAGCATACAATAAAAAAGCCCGTCCTGTTGAAGCCGTAATGACAATGCACACCAATCAATGGCAGCTTGTACGATGCCTCCTCGCTAGGAACACTGGAGTTCTCACCACGAAGCCTGTCGATCATTGTGATGAACTGCTTGACCTCGTCCTCGGTAGGCGGAAGCTTAGAGACAGTCGGAAATTTGTGGTACTGGATACCACCATTCTCCAGACCTTTTGGATCATAAACCGGGCTTTCGTGGCTGATGTCGACGACAGCGCGGATCTTGCCTTGCCAATCTTTGACAAACACTCGAGGGCAGTGGGTAGGATCGACTTCGCGCAGTGTTTTCATCGCACGGAAAACCCCGGCGATAGGCTCTGAGACCGGAGTGACGGCTTGCCATTTCTTTAAGTTCTTGACGTCCCATTTCCCTTCAGTGGTAAGGTACTTGAGCTGCCAGCCGAGTGAAAGTCTTTTGTCGACGCGGTCGGCGAGAAAACCTTGGATCAAACCCGCCAGAGTTCTTGCTGTTGCTGGTGCATAGAGTAAGGCGTGCGAGGCGGGCGAGGGGAGGATGGCAGTCTTGAGGCATTTTGCTTTAGGCCTCAGACTCACTGACGCTTCTCCATCGGTAGTAATCGAGACATCGAGCGGCGGGAGCGAGTCGCTGTCAAGGCTGTCCAGAAGTGTTTCGGAACCTGTTCTGTAAGTTCGTGGCGATCCATTCGCACTTGTGAGATCGACTGGAGCTGCCGTGTCGACAATGGCCTCTGGTCCTTTCTCCCCGGCAAGCCCGACATCTTTTCCGAGGAAGGATGCGATTTTACGGAGCTCGTTCGGCGGTGTAATGGGGTCCGCTTCTCCAGCGACGAGGAAGATTGGCATATTGAGACCCGCCCAGATGTCTTTTCCCGGCATACCCTCCTCTTTCTTGGCTACGATGCCTGAGTGGCCTCGGTACCATGTTCTGGGGAGTGTCCCTAGAGCCATACTTTTCCAGACGGGAGTGCGACTTTGCTTATTGAAACGGACTTGAAGCTTCTTCGTCTCCTCATCGGCGTCAGGACCAACAAATCGCCGCACACTGGCACTCTCAGTTCCGCCTCTCCGATCCCACCGACGCCATAGGTCAAAGATTGGATTGGGGATGCTCAGCAGTTTCCTGAACTTAGCTGCCTCTTCCTCGGTCGGAGGCTCCGCCTTGGGACAGATGGCGATGAAACCCAGCACATGGTCCGACAGATGATGAGCTTCTGGAGAAGACGATGATGCCAAATAAGCAGAGATTGAACAACCGAGACTATGCCCGATGAATATCACTCCTTGACCGGCTTCTTTGTCACGATGTTCGTCAACCACCGTTGCGAGGAGGGCAGCGAGGGCATTGGCATGGTAGGCTCGAGGGTTCTTTGGCGCAAACTCGGAAAGACCGCAGCCTGGAAAATCGATGGCCAGACAGGGGGCTAGGTTGACGAGACTGGTCAGGAGAGACTGGAACTGGGCGGCACAACCACCAAGTCCGTGGACGAAAACTAGCAATGGGAGCGGAGCTGGCTTCTTGGGCAGCTTATCGCCCTGAGGGTGTGGACGATAGAAGGTGCGGATCGAGGGGTAGGTCCAGCCAGTACTCGTGACCGTGTATGACTTGTAGGTTGAGTGCTTCTTCAGCAGACCGGGGTCAGTGGCCACGGCATCTGGCATCAGGGGTTAGCGTGTGGTTTCCAAGTCATCTTGCAGTCCCCACCTTGGCCAATGGTATCTGAGAGGCTGCTGTTGTCGTCCCCCTTCTTCTGTGACCGATGCCGGTGAAGCAGCAGGCCGGGGATCAGGCCGCAGATAAGAGAGATCTTGGCCATGTCTGAAACGGACAGCGGACGGGCAGGATCGACACCAATCAGGGCGAGCAGCCGGGATATCAGGGGGGACAATCGACCCTCGAGGTCGGCTGAGAGCGGCGGCGAAGAAGCATTGAGGGAGGCCGGAGTTGAGAAAAACTGCGGCTTAAGAATGGAGGCGAAGGCATCTTGGGCGAACAGCATTACGGCGATTGTAGCAGCGAAGACGCCATGGCCACGGTGAAGACCCTCCATGTCCGGAGAGACAGCAGAGAGGTCTGGAGGAGAGGCCAAGCACAGCTGGTTTAGTGCGCTTGCAGCAGGCAGCGGGCCAATGACGGGCGGGAATGCAAGGCGTGCTTCCGCGTGTGGAGGAAAACGATCGACACGTAGAATGAGGCCGACGTGCGAGCTCAGGAGACGTCGCAACAACGACTCCAGGTTGAGGCTGCGCGCAGGGCGAATGCTGACGGGCGCGGAATGCCAGTAGTGCTCCACGTGGGCGCTGGCGCGAGGCTGGGGCGTATGTAAGTTGTGCAGCCCAGCAGCGGGTACGGCCGGCGCCGCGATCGATTTGTCGGAGGAGCGCGCTAAGCTCCAACACGTGCGGGCGCGGCAGGCTAGGTGCAGGCAGGCAAGCTGCAGCTATGTGTTTGGTGTTGAAAGAGCAGCCGTGTTCGGTGACTCAAAAAAACAGGGCTGGGGCTGGCTATGACGTACGCGACAAAGAGAGTGCGCTGCGCAGCTCATTGCAGCACCCCTCTAGCTTGCATTAGCTGGCGCGTTCGCCCGCCGCCGACGGTGCCATGATTCTCAGGGCAGGCGCCCAGCCGCGTCCACCCGCCAGCCCAATGCAGGGCCGGCGCGGGCGTTATTGGGGTTGGATTGATGCCTGAGGCATTGAGCTGTCGTCGGAGAATCGGCACGCCGGCATCGGCTAGTGCCCCCCCGCATTGCATTGGCCAATCACGAGCGCGCGACTACTGCTGATTCACCCATCGCATCGTCTTTGGCCCGAGAGGGCCATCTCGCGGCGTCTGACAGGCGGCGCGCACATCGGAAAAGCTTCGATAGGCTGCCCGCTGTGGAGCTAGCCCTCCGCAACGCACCAGCAATGCCGACTCCAGACGGTTCACCAATAGCCGGCCGATGAGGGGTAGCTCAGAGCGCAGTACCCGCACCGTCTTCAAAATGTCTGCCCGCTCTGCCAACGGCCATTGCGCCTCCAGTTCTCCAATTGATCCCTCAGCTTTCCTCCACCATGGATTCAGCAAACCTCCAGAAGCAGTCAGAGCCCGAGGAGCCACGCTTCCTCACCTTCCCGCACGCTCCAGATGACGCCACTCGGGACGGCAAGCCTATGCTAAACAAGTACTCAACCATTCTCACGAGGGGCCATGACTGCCCTGGTGCCCAGGCCATGCTGTACGCAGCTGGCGTGCCCGACAAAGAGACCATGGAGACTGCTCCGCAGGTTGGCATCGCCTCCGTCTGGTGGGAGGGGAACCCATGCAAGTAGGTACTCGCTGATGCACAGTTGCTATTGATCTTGCTAATTCGAGTCTTTCGTGCAGCATGCATTGTAAGCTAAGCCCAACCCCAAGCCGCTCTAAAGCGAGATAACGCTGACACACAACAATAAAGTGCTTGATCTGGGCAAGGCCGTGAAGGATGCCGTTCAGAAGCAAGGGATGCTGGCATGGCAGTACAACACCATTGGTGTGTCTGATGGCATTACGCAAGGCGGAGAGGGTAAGTTCCACCCAGGCTCAGACAATCACTGCATGCTAATCCTCCCTACAGGCATGCGCTTCTCCCTCCAGACCCGTGAGATCATCGCCGACAGTATCGAGACTGTCACATGCGCACAGCACCACGATGCCAACATCTGCATACCGGGCTGCGATAAAAACATGCCTGGCTGTGTTATGGCCATGGCACGTCATAACCGCCCAGCTTTGATGCTTTACGGCGGGTCCATCAAGCCCGGCTATTCAAAGCTGCTGCAGAAGCCCATCAATATTTCCACTTGCTTTGAGGCACATGGTGCTATGATCTACAACACCCTGAGAGCCGAGCATGACCCTACAATCACCCCGGATGCTATTATGGATGATCTGGAGAAGAATGCATGCCCTGGCCCCGGCGCCTGTGGAGGCATGTACACTGCCAACTCGATGGCATCGGCCATCGAAACGCTAGGTCTCACCGTCACGGGCTCATCGTCCACGCCTGCCGACAGCCCAGCAAAGATGCGCGAGTGCGCTAAGGCAGCTGAATGCATCAGGATCTGCATGGAGAAGAACATCAAACCGCTTGATCTTCTTACAAGGAAGTCTTTCGAAAACGCCATGGTTCTCATGATGGCTGTTGGTGGCAGTACAAACGGTGTTCTCCACCTGCTTGCCATGGCTGGAACCGCTGGTGTGCCTCTCACGCTCGACGACTTTCAGCGCGTGAGTGACAAGATTCCTTTCATAGCGAATCTTGCTCCAAGCGGCAAGTACCTCATGTCGGAGCTGTTTGAGATTGGTGGCATCCCTTCGGTTCAGAAGCTCTTGATCGCTGCAGGCCTACTGGATGGCTCGACTCTCACTGTCACTGGCAAGACGCTTTCGGAGAACCTAGAGTCCTGGCCTTCCCTTCCTCAAGGAAACGAGATCATCCGCAGTCTCGACAATCCTATCAAAAAGACTGGCCACCTCGAGGTTCTGCGCGGAAACCTGGCCCCAGGTGGTGCGGTCGCAAAGATCACGGGCAAGGAGGGCTTGAGCTTCACAGGATCGGCCATGGTCTTCGAAAAGGAGAGCGAGCTTGACAAGGCGCTCTCCCAGGGTAAGATTCCACATGGCAAGAACATTGTCATCGTTGTGCGCTATGAGGGTCCCAAGGGTGGGCCCGGCATGCCTGAGCAGTTGAAGGCATCTGCCGCACTCATGGGCGCCAAGCTCACAAACGTGGCACTAATCACCGATGGACGATACAGTGGAGCATCTCATGGCTTCATTGTTGGCCACATCGTTCCCGAGGCAGCCGTTGGAGGACCTATCGCTATCGTCCGTGACGATGACGTGATCACAATTGATGCAGAAAAGAATAGGCTCGATGTCCATCTCAGCGATGATGAGATTCAGAAGAGACTGTCTGAATGGAAACCTCCGAAGAGGCCAGTCACCAGGGGAGTCCTGGCGAAATACGCTAGGTTGGTCGGAGATGCCAGCCACGGCGCGATGACGGATCTTTTCTAAATTGTTCCGCTACTGATAATCTAATTACTCAAGGCCTTGTAAGTCTCTTTCGGTAGCCTATAATGTCAATGATGTAGCTACTTTCATCCATTCCCACGTTGGTTAACTTGGTTTGAACGATTTCTTAACAAGCATTTGCAATTTGCTCGGTTTATCGTCCCTGGTATCTCTGGCCATACAGCTGTCAGTTGTCGTGTTGGCGAGATAACGCTAGAATAGTATCCAATGGTGATTCGCCCCAAATGTAATACGCGCCAGCATGGCCCCTGATGTCTTGTCCGCACATGATGTCTGGTGCTACGGCCGTTCCCGCATACACTGTTTGCTTTGCATAAACACCCAAGCATGCAGCGATATGCAATGCTGGAGCCTGAACCTGCATCTTTGCCTCCCATTTGCGGCTCAACCCGGAACCACCCATGTTTGAGAAGACAAAATATGACTGGCAAAACCGATGTCTTCAAGAATATTTCCGCATAGGCTAAACAATGTTTCATTCCAATCTGCCAGTAACAATTGGCCACCGAGCCAGCTTCTTACTTTGAATACCCGCGGTACACCTTCCGAGCTTCTGATTGGTGCTGTTCCCTTTAAATCCCCTCAATTGCCCCTACGCAAAAAGAAATCTACGTACCACGTATCACATGGGATGACCACTAGGACTGTTAGATACATTGTACTCAAGTGCAGTTATCCGCGTCCAGAAAATGAGGATTGGCCGGCTCTCAGGTAACCCATGAGAATCGCAGCACGGATCGCACCTGAACCCCGCACCAACAAAATGCAACACGCTGTTTGTGTACACATGGCTATTCAGGCAGCCATCAATCTCCCTGGGCTCCTCTGACTTCATTCGACTTCACAAATGACTTACAATTCACCAGTGGCACGAACTGTCTTTTCCCTCCTTTAAATGACGACTATCACCGCCTTATCCTAGTTTCATGGGTAAGTCTTGTGCTCTTTGGAAGAAGCCATCTTTGGCTTTGGTCATAGTGACGGGTCATGAGGATAGCTAATGCAGGTATCTCCATGGTCGCAACATTGAGGTTATGCACTTCACGCGCAAAACAGAACTTTTGTGAAACTGTTTCCTGCGCCAGATTCCAAACTGGGCTCTCGTAAGAAGTTCGGCGTCACTTCCTACATGAGTATGCCCAGACCAGTCACCTACTATCATTGGCCGGTTCTTACCTCAACCCCACTTTATCGAAAGGAGCGAATCGATAGAGTTGAAGACGTACAAGTCCAGTTCAAGCGCAGATTCCGTACGAGGCAACACACGACAACTCTCGGCTTTGACACATTGCCAAATTTTACCGCAAGAAGCGAAGCTTGAAGTAGCTCCACGGCAGTTAACGGCACGTCAGCTATGTTCAGAGAGAATGCCTAAGCAGACCCCAGACTTATATTTAATCATGTTACAACTCGGACTCAGTGGCGGACGGCCGTCGGTGCCATCTCAAATAAATCAATCATGGATCAATAATAGCTGGGTATGGATGAACAAACAGACTTCTTTATCGTTTGTTTACACGAATACTCACAGACTTGTCATCTTGGCATCTCTTCAGCGTTGGCTGAGCTGTCACCCTTCCAACGAGGCTGTGCCAAACGGACGCTTTTCTTTGCTGAGACGCTATCAATACTTCTCTCCACCATTCAAAAGTCTTTTTGAACATCTTTTCTGAATGTGCTACATACTCATTCCTCGGTACACGATGTGCTCGCACGTCTCGCATCGGCCTGCGCACTGGGGTCAGCAGCCTTGCATTAGAATTCAACGAGCCCTGGACGAAATTAATAACCCGAAGTACCATGATGTAGTGCCCGTCGATCCTGCACTCATCTCACATCAGAATATCCCGAAGTCCTCGTCTTTGCCAAATACTGTCACGCTTGCTTCCCTCGACCGCCTGCCCAGCGATTCAAGCGAAGCAGCGCCCACACTCCCAACACCAGCTGCAGGAGTTCCAGCAACTTTCACGCAAACAACAGATCCCAAGACTGAGCCTGGACCGGCATTTCATGAGATAGCCGTACATTGTACAGCATCGCCCCAGCTAATGATACTTCCTTTTCGCATCCCGAAAGATTGCGTGCGACAACCGCGGAAGGTGGAAAAGCCGGTACATGGTTGGTGTCCCGACTGCGGTTGGGAGCATGCGAGACGCATGGGCTGGTTGGGCAGAGGGGGGAAGGTGAGGGCATGGGGCCCCGCGGGGAGTGGTTGGGGCGGGAGTTGAGGGGTCTGTCTTTTTTGAGAGCTGGCTTGCCCCTCTGGTATTCCGGATCGAGAGTGTTCACTAGAGCTCCAGATCGGAGAGCCAAAGGTCCTGGTCAATTTTTTTACTCTTTTCCGAAAAGACTCTGAGGCTGACTTCTCCTGACGTCTCTGTGAAGTGGGTGCAATATTGCCTTTGGCTCCTGTGGTTGGGAATGATAAGACCCAATACACGACATCGGTCCCTTGTTTATTGCGAATTCAGGATGCGAGTTGGATGCATTATAATTATGCACCTTTACAGCTGCCGGTACAGAGTTTTTGCATTCGGATCTCATGCCTAAGGTTGAGATTCGAGTAATGTGAGAAGGTGGAGCAATTCACGGACGAAAACTGCCGGTGATAGGGCATGGGTGTGCTTTTCAGTCCTCCGTTGATCCGAGATGTGTTGCTGTGTGAAGTTCAGGTTCCGGCCACGCAACAACGGTTCTGCCTAGCACGGAGGCTAGAAGCAGGAATACGTAAGTGGATGGATGCGGCTGAGGCAAAAGAGATGGCAGGTTCTGGGGCGGTCCAATCATGACGGAAAGGATTCGATGAGATTCGAGGGCGGGCTGGAGTTAACGGAACTCCGTTTTGGCCCGTGCGGCCCCCACGTGATGATTTTTAAGACGTCACTTTGAAGCTGCCATTGCCGCGCTTCTCTCGCTCGCCTCCGCTTCTCTCCTCACGAAGCAATTGCAACCTGCCTGAACGCACCGCCCACCATGGCGTTCATGCTCCGGCGACCCTTCGCCCTCACGTCTGCTCTGAAGCAGGCGCCCAAAGCCTCTTCAGCCACCATCCGCGCATTCCACAACACGCCGCTCAAGTCCGCACCCAAGAGCTTCTTCACCGCAAGGACCGCTGCGCCCTCGCTCGCCGAGTCGAACAATGTCTTCCGCAACACCTTCCGTGCTTTCCGCCGCAACTATTCGCAGCAGTCCGCCACCACTTCGAACCCTGAATTTAGGCAGCGCTTGATCTATGGCGCCGGTATTTTCGGAGGAACTCTTCTGGCTATCAACCTGTTAGTTCTCTTTGTCCATGGCCCGAATCCAAGCTGACAGTCTTCTTAGCATCTTCAACCGTGAGACCCGCGAAGATGGCGGCATGCCGCCCCACGAGCGCAGCTACCTGAACGACACTTTCCTGCACACTGGCCTCGGCGTTGGTATCATTGCTCTGGCGGCTCGCACTCTGCACTTCAATGGATGGAGCTACAGGCTCATGTCTGCGAACCCTTGGCTTGTTCTTGGCCTTGGCCTCGTGGGGTCTGTCGGCTCCATGTACGGCTGCATGGCTACTCGCCCGGATAAGTATGCTATCCCTCCTTTGGAACAAAGGTCTCCTGCTAATTGGCATTCCAGCTACGTCCAGAAGTACGCTCTGTGGGGTCTCTTTAACCTGACCCAGGCCGCTCTCCTCTCGCCGCTTATGTTCATGCACCCCGCCCTGCTCGCTCGCGCTGGTCTCTACACCGTCGGTATGATGGGCTCCATCGCTTTCGTCGGCGCGACTGCCAAGCAGGAGAAGTACCTCTACCTCGGTGGTCCTCTCCTCGCTGGCGTCGCCATTGTTGCTCTCTCCGGTCTCGCTCCCATGGTCCTGCCTGCCACTGCTGCCCGCACCCTCATGTGGACCGAGAATATCTGGCTCTACGGTGGTCTTGCCGTCTTCGGTGGCTTCACCCTGTACGACGTCCAAAAGGTCCTGCACCATGCCCGCCTGTCCGAGCGCGGCCTGATGCAGCGTGATGCCGTCAACGAGTCCATCAGCCTTGAGCTTGACTTCATTAACATCTTCGTCCGCATGGTCCAGATTTTGGGCATGCAGCAGAGAAGGAAATAAATGGCTCTCAACCCAGTTACATGACTGGCTTTCGAGAGCTCGAAACGGAGGGCTTGTTATGAGCGATAATCATCTGATGGCGTTTTTCTAAGCGGTTTTTATCGATTGCAAGGTCTGTTTGACATCCCCGCTCTTGCACAACTAGCACCAGCAGGCTCTTTTTATTTTTATTTTTTAGGTTGGGAAGAAATGGTACTATCAGACCAGAAAAAAAAACAATTGATAATTCATGAGTGAACTGAATATAAGACTTTCTGTGATTGCCATGGATATGTGATTCATGCCTTGTGCAAAATTTCTCCAAGGGCTTTTATGCCTACGGTGGAATAGGTTCTACATTCCTGTACAAATTTCTCATCACTCGCTGTAACAGGATCTGCGTTTTTCAACAGCAGAAAATGGAATCTACGTACATTTCCGTTACAGAATATCGCATAACGAGTAGCATCGGCCCTTCCCTGAATTCTTACCCCCAAGCGATGGAAGAATGGGCTCAAAAATCAAATCTTCAACATGGTTAAATGTCGAACTTCAAAACGCACGACGCCGTACTGATTTCAGTACGTGCTAATAGCCATTGATATGGCCTGACATTAAATGACTTTATCCTCAAAGCGAAACACTCTGCAGATGATGACTAATATTATAGTTTATTTGGCTATTCTCATTTTTCTCCTTTCCGCTGCTAACAAGAAAACAGAAAAGTACTTACGAGTAGACGCTGAAGAGAATATCAACAATAAAAGGGGAAACCAATTCCAATTCTTGTTCGCCTCTACCTACGCGCGCTCTAAATCCATTACTCCTCGATTAACTCTGCGCTACACATATACGTAGCAGAATGGGCCAGCAAGAGTGCTCATAGCATCACGGATGGTGATGGGGTCGGCAGTGTAAGCGAGGTCGAGGATGTCGTCGAGTGTCGTGTTGGCGCTGGGCGGGCTGTTGTTGAGGGTGTGGGTGCCGCCGACGGCGTAGGTGCGCGCGGCCACGTCCTGGTTCTGCCACGTCCACCAGACACGGTCGATCATCGCGTGATGGAGGAAGAAGACCTTTTGTTGCTGTTAGTTGGGGTTTGATAAGGGGCTGAAAAGGGGGGTATGGAGGAAGTTCAACAGGGAGGGGATTCAACCACGTACCGGATCGCCAGGAGAGGCAAAAAGATCTCCACCAGGGTCGCCATTAATAGTTAAATGCCCCCCAGTGTGAACTCCGAGGTAGCCTGAAGGGAAATCGCCCTGCATGATGGTCTGGAAGTCTGAAACGTCGGAGTAGGTCTCGATCAACGAAGAAGTGTTGAGGTCGTTGGTGAAGCGCGACGACACCCAGGGGTTGATGTCACGGCGCAGGCAGCGCGGATTCGAGCCGAGGCCATCGGCACTGGGGTTTGTTGGCAGGCCTTCATAGGCAGGCGACACGGGGCCGAGTCGGGTCGTGAAGTTCCTGAACGGGCCCGTATACACGCAACCACCGCCCTGTGCCGGCGGTATTTCGACATAAGGGAGAGCAGAAGATGGAACATAAACCGGCGTGTGGTTCCGGTACACTCCATTGCCTGACATGGACGTGTCTGAGCCGTCGAAGATGGGCGAGCTGAGCGGGTCCTCGGCGTACTGCGGCCAGTTCCAGTACGGCTGCGTGCCTGTGTAGCCGCATTCGTTGCGCAGCGCTTGCTCGTACGACCAGGTGAAGTAGCGGTGCCATGAAAGGAAGTTGCCCTTTTTGCTGAGTTTAGTACCAGGCTTGTGGATATACGTAGGCTAGACTTGACTTACCGTCCCGTGTATCGTCAGGGTCTGATTTATGTGGGTGGCCACGAAGTCGTCATAACGAGTGACACAACCCGGGCAAAGTTCTTTAGGAGTTCTTGAGGGTTTCGTGGAGATGCATTGCACTGCTGCAATATACTCCTTCCTCTCCTCGGCAGAGAGGGCGCCCCTGCATTGCTGATTAGCAATCTGGCAGGGATTCAGCGTGAGGAATACGTACCATTCTCTCCGGAAAGAGATGTTTTCGAGTGTGCAGCCGTCGGAAAAGTAGCCATTGACCTGGACGAACTGTGCTAGATTCCCCATCGCCTGTGCGGCCAGCTGGTCGGTCTTGAGCGAGGTGGCAGCCTCCTTCTTCTCAATGACGGCGCCACTGGCAACACCCAAAAGCGCCGTGGCGGCGACAAGGTCCTCGAGACGCATTGTGGAGAAAGTTGTAGCCCCCACGGATTGGCTTGGTGGGAAGTTGGGTAGCAAAAGGTGTGGTAGAAGCAGCGACAGCTGCCAATTTATTTGCTACGTCTTTTTACGCGCGGGCGAGTTCTAGAAGGGGGCCAACGGTCGGTTATGCGCAACGGTGTGGCACAGCCGGGGGCTTCGGAGAATTGATGTCTGCGAGGATGCGGCGTTAATGCGCAGGCAAGCAGCGCGGTGATTGAATACCGGAAAACAAGGCCTCAAACAGGAGCCAATTGCGAAGCGGCGCCACCAAAGCTGGCTCTTGCACGGCAATTGATAGGAAGAAGCGAGCTGGCTTTCCGTCCGTGGAGTAGCGATGCCGGAGGTATTGTTGGACTGGCAGGTGGCGGCGTCGGCGCAACTAGTTAAAGTGGGCTCCGTGGCGGCTTTCTGCATGTGCCGCGATGAAGATGGGGGCCAAATTAAGTAAACAGCAGTCGTGTATTGTGTAAGCCCGAACAGCTCGGCGTTGCAGCGGCCCGCTCACAGGCCAATGGAAGATGAATTGGCAAAGGTGGTGCGAAGAAATTACAGGAAGAGCCATGCATCTCGGGAGTAGATGCCCCTAGTGCTTATCGGCCTTCATTATTCAAAAGACAACAATAATCCAGGCAGAAAATATTCACTCCTCGCTTATTCAAGCATGGTACAGACGGGAAATTCCAGCTTGACACTTGCTCGGCAAAGCACAGCTAGGCGACTGGACTATTGATTTCGATAACGTGGCCATACTATACATTCGCCAGGAAGAAATACTGAAATCGGGGCGTTTCTGGAACTCCCATGCATATTTCTAAACCATTTGGACGCAGGGACGCGTACGACTCCGTATTGGCGAGGACATATACACGAGTAATGATCAATGCCAGTGGAGTGGAGTTCTACAAGGGGGTATAATTTGGGCTCATTCAGCAGTCTTCGTTTGGATGTGTTGAGCCAGCAAGGAGGACTCGATAGCATGTTCAGGGAAAGTCATGATGCTCATAGACTAAGTGATGGACCATCTCGTACGTAAAAAGGATGGATGGAGGGGCGAGGGCCGAAGAATGGGGGGTCGCAGCTTGCCGGGGTCGAGCGGTGCCTGAATATGTGGGCTTTAAAAAAAGCACACATACAGGAACAGCGGTAGTGGACCCGTGGCAGCGGAGCAGCCGAGATGGCAGAACAGATCGCTTCTCCTGGCAACTTGGCTATCGTGTTCTTCAGGCAATGATGTTCTGCGATTTGCGTCTTGTCTTGAGCACGCCCCTCAGACGGCGATCTAGCAACGATCTCCCGGCGTCGATGATGCGTGCCAACGGGAGAGCGGCAGGCTTCCCCCTCGCGCCAATTTTCGGGCGACGCCGCAAGGCCCTGTTTGGTAGCCTGATGGGACAGCCGGCGGCACGGCAAAGTGGGAACGGGCGAGGAAGGAAAAGGCTGAATCGCAGATAGAAGAGGCGGGCGGGCGGGAAGAGATGCAGTTGCGACACGGGGCCTGTGCATGAGCTGGACCCAGTTTCCAAGCGAGCCAGCCAATCGCGTGCGCCGATAGCTCGTACTTTTCCCCAGACCCTGCCACCTGCCTCAGATCGAAGCGGCGCAGTGCAACAACATCCTCTAAGCGAAAACACCTGCTCCGTGCTCCCCACTGCCTAGCGTTTCTCTAGCCTTCCGCTTCAGCACCGTCGCCGCCCGCGCTGCTCTCTTCACGCCCTTGGCCGCCACCTGTCCGCACTTGCGCAATCCGCACCAGCAGCCGCCTCCGGTCAATCGCTTCCTTGCAGTCTACCCATTAATCTGTGTCTTGCGCCACCGCCAGGGACATTGCTGACGGCCCGCCGTAACGTCAGCTGCGCTGTACCACCGGTTGAGGCACCATTGGTGTGAGGATTCCTTGTCGATTATCACAGCAACCCGCCGTCTATTATGGACTTTTGCGAAGCTTGGCCAGTCTCGGGGCTTGGTATTGAGCCGGAAGGCGCCGAGCACTTTGGATGAGAGCATTCGGTATTTTCGGGTTATGACCCTTGATATGACCCCTGGGCCATGTCTTGCCCGCCTGGCGTCTTCGGCGCTGCTTTCGGTGTCGGCCGAGGACACCACCTCCCCTCGTGGCCTGCGTCCGTCTCTCGCAAGAGGAAATCTGCAGCAACAGCGTCTCCGGCCCTCTCCGTTTCTGGCATGAACACCTGAGGAACTTCCTCGATCTAACCTGTCTCGTGCCGAAGTCCTTCGCCCGCCATGTGCTCTTGCGCCACTATGCATATTCTGCGACGGCTTCGCTCGCCAGGCACAGGAACGCCATGTGCGAGCCCACCCCTCTCGCCTGCAATATCCTGGTCAGAGTATCACCTTAACATTCCAGACCTCCTTCCATGTTTTCTTGCACATCCTTTTGCCTAAGTCATTCTCCCCGAAGATATCTTGAGCTGCTCTTTCCACATCATTCTTCTTTCGAACGTCCCAAGTCCCCTTTCTTGGCCTAGCACAGGCCAACGGCCCCATGGGCGTCGGTGACAATCCACCATGTCTGTATACTTGAAGCGTCAGTCCGGTTCCCATTCGGCCAGCGATGAAGGCCCTTCGAGTTTTCCGCCAGAGTACGCAAACTTCAGTGCCGCCGATGAAATCATTTCCATTACCAGCGTCTTCTGCGCCTTGGCGCTGGCCGTGGTCATGCTCCGCCTCTATGTGAGAGGCTGGATGCTGAGATTTGTCGGCTCTGACGACTATGTCATTTTGTTTTCCATGGTTGGTATTTGCCCCTCGTACAAATGTGCCATTTTTCCAACTGAATCGTACAGGTATTAAGCATAGTCGTCATGGTCTGCTTCATTGAGGAGACCAAATACGGGCTGGGCAAGCATGCTATCGTCATGCTCTCAGACCCTGTCGGCTACACGCAATTTTCCAAGTGGCTTTACGTCCACAGCCTCATCATCATGGTCGCAGTCAGCGCGGTCAAGGTCTCAATTGCCCTATTTCTCATGCGCCTTGCCGAGAGAACGAGGAAGGTTAGGTTTTTATGGGGGATGATTAGTAGGTTGAATCTCGAGAGGTGTAGTTTTATACTTGCTGACCTGTAGCCCACAGTCTTCATCATCCTGTTCACCATATCTTGCGCCTGCACTTTGATTTTCCAGTGTTCGCCCATCGCTGCTGCTTGGGACTACTCCCTTCGAATGCCGCCCGAGAAGGCCAAGTGCTTCTCAATGAACACTTTCAGGAACATCGGCATGTTCAATAGCATCGTGAACATCCTCACCGACTTCCTCTTCGCCTCACTTCCGGTTCCTTTGATCTGGGAATTGCAGGTCAACCTTAGAACGAAGCTCACGTTGGCCTCGATTCTTAGTCTCGGTTTCTTCGCCTCTGCAGCAGCCATCGTCAAGTGTGTCAAGCAGTGGAACGTCCTTGAAGATCCGGATTGGACAGTGTATGTACCATTGCTGTGGACACCTTATCCCTTCACGATTACTGACTACGGCTCTCCTTTACAGGCACGATTCCTTTAATGTGTGGAACTACATCGAGCTGAACATTGGCATCGTCGCCGCCTGCCTACCGGCCTTGAAGCCTCTGTTCAACTGGTTCCTTGAGACTGCACGCGCCATCACTAGCTCCGGTGGACGCTCTGGGAACCGCCGCCGAACCGGTTACAGCGGCTATGGCAGTCGCTCCACTGCGCACGGATATATGAAACAGCAAGACAGCTTTGCCATGGCGAGCATTTCACGCTCCCGAGCAGATGCAGAGCTGGGAAAGGTGGATCCATACGTCGCAAAAGTCTCTGTCGGTGTGAAAGAAGTGGACAGGGAACTCCCTCTCGCTTCAGATGCAAGCCGGGATTCTGGCGGGGCCGTGTCAAAGGCATCCAAAGAAGGGGAGAAGGAGTGGGATTCCGAAGCAAGGAAAACCAGCGACGATGGTATACTCTCACACGCAGGAGGCAGTTCAAGACCGAGAGGTCGTGTCATCCTACGAACAACCGAGGTCCATGTTAGTTGAGTCTGCTGGATGGTGGGTATGTTTGTTTATGTCTCATCGATACTCCCTTTTGTGTCTTGTAGCTGGACTTTACCATATGCAAAATTTTCCCTTTGATTGATTTTTGGTACAATCACGTTGCGTAATTGCATGCTTGTGGCTGAAAGCAGTCAGCATATCCTCAAGACAAGGTAAGTTCCCAGCATCAATTGGAAAAGCAGAGCTAATGGTGATGGCAGTATTTCTGGTGGAACACGCGACATCACGTTCCCGTCTCGGAGGTCGGTGTCTTGGAGAGTCCGCGCTCTGGACCTCGTGTCACTGTCGACCGCCTCTCCCGCGCTTCATGCCGTCCTTGGCCCGTTCGCCGTCTGGTGGCCTCCACATTGCGGAGTTCGCCGGCCGAGGTTTGCCCAGTCGCATGGTCTGATGTTGATGGTTGACAATAGGGTTGAAGTTGCGAAGACACGGCACTTATACACGCAGACTGTAAGTGCAAGATTACGGTTTCTACCAACAGTCTGTATGATTGGCTGCCTTCAGGATGACGGCTTCGACTCTCAAGAGCCAAATGCTCCCACATGCGGGATCTGCAATTTTGCGGGGGCAGAGCGGGGTTTTCTGCAGGACCGATTGCCGATGCCCAGCCCGACGGAAAAGAGAGCACGTTCTGGTCGACCTCTCCGCAGCTCGAATGACCCATCATTACCAGGTCGAGCCACTGTGCACCGGCCAGGGACCGCTATGACGCACGTCATGTGGCTTCGGCCAAAACCACACCGAGACGCCAAGCATGCCGTTCCCAACTTTTGATCAAGCTTCCCCACGATTTGGCGCGCCATCCCTGCTGGGACCTGGCGGGAACACTACTTTCGTGAATAATGCCCCCTGCACTGGACCATTGGACGTCACCCGGCGCCACCCGTCTCGGGCGTCACTATCCCGTTGACTCGTGAGCCTCTGGAGACTTTTCTTGAGCACACCCCACTGGCCTTCTCTTAAAGAGCCGCGGCTTGTGTCCGTCACATTGCCCTGAGTAGCACGCTCGTACCCGCAAGAATGGCTCCGTCCAACTCATTCTGCCGCACTGCGGCACTTCTCAGCACCGTGGCGGCTTCTGCGCTTGCAGTTCCCTACGAAGAATACATTCTTGCTCCTTCCAGCCGTACGCTGCACCCGGTCTCGGTCTGGAAGGTCAATGGTACCGTCTCGGGCGCCGAGAGCGTGACCGGTGACGCCCTGGGCAGCGCGACCTTCACCGACGCCTCGGCCATCACCTTCGACTACGAGAAGAACATCGCCGGTGTCGTCTCATTGACTGTGGGCGACGTGTCGGACGAGAACCAGTACATCGGCATCACCTTCTCTGAGAGCTCGCTCTGGATCTCGGGCGAGGGCAGCGATGCCACGGCCGATGCCGGCATCGACGAGACGCTGTGGTTCCAGCCCAAGGAGGCGGGCGTGTACACCGTGCCCAGGCAGAACGAGCGCGGTGCGTTCAGGTACCTGAGCTTGGTGCACAACACCACGGGCAGCTTGGAGGTCACGCAGGTCACGACGCATTACACGGCTATGCCGCACTACGCCGACGACCAGCTTAGGAATTATACGGGCTACTTCCACTGCGATGGTAGGAATCACTTCAGCAAGGGGCCCAGAAACATCGACTGACGGATGACAGATGAGCTACTGAACCGTGTGTGGTATGCCGGTAAGTGTCACCACTCAATTGTTCTCCAGAAGCTCAATGGCTAACCCCCTGAACAGGCGCATACACCAACCAGATCTGCACCATCGACCCCAAGTATGGCGATTCCCTCATCTACCTCAACAAGATCACTTCGAACATGAGCTCCGACGACGTTGGCTCCCTGCCGTGGTATGTCAACTACACAATCACCAACGGCACCTCGGCACTCGTCGATGGCGCCAAGCGTGACAGACTGGTCTGGGCTGGCGATATGGCCATCGCTGTGCCTGGCGTCGTCGCTTCGACGAACGACCTGATATCCATACAAAACTCTCTCAACTCGCTCTTCGACATCCAGAACAAGAGTTCCGGGCAGCTCCCGTACGCCGGCCGGCCATTCACTTACATACTTTCGCACACGTACCATCTTTACACGGTCATTGGCGTTGCCGACTATTTCTTGTACTCGGGCGACATGGACTATCTGCAGAGCATGTGGGACAGCATCAAGCTGGCCATGGACTTTTCTCTCAGCTTCATCGACTCCAGCGGCCTGATGAACGTGACGTCGGCGAACGACTGGCTGCGCTTCGGCATGGGCGGGCACAACATCGAGGCCAACGCCATCCTCTACTACACCATCAACCAGGTGTCCATCCTCGCCTCAGCCCTCAACGAGACGGACCTCCTCAGCTCCTGGTCCACGACCGCCTCGGGCATCAAGGCCGCCGCCAACGAGCTGCTCTGGGACGCGTCGTCCGGGCTGTACCGCGACAACGAGACGACGACGCTGCACCCGCAAGACGGCAACGCGTGGGCCGTCGTGGCCAACCTGACGCTCAACTCGACGCAAGCGGCGCAGATCTCGACCAACCTGGCGGGGCGGTGGACCGAGTACGGGGCGCCGGCTCCGGAGGCGCACGACGCCATCTCGCCCTTCATCAGCGGCTTCGAGCTGCAGGCGCACGTGGCGGCGGGCAACGCATCGGCGGCGCTGGCCCTGACGCGCCTGCAGTGGGGCTTCATGCTCGACGACCCACGCATGACCAACAGCACCTTCATCGAGGGCTACAGCACCACCGGCGACCTGCACTACGCTCCTTACAACAACGACCCCCGCATCAGCCACGCCCACGGCTGGGCTACCGGCCCCACCGGCGTCCTCACCTTCCGCGTCGCCGGCATCCAGCTCACCACCGCCGCCGGCGAGACCTGGCGCGTCGAGCCGAGCTTTGGTGACTTGACCCGCGTCGAGGCTGGCTTCTCCACTAACCTCGGCGCCTTCAGCACCAACAACACGAGGGACGCCGACACGGGCGCCTTCAACATTGCCTTCGAGACGCCCGAGGGGACGACTGGCGCCGTGAGCGTCGAGTACCCGTCTTGCGCCGGCACCTTGACGGTGAAGCCCGATGGTGGGTCGGAGGCGGAGACGGTGACGAAGGAGATTGAGAAGAAAGAAGACAAGGCTCTGGCTGAGAGAGTCGAGGTCGATGGCTTGAGTGGTGGGAAGTGGACCGTCGAGTTTGCTTGCTCTTCTTGAGTGAAGGGAAGTGACCGAATGTCTTTAGTTTGGTTTTTGACGCATTCGGACGAGTAATACTGAGGTGTAATGATAACGAAATTAAAGGAGTAAAAGCTAATTCATCAATCGTACTACTTTTGCCACGATATTGATGATCCCACGATCAATTACATCAATGTGCTATTGAACAAGATCATTATTACCCAAGTTTTCCATACCGAGTCCTGGAATAAGCCATAGATAAGAGACCAGGATCTCCGTAAGCTCTTGTTTCTTAATTTTATTTTTGTTTCGCGATTGGGTGGCCACCAAGAGCTCTGTTGCTGGCGACCCGCTGGACGGTGGTTTGTGGTCAGGTGATAGGGTTCGAAGGCATGGCGACGAGAGGGATGCAAGCTTTCGAATAATGCGGCGGCGGTTGTTTCCTGCATGTAGGCGTTGATGAGACCTTCAGCAATTTCGCTGGCCATGAAGACCGATTCGTGCTCGTCGATATCAATGTTCCTCTGTCTGATAACCTCGTGAATCATGGCGTAAAGCAGCAGGATGGCATCGCGTTCCTCGAAGTCCGGATCAATCCGCATGGCGATTGACTCATCTTGGCGCATGAAAAGACGACGGTGTGTCTGAAGGAATGTCCAACGAGTCATGTCATCTGGGTCGCCGATGGTCTCGTCGTAGGACGGAAGAAGAAAGTTGCCATATAGAATGGTGTCCCATATGCCGTCATCGCTCTGGAATCGACCTTCCCACAGGAAGAAGTCGCGGAGTATGGCGAATGCCCAGGAAACGTTGTCGTTCAGGATAACCTTCGCGAAGAAGACGTCAACATTGGGGCGGCCGCGCGGTGAGGTGAAGCCAAGGTGGCGTGCGTGACGACGCCAGTGTTCGGGCGTATTCGACTTTTTGAAGAAGCGTCGACGTGGCATAATAGAAAATGATAGGCTGATAAAGGTAGAGGATGCCGGTCGGTTAATGGAGGTATGGAATGACGAGGATCTTGAAGTTGTGCAGGTAGTGGTTGATCTGCCAGCGTCGGCGCTGCAAAGGCCGGCGGCTGCAGAGGCCGCCGTGGCCGCCCGATTGGGAAGTGACGCTAGGCAATAGGCAAATTTCATCGCACACACAGCTGCGCCCTTCACTTCGCAGCTTCGCGACCACCATATCTGACACAAGTCTCAACCGTCACAATGGGGCGCCGGAAGGCACGACACGAGCGAGGTCTTTCGAACCTCCTTGACGTTGATTTTTGGAGGCGCGTCCTCGGTTTCGACCCCAACGATTTCGACGAGGATGTCTACGCCAATGACCAAGGCCAACGCCCACTCATTCTAGTGTTCCATGACGGCGGCAGCGACGAAGCGAAACTCAAGAATATTGGCTGGCAACCCTTCAAGCACGGCGCGGCGATCGCGACTTTAGACACCAAATGGATCCTGGAAGACAATCACGAATTTTCGGGATTTCCAAAGGGTAGGTCTATATACATGCTTTTTAAATTACCCACCACTGTGATGCTGACAAAATTCATGTCAGGCCTGTCTGATTTGGTTGTCAAATTCGAGATTCCGAGAAGATTCGAGTGGCAGCAACCAAACCGAAAAAAAAGGGAAAAGAGTCGTCCGGGGCCACCACAACGCCGGCAATGATGCATTCGAAACGATGGCAGCTTTGTTGGGCCAAGCTGCACATGACGTCTCCGACAAGGCCCTCACAGGGCTGCCACTCTATCCATATCCCAACAACGAGCTGGTTCTGGTAGCCATTGACACTGAAAGGTGACGGAAATTGGCACCTGCATTCTTGACACAGCGCTCATCACGGAAACTGTCCCTGGCCCAAATTGTGAGAACTGGATGGATCTCACGGAAACTCATCACCTTGCGCAACGAGTTATCTTGTGTTGACCGGAAATCATTTCACACATTGAACAACGGAGTCACCAAGCCACGGCAGGATGGCGTAATGACTCACTGTAAAAATTAATGAGACTTATGTGGGTACTTGAAGCTAATGTCCGGACGTACTTGTATCAATTTTTAAATCAACATTTGCATCCGGACGTTAGCTTCAACTACCCACGAGATGGCTAATTTTGGATTGGTGGATTTATGCCACAATTAGGGAAACCAGCGGACCACTTCACATTCAGAGCTTGGAAAAACGGTTCCTGGGTCTAATTGACCTGTCGGGAAATGCACTGGGTGGAGGATTGCCCGGCCACGCTGACATTCGGCTCAGCCCACGTCCAACGGATCGAAGGAATCATCATCAACACGCCAAAGAGGTGGATGAGGAGGATAACGAGTTGTCAACCGGCAGAGGTACCTGTTCGGCTTACGCTGAGATCGAAAGGAGACGTGGATGGGGTGAAACCGAAAGCTAAAGAAGATATCGCCACCCCAACAAGGTCAATAGCTCCGGTCTGGATCAGCTTCACTACTAGGAATAGTAGGATCAGGAATGTGAAATTGCATACGATCGAGCTGACACGTTAAGGCAATATAATAAGCCTTTCCATATCTGTACAAGCTAAGAACCAAAGAAAACTATGATCCGCGAGGAAAAATTTTGCTTCTACCCAAGACAGTGCCCAGTGCTTCACTTGGACGCCTGTCCACCCGGCCTTCCCAGGAAGCACCTATTCGTCTACACTTCTACTCTAATACCCTCATGGTCCTTAGACCTACGCCTCAACCACACCCAAAGCCCTCACCACCTCCCCAACCTCCCTCTCAAACACCCCCACAAACGCCTTCACACCCTCCTCTCCCATCAACCTCGCATCGCACCTGACACCAAACTTGATCCCATCGCCCTCCCTATCAGGGCCAACATCCACGAACAACTGCCCCTCCTGCACCCAACTGTAGTCCAACCCATCCACCGCCGTCTCGCCCTCGAGCACCCTATCAGCCGAAAAGTCGGTCGGCACGCCGACCAGCAACGGCTCGAGCAGCTTCTCCTCGCCGCCAAACTCCTTGCCCACGACGTCGTCGTGCCACAGCAGGTTCAAGCTAGCATTGAACGGCATCCGCGCCTCGGCGGCCGCCCCGTCTCCGTTCACCCACGCCGCGACGTCCCTCAGCCTGCTCTGCTCAAACGGCATGCGCTCCGCCAGCTTCTTGAGCAGCTCGTCGACGACCTCGCGGACGTCGCGGTCGCGCACGTCGCGCACGCCGAGCGGCAGCAGGTTGACCGTCGGCCCGCTGACGGCCTCGATGCGGTCGAACGCGGCGCCGCGGCCGAGCTGGAAGAAGCCGAAGGTGGGCGAGGGCGACGCCGTGGCGGCCGCCAGGGCGCGCGCGAAGGCGAGCAGCACGAGCGTGTGCAGCTGCCGGCCGGCCGTCTTGGCGGCGTCTTCGGCGGCGCGGAGCGAGAGCGTGGTGCTCGAGGCCATGACGAAGGTTTGAGAGCGGTCTTTGGCGTCCACGTCGTCGTTGGCGGTCGATGGGATGGCCGTGGGTGAGCAGCCTTCCAGATGCTGGCGCCAGAATGCGCGCTGGTCGACCGCGGCGAGGGAGCGCTGCGTGAAGTTGACCAGGTCTGCGAACGGCGGCGGTGTGGACTCGGGCGTCTTGCCGGAGTATAGCTCCAGCAGGTCGGCCACCAGGCGAGACATTGTCCACGCATCGTAGGTGGTGTGGTGCATGGTGATCAGGAGAGCATCTGCGCCATCGCTACTGCTACGCACAAGATGCAGGCGCACCGGAGGCGTGAAGAGGTCAGATGGCGTGTGGGAGATGCGCTTGACGGTGGCTTTGACGGCTGATTCAAGCTCGCCGGTTACCTCTTCGACAGTGAAGGTGCCGGATGCGATCTTGGAGGCCTTGAGCACGACCTGCACGGCCTGATCAGGCTTGGCAGCGACGAAGGTTGTGCGCATGATGGAGTGTCTTTCCTGAAGGGCGTGCCAGGCCTGGCTGAGCTTCTCGGTATCGAGGCGCTTGGTAGCCCTGAAAGTCCAGGTCGGCTCGTACAGGGTACGACCGGAGGCCAGCCAGCTGGCAATGTGGTAGTCTTGACCGGCGAGAGTAGACAAGATATCTTCGACATCGTCCTTCGTGATGTTTAGCTTGGCAAGCACGGCGGACTCCTCTTCGGCATTGAGGACGGGCGCAAGCTTCTCGGCAGGTGCAGCGCTTTCCTGAAGACTGTTGATAGAGGCGATGGATCTGCAAATACGGCCCAAAGTTACGCCTGCAATGATGTCGGCCACGCCGATGCGGAATCCTGCCTTGCGACACTGAGAAGCAACCTGGATAGCAGCAATCGAATCCAGACCAATGGAGAAGATGTTGGTGGACAGCTCGATGCTCTCGACTGGAACGTTGACAACGCGGGACATGGCACCACGCACGGTCTCAGCATAGCGCTGGACCGCCGGATCATCCCAAGTGATTATCTCCTCTTCTTCATCCGCAGACTCGAGCGGCAGGTTGCGCAGCTCAGGTGGGTACGCAGTAACATAGCGGCCGGGGTGCTCGACAATATCTTGCACAGCGGCCTTGAAAGTGCTCAGGAAAGCATCGAGGCGATCCTTTCCGAGACGTGAATAAGCGCGGGCAACCAGGGCCTGATCGCTGTGCTCGATCTCGAAGTTCATCTTGTACTCAGACGGCACGGACACTTCTTCAGTCTCGTAGGGTTGCCAAATGCTCTGCGAGTTCTCAATGGCACTCGAGTTCACCTTTTGGAATACGAACAGGCTGTCCGTGAGCGTGGCATCAGTGGTATTGGCTGCCTGGCGCCAGCGGTTCTGGACCTCGGCAAAGGAGGCATGCTGGAACTCAATGCCGTCAATGGTAAGTTGCTGCAGTTGTTGCAGGAGGTTCTCGTTCGAGGATAGGGGGTTGGCCAGGCGCACGCGGTACGGTACGGTATTGAAAGTCGGCCCAATAATGGTGTCGGCATTCTCTAGCTGTAGGTTTCTGCCAGCCAAGACCATGCCAAAAGCGACATCGCGACGCTGAACCAGGCTGCTAAGAGCCTTGGCAAAAGCCAGAATCGTGACGTTCTGGACACTGAAACCCCTATCCTGGAGCCCGGCAATATCCGCAATATTAACACTGGCCAGAGTCATCTGCTCAGACTTGGTCTCTTCCTCGGTGAGCGGCACACCGATGCTCCTGTATCCCTCGAGCTTGCTACTCCAGAAGTTGACAGCGGCCTGCTGGTTGGCAGTCATAATCTTTGCGGCCTGGTGGAATGGAGCAGAGGGAGTGACGTCTTTGCCGAAGTAGTTGTCGGTAAGTTGCTGGAAGAGGATAGGTACAGACAAGCCGTCGTACAGCGCGTGGTGCATAGATGCTGAGAAGACGATAGAATCACCATCCGAGAACACCGTCACCTTGACCGGGGGCTCGTTGAATTGGCTTTCCTCCTCGAAGGTTGTCATGTGTTGGAGGTTCTGCAGCGCCGCGTCCATATCAGACGTGGACACCTCTTTCCATTGCGGAACAAAGTTCTCGTGGACAACTGCAACCCACTCGGTACCAGATCTGTGGAATGACGTCCGAAGAACGTCAACCTGACGGACGGTGTTCTCCCATGCTTGCTTGAACTTGGCGAGATCAACATCAGAGGATAGACGCAGCGTGTGGTGGTGAACATAAAGGCGTCCATCGAGACCCAGCGTCTGGGTCAGCATTCCGACCTGCAGGGGAGTGCAGCGGTAGACAGCTTCGATGCTGTCACCCTCCTTCATCTTGACCGAGGCAGGGAGTTCGAGCTCAGGTTGTCGAACCTCAAATACGGAATCTTGTCTTGCACCTCTAGCCTCGACAGCAGCCTGCGTGGTTTCCGGCTTGAAGTGGAAACAAAGTGCGCCAATACAGCTGTTACGCATGACATCTGCCGACGATAAGTTGTAGCCATGTTCACGGAGCTTCCTGGAAAAGCGGATAGCAGTGATCGAATCGATGCCGATGTGCAAGAACGAAGTGTTCTTGCTCACGCTATCCGGTGGAACCTGAGCGAAGTCTGCCACGAGTTGCCTCATATTCTTCTCTTCCTCAGACCAGTCAGTCTCGTCCCAGGTTGACGTTTTGTCGATCGTATTTCCGGAGGGAGTTTCCACGGATATTCCCAGGTCGGCGAGCGGAAGAGCATCGCCGTTGAGCACGGTATCAAGGAGCATCTCGATCCTCTCAAGCATCTCCTCCGCCTTCACACCGTCGCCGAACGCGTCTGTGCAGCCAATCGCCATGTTCAGCTTGTCGCTCTCATAGTCCGCCTCGACCTCGACCGCAAGCGACGAATCCATTGGCATGTCGCTGTCGATCTCTTTCCACAGGTTGAAATCGATTTTCTGCTCCGGAGCGCGAGTGAACGAGAAGAGGGTGTCATACAATGGCCGGTCAGCGCCAACCCATACTTGAATGTCGCGGGCAGAGCTGTGTTGATACTCGAGGCTCTCGTAACTCAGCTTCTGGAAGGTGGCGAATACATCCTGCAATGTTGCGCCAAACTTAGGCAGGTTGACGCGTTGCGGAATCGTCGTGATGCAGGGCGCCAGGATCCGGTCGACGCCATTGACCGGCACAGCGCGGCCGGAAAGGACGGCACCGAAGATGATATCGTTCGTGCCCAGCATTTGCGCCAGAGCTGTGCCAAATGCGGCTTGCAAGGCAGCAGCGATAGTAAGTCT